AAAAGAAAAAGGAAATCAAGGAAATTCAATTCACCCCATAAAACAAAAATACAAATACAAGGGAAGGAAAAAGAAAAGGAAAAGCGCAGCCCCCGCTTTGAGGAGCTTTAATTAAATCCCCGTCTTTGCCCTTTCTTCTATTCCCTTCTCTCTCCCTCTCTTTTTTTCTCCCTAGTTCTCTCTCTTCATTGTCCTTCGTTATCTAGCTGCCTGTCGCATTTATACACACTCGTTCGTCCTTTCGAGTATTCTGTAGTGCTTGCATCCACGCATTCTCACTTTCAATCCGTCAAGATGAAGCTTAACCTCATTACCCTGACTTCTCTGGTCGCCTTGGCTGCTGCTCAGTCCAGCAGCACCACCGAATCCGCTCCCTCCACCACTGTCAGCTTGAGCCCCGAACAGTCCTGCGCGAAGAAGTGTATGTCCTAATCTTCCTCTCTTTCCCCTGTAATACTACTCTAGGAGAAGCCAGCGCATGAGGTCCAGAGTTCACCCGGAAGCTAACAAACCTAGGCGACGCCTCGGACCTCTGCTGCATCGCTGGATGCTTCAAGGTGCCCTGCCCCAACGGATCTCAGGCCAACGACACCAACAACTGCGTCGCCGCTTGCCCCCAGGGCACCGGTAGCCCGGCAGACACTCAGCGCTACGCCAACTGCCAGAACGAGTGCTACAGCAGCCACTTCTTCCCCATCACTGCCACGGGTGCCCCTGGCGCGTCGAAGACCTCGGCCAGCGACTCCGATGCCACCACCACTGGCAAGGATAGCTCTTCCACTGGCAAGGGCAGCTCTTCTACCGGTACGTGAAACCCCTTCCCCCCCTTCCCTCTCCTTTACTATCCGACTCCGGTGTATGGACTCGGACTAACATGCGACGCAATAGGATCTGGCTCCAAGTCTTCGCAGTCTGGATCTTCCGGCACTAGCACCAGCTCTGGATCTGCTGCCAGCGGCACTCCGAACGCTGCCTCGGTCGCCCAGCTGAAGTTGGGTGTCTCTGCGGCTGGTATTGCCGGTCTTGCCCTTGGTATCTGGGCTCTGTAGATGAGCCTGGAAGGGTCTCACGCGCGGGAATGGGTAATGGGAGAATGTGCATGGATGGAAAAAGGATTAATCGGGTTTTCGGGACGTCGCATAATGGGTTCTATCTACATAGTTGTACTTCTGCGCTGTAATATTGATTCCCAATCATTATTTTATGTTTCGCTGATATCAGTGTATTAACTAATACAATCATTTACCTTGGACGTTTGAACCCACAAATATCAATCCATTATCGTCCGTTGTTAAAGGGTCCAGCCAAGCAAGGAGACCATAATCGCGACCCCTTTTTATGAAGCAGGCAGGGGTGAATCCTAGCCTTGCGACCGATCTGGGGATGCAGACATGAATGGATCTGACGTGCTGATCAACATATGAACTATTATTGACTGCATTCTCGCTCCACACCCCCGCAGTCCTTAATTCTCTTCACGCATATCGGTAGAAGCAACCAACTCCGCCAACTGCCCAGCAACCTCCCCAATCAACGTCCGATTCTGCATGCCCTCCACCCACTCCGCCGGGATCGCGTCCACCCCATAAAAGGCACCCGCCAACCCACCATAAACCGCCGCCGCGGTATCAGCATCTCCCCCCAGATTCGCGACCGCCAACGCCCCCTCCGCCCAACAATCATACTTGAAGAATCCCCACAGAGCAACTTCCAACGTATCCACGACCCATCCACTGCTCCGAACATCCTCCGCATTCCTCCTGCCCCAATCCGCCAAACATTTGTACGTCGCAAGCCGCTCCACCAGATCCCCATGCGTAAACGGGAACCCACTAACCAGCGCACAAAGCGCTTCCTTCCCCTCGCCTGTATTTAAAATCCGTCAATAATGAATACCGCTAGCTGGACTAACCCCTGAAAGCAAAGCCCAGACCTAAACAGCAAAGAGAAGTAAAATGAAAAGGGAGCTGGGCTCCAAGCCACAAAAACCCAAATAACAAAAGCCAAAAAGGGCAAATACCAATACCAATAAAAATAAAAATAAAAGATTGGAAAAGAATAGAAAAACCAAAAAAAAAAACCAAAAAAAAAAAGCTCACCTCTCAAAAAACCCACATACCTCCACGGTATAAACCTCACAAGCCTCCACACATGCCAACGAAGGATGCGTCACGGCACCCTGCACTCTCGCAACTCGTCTCGCTTCTACAACATCCCGCCACAGAACCAATCCGACGGGCGCAATCCGCATCACACTCCCGTTTCCCGACCGGTCCTCGGCGTCCAGCTCGCGGTCGATGACGGCCTGCGTGCGCTGGAGATCGACGGTGCCGCACTGGCGCCAGCTGAGGAGCGCGGCCCGGGTTGAGAGGCCGACGTCCCAGGCGCGGTCGGTGGTGCTGAAGCGGCCTGTGCTGAGCCAGTCGATGTAGTACTTGATGGAGAGGGCGTGGGCTTGGCTGTAGTTGCCGCGGGAGTCGATCAGGGATTGGGCGAGGGCGAGGGTCATGGAGCCGTCGTCGGAGTAGGAGCTGTATATCTCACGTTATTGGATGTTTATCCTACTTGGGGTTTGTTGAGGAGGTAGGTGGATAGAGGGTGGTTTACGATACCCTGCTGGTTGGGCGAAGGGTTTTACGGGTCTGAGGCCCGTTATGGGAGTGAAGGTGCCCGGCTTTTGAAATTGCACGGGGCCGCCTAGGGCGTCGGCGACGCAGACGCCCCATATTGTGCCTAGGGAGCGGGAGGTGAGCGATGGGGGCATGGTGTTGTTGTTTTGTTTATGGGAGAGGGTAGGGGCAGTGGATGTAGAGAAGAGAACGAGGTCAAATTGTGCGGTTGGCTATACTATATATAATCTTGTATCCATAGGTGGTCAGCCTTATCTTGGTGACTCAGCGTCCTCGTAGATCATGATGTTGTTAGACTCCAAATTGGTCGCAAAGAGCGAGGGGGCTTTTATCTTTAGTATTATGAGGCACGGTATATATAACTATATATATATATTTTTTATCAGGTAGATGTCACGCAGAGCTAGGATAAAGACTCAATGATTGAACGCTCCTTATACTCTTGTCAACTAGGTTTTTCTTTCTAGATGGATCGATACGTATATTTGGAAATTGCGCACACCCCTGTTTTGATATAGCGTTGACTATTGGACAAGTTCAACTTCGAACAGCTGGGATGATTTCATCCTATGGTTGGAAATGAGAACCACTTGGCGCAGGAGCTATATCGAGTAACCTTCTTGTCTTACGCAGAAGCTAGGTTACCTCCCGGCACGGGGCCCGGTGCTACGACCCTAGCTCTCCGTTGGCCAGGTAGCTTGAAGTGGCTACGCTTGAAGCCAGAGCCCAGTTTGGAAGCATGATCGTAGGATATAAAACGGGGTTGACTCGGAAGCTATGAGAGAGCTACACATACGTGTCACTCGGGCAATGGCACAACCGCCAAGGGTCGACTCGAGGCTGGGGACAATAAAATTGCCCCTACAGCCCGCATGAGCTTCTTGGCCGATTGATTGGAAACGAATGTCGAAGATTGCATCTTCCCCGGCCGGAGACACTTTTGCCAGACAGACTAAAGCCGTTGGAAAATAAGTAATTGACACCAAAGGCAGAGTTTCTCGGCTTTCCTGCATGCTTCCTTTCGAAAATGCAGATAGATATCCGGCGGATTCCGCTCCCTTCTGGGCGTTGAAGTCGTTTAGAACGGGCGAGTCAATTTACAGCAGTAGTTTCCGCAGCCAAGAACAATCATACTGAATTGGATAAGGCGCAGCTTCAGTCGAGCGATTGGATTGCGGAGCACATGGATCGTAATGGTCCTGTACAGCAAACAAGGCGGGAGGATAGACATGGCAACGTCTACAGTAAAAGAGCCTTGATGTGATGATACCACGAGACGCACCACGTTTCCAGCCAGTACCTGATGGCATAGATAGTCAGTATATACATAGTGGCCGAGCTTTGTCGTGCGATGGCTTCCTCATCCACTATAAGGTGTTATATCAGAACACTACTCCCCCGTCTTCCATATCGTGCATCATTTTACCGGTGTCAGAAGATCCAGGCGATAAATAGACATAGCCTCACTCCACGTGGGGTAGGATTGACAGACTTTATTTACTGCTCAGGGTAAAAGCTCTCGCCAGCCAACCCATGAGGGCTCCTATGAGACAAATCGGATATTTGGTATGCCGCCAAATAGTATTTTAGATGAAAGACGATGGAATCGGTTCGACACTACCAACTTCGGATTTAATTCATACGAAGACAGCATGATTGTATGCGTCCAGTCTCTTAATTTCCGTCGTAATATTCACCTAGAGGTAAAAATCATAAGTTGGAGCTTGGTGCGTCAGTTGATGTGAAGTCGTAAATAAGGTTATTTGTGATGAAGCCAAGCGAGGCAGTGCTTTTTCACCCAAACTACAACCTCAAGTCCAGATCGCGGGTAGCTCATGGGCTGACCATGCTCTAGTTCGCTGGATATCCATGGGTTTAACACCTCATTCTGGGCAGCAGTCATCTCCCGTACTTGACTGATTGGTCAGTGGCACGTTGGATATTATTGACGTCAATATATCAACTCCACCCTGAAGGGCATGTCCCGATCTGGTCACTGCTCTCCCTGCTGCTTTCTGTTATGTATCGCCTCAAGAGGCGAACAGCTATTTGGACTGATGATTTGTAGCCGTTCAAAATGCCCTTACACTTATTCCATAGCAAAACAACCCACCCCCGCCTCTCTGCACCTGATCCATGGCTTTCCTCATAATGAGCTTTTTGCCTTGCCAGATTGCATTCACGTTGACCATGATCCAAACTAGCTGGCTTGGCCCTGAGTAACCAACATAGCTATCTACCATGGTCAATCTCTTTTAACTTTCTTGGTGGTCTTGTCTGCTGCAAAACACAGCCACGCTCAACTCGAATAAAGATGTCTGTATAGCACTTCGCATGGGACCGCCTCCTTTTTTTTTTGCGGTAGTTCCAGGCAAGTACCAACAAGTACTTGTATGATGAATATTCACCATGGCTACCTTGGATGACACTGGACGTGACACTAATCAACACATAGTACCTACACGTAGCACTGAGAGCCATTCCCCAGCCAGCCTTCGATACGACGACGTCTCTCTCTCTGACGCTTTAACACCCGATCCACAATATCAGCGTGACTTTGAAGTGGATGACAACAAATTTGCATTCTCCCCTGGTCAACTGAATAAGTTGCTGAATCCCAAGTCGCTGGCCGCCTTCCATGCCGTAGGAGGCCTGAGGGGTCTGGAGCACGGGCTTCAAACTGACCTTACCGCTGGTCTATCTGTGGACGAGGGCAGGATACCAGGCTATGTAACATTCAGCGATGCAACAAACTGTGCCTTTTCGAAGCTTGACAGCCAACCGCGATTGTTGGATGCAGATAGCCAGACGGCTATTGTTCCAAGCTCCTCATCTCAATTCTACGACAGAATCCGGGTCTTTGGTCGCAATGAATTGCCTGAACCCAGACGGAAGGGGTTTGTCAAGCTCCTGTGGGATGCGTATAACGACAAAATTATTATCCTGCTAACCATCGCAGCTGTTATATCACTGTCATTGGGTATATATGAGGCGGCCAGTGGGCAGTCTCAGGTAGATTGGATTGAAGGCGTGGCAGTTTGCGTCGCTATTATAATAGTAGTGGCTGCCACGGCGGGCAATGATTGGCAAAAGGAGAGGCAGTTTACCAAACTTAACAGACGAGTAAGACGTCATCCCCATCATATCAGGGCCCTTTATTAACTGACCCGGGTATAGAAAGTAGATCGCGACGTTAGAGTGGTTCGCTCAGGGCGACCACTCATGGTACATATCTCAGACATCACGGTGGGCGATGTGCTGCACATTGAACCCGGAGATTCCCCACCTGTCGATGGTATCATGATTTCAGGTCATGGAATTAAATGCGATGAATCGTCGGCAACGGGTGAGTCTGACCATATGGAAAAGGTCTGCGGGCATGAAGCCTGGAACAGCATCATGGATGGCACGGCCACGAGGGAGCTGGACCCGTTTATTATTTCCGGAAGTAAGGTCCTCGAGGGTGTAGGAACCTACTTAGTGACCAGCGTTGGCTGCTATTCGACCAATGGAAGGATCATGGCATCTCTACAGACAGAGAGCGATCCAACGCCCCTGCAAGTCAAACTGGCTAGACTGGCAGGCTGGATAGGGTTACTTGGAACAGGGTATGGGCATCGAGTTCAGACCGCGATCTGTTTACTAACGAGGGACTTCCAGCGCTGCACTACTTTTGTTCTTTGTTCTTTTGATCCGATTCCTAGTGCAACTACCCGGTAATGAAGGTTCACCGAGTGTAAAAGGCCAGGAGTTTATGGATATACTAATCGTCGCTGTTACGGTGATTGTCGTAGCCATACCCGGTGAGCTGCGTTACACTCAGCCATAGCTCGTGCTCTATCACTAACAATGTTTCAGAGGGACTGCCATTGGCTGTAACTTTAGCCTTGGCTTTCGCTACGACTCGGATGCTCAAGGAGAACAACCTTGTCCGAGTCCTGCGTGCTTGCGAAACGATGGGCAATGCAACCGTGATATGCTCCGATAAAACAGGGACACTTACGCAGAACAGGATGACAGTTGTTATGGGATCCTTTGGTGCGAACGAGCAGTTTGGCCACCAGAGAACTGAGGATGGCAGCCAGTCGACTTCCCCTACGATATTGGAGACACTAGAGAGGTTCCCTGCTGCTTTCAGGAATCTGCTGACTGACAGCCTTGCCTTGAACTCCACAGCCTTTGAGGAGGAGCAAGAAAATGGGCGTGAGTTTGTCGGGAGCAAGACAGAAATTGCTCTCCTGCAGCTTGCAAAGGATTACTTGAATATGATTGACCTCACCGAGGCACGAGCCAACGGTCATATTGAACATATATTTCCCTTCGATTCGAGCCGCAAGGCAATGGGGGTTGTGTATCGTGCAGGCCCGACTGGGTACCGGTTGCTTGTGAAAGGAGCGGCTGAGGTTATGCTGAATACATCGACTAAAACGGTAATTGCGGGAAAGTCTGTTGAAGATCAGGTAGCAGTTGAGTCTATTACTGATGACACTCGCAAAACCATCTTGGATACTATTGGCGCCTATGCACGCAAATCCCTACGAACCATTGGTGCCATCTACACTGATCTCCCAGACTGGCCTGCTGAGGGGACTAGGGGCGGCGAGAAGGGGTTGCCGAACTTTGAGGAACTGCTCCGGGATATGACATGGATTGGGGCATTTGGAATTCACGACCCGCTAAGGCCCGAGGTTCCCGGGGCAATTAGGACGTGTCATTCAGCGGGAGTCCAAGTCAAAATGGTCACAGGTGGGCTTATGGACACCGTCCATATCGAAGATATTGTACACTAACGATAGATAAACTACAGGTGACAATGTCAACACGGCTTCGGCCATCGCTTCCTCCTGTGGTATCTTGGACGATGACGGCATTGTCATGGAAGGTCCTGAGTTCAGAAAGCTAAAGGAGGAGGAGATGGAAGCCATCATTCCACGCCTACAGGTATTAGCACGTTCATCACCTGATGACAAACGCATCCTCGTCAAACAGCTGAAGCGTCTCGGGGAAACCGTTGCAGTAACAGGGGACGGGACGAACGATGGACCTGCATTGACGTCCGCGGACGTGGGTTTCTCTATGGGTATCAGCGGCACGGAGTTGGCGCGTGAGGCAAGTTCCATCATTCTTCTAGATGACAACTTTAAGTCGATTGTGACAGCCATGGCTTGGGGTCGGGCTGTCAACGATGCTGTCTCCAAGTTCTTACAGGTACGCCAGAAGTCCCTTGATATCTCACCAGCTCCCAGCTCTTCTTGCCTTTTAATTTTAACTAAAATGTAGTTCCAAATAACCGTCAACATCACTGCCGTCTGCCTCACAGTAGTAACAGCCATCTACAGCAACAAAAATGAAAGTGTTCTGAAGGCCGTCCAGTTACTCTGGGTAAACCTAATCATGGACACATTCGCTGCTTTAGCACTGTGAGTATCTCTCTTGAAATTACATTGGATCCAGGAAACGACCTCCAGACCTAACTAACATAACCCAGAGCAACCGACGCCCCAACGGAGAAGATCTTACAAAGACCACCTGTCCCACGAAATGCCCCTTTATTCACCGTAACAATGTGGAAGATGATAATCGGACAGTCCATCTACAAGCTAGCCGTCTGTTTCACCCTCTACTTCGCGGGTGACCGCATCTTGGGCTACGACACCCGGATCCATCAGAAGGAGGTAGAGCTCGACACCATTATTTTCAACACCTTTGTCTGGATGCAGATATTCAACGAACTCAACAACCGTCGTCTCGACAACAAATTCAATATCTTTGAGGGCGTGCACCGAAACTACTGGTTCATGGGGATTAACCTCCTGATGGTCGGGGGCCAGATACTTATTATTTTTGTTGGCGGTGCTGCATTCAGTGTCACACCGTTAGATGGTGTTCAGTGGGCGATCTGTATAGGATGCTCTATTTTTTGTATTCCTTGGGCTGCTGTGCTGAAGCTTATCCCGGACCGCCATTTTGCGGCTGTGCTGGATATCAAGGTCAAGATGATCCGCTTTCTTTCCTATCCATTCAGGAAAGCATGCCACTTTATGGCACATGGCTTCCGTGCGCTGGGGAAAGCATGCATTGGAAAATGGTGGGGTCTTGAAGCCATATTACTACGCACTGTGAAGAAGAGCATGTCTGATGGGGATGAAGAAAAGGGTGGCAGTACAAGCTAAGCCAGGCAAGGGTATCTGCAGTCTTTCATTATATGACTCTGTTCTCTCTCCTCTTCCACTTTTCTTTTCATTTCTTTCTTCCCTCGACTCTCCCTGTCCCTGCTTAGAAATGTTAGGGTATGTATGAAAGACAGACGCATAGATGGTAACCATGATAAGAAAAATTGGATACATATACAATTAGACCTACATAACAGTGTAAGAAATAGGGCATGCAGCCTCTGAACCATGGCTCAATAATATGTAAACCACTATAAAACAGCAGACCACACCACACCGAAACTTCCTTCCCTCCTCACCATCCAACATCACATCCTACGGAAAGAAAACTGACCATACTCAAACTCCTTCTCATAACCCTCTCCATTATCCTATTAGCAAAACTCTACCTCCTCCTCAAATCCCTCCATTTCCCCGGCTGCACTCACAACCACCCAGAATACCCTATAGCAACAGGCTGCCCTCCAGAATGCCACTGAACCCGCCCCCCCCAACACCCCCCACCCCAACACGCATATATTTTGGTAGCCCTGGGACCCCCATATTCGGCTACCTCAGCAAGGGCGGTGCTTACACACTCCACGCCCGCGTCGATCGAATTCCTCGACCTAGACCGGTTCTCCGGCGATGGCCCATTAAAGTCTGACGATCAGGCAGAGGAAGACGCGCATTGTTTCAGGACGCAGCAGCTGGGGGGCTGGTTAGTGGAGGAGGCGCAGGGATCTTGGATTAGCCAGATAATATATGATTATGAGGTACCGGAAGAGGGTGTGAGGAACTTGTTGGCCGGAGGGTAAGGGGGTGTGGGTGATCAAGAGTTCGGAGGCGGGTGCTCTGAGTAATGCGTAGTGTATGGAGGAACGGTGTCAGGTTATTGAGAGGCTTGGGGGGGAGGTTTTATGAGGATCCGAGGCAGTTGTCCTGATTTGGATTTGGAGTGAGTTAATTGGGTTGAGGTTAGGGTTTGGGGGTAGGTGTATGGTGTTGGGATGGGAGGGAGATTGAGTCTCGTGGTTATGGTAACAGAAGTTATTCTAGGGCTATAATGGCTTGTTGGATGATTCTAGGGTTGGTTGATGTTGGTATTGTACAGTTTATCTTTACATGTCTCCCGATAGAAGTTGCTACAAGTGGAGGACCCGCTTGGGATATATATATCCCACCTCCACTCATTTATGCTGTACTAGTACCTAGTTTCCATGAAACATACTCCACTGTAGGCAGCCATTAAGCAGAATTCCTAACTTCATAAGGGCAAAAAGGAAGTCAAAAGGAAGAGCTATTGTTAATTGAGTATAACAAAGTGAACACTGGAAAAAGACACAGACAAACACCTAAACATGGAAACCTCGGGCTGGTAAAGTAACAACATACATTCCGTATTTTAAACAAACCAATGAAATCCAACCACACTCAAACCACCAAGAATTTTCCAGCTCAACCCTATATATAAAAATCAACCGCCATCCCACAACCCAATAAGCACACCCTCCCTCAAAGTACTAGAAACAAAAGGACAAGAAAAATCAAAGCCAAAGCCAAAATGTCCCAACAAACCCTCTTCACCTCCATGTCCGACTTCGTAACAAAATGCATGTCAGGACACGACCCCTCCCACAACCCCCAACACGTGCACCGCGTCGTCTCCCTCGCCAAAAGAATCCTGGCTTCTGAAACAGCCCGGAACCCCTCCACACCCCTGAACGCAGACGTGGTGCATCTTGCAGCCCTCCTGCATGACATCGGGGACCGGAAATATCTGTCTCAGGTCGCCGCCATCTCGGATTCCATTCCATGCAAGGGAGACGCAGCTAGCTCAGAGACGGTTGATCCTCATCGGCTGGTGTATTCGGCCCTGGTGTCGCATGGGGCGGACGAGGAATTGGCCGAACGGGTGCAGATGATCGTCTCGCATGTTTCCTACACGACGGAGCGGTCGGATCCGGAGAAGGTCCGGCAGTTGATTCGAGATGGGTATCCGGAGTTGGCCATCGTCCAGGATGCGGACCGCTTGGATGCCATTGGCGCAGTGGGCATCGGCCGGTGTTTCACTTTCTTGGGAGCCAAGGGGAAGAACTTTTGCGCCGACGGGATGTGGGTGATGGGGAATGCAATCGATCATTTTGAGGAGAAGTTGGAGAGGCTGGAAGGCATGATGAAGACGGAGACGGGTCGAGAGATGGCCAAAGTGCGCACGGTGAGACTCAAGGAGTTTCGCGAGTGGTGGGCGGACGAAATGAGTGAAGCTGCATAGGAAGGATAGATTCAATTATGAAATGGCAATCAATGCGAGTTAGATTAACCTATAGACACGAGGTCCGAAATCATGCTATCCAGTCTATAGATTCTCAATACACTATTGGGTATGGGACAGGTGACGATATTATCTGCGGTGAATACATGCGCACAGAGAAAAGAACGTATGAGGTCGAATGACCTGATGCAGAACCTGTGGTGCAGAGCAAGAAAGAACTGCGATGCCAAAAGCACGGATGCCAATCAAAGAGTAGAAACATGGCCCAAAATAAATAAAGAAATAAAGAACAAAAGTACACCAACGCCGGAACCACTGTAATGTCTAACTCGATTGCATATTGTGGCGTTTCAGTATACCTCCAAAGAAGAAAAAAAAAATTATAATGCAATTAAACTCGATCTCTGGCGAAGTCCAGGAAGTCACAATCATCCTCGAAAAAGCCATCATCGCCCCCAGAACCAGTCGAAGGAAACGACGAGGCATGCCTCTTCTTCCGGCGAGTGGTGATCACAACCTCCTCAGGATGGCCTGTGCTGTTGCCAAGACTGATAAGGTTCTCCATTTCGCCGCCAGAACCCAGTTGATGTTCGTGTAGCGTCTCGTCGTCATCACCACCGGCGCTGAAGGGGCGCACGTGGATTCGGGTCATCGGCAAGCTCTCACCAAACACCCATTGGCCGGTAGGAATGGTCATGGAATCATCAACGCTACCGGTTTCGGGGTACACGTATAGGCTGACCCGCTGGTCCGTATGGAAAGGCTGGTAAGGTGCGTTTGTCTCGATCTCCGCCTGGGAGAGAGGCTGACATTTGAGTTTAGATGCCGGAGACGGCCGTGGGTTGGAAGACGGCAACGCCAGCGATGCATGGACGGCCGTCTCCGGGTTGAATGTGGTCACAGGCAAGGGGCCGCAGGGAGTGTGCAAGTTAGGGGGCAATCGAAATTCAATTTCCTTACCTCCCACCACGGATTGGAGCTGTCGATTCTTATGGGTAGACATAGCACGACGAACCCTATAGAGCCGGAAGTGCCCGCTCTCCACCAAGCCCAAGAATGGCTGGCCCTTACTGGTAATCCAAGTCACCCGGGATGCGGCTGGGTCACGGGCTAGCCCATGCAAGCGGTTCTCACCAGCGTGGCGGAGGGTGTTGACCGTTCCGGTGGCTGCTCCCATAGACTTGCTGAGACCAGCAGCAACTGCCTTCCCGCCCCGAACACCAGCAGACGACGAAAATCCGCCTACGGCGGGAAACGCGCCACCAGCACTTGCAGTACGACCTCTCACCGCTGCAAGTATGGGTTGTGTCTTGCCTCCTACGAGCTTAAATGCCGCTGACAGAGGATTCACAGGTGCGGCTTTATCCGACAACTCATCAGTTGGCGGTTCAATTGCCGGTGTTTTACTAGGTGCTGGGCGAGCTCGGCGGAATGGAGGCCATTGGAAAGCGCTCCGCGGGAGATCGAACACATGTACGGTCCCTTTACGAGTAATGACAGCCAGTCGATCCCCAGAGGGAGGGCACCAGATCACGTCGACAATATAAGACTTTGTCAACCGTGTGTACCGCGCAATTTGGCGCACGTTTGCACATGGAGCTACCAAGTCCTCTGACAAAAAGGTCCCAGCTCGGCAGTACTTGGCCTGCATGAGATCCCAGACATGTTGAACATCCCCGTTTGTGCTCGCCGTAAGCATCATTAGTCCGTTGGGTGAAAAGGAGAGGAAACTACAGCCTTCGGGAGGCTGGAACGTGGCAACGGGATTAAACAGGGCGCTTTTTGTCTCACTCCCGTCTTCCAGCCTTTTCAGGTCCATGATTGATACAAGGTCAGGCTCCGCGGGTGTGGTAGCGTTAGTGTCTTGGGCATGCGTGGGTGGGAACGCGTTGTAACCTGGCGGTGGAAGGTCTCCTGAATTAAGAGACCGGCGCGGGGTGGAATTTTGTAGCTGGTCTTTGTTCCAATAATTATTCCATGCCTGAAGACCCTGGTCCCCCATCCACCGTGCGCCTCGCACAAGCTCCTGCGTCACGCCTCGGGCAACCTTGTCAAAGAAACTCGGGCCCTCTCCAACGTCTGTGGCGCATGTTATCGCGGGCCTTGCAGGCGGATTACGACTGTCTAGACCAAAGACTTTACCCTGAATCAATGACGAGGGAACCGTTCCGGGAAGTGACACCCTGTACGTGGACGATGGTGGGACTATTGCAAGCCATCTTCCCCTCAGCGCAACAATTGGGGTGTCGCTATTGGCAAAACCAGGTGGAGAGTCAGTTCGAGATCCATCCGGATCCGTGGAGCTTGAAGAGGTCGAATAACGTCGAGCTTCCCGGGAGCGAATACTGGTCCATATTTTACCCAAGCACTGATACCCATTCATGCTGTAGATGAAGACCTCGCCGCTAGCTCCAGATGCCAGGACAACATAATTACCACCCGCCAAGAGCTTCAAATTTCCAGCAGGCGAAGGCGCAACTGCAGAGAGCCCAGGGATATTCTCGAAGTATGGAGAAGGTTTCATTGTAAACAGAGTGCTGATGTGATCTCCTGTTCGGAGGGAATAAATCTCGACGCGTGTTTGGTAAAATCTGGTATCGTCTTTCGCCGAGCGCCTCTCACCAGGAGAGCGCCCAATGGAAGCGGCAGGAATCTCGTTCACATCCGAGCCTACAGACGAGCTGCGGGTTTCGTCGTCGGGGAGTCCACAGGGGCCGTGCATAACTATAGCGACGTGCGGCCTAGATGGTGCGAACGAATCACTGGGTGAGTTGCAGGCCAGGATTTTGGCGTCAATTACTCGGCCGTTGAGACCAGCCAGCTTTCCAACAAGTCGCGTTTTACGATCCTCTACTGCCAGAACTTCAAGCGAACCATCCATACCCACGACGAGGACGCTGGTTCCCATTCTTGAGGACTTGGCCGAAGGACTGTAGATCGTATCGAAGGCACAGAAAGAGTAATTTTCATTTACCGACTGCTTGGTCTGACCAGCGAGAAGCGGTAGGTCGATTTCCGGTGCGCCATAGAAATGGGCCTGGGGCTTATGCGGCAATGGTATTGGGTTACTGAACGGGCCGCTGACGGAGTAACTCTTGTTGTGCCTATCCACGGACTGCTGTCTCGACAGGTCACTTCCCAGATAGCCATTTCCATAGCTCAAAGGTCTTGCCCTAGGGGGAGGAGATGTTGAGGAGGGGTGACTGAAGCCGGCCTTATCTGGGTTAGACGGGAAACCGAATGGGGATCCATTAGCGATTTCACCGTCGCTAACGTCATTGGGTGGGCTCTTTCCGAACGGAATAGCCTTTGCCCAATTATCCGTACGATAAGCTAGATCGTTCTCGGGTGAGTCACCAAGACAGCCAAGCGCATCCAGAACTGGTGATGTCACAGCGTTGGGACGGTGAGAAACCAACGTGGGATTTGGGCATGACGACGGTTCAGCGTGCAGAGGCGGTGAAGCTTGTATCCTATACATATCAAGTATTTCGGGTTAGTGATCTACGGAGGGAGCAACATGATTTCAGGTGCTCTATGCTTACAGGTCCTCTGGCGGTGACTTCGCCGCGGCTTTAGCTGCTTTTGTCTTCCCCTTGGATCCGGACTTTCCTTTTTTCTTCTTTCCGCCTTGATCATTCTCAGGGGGCGTTGAATTCAAATCCTCAAGGGGCGGGCTAGGGTCACCGACGGACCGGCTCTGCTGCTGGAATAGATCGTCCGAAGCTGCCGGGGGCATCAAATTGAGCGGATTGCCTCGAGGAGGCAAGACGGTCCTGATAGGAACAACCGCTCTCAGGACCCGTGATAAGGTCTGAGAACGGGGGGTTTCTCACTATATTGTCGGCGGCAACGAGTGTCGCGACGGTATGACGCTATCGGACGTTGACTATTGAACAAACACCCGTCAGCATGACTCACTCAATAGTTCCAAGCCATACGTACCGTTTAGCTATTGGAAAGAAATTTCGGATTCCAAGGTTCAAAGAGGAAACGGAAGAAGTGGTAAGGGGAAACCAGGGAGATCAAAGGAACCACGTATCTAGAAGTCAAGGCTTCTTGACACGCTAAACCAGGACGAGACGGAAGCACTGCTTATACCGTTCGTCCGAGAATCGGGGATAGATTGTATGCAAAGCTGAACGAGGGTTACAGAATATACAAGAGGACAGATATACTAGACAAAGAGCAGGTTAGTCATAGAAGATTGTTTGAAGAGAAAAAAAGAGGTTTGGGAGGGAAGGAAAAGGAAGAAGCATGGAGAGGGGGAGGGGGGTTCAGGTCAGGAGTATGGATGACTTTCCCCATGGGTAGGCTGACTTATCTCCTATCAGTCCCAGATTTAGTTCGAATAGACTACAATTAGTTAGGGAAACTAAATTCGGTAGGCAGGTACGGTAATGGTATGGTAAGGAACCTCGGTGAGGAGACCGGCACATGACGAGGGCCAGGTGATGATTGGCTGGTATGAGACAAACTCGGTCAGGCTATGACGCCAATTCTGGCCTGCCTAACGTGCGTTTTTCCATACGGTCCTTGGATCTACGCAGTACCGCGCTTGCCTTGCAGCCTGCAAATCCAACTTAAACAGATAACCATAGTACCAGTACCTACCTATACCTAGTAAGGTCATCCCCCCCCTCTCTTGGGTTTAGAGGAAATTCCGCCCCCCACTCCCATGCCACAGCCACTCGACACTCAAATTACACCATACACCAAGTTCCAGGCAAACTATTGGTTTGCCCTGCAGGTCGCATGAGGGGCTCTCGACAAACAATGCAAACAGCTTGCGCCTGAACAGTGAACACGGGTCAAGCGGCTGCCACGTGATTCGCCTGAATGATACAGCCAAAGAAACCCGTACCACTTGTGAAACAGCATGAAAGGACAAGCAGCCACAGTCCCCAGCCTGGAACATCCCTTCGCATAATCTTCCGTGGATAATCCGGGTCTAGTCGCCACTGTCTTTGTTGGCTCACCATGCCAACCAAATATGAATCATTAGGAATGTTCGATCCCGAGCCGCTGGCAGGTCATAGGTCCGTATTACCGCATAAGTAGCCTGTCATCTGTAAGGTCCCAGGCTATCATTAGTACATCATCCAGCGGTGACTATGACATGACGCTAGAGGGTGGTAAATCACATTAGGGATCTATTCTTCTATGAGCTTCCTCTTCAGGAATTCCCCCTTTGGGACCAACTTCATGGATGGATCTCGTTGGTTGACCTATCAGTTCGTCACCACGTGACAGATTCTGGGGGGATTCTGATGGGTAGTAAGTATATATTGAAGGTGGAAGAGTACAAGGGCACACTCCAGAGATCAAAGGAAATGACGTGTATTGTTACAAAATATATAGTGACAGCTGTCCCAATCCATATAGAGTTCACCCTGCACACATGTCCACCCCTATGACCAAGTTTTAGGTCTTCTTTTTCGCCGCAGCCTTGGCCTTAGTCGCCTTCTTCTTGTTGCTGTTGATCATGACAATTCCGATAAAGGTACCAACGACGGCCGAACCGAGCAAAGTAAGAATAACAGGGATGCGGATAGCCCATACGCGAGGTGGGAAGAGACTATGGAGAGGGTGGTGCTCGTCGACGAATGGCTGCCAGGGTGTTAGTAAGGAAGCATACCTGTAAGAGGGATAAGGAAGAGGGGTACCATCAGAAGAGTCCACGTCGTATAGTAGAGAAAGATTGCGGTAGCGGCCAAGAGCATGGCGGATCCCACGAGTTGGCCCAGCTATAGAATAGTGGCAGTCAGTGTATGGAACATGATGAATGCGGTAATTAATTTCTCTCTTACCATAGTGGTATACAATTCACCAAGAGAGGCTAAGAAAGTAATTCAAAAAGAACTCCTGGCTGGAATGACGGGCATGGGTAGAGCATCGCATCCTATAAACACAGATAGCTTTGGCTCCTGAAACGGCACGTGACCAAGGAGCGGACGCTAAGACTTTCCCCTTCGCCGCCTCACGTTTTGTCCGACGGAGCTCAACGATCAACGTTTTCGCAACTTTACTTAAATCACCATTCCCTGATTTAGGCTCCAGGGTGATCTGGAGGACTGCAAGGCATTATGACAGATCCTGTTGTATTGCAGTCAGCAGTGCGAGTGCCCACACCTCCACCTGGCACATCCCATTCGCCAATAGCGCCGGCTTCACGAAAGCGCTCACCCCCCTCTCGTTCGCCTTCGCCCAATCGTCGTCGGTCGCCTCCGGGTGACACTGTGAAAGAAGATGGCGACGTGCCGCGGCTCGACCCTAACCGTGCGATAGAGCGGGAACGACAACTTGCGGAGCGGGTTCGTCAACATGAAAAGCAGGAGGCGGCGCGGAAACCGATGACAGAAGAGGAGAAGCAAGCTTCAGCCAAGGCAGAATATGAAAAGCTTCTGAATATGCGGTCCGGTGGAACTTATATTCCCCCTGCTCGACTTCGTGCGCTGCAAGCACAGATCACAGATAAGACCAGCAAGGAATACCAGCGTATGGCATGGGAAGCTTTGAAGAAGTCGATCAACGGTCTGATCAATAAGGTCAACGTCTCGAATATAAAATTTATCGTCCCAGAGCTCTTCGGGGAGAACTTGGTACGTGGTCGTGGGCTGTTCTGCAGGAGCATCATGAAGGCTCAGGCTGCCAGTTTGCCATTTACCCCAATTTACGCTGCAATGGCAGCCATCGTCAACACCAAGCTTCCCCAGGTGGGCGAGCTGCTACTGAACCGGTTGATTGTCCAATTTCGTAAAGCGTTCAAACGAAATGATAAAGCGGTTTGCATCTCGTCGACGACCTTCATCGCTCATTTGTGCAACCAGCAGGTCGTCCATGAAATGCTTGCAGCTCAGATTCTTCTTCTCCTGCTTCACAAGCCAACGGACGACAGTGTAGAGATTGCTGTTGGGCTCACAAGGGAAGTTGGGCAGCATTTGGAGGAAATGAGTGGTCCTATTGCCCTGGCAGTCTTCGATCAGTTCAGAAATATCCTCCACGAAGCCGATATTGACAAGAGAGTGCAGTATATGATCGAAGTCCTGTTCCAGGTTCGCAAAGACCGCTACAAGGACAATCCAGCCGTCAAGGAAGAACTTGATCTTGTAGAGGAGGAAGATCAGATCACACACCGCGTTGGTCTTGACGATGAGATTGAAACGCAGGATAACCTCAACATCTTCAAATACGATCCCGAGTGGGAAGACCACGAAGAGGCCTACAAAAAGCTGAAGGCTGAGATTCTAGGCGAAGGTAGCGATGACGAGGAAGACGAGGACGAAACCGATGAGAGCTCTGATGATGAGGCGGAAGAAGAACGGCAGATGGATATTAAGGATCAAAGCAACACAGATCTTGTCAATTTGCGGAGGACTATCTACTTGACGATCATGTCCAGCATTGACTTTGAAGAATGTTGCCATAAACTGATGAAGATCTCGTTGCCACCCGGCCTGGAGCCTGAACTTCCGTCGATGATTATTGAATGTTGCTCGCAGGAGAGAACATACTCGAAATTCTACGGTTTGATTGGAGAGCGGTTTTCGAAGATCAATCGTCTCTGGTGTGACCTTTTTGAGGCCGCTTTCGCCAAATATTACGACACTATCCATAGATATGAAACCAATCGCCTGCGCAACATTGCTCGCTTCTTTGGCCATATGCTTAGCACCGACGCCATCGGTTGGCATGTTATGTCAGTTATTCACATGAACGAAGAAGAAACTACTTCAAGCAGTCGTATTTTCATCAAAATTCTCTTCCAAGATTTAGGCGAGCACCTCGGTCTGCCCAAGTTGCAGGAGCGTATGAGAGATGAGATACTCCGCTCGAGCTTTGAGGGTCTTTTCCCTACAGATAACCCTCGCAATACCCGTTTCTCCGTTAATTATTTCACAAGTATCGGCTTCGGTATTCTGACTGAGGACATGCGTGAACACCTAAAGAATATTCCCAAGCCGACAATTCCCGCATTGCCTGCTCGGGATGCAACACCTGAGACGGATGCTGAATCTGTCAGCTCTCGCTCCTATTGCTCCACATGCACCGGATCCCCTCACTCACGCTCACGCTCACGCTCTTATTCATACTCCCGTTCGCCTTCGCCGAGCCGAGGTCGCCGGCGCTCTGTCAGTCGGGGCCGGTCTTATTCACGATCCGTCTCCGGATCTTCTCGCCGGAGCTATAGCTACACACCTTCACGCTCCAGGTCCCCAGCATCGAGAAGCCGCCGACGCTCCGTCTCTTACAGTAGATCTCGGTCGCCGAGAAGGTCGTCGGTCTCCCGTACGCCCCCCAGACGGACTCGTGCCACGTCTTATGACACTCGCTCCTCTCGGAGTGTGAGCCCACATCCATCCCGACGTCCACAGCCTCGCTCTGTTACACCTGAAAAACGAGGTTACGGCCGAAAGAATCGAAGCTATTCAAGGTCGGTGTCGAGGTCTGTTACTCCGCCTCGGCGTGAGGCACGGGGCAAGCGCTACTCTTCCGAGTCGTTATCCCCTCCTCGCTCTAAACGAGCAGCATCGCGTTCGCCCCGTCGACCAGCCCCGCCTCGCCGCGCCCGTGATGGATCGGCGTCCCAGTCTCCAAGTCCCGTACGGTCTGGACGTGGCCAAAGACGACGTCGGTTCTCAGATTCCCGGTCACCGTCTCGTTCGCCACCTCGGCGCAGATCGGCGTCCCGGACCCCTCCTCGTCGGGGCCGTGCCGCGGACTATATTTGATTGTAATGGCGATAGGTTTTCGCGATATGGAAATGTTTATACAGAAGATACGTTTAAAGGTTTCAGTTGTTGATGTTAACTGCTAGTCATAAATTAGTTGTTAGCACTGGTTAAGGGCCCGTTTCCTAGGTGTATTTATACTACCCTGCATTTAGTTTTCTCAATCACACAAAAGCAGCGCACTGGCCGCCGTCGCTGCAAATAGTCCAGGTTCAACCTGGCGTCAATTCTCTATTTTCTGAAATCTATCTCTATACAAAATATTCTAATTTTAATAGTGACTTTTCGGTACAACATCTATCAGATCTAGGGTATCACTCAGCCATCCAACCCGTCTAATTCTCCCGTGTAGAATCCCCCCAAAGGAACAATAAAGGGTTCTACTCCGCAGCCTCCCAAACACACCTCTGACACAAACACCAACCGCCCAATGCGCCTCGCGCCCACTCCCGCCTCTCCTTCACATCCAGTCCAATATCACAATAATGATTCAAGATCTCCTCGTCAGCCTTGATCCCCTCATTCCGAGACGGCGTTTTCTCCTCGCCGGTCCCAATTCTCTTCCAAACCGGGCGTTCAGGCTCCGTTCTGGCCCGGAAGGTAATCTCACCACCCCACTCCCACCTCACATTTGGATCACAACAGTGATTCGCAAGACACCAGAGCGGATGCACGGCGCAAAGCTCCGGGCCACCGTCCCAGGTAGACAACCGACCAGAAGCAGTACCGCGGAACTTAGCATAGAGCGTATTCAGCACCCAGGTATCATAAAGGGGGAGAATCTCATAAGGGTCCAGTTCCATTTCTTCGAGGATACGCATAGGCTGGAGAATATTGAGGTGGAAGGAGAAGGGGAGAGTGGCGGTGGGGTCGTCGGAGGCGGCCGAGTCGGCAGATGAGTCCCCGAGGTCGTGGAAGTCGCCCCAGATGTACTTGATCTCGGGGAGGTCGAGTGGATGCACGTGCTGCGTTGCTGCCATGGCGATAGCGCGGCCCAGGAGAAGCAGGTACAGGTAATCGGCTTTGTCTTTGGGGTCGGGGATGTCTTTGCCGATGGATTCGAGGTTCTCCATGAGGCCGCAGACGGCGCCGTGATAGGCTTTTTGTGCTTGGTCGTGGCATGCTTGGCTGCAGAAGATTGTGTCGTCGCAGCCTGTACAGGCGACCGGGGGTTTCTCGGACGCCAGGTCCGGGAGCGGGGCGTTACAGGCGTCGCAGAGGTCATCATGGAGTCTGTTGGTGGCTGTGAGGAGGGAGCTCTCGCGGAGGATAATCTCGCCGGGGGCGATGTCTTCTTTGGCGAAGAGGCCGAGTTGGATTGAGACTTCGCCTTCTTCGGATGACGTTCCTTCGTCGGTGGTACCGTGCAAGGCGGGAAGAGCAACGGCTCGCACCTCGCACTTGGGGGCAATGTCCTTTAGTCGGTCGTTGAGTAGTTGGAGCGTCTTGGGTGCCTTTCTGTCTGGCTCGTGCTCATTCCAGGGGTACAGAACCCTGCGAGCGAAGCCCTGGGCATTCAGGGCACTGGGGTTGATGTCGATCTCGGTATTTTCAACACCATTTAGCGAGTCTGGCCGCTGGAAAACGTAAACCTTCTTGATTGCAGTCATCTGCTCCTTGAGAGTATCCAAGGCTTTCTCATCTTGCTTCTCCATATTTTCAAGTAACGACAGACCACGCACGCAGAATTCATACGCATCTCTGTAGCACCTACAGTTCACCAAACTCCGAACAAGCAACGCATACACAGTCCCGATCATATCGTCATATTCTTCTTGCGTCGTAGAGGCATACAAATCGTCATCTTCATCATCACCATTCTCTGTCTCGGCCGCCTTTTCCGTTTGGTCTTGAACATCTAGCTTCCGTCGAGCATGGAACTCGCATCCATCGGGATCAACGACTGACTCCAACAGCGAGAGAGCACGATATGCATCCGCCGACGCTAAATCCGCGTATCCTAATTGCTCATGAAGCTGTCCCCGCTCAAGGTGCAGATGTGGGTTGTGAGGGTCTGCATAAAGATGGGCAGTTGTTTCTGCCCGTGAGTTGAGAAGGTGGTTCATTTTTGGTATATTCAGTTCAGTGTATAATGTAATTAGGAATCAATGCAGGATACAAATTCACTCCGTTAAGAGACGTGGGGTAAAGATGGGATCGAGACCAATTGCTGGCTGTATCTAGTTTATGGAGATCCCGCCACGAGTATGACAGGATTAGAGAAACGATCGAAATGTTGCGCTAAATGCAAGATATGCAACAACTGAGTATAGAGGCTGTGGGTATAGTCTGGATGTGAAGTCTTCCTGACACTCAACTTTTTTTTCTTACGAAACAGAATGCGGGGAGGAGCCGTTATCACCACGTGATGATAAATATACCCTACTTTATTACCGTATTGGGAAGCTCGTCAGTGAAAACGCAGAAATTTCTAACATACAGTGTGGTCTCTCCTTGTTTGAGCTAGTTTTCCAGTATAGGGCTATCGAGAAAGCTAATGCTCCATTTTCAGTAGGTGGGCCCGTATTTCCTAATATGGAAGTTCGGCCAGCAGCCACAAGTCGCCCTATAGATGCAGGAATAGAAGAATACGAAGTGTATACCCGATGATATTCCGAAGTTTAGCTTTTGCCGGCTGTCGCTTGGATATCGTGCTTGGAAGCATGATGCCCAGGAATGCCGAGTAATTCGGGGCGGTGCTCTTTTCGGGGTTTCATAGGCCCAAGGTAAATCGGGATAACACCCAAGACAGCTCTCGTACCTACCATTGGTAGCGTAGCCGGCGGTTTCGTTGTTTCAAGGATTTCCTGTGAAGGCGCTGTGATAAATTTCCGAGGAGAGTTGGGACTCTTATTGATGTACATTAAAACTGAAAGTAACACAACCGGAAAGCTACACTGTCTCACTTCTCTTTAATTTACACACATATATAACTTTCAAACAAATCTATCATATAAGTCCAGCTCTAAGCCAACAACTCTGTATCCAGTGTAGCTGTCTTCGCCTCAGTTGTTGTCTCATAGTGCCGCCACTTCCACATGGGAATTTTCGCATCATACATCTCATCGATTTCAGCAAACGTTCTGCCACGCGTTTCGGGCATGAGGAAGTAGGCAAAAGCAAGGACTCCAGCCATGCATCCAGCAAATATAAGATAGGTCTTTGCCCCCAGATTGGCTGCATCGGCCGATGTCAATTGTGGGACAACCAACGTGGTGATCACAGCGGTAGTCTGTGCACACGCGATTGTGTAGGCCATGGTATGATTGCGGAGCTTGACAGTTGCAACCTCTGAGGGCATCAGACTAGACAATGAGTAAAACGAGGCTGCCCAGAAGAAGTTGAAAATGAAAGATAGTGCAGCAATGCCCATGGTGAAGCCCTTGTTGCCGGTGTTGAAGGCTAGTCCGCCGGCAATAACGTCGATCACGAAGAGAACCGACATTCCTGTGAAAGCCGTAGGTCTGCGGCCGACACGGTCAATGACAAAAGGCGCTGTAATGGTACCAGCCAGTGTACAGCACGACGAGATAACGGTAAGAGTGAAAGCATCACCGACACCAATCTCAGTGAGAAACACGGTGGCGTAGGTGGTCGAGAGCACGACACCGGAAATCTGGTTAAGAGAGTAGAATGAACCAGCAGTCAGAGTCCGCTTGATATTTTGGCAATTGAAAATTTCCCAGAATCGGACGTTGGCACTGAGTTCCCGCTCATTATCCTCGCACATCTTCATCACCTGAAGTTCATCCAAGACCTCCGCATCGCTAAATCCCCGTAACTTCCGTAGGTTGCAGTGAGCTTGCTCCATCTTATCTTTGCCAACTAGCCATTGTGGGCTTTCGGGAAGAGGAATGGTTAAGACCAGCAGAATTGCCGGCAATACACACTGCACGATCAACGGGATCATGTAGGATTGATGTCCTCCGATTTGTTCCGTACGCCACACGATGATCGTACCAACCACACCGGCGACGAGAGATAGAATATTTATCGACGTTACACTTCTTCCTCGCATGGATGCAGGGACCACCTCAGACATGTATAATGGGGCTGTTGCATTGGCAATGCCCATAGCAATCCCATTCACGAATCGACCACTGACAAATGCACCAAGATTGGGAGCGAGCACCTGCAGGATCCCGCCTCCAATGGAGAGTACGTAGCCTGCAAGTAAGGGCCATTTCCGCCCGAAATGGAAGTTCAAGGGCGATGCTAATAGCCCACCGAGGATGGAGCCGACAAGGGGAACAGAGAAGAGCAGATTCTGGTTGCGAGCACTGAAAACATATTTGCCAGTCACCGGATTAGGGCCTTGATATTTGTCGACCTAATAGATGGGTTGAGATGTTAGCAGGAAGTTTGACCAATCTGACACGGTCGGACTCACAAATGGCTCCAGGGCTGCCACTGGGGAGATGATCTTGTCATCGAATCCAAAGATGAACGAAGCTGAAGCGAAGGCCGTGCAGGCTAGGGCTAAGTAGAAATTGACAGCCTTGCCCGACTGGGGGACGATGTCAACATGCTGAGAATCAGAAACATTCTCGATTTCTGCGGAAAGATCATCCTTTTCGATTGGAGAGTGCGCCATTTTGAAGAGATAGAGATTGAAAATGGTGTGAAAATTAGCTTCTCTACATCCCAACATCGTCGTGCGATGCTCTTATGAATCTCCAGATTCTGGCCTTCTCCTATCCCCGCGAGATGGGTTGACTACCGGCAAGGAGGAATGTGGAGACCTTTACCCCAGAATCACCAAATATGAGCGTTGATCCATGCCTAGGTTTCTCCGAGGTTACTCCTATACAGTCGCCTCCCGACTTTGAATATTTCCGGCGATGTCTAATAGTCTTCAAGCCTCATTCTTATTTCACTTCCCTCTTACCCTTTAAGGTATCTTTGTACCTTAAACATCCACAATGGCTGCGTGATTCTCCTGAAAAGTGTCCGCGGTTTCGCCGAAGAATCAACCTTCCACCTCTGTAAACTTGAAATACCCAAGAACGGGCGCGCGTGGGGGAACTTGAAAGAATCCTTTATCAAGGTACAACTGTAGGACTGAGATAGACTGACACAGCATCGTCATCTTCTGTTACTTGCATGATTTCATAGAATGTCCGTCCTTACGCAATCTTCCCAGCTTGCAGAGCTTGGTGTCATTGGCGCACCAAGAACATTTGATCACGTCAAAGCACGAGGCAGCGATCAAAAGCAGTCCCATCCCGGGGTTTCGGACTGGACTCCCTCATTCCATATCAAGGCCCCCCAGGGGTGGCTCAATGATCCCTGTGGCCTCGGATACGATCCGTCAACTGGTTTATATCATATAGCATTCCAATGGAACCCGAAAGGGAATGATTGGGGCAATATCTCCTGGGGCTACGCGACATCAAAAGATTTTGTTACCTGGAAATTATCTCCGTCCCCATGCCTGGTTCCATCGACTGTGTATGACCAGTGTGGAATTTTCACGGGTTGCCTTCGAGCCACTGATCCTCACGGCAAACCGGGCGCCCTTACACACATCTACACCTCAGTCTCGCACCTCCCGATTCACTATACTCTGCCCTATGTCAAGGGCTGCGAGTCTCTCAGTATAGCTGTCTCCCGGGATGGCGTTACCTGGGAACGGCAAAATTGCAACCCCATTCTCCCTGGACCTCCCTCAAATGTCGATGTGACTGGTTGGAGAGATCCATATGTTGGCACATGGGCTACAATGCAGACAAAGGATGGGGTTGCTCCATCACAGATTTATGGCTTTCTCTCTGGGGGTATCAAGAATAGAACTCCAACGGTCTTTGCGTACGCTGTCGACCCTAATGATCTCCGGGAATGGAAGTATATCGGGCATTTAGCCGACGTGGGCCTCAACTTCTACCCATCCCGGTGGTCCGGTGACTTTGGTGTGAACTGGGAGGTTGCCAGCGTCCTGACCCTCTCTGATGACCAAGGCGTTTCCCGTGATTTCGCCATTATGGGAAGTGAAGGGTGTGTCCACTTTGATGACATTCCACGTCAAACTGGCCGGAAAATGGCAATTGATAAGAGAACATCACGACAACAACTATGGATGTCCTTGACACTCCGTCCAAAAATGGAGATGCAGGATGAATCTGAAGCCCTTGCAAAATATTCCTTCGCCGGCGTATTCGACCACGGCTGCTTCTACGCGGCTAACGCGTTCTTTGACCCCAACACCTCGCTGAATACTGTATTCGGTTGGATCACCGAGGAGGATCTGCCTGACCATCTGCGACATGTCCAAGGGTGGAGTGGGATGTTATCTACACCGCGTGTGGTACGCATGATGACGCTCGGTAATGTTATCAGGGCTCGTCACTCAGATCTTAAAGCAATAACTTCCATTGAGGCGGAATTGAACACAAAAGGCTCTTACACTGTTCGGACCTTAGGTGTACAGCCGGATCAGCGTCTCATGAAATTGCGTAACAAGGCACGCAATACTGAAATACGCGATCTCAAACTATACCACGACGCGACAGTGCCCCTCCAGACATCCAAATGGGAGGTCAAAGCTGAGTTCGCTGTCAACCAGCAATGCACACGTGTTGGATTTGCGGTTGCGCACAACGCTGGTAAGAATGCAATAGCTGACACGTATCCCCACCAGCATCGCTAACTATGTCTCTAGATTTCAGCAGTGAAACCATCATTTCCTGGGAAGTGCCCAGCGAAACCTTCACCGTCGAACGGCCAACCCCCTATGACTCCAAGATAAACCACGGACTCGAGGCCGCCCCACATACACTCTTCACAATTTCAGATGAACATAGCAATGAGATGGAAGAGCCACTCCGTATCCATGCGATCTTCGACATGAGCGTGTTGGAAGTCTTTGTCAATGAGCGAACGGCCATTAGTACCAGAGTATACACTCCAGTTAATCGCTGCTTTGGGGTGAGATTCCTTGCCCAGGCAGATCAAGCATCTGACAGCTCGTTTAATGATGATCCTGCTGCGGTCCTGTTACATGCCAATGTGTGGGATGGCCTTGGAGCATAGCAAGTTTCCCTCGGGTTTCATATTGTCAATAAAAGTCAGTGCGTGGGTTCTTCTAGAGTCTGGACACTGCTTTTGGTCTAACTTATAAACTATGATAGATATGTAATGGCCGGACTGTTCTGTGCTGCTTGGTTGGTAAATCTTATGCGGAATAAGCCGCTATTTAATGAATGTCCAATCGAAATACACTATCACTGTATCACCTATGAATAAATATCGGCCTCTCCATACAATATACTTCTCTAGGATTAGTTTCAAAAGCATTGCTCTTTTCCATGTAACCCTAAGATTTCCTATTCTAAGGTTTCCTTGCATGCTCCATTCTGATTCTCCTATATCATCCTATATCATTCATTGTAATATGTCAGAGCCTATGGGAGCCTAAGGCAGCAACCACGTGACCTGACCACAACACCAAGGAATCTCTGTATGATAGATTTAGACCTTAAGACAATCAATCCCATTTACACGTGAGCTACACCAGCTCCATCAATATATGCTTGGCGCGTAGTTATCCACTCATAGGTTCTCATCATAGTTTCAACGCCATATACACATTACCCTTGGAAGACTTGCGACATATATGTCTTTTTGTATGTGTTGTGATCTCAGGGGAAAGATGGGCAGGATGAGGATGTATCAGCTACACGTACGTAGCCTACTGAGGACCGGATGCCATTCCGATAGGTGCTCAATTCTATGGACGACTGTATCAACTATCTTGAGCGCTTCTTCCCTTCTACTAATGGGTAAAGCCTTCAGGGGCACAAGAGTTGGTGATCCGGCCAAGCCGCTAGGTGATCACGTGTCTCGTATAGATTCATATCAGTATGAACTTCAAGTACTGGATGTACACACATCTCAACTTCAAGCCGTGAAAGCCAACGTGGTCCAGTTGAGAGATTACTCGACGCAAGTTCTGTCTTCCTTAAATCCGGCGAGCTGGATGTATGCTCAGGTAGCCATACCATTGCTCTATCAAAGGCTCACCATCCCTTTTCGGGATAAAGCTTATTTTAAAAGCGTTGTGTCAAATATAACCGAGATTGGTCTTGGGCGGAATTATCTCAAATAGGGTCGCCGGCTTGAACTAGTGTGTGTGGTGACACCGTGGCATCCTAGCCAGAAAGCAGAGACTCTACGGACGAGCAGATATTTTACCCTAAGTCTTCAGCATTTGGAGCCCAAACTCGCTGTGGCTCTTTTCTGCAACAGCACCTACCATCGGTCCATGTCCCAGGACTCAGACCTCCAACTTACCGCCCAGAATATTATGAGGAGAATAGCTAGGCACCACAAGTTTGCTTGCTTGCTAGGCCCCAGCATCTAGTAAAACTAGATTATTCAATTCCGAATATGTTTCCTTCAAGTCTTCATCGAGCCATCCAGAGAAACCATCCAAATTGCCGGCTTAATATCTATCCCTTTCAGTCCCTGAGTCTTGAACATACCAGGGATGGGACGAACGAACCAATCTGACCATCCCATGTATCAAGATCCATTTGAATTTGGAATCCTTCAATCACCAGGGCTACATACCCTTGCTTTCGAATATACTTTTGAGGTTATGGGAAATCTCATAGAATCACTAGTCAAACTAGACGAAATCTTCCCACTCTCGGTTCTGACCATGAGTCCCACTCTTAACCACCTCATCGTTCAGCTAAATAGTGTATTTAGCTCGAGCCGTAATATTTCAAACTTGAAAAGAGAATGGCGGAGGTTTGTTGCCGCTTTGGAGCCTCACCCGAGTCAGGTAACCCACATCGAGTCTCTATCCTTTCCAGCTCTTAGCAGCGATCCTGTCGAGTATATTTTGCTGAAATTCAGCGAAGTGCTCGATTTTTCTCACATTCGTTGCTTGGACATACATATGTATTCGAATCCGAATACTTTAGCAGAGGTCGCCTTGTTGCTGACCAGTCTGAATCAGCTATCTATAACAGACGATCCACAGTGGAGGTTTTATCCTGATCCAACTGCGGACAACCATGAGATGATTTGGGCGATCCAGGTCTTTTAGCTCATTAAAGCGCCTCTGTCTCCGGGCAGAGTGATATTATATTACGGCATGGTCCGACATTGGAAGGTTTTATCATCGAGCCATCAGAGTATAGTCGTCTCACCCCAGACACAGCAGATGATGGGTACAAATTTCCCCCCCTTTGACTGCGAGGAAATCGCTCGGCTAGCCTCGAATTGTCCAAATTTACAGGAGCTATACCTTCTAATCGAACGCTATGGGGGTAGTCCTGCGGAATGGAGGTTATACAAGGTTTTGGGAAACTTCACCCAGCTTAACACACTTATATTGTTTCTTCACTGCGGCCCGCGACAAGGCCCTATCGATCAATATAGCGACTTGCCTAATCTTCGTCGATCTTCACTAGCGCTACGACAGACAAGGAGCTTGCCCGTAAGATTTGGAGGTTGATGTTTTCCCATCGGACAACCCGACGATTAAGAAATTTGCGTTGCGTACCCTTTGGATCTGTATAGTTCCCGCCCAGGGTGAAATACGTTATTGAAGAGCCGGATCGGTCATTTCTTGCCCGAAACCCAGACTTCGACACCTAAGATCCACTAGAGATAGTAGAGGTGATGGACGAGGAGAGTTTTGGGGGGGGGCTTATCAGTAGAGCACGGATGATGGCTCGAGCGATTACACCTAAGTTCCGATGATGAGGAAGCCACAGATGAGGAGGGAAATATGGACGATGATGATATAGCTCAAGGTCGCACCTTGCGACTTCCTGGAAACATCATGAACATTATTGAAGATTTATGGCCTTCAGAAAAAGGAGTCATAAGCTGGACGGCAAGGTGGAAGAGCTTTCCTTTAAAACGGGGGATGCTCGGGGAATTATTGACATCGCAGTCTCCGGCAATAGCTGTTCATAGCTCCTCCCGTATATGAGAGCAATGCTCTACGTGCTTTACGATATCATTATAGGTTGAGGTACAGAGGTTGGAACCCTTAAAGTATTGACCTGTTTAACGCCCATGTCTCACCTACGTCAAAGAAGAAATACGGGGTCTCCAGTATATGCAATCAATGCTCTGGGCTAGTCACATTCTTCGCTTTCTCCTGAAGCATCCTCTCCTGCTTCTCAATGAGCCCCTTAACCGTCTCCCTCTTATTCATTCTCTCCAACCACGCCGACATATGCGGGAATTCACCTTGATCATACCCTTCATCCGACAACATAGCCTTCGCTGCATTCTGCCACGGCACGAAAGCAAAATCCACATACGAAAGCTTACCCCCGACAAGCCACTCTCTACTCTCCAACCACCGGTCCAGTACCTTCGACACACGCCGTATCTCATTCACATACCGCTCGACCGCACTCGACACGCGCTCTTGGTGGTATCGTTGAAACCAAACCGCTTGGCCGTAGTACGGCCCTTGTCCAGATGCTTGGAAGTGCAACCATTGACGTGCTTGGTGCGCCTCTGCACTGCCGGGGACAAAGCTTAGCTTGTGATCTCGGTCGTATGTTTCTACCAGATATTCGATGATCGCGCCGGATTCCCAGAGGGTGAGACCTGTGTTAGGGTCGTGGATGGCTGGGAGGCGTCCGTTGGGGTTGATGGACTCGTACGCTGGTTTCTTGAGTTCGCTGAATTCGATCAGGATAGGTTCGGTGGGGATATTGAGCTCTGATAGTATGATTGAGATTTTGAAAGGGTTTGGGCCAAATGATCCACCGTACACTTTGATTGGCTTTAGATCTGAGGTCATTTTTATAATGGTTGAATTTCAAGGGACTATGAGATATCAAATGGTGGTGGTGGTTGCGGGTTATATGAACGAAGGGGTGCGCAAGGGGTGAGACGCATAGTTTCCAATAGTCGCCTGACCCAATAGTCGCCTGACGAGGGTTGAATCAGGATACACGGTGAAGCAGTTATTATATGTACTCTACTCGGCTTGATATTTAACACCGAGGCCGAAGTGGATTATTGACATATAGATTATCAATCCTTTGCCATCAGCACATTTATGATACGGTGTACCCGGGCCTTTGCTACATGGGTTCCACCTACACATCTTCTTCCGTTTCAAGGCGCGGCTTGGGATTAACGCATCCTGGACATGTGAGGTCCACAGTTAGGCAGTTTGAAACTCGAATCCTTCCCAAAATTCCCTAGGTCATGTCGTGTACGCAATCAACCCTCGTCGGTATCTGCAGCAATGGGCTATCGTAATGTCAGTTCTGTAGTGGCGTCTCTGCCTACCCCAGCAAAACACGGTTTGCATTTGGGCAAGAGAACTTTGGACAATGTATACAGGTATATGCACCGTAATCTACCAACGTCGAATACAGGGGACGGGGGGGGGGGTGATTGTATGAGAAGCAGCATCGTATTGGGACAACATTCAGGTATATTTATATAAATAAGACGTACAATCACCAATTCTCACAATAAGGTCGGAGGTCAAGCTCATGAGTAAAAGCAGATCTTGGCTGAGTGTGTAAGAACCAGTACGCTTCCGCTATCTGAAGGCAGCATAAGTACGATTATATGTAGCAGAAGGGCACGCGACAAGAGTAACTCACCGAGTCTGGGTCAATCTTAGAGTCGGGACGGTCCTTGTTGTATTCTTTCGTTTTTTCGGTAGCGATGATACCGTCGATGATGGCATGGGCAACATGTACACCCTGAGGTCCAAACTCCCGCGCAAGTGATTGGGACAGAGCTCGAACAGCGAACTTACCCATGGCGAATGAACCAAGTCCAGGTCCTCCTTTCATCGCAGCCGTTGCACCTGTTCAGCAGTATTGTCAGCCCTTCTCTTCAAAATATCACCCAACATGATCGGCCACCACGCTGGGAATCTCATCCCTGCGCAACAACCATTTACTTACCGGTAAATATCAACGTAGGAGGATATTGCTGTTCAGAATCTTTCGCCTCTCGCACCATGGAAGGGATCACCGCCTTGGAAAAGTTCGAGGCACCTCGAGCGGTCGCCTCTAGACTATCCAGAAACTCGGCATTAGAGTCCAGGAATGGCTTCCGAGTAAACTTGCTGGCCACATTGAAAATGGCTGCTGCCACGCTTACATCTCTCCCGAAGTGCGTTTTGATTTGGGCCATAGTTGAATCTATGGCGTCGGCATTCGTAACATCCGCAGATATCGCTAAAGCGGAGCCACCATTCTGGTGAATGCTCTGGGCCAGTGGAACGAGGTTCGCTTGAGTGCGTGCCAGTAGAACAACGGGATAAGCCTTGGCAAATCGACGGGCGATGGCCGCCCCTGTGCCTGGCCCTGCTCCGGCGACAATAGCGATGGGCTTTGATAACGAGGATGCCATCTTGGGGACGACTGCGTCAGGACCAGATATTCACCACTTCAACGGCAAAAGTAACTACTGAGAGAGATGGGCAGACACAATATATAAAAAAAGTGGCTGGTATATTCAGACCTGCGCCGCAAAAGAAGAGTTCTCGGTATCGAGGCGTCATAAATGACGTACCCACCTATCCAGACACAGGACTGTCACTCCTTGCCCCTTCTACGCTACTTACAGATATAAATGACTTTGTAAATGAGTCGGCGACAACCTTTTACTTGCTTATTCAAGGATTTCGGACTGCGAAAGCCTCTCAGGCCGAAGACGGCGATCAGGGGGGGAATGCTTTGTAAGTCAAGGCCCTCGGCATTAATCTCAAGGCCGAGAGGACAGGGTACCCACATGCCGACCCAGAAGGCCGAATTTATCGGAATGCTCGACCATGGCTCGGCAGTCCAATCTTACTAGGGACTTCAGCTTACTTTATATATAACTCTTGTCTAAAGCGGCCCCTTCTCCAAGCAATACAACTTCAGTAACCTAATAAAGTATGATCTTTGCCAGAGATGGCATGAATTGCTTGTCGATCAGTCACGTGCCCTGCATTAGGGATTCTAATGCAATATAACCCCTATTCTGGATCTGAACACGTTATCCGACGCAATGATCGCAATCATAGCAACCTTATATGGGTCATTGACTGACATTGGAACAAAGCGAAGCACTATTTGGGGAGCTTACCAATGATAAGTCCACACCAGTAGTAACGATGACATCCAGGACAGGGCGATTGCGCTACACGAACTGCTCATCAAAACCACCGTACTTTCTTGTTGTGTTTGGATGCTCTCGCGCACTTCCGCAATTCTTCTGTCATCATCCACGACATCTAAGGATCCTGGAACATGTCCATGCCATTCAGCTTCTAGTATGAGCTTTTTATCCTCTAGTGACACTGTATCAATGGCGGCTACATTAGTGACATGATACTAAAGCTCCCAAACGGGGCAAATTCAATCGTGGCGCACCAGTAGCTATATCCGCTATATCACTCCCGGGAAGTGTAATAGATCATGCACTCCTAAGTGGTATCTTCCTGTGGAGCTCAAACGAAGGTAGTCCCGAGACATCGCGAAATTCACGACAGGAGCGACCATCGTGTTTGCGACCACTTGCAGTGAGCAGCGTCGCCCCGTTCTCGTCCTGGACCTTATATGCAGTGGCAGGCTGGGCGTCGTCAAATCGCATGGTCCATGCGTGTTTCGATGTATGACCTAGACATTATATATTTTGAGAAATTTGTTTCTGATGGGCGTAAGTAGCGGGAAGGTAAACTTTTATATATCTCGAGAACGTGTAGGGGTGGGCAATAGTTTCATGTGTGGCATGTTTGTGGAGATCATCGTTATATATGAGCTGTTATCGGGCATTGATACTAAATAAACTGCGTGAATTAAATCCTCTACTATAGTTCCTTGCGGCACTAGACTAGTGGGGTAGACAGTTATACGAGGACCTAGTAATTTGGCACCTACTCTACAAGCATGGTGGAGAGCGGATATCTTACCTTGAAGCTAGAGACATACACTCCGAATGTATCGGCTTCTCCGAATTGCAAGGTACTCCACATATTCTGGGCTGGTGACCCAGAGTCAGTTACTACGCTGTGGGTTTCTCACATTACTCTTTCCCCTCCTCCTCTTTACCCTATCTTTCCCTGCGAGTTCAGTAATGATGCTTTTCTAACAGCTACTAGGGGCTCGAGATGCAAACTACATGATAAACAGGTCTTGGCTAACAGGAGCTTACAATAACTGTAAGCTGAAGGATGTCTTCGGGTCCCAGGGTAGGTTAAACAAATCGGAGAATAGCCAAGCCTATGGAAGGAAGGACAAGCCTCCCCAATTCCCCCGAGATCCCTACGAAGCGAAACTGTTCTGGAGCGGACAGTGTCATCCCCAACTAACGAGGTGTATCGACGGAAACGGTCCCGGCAGGACGAGACCTAGCTTAAAGGATGGGCAGTTTTGTATTGTCTTTGGTGCACTACTGCTACCCAAGTTAAACGGAGGAATTCAATTCAACAGCAGCAGAAATAGAAAATGAGCCAAAGCAACCCCCGTCAGGTCCTGGTCCTCGAAGGGTCAAGTAATTCAATACACAAGTACATTATCCGGAACCATTCTTGCAGTCTTAAAAGCGCCCAACTACAGCAACACGTCATCACATTATGAGAGCTATTCAAGTCCCAAAGATCTGCTCCTTAGCACCAGTTGCTCTAGCTATCAAATGATAGATAGACACTCATACGAATAGAGCCACTCAGCAAGGAGTTTGCTGATAGGACGCCATTTTCCAATCCCCTTCGTCTGTTTTCTGCCAAGTACTAATGCACAAGGCATTAAAGATAACAATTTCTTTTGCTTGTTCACGCTCCTTATTATTCAAATCTCTTTCAGCCGTGACCCTGTAGCGGACAACTCCACAAAGACCATGCCTATCGAGAAGTCGAACGTGACTATCTCGAATAACGTACGTCTTCCAGGGCGTGAACGAGTCACTGGTTAAGCTTGATTTGAGTGTGGGGCTCGATTCGCTTGTGAGCATCATGCATCCTGGAAAGAGCATTATGCTATCATCGGCAAGCATGGGGAGGAGAGCAGAGCCTGAGCTACAAAGAGCATTCTAGGCTTCTTCCTCACAGGTAAGGATCTCGGCGGCAGAGCCCATTCTTTTCCAAGGGCTGGATAGAAGCGAGCGTTAACCGTAAGTATTATGTGTCGTGGCTCTGAGAGCATTGTCGCTGGTTACATGAATCTGGTGGTTCAAACCAGAGGCGAAGTCGAGAGGCAACAGAGGCGATGGTGGGGTCACCCCTCCATTTGCCGAATAGGAGGTTCAATGTTTCAAGTTATCAGAAAGTTAGAGGGCTTTTATGAAGAATGTATATTTAAAATTAACACTGTTTTTCAAAGAGTCATTGATTCTTAGGTGCATATAAAGAAGCCATATTTTATAGGTTAGGGGTCTCATGGGAAGGTTAGATCTACAGGTCCTCGTACGCGACGATACTAATTAGTTTTCTATCTCTCTATTGATAATATAAAGTATCCCAGCGCGGGATTTACCGTGTGGATCTTACAGAAAAGGCCTGAGTTGATTGGAGTGATAATACAAAAGAAGATGTACCTACTCATCTTATTTTTGATACGAGCGATTCGAGGCTCCGCTTCCAACAATTGAAGGACAATGCGCATCCGTCCGATAAGACTAAGCAAATGATGAAGGCTCACTTCTGCCTATGTGGGTTTTGGATGTAAGTATTGCGACAAAGGAAATGAAAACCTGTTACGGGTGCTAACATAGTATATATAGTGTGGATGTGATACACCAGTACAGGGGAAAAAAGTACATTGATGCATCACCAAGGGAATGCTGAAAAAACGAGCTAAGTGTTTTCCCGGCTGACCTGGCCCACACAATCGCCAGCAATGGTAAGGATTGCTCTGACTGTCGTCGAATGAAATTGCTCAGCTGTCAATATAGTAGGGATCCAACCGACATTCTCGTTGATGGACGAACCGCCCGCTAGAGGCCCGTGTCAAAGGTTGGCGGTTCCAGTGGGCTGATCTGGCCTTACCTTGTATGGCATCGGACTTCGGTACCCTGGCGATAATTGGTTCTCAAGTCTCTGCTGCATATCCGCGCTCCTAGTAGTCGCATCCTTGTTGGTTAGAAAAGTAAATTGTGCTAATAAACCCTACCTTATAGTACTATTCCAAGACCTTGCTCCGCCTTCCCTTTGCCACCTCTCTACATAAGATTATGCGAAGCTATTGACGTAAGCTCGACTGAGGGCTACTCCTCATGTCTGAACAAGTTAATGGACAGCTGGGAGCTGTATTGGAATAGTTACGGCAGGGAAAGTAATCCCGTATAGGCTGATTCATTTCTCTTCACTCTCCTAATTTAGCTTTTGGCGACTGGACATGTGTGAGATAAGTTACATTGATAAATAACCCAAACCTAATAGCTAGTTCTCATCCAGTGAAAGATGAATAATAAGTTCGTCAAGCTGTCTGTTGAACTTGAATGCTCCTGAATATCTCTCGAAAGTCCCAGACATATACCAAGTAGATGGAGCTGAACCTCTTGTAGTAATAGGCCACAGATACTCCAAAGTTGCTGGTTGCTCAGGACCACTTTGATTTAACTTCACATAAACCTGGGTTTGTAGTTTAACCGCAAGAGTTGCAAGCTTCCCGTCATCGGTATCACGGAATCTACTATCCCGAAGCTGGGTTTCAATTGTCTCTAAGATAGACTTTCCGCACTCGCCATCTAGGGGTTTGCTTCAGGGATATATATATCATTGCGGTGTAGATCTCGGCGTAGGTAAAGTCCTTTGACTTGTTATACAGAGCCAGACATGTCTGGACCAGTGCTTCGGGGAGTGGAGTCAGCATATCCCCAACCTGTAGTGGGTGTGCGCACCACAATTGCGTCTTCTGTCTAGTCAGCGTGGACTTCTTTGTGCAACCAGGGTACCCACCGTTGAAAGACTCATGTGCATGGTAAATATGTCCCTGAATCGTATCTGCGTTGGTCTCCACAAAGCTCCCGGTTATTGTACTTAAAGGTGATGGCGGTGGTGCACCAATGACAGGAAGCTCGTCAGTCATTTTTCCCGTGCCTAGAACTAAATCATCGGTAGCTGAACAACTAAAAGAGAGATCTATCTTACCTCAGCAAGCTTAGGGATGATTAGCCTTCAAAAGTTGCAAGACAAATAGCTCACTAGAGAGGAGACCATTCCATAGAGACAATAGAAGGGAGAGATGGAATGGTTTATGTAGACTAAGGAATGCATCCACATAACCGCTCACTGATCCAAAATATGTCCATTCGTACTAACTGTCTATGGGATGACCCAAGTTCCCAGACTGCATATCAATGTACGAATTCTCCATAGTAATGGGTGACTTGGAGCTACTTTCATTCAGCCAATAGATACCGTATAGTTTCCCTTTTTCCCAAGCGCTCTAGACGCTAAAATACCTGAATTAACATATTTGGAAGGTTCGCGCCCATTTCTAACCCCGGTCAGGCCAATCACCTAAAACTTTTTTTACTTACCTTATTTTCCATTATTAATGAGAATTAGCTGGTAGGAAATCTAGCGGTCAACTTAGGGGAAGGTAGACAGGTCCTGAATCAAAAAAGCTTTCAAGCTCAGGGTCTTTTGTCCAGCCGACCTAGTGATAATGTATTTACCTGTTTTAATATAACTATGCATAGTAAAACTGTAGTTATCATTATAGGCTATCAATAGTATACTATACTCTGCTATCTAAAACTGCGGTATATTCAGAGCTGTAATATAATAAGGGCGGCTTGCAGAAAGTGATCCTTCAATCTGAAGAGTAACCTAGATCAATCATGTTATTTTCTTGATGTTGGTTGACATCGCAAAGTTCTTAATATCTGGTATCTCTATTTTTATGATTGATCAAGGACAGCCATAGATTGACGAAATGCGGAAGTCTGTCCACTGCTAACTGCCAATTTAAGGCCCTGATGTACCATCCCTAGCAGGCCGTGGAGAGCGAAAATTTGATGAATATGCGTGAAGGCTATTCGGTCCACTGGTTTTTCGATCCATAAATCAGTCGCGAGAATATGTAGGAAATCGGCAGTGCTCAGCAATGCATTAGAGAGGACGTGGGCCATATCAAGTGGAATAGGATCTTCGACTTCTGATACTTGGATAACCAAAGCTTTGATGTGGTAAAGGAAAAGCCAGATATTGATTGATTTGGCAAACACTTCACGTATGGATAAGTCGTGATTAATAGATCGGCACCTTAACTCTGCATACTTGCGGAGCTCTCTGCAGAGTGGTAATGGAAATGTATCAATCTGGATAACTTGGCTGAAGAATCTCCGTATTACTGTTATTTTATCTCTCTCCGGGAATTCAAGGCGTAAAGCCTCTTTTGCCGTACAGACAGTCACAAGAAGCTTTGTCTTCTTGTCACATCGGATATTCCCCCGGATGAGACTATGCAAAGCTTGTGCTTGAGGCGGCTCCCCTAAATAATCAAAGTTGGATAATTTCTGACCAGAGAGTACAAGCGAGAGCCCAAGTCCCAGGAGAAAGGCAAATGGGTCTGTGGAGTTGAGAAATATAGCCGGCAACTGAAGTATATTACTATCCGGTCTAGGAAAGAATTTTGACCCCATCCATGCAGAAACATTGAGATGTAGATCCGTCAAACATAGGTTCGGGGGAGTCATAGTAAGAACAAGCTTTCTGTAAATTTGTTGTTAGTAACTGAGCAAAAGAGAATAAAATGTGTAATTACTTACTCAAATGCAGAAATAATTTCTCCATGAGAGGCGATTGGCTCCATAATAGACTCGCGTGGACTACTTCGAAAAGATTTCGATTAGAGATGGGCCCGTCAGAGCACTGGCGGCCTCAGTAAGGAATATTAATCCAAATGTGAAATGGATATAAAATTTTATTGGTGCATGCACTATCTTCTAAACGTCGTACAGTGAGATTAGGGCCGTTTTATAGAATAGTACACAAGTTGGTTTGAATGACTCAGTGATAAAAAGAATACTAACTTCATTTTTAAACAAATCTTTCAATGACGTGTTCTAGAATCCCGTTAGATGATTATAATTTAGCGGTACTCATAAGCGGCTAGCAAGGCTGAACATAATTTCTTGGAATCAATAACAGGTAAACTAATTACACAGCCCTAATTTGAGTGCTTTAGTCCATCAGCCTGTCTAATCCATGACCACCTCCAGTACTTCCCCTATCTTTTTCCCCTGTTAGAAAAATCCTTAATATGTAGCCAATTAATTATTTTGCATTCCTACTATCTCTTAAGTGCAAAGCTGAAACTGGAATGCTGTCTTACCACCATCTGGTTCTCTAGACCCATATTTTCTTCTCTTGGATCCAGTGCCTCCATTTCTGCCCCTGTATTGTGCTGCTTTCTGGTTGTCTTCCATTAATTAGCATACTGTATATCCATATTAATGATAAGAGACGTACACTTCCTAATCTATTCGCTGTGTGGATGTTAGCCTTGAATAGCAAACCCCTAACGGTTCGTTGAACCTTTTCTGGTTAAGGATATATGAGAGATCAACGAAAATAAGAAAAGACCCATCCATACCAATAGGATAATTAGCAGAAAAGACGCCATGTTGAAGAGCCACTTTGCTGGGAAATGCCATGTATTATATATACCCCTACTTTAATATATCAACAATATTATATTACCTCTGTATTGATGCCCATTTTGTTGTATGATACATTCTGTAAGCAATAAAAATAGTAGCCTCATGCTATATACATTATAATCCACAATATAATGGTAAAAATTAAAGTAAAAAGATACGCATGCCGCGTTAGCCTATGGGAGCCAGGCTAGGTAAATACAGTGCACCATATGTTTGGAGAACGAGCCCTAACCTACTTAATATTCAGCTAGATGTTCCTGCTCTTGCCTATTTGGGTGGTGGGGGTGGTGCGCCTGGCTTCTTTACTCCAGTTGTATCATAAGCTCCTCTATCGATTGTCAAGGAATGTTGGGGCGTGGGTACTGTAGCCAACGTTAGTTACCAGCATCTTGCAGCAAGATGAACACATACCGCAGCTCGGTGAAAATAGAACACTATGAACTTTCGGTTCGTGGACGAAAAAATAAGGCATAGGTTTTAGTAGCAGATTCAGGAATAGAATATATCCAACACAATAACGAAACCAGCGATGAGCAATACTTTTCATATGGAGCGATTGTTGTTTGGTTTTAGGACATGCCGTGTTTGTTTTTATACTAGCTTTCCGAGCTAAGCATCAAAAGCGATTTTGGGATACTGCAATAAATATTTCATGTTAAATATCATTTCCAGAATAAGGTTCCTAAATTGCGCTAGTTCAAAAAGAACCATACCCCTCATCAGTAGTTCCCATCCTTCCGCCCCAACGCCTTGACAGCGTTTACTTCAACCAATTCAGCTTTGGGATCAGCTACCTCCAGAGGAGATCTCTATTCACCGTACTTGGGATTTCACACTCCCGAGACCCTCAGTCATCTGCGCGAGTTCAGGCATATCTTATGGCCAATATGGGTATAAATACTTTGATTGACCTGCCAGGAGATGTGATTGTCTTCTCCAGAGCTAAAACAAACACCTACTTCACAAGCTCAGTCCAAGAATCTCTTTATACAAAAGCAAACTCGAACAAATTTCCTCTCTCTTGACTATGCATTCATTTTTACTCGCAGTTCTGGGCCTCATGGCAACATCATCGCTCGCGGCTCCCGGGTTAGCCACTCAGGAGGGTATCAGTGCTTTCGACGCCATAGCCAAGTTGAAATCAGTTCCTCTAGGATATGTCCATATCGCGGACGACGGAGTGGCACGAGCTTATGACGAGAACGAATCCGTTATTGACTATGTTCCCTTGACCAATGACCAGCTTAAGCAGCTGCTCAAGAACCTTCCAGAAGCATGGAAGAAGGAAGCGGATCATTTACACGCTGTTTTCGATGGCGTCGACGGACATCAAGTTACGGATGAAAATCAATTGCTTGACCCTCCTGCTGAGCTTCGAAATCCCATGCCCCGCCAGGCACCTCAGTCTAAGCGCGAAGCCAACCCTCTCCAGCAGGCTGACTGGTACTGCGTCGGCCAACCTTGCACCTCTGGTGATGCTTGCCGGTTCATGGGCTGCCGAGGTTGTACGGATATAGATGCTGTCTTACCAGGAGGAGCAGGTGTTTGCTTTTAGTGAAAGCATACTTTCTGTTGCCCTCGCACCTTGCCATCTTCCTAGATAGGCTAGAGCTTCCCACAGTTGTTTCCTTGTCTTATTCCTTCATGAACGATAGCCTATACACGTCCTAGTACAATCCTATCTTTATTCTTCACTTATCTCTTTGCCGGAGCCTTCCTCAGATTTAGTTAAAAGCAGAGCCGTCGGATCTGTGTAAACTGTCCAAATACCTTTACAGACTTTGTACGCTGATATTCAGGTGTGAAAGGTTCGATGTATCAGATTGTCAAGATTTAAAATGGCTTATATATGCGATAAACCTTCTTGGAGGTGACACATTAGTGCCTGGGACAGATATTATTTGCTCACTGGTTAGAGAGGTACATACTCACTGCTAAGCAAGTGCACACTTCACCAAATCAGCCACCTGTAAATAGATTTGCCTGTTGCCTGTACTTTATTTTCTAGTTGACTTGCCTGCCAATAGTGCAAATACCATTTATTGTGCGCGAGCGAGGTGCGATGACTCTATTCGATATATGTAAGAATAATGGACAAATTGTATCAGAGTCCTAGGGATTTGGAAGTGATAATTCTAACAAAAAAACATAGGTTAGGATTTAGTGGTAAGATGAATAGCGGATGTCTAATGAACCTGTTAGGAAGTTATAGTATGCACATGTGATATATTTGCCTGATGAGATCATTTGTATAACTAGGAAAAACTACTTGATAGAGTAGCTTAAGGCTTTTTATATCCCTTTTCAGGGCATGTGACCACTGGTCATCATGTCAGCATTTTCTCTCTGCATTAGCTCAAGTATCAGCTTCCCCTCACCTCATCTCTTAGAGAAATCTTCACATTCTTTTAACTACACTCTCTCTATTATACAATATAATCAAGAGTTTCATTATATCGCACAAACAGATCACTTAAACCATGTCTTGTATAGTAAGAGTATTTCTGATAGCTTGTATCTGCACGATACTGACACTGTTATAGAAAGACGATAAGCCATCGCCCTTTCCATCCCTCAAACGCTCGCCATCACTCAAAGGCTTCAACCACCTTGCTACCGATGGAGTGTACCGCAGTTTTAGCTCGAGTGGCGAGGTAGTAGATTATAAGCAATTAAGCCCAGCCGAAATTACAATAATACTGGAGTTCCATGAAAAATATATGGACTCAGAGATTTTTCAGAAGACTAAGAAGAAATTTGACGGTGTGGATGGCAGAAATGTGACCGATTTGGAGCGACTGCTTTATCCAGGACCAGAAATTCGTCCAGTGAGATTTAGAGAGTAAAGACAACACAATCTTGTTGACTTCTATCTGCCTGTCTTGCCCTTGTTTCTATGTCTATGCCGACTAAGCCGGCTGCGTTATTTCAGTTAAAGACAATCCTCTCTGCTAGGAGAGAAGGATCATGGATTAAACTGGTAGTTCTGTTCTGTGTTCTGGGTGAATACAAAAAAGAGAAATAAATGTTAGTTAATATCTATACTGCGGCGCTACCACCCCCCACTGTTAATAGATCAGGCAGACAGCATATATAGGAAGGCCAAAGAATCTTTAATTTTCAGTTTTATCTCCAAAGCCTTTATCTATCACTCTTGAATATCATTTAAAAGTAAATTGTTTTCATTCAGAAAATCTTTTCAAGATGCTTTTCCGTACCACCCTACTTTCTGCTATAGCGCTCCTTGCTGCCAACCAGGTTATTGGAGCTGCTGTAGAGGTTCCACCCGGTGTAGACGCTGTTCAAATTGCTACCTCTCCATGTTGGTTCTCTCTGATTATGCAGTTAGAAGATGTAATGTTAATATCTCATGCAGACTATGCTTGCAACTGTCCCAACAACTGCAAGCACAAGCAGGGCACAAATTGCAGGTTCTATAGCGGTCCTAGTGATGCATCACAGGCTATCTCTGGCAGTAAGTATCTCATCACTACAATTTTCACTTATAATAGAAGTTACTAACTAACTATGATTACAGAATGCGAGTATCAGGGCAATCAGTTAAATTGCATTGCTAAGTAGATTGCATCTGCCGCGAGGAGACAGTGTGGATGAAAGAGCTAGTTGATTAAGTGTTTGCAGTAGTGCTTCAGTATCCCAACTATTATCACTCATTGAAAGATTTTGGGCTTTTTAAGCAGTATTTGAATATCAGTAATTGTTCCATGAGCATTTAAACACTTTGCATACCTACCTACCAGGTGTGATAATCATATAGATATTGGAAAGATGTATCATTCCTAATGTGGCAATCCAAAAAAACATCAAATGTAGAGAAGAAAGAAAGAATCCTATCATACAGGAACTGTGGGATCTTTTGTGTTGTAGGGTCAGACCACTTGAAGAAGAGAATATTCCACGAGCGGAGCTCTGTGGGATATTGTCTGGCCGTCTCTTACCTAGGTCAGTTGCCTCAACGCAAATTCCCATCTAAGAACCTGTAGTCTTTCCACCTCAGTACGATCCGAAATTCGGCGTTTTGCATCATATACAGTTAGTGGCCCATTATTTCGGACCCCTTCTCTGTGATCTTGAGGCTTTCGGTGTCGAAGATGTTGTAGATCATCTTTAAGCTGAGCGGCTAGTTCAGTGGCTTCTAGCGAACTCTGGAATATACGGCCAAGGCGTCGTACAAAGCTTTGATCAAGCTCTGGGCTATTATCAATAAAGCTCTATGCTTTCCTAATACTTCGACGAAGTCCTCGTATTGTAGATGGCGGCGATGAGCTTGATGGTGGTGGTGATGGTGTTGTAATTATCTCAAGTCCTGGAACAGTATCTAAAACCTCACGTAGAGGCTTCATTATCTTCTCTGAATTCAAGGGATATAGGCCTCGCTTCTCAAAGGTATCCCGGATTGTACATTGATTAAAAGTCATTGTACCAATAGAATGAACCTCTTTTAAGAAATCACTCTTATCATCCATCTCAGCACCTCTTTGAGCAAGTTCATTATTTCTCTTGCGATAAAAGTGCTTATAGACCTGAAAAGGTTGTCCATCAAGAGGTTGTACAAGATGTGTAGTATGAGGAGGAAAACAATAAGGTATGATATAGTGAAGGTGTAGCTCATGTATGGGTAAGGGGGGTATCATATACTACTGTTAGGGTTTCCACAACCCTACGATTTTTATCATGACTTATCATTTTATCAGGCAGTCGGCCCTAATTCCTAGGTTTGACCTTCTTTACAGGATCACCTATCCTCTCCTACGTAATGATACTCTCTTAAGTAGCTGTAATAAATGTGGAACGGATCAATCGATTGCGTCTATAGGTCTCAAGATGGGTCGAGAACGATTACATGTACTTCTGTTCTGATTTGACCGGTTGGGTCATGTATGGCCCATTTCTACCAAGCCTTCGCTGTCTGAATCATGTAGATGATGCCAGCTCAGGCCAGCTGTATATCAACTATTGGCAAATATAATCCCATATAGGTAGGATTAATTTCGTTGGATGAAGCCGTCGGAAGCTTCATCCGCCTTTGGAATTTGACTTTGCGTTCAGTTGGGACTCGGCGGATCACGGCTAATCACCCACGATATCCGATAAACCCAACAATTCGGAAGTCATCAAGTAAAGACAGCATCTAGAGCTTCGTCCGAGTGACAAATCAAGTCCGGCTCCTCCTGGTAGTTCTGGGGACGTAGAAAGCCAAGAATGGGGTTCATGTTGGGTTAGAGTTAAAGTGGCGAGAGTTCCGGCCCTCTTCGGGAGTCAAAAAAATATAGGATAGTTGACGTCACTTGGGATGAAGCCCAATTTTTGGGGCTTTCCCTCCCCTTCTTAACTCAGGCAAGCTTCTGTCCAGAGTACCTCTCTTCCCCATCTCACTTTCATATTTTACCATGAGGAAGTCACTCACCCAGACGGAGGCCATCCTCCTTCAGAGGAGAGCTTCCGCTATAGTCATTCCTCCCGAGTCAGCCGCAGATGACCTACCGGAAGAGCCAAAGTATCCTCAAGAAAAATGGATCTATTCCAAGGCGTTTAGCGCTGGAGTATCATTCTTTGTGGCAGGAGTCAACGATGGAAGCCTGGGATCTCTCACCCCATACATAATACGCTCTTACAATGTAGACACGAACATGGTGGCTATCCTGTGAGCTAACACGCAAGAGCCAAGATTTGGAAGTGAATTAATTGTATGCTAATTTCTACCAGATACGGCAGTACCTTTCTCGGCTGGCTCTTTGCCGCCCTTTCCAACAGCACAATAACTCAATACCTAAACTTGGGACCCATCCTGTGCCTGGGCGCAGGTTTCCAAGTCATAGCACACGTCTTACGAGTCTGGACGCCTCCATTTCCATTGTACGTCATAACCTTCTTCCTCGCCAGCCTCGGGCAGGCCTACAACGACGCTCATGCCAACACGTATATTTCATCATTGCGTGCTGGCCACCGCTGGCTGGGCTTTATCCATGCTATGTACATGGCTGGGTGTCTTGTCGGTCCGTTCATAGCCACTGCGGTTGGATCGGCGAACTCGCAATGGTGTCTCTTTTACCTTTTTCCGCTTGGCATTGGGTTGATCAATCTCGCGCTCGTTGCCGTTTCATTCCGAGATTATATGGGTCCTACGCCAAAGAAGCAGCTTATGGCCGAGTCGTCTATGTCGGCGCTGAAGGAGATAGGGTATACCCTTTCTAAACCCGGCGTCTGGTTGCTTAGTCTCTTTTTCTTTTTCTTCCTGGGGGCTACTATTACTAGCGGCGGTACGTTACATGCGCTCTTTGTGGATGGCCAATCCGGGATTTGCCTTCTGATTCTGGCTTTCTACATAATAAATCATGGCCGGTGCTAACTACGCAGGCTGGATGGTTGAATACCTTGTCCAGGTCCGAAAAGGGGATGTCACAGAGATGGGCTACATCCCTTCAGGCTTTTATGGTGGTGCTTTTCTTGGACGCCTTCTTCTCCCCGAACCAACACATCGACTGGGTGAACGTAAAATGGTCTTCATCTACGCTGTGCTGTGTGTTGGATTGCAACTGGTGTTCTGGCTGTAAGTGTTGCCATTACCTGTAGAGAAATAGCCTTGGAGTCCATCTGTTTTTACCTGTTTATCCTCCGTCTGTCTATGCCCCTCAGGGTAGCTTTTGTTGCTCCTCTGTGGTTAACCTATTCCAACTCTGTAGTGTTCCGAATATCATCACCGAAGCCGTGGCAATCAGTTTGCTAGGCTTCTTTTCCGGACCATTCATGGTGGCAGTGAGTTTTCAACCTTGTGTAGAGCCTCATTTTATAAGCAGATGTCATAACCGGTTCACCCACCATGTTCACAGGGCATATCGGTAGGATCAAGAATCTTCTCACCTGAAATAAAATCCTCGGCAATTGGTAAGTCCAAAACCCTCTTCCCACGTCCATCCTCGCCCGGGAACAGCATATTAATCCCAGCAGCGTTCGTTTTCACCTTCGGCCAGATCGGTGGGTCTATCTTCCCTGCCGTGACTGGTATTATCGCGGCCCAGGCCGGCGTTGAGGTGCTGCAGCCTATCCTTGTTGGGTTACTCGGTGCAGCGGGCATCAGCTGGTTGACTATACCGATGCATGGAGAGACGCATAAGGATTAGGACTGGAACTAGACTTATCTCTCTCGCTGGATGGAATATGAAACGCTAGGATGAGGAATATGTTCTACATCTGTAGACCACATCAACCATCGACGGTGAGGATGTATGTTGATGCATTTAGATATGCACATACATACATAATACGAATCCGATTACACGACCAGTTTTACCACGGAAAATCTATCTTACCCATCAGTGTTATTTTTGTTATATATCCTAACTTGAAGATAGGTGCTAGACCAACGTCTGCACTCCGGTCTCGATCCCAAGGATGCATCACTAATAGCCCGAGTTAAACGGTTACTCTATTAGTTATCCTTGCCCGCTACTCTGGTATGTATTTGGTTACTTAGTATGGTTTCTATGACAGTGTGACTAGAAGAACAATCTATGACAAAGTTTATATATTCTGGCAGCGCCTCGTTTTAGCCTTGAGGCAGTGAGCCTTCTAGGGACTGATCACTAAATAGCTGTGGGCCTAGATCTGTTACTATACCCTCTTTGTACATATATCCACATACCTCTAAATTTCGTCTCCCCTTCTTGTCTTCTTGTCCTGGTTGAGGTACAAATACGTTCAATGTAAGACACTATCATCGGCACAGTTTAGCGTGATCAAGAGGACTCCTTTAAATTCAACTTCTTCATGTGCTTTAGTGTACCTAAAGAAGAGTATTAAGTTTGGCCAACTTATGTATATACTAGGTTATATCAGTTACAAGATTGCGATCCTAAATTTTAGTGGAAACCCGGTACAAGGGAAAAAGTAGAAGAACGTATTTATCCAGGCCGCTCAGCCGCCAAACCAGATAGTCATGGCATCTCCATATTAAACCAGTCGGACACTCGTATAGGAAGTGATAATCAGTGGGGTGATGAGGGGTAGAGTAACCTGCTATAGAATACGATGGATATACTCCCCGGCTATAATAAACAATACGAAAAGCCATTACCCTGGAACATTGTTGAATATATATATATATATCTGCAAATATCTAGCCTTTTCGCTTCGGTTCGCTGTAGAGTAACCTCATTCGACAGTCAATAGCACGTTCATAATGTCTCCTCGGGTCTTCATGTGGGCAAACTAATTCTTTGGAATATCCAGCCGAGCTGACAAAACAAGGACTGGCGCCACAGGCTATGTGGGCGGTGATTTCCTCTTCCTTTCTCTCGCGTACCCATCCCGAATGGAACATTTCTGCCTTGGTACGAGACGAAGAAAAGGCAAAGCAGCTAGCAAAAGTGTACCCTTCTCTCCGCGTCGTCTTGGGAGATCTTAGCTCTTCCGATATCATCGACGAAGAAGTAAAACAAGCCGACATCGTCTACCGTATGTTCTCCTCCCGTTTCCCTCTACCCATTGATACATGTACCCGGACTAACTCCCCAGAAATCGCTAACTGCGATCACACCGGAGCAGCAGCGACCATCGCCAAAGGCGCTGCCTACCACACAGCCGAACGCCCCTGCTGGGTTATCCACACGTCCGGGACAGCCTCTTTGATTTTTGAAGACACGCGCGCACAGACGCATGGCATCGAGCGAACGAAAGAGTACAATGACTGGGATGGTGTGGACGAACAGCGCAATCTCCCGGATGATGCATACCATCGCGACGTAGAAAAGATTATTATCGCGGCAGGTCAGGTAGATCCGGCTCGTGTTAAGACTGCCATCGTGTCGCCTCCGAACGTGTATGGCCCTGGGCGGGGGGTGTTTAACCAAACGAGTATGCAGGCATACTATCTTTCCCGGAAGGTACTGAAGCGGAAGAAGGGCATTATTGTGGGGGAGGGAAAGAATGTGTGGAGTGAGGTCCATGTGCAGGATTTGAGTGATCTGTTTCTTTTGCTTGGTGAGGCGACTGCAGCAGGAGAGGGTGATGCTACTTGGGGCGATGATGGGTACTACCTCTGTGAGAATGGAGAGTCTGTCTGGGGAGAGGTAGAGCGGGCTATTGCTCGGGCTGCTTATGAGAAGGGGTATATTCCTTCTCCGGAGGTTGAGCCACTAGGGGAGGACGAGGTGGTACCCACGAACCTGGGGTATGGGCTGTACCTATGGGGATCGAATTGTAGGGTACGGTCTATTCGGGCAAAGAGGCTACTAGGGTGGAAGCCGTTCCGACCTCCTATGATGGAGCTGATTGAGGACATTGTGGAGGGGGAAGCGCAGGCACTGAAGAAGGAATAAAGCTCATAATGAATTAGCGGCGAAGTATATTCTGTTAAGAGGCAGATCCATAGAACCTAAATTTCTTATTCACAAATCCACCCAAAGTAGCCAATGACTTTGTGAGCGTTAAATATTTGACTTGTCATGGACCGACGACTTTGGGTTCAAAGGGCAGTCCTTTGTTCTCATATTTTATGCATTGGGAAACAGGCCTTATTTATTGGTCCGATTCAACCTGAATTGAAGACAAACAAGATAACCAAACTAAGCCGCAGAGGACGTAGGCACGCTCCAACAGTTGTACTGCCATTCTCTTTAATCGGATACCAAACAATGATATGGACACCACAAATATCATGCCCTTAGAACGCCAGACGATTATTGCCCGCGAAGTCCCATTTACAGAAGCTAATAGTGCTGCGTTTTCCCTTGCAGAGTGCTTCGCGAGTGACTTGGTAGTGTGCTACTACCTCTAGGAATCCGATTGCAATCGCCCACTTACATCAAGCAAGGAGAGATTGTACCTTGGTGTATACGAGTGTCTCACCGCGGCCCACTGCGACACCGGACTTGTCATTTCAGCCGGCCAGTGCCCATGACTTTGTTGGCCTCTGGCTACCACCTAGCTCCGACTGGAACTGGAAAACATATTGGAGGAGCGGCTTATAGTTGCTCTGGCTAGGGCTTGGGAGGGAAGGCAGGACACGATTCTTCGGCTCATGGGCCACACTGGAGGAGGAAATAATCAGTACAATAGGGGCGAGAGCCCCAATTACCTGGGCTTTGACGGATCTGGGCACAAGAAAGGCTTCTCGTGGTCAAAGGTATGCGACAAAAGTAATTAGATATGGGGATGCATTTGTGTGTGTATGCTCTTATCCGGTTCTCGTAGCACTGCCTTGGGGCAGATCTAGTCGCCTTTCCAGCTCGAACACCAAAATCTCAAAAACAGGAGAATCGTCAAGGCTCAGGCATACCTCATCAAGTCTATTAAGGCCGGCATTATTGAATGTGATCGTTTCTCTGTCAGCTATGAGCTGTATTCGACAAGCCCTCGTGCAAATAATCTTGCCATGGTAGTGAAAACAATACAGGTTCGTCGAGATATGCTGCTACATATTTGTGCAATGTGTTCGCAATATCAACATGTACAGGTACACTTAGGTCGTCAACAAAAGGTAGTTAGGTCTCTAGGACGTAGTTACTAGAGCTGATTATTATGGGAAGGTCTCTCTTGTGCAGCCAGGCAATCGGGAATGGGTTACTTCTATTAAATGTATTAACTCTACTGAGTAGGCACTTTCTCTATGTATTATTATGAGACCTTACCATCATTATACTATACGTAGATTAAGCAATCGAATACAGGAAACAAAGCTTTTCTAATGTTTTGTGTCACAAAATACACAGATTAGATTAGCCACTTGTGAGCTACTGACCAATGGGTGAGACGACCACTGGTGAGTGCTCGCCACAGTATGTATCCAAGTACAGTAAGAATTATTTCTAATCTATAGGTTCGCAGCGGTACTCAGAGTATTCCGACCACCACTTAGAGTCTCTATATTCACTTGGACATGGCATGGACATTGGAAGGGCAACCCGGCATCACACTAATGCTACTGGCATGATCACTTCCCCTGAATGCAGTAGACCCGGACCCAACAGTCGCCCTCTTCTCAGAGTCGTAGATCTGGATCTCCAGCCCCCAAGTATCTCCAAATCCAGGAAGTAACATTGAATATCTCTATCCATCTGCTGGTGTTCCGAGCCCGTATTGAGCAAATACGTGCTCTGCGTATCATTAAAACAATCGGTGAAATCAATGCCACCATTGGTAGAGTACTCATCCTCATAGGATTCGCGGTTTCCAAGCGTGCCATTATTGCTCTTGTATCCTAATCCAAGAGACATAACCGCATGGTCCTCTTCGAATGCTATCATGTTAAAATGCATACCCGTGTTCTAATGATTGTAAAAGTAGAACACAGGCCACATAGTACGCTCGGCGAGTTTTATCCGCGCAATCTTGGGGTGGTGATGCGGGACAAACCCATCCAGGGTGACGGGGAGCTGGAATAGCTCACACATTTGGGTTTCAGCTTCAGAGATAATTTCATCCCGCTTCCAGTTTCCGATGCCGACGCCGTTCTGGGCCATTTTGTTGTGGATGGTCTTCAGCATTGTGGCTCTGTGGGAAGCTGTGCCAATGAAAGTCGCCGCTGTTCAGATGACGCTCCAGATGCACATAGCTGCGTTGCCGGCACTATCTGTGAAGGACTTGCAGCTCGTTGCTAGGCCGTAGAACGCGAAGACTTGGCTCGTGCGTGGTGTACGTTCGTTAGTAGTTAACATACACGGATGAGTCATCCTCGTGTTGTCACCCACATCACCTCTTCTGCTCTGCTAGGACCTCTGCCGGCACAAAGATGCGTATTGTTGAATCAAGATGGCTGGAAAACGCAAAGAAAGGGACTTGGTCGCTCCGGACATCACGGAAGATGCGGCGGAGCGGAAACGAATCCTGAATGTACTTGCCCAAAGACGATACCGTAGGTTCGATGTTCCAACAAAGAGTTGCTGTTTCGAGCTGAACCATGGCAGGACAAAGAAGAAAGGATCGATTGCAAGCCCTGGAAGCGCAATTGAAAAACGTTAGTCCGCATAACAGAGAAATAACGTCACCTGAAACCGAGAAAGATGGAAGTGACCCAGGTCTCCCGACAGATGATTTATTTCGCTTCTCAGCTCCGGGTACCCTAGGTGAGAGTATTACTGTAACCTCAGGTAATGAAGGCCAAGAGATGGTGACCTCAGCGTGCACTGGGTCCTGTCCTGGTGGCACGGCTTCCGGATTCAACGATATCACTCTGGGGCCGGAGGACTTCGCGGAACCTTTCTTACCAGCCGTGCCACATTTACTCTCCTCAGAGCTATCCATGTCAGCTTCACCATGCTTCGCTACTCTTTCTCCAAGAACCTCGGGACAAGCGTCGCTAGGTTCACTTATATCCGCTAGTGGCGCTCCTTTTGAGGCCTTCCCACTACCATTATTTCTGCGGTCCGAAAAGTCAGCCCAAGGCCATAGCGACGACGATGATGTACGGCTCAGCAACAGTTTGTTCAGTAACCCAGAGGACGCGGGCATTACTTCAGATAATCTACAATCCTACCAGTCCTCCAATTTCACGTTTCCTGATGATCACCTGCTCCAAGTTCCCTCCCTTACCCTTCTTAGTGCGGCAGTTAGGGTAGCTCAGAGGCTAAACATCGGAGACAGTCTTTGGGATATTGCTGCGGTGAGCCCATTTTACAGGCCACAGGGATACAACCAATCTTCTGCTTCCTCGCCACCATTCTTACTGCCTCCTTCGTCTTCATCTACTTCGTCTACAACACATAGATCCGGCTCAAGCGAAGACAGCGACAGGGGAGAAACTATCAACATCGACCTAGAGACGTTACCTTGTCATCTACGACCCACTGCAACTCAAGTACTTATTCCGCATCACCCACTTCTAGATCTCCTTCCCTGGCCAAGTGTCCGGGACAAATTCATCCAGGCGTTTAACCTCCCTATCAGTTTGCGTCCGAAAACTGCCCAGGATCCAATGGGGCTCGTACGGTTGATGTATGATATGGAAGACGTCGGAGGAGAGGGACTCAGAGTCCACAGTAGCGATCCATTCGAGGCAGCGGGCTGGGAAATTGGACAGTTGATGTTTGAACGGTGGTGGTGGGCATTTGAGACAGAGACTGTAGAGAGGAGTAACCGCGGAAGAAACGAGAGGGGCGAGAAATGCCTAGAGCTTTCGTGAAATTAATGCAGCCGTGGATGTGTCGAAAACAGGCAGATGTTAAGCTCGTTCTCATGATCAAGCTGGTGAGGTTGAACCTTTACATGCCTGATTGTTCCATTGCGTACTATGAATTCTGACCCCCCATGAAATGGGTGGGTATGAAATTGCTAGCTAAATAGTTTCAATTTGCTGTCCTCTATTTCCATGTTATCGGGAAGAGCTCCAAAAAGACATTGTTATTTGGAAAAAAAAAAAAAAGAAAAAAAGAAAAAAGAAGATACTGTTTTCTAGACTAATCACTTCAAGCAGAGTACACTTCCATACTGAAACATGAAAATCAAACCATGTTCATTCCCCCACTTGGGCATAGAGTCTGACCAGTCAACCAACCCGCCTTTGGATCGGCCAAGAAGCTCACGATGGGAGCAATATCCTCGGGTGTCCCTACCCGGTTCCCTAGAGGCGTGCTGTCCAAGATATATTTCACCAATTCTTCCGGTACAGATCCCCGAAGCATCCCTGGCTCCACGGCTCCGGGGGCAACAGCGTTGACGGTATGACCATATGGTCCCAGCTCGCATGCCAAGGCTCTGGTGAACCCTTCCACAGCTGCTTTCGTGGCCGAGTATATGGAAAACCCCACGGAACCCCGACGAGCTGCAACAGATGTAATATTGATGATACGCCCTGGGGCACGTAGATATGGCAACACAGCCTTGGTCATAAATATCGTGCTGCGTACGTTCACATCGAACATAGAGGTGTAGTCCTCCATTTCCGTATCCGCGAGAAGCTTGCAATGTGAGTGTGCAGCGTTATTGACAAGAATATCCACCTTGTTATCGCTCAGGGGAAACGCGCGGAAAGTAGCTGAGAGGATGGTTTCGGGGGCTTCCGGCTTGTGGAGGTCGATCCGCACTTTGGTGGCATCGGAGCCGTTGTTTAAACCACGTATCCGATGTATGAGGTCATCAACGGCATTCTCACTCGTGGCAGACACATAGGTAAGCACCACCTGGAAGTGATTAATAGTCTGCTCTAAGGGTTAAGTGCGTGTGGAACGCGTACCTTTGCCTCCTGTTTGGCAAGCTCTAAAGCAATTCCAGCACCGATGCCGCGAGAAGCACCGGTCACTATAGCTATCTTGCCGGACAAGCTCATTGTAAGGGAGTAAATAGTGTGACGGGATAAGGGACACTGGCTGATTATTGATATCAAAGTTGGGAGTATATCTGTATTCCGGCCACAGTGCTGCTGTATAAGTAGTTTTCCTTTACCTCCAACTTCTCGTTATCCTATTCTTGGCATATCGTTAAGCATAACGTTATGGCCCATGTCGCGTTTCCCAGGAATAATAACATAACGTGCTGACCGCATATGGATCCTTTAGAGTGCTTTTAAAACTGACTGTGCACAGTATAACTACAGCCTCAGGTAAGAAGAGAGGGGTCGGAACAATAGGACACGACAGGCCTGGTCTCAAAAGCCGTGAGGTTTCCGCCGTATCAATCTCTCGAGAGGTCAATTTCTACCGTGTACAGAAATAGTATAGTATGCCTGCGCTAAAGTTAGTTGCAAACAAAAATACGAGGTCACTCCACGTTAGCGGCAGAGTAGACATGCGATTATACGGGAACGCATTCAAAGTGCCAAGATACTTTCTTTATCCACAGCCCTCCCATAGAAGACTTCTCTCTCATAACAATTCAACTCATTGATATATAGATTAAGCGGTCATTCCGGATCTAAATACAGGGTACGGAGAGTTTATGACGATTGCTCTACAAGAAATGCCTGGGTTCCTGAGCCTTCCACCAGAGATCATCCTTTGGGTATACTGCAGTCTCGACTCTATCGCCGATGCATACTTTCTTTCTCAGACGTGCAAGCAGGCCTACCATGTCTTCAGCCGATTACAGAGCCAGCCAAAGATATTCGAATCAATTATAGTACGCCGTTCTATCCCCGTTACTCGTATCGGGCAGCTAATAGTCACCTAGAATAATGCAATACAAGGCGCTGCCCCCACCCAATCCTGGCTGGAAGCACAGTTTGGTCCCGGATCACTTTGGCGACCAAAGGAGGCTGATCTTCCAGTGGATCTGACAGACAAAGCGGCCCGAGAATTCCTCCTTAACATCGGGTTTCCTTCAATCAAGCTCCCCCGCATGGGGTTTGAGTCTACCCATTTAAGAGAGTTTGCCCCCGGGGGGTGTAGCTTTTATGGGTATACGGGCGAAGAGCTCTATGGGATACACGATCCTGAAGACGAAGTACCTGCTTTAAGCTTTTGTTTCGGAGAAATAAATAGCCAGCTAGTCATGCTGGTGAATGAGAATGGCCGTGTATTCTTTTATAATCCAGATAGCTATGATTATTTAGGGCGTGACAGAGGTCCAGTCGCACGAAGGCTGGATAGTCTTGCCGTGCTATTGGGGATGGTGGTCGCCGTAACCAAGGATCTACGTGAAGCCCCATCAGATATCTCTCTGGAGGAATTGGAGCGCCGGGTCGAGATCCTTAAAAGGCCTCTTGATGTATTGCGGGAAAAAATGAGGCGCCATGACCTTTATGCGGATGAGGATGCCGAGTTCTGGAATGACATATTCTCGGATTTGTTGGATGATTGGGACTTGCGGGATTAGATACTTGACTATTGGTCAAAATATAACAATTACCCAGCAAGAAGGGCGTTATAATGTCATGGCGGCGTCGATCTCTTCAGCATATTTAACAGTATATCTATTCTCTTCTATGATAAATCTAGACTACCTCTATAATTAAATATAGATATTAGCTGATGACATCCTATATTGAACTCCTGCAAGCTTTATATAGGTTCCTATTGAGTGACCGAATGTAATTCTATCGGAAGCAAGGTTTATAACATTTCATTAATTGCTGATCATCTAGTGGATTGCTAGAGTACTGGAAGGAGGGAATGTCTAAGTATATACAGCGGTAAACGTGTTGTTCTTATGGTGGCGGGGCGGTACATATACGAGACTCAGAAGAATGCCCCACAGCTATACAATTTAACATGGAAGACCAGTGCGAAAGCATTGGGAAGCAAAGGATTGAGAAAAATGAGCGACACAAAAAGCGACAAAAAGGAGCCCAGGAGAATACGGACATAGCCACAACCTTGATCATGAGATGGGCTCTAGATACCACTGTTCCTCACAGACACGTAGGTCCCAAATCCCAGGCCTTCGCCACAGTAGGCCTTATCGTTGTAGGAGCTGATATGGCCCATCCTCAACCATCCATGTCCGGTACCATGATGGCCCAAGCGCACGCACTCAGTGCCACAGATCTGTCCATTTTCAAGCTTGTCCATGTACTTGTAGAAGGCTCCGGCAATGGTTTCTCTCTTCGCGATAGTATCACAGTGGTGGCCCGACTCGTAATAATCCCAGTTAATGTTGTTAAGATAGCCGCTACTATGAGCACAGCTCTTCTGAAAAAGTCGGAATTTGATTACCCGCGCGGTTGACTTGGCAATACTAAACATATCTTTGGTAGTTCGAGATACAGGCCGCCGTGTATGCTTTAACAGGGGTGTGCTGCACCTGCACCAGATTGACGTTGGTGCCTTTGCTTGTAAGCTCCTGGTCAGTGGCAGGCGCGTTCATAGTAGTGGAGGTAAAGAAGGGCAAGACCTGTGCTGATATTGCGAGACAGCACGTCGTCGTGAGCAGCGCATTCTTCGCGAATGACATAGTAATAGAGGGCGTTGTTCACGATCAAGAAAAATATGAGTATCGTAGGGGCCACAGGGCAAATGAAGTTACAGAATTCTTGAAGGGTAGCCATTGAGGAAGAATGAAGACTGCTACTGTTTTGACAACACTCCCTTTTACAGTGGATGTAGAGCATAAAAGGTCAGGGCTTTTCATTTCTTCTTTCGCTTGTCGGATAAGTATTCTTTATAAGACAGTAGAATAACACTTTAGATCGCTACCTCACGGGCCTACAAGGCTATTTAACACATGAGTCCTGCTTACTCCCCACCTGCGCGAGATTTTCCGATTCGGATGCTCGGGTTATTCTAACTCTGCGCTTGTTTCAGTACATGAGGTTGCATTTGCAGACTTGACAAGCAGTGCCCGATGTTAGTGTGGGGTCAACTTAAGTCATAGTCATAGCAATGGTGTAGTACTAACATTATGCAGGCGGTGTTGGTTAGTGTGCGGTATCCACTTTCCATACATTGAGGCTCTCTGGCGTTCCATCATCACAGCCATTGTGATATGTTGTTTGGAGGACATATGTCAAACTTGGTCGTTAGTATAAGCAGCTACGACCTATAAAGTTAAGAGGTAGATGTAGTATCTATCACCTAGGATAGGATCGAATTCAGGTTCTTTATGTAGGTTTGGGTTATCAGATGCTAAGATAAATCATGAGGTTCAAGTATCCACATCTCTTATATCCACTTTGAATGGATGTAACCCAGCTAAGGCTATTAAGGCAACGAATGGCATAATGGTCTGTCGCAAGAAGGCCTTCATGGCGTAATGATCGACAGGACTATGAAGTAATTCCTTCGAGTATGTCATGGACTTTTCTATTGAAACTGGAACACTGTAGCTGCCTGAACACTTGTGGCACTCGCTTGCATGGATCCGACGTGGTGGACTATGGATTATACGACCGAATATACCGGCCCAATGGAAAAAGGGTCGCCGTCGCTTTGCTAAATCATGAACTAGTATTTGTTAGTAATAGCAATCGTCGATAGACGATTATCTACTAAGGAGACTTCACATCAGGGGACTCATTATGGCGTTCTAACTTGTTTTTTTTGATATTAAACTTCGGCTTCCAAAATGTTTAGATTGAAAGAGTTTGATAGCTAGTTTTATTTCTGTTGTGATCTCAGGGGAAAGATGGGCAGGATGAGACTGTATCAGCTACACGTACGTAGCCTACTGAGGACCGGATGCCATTCCGATAGGTACTCAATTCTATGGACGACTATATCAACTATCTTGACTGCTTCTTCTTCTCTTCTATCAACTACTAATGGGTAAAGCCTTCAGGGGCTGAAGGAGTGGGTGATCCGGCCAAGCCGCTAGGCGATCACGTGTCTCCTATAGATTCATATCAATTTCTTTCTTTTTTATTTATAAGGAGCTCTGAATCGTCTTTGTGGCTCGGCGCAACCATGAGGCCTACCATAGCAACTAGACTAAATCAGTATAAAATCTAGAGCCAAAAGTTTTAAACAGAAGATCTATAACCCTACTCAGAGAGATGAAGTGCGTAGAGACTTGATCCTATTCAGTCAAATGCGCTATGATATTTCATTAACTACAAACTGCAGAATTCTGTTACCTCTGAATTTAGCATGATAAACTTAGATTTCAGAAATACTCCTCTCTCATTCGATTTTGTTCTGGTCTATATAAGGTAAAACAATTCACAAGATTAATCTTACTTACTCTTATAAAGAGGCGCCCGTACTCTTAGCAAACGACTCAAACAAAACCTGCAAGCGCTGGCCCTCACTATCCGCAACGTCCGAGAAACTGGCCGCAGCGCCGAAAGGGTGATACGGGAACGGACTAGATGTCAGAACAAGTCAGCACATATGCATTTGAGGCCCGGTTTCCAGCGGCAAGAGAATTACATACCCATATTCTGGAACAAAAGTCACCGGAGACGACCGCTTGCTGGCAATGGACCCGATGATCTGTTTCCAGGAGTCTTCGAAGAATTTTCGTTCCACGGTGAACATGGGATGGGTTGGGTCCGGACATTGTGACGATTGCGTTGTTCCGATTCTTGCGTGGATGTGGGTTACCTAAATGATATGTGGTGTGAGAAGGTGGAAATTTATACTGTTGGGTCGGAACTTACTCGGGGAATGATCGTGCGCAGAAGTTCCTTGTCCTCCTCACCCTGGTCAAGAAGCCGTTCACAGACGACGACGAAGTGGGAAAAGTCGGCTGTGACTTGCAGACTTAGGGTATGTTAGTTGAGCTCTAGGATATATCTGATAAATATTTCCGGCCTGCCATACGTCGGGATCCTTTTCAGGACTTGTGCAGTATTGTAGGGGTTAAAAAATGCCCGGTTTCTGTGAGTTTCGTGGCTCACGAGGCCTGTAAGGCCTAGTTCGGCATCGATGGCAAGTGTGCCCTCGAAGAATTCGACAGCTTGCTCGACTGTCCACCCGTCACTGTTCTTGGAGTCAGCTTCGTCTCCTATCACCGGGGGGGTTGTGGAGAGGGGTGTAGACCATACTCGCCGGAATGTGCATTGATCTTGAACGGCCGGAGAGATTTGGCGATCTTGAGCTGGGTTCGATAACTCTCCAGATGGTCTTTTGGGGTCAGGCCCACCGGTTTAGGTCCTACATAGCATGGCCACTTGGAGTGGACCCTTGGGGCATGGTGTCAGTGTTGTTCTTAAAGGGCATTCTCCTAGCCACAGCACTCACATGACAATGATTTCGAGGCCAGCTTCGTCGGCAATGCGACGGATGGGGGATATGCTGGGCAGAGGAGCTATGTCAACTTCAATTCCTACTGCAATCGGACCCAATGCTTGTTAGTACGGTCGTCGTTGCCAGAGGACATGTCGACTTTCTTACCGTAGCCTTGGGCTTTCAAGGTCGGGAACCACTTCTGCCATTTCTCATAGTTATCGCCGGTCTCAACGCCCCACGTCGATCGGAATCGCAGGATCTGTGGCATTGTGATTATTCGCTGAGGAGCAGCAGGTCTATCAAGTGTCTAGATTTGCCAAATATTAGCAATTGATCTTGTGTTTAAAGCGACACATCATTTCAGGCGGGGAATAGGGCTGGGGAGGGGATCTATTTTTATTCCTATCGTTCCCTTAAGCAAATAAAGTCAGTGAGGGGAGACAGAAGCATCGAAAGAGTAAAGAACCACGCGGCGGGTCTACTGACGAAGATCGCGAGAAAACTGGGGAAATCTTTCCCCATCAGGGCTGCCTCTGGCCACGGGGAAAACTCCCCAAAACGGGGCAGCGGAGCCCCCACATCGCTTGTTCGGGAGATTATCTCCTAAAGCCTTGGTCAAAGCACTTGGATTGATCGACTACAATATAAATAGTATCATATTAATTGTGAATATCATTGCGGGGCTCAATGGTGATAGGAATGCGGGGTGTTCTAGGAAGTATAAGAGGCCTCTTTCTCCCTCACGCGACAACATCGGCAGGCTTTTGCAACTGATTCATCCCCTTTATTCAATCGCAATGGCCCCAAACACTATGAAGGCGGTAAATTATGTCGGGCCGCATCAGGTCCGCGTCCAAGAGGTCGAGATGCCCAAGCTGGAGCATCCGGACGACATCATTGTCAAGGTCACCACGGCTGCCATTTGCGGCTCGGACCTTCAGTAAGTAGAGTGATGCGAGAGAATACGCGAAAGACTTACGATGCCGCAGCATGTATGAAGGGAGAACCGCTGCAGAGCCGGGGATTACATTTGGTATGAGAAAGATACAAATTAGCAAGGACGATTTTACTGATCCGTCATACAAGGCCACGAAAACATGGGAATAGTCGAGGAACTGGGCGAAGGGGTAACACTATTGAAGAAGGGAGATCGCGTAGTTATGCCATTCAATGTTGCCGATGGCCGATGCCGCAACTGTGATGAAGGCAAAACCGCCTTCTGTACCGGCGTGAATCCCGGCTTTGCAGGTGGTGCATATGGTAAGGCATTTTGGAGGATTGTACTTTGTTGAGTTGTAGTTGCCAACGTCCGAGCAGGCTATGTGGCGATGGGCCCTTATCGTGGAGGTGTGTGCTTCCAAGCCCCAGAGGATAACACGGTTGATCTGAAAGGGATATGAAGGCCAGGCTCAGTACATCCGTGTTCCTTATGCGGACTTTAATGCTCTACAGTTACCCCCGGGCACGGAACATGAAGCCGACTTTGTTCTTTTGGCAGGTGAGTCACCAGCGTTTTTTGCTGAGTCGTCCTTTACATTGACTTGTGCGGTACAGATATCTTCCCAACAGGTATGTATTAACATGCCCGATTCCATCCAAATCCTACTTTAGTAATAACAATCATCGATAAGGTTGGCATGGTGTTGAAATTTCCGGCTTCAAGTCCGGAGAAAGCGTTGCGGTCTTCGGTGCCGGTCCTGTCGGTCTCATGGCAGCATATTCAGCTCAACTACGCGGAGCCTCGCGCGTGTTCGTGGTAGATCGTGTCCCGGAGCGGCTAGCTGTTGCAGAGAAAATCGGCTGTATCTCCATTGATTTCACCAAGGGCGATGCCGTGGGCCAAATTATTCGCCTCAATGGCGGAGAGGTCGACCGCTCCGTGGATGCTGTTGGTTATCAAGCTGTAGACACAAGCGGGTCAAAGGAAAAGCCCAACATTGTCCTCGAGAACATGATCCGGGTTACCAGAGCCTGTGGAGGCATGGGAGTCCCTGGCCTCTACGTCCCAAGGTTGGTCCTCCAATCGGAGTCCAAAGGTGCCCATGTGGCTAATCTTCCCTCTTCATAAGTGATCCCGGGGCTTCCGATGAGGTCGCTGCGAAGGGCGCGATTAGTCTCAGTTTTGGAAAGCTATTCGAGAAGGAAAGCAGTTTGGTCCTAAATTTTGCTGATTCAAATCTCTAACTTGCTACAGGGTCTCTCTCTTGCTACCGGTCAATGCAATGTAAAGGCATACAATCGGTACCTACGAGATCTGATCATTGCTGGTAAGGCAAAGCCTAGTTTTGTAGTCTCGCATGAGATTAGCCTCGATCATGCGGAAGTCGCGTACCAGAAGTTTGACAAGAAGGAGGATGGCTATACAAAGGTGCTTATCCATCCAAACGGGGGATTTGAATCCACACCAATAGGGCAGATTAGTTAAAAGCATATCGGCTTGTGTTCATGGAATTTACTGCTTGGTGGAGGGCCTGAGTTTGCTGAGATCACTGGCAGGTTCCGTCAAAGTTATGATTTATTTTCTAGGTATTCTCAGGCGCTATTCGAGATACCGTCGATATGCAATCTAAAGGAATTCATTTGTCCCCCTTTTTCCCCTTTTTGACCGTATAGTGGATCAGATTCGTATAAACTTGGCGGAGAAGTCGGTGGTTGACATGCAATCTTTCCCCCTTGATCACATCATCGTAAATAAATCGGAGACATACAAAATTGTCTTTACCATCTATATACCGACTTTTTCGATAGATTTAGATAGACCACAATACTATCAATATGGGCTCAATTGAAGCAGCCCTGGCAGAAATAGAATCCTTAGAAGCAGGAGGAAAGATCAATCACACCAAAATATCGGGAAAGCATGGCATTAGCCGGGCGACATTGTCAAAGCATCAGAACGATGTACAAGGCTCTTGTTAAAACCAGTATGAAAAGCAATGAATTCTCAACAACCAGCAGCCAAAAGAGCTGATTAAATGAATCAATAACCTTACTGTGTGTATCCTACTACCATTTCAAGCAATATTACGAAATTTCGCAAAATTACTAGAAATAAGTCTGGAAAATGCTGGCCGAACCGCTTTCTCACGAAATATCATGATAAGCTTGTTTATTCCTATACAGCTGTAATTGGCGTTTCGCGCAAAAGGGCTGTTTCTGCCTACAAGTATGCACTATATGTTAAGCTAATGGCCAAAAGATTGAGGAGTACAAGATTAAATCTAGAGATATGTATAATATAGATGAGAAGGATTTCCATGTTGGAGTACTATTCAAAGGCAAAAGAATCTCTTCATGACGTTGGTATAAGAAATGGGTATGCCAACAATGAATTCAGGATATAAAAAGAGAATGAATTACTACAGTTGCTTGTATTTATATAGATTGGACAGCTCTTCCACCTGGTTTAATTTATCAGGCTGTTTCTCAAAATATACAAGACACGTAGCTTCAGGATTTTAACCCTGATAACTATTACTGGCTTTTTATATCTTCTCCTAGTGGTTGTACCAACGATAAGCTAGGATATACGTGGCTTACAACTTTATTCAATCCATACTATCCATACGCAAAAGAGAAAGCGTGAAGGTGTTGGCGATTTTTTAACTCTTAATAGCTATAGCTCCCACATCAGTAAAACGTTTGTTAACTTATATAATACTAAAAGGAACGTTTTCGCTATTTATCCACTTGATTTAGCGCAAAGTTTGCAGCCTCTTGATGTCAGTGTTTTCGCCTCTCTTTCTCGAGCATACAGCAATCAATTAGAGCAATTTATATATGAATATTGAGGACTAAGTTATATTACAAAGCGAGATTTCTTTTGGCTGTTTTGGCCAAGCTAGAATAAGACTTTTTCAAGCGAAAATATTAATAGTGTATAGGAACCTGTCAGTTTAAACCCTTGGAACCTAGAAGTTGTTTTAGCGCGCTTTACCAGGAAACAAGATAAAAGACCCTCTTCTAGTGAATCTACGCAATTTATCTTGAAGACAGAAGACTGGCATCGCATTGGAAAGTTTCTGGAGCAGGTTGCTTCTAATATTTATGATAGCAAAGTGCGGAAACTGCATGATACAATAATGCATCTTTTTACGGAGAATATCTTTGCCAAAACACACTGCAAAGGTCTAGAAAATGCTCTACAAAATAAGCAGAAGAGGCGACAACGTGAAAAGCCTTTATAGCTTTTACTTCAAGCACCACAAGATGGTAATACCATCTTGTACAGCCCTAAGAAGATTCAACAAGCGCGGGGCCTTCAAGCAGAGGAGAAGGCTACAAAACAAGCTACTATACAGCTTCAAAATAATATCAGAAATGCTAATAAAGAGAAAAAGAATGCTGCAGCGCCTAACGCAGCAAATAAATGATATGAAACTATATGAGAGCAAGTGATCCCCAGCGCCTTGGCCGACCACCGACTCAACCCCTGAAGGCTTGACCCTAGATAGTGAGAAGTAGAGATAGCTATGGAGATAGAGTCGTCCATAGAATCGAGTATCTACTGAAATGGCATCCGGTCCTCAGTAGGCTGCATGAGTGTAGCTGATATAGCTTTATTCTGCCTTCCTTCTCCTGCGATCACAACAATAAAAAAGAAGATATTAAAAGAAAAATATGGAACAAGTGGAAGAGGCACCCACTGCTGTAAACAGTCGTAGGAGGCAAATACGGCTTCCCCAGCGGTTTCGCAACCCGAAAAATTAGCTAGATAGCGCTTTCATATATTGTATTTTATTCCATCCAAAAATTCGGCCTTTTTATCCTTTCGTTGTGGCAGCATGGTGTGTGGCTTTATTTTTCATACTCTAGTCGACCTTGAAAAACGTTCGTCAGATGAGACCGTTCGTCAAGTAATCGGGGACGGTATAGTGGCTAATATTAGACTAGGGGGTCTAAATTCAATCGCTGAATGTCACCTTCTCCTCCTTCTGTCGAGTATTCTATTGGAGCTTTATATAGAGCTCATCCTTATTAGAATCACGATTCTTATCGTGGTCGCAGATGGCGAGCCCTATTTGGGTCGCGCTCCATGTTCCTGCTGACTAATGACCTTGGCAGTCATGTGACCTCCAAGTCCACAACGATACTACTCAACTAACCACACTATAGCCTGTCTCGCTAAAAATGTGAGTTTCTTATTAGGTTTTATAAATAAGCTCTAATTAGAAACCACTTATCATCATTTGAAAATAGTAAAATACAGAAACTGAAATTCAGAGATATAAATTTCGGAACAGGTCGCGTGCGTCGTCCCTGATGACTAACGGCCTTGGCGGACATGTATGTCACGCGGCCACGAAAACGTGGCTGCGTGATCTGTATACACGACCTTATCTACGGTCTACATATCCTCATCACTAACACATAAACGCTTACCGGCCAGATCATACCACTGGCCGGTCCAATCAGTACCGCCAGCCGAAATCCCCAGCTAACATGTTACGTCATGCACGTGGGAGCCCTGAGAAAGATCAAAGATATTTGAGTCTTTTAAGGAGACGCCGAAAACTTTGTATGACGGTTTGATTGAACAACGCTCAGTAGCATATCATTCATCATTTAGTCCCTATCAATGTACCCCCACTATCTATCATCTGCATCTCAATCCCACCCGCAGAATGGTTCTGCAATCAAAGGTGCGACGGCATTGATTTCATGCCAAAGCGTTCATGGGTTTATAGGGCCAGGGAACCATGAATGGGCAAATGAGCAAGAGACTAAAGCCGATAGATATCCTATCATCCGAGCCTCCGGGCCACTTCCAACAAATACAACTCAGGCATTCATTCAGAGATAGACCCCAAGTTGGAAGAGGCGACACATGACCTTTTGGAGGAAACTGAGACGGGGGAGCTCACTGATCGACGGCAGGAATGCCCTAATGCACCTCAATCCACACCGAGTAGTATGGACCCACCACAAACAAAAGGACTATCAAGCTACAAACGCTCTCTCCACCTCGGATTACAGGCATTACTAAGAGAGACATCAGCACCAGACACCCAGTCCTTTCAAGATGCCGTGGCATACTGTAGAGCAGTTATCGACTCCCCACAAGACAGCCTACAGCGCTCAACCTCCTACTGGAACAGATCCTGCTCCGAGATCAACAGAACGCTACTAACTCGATACGGACCACGAATCATCACAGCCGCACGCAACGGAGTCCAAGATATAATCTGCGACCACTTTCACAACCACCGCCTGAGCTTACCACACGTGAACAAGAAAGCCAACTTCAAGCGCAACTACAAGAATCTGAGTATGGGCGGGCCGTTCCACCCCTCGTCGGATCCGCTCGTAGTTGGCTGTTTCGAATCAGGAGCCTTACCCTGTGCCCTAGCCATGAGCGCATGGCTCGCACCCGAAGCAGCCGTCAAAGCTGGCATAATATCCAGCATCTCCGTATGCGACGACTACGGTGCGTTCGCTACCTTTAGTTACAAGACCCGTTTGCGCATGGTTGCGATAGCCCTAGGATCAGCCTACGAGTTCGGCGACCAGGCCATAAACGCCGTCGTAAACGGAAGCATGCTCCAATGCATCGGCAGCGGGGTCCAGGTAACCCCCGAAGCAGCGATTGCATGGCGAGCCGTCGGCGGCTGCTCATCGCCCTACAGCGGCTATACATTCGGCACCTACCCACTCGAAGCAGGCCTCGTGGCGCCCGAAGTCCTAACCGCAATACACGACCTGCTGGACTGGAGAAGCGACATTGCAGCAGGGAACCATGAAAATGGTGTTTCGGCCGTCTACGGGCTCGGGTTCACGGACCCTTTCCACACGTATCTGGAAAAAGTGCTCCAACGGGCTGCATTCCATCCCGTGTCTGGGGCTTATGCCATTTCCGCGATGGTGTATATACATTTTACCGCATCGCGGTATGGGGCGTATGAGTATCGGGGTGAAAATGGACAGCCATGTCCTGTGTGTGTTGTGCTACTGCGGGACATCACCGTCCAGTCGGGCCTGGTGTGGGCTCCGAAACAGCCTCCACGGGATTTTGGCGAGGGGCGTAAGTTTCGGGATCTAGGGGTGCGGTTGGTCGAAGACTTTGAAGATCATGGGCTTGTTCAGGAGGCTTTTCGCTGGTTTCAGTATCTTGTGCTTACTGCTCAAATCTGGGTGTTTGATGCACTTAGGCCGATTAGTGCGGTGGACGATGCGGCTGAGTGGTGTTGAAGGGTAACTGCCGAGACCAGTCCAGTCTAGGCCTTAAAGACAGTAGGCTAAGGCCATTGATAAATACTAACTGACTCTCTCACTATGGCTGTAATTTATATTTCAAAAGTGATGTTGATGCAGGGCTTCGGCTTTTGAATGACTTAGGGCTTACAGCCTTGGCGCTCGGGTAGGAAAGTATCACTGACCCTTGCATTGTTATTGTTGTGGCCAATCCTTTATATGCAAGATGTTACTAGCTAAATTATCTGTGGCAGAGTGGTGAAATAATTACGGGCTGTGAAGTTCATTTAATCCTTTGAGAGTAGTCCTGCATTCGGTTGAGACGGTGCGCCTGACGGTGCGGACGGTAGTCCCTTGAAACCAATAGTAGACGTGTGGTTTACAATCACAGGAGAAAGAATTAAAGATGATGGTATGCTGAAAACCTACTTGGCAATAATAAGATGCATTGAGACGGATTTATGCTTACGACATAAGAATAGCTGATGTCAACCCCTCCCTCCAGTGTGTTGTTCAGCACTCATGAGAGTAAAATCGGGTTCCCATAGACATACTATACGATAGTAGGGTCAAAGTTATGATCCAAAAAGGCGCCTGTTCTCCAAAAAATAAAAATAAAAGGTCTACCTATTAAAGATACTAATGATCGAAAGTAAATCCCCATTTTTTGCGCAAGGGACTGTACTGTACCCCTAAGACATGCAAGGGTGCTTTTTTTAAGCTATCTGATTTTTCACATCATCTATAGCCATATCGTTAGGTATATACGATCAGCTTGAGAAAAGCCTTTTGATAACCATATTTTGGGAGTCCATATTTTGGGAGGGGCTATAAGGAAGAATGCATCACTTACGTTGCAGTTCTCATCCACAACAATTCCTTGTCCGCCGCCATGCCTTATGCTTACCGCGATTCGGGAAAGCATTTCTCTCTGTGAAATACATTGTCAGAATATATTTTATTGTCGAACCTTGCTGGAGGAAGCACAACGAAGGGCTCAAGTAGACTCACTGTGAAGCTTGCATCAGCCATACCGCCTTGACGTTCAACATCGTTCTGGCTCATGATCTGGTAGCTGTCATGCATGCGCTTGCAGCTCTTGAGTCCACCAACGTTTGATACACTCGGCCCTAAAACATTGGCAGGGTTCTCGGGATTCAGAATGTTGATGCCACAACGAGCGTTTTCCTGGGAATGTCTGTCGGCAGAGAAGATCTTGATAGTACTATCTATTCCAGAAGCCGCAATGGTCGGTTCATACGGGTGGCCTAGGAGTGTGGTGTGAGCGGACAAACTGGGCTGAGCGGACTGGAGTCAAATCTTACCTTGTATGACGTTGACAACTTCACTATCACCTTCCAGGATATTGACCAAATCGCACGTCTTGCGATCCCAGATGAACAGATGTCCCATATCACTGCCGCTTACCACGTATTCGTCATTCAACCCAAAGAAGTTGACATCTTTGACTGTTTTCACATTGCAATGTCCGCGATAAACTCTTGTATGCGAGGAGCACGGAACGTCGAGTTCCACATCCTCTCTTCGATTTGATCGCAAGCCATTGAGCCTATACATGCGCTCTTCGGGCTCAAGTAAATCACTGTCGTCCGAAGACTCTTCAGAGCCGGTATCAAGTTCATATTCGTTATCGTCATCATTGTCGTCGCTGCTATCCTCTTCTTCATCCTCATCATCTTCCTCCACGGCCACATCATCAGGATCACTCTCAGCATCACTCTCAGCACCAAGGGCGTGCTGTTCGAAAAAGCTATCATCACTTGTCTCGATATCGCCGTCAGTCGATGGAGCTAGGATTACGTGGGATACAGATCCAGACGTAGCCTCGGGTCCTACACCACGTAGATTCAGGGCTTCCTCGGTAGAATGAATGGCAGATAGCATATTAAGCTGTCGAATGATTGGGTCATCTTCAAGGTCGGGAGCGATGTCAGCTTGCGACCTCTCTGGACCTGTCTCGCCTTCGGATTCATCTTCCACTACTGTACGCAAGCCACCGAAGGCACGATTTGCAAAACTGTAATTAACTCCCGAACCAGCGTCCATTAAGACTCCACGAGCGACCTTCAAGCCCCAAAACCGCATCACACCTGTCCGGTCAAGGGATCGGATATGGGAGGTATGAGAGACACCATCACCACCATGGATTCGAGCAGCAGAGCTCTCCAGATCTTCAAGAGGTAGTTTCACCACGTTCGCAAAAGCGGTCACTGCCGCGTGCTGATTTGCGAAGAGTATACGTCTGCTATCGTGTTCGAATCTCGAAGCATCAACATTTATGACGGGCGTGTCGCCCGCGAGTCCGCGTAGGTAAGGGACTAACTCTGTTTCAATGGCACTGTCCTCGGCTTTGTCGGACAATGGGTACCGTGCCACATTACGCCGGTGTTCGTTACTACTCTTGAATCCCGAAACGAGGGCCTCTCTACCTCCTTCAAGAAACAGGAGTATAGCCTTCACGAAGTCATAGCCGAATTGAGCCTCTCGAGCGATAGAATTATTCTCTCCGGGTGCGGGCATTATTTGCAGGAACTCTACGCTAGGAACATCACTTCCTCGGATCTCGCCCCCTAGGACACGTGCCAATGTTCCCGCGGCTTGGAAAAATCTCCAGGATGCTTCCCTGTTATGGCGAAGAGCTTGCTGGAACCGAACCACGTCAGGAGTAGGATTGAGAGGGTATCCCCACGTTCGCATGACTTTATTCATGATCGAGAGATACTCAGAAGCTAGGGTCAGCACCGTTGAGAAAGAATCAGTATACGGAGTCAGGTTTGTGCTCGACGATTCGCCTGCATCACGTACGGACGGCTCTAGCGAGAACAGAGCCTTGCGGAGCTTAACAAGAGCCTTTGCGATACGCATACTAAGCCGTTGCGCTTCACTCAGGACAGGGTACCTTGCTTGCTTTCTCGCATGTCTGGATGTGCTGGAAGGAGATACTGCCAGCGATGAGAGTGGAATTTCCCCTGACTCGCCATTCCCGTACTGAGCGTGAATCGTCGGCTTATCCTCATCTTGTTGTTCTTGGGACCGGCGGCGAGACTGATGCCGATTACCACTAAATTCAGAAGATGATATCGAGGCACCAGTTCGGCGCTTTCGCTTCCTATTCTTTGAGCTTCGTCGCTTCCGTGGGTAAAGTGTTTCCTGCACGGATTCCTGGCGTGCGGCCTCAGCTTCCCTGGCATCGGGACTCTGGACTAGATCAAAACTGTATATGTGATCGCCCGACCAGCTTACAACCATCTCGTTGGGATTGACATCACTAATCTTACAGGCCGTGATATGTCCGTTATCCCGCGCCTTCATCCGACGCTTGCCGTTTGGTGCAAACCTTCGAACGCATCTTGTCGCCTGGCTCATTAACTCGTCATCGCGATCGCTGCCGATCCGAGGAGAGCCACCCGGATCACCTCTCTCCGCAAGCAAATCACGCCCGAGCATCCGTCTATCATGCAGGAAACAATGAAGATGGGCGCCGCCAAGCGCAATGTAATGTGGTTGGGTAGGAGAGCACGATATCGTATTGAGATCAAGGTGGTGCCGTTTATAAGATATCAACGGAGGAGGAACATTCGAATCATCATGTACCACGCCCGGTCGATAGGACATGGGGCCCTGTCCACCTTGCGGTTTAGGGTACTCTGAAGAAGGCTGGCGCAGGTCCCATTGCCGCACCTCGCCATCCTCGGAACAGGTAAGAAACAGATATGGAGACGACTCGGTAACGATACGCTTAACACGATCGGCATGGCTGCGGTAGACACGGCTGTTGGTATTCTCTGCAGTCAAGAAGCGGGTATTGGTGAAAAAGTTGTTGAATCGCCGACTTCGAGCGGATGCAGTGAACGCAGATGTCGCCTCCAGATTCCCATTGCTGCTAGAATATTCAATATCAAAGACCCGAACCTGATGGTCACCTGCGCATGTTACCAAGGTACGATCATTTGAGTGTGGCATGAACTTGACGGAAAATATATTCGCCTTGTGGCCAGTATGGAGAGTAGTATTCAAGGAGAATGGCGCAGAGGATGACTCAGGTTGATAAGAGTAAATGTTCACGTAATGGTCATCAGATCCCGAGGCTAAAAGTTGACCAGACCGAGACCAGCTGCAATCGGTGTGTTGTCAGACTCTGAACGCAGCAGGAGCCACAGATAAGATAAATGTAGTTCGGCCAACATACCACAGTGCATTGACACAGCCTGTATGTCCACCCAGCTCGTTGACAATGTCAAGATCGTCCACCCATTCCTTGGACCCATAAATCCCGCGGATACTCGCGAAATGCGATTGCTCCCCGGTTTCCCTGCGCCAGAGACGGTCATGCAGCGTACACTTCATGGCGGCGTCTATAGACGTGCGGCAGTAGGAACAGATTCAGTCTGCCTGGGTCTGGATCATCGCGTGCGACAGACTCTGGACCGCGACTGCTGCTGCGGTGACGTCAGCGTCAGGTTTGGCGCAAACCAGCGATGCGACGCTTATAAACAGGTGTCTGATAAACTGTTATCGGAAGTAAAACGCCGCAAACCGAAGGCCCAATCCGCTAAGGGTATGTACATAAAAAGGATGAGCGGTGTCAGACGCAGGACGTGAGGGAGGAATTCTGGGAAGGAACGGATCGTCGTTCAGTAGTATTTAAGCGACCCGATAAAGGTGAGCAAAAGAGATTCCGGATAATCGTCGCGTGAGGTGAGAGTATACAGTATTTAATGAGAAGCCAACAGACTCGGGTGATCAACGGGGACAGAAAACTAACTCAGGAGGAGAGAAAGAGAAAGGCAAGAGGCGATGGAATGGCATAGATAATTAGTAGCAGGAGGGGGAAAAGAAAAGCTCCACCGTTCCAGAACCACCGTTGGAGGGTAGTTTCTGTTCGAATTAGATTTGATCGGCAAAGGTATAGAAAGGTTCCAGGGACTTTAATCAATAAGAGGAGTGACCAATCCTCAACCCTGGGTGAACATCCAACGAATAACCTGTTGAGAGGGGAAGAATATGTGAAGTGAACTGGCCACACACCCACTTTGAAGTCATTAAAAGATCATTGTTTGGTTCGCCTGGACGCCAAGCCCTCCCCCCAATTTACTAGTCAATTACAAAGTATACTCAAAAAACCAAATAAAAATACATAGAAATATGGGGGAGAAAAAGAAAAGAGAAAAGAAAACGGAAGGAATTTTCATTTCTCCAGGTAGATAGATAGATAGATAGATGACAGCTACTCAGGTTCTTTTTTTTATTCTCTCTGCCTTAGGTGGTCCTTTATGTTACAGTCGCATACATTGATGACGACAACAAGCCATCTCTAGGTCGCTTACTCATCGTTCTTCTATGTCTAGATCTTCGGTTGTGGTCAGTCAATTAACGCTGTTTGGTAGGGACTAATAAATTCTTTCATCTTTAATTTTTCGTTTCTTTCCTCTTTTTTTTCTTCATAAGTCATAACAGGCATACTACTGTAAGGCTAGGGGCTATGGTCGAGTCGCTATGTGCGAAAACAGACTTCCACTTCTGTCCGCTGGCAGGATTCGAGTCTGCCTATCATCTCGATTGTAGGGCTTGCATCCCAGTTGTATCCACGAAACGTTAAGACACGGTGGGTGTATCTAAGATGCCCCAGGAGCCTGATCCCCTGATGCTCGGACGAGACGGACTGGCAGGTTGGAATTAGGAAAAGGACGGGCGAAAAAAAATTATTGAAATAAAAAAGACCTCGCCAGAATGGCCCTGTGTTACAGGTCCGCAACCAAGATGGTTTAAAGAAAGAACATGTTGCGTAGTGCCAAATTTGACCAGCGTGTATCAGTCAAGCTTGCGTGAAAGGGTCAATGCGGGCTAGAAACCAGTTTGCAAGGCCACTAAGTGTCTCCCAAAACCAGACTATCCAGCGACAAGCTTGTTTTTCCTTGCGATGACACATCCTCGGGTACAAAGTGGATGTCCTCTAGGGCCATGCTCTTGGTCGTCCCTGAAAAATGGGCCCCTGGTTTGATTTTCACCCGGAAGGAAATCCTGGTTGTCGCCTTGCTCCCTTCGCCCGGAACATCACTTTGCTGTTGGCACTCTCTCGGTTCCAGAGTGTATCTGCTCGGGGCAGCATATATGTGCGCAGAAGGAAAAGGTCGAGAGATGCTCCAGGCTAAGACATCGCAGGTAGACTGATGTAACTGATCAATCCCATTGCCGAGAGGGGGAGTACCTTATGATCTCCACATTCCCACTCGGGGGACCCTCTTCTCCAGCGGTTTCGTGGAGGCCACCTGCTGGCTGAGCTGACTAACCCATTGTCTCTCCGATCTTACGATGTCGGCTTCAATCTTACGTATGGTATCCATCTCCTCGATCATTGAATTCACCATATCGTCTAGCCCTTTTGCAGTCCGATAAAGGCTAGAGCCTTGCAGGCGCTCTACCTCTCCATAGCCCAGTATGTCCAGACTCTGCAGTTGCCTCGAGCATAGTTCGAGTTTCAGTGTCAATGTGTGCACTTCTTCTTTCCAGGTGTGGTCAAGAGGGTCGATGAAAATGACAAGATCCGACCCTCCTTGGTAACGTCGACAGGTTTTGATCTCCTCAGCTTTTCGAAACCAGGATTCAAATTCCTGCACGGCCAATGTATATCTCCCCCCTAGAAAACCGGATAGATCGCACACTTCTTGCGCAACCTGCGAAAGGACTTGAATTTGCTCTGCGAATACTTGGCGGCCATTATGTTCAATAGAGTTCTTGAGCCAGCAATGCAGTGCTTGTCCATTGAGTTGCTGTTGGTATTCCTTCTCTCCTGTAACAACGCCGCGGTATTGTTCCGCGACCGCATCATATTTTGTCCGTAATTGTCTTTCGGCGCTACCTTTCCACTCAGTGTCCTCTCGCAATGATGACAAGTGTAGAAGACTCAGTTGTAAGAGTTCTGTTTGTAAAGCAGCAACTTCAGGCGCGGTCGAGGGGACCAAGGATAGATCCAATTCCGCAGTCGCATCGGCCGATGGGGCGCTAAGGGACGGCTTGACAGGTTTTTTAGGTGACAAATGTTGCTGGTAAGTCGAAAGCTGGGTCCTGGTTCGCGGCGTACTTGGTGCCGATGGTGGACCTGTCTTCTTGGAGACTTGGCTCGTGGCTGGGGTGATCACTTGACTGCGGTGTCGCACATGACCCCTTGGTGTCGGAGGCCCCGAGCTCGAACTAGCTGGTTGTCGTAAAGAGGTCGACCGGGACCGGGTTGGCCGCGGTGGGGGAGGCATTTCCGTCTTCTTAGGCGATCTTGGAGGTCCATTTTGCTTTGCTGGAGAAGGCGGCACAGGTGCAAAAGTGGCCCGCTTTGGTGTTGAAGACACGGGGGCAGTGGCTTTCGCAGGGGAAGGTGTAGTCTTCACTGGGCTAGGCCGGATCAAACTCCGGCGGCGACTCGCAAGGGTCGGCGCAGATAGCTTGCCTTGTTCTGGCTTTTCCAGTCGCTGTGTGCTCCCACTATCCTGTTGCGGCTGGGGCCGCAAAGGACTCGTTGATCGGCTGTCATCGCGGACGGGCAAAAAGCTCTTGTTTCGAGTCGAGAGATTCTCGTTACCAGTTGTAGGATTCGAGGGTATACCGTCCGCCGTAGGTTTTGTCCTGGTCGATACTGTTCTGATGGACGTGGAGCGACCTAGAGGACCGGGCTTATGTTATAGTTGTTAGAATACATGGGTAGAGGCAACGGCAATAGCTCTCTCGCCTTGAGGAGCTTGAGGCAAGGGAGGTACAAGACTAACCTGTTTACGGGGCTCCCGAAGCGAAAGGGAGCGAGTGGGTATTGGCATTGTGGCTAGGGATCAGGTCATTCATCAGGTCATACATACATTAGTTCAGTTATTTCGGTCAGGGTTGTGAAAAAGAGAGATTCTCAAATCAAAGTTCAATCAGCGGTCGGAGTCTAGTATTTATGTTTCAATAGCATGATTGAAGATCCAAAGGTCGTGCTTGCGGTGAGCTCTGGAGCCAAAAACAAAAGGCTTGGCGCACGGGGAAGGGTGAACGGAGAATACTAGCCTGCATTGTACATAGGTAAGACTTACAACTCAGTTTAGTTAGTAATTGGGCTCGATTAACTACCTAATAGCTATAGTGTTACTGTACCTTACTACTGCTACTAGTCAAAGACTTTCTAAGGGGGTCTGACGCACTGTTCTAGTAGACTGTCGAAGTGCTTTTAAATTGAGTAACCAACCCATTGAATATATATATATAATCACTTCGCAGGCGCGTGTAAGAAGTATTTCTCTCCCCTTTTCTTCCTTCCCCCTCCCCTCCTTTCTCTCTCTGCTCCTTCAAGATTCGCTGTCTCTATTCCCGCTTAGTTATTTACACCAGCCAGAATAAAGAGAGAAACATTTCCCCCTACATAACGGTAATGCATTTTATGCATGTATAGTGAACACAGAGTATATCAAGGACACTACAACCTTGGACCACGGATCTTTTAATCCACCAGTGATATTGGATACTATCCATGGATATTAACACCCCTTGCTTCTTAAATAGTTGTTATCACATGCCCCGATGAATACTTCATTCAACAAAACCTGTCTTGTGATATTTAGAAGGAATCGGATAAGACAAACTTGATTTTGACTGACAATATCGGAAAAGGCCTAAACAGCCCGGACTCTAAGATTTCAACATCAACCCAATATACTCTCTGCTCCTCTTACAAACTTCCACGTCTCGGGAAAGAAACACCCTCCACGGCAGGATGATCAGTAAACCAGCTGACCTTGTCACCAGCACCTTGGTTGACAAGAGAAGAGGGAAGACTCCTGCCCTCTTCGGAGTCGAAGATTTGCTTCATAATATCTTTCTTTCCACCGCCGGTAGCGACAAAGGCCACGTTCACGGCGTGGGTAACCACGGGCAGAGTGAGGGTGATGCGCTTCGGCGGGGGCTTCGGCGAGTCGCTAATGGCGGCCACCCAAGCGTCCTTCTCCCGAAGCAGCTCGTGCCCGGGGAATAGACTGCAGGTGTGGCCATCGGGGCCACAGCCCAACAGGATCAGATCAAACACCGGCAACTTGACGCTGTCCTTGGCCGCGAAAATGTGCATCAGCTCCTCCTGGTACAGATCTGCTAGCTCCTGGGGGTCCTCGTCGCTGACATGGGTGGGATCGATGGTGTGCACGCGGGGCTCACCCAGTTCCGTGGGGATCTTGCTCAATAGTTCATCCTTCAGTAATTTGTAGTTGCTGTCTGCGTGGTCGAGGGGCACGGCGCGCTCGTCGGCAAAGAAGATGTCCCATTTGGAGAATTGGGCCGTGTCGTCGGGGGTTCCGTTGCCTGGTGCAAGGAGGGCTTTGGCGAGTACTGTGGGCAAGGAGCCACCGGAAACTGCAACGCGGAAGGTGTCGTGGCGGGCGAGGGCGGAGTTCTGATTCTTCAGGACGTATGTCCTCAATTGTTGGGCGAGCGCATCGGTATTTGAGAAGCTGTAGAGGTTGGGAGATTGGCTTGCCATGGTGACGGATTGCGAAATTCAAGGGAGTTGTTGGGAAAAGCAAGTGAGCAGGAGGTTTTGGCCTTACGGGTGGTTTTTCTTTCGGCCAACAGCTCTAAGGCGGGGTGGTGGGGCAGTGGAATCGTTATTGGAGGTGAAATCATTACCTACCGTTTCTGCCGGGGAAAAAGCACTGGAGTCAATCGATATCAATTTACGCCTTCTGTCCAGCTTATCTTGGAATTGTTTTTCTCTTCTTCTCTCTCCTAGATTGTTTCATATGGTATCATATCATATCGCTTCATCTTGCGCAACAAGCAAAAGCCAAGGCTACAGAGGAGATAAGGCAAAGAACGATAACAGTGGAGTTACCCATGACGTCGCCCCCGTACGACAGGAACAACTACGCTTATCAACACAAGTCCATTATTGTTTCAAATTACTTGTCGACGGCGAGAGAGGAAATTGCGAGATTTTGTACGATCCCTCCCCCATCTAACCTGGAAAGAAAAGAGGCAGATCTATGATCGATCATCGTCCCATCCCTGTCTTCGGGGATATGATGTCAGTGCAACGTCCTCCCGCAGCTTGAAGCAGGGAAAACGTAACCCTCGATCCCTCGGCAACAAGCTCGATTGATCTTGTCCCGATCAAGGCATGGTAAGGTAATTTGGTAAATGGCTGTCGATTTCAAGCTAGCTGGAGCGAAGGAGTAGGCGAATTGACTATTTCGGACTCGTGCATTGCCGCCAACTAGGTGCGGTCCGCACGCCCACGCGTTATTACAGCATCGTGCAGGCGCCAGAAGCGACTTCTGTGCTCACTGTGTCTGGTGATTGATTAGCGACCAGTCGAGATGTAAAGTACATGCCTAAGTCACGCAGGACGGGATCTTGACCAGGATGACGAAGCATGAGAATTACCATGCTTAAATTAAAAAGTTATTTATAAAAAAAGAAAAGAAAATGCAGGAAAAATGAGGAGAGCGGAGGTGACTTGAGGAGACAGGATGCGTGTCCATCCATCCTCCATAGTGCAGTGTCCCCCCCTCCCAATGGGCATAGCTAGAGAAAAATGCACAGACTTCGGGGTGTCCGTGCTTCAAGGTGATGCCAATGCAACGACCGCGAGGACAACGGAAGGGGAAACGAATGTTCGTTGCCCATCTGGCAGGCTCCAGGAACAGTGCATTACAGGTGGTTATCAGGTGACAGAGGCATGGAGTAGGGCATGGAGTAGCGGGTTTAAGGTGCCATGTCCATGTTAGGGAGGACCGTAGTAAGCATGTTCATAAAGAATGTAGGGAAACAGAATTGTTTTATAATTTTAGAAATATGCAATATATTGGCAATGTCACAAATAGCATCATTATTTCCCGTCGTGGAGTGGAGAATGTAGTGGCATTGTTTGGAGAAATGGAAAACCAAAAATGAACGGAAATGCCGATAATCTGTAAGATTACCCTTCTTTGCAGCCAAAGAAGTCCGGTAGTTATTCGGAGATGCCTGGAAAAAAAATGCCTCAGATCATAGTGAAAGGGACACAATACTCCGAGTGTCAATGTTACAGTATGTATTCGTCGTGTAAGTGCTCTGAGTTGCAGGTACTGTTGTGTGAGTATGTGGGTGTATGTATTGTACGTACATACCAGGTAGTCGCACGGCACACTCGGCTTGGTTTCCTCCCGCAAGACTGCAGCAACTAACTCTTCTGGCGACCAAGCAGCTGGAATGTGCTCTATACATACATCACATATATGAGTGGTCTCGAAGGATCACACCAGCCATCGCCCAATCCCGGGGTGCAGCTGCCAGCTAAGAGCTTGGAAAGAAGCGGTAATTGGTATTCCATGTCATGAGGTCGAGTTAGGTTCAATTGATAGGTTAGCTAGTAGTATTTCAATCGTCTTTTCCCCCTTTCTTTATCTTCATTTCTCTTCTCTGTCTTGTCTTTTTTTTTTCTTTTTTGCAGTGGAGGAATGTTGCGTTATACCAGAAAAGGACTCGATCATGTTAGTATTCAAATCGATAGCATCACGACTCTTGAACTGCTGTCCATTTAGGGGAGAAGGATAAGCGGTTACATTCCCCAATGCGCGACCCCGACAGACTCAAATTCTGAAACGATGTGGAGACAGTAACCGCCTCACAGGAGATGCTGCACAGCCGCAGTTTCTTAAGTAAAGTTACCCACGAGGCTAGGCAGAAAAAGAAAGAAAAATTACGGGTACGAAGTAGGTATTCTTTACCTAACCCGCATGTGACCAATCCCTAGTTCTAATAAAATGGACATGTACGATTAGTTCAGCCTAGTTCATGATAACAAATGATTCAATTATATTGAGATAAAAGAGAGCGAAAAGGGACGTGATTTAACAATAATAGTATTCCTTATTAAGATAGGAATCTTAGTTCTACGGAGTACTAGGCAAGACCTACTATACAGATAGTCATGATGGTATCTCCAGACCCGATTGTCCAATCACATTCCCTGTCTTGAGCATCACTCAGGCATCAGCCGCATGGTGACCATGGAATTCTCACCCTGTCCGACCAGCCTCGGCCGAGGAGTGGTGAGATCGGCGACTGTTCAACGGGCAACAATTGAACATCATTAAGATAGCATTACCTTACATTGACAGGCAACCACTCATGGGCCACACGCTCCGCCAGGCTATCGGATTTTTGGCTTTGGTATCCAATAGTACCGTCCTTTCTTGGGTGTCGTCCGAGAATGGACTAGACTGAGAAATGGTCTAACCGTTCAGATACGAGGAAAGTCTCAGAAGGATTGTGTTAAAATAAGAAAACAACAAGTGAGAGAACCTTAAATTGGTAAAAATAAAGAACAACAATTTTCTGTTAGAAAAAAGGCCTCTAAAGTGAGTCCGTTAAGACGGTAACATGTTCTTTTGAGGGGAGGAGGGGGGCATTCGTAATTTTGATGGATGGGGAATGGAAATGGGACCACGAGCGTTCCTGAGGGGAAAAAAGAGGGCGAACCACTCCGGCGATCGCCCCAGAAAGTGAATCCGTCAACCAGACGATCGGTCATGACGACACGACCTATGCAGGAAGTCCATCCTAATTGGGGGGAGATTGCCCATCAGTAGGAAAGAGCCAATTTACGATAGGAACTACGGAGTTCTGCAGCCCGAAAGGTGCACATCACATAACCCCCCGTCGCCGAATAACAGGGTAATTCATCCAGACAGGCGGACTTATCGACTATTGGAACAAATTGACATACAAACTTCCCCCGAAAAGCCATGTCCAGTAGTATTATTAAGAGACTACCAGATGTACGCTGTACATAACATCCTTGACTCTCCGCAGTATAGTACTCACCCTCCTCATATATCAGATATCATACAATACATATATATCATCACAAAGCGACGGAGGACTCCTCTCCATGGACGATCGTCTTTACCCCCCATAGTTGACAGCTTGGGGTTTACTCTGAAACCGAATCTACATTCCGCTCTGTTCTCTCGAATAACTCCCTGTAACACCGAATCTGGTTCATTGACTTCCTCCGGGCTTCATCACTGCATCTCCCAGTCTGCAGTCTCCTGATTCACTGAAAGAATTATTTAAAAAGGAAAAAAAAATTATTTGGTCTAATTATTATTATTTCATTTCTCTCTCTCTCGCCCTAAAAAACTATTTTTCGCTTTTTTTTTAAACTAAAAAAGACGCCGGTCCTAAACAGGGAGAAGAAAGTGGATCGATCTGACCCTTCAAACTTACCCTGGCCTGGTGGTATAGATATTTCGATACTTCCAGCTGGACTGTTTTTATTCTAGCCATTTCTCGTGATTCTTCTATTTTCCTTCCCAAACTCTGAGTTTCCCGACTTCAACTTTCTTGACACCCAGCCCTGTCCCACGTGGTCGAGTCTCGTCGGCCTAAGGAATCCTCTGGAAAAATTACCTCCGCAGAGCAAGGAAAAGAAAGGAAAGGAATTCTTTCCGTCATACCCGTGAATTTATTTAATTATTATTATTATTCTTCCAACTTCGCTACGCATTGACTCAGCCTCGTTGCATTATTTTCTCTCCAAACAAATTTCTCCCCAACGACAAACACCTTGATTTCGAATCCTGGATCTCTCCTATTCCTTCGAGTAACTATTCCACCACCAACTACCATATCTCCCCGCTGCAACGTCGCCGCCCATAACCCTCGTCCGCCTTGATCGGCATTTCCCCAAAATGAGTTCGCCCTCGGTCCAGGTTCAACCGCAACCTTCCGGCGGCGCAAAGGGTGTTTCTCACACAACGAAAGAAGCAGGCCCAAATTCTATGAACTTCGACATTGTCCGCTGTTCAAGATGTCAGCGTTCGATGAGTCTCGAAAATGACTCGTCCCCCGGCGTTGTGCGCTTCGGCATGAACTCATACTACTGCAGCCGCTGTGCGTCCATGGTCGGCTTTATCCGTTGAAGCAATTCGTCACTTGTAACCCCACGCCACGGAACAAGGAAAAGAGAAACATATCGTTGCGAGCGCATTTTTCGTCGCGCCTTCGAGATCCTCTGCTATTCCACTACCATGCGAAGGAATCCGCAGGATTGAACATGTTACTTCTCCAACCGTTTTTACTGTTCTTTTCGGCCATTCGCTCCGACGATATCTCCGGGAACTATTCTGTGCTGGCACAGGTTCATTCTCACCTATCGAGTAAAGGATAAAGAACCATGCACAACGATTCGGTTTCAGGACGGATGGGCTTTACCCGGCGCCGCACGTCTCTCCAGCCATGTCGGAGAGTACAATGACTCACCCGCGCACGACAAAAAGAGGGCATAGTGGACTAAAATGGGTGGACAAAGAAGAATCCCTTTTATTTTTCTTTCGCTCTCACGGGATCGACGTCGCAGCAACAAACAATAGCCAAACTAGGGAAGTTCGGCATCTACCACGAAAGATGCCGCGTCTCTAGAGTGCTCCATGATTCCGAGCTGCGCCCTACCCCTCGGTGAAGCCACATTATCCTATAGCTCGATGGACATTTACGATACCCCGCTTATGTGTCATTCGCTTTGTACTGCATATCTCACGAGGAAGTCAGCGATTTCCTTTGGTCTGTTGTTTCCTTAGCACGCCATGTAGGATCCTGAGTAGAGATTTAAGGATTCCTGTTCTTTCATGTGTTCCATATGTTTTGTTTGCTTTAAGGTTTACTTTCCCGCTCAATACCCCCGTTATGTTGAAACATTAGCGATCAAGACTACTTAGTTAAATTAGACCACAGTAAGCAACGCTTACAATCACAATATCAAACTCGATTGATCTGCAGCCCATTCCTATACTGTAACACTTCATTGGACTTCCGAATAGGGACAACCGACACGAGTTCCATACTTGGACCAACATGCCAATGTGTCCTGCCTATCCCAATTAAACCCAATAGCATAACCCCAAGATGATCGCCATTGTATGGGCAACCAACGGAGTGAACATGAACATGCCATCCCCCCGCGAATCATAGATGGCGTCGCGCGTTCAAGCGATAGCTGTCATGGGGAGACTCCAATGAATCCCTACCTACCGAAACGCATACGTTAGTGATATACGTCTCATCCCCATATTTTCATGAAATTTCTATGCATATCATACGAACCCCCTGATGCAATTTCAAGCATTGAGGCACCACGCTGTACGAGCACGGAACAGTCAAATTACCTTGTAGATCACACGCCCAGACCACCAGCCTATGAACCACCATCACACAGAGCTCTATGAACTCTGGCGTGCCTGACAAAGCAATCGTCCATTACTCCGGATCGCCCGAGTGCTAACTAGGAAAGGATGAAGAAGTAAGTCAATACTCGTACCTGTATTGGTCAGTAGCATACCCCTCAAACAGGGCGATCTACCTTATTTACCCCTCCCCCTTGCTGTGCAGTATCTTCAATTACCGCGACGTATCTATATACTGTATTGGACCTACGCCCGTCACCTTCACCCCCTTTCTTTCTTTTTCTTTCCTGTCCGCTTGTCTTTTTTTTATTTTTTATTTTTATTTATTTATTTAATTTTTTTTTGCACTCCGAATTTTCGACGTTTCAATCTTTCACTACACTAACCCCTTTAGTCTAGATAGGGTTCACCTTCTCACAAACAGAAACCCCAAGAATGCCCATTCCGTTCCCTGTAGGCAACCACGCGAGAGTGGCGCAGGCGCCGCCCAAGACAAAAAAAAAACACCGCCGAAACCCCACCCCCTTAAGATACAGCGTATGTAACGTTCGATTCCTGTGGAGCGCAAAGTTGATCAGTGGGTCAACCTCACCTTCGGATTCATTTCGGCTGGTATGATTGCTTGGCCGGCGTTCTCCGTTTTGGCTCTTTTTGAGCACCTGTCGGATTTGTTTCACCCCTTTTAAGCTCCACTGATTGGCTTTTGCCCGGTGGCGGGCTGAAGTTTCATGATGGGCTTGGGGTGTTAGTCAGATAATGTGAAGAAAGGGAGGTGGAGTCAGGTCGGTCAGGTCGGTCAGGTCAGTCAGTCAGGGAGGGAAATAGTTTTCAACTAGCTAACTACGGCTACGGGGTGCTCATTATATGGCATATTGCGTTCCTTGTTTGGAGTCGTACAGGGTAAGGACAACTGTTGCCCTTGGTTTGGTTTTGCGGGAGGTATTGGATCTTGGTAATTCAGGCTCAGTCAGGTAGCCCTAGGCTTGGATGGGTCATGGTAAGTTAAGCTACCCTTAGGCAGTCGCATTCTGCCCCAACATCCCGGAGAACGTACCATGCTTTCGTAGGAGTAATGGTGAAATCAAGGCTGAATGCTTAGTTGAGACCTTTTAACGATGGAACTTATCGCGGGTGACATAACATGATCTTCACACATCTGGTCAATCCATGGCTCTGTTGTCTCCCGATTCCCGTGATAACTTTCCATGGACATGGAGCGCAATTAAAGTTGATAGCTTTCGGAAATCCAATATTGACTTTAGATTGACCGGAGCAAAGGTTACACTGCACGAGTTGAAGCATTATTTGTTATGGTATGTAAGGTGGTTTACTTTTTCTGTCTCTCTCCATTGAAGCGATGAGTTCGATAAGTTCGACCTTCCTACATTCTAGACAGCTTCCAGAAAAGAAAAGTGACCCCGTCTGGATCACTAAAGGGTTCGGCAGTAAACCCCAAACCAGTCAGCGTCAAAAGCAAAACCTCCGGTACTGACCTGCCGAAAGTCTATTGTTGACTAGCTTCACTAGTTATACGAGAGATCCACGCGACCATGAGTCGGGTTCGATCATGACTCAAAATCGGGTATGGATTCAAACTAGATTCAAACTATGCCATGTAGGATGACTGTATCCATGAACGACCGCAACATCATGTTGGTTAGTGGAAGGCCATTCCAAAACCACGGTACCGGGTAGAGAGTGGTGGTGGTGGCTATCGATCGTTTGTCGGACTATTGAATTTTTAGTTAAATGCCGAAATCTTTTGATCGAATACACTATGGAGTAAGGCTGTGTGAGCTGAGAGTTAAGTGTAGTGGGGAGATTAGTTTTCCTTTTATATATTTTTTTGGGGGAAGGTTGGGAGTTGCTGACTTGTAAGTTTTAGATACGGAGAATATTCCATTCTATTAAGAGTCAACTAAGGGGAAAGAAAGAGAAACTCTTTTTTGTGGTGTGAGCATTGAATGATCACTTTGATACTGCTAGCTACTATAGGCCGTCTATCTTGTACATATCTTCTATCTACATCTCATGGGCCCGGGCCTCGGTCCTCGTACGCGGTGTAGAAGTTATTTCCCCAACATATCGCTATATGAACCACTATTATGTCTCAGCGAACTGTCCCGTCTCAACCGCCTTTACCCCGTACATCGTCTCAAGGTTCGTACTGGCGGTGACCAGGCTATTGTCCGCCTAATATGCAGACATTGGTTAAAAACTGGGCGGTGTTAAGTCTTAATGGATGCCTCATATGCAGACGTGACCAGGGATCAGCGCGGCATCGGAACACGATTAATGGAGACTTCGGTTTCTCGACTAGATTAACTCGTCAAAACTATGAAAATTGACCAAGTCCTAAAGCCAAAAGAGGAGAGAAAGAGCAAAAAAAGAGTTACAGTTCAGTTAGTAATCGCCAGGTCTGTCATTTGTTTGGGGGAGAGAAATCCGTCGTCAGACAAGAGTGCGGCTTATCAGAGATGATGCATCATCTAAGGAGTTCGCCATCTCCTCATCCCCCATCACACAACCAATGCTGATGATCTATTTTTGCCTAGAAGCTGAGAGGGCGAAAAGGACATTAGCCAAATCAGAAGACAAGCAAAAAGCAATGATCTCAGTCATGCATTTTTCTCTCCATTTTCCAATCAACGTCTTCTGCTTTCTTTGATTAATTCCTTCCTGAGGGATTCTTCATCCATATAGCATGGGCTCTTAATGACCAGCAGTTCAGTCTAACCCAATACACCATAACTTCTACCCATCCGTACAATGGCATTCCAGAAGACAATGATGCCGTTCATCTGGGTCGCCTTCTCATTCGCAGGATGGATGCAGGGCTGATGCTCCACTTGGTTGCGAGAGCTCTCCAGCTTTGCCATCGTCCCCTGTTGTGGCTGCCCTGAAATCTAGCGGTGTAACATGGTATTGCCAAGGAGAGCGTCCTTGAGGATCCGAGTGTGCTGGCCGAGTACCTTTTCCCTCCGCCTGAGACGGAAGGTGTGTCATGGAGAGAGGGAGAGAGGCCGGCCTATTCATAGCAGCAGCGGAAAACAATTGTATTCATTCATACCGTACAAACAAGGCGAAGGGGCAATGTTCGTCTCTTATCTTTTTGTTTTCTTTTTCTTCAAGGAATTAAGGTCACTTGCTCTAGTTTATATTTTCTTTCTTTCTAGTTTTCTTCCTTTTCCTTTTCTTTTCGTCCTGTCTCTACTCCATAGCTCTCAACTAGCCCACCGGGATCGCTGCATGACATATAACAGGTCCGCGCATCCGCGTCCCATCGCATCCATCAGATTGGAGGCAAATTGACACATCTCAACGCCAGATCCCAATCCACTCCGGAGGCATTTCCTAGTCCATTTCCCTTGCGCTGCCTGAGCCACGCTGCTTCATTCGTCAGCCCATGCATCGGCGCCTTTGTCCGTCCCCGGCCTCGTTGCATTATTGCGATTACTACTGCCGTCCTTTTCTCATCTTCCTCTCTTCGGTGGGACTCTGAATGTACGAAATAGATCGATTCAGATCTGTTCCAATCTTCTTTCTTTTCTTTTCTTTTTTTTCTTCTATTTTTCGTGTCCATCGAATATTTGCGGGTTTAAAGGAGGGATCGACCGTCTCGATCCTGGATTTCCGATACACTTTTTGTGCTCTTGACACTCATCGAACAAAGCGACCGTGTTCTAAACATTCACTAACGAGGTACCGAGGAAGTCCCATGGTGCTTCGGCTAGTCCTTTGTTGTTGGTAGTATATGCCAGTCATTTTCCTCCAGTCGCATCGCTCTTGTACCCACCAATCTTTATTCCCGCTAAGCATTGAACAATACTCTGGACGATCTACTTGACTGAGTGCGACACTCTTTAGGTTGTATCAAGCCAAAAGTGTTCGTTAATCACGCGCATCATCTCTCTTCGCAACCACTGAGAAGCTCTTGATTCATCGCAATATCGACAAGTACATCATGCCTCCTCCACAGAAGGGAAAACTAAAGTCCCGTGGGTCAGACGAAGAATTCGTTCTATTCCTACAGGGGGTAAGTTCCTTGCCGCAGTCGGATTTCCAGATGGCTGTCTTACTGAGGATACAGATTCCAGCCCATTGTCGCTGGCAAGAACTGAAGGACCTGGTTCGTCAAACCGCCTTGCACATCCGCCAAGCAGTGGTATACGACGACCATCACGGCTTTCCCACGGGACTAGGCCAAATCATCGTGAAAAACGAAGATGAAGCATGGCGGACTTACCGTGCGTATGCTATGCGAGAGGGAGAGAAGATGCAAAACCGACTGATGAGGCTGCAGATAGGTTATCCACCAACGGTTGGGAGGGACAGAGCTTGGTTGTTACGCTGGCGCGGACCAGTTCGCCGACTCGACCTATCGCCGGACCAACGAAGAGTCCCAGTGTGATTCCCTCAAACTACGCCCCTGGCTATTCAACGCCCCCGAGAGTCTCCCAGAACATGGCCGTGCCTCCATCCCCCATATCTCCGGAGTAAGCCCATCTCACCCATATGCGCATCCACACATGCACATACCATCTATACTACAAACATCCCGAGCTGCATACTGATACCCACAAGACCCATGATAGCTGGCCCTAGCCCAACGTATCCACCTCCCGAGTACGGCCACGCTCCGGTCATCAGCCTGCCACACCAGTCCTTCATTCCCATCTACCCAGATCCCCTATCGCAACCCATGCCAGGGATTCCCCCCTCCCCAGCTCTTCGACCATCCTTCTGCGACTCTCTCACCTTTACCGTCTACCCACCATACCCCATCTCCCCAATCCCATCCTTCCAAGACCCCTCCACCCACCACCCAAACAACCGCAGAACCCCCCACAAACCAACCTACAGCTACACGTACAGCTACACCCCAACCCCAATGCCCTTCTACGCACCATACCCACACCCACATCCCAGCGACAGCAGCAGCAGCAGCAACAACAACAACAACCCCCGCCCCCACCGCCGTACCATCTTCATCCAGAACCTCAGCCCAACAACCACCAAATCCGACCTCCAATCCCACCTCCAAGACGCCGGCACTATTGAATCCTGCGAAACCTCCCTCGACCCCACCACCAACCGATGCAAGGGCTTCGCACGCATCACCTTCCGCACCGCTGACGAAGCCAGACGCGCCGTTATCCGCTACAACAACTCCATCTTCATGAACACCAAGATTAGAGTCAAGATCGACCGCTCCGTTCCCATCGCCGCCTCGTACGTCTCGAACCCACCACAGACGGCCAGCGTTGCCATCCCTGTCCCTACTATTGTCTCTACGCAGGTGCCCACCCCAGACGCAGGGCACGATGCACCCACCGCCGGATCAGTAAAGTGCGTGCCGGACGAGGTAGTAGGCGAGGTCAAGGGTGATCGGTGCCAACCCGGGCCGTTAGTTATAAATGGGTCGGGGATTGGGCGCAAGGAGATTGTGATTTGATTTGATGTTTTCCTTTTCTTTCTTTCTTTTTTCTTTCTTTCTTTCTTTGCGATTTGTCTATCCCTATCTCTATTGTTCATTGCTTAGGTTCGGGGGTGGGGGGGTTGGTATGCTATGCATTCGTATTGGTAATTGGTGGGTTATGGATGGGAATGGGTGGTGTAGGTTGAGTTTCTTCTTTTTTTTTTTTTTTTTTTTATTTCTCTTCTGATTTGACTAGGACCTTTAAAAAGTCGGGATATTTTGTAGGATTTGCGTAGTGAGGATTGGTTGAAGGTTATATAGGTATTTTGAGGTTATCTGTCTCGTGGTTTTTTTGTTCTTTTTAATGTTTCATGGGTGTTGGGGTTCGTTTCATTATGTATAGATGGACTGTTATACTTTCATATTTTGATTTCTTAATTACTAATGGAAGATTTGAATGAACGGCGTATCTTGTGGATTAAATGGATGAATATAATGCCAATCATCATTCATAAATCATCTAGCAGCTAATGCAAATTCTCTCTTCATCATACTATCATACTGTCATAATACAATGCCATCTCATAAGGCATGAAATTTAGAAAGATCAAACCAAAACAAATAAGAAAAAGAAAAGAAAAGAAAATTAAAGATAAAGATCAAAGCAAGAGAGGGAACGCCTTCACCACGGACGAAACAGGCTATTAAGTTTCTAGGCCAAGAGGAATATACCGAATAGGAAATTCATAAATAATACACGTAATAAAAGTTCACACGCCGAGTTCGAGTGACACCATGCAGACTATTTGGCATGGTCGATCAGTTCGGCGTAGAGGGGTTCGGGGATCTTCCGGACGATCAGGACGGTTAGGGCGATGATTTCTTTGGCATCGAGGGGTGGGAAGGATCGGAGGATCTTGTTTGGACTATGCATGACATGTCAGATGGGGGTGTACAGATGTGATGGATCTGTTGTGTTGGGGAGAGGCGTTCTTGGTTTTTGTTTTTCCATTCACTGGTTTTTTTGCCTTTTTTGGTTGCTAGGATTGGAGGTGATGTAACACTATGTAACATACCTTGGGCTTTCGAGGATGGTATCTCTCATTCGGATGAGTTGGGCAACAATACATAGGATGTTTAGGTGTGGGCCGTAGGCGAATAGGAAGTCCCATAGGTGAAGGACTTCCGGTAAGGGTGGTGTACAGGCGCACATGGTCAACACGGATGGGAAGGCGTAGAGCTCCGCTTGCATTCCCTTGGAGAATAGGTATGCCGCAAGCTTGGGTTCGACAATCTCTAGACATCGGTCTACTAGACGGAGTCCTCGATGGACCCCGTCCATAGCCCCTCGGATATAGCCCGGACATTCACGGGTGATGAACGAGTGGAACAGGGCGAAAGCCTCGACTTCACTGCGCGCTGCATAGAGGAACGGTGCGCAGAGGACGTTCATGCCTTGCACGTAGATCGCCGAGTCGCTGGTGATGGTACCGCTGCGGTTGTTGCTCGATATTGTCCTCTCCAGGTCTGATTCTTCCTCTGCGATGCTGGGGGGGGTGTTGATCAGAAACTCTATATCTCGCCGACGAGACGTTGATGAACGAGACTTGACCCTGTTCTTATTCTTTGCATCGTGAAGTTTCCATGCCACCGCGTTAAGTAGCCGGATCAGGCTGGCCTCCGTGACTCGGCGTTTGAATAAGGGGTCGGTGGCCAGCGTGCGGAAAGTGTCGTTGCGGATTTTCGTATATGCTGGTGAGCGGCCCCGGTGAATCAGAGCGAGGTATTCGTCAGTTGGAACAGGAGGGATGTCAAGAAGCGCTAGCCAGAGGTAGACTCGATACGCGGACTAGGAATAGGATTAGTTTGCCATTCTACCTGAAGAAAGAACGCATACCATGCCGTCGGCATCCGCCTCGACCCTTGTAGATAAAATCAAGTATCGTAGCTCTTGTAGTCCTTCGCGGACATTCCCTTGCTGCGGTCCATCCCGCAACAGTGTCTCCAGTACCGATCTCTTGATGCCAAAGCCAGAGCCAGTTTTCCTTCCCGACCGTCGCTGGGTTCCGAGGATAGGAGGTTCACGGGAAGCGGCGTCGCTATTCGACCGAGCTCGACGATGCGTGCGCAGGCGCACCGGCGAATCTAGCTGAGCTGGCTGGGAGAGTTCGTCGGGCCCGGCGGAGGTACGAGCGCTTGGAGGTTGGGATAGCTGGGTTGACGAGAGAAGCTGGTGGGACTGGATCTTGCGCAGACTTCGCATCGTTCGCGGTGATGGAGATTCCGCTAGAGCGGCGAGGTTGAGTTGAGCCTGAGTAGGTTGGGAGGTCATGTTGGGCGGCTGTCCTTCTTGTCTTTTGGTCGGGTCGGCGGAATTCACAGCTTGTCAGCGGTCCTGGATGTACCAACCATCTTTCCTTTTCAAAAAGGACCGTCCATGGATAATTTCCTCCCCTTGTGAGATGAAGTATGCTAAGTTTCTTTTTTCTTTTTCTTTTTTTTCTTTTCTGTCGGGAGCTAGGTGGAATGCGGGGACACGCGACGCGCTGCAAGTAATTTATTTAATGAACTTATTAACTCAATGTTAATACTTTTTTTTTTTTTTTGCCGGAGTTTGGTTCAGTTGCTATGGTGTTTGGTGGATCCCACGAAACTAAGTAATAGTATACCACTCTTTTGGACTGGTCAAACTACCTTTCCATGGTTTGAGAGGATCACAACTCTGGTTCTGGTAACAAAAATAGGAGTAGATCAAATATGAGACGTCTCAGTGTAGCACCTAAGAATACTAGAAATAGATGATTACACAGCTTCCAGAGCTATATGTTAAGGTAAACAATAACAATAGACATCAAATCCCTAGTCGCCGATAACGCCGGAAACCCACTCCCCGTACGGCGATACGGGCCTCATGCTTCTTGCCGTCCATTGGTTTGTCCATTCTGAGCCCCTCCCAGGACCCCATCGACGAATTCTGGGTATCTAAATACCTCCCCTCTCTTCCCTCCGCCAGGGCCCTTACTGCTCTTTCCGCCGAAGGCCCTGCGCCCGGTGAACCCATTCAATACTTCATTAATCTCTCGATCGGTGAGTGGAAGCTCTCCATCCTCCGGGGCCGTGTGCAAAAGAGCGTCGCGCAGTTCCCCCACATTAATCTGGCCGCTATCGTCCTCATCAAAGGCGGCCAACGCATTCACCAATTCTTGGCGCGAAGACAACGGAGCTAGTAGGTTGGACAAGGTGTTTAGGAAGGTAGGGAAGTTGATGGTTTGAGGACTCCCTGGGGGGAAGAACTCCGATAAGGTAGATGGATCTTGACCTATTTGCGAAAGTCAGCTTGAGGTCCCCACATGTGCATCTATAATTTGATATGAGTTTCCCTGATATCGTACCAACGTTTACAAGCACTTCTGCAACATCATCCTTGTCCACTGATCCATCGTTATCCCTGTCGAGAACCTGAAACGCTTCTCTAATTTCTCGTAGTTGCGCCGGTGCTAATTGCGAGGCTGCATCGGATGAGCCTGCCGTCATACCCATAGTCCGGGCACCTAGCCTCGGTGAATTATCCGGTGAATAGGCTCCTCTTGTCGGTGATGCGGAAGGGGACTCTCTGGCAAACCGGGGCTGGGGAATCCGTTCCTGCTTAGTAGGCGAAGCATCTTCATGCTCCACAGTATATGATTGATTTAGCTTGCTCGGAGACACTACCGGAGTGTATCCTCGACTCGGGGAGCTCCCTGGGGTGCTGGGACGGATCCCGGTGGGCGGCGAGTTGGGCGTAGATGGGCGACGGAAGGGAGAGGTACGAGGAGAGCCGAAGGATAACGGTGACGGCTTGAAGGGAGTATTCGAGGTGACCTAGGTATATCACTATGAGCTTGGCAATGATGAATTGCGGGGGAGAGGATGCATCAATCATACCATGACGCAGGTACACCAGTGGAGGATGGTATCTGTGAAGAGGGTGTACTGTCCAATTCAACAAGGTATGGTGTCGCGAGAGGTATGCGTTGTTCAGTCCGCGATATCGATACCTGGTTTGGGTCTCTCTGTCAATGACTTGATATAACTTAAAAAGCACAATCACTTGGATCTAAATAAGTTTCCCAGAAAGGAAAAGCACCCAAACAACCGAAGCAAACAAACACTCGGCGACAAGTCGGCCCGATCCTTGGAAGGGCACGTGCGGGGAGCTTATCCGGAGTAGAAGCAGCATGGAGGCATTCTTGGAATTTTTGATAAGGAGCCAGCCAGTGCGAAATCCTTCCCATTTTTTGATAACGCGGACAAGCGATTGACATGCGAACATCATGACAGTCCTTTCGACCATCAATTGAATTCCTGATCATGGCGATGGTGGTGTTCCCGTGGAATTTCCCCGCTGTGGATCTTGTTGATCGGTACGTGCGGTTTCAAGTCTTGAGGCTTTCCATTCACACTCCCCTTTTCTCGCCCCTGAATCGGATGAATATAATGGTTGATCAACTAAACCTCCGAGCGATCTTCCCACCGTGGCGAGAATAACCCAACTGACAATGACAGCTTGAATGAGCAGTCGGTCCTCTTGGAGTGATTGATTTCAATTTTATCCGATTGAGTATGCGGTTGTTCCTTCGTTACTCGTCCCCATTGTCCGCCGGCCACCAGAAACTCTACATTGATTTGTCCGCGATCTAATCCGAAACATTCCACCCAAACTATCACCTCCTGAAAGGAAAAAAATGAGCCTCACAATCCCTCATCGACCATCCGATGACACCGCTCGCTCGCTTTCGACGTCTAGTTCTTCCAAGACGAATGGGTTACCCCGGTTATCGCCTTCCCCGTCGATCGTGCACAAACGATCCGTGAGCAACTCCGGTGCCTCAGTGCGTACCTATGAGCCAAACCTCGCCAGTCTTTCTGCATTTAAACCACGAAAATGTAAATCTCAATACCCTCAAGATTCGTCCGAGCGCCATGTCGAGTACATCCTCGTTGCCTCCTTTCACATTGACCGGGGTCCGATCATGGAACATCAGTACCCGGCCGCCATCAGCGGTGATGAAAGTATGTTGGCTGAGCTGATGCTCCCGGATCAAACTCACGTCCGGAGCCAAGATTGGACAATCTTTTTCTTGCACAAAGACTCCAATGCCGATCAGGAAGATGACGACTCAGTGAAGGGAGAGAAAAAGAAGAAGAAAAAGAAGACATCAGGCAGATCCCGTGACGGCGACGGGACCGATGACAGTGAGGAGGATCAAGTCGTATCTACTAAGGAAGAGGAGAGTAGTGATGAAGAGGAAGAGGGTGGCGAGGGACCGCCGTTGATGTATGTGTTGAATCTTGTAAATACAAAGCAAGACCATACAGTCAAAAGGTATGTCTCCTTTGCACTTTCTGGGGACGCAACGCGACTAACCGAACGAAAGAGGTGCGGTTGTAAAAGCCATGGCAATATGTACCCGTCACTCATTCCTCCATATATATAAGGTAGGAGGACGCCGTTAGACGCGAGGCAGGGTGATGTGAACTAACACCGAAACAGCCTCTACTTCTTCTGGCTCTGGAAGACTATTTCAAGAACCCATATCTGGAAACGCTAGCCTCGCTATATAATGCCCTGAACGCCATGGATCTTTCTCTGCTGCCCAAGCTGTCGCTTTTAGAGAGACAGATACTGCAGGGTAGTAACTGCAAGGATATGTTTATCGAAAAGTTTGAGCAGATGATCCGTCAACGGATAGAGGAGGAAGGCGGATCTTTCGACACGGACTCCCCGCCCTCGCCGAAGAAGACAATTAAGTACGCGCTTCCTCGGGATACTCACGAGTTTGAGTCGAAGATTGTTTACAACGACATTCCTATACCGGTCAAGGTCCCCACGGTGATCTGGCCTGAGGTGGTGGGCGATTTCTCTCTTATCAAGCTCATACAAATCTTTTCCGTCTCTCATAATACCTCCCCTCAGCCGTTCCCAATCCATCCTCATCTCACCACTAGTGGTCCCTATACCCACCCAATCATCGTCCTTGTCAATGCCATGTTAACCCAGAAGCGGGTAGTGTTTTTGGGCCACAACCGTCCTTCGGGGGAGGTTGCGGAGGCGGTACTTGCCGCATGCGCACTCGCGTCGGGCGGCATCCTACGTGGATTTACCAGACATGCGTTTCCTTACACTGATCTGACTAAGATCGATGATCTTCTGAAGGTCCCTGGCTTCATTGCTGGTGTGACTAATCCCACCTTTGCCAACCATCCCGAGTGGTGGGATGTGCTTTGCGATCTTCCCACAGGCAGAATGAAAATCAGCAGCCATATTGAGCCGGCGCCAATTACAGAAGGACTGTTATACTTTCAACAGCAAGCCTCATTGAACCATATCCATGCTTCGAACTTGAATTCGGACCCCACTGGAGACAGTCTTTTTATGGAAGATATTCAACGCAGCATTACCAACCGCTACGGTGAAAACGCCATTCGAGCCAAATGGCGCGCCTACATTTTGAAGTTCACACGTGTTGCTTCCGCCTTTGAAGAAACCGTGTACGGAGCATCGAATCTCTACATCATCGGGCCCAATGAAGAGCTGTCTCCAGAAAGTCCCAGTGGGGTTCAGGCGGACCCATTGGATCCCACCACACTGCGAGGACATGGCTATGTCTGGCCCGACGAGATATCAAAACAACGCGAATTAATGGCATCTGTCTCCCGTATCGAAGGATGGCGGACAACGCGATCATATTACTCTTTCATCCAAGATATCGCGGCCATGTATTATCCGGCCAGGCCAATCATGAAACCCGACCTTCACCACCACCATGAACGACTCCGGACCCTAAAGCTATCTTCGCCTGAAGCGGGGGCTATCTACATCGCATTTTCTTATGCTGTCAAAGACTACGCTGGTATTTGTCAGCTCCTTACGGTCACGCCGGAAAACCGGGCGGGCCTCTTCTACCTCAGCATGGGTCTATTCCACCCTGATCAGACCGTCCGTGAGGCGACAGTCGACCTCTTGGAGCGGATCAGCCAACACCCCGCTGGTCAGCACTTCTGGAACCAGCTGAACCGCTTCGCCAAACTGGCCTTCTTTCGCGTCAAGCGCGAACGAGACGCGCAGAGCCCGATTTCCGGGCCGGAAATGGGTTTCGGTGAACCCCGGAGTCTGATTGGGGTTGCAATGGGTGACGGGTCAAGATGAAGTTAGTGGATCTTGACCCTCTCCACCCCAGATACATCACGATTACGACCGTTCTATTTCTTTCTTATTCTTTATTGGATATGTTTATTTGATTCGCTTGGATATACCTATTGACGAGCCCCAAGACTCACCGCATTAGCATCTGACGGAGGGTTAGGATGATATTTGATGGCTTACGCTTGCTTTCGTGTCGATATTAATAAACACACATTACAATCCTATGGATTAGATTACATGAATTCTGTCTCTCATAATCAATCGTAGCTTTTGCAGCTTACATACTGTAGACTTGGGACGTAAATGACCGAGACGGGTTGGAAAAAAACCAATAACCCAATTATATAAATATATAAATATTATTACAATACAAAAACACAAAGAGAGAGAAAGAGAGGGAACGAAAGAAATAAGCAACCGCTGTCATAACCCATAACCGTGACCTAAGTCCGTTCGAAGCACCAAAAAAAAGGGCAAGGAAAAGAAAGAGGGGGAATATACAATTTCTACAAGACCAAACCAAACCAAAAGCCATACAAGAGTAACAATCAACACAACCCTAACACACCCACCGCAACAATCGAACCTACCAGCCACCGATCCGGGCGCACAACAGCCCACGACGCAGCCGACCTCGCCGCCTCCGCCGCAACCGTGATATTAGCGTTCGTGAAACTAACCCCACATTGAGAATTGATGGCCCTTGCAGACGGGAGATACGAGCGGGCGAGCGGCTGGCCTTTTTTCTGCGCCCACTCGCCGAAGACGTCCATGGATGCTTGGACGCACTTGTCGCAGGTGGGATAGGGCGGGTAGGTGAGGGTTGTGCCGTAGGGGATGGAGTAGACATCGTAGTCGGCCGGGCTGGAGCTGTTGGTGACGGCGTCAACGAAGCAGTAGGCGCCTGTGGAGGGGTTCTTGAGACAGGTGGCCCGGTACATGGGTTCGTAGATGATCATGTCGGTGTAGGCGTTTGTGACGATGGGGTTGCCTAGTTCGTAGTCCTTGGCGCAGGCGTCGGATTTGGTGATGCGCGAGGCGAGGTCGGACATTAGGGAGGAGCATTGGGATACGTCGGCGGCGCAGGCGAGGTCCAGCAGGCGGGAGGTGGCGGCGGCGGATTTGAGGGTTTGGAAGAAGGAGCTGGAGTCCCGGATGAACATGGAGAGCGCGTAGCAGCTGGTGAATTTGGAGTCGGAGAGGAACTTCTTGAAGAACTTGGGGCAGGTGTCGGAGGTGAAGTTGGTGGAGAGGTTGGTGTCGAATGGCGCGGGGAGGTCGCTGTTTGTTGATCTGGAAGACAAGGTTGACTGGGTGTTGTCGTCACGGTTTTCCTCCGGTGAGACGAGGATTGGCGAGTCCGTTGCCTCTTCATCATAGCTGCTGTCGAGCTGGACGGTGACGTCGCGGAGGTATGGTTCCGCACGTTCCTTGAGTGGAGTATCAGATACATCGTGAAGATCCTCGCCGACGATCTCTCCGCTGACAGACGCGAGAGAGAGGGCGGATTCTAGATCTGTCTGGACAACGGGTGGGATCACCGACGCAACGACCGAGGGGACCGCAATGACCGTCAGTAATAAATGGCGGAGACTGGGCAATCGCGTCTTTCGGCGAGGGCGCATGTTGCTGGTCTGCATACTTGACGCTCGGACAGTGGAATTCCACCGAGATTTCATCGGGATGACAGATGAATAAATGAATGGCTTGCCACAAATGGCATGTAAAGGAGCGTCACAATTGGTAAGGAGCGAAAGATAAAAAGAGAGACGAAGGTGAGATTATGATTATAATTATTATTATTATTGTTATGGAAGGGGCATGGTAGCAGGTTCACTGGCCACACACATTTGGTGGTTGGGAGAGCCAGGAGGTCAGAGGATGAGGTTGAAGAAAACTAGACTCTCTAGTACGTGCACCAACCCCCCGAACTTATAGTTAACTAGTGAAGGAATTAATCTAAATACGGTTATTAAAAAACGAACCCGAGAGAAATTCTGACAGGTAACGAGAACGAGGGAGAGGGAAAAAAAAAAAAGGGGAATTCAGCATCAAAGAACGGGAGGCACAGAAAAGAGAAGTCTGGACCGTCCACTAGACGGGGATTTATTCTTAGCAGTCGTGGTCATTGGTGGATCCTCGAGTTTACATTAGGTTATCGGCATTTTAAAATCAATAATAATCTCATTAAATTTATAAAATCTAATTAGAACTCAGAAAAAAACAGGAATGACAGGCGGGGAAATGAAAGGAAAAGAATCGGTGGATTTCATGGGATCATGTTAGGGTTGCATGTCGATGCCTGAATCTAGAACCATTTTTTGTCACCTGAAAAAAAGGGAAATCCTTGCATGGACTCGACCATCCAATTTCCTCCGTCATACTCTGTCTCCACCAAATGCATGGCTGTCTACCTATTTTTCAAGCCGGAGAGATCTATCTAGCTGTCTTTCCCTATCGCTGTTTCCTTTGTTTCCCTCCCTTGTATGCCCTGGATGAAATCACCCACGCTCCACAACCCATCCATCCCGAATAAGAGCGAGAACACCTATTGGCTCATTGCCCCAAGGTCGTATCCATGGTACCGGAGAAGTCCTTTTGTTGGTTCGATCGAAGGAACCCAGATCGCTTAGGTTAAAGCCATGCTCGGCTATACAGCCATCTCCACGTTGATCAAACCGCACTACAGCAAAAGGTTGAATTCCCCACTGCTGTACTGTCCCGAGCCAGATCCCGTTCGTGGTTATCGGTGTGTCATTCCACGACACTGAGCCGAGCCAGTGGAGAAGAGCGGAGACCAACTCGGGCGGCACAGCAGCAAGCACCGGGATTGTTTCGGTACGGGGGCTATCGCATTGAATGGTGCTTCATTTGGGCGTCGGTGGTTGCCCTGGAGTATACGGTTCGGCTTGCCAAGTTAAGGCAAGTTTGACGCTGGTCGACTCGAAGATTTAAATAGTAACTGCAGGCTGAATTTCTTCTCATGAACTCTCGGGCAAACAACATGACAATCATATAGCCTATCCCGAAGACTGTCGTCTCACACCATAACTGATATCACAACCTGTCTTGTTTCCTGCAGATCAGTTCATGATCAGTCACACCATGTGGCTGATCCTGGAGGGTCCTGTAAAACTTGAGTCGCGAGGCTGCTGCTGGTCTGTCCCCAATTCCTAGTCTCGAGGCAAGAAAGTCTTCGGGAAGGGCTTCCAAATATAACGAGGTCCTCTTATTTTCTCAATATTGTGACAGAACCCTAGTGCCAAGATGGCGATCCAGTACCAATGCCACGTTGCCCTTTGATCTGCAAAGACATGTGCGTAACGAACACCAGTTCGCCCATACTCAGGATACGCAGTCTTACCAGCTATATAATCTGGGAGTACTTCTTAGAAAGCCGAGGTCATACGGGCGATACGAGAATATTTATAAGCCTACAGAATCTTGATGTAGCCGAAATCAAGAGTAAATATGAAATCCCAAAATAAATCCATGTTATCTTGGACTAGTTAGATGGCAATTCCTGTTTTTCCCTCGACACAATAGGCTATTGGTAGCGGCAACTGTATAATTAATATCATCAAGAGTTCAGGTGTTGAGTAAAAATGGTTCTGCGTGACATATATCATCATGTCTTGCTGGTAAAGATCCAGTGTGGATTGAGTTTTGTAACGGGCTGTACAGCTATGGATAGCCCTAAACTACCATGGCTACTAGCGGATTAAGTAGCAAGAAGCCCCGATGGCTAGATTGCCCAACTGCCCTGGAGTTTTCCATTTGACGCTATCGGTAGCGATATATAGATGGGGAATCCCTTGAACACAGAGGCACAGATACAATAAAATGGTACGTGCCAAAGCTCAATCTGGTCCACATGAGGCTCGAGAATATCGCGCTGACCCCATTATGCAGCCAAGCCATATCCTAGCAATGATATTCTCTCTCTACTTCCTTATGAATGTGCTCTGTAGTCTCTTTTCTTATCGCTCGATAAAGCACGATGGGAATCCAACCCAACCGGCGACGCCAGCCAATCAAGACCCAGAGAATCTCATCCCACATTTCTATCCGACTGACTAAGAAACTTATGAATGCAGCACTTTCTGGCCGTTGACCGATTATTGACCCCTCTCGTGAGAATCAGCTTGCTACCGTGGACAACCTGTATCTTTGACTTACCCACCAAGTCCCTGCGTTAGCATCTCCGCTCCTTCACTATGTCCGCAGACCCTCTGGTCCCCGAGACTCGGGTCCTGGCCATTGCAAGCCATGTAAGTCACTCGGCCAAATGGGGCCAAGATCGCCATAGAGGGCAAGTTTGACTGATTCCGGATGCATAGGTTGTCTATGGGTATGTGTCCCATCGTGGTTGAGATCCCGGAGAATCGAATCGAGTCCCCCTGCTTCTCCAGATCTTACATCGCCCCGCAATGACTCCCCGCGGGACCATCTACCCAAACCTTATCATAGTTTGTAGTTGCTAATACCAGACCACCAGCTATGTCGGAAACAAAATGGCAACGCTGGTCATGCAACTCCTCGGCTGTGATGTTGCGGCCCTGAACACCGTCCATTTCAGTGAGTCAAGAGCCCACGCTTCCTGAAGGACCCCCAACATTGACATCTCAAACAGGCAATCACACCGGCTACGGCCAATTCAAAGGCACACGGGCAACAGCCGAGCAGATCACTGAGCTCTACGAGGGTCTATGCCAGAGCCACCTAACAGACTTCGACGTCATGCTCTCCGGCTACGCGCCCAGCGCCGCAGCCGTCGAAGCCGTCGGCGCAATCGGCATGGACCTGCAGCGCAAGGCCGAAAAGAACCCCGGCTCGTTCTTCTGGGGTGAGACACCTACACGATAGTGAACTGTAGTAGATCCAACTAACGCAACCCAGTCCTGGACCCAGTGATGGGCGACCAAGGCCGCCTCTACGTCAACGACGAAGTAGTCCCCGCCTATAAGAAAATCATCCACCACGCGGACTTGATCCTGCCCAACCAGTTCGAAGCAGAGTACGTCCAACGAGTCAAGTCCAAACCCCCAACTCCACCTTTCCTTGATCAGTGTATCCTTATCTCTAACACCCCGGCAGAGTCCTCTCCGGCACGAAGATAACCTCCCTATCCACCCTCGCCTCAGCCATAACCGCCATCCACGCCACCTACAACATCCCTCACGTAATAATCACCTCCGTCGACATCTCCAAATTCACCTCGCCATCCCGATCTACCTCCCAATCCGCGCCAAAAACCCTAACCATCATCGGCTCAACAACCCGCTCCGACGGCTCCCCGCGCCTCTTCCGCATCGACGTCCCCGCCCTGGACTGTTACTTCAGCGGCACAGGAGACATGTTCGCCGCGCTGATCGTCGCCCGTCTCCGTGAAGCCGTTTTCGCAGAGGACCCGGTCCTCCGAGGCACCAGGTCCTGGGTTTCACCTGATAGGGTCGGGGCGACGGATTTGCCGCTGGCGAGGGCGACGGTGCGGGTCTTGGCTAGTATGCATTGCGTGCTAGAGAAGATGATGGAGGAGCGGGATGCGGAGTTGAGGGCTGTGGATGCGCGGGGGGATGAGGGGTTAAGTGAGGAGGAGAAGGTGAAGAGGGTGCATTTGAGGAAGAGTAAGGCGGCAGAGGTGAGGCTTGTACGGAATGTGGGGTTTTTGAGGGAGCCGACGGTGGTGTTTGAGGCGGTGGAGTGGAGAGAGGAGGATTTGCCGGGTTTCAGTAATTAGCTAGATTGATAGATAAATGGTGCATGTTGCATGTTGCTTGATTATGATATGAGATGAGATGACATGATATGATAGATGGAGATTATTAGATGGTGGCTTTATCTATAGCTGTATATGCTTTTCTTTTCACTTGACTATATATTCTACTCGGTGGATATGTATGGCCCTAAGAGTATATCCGTCTTGTTGGTGTTACGAATATGGAATGCTGTCCATTTCTAAATATCCCGAAAGTTTGTAAATGGGGAAATGCAAATTCTTTTTCTATAATCCAACGCCAACCCAATTAAATCCCACACCCGATCGTTCATTTCATCATGGGTATCTAGTTAGCACCGGTGCTACCGAATCCGCCGGCGCCACGCACGCTCTCCTCCAGCTCCTCGACGACCAGCACTTCGGGGGTATAGATCTGCGTCCACGCATTAGCACCTAACTAGACAGAAAGGAGCCGGAGAGGAGGGGAGAGGAGGGGGGGGGGGGGGGGGGGGGTACGGGTATGGGAAACAGAAGAAACTCACCCTCTCCACGATAAGCTGGGCAACACGATCGCCGACATTGACGGGGAAGTCGACGTCGGAGTGGTTGAACAGCAGGACCTTTACCTCACCGCGGTAATCGGCGTCGATGACACCGGCTCCGGTGTCGATGAAGTGCTTCGCGGCCAGCCCGCTGCGGGGTGCGATGCGGCCGTCTGATTCAAGGGACTCATTAGCGAATACTCGTTTCAAGGGTGTTTTTCGTTGTGCAAAAGTTCAGATGGGGGGCGAATAGATAAGGCAAGAAACAAGTAAACATACAGGTTCCCTCCGGCACGGCAATGGCAATGCCCGTGTCGACGAGCGCCTTGCCCTTCGCGGGAATCACGGTCTCTTTGGCACTGTACATATCATAACCGGCAGCGAAGGCCGAGCCGCGGGTCGGGGCGCGGCCAGCATCGTTCAACTTCTTGATGAGGAGAGGGGGCAGAGGCTGCGAGATGGAGGTGACGGGGGTGTTGTTGGTCATGGTGGAATCTTCGGTGTTTGGCTTGGTGCGCTTGGCGAGAGGTGAGGCTGGGAGGGAGGGAGGTTCACGGGATGTGGTTTCGGTCGTTGTTGGAGGGGGAGTGGTCTCTTTGGTCATGATGGATGTGAAGCGATTGAGGCGATTGAAGAAGAATTGTTGGTGATGAGACAGTTGGCCGATGCGCGTCAAGGGCACGCGTATCGCGTTTAATGGGCTTGGCGGCATTCTGTTTGTTTCTTTTGCATCGATGGGAATCACTAATGAGCTGAAGGATTTGAAAATTTCAGTGGTACAAAAAATAGATCTACGATTAGTGTAAGCTTTGTGACACGGTATGGTAAACAAGAAGTTTTAGCCAATGACAGCGTCCCTATTGGGGAAACGAAGGTTGTAAGTTCAACTTTTGTATCGCTCGGTGACAAATTTGCAACCCTGGATCCCAAGGCTGTTGGGAGATTACCGAACACGCCTGCCCCGCAAATATGCCAACGAGCCTCGGTCCGGAGCTGCACAGGGACATGCTTGAACGGATCTTCTTGCATTTATTGCCGGTTCCTGTCTTCAGAATGTCCACACCCGGATTTGCTGCGACTTGGCCATCTAGCTTGCAGGTAATTTAATGGTACATCGGAGAATCCTATCATTTTACCTGCTTTATTTTATCATATCGGTCGGCCATGGCTGGAGCAGTGCGCCAGTCAATTGACCTTCCGTCCCTGGAACGGTATATCGATCAGAACGTACCCGACATTAAGACGCCGTTAGATGTGAAACAAGTGAGTCTAGTGGGCCTTGATCAAGTGGTGGATGAATGAGCACGATCTGATCCCTCCCCACAGTTCTCCTTTGGACAGTCCAATCCCACGTATCTGCTTACCGGTGCCAATGGAGGGCAGTACGTCTTGCGGAAAAAGCCCCCGGGCAAGCTCCTGTCCAAGACGGCGCACAAAGTCGAACGGGAATACAAAGTCATCCACTCCCTAGAGCAGACTGATGTCCCTGTACCGAAGGCATACTGTCTCTGTGAGGATAGCAATGTGATTGGGACGCCGTTCTATATCATGGAGTTTTTGGACGGTCGGCTCTTCACCGATCCTGCGATGCCGGGAGTCAGTGTTCAGGAAAGAAATGCATTGTATGTGTGCCTCCTACGTCATAGGGCGAGGGAATTCAACCACTAAAACCCCCCTGCAGGTGGAAGGCAGCTGTGCAAACCTTGGCCAAATTTCATCGAGTCGACCCTAAATCAGTCGGCTTGGAAAGGTTCGGAAAGCCGTCGGGATACTATGATCGACAGATCTCCACCTTTACCGCGGTGTCCAAAGCGCAATCTCAGGCGGTGGATGTGGAAACCCAGGAGCCCGTGGGGGAACTGCCGCATTTTATGGATATGGTGCGCTTCTTCTCGAATAAGTCGTCTCAGCCGAAGGATCGAGGCACGTTAGTTCACGGTGATTACAAGATCGACAATATGATCTTCCACAAGACTGAACCCCGCGTCATCGGCATCCTGGATTGGGAAATGGCGACCGTGGGGCATCCACTCTCGGACTTCTGCAACCTCACGAGCCCATATTATCTGGATGGCACCGATCACACCACGGAGAGCTTCCAACGGGTGCCTGGATTGCCCGCGCGTGATGACTGCGTGCGATGGTATCGCGAAGTGGCTGGCTGGGACCCGACGCCGGACCTCCCCTGGGGGGATGCATTCTTTGCCTGGAGGCTTTCGATCATCCTGCAAGGTGTCAAGGCTCGATACGCACTGAGACAGGCAAGCAGCGCTCAAGCGCATGAGCATGCCAAAAAGACGACCCCGTTTGCGTTGGTAGCTTGGGAACGGGTCGAGGCCGTTCAGAACACAATGCGTCAGAAAGGCAAACTGTAGCTCTTCTTCTATTTTCCGACCAATCGAATCCGACCGCTAGAATGAACCTAATGTGGATCATGCTCCTTGACCTGTAGCGTAACTATAGACTACTAGTAAAGGTATATGCGATAAGCCAAAGGGGTTGTTGTTCTCATAACGGGAGTGAGTGGGGATTGGGGATCGATCCATTGGTGCAATTGTCGGGTATACTCAGTTGGGTTGTGATCTATACCAAAACTAAAACCATACGCAAGCACGATAATGCAAGGTCAAACAAATGACGAATCGAGTACATTCTTTCCATGTGTAGAACGTAAGCCGGGATCAGTTGTCGTCGTAATTGGCAGGCTTTTTACTAGTTGATCCTTACGTTTTGAATTTGGGGATGATAGGGTAAACCCTTCGGAGATTCGGAACGAAGAGACTCGTATATGCGCCAAGGAACTAGCGAACCAGTGAACTGTCACCAACGCAGTGTCAGCAGTGAGCCGCTTGGACCATTGATCAAATAATTGGGTGCGGCTCATGTGCTTTGTTTTCCTTGTTGCCTCATGTCATGGTAGAAAGAAAGAGAAAATCGGGCAACTCCGGCAAACAACAACAAAGTATTTCGTCTTACACACTCTCTCTCATTCTCTCTCTCTCTCTCCCTCTCTCTCTCTCTCTGTCTCTCTCTCTCTCTCTGTGTGTGTGTCTCTCTCTCTCTCTCTCTCTTTCTTTTTTTTTTTTTACTTTTTCTTTTTCATTATTTATTTCGTCCCTCCGAAAACAGGATTCACATCCTCGAAGGAGAGGAAGCCGTCTAGAATAGCCTAACAGGGGAACCGACGGACAGAAAGGTGCTCACTTTGACACAGTGGGGCGTTTTGGGGACTTCTTGCCTCCAAATCACACCCACTGGCCCACACCGTTGAACAACCATCCCACACTGACTGAGCAAAAAAGCCCCGATCTGCTAAGCGATCCCTGCAGACTAGTCATCGTTTCGATGGCCGAACGGCGCGCCTCACACCCGCTTTACGTTTTTCATTTATTTTTCTCTATTCAATTTATTAAATGATCAACCCGATAGTTACCATAATCATGCACCATATGATGTCAATAACGGGCCATGTTATGAAAGACCGGAATGCTTGATAAATTAAAACACTAAGATGGTAGGGGAAGGGATGGACCCTATTGTAACTTTTTCCTATAATATTAAGATGAAAATGGGGCCCGGAGCGGGCCGCGTTTGTACTTGGGAAGTTGGGGGCAAGATAGAGAGAGAGGGAGTGTTTTAATTTCCAGTGGTGCGGTGCAAGTATCCGATGCCTTGTGTTCTGGACGGAGTATACGGAATTATCCCATCACCCGCAAAGAAAGAAATGTTTGTTTGATTTTCTATTCAATTTAGAATCAAACCTATAGATAGTGTGGCCCGTTGGGGGTAAAATAGGCAGCATTGAATCTGAAGAGGCTGGAAGAACCCAAAAAAAAAAAAAAAGAAAAAGAAAAAGAAAAAGAGGGGGGGGCCGACCAATTGCCAACCAATACTTCTGAATCAAATCTAGGCGAAGCATCCATGATATGTTGGACAGAGAAAAAATCTGGCCATGTTCTGCATCCTGCTGATGGATCTGCAATCAAGGGCAGAAAGATCGGCGAGGATACCCAGATGAGGCGCCATACCATCCTGAGTAAATAGTAGAATTCTGCCATCGTATATTAAAAGCCGAGAAGAGAAGGAAAGAGAGAAAGAAGAAGAAAGAAAGAAAGAAAGAAAAGAACATTGTATGGATTATCAATTGTTGTTGTCGTGTAGAAATGTGGAAAATCCGTGGCATAGATATGTATTCGTATTCGTGGCTTGATGCTTGTTGTTATACTAGCGCCCTCTATTAAACTGTCCGTCGAGAGAAGCGTCGTACCGTGGACGCATCATGACTGACGAGCCATGATTAACTCTTACAGGCAACCTACAGTAGTGCGAGGAGCCAAGTGGAGAACGGTCCAAACGTGGGGCTACATCGCTGGCCCGATCATTTCCTGCAGAGTGACAGTGCCGTAGCACGAATTTCTCCCCCTCCTCCCCTTCCGTGTGCTGATGAGTCTCTTCTGAACCTTCTTCCCTTGAATATTGTTTTACAGCCTCACACCAAACACGCGTGATTCTTCAGGACCACACTAACAAAATTCCCATGCAACAGTGCCCAGTCTCCATATCTTCTCTTTGAAGGAAAGGGAGGGAGGGGGGGGTGGTGGTGGTAACATCGGGAATCTTGACTGGTCGCAATCAGAATCAAACGGCAGTTTATACTAATAGATAGACCTTGGTCGTAGCGGATGACTATCTAGGATCGACTTCTAATATCTTCCAACCCAAAAAAGAAGAAAACAATAAATTAATCACTAGAGATACCAACAACGGCAATAACAACAACAACAATAATAATCACAATAATAAGTCGTGATAGTAATTATCAGCCCCAAATCAATGTTGAACTCGGACATCGTAATATCGGGGAATTCGGAGTCGGGGAATCAGAACTTACTTGAGGGTCATGCCCCTTTCTACTCACTCTTCGGTAACCTGAGTCCTGACCTTCTAGACTTTTTATGGATTTTAGATATGATTGGGTTCTAACATATTTTTTAGAGGTCCCTAATTATTGGAGAATACTATTTTTCTCCGCCTCCTTAAATTTATCCTTTTCAATATTGGTAGTATCTGATTGAATGTAATGTGATTGGAAGCCTTGCTATGATTAGGGATAAAGATATGTGTGGCGGTCAAGCCAGGCAAGGGGAGTGAACAGTCTTGTCGCCTTAAGACACTAACGCTGTCGGAGAAATTCTGGTCGGATGACTAAGGCGGCAATAATACACGACAGTAACGTACGAGGATAGTGTCGAAACACAGATGAAGGATTGAATAGAAGAAAAACAAAAGCAAAACAGAAACAATACATATATAAGTAGAAAACAAATGTTAAGGCAAGCTCAACTCCATCAACGATGGAACCCATCGGCAAGATGAGGTCGGAAGCTGCCCGTTGGACTCGTCGGGGACCAAGATCTTCAAGCGAGTGCCCAAAGTTCTATGGCGATTCGATGCAGAGAACCCAGTTCAGCCTCCTCGTTTTGGCCGTCGGGTCCCCGCCAATCACCGTGCACCCGCTGAGAGCCTCAAAAGTGTCCGAATCATTTGGGTTTAGTGTCGTTGTGGAACTGCGGCTGGTTCGGCCTCGTGGATGTGCCATGAAGAGGGTATTTGCGATGGGGAAGGGGGTTTCCAGTGACAGAGAAGGCAGTGGTTGAGTCAGGAATTCATTCCCCCTTTTTTCCCATTGATATCTGACCGGAATACTTCCCACAGGGCAGCTTCTGTAAGTACCTTATTTTTTCATCCGTCTCTCAGGTTACCCTCCCAGCTTCTTGTCGTGTTCTCATTTCTCTCCCCTGGTGCTCACCCCCACTTTGTTTTTGGCGCATCTGGAGTCAGCCTCCAGCCCGCCATCACTCTCCGGCCGTCTCCATCCGCATCGACGACTATTGTTTCTCTTGGAATTGAATTCCGGAATATCCAGAGAGAAGGAGGATTCCTGACTACCATTTCCCTCCCCCTCCCCCCCGAGGAGAGGGCTCAAGAGTCGACTGACGGGACATTGTGTGTGTGTGTGTGTCTCTCTCTCTCTCTCACTCTCTCTTCTCCACCTGGGCCCGGCTTCCAGCTCGGCCGGTGGTGGATACCTTAAGATTCCTTCTCCTCAATGAGAAAGAATCCTAGCTGGCTTAACTAAAAATCCATCCTGACTGTGTCTTAATTTTCTTAATTACCATTTTTGTTATTTATTACTTATTATTTTTCCCCCCCTTCTCTCTCCCTCATCCCATCCTCAGTTTACTCCCCGGCTGACCGCTTCGAAGTAAAATAGAAAAGCCAACCTTTTGCCAGGCGGTCACTCCCGCTCACACGATTAGCTTCATTTCCACACCCTCGCCCATCATTCATTACTTTATAATTCGTTTATAATAGTAATGGCATTAAGAAGCCATTGCTGCGATTACTACCACTGACTATTATTATTGTTCTTTATATTATTATTGGGGACGGTAGTATTTCTCCCATTTTCTCTTTGGTCTTTTCTTTCTTTCTGTCTTAATTATTATTTTTATCCTTATTATTGCCGTGGTTATCCTCAATTTCCCTTCCCTTGGCTGTCCCATCGGACAATCATTGCTACTTGCAACCACGGGCGCTACTTTGAGATTATGATTTTTCCATAAACCACTGTTGTTGTTTGTTTTACCCTCCTTCCCCCCCCCCCCCACCTTGTTTCGAAAGTCGGCGGCTACTACGGTATCGTCTGGATCATCACCGTTGTTACCATCGCATATCTGGGATATTGTTCCATCCTCCTTACCGTTGGGCTGGTCCGCCACTACCCACCTCCTTTAAACCTATGTGCATCTTATGCGGACGCTGCATCATCCCCATATCCTCAATTGTGACGTGCAAATTGTCTCCGATTGAGGCTCATTTTTAGAGCCGGCGGGTGCCTGAATTTTGCCGTGTACTCCGTGTCTCAAGATCCTTCAGCAGGTGAGCTTATTCTGCATCTCAGTATCCACGGTTTTCCAATCCATTTTTTTTTTCTTGGGTACATTTTTCCTTCTATCTACCCTGTCCCCGGCAAGAGCGGCAAAACTGGGGCTTCTTAAGGATGAAAACAACAAGGACTCCACACCCCTAAATCGCATCTCATTCCTGTTCCTGTTCTAGGAAGGATGTCGTGGTGATTGGCCGAATGTCAGGTGGTCTCTCCGCCGTCATGGTTGCACTCCAACTTGCGTGTCATCGGAGTTTAATGGATCCCACAATCGCTTCCCAAACGAGCTATTGCTGGCCCTAGTAGTCGCCGCAGTTATGATCTTCTGGTTTCTGTCTCATTTTTTCATTTCCCTTCTTTCATTTCTTGCCTTTGACATGGGGTCGTTGCGATGAGCTCCATATGCTTCCGTCCTTGATCGACATTCTTCTCAAATCCCTGTTCAATGAACACATCTGCGTATTCTGTACCATGCGTGTTCCTAGTCTGATTCGTTGCGGTCATATCCGCGTTCTATGCATCTTGTCGTACACGTGCTAACAAGCTACAGGATACCTGGGTGTTCGTTTGATTGGCACAGTGCGCCCCAATCTACCCAGTTCATTTCTATTGTGGGCGGACAGGTTGGGTTCTGAGCCGGAATTCAACGGATTCAGAAGTGAAGGGTAATTCAAAGAAAGCCCAGAGTACATTATAGAAGGTGTGGCGCACCTGATGCGCCCAAAACCGCCGCCTCCATGACAGAATCATATGATCCCGACGAAGACCGTCGTTCTCCCGGGCTGGAGATGACGAGGCCGGACTACAAGCCCCACAAGGACCCGACTCCTCCTTTTCTCCTGAAGGAGCTCAAGGAGTCCGAGAGCAATTTTAAATATTCTACAGGCGAGGGAACACCGGACTGTTCCCGTAAGAGCCATTCGAACCCATTCCAGCCCGAAGAGACTGTGGCCAACTCGGTGCTGATCAGCGTTTTAGAGCCAAACCGACCTGATATTGCCTATTATGAGAGAACTGACCCACTTCGTCCAGAGCACTTCCATGACATTCCCTGTGAAGATCCACTGGAGAAGATTAAGCCAGAGAAACTAAAACCAGAGAGCCCTGTGGTGGAGCCGGCAAAGCCTGCAGAGCCTCAATCGGAAACGGATCCGAGTGAAATCGCGCACGGTGCTCTGCAACTACTGGAACTGCCAAAGCCTAGTGATGAACCTTTGGAGTCTCCGGTGGTCCCTGTGAAGCCCCCCGTTCTTTCTCCGGACGAGCATGTGGTGACAACAGAATTGCCTTCGCCAAAGCCTTCCCAGCCACCGCTGGCCGCTGCCAGTCTCCCAGACAAGAAACCGTTCGGGCCGCCATCACCTTTAAGACAATTTGAAATACACCCGACGCAGGACATCTTACCGCCGTTCCACTCCCCAGACAATACCACTACCCTTCCCCCCATTCAGACCGCACTGCGTGGGATCCCCCATGTAAAAGAGCCTCCTATACGCGTTACTGGGTCATCTCCATACTCTCTACCGCCAGTCACAGCGAGTTCTCCGCCCGGATTTAGGTGTGATCTTGCTGTTTGGGAGAATCAACGACCGGGCCAGTTTGTTCCCCCTCCGAGCCCTTACTCGCATTTGTCACCCGCGAGTACAAAAGATCTGTCCGCCGTGTCTTCCCCAGCCTCGCAGAACTCGTATTGGAGATCTCACAAATCGGACATACCTTACATCACCGCCACTTACGACATGCCACATCCGACAGCCAAAAGTCCTGCAACGAGCTATCCAACGCCCACCGATCAGACTCCCGTGGGGACGTGTGACCGGACCCCATACCATCCCCATTCGCAGCCTAATGGAGTAGTCCCGACGGCAGCGTATAAATGTCGTCATCCAGGGTGTACCGCCCCTCCTTTCCAGACGCAATATTTATTAAAGTAGGTCGCCGATATTGATGTGAACTTAGTCAGCTGTTTATTTATCTTTTGAGCCGAAGCTGATTCAGGACAGCTCGCACGCAAATGTCCATTCACAAGATCGCCCTCATTTCTGTCCCGTTGATGGCTGTCCTCGGGGGTTGGGTGGGAAAGGGTTCAAGCGCAAGAATGAGATGATTCGACACGGCCTTGTCCATAACTCTCCGGGCTATGTGTGCCCTTTCTGCCCCGACCAACAGCATAAATACCCAAGACCAGACAACTTGCAACGGTAATATCCTCTTGTTTCCTCTACGCACCTACGATGGATGTACTAACGAGATTAGGCACGTGCGAGTCCATCATGTTGACAAGAGCAAAGATGACCCGGCGCTCCGGCAGGTTCTTTCCCAGCGGCCCGAGGGCAGCGCGCGAGGACGACGCCGTCGGGCCAACACTTAATAAATGATATATGAAAATGTGCACCACACGTGTCGACCTTTTTCCTTCTTTCTTTTTTCTTTTTTCTCTTTTGGTTTGCTGCCCGTGAGAAGATGGCTTTCTCACTATTGTTGAGAATGACGCGGTCATCTTCACGATGTTTTGTGCTCTGTTTTCTTGTTGTTGTACACTGTGCATGCATTATGAATCCCTGCCGTATTTCCTCATACCATTCTCTTCTTTCATCTGCTTTTTTTTCCCCTGTCTAGCCCTTGTTTGCTTGTTCGAGATACCAGATGTCTAGAGTTACGAGTCATTTATCGGTTGTCATTCGTTTCGTGTCCGGATATACGCCATGTTCATGAAGGATAGGATATGTACAGGATTCGCGGGTGGGCGTCTAGTGATTTGTTTTCTTCTAAAATCCTTTGTCATGTTTGGAAGTCTGTTCTCTTACAATTCCATCTAGGAAGCCACGGAATGGTGATGAGGCTCCACTCTGATCAAGAGGTCAAAAAGTGATAGCCCGCTAAATTAGCTCGACAGAAACACACACGTTCACCGACCCAAAATCTCTTCTAAAAGTACAGTAACAGACCCCCCAGGATCCTTTATCCATCCAGCCCGTATTTTCCCTTTTTTTATTATTTGCACATTTTGCACGTATATGCAGGGAGAGTATATACCCACCAAACAACAATCAACAATAAACACACACACACACACACACACACACACACACACAAACCCAAAGCAAACAAAGAAAAAGAAAGACAATCAAGAACCCCTCCTATGAATCCTCCTCACATGATCCTTCATATTATCCACCCGGCTAAACATCCTCCGACACCCCTCCCACTCACACGCCACAAGCGGATTATGCTTTGCCTCATGCCTATCCCGATCCTTCTTACTCGAGAACCCTCCGGCCACCGCCTGCGGACACCCTCCATGCCGACAAAATAGATGCTTCCGATGTCGATTATAGTGTTTGCGTAAGTCACACCCGCGCCGGAAGATCGTCGACGACGAGCACCCCGGATACGCGCACCGCCATGTTTGGTCTGCGTTGCGGATGCCGTAGTTTGTTAGGTCTTTCTGGCTGTTGTTGGAAGACGGGTAAGGGTGTGATAGGGGTGTTTGGGCTTGGGCTGGCGGTGTTGAGGTCATGGATGCTGATGCCAATGCTACGGCGGAGGTTGTGCGTTGGGGGATGTAGCTTGGAGCTTGTGCTTGTTGTGCCTGTGCGTGCGAGCTGGTGGTGGTGTTGTTGTAGTAATCTGCTGTTGTGCGGATCCAGTCGCTGGGTTGGAGGAGGTAGTCTGGTGTACTTGTATTGGGGATTGGGATTGGGGTGGTGTTGGTGGTGATGTCGAGGATGGGGTGGAGGGAGGTTGGTGGAGGGGAGTCGGAGTAGTCGTAGTCGTAGTCGTAGGGGGAGGGGGCATTGCCGTAGAGGAGGTTGTCGAGGTCGGGTGAGTGGAGGTGCATTCTGTCCATGCTGTAGGGGTTTATGTCGGGCATGGGCATGTCGGGGAGGACGTAGTGTTGGAGGGTTGGAGGCGTGTAGATGTGGGTGTGCTGCGGGCAGGAGGGGCAGCAGGGGGTGGGTGGTATTGGGAGGTTGGTTTCGGGCGTGCTTCCAGGGGATATGGGGTGTTGTTGTTGTTGCTGGCGTTTGGAGTGGAGGTTCATGGTGAGGTGCGCTTCCGAGGTATAGTCTGGTGGGGAGAGGTGGAAGGTTGGAGTTGGGGTTGGGTCCATGGCCCTTGGTGGTGATGCGATTGTATTGGATTGGATTGGCAATGGTGGTGTAAATGTAAATGTAAGTGTAATTGTAAAATGTGGATTGTAGTTAATGTAGGACTAGTAGCTAGGTCCTAGGGCTATATCTATATATGCGGCCAGTCGATGCAGACGTCCGGTTCAATTTCACCATCCGAAAAGTAAAGGTGAGGGGATATAAAGATAATAAAATAAGATGGAAACGAAAAAAAGGCCACTAATAATATATGCTACGTCTATTACCTTTTCCGAACTATACAGTGACATCAACTGGGGGTCCACGTTTAGAGACAACCGTTTGGAGAGTAAGACGTGGTGGCTATGCGGCTTTTTTTGCGAGCTGACCTACAGGGTTAGTTGGACGGAGCCAATGTTCTGGGTGAGTTCGTGTCTGGGCTGACTGCTCCTACTAGATATCCAACGGATTGCCATGCTTTATTGGATTAGTTTAGAATTAGTTCAATTTCATTCGACCAATCTCGAGTTTTGGACCTGAAAAAGTGGTCATTGGGGAACGGGGGTAGCGTCGTCCACGTGCATGCAGAAAGTCAGCAATTCCGAAACATTGAGAATCCTAAACTCAAGACAGGAACGAATAAGAACTGGATCAACTAGTTGCTCCCACTGAGACATTGCGTGCGGGGGACTCAGAAGTGGACTCCTTCTCAATCGGTACATGTCAAGTCCAAGTCACCCAGAAAAAAAAGAAAAGAAAACGGAATTCCATACTTTCCTTTTTGGCAAAAATTATTCTTAGTAGTAGTGCATTCATCCAGTTGGTAAAGTCTCAAACCACGAGCCAATGAGATGACAGCTATCCTGCCGAGTGGCTCACTGTGATTTGCTGGCTCGGATAGAGATCTACCACTGCCATGGATACGTTCCCACTTCCCTCCCTGGTAGGGCTGAGAAAAGTCACGCCGAGACCATGGATAACACTGATGCTTAGTCGCATGATGGTATGAGCCACGAGTCGTCGGTTGTGACTGGTTGAGAGTCGTGCAGCAGTCACCCCGTGTTCGGCATATCCTGGGAGCCATCCGTGGATGGTGTGAGTGACGGGCGTGCTCAAGAGCCTCACCCCCCGGAGATGTCCTGGACCCAGAGATTTGGACCTAGACCCGGGATCTCCGATGAGTATCTAACCCTCGCATTGGGGATAGGAAATAACACTCAGTTGTCATGAATAGGGAATAAACAATATCTACGACTCTGCATAGACAGATTCAGGCCCCCCGCGCAAGGCTGGGGCTTCAAAGCCAAAAAATGGTCGATCGGCGCCATGGCTGTGACCGAATCCAGTTACGTCCACCGCTCCTCGGGTCACGACGGATAAGCCTCATTCCCACCGTTCTTGCAGAGATATGCATAGATTCGGCTACCGTATTGGTGGATTCCCCCATGTGGGGATGTAAGCCATTGGAGAAATAAGCAAACAATGCGCCACCACAGAAGCCAAAGAGCGGTGTCACTGCTTGATAGGTCTTCTTATCACCTACGAGGAAACGGGATCTATCCAGCTGAAGACCATTCTCTCTGGCCCCACACACAAAAGTCTTCGCTTCTATCAATTCATGTCCTTGATCCTGCAGTCGTCAGGGAATCCTTTGGACTTTTATCATGACTCAGCCTTTCGACTCTAGCAGAACCACCAGTATACCAAGAAAGACCTATATAGTTCTACCAATTTATCACGCAGTGTGTCTTCCATCATCTATCATAGCGAAGCCCTCTCATGCATCTTCCGCTCTCGGTACACCATTAGACTCGGACAATAAAGGGGTAGTAACGTCCGGCCCTGGGTACTTGTCTACATGGTCGTCCGCATCTCTATAGAGAATGTAGTGCTGAACCATGAAGAGAAAGTCAAAAAGGATCGAGACATTCGATAGAAGAAGCTTGACGGGGTTGCCGGTGATGCCGCTCCAATCATCTTGGAAACTCGAGTCGATGAACAGTTGGATGAGAGATAGCATCCCGCCCGCTAAGTCCAAAAGGATTTGTCCGATATGCCAACCTTGGGTGGATTTCCGCTTATAGTTTACCCAGGCCTGAGGCACGTATTTCGTGATCGTGACCAGCAATTTCACATATGATAGGCTGTATACCTAAAATAGATGAGTCGGTCCATTAGCAACAAGCATGCCTATCTGGCTCTTTAGCTGCTTACGACGTCGATCCATGCCCAGGTCGATGGATCATAGCCCCCATCGGGGCTCTGCCCCAGGACAATGAAGATTAAAATAGTAACCGCCACAACACAACCCCAAAACATTCCAGCGACCGGCTTACTAACTCGCTGGAAGCGCGAAACATTAAACCCCCATACTATGGGCCAAAATTGGGTGTAGGTAATAATGCTTAGGATGACGGCGTGGACAGCAAAGACAAAGTCATTGAAGCGGACGGTCGACTCTTCAGACCTGGGGTAGCGAGCGGCATACTGCCGATGAATCGCCGGAGAGTAAAGAAAGGCCGCTGTATACCCGGTGTAGCAGATATATCCCAGAACGTTGATGGTCGGGAAGTCAATAGCTAACCCAAAGGTTGAACTTCGCTGGAAGTTGGTGATCGGTTGAGGATAGAAGGATGCAGACCAACATATCGTACTGAACAGGTTAGTCGGTTTCTTCATGCACCCAACATACCGAAAGTTGAGGAGATTTTGATATAAAACGAAGACATACTAGATCCATCCTAGAAGGCTAAATCACGGACCATATTAGTAATGTTCAAATCGGGAGGTGCGGATGAAGGGGTAGTCAACTGTACATACCGCGAAAGGGCCTTGATGAACATCTCAACCTGAGAGGACATGGTCTCGGAATCAGGCAATCTTGACAAGGTGAAAGTCGTAGACGAAGCGAAAGGAAAGAATCAGACCAAAGTTCCAACTCTTCGGAAGATCAGAGCCTCCCTGTCTTAGCGGTGACTAGATGTGAGGTATCAGGCCCTCTCGCCGCTTATCATTTCAGCTTGCAAAGTGAAACGGGATGGTAGAGAGGTTACTACTAATTCCACTGAGGATAATGAAGAGTCTGTGCATTTGACCCCTCTCCGCCTGATCTCTGAACAGAATTAATTAACGAAGGCCGAATGGTCGACTTCGTCATTGATTGGGGAAGAGTCCGCGGATAAGATAAGAACCCCGGCACGCGATCCCTCCCCGGAGTAGCAGGCGGTCTGTGGGGCGAACGTAGCTGAGTCAGCGGCTGGTTGTCCTGGATATGCGCTGGCACGCTAAACCCTAAACGGCAAACAGTTGATCGGAGCTGGAAGAATCCCCCATGCATCTAATCTACACTACATTCCAGCCTCCACTCTCCCCGACTGTGGTAGACAAGACTGAAACCCCTGTTGGTACGTTTGGTCAATGGATGGACTTTTTTGGGCTTGGATCTAACGGTGCAGGATTTCATCGTCATTTAGCCCGGTTCTCCATCTTCTCGTCCTCCTTCACCGTCCCCGCATTGCTTTCGTCTTATTATCCACACCACCAGCCTGAAGCGCGTACGGCGATAAACAATCAATCAGCTGGATTGATAATACTAGGTTATTGTGCTCGTTGCGGCTGATACCAATCATCTATCTGGTCATAAACCTTTCGCGTTCAAATCAATATCTCTTGCTGGCGCATGGTGCATTCTCCGGAGTGGGGGATCTATTAGATCTCCTTCGGTAATCGATTCCGACATTCCTGCGTCATAAGATCGCCGTTCGAGAGAATACATTGGCGTACTGCCGGAAGATACAGAACCGCTTGGAAATCATGCCGGACAACTCGGTCCTCTCGGCTCCCGGGAGCAGCACGTATGCCTCAGATACTCTACATGTCGGGGACGGGACATGGGACGCAGGCCGCGACACATTCCTCCTGCCGAACTTGATGGGGATCAATTTTGACACAATGCGGTACAATGGTAAGTGTGCTTTTGGATGCAAGGAAGCTCTTTTTCTCATATTGATGGCAGGCATGGGAAACCGATTCAAGGATATGCCCGAGTACCATACCCTGATAGTTGTACATGGTGTGATTGGGACAATCGTGTTCCTGGGCCTTGTTCCGATATCCATCCTGATCATTCGTTACTACTCTCGATGGAATCCGTTCGTGGCTTTCAAGTTGCACGCCTGGTTCCAAGTCTTGACCCTACTGCTGAGCACGGTGGTGTTCGTCCTCGGATGGTTTGCAGTCGGACCGGAAAGAAGCCTAACAAACCCACACCATGGAATTGGACTAGCGATATACGTGATGGTCATCTTTCAGGTTCTGTGGGGCTGGATGCTCCATAAAATAGAAAGCAAACGTCAAAGATTCCGTGTGCCATTGAAGTTAGTGGTAAGAGAACAAAATACTCCCAAGCACATTACTTTCAAAAGCTGACAACATATACATCAGATTCACCGATGGCTCGGCCGCGCCCTAGCCATCCTAGGACTGATTCAGATTCCCTTGGGACTCACCCTTTACGGCTCGCCTAAGGTGCTGTTCATACTATATTCAATCGCCGCCTGTGCTCTTTTGATTACGTTCTTCGTCCTGTCGTACCTGTATGATGATGAGGGATACCCTGTGGGACCTGATTATGATACTCGGCATAGCTATGTCTCCGGACCTCCTCCTGTTCCTGGTCCTAGCGGCCAACGCCAGAGTAGCTTTGGCCGAATGGCTGCCGCGGGAGCCGCAGGAGCTGGCCTGGCTTCACTGTTCAAGCGCCGCTCACGGAGCAGGGGACGAGAAGGTTACGAGGATTCTCAGACGTCATATATGACGGAAAAGTACTCGGATGAAGGGCAACCGCGCAAAGGCTGGGGCGATAAACTGCTCAAACTAGGTGCCGTGGGCGGTGGTGCCTTTCTTGCGAAAAAGTTCTTTGACAGGAGGAAAAGTCGAGAGGGCGACGCGGAATCCGGACGGTATCGACCTGCCCATCGCCGAAGTGACAGCATGACTGAGGAGACCTTCAGCAGGATAGAAGATGGACGGCGACCCGAACCGACTCACAGAACTCCACTTAATCGCCCACCAAGCCGACCACCGAGTCGACCTCAAAGTCCCGGGTCCTCATACTACTACAATACAACGTATTTTTCTGACAACGACCACGACCGACCTCACCGAGCTCGAAATGCTTTATTTGGTGCCGGTGCCTTTGCGGCTCTTAAAAATCTGTTTACCCGTCGTAAAGCAAATGACGATGATCGTCGGGTGGAAGACATGCGTCGTCGAGAAATGGAAGAGGAACGGCTTGCACGAGCGGACAGCAAACGACGGTACACTGGAGATGGTTACTACCCGCGCCGAAGAGCCGACTCCTTCACTGCGACAGACATCTCATCAACTGACATGACACGCCCACCCCGGGGGCCGTCCCATGGAGAATCCGCTTTAACCGGGGACCCTGCCATGTCCGGAGCAATCGATGGGCATCATTCAGAGTTACCAGGAGCGCCCACAGCGTCGGAAATTCCGGGTCAAGCTCCCTCACGACTTGGTCCTTCTGATATTGCAGCTGGAGCGGCCGCTGGCAGTGCCCTGGGTGCCGCCTCCGGTCATCACCGCCGTAGCGGCAGCAGACGCAGAGAAGATCATACCGACTCCCCTCCGGTATCAGTGAAAGTAAAAATGCACAACGACGGCCGGCATGTCACACTCAGGCGGTTAACTGAGGAAGAAGCCGCCGCTAGCCGCGAAGCAAGGCGCAGGGAAAGAAGAAACTCGAGACGTCGCGCTGGAAGTGCCAGCTCTCTGTCTGGCAACGAAGGAAGCTACGATCGATGGCGGCGTGTTGAGCAACTAGAACGCCAACAGCAGGAACAGATGCAACGCGAGCAAGAAGCAGCCGCAGCCGCAGCCGCAGCCGGAATGTCCACCGCTCCATCTGGAAGCATACCTGCTCCATCGTTCGCACCTCCCCCGAACATGAGCCATATGGCACCTCCTCCCCCGCCACACGTCCCCTCCAGTTTACCATACGGCCCCGGAAGCGTTACCTCCCCGGGCACATTTACCGGAACGGAAGCAAGCGGCGACTACGCCAGCAACCGGAGACGAAGACGAGCAGAACGAGCCCGAGCACGCCAAGAAAGGCAACACAGCGTAGAATTCACTTAATGTCTTCGTCATCTACGCGGACATCTCCTTGAATCTCTTCTTCACCTGTACAGATGTTGTTGATTTCTGTGTGCTATATTTCGCCCCCCATTTGTGTACCGTGTTTACCCCCTTTTTTTTTTTTTTTTTCTCTCTCCATGTTATTACGATTTAACCCCCGATATCGACACGAAGGAATGGCCACTTAATGATGCAAGCAACTGTTGATCCTGTCTAGCCTTTCTTTTACGCCTCGGTTCCACGACTCAGAAGAGGTGCACAGCAAACCCACTCTTCGTATGATAGGTCATGGAACCATGAACAGAATATAAAAACCTTCATGAACAGGAAATACACGACAGGATTTGTACGTACGTACAGGACAAGGAAATGGATATGGATTCCGGACGGGAGGGATATGTCGATTCGATATATGGCGTTTGTCTTATGCTTATTGGATTTGTTTCTTTTCTGCTTTATCTTTTTCTTTCCCATTCACGATTTGACATGTACCTTATGTTCTTGTTAGACAAGTTAGCTTTCCAACGGGTTGACATTTTAAGGTCTGCCCCGCCTACCTAAGGTACAGAGCCATTATTGTCCTTTGCCAGGACGGCAGTTCGACCCTTCCTCACGGGCAGCCATGGCTCCCGTGCTATATCACCCCAAGCACTTCCTTTTCTATTCTCACTTTTGCTCCCCCGCTTCTCATAGTTAACTATAAACATCTTACCTCTTGCCATCACTATCTCCAGTCATTCATTCATTCATTCGTTCATATACGCATCATATCATCCTTTCGCATGCAGTCGTCCAGGTCCGAACCTCGCGCTGACCGTCAGAACTCCTCGCAAAGCCAGAGAAGAGCCCAGTCCCCTGCGCCGGTAGTCCACGGAGATGGACGCAGAACCAATACTCAGCCGGAATACCCTTTTGCTGCCAGACTCTGGAACTGGACGGGGGGTATCATCGGATAGGGCCCATGTCACCTATACGTGGCTTCGCTCCCTGCACGGTGATCTGCTCATAATGAGTAAAAGTATCGACGGCCGGGCGAACAGTGTGACAGGGCAACTGTCTTTCGAAGAACCAGAGGGGTTGGGTGCTTCGCCTGGTGAGCCAGGCAGCAGGGCTTCGAGTCGGGGGAGGAGGGCGGAGCGTTGGGTCTGTCACCATTATCTAGCGGAATCTCCAATAGTTTTGTTCGATCGTCTACCATCCCCAGCGCTTTCAACACAAAGGTCCCCCCATCCAACGCCCTCCTCAGGTCAGCGCGTGGCACGGGGGAAATTGCCAGCAGGCTTGCTGGCGTCACAGGAGAAGAAAGCACAGGAAGCAGTTGCAGAGAGTAGCCGGAGGTCAGAAGTTGTCTTTGAACCTCTTAGTTATCCGCGCCTACAGCCAGGCCTGGACGCATACGCCCAATTGGCATCACTATCACGGCGGCGGCTGTTTACGGAGCTGTTTGCCGCACGCTCTGTGTTATGGCCTTTACACTCCTCCTCTCCAAACCCGGAGTCGGGTGTACCAGAAGGTGGCGGTGAAGGTATAGAAGATGTAGACTAGTTACCTTGCACCCAACTCGTTTCAGGGGGAAACGAAATTAGAAGTGATAGAGCGGGAGACCTCCAATTTTAGCAATATCGGTGTCACTAAAATCATTCATGGCATACACCATACAGATACATCACTTTTACAACTCCATCCATAGAATCCATAAAGTACTGTATAGTCAGAAAGTGGAAAGCACAAGCTTCCAAAACGGGTAGGCTATTGAATAACTTGTTTGGGGGGGTCAATCAAAAATAAGAATTGGTTATAGTTCTACACGTTCAAGGTTGGAATCGCGCGAGTGGATATGTACATCAGATAATTTATTTGAGGTGAGCCTGCAGGGTCTCGAGCACCTGGATGGGATGTTAGTTGACCGCTCATTTCTCAGCCTCAAGGAAGTGTAGGTAGACACTACTCACCTCCAACTCAATCTTAGCCTCAGCGATATCCTGCTCACTGCCGCTGCCGCTGGCAATCTTCTGGGCCTCGGCGATCTGGTTCTTGACAGCCTGTGTTGAGAATCGTTCATTAGTACGTATAGAAAATGTATAAGCCGAAACTCGGAACGTACGTCGGCGCTGAAATCCTCAAGAGGGAAACCCTCAACAGCGTTGATGCTCAGCTGGGAGTCGGGCTGGACAATGGCGAATCCACCGGAAACTATTGCACAGATTCTGCATGTAAGCGTTTGTTCGAGGTTTCACTTGTGTTGCCGCATAGGCTAAGTCCTGGTTCGTGGCGCGGTATCAACACGGGGTCATCGGACGTACGGAAGAACTTCTTGTTGGCACCACCCTCCTCAACGATCTCAACAAGACCGGGCTTGAGCTGCTCAATGGAGGGAACGTGGTTGGCGAGAACACCCATCTCTCCGGACTCGGCGGGGATGTTGACCTGGACACTAAGGGAAAAAGATCGTAAGTATGACTGCGAATAAGACAGGGCGGACACCCCCCTCCCCCCAAGTCTCGGTCAGTCGGGGATTCGGATCACACGTACACGCCGGCCGACTTGAAGATAGTCTGTGTAGTAGACAATTGGTCAGTTAGGGCGAATTATAGGCATGCAAAGGGGACAACGACGGGATCGGACGTACCTGGTGAGGAAGGGCCAGGGAAAGCTTGATCTTGTCCGACACGGCCTCAGCGTAACCTCTGCGCTGGAGAGGAACGCGAAGGGCGGAGGGACGGGCCCGGAAGGCAGAGCGAGCGAAGCGGAGAGAGCTCATCTTGCAATTGTTGGAGAGGAGAAGACGGTGATGGTATCCCTCTTGGACCAGTGTTTGAGTTGCAAAGGTCGAAGTCGGATGCCGGTTGTTCCCTAGCGGCTCTGCCCCCGGGTCACGTGGAGGGCATTCCGATTCACCAGCGAAAGGCCCTTAAAAGTCCTTCTCAACTTTACGCCACTTAGACACCTTTAGGTTGATGGACTTGCGATCAATATTTGTTGATACCTAGGGTGTATTTTTTCCTAAGACTCCTTATCATGTCGATATTCCTTGTTCTACCCTCCAACGCATGCTTTTAATACGTACGAGTTACTGTGTTAGCATGATAACATGCTTCGATGTGTATAATCACACTCTCGGCCATCTAAGCCATATCTCAGACTAATTTGCAATTCAGAGAATTTGATCTGTGCCAATCAATGAGGTTAACTTGACCGACACTATGAGTCTCAAACTAATACCCATATTTTGATATCACGTGATGACATGGACTGGTCTTGTATGTCTTAGTCATCAAGTCACGGGCCAGTGTTGGTTGCAATCTGTTTTGAAGAGTACACTGTGCTGTGTCTTATGTATACCAGTCAATAGTTTGTTCCTTGAGTCAGTATTAATACGTAAAAATTTATAATACAATTAAATCACAGTCTCTACAAATTATAGTTCCAATTGCACATTTCCAAGAACATTAAGTAGATATACCTCAGGACACAAGGCACAGTACAGCGAACTCAGTCAGGCACTGACGCTAAGCCGCGGACGGTAAGCGAAATCCCACAAACGGGAGCCCTAAAGGCGGAGAGAGTCTCTGCGCTTTCTGCTTCAGTTCAGGGTAACCTCACTCGCCAACTCATCGTCAACCGTCTCCCAGTTGCGACAAAATCCGACAAGATGGCCAGTACGTGCTGATCCCCCGGTACCTTTCTGATGAAGATGGGAATTTTTGATCTTGCAATCATTTCTTGATTTCTTGAAAATGAGGGGATCGTTGGAATTCGTCGTTCCGAATCGCTGACAGAGCCACCCTTTCACAGAGTCTAAGAACGCCTCCCAGCACCACAACAGCCAGAAGGCTCACCGTAACGGGTGCGTACCATTCGATCCTGATACTTGAAATGCGACTTGCTTTTTTCTTCATCTCGACTGGAGGGGCGACATGGGGATAATATGTTGTATTGTTGGGTGTGGTGCACGGTCGGTCTATTTCGACAGCGAGCTTGGGATCATCGGGATCAAATCCAGCAATGCAACATATTCAACCAGTACCCCTCCGATATGAACAACGGAATTTCACCGAAGTGAATCAGAGGACAGGCCGCTGACATCACTCACTCGCAACAGTATCAAGAAGCCTAAGTCTCACCGTTACCCCTCCCTCAAAGGTGTCGACCCCAAGTTCCGCCGCAACCATCGTTACGCTCTCCACGGTACCATGAAGGCCCTGGTACGTTGACCACACCATCAAACTCCGACCCCATCGCCACAAGTCAAAGGAACAGATCGACTAACAAATCCCACAGAAGGAGCGCAAGGAGGGCAAGCGCGAGGTCGCATAAATCAACTTAATTTAGAAATGAATTAAAAATGGGAGCGCACTGAGTTGGTGTTTCAAACTTGCCATGATCCAAAACGTCCTGTCGGATAGACCCCCTCTGACTGGTTCTGCATGACGGTTGTTAAATAAGACAATTTGACTCGATTCCACGACATGGCCTGACAATTGTTTTTTTTTTCTCTACCCCATTTCTCACTGTCTTGGTCAAGTAGGTTGTGCGATTTCATGGCTCTACAGAAGAGCGTCGGGTTTCGCTTCGATTTCACATGTTCGTATGAACAGGCATATGTGTGTACAGCTTCGTGCTTATTATTCAATGCGCGCTTGCTGAAGGATTTTTCAACGTGCCGAGAGAAGATCCCATGCCCTCCTATTTACCAAACACCCTCTCTCTTTACTCTGTGGTGAGAGGGTGCATGGATGGAGGGCTACATTCCGTAGAGCAGAATACAAGCAATTGATTCATTTCATATATCCTCTTTCTTTCTTGGTTTTCCTCTTTCTTTCTTGGTTTTCTTCTTTTCAGTCTAATTTCAATCTGCCATATACAGAGTACATATCTACTCCACCTTCCAAACAACCAACCTCTTATCAAACCCTCCACTAACCAACCACTCTTCTCCATCAACCCAACCCGCCCAGATCGTCCGAATCTTCGACCCAACCACATGCCCATCCTTCAACGCCGTAACCACCTTGCCCGTCTTCGCCTCCACCCCACGAATCACCCCATCATCCCCATTAACCCAGACCCCGGACCCATCCGGCCGCCAAACAACCTGCGGCGTCGAATACGCCGTCTGCGGCGCAAACGTATTCGCCTGGATCACAATAGCCGCATCCTCGCGATTCTGCAGCGCAAGCGCCCCAAAAGCCTGCGTAGCCTGTGTCACCGGCTCCCGGTCCCCACTAACATCCAAGCTATCCGTAGACGGGAACAGGAGCCGCACAATAATGACCTTCATATGGGGTAGCGCAGACGTTGCAACAGCCAGCAGACCAGAGTCATGGGGATTTAGGGCAAGACAGGACGGGGAGAAAGCTACCCAGGCGTTCGAGTGGGGGGCCAGGTTCTGTTTACCGAGGAGGGGGCATTCGTAAGGAGTATCCGCCGGCTCTTGTTGAACCTTGTAATAGTACAGGTGGGTTGAGTCGCGTCGGGAAACGAGCAGAAGGAGTTGGTTAGTGTCGGGATGTTGGACGAAGAGGATTGACTCTGGGTTTGAGGCTAGATTGATGGATGCGATGGGGTCGCCGATGGCTATAGAGTCTGGCTCCGTGTCTGGGTCTGAGAGATGGAGGTTGTAGAGATGGATTTTGGAGTCCCAGCCAGCTGTGGCGATCCAGACGGACGTTTCTGGGTCGGAGTCCTCGAATGCAACTATTTTTATAGCGTACTTGAAGTGGTCTTTTCTTTGGTCGAGGATCTCGCCGTTCCGGTGGAGGAGGAGCTGGCCGGACATGTTGGTTAGACAGGCGTATTCGCCATTTTGGATGGAGACGTATGAGAGGATTGGAGAGTCGGAGAGGCCGGAAAGAGAGCTGACGGTGTCATTCTCGGCCTGTGTTTTGAGGAGATGGACTCGTTTGTCTGCGCCGGTTGCTATAAGGTAGGAGGTGTCTTGGTTCTCCTCATTGTTCGACAACCTCCATGGCTCGACGGAGCAGGCTAGAATATTTGATGATGTTGTAGTCTCTACAATTTTGGGATTGGAGGGTGCTTCGTGCCATGTTAGCGGAGTTCAACGACAGCTCGCATGCGTAGGGGGTGTGCATTTATATATAAATATATATAGGTTTAAAAAAAAAAAAAAAAAAAACACAACTTACCAGGAACACTCCACACATCTTTCTCTCCCTTCTTCCCGTACCGTTCAAATCCCACAGTTCGATCAAAGGCTTTCTTCTCGTCGATTACTTTCTCGATGGTCCAGTTCTTTTCTTCGTCGTCGCCTTTCACTTGCCCCGCGTCGGCGGGCAGTCCCGCTTCTCGGATGAATGCACTGAGCGTTTCAGCATAATTGTTGGCCCGTAGGAAGCGGGCTACTAGAATGCTTGCCAACGAAGGGCTTGGTGATGTTGGTGACATTTCGGCTTATTTTCTCGGAGTGTTGCAGTTAAGAGGTAGTTGGAGGAAGCGATAAACACCGGCATCGATAACCGTTTAATAGATTCGGATCATATCATTACGTATGTACGCAAGTTGGAGTTTTGGAGAATCTAGCCAAAATATAATACATATTTATAGTAAAGTAGAGTATGCAGGGGTTTTAAGAGAGAAGACACCGCAGAGGGAAAGGAAAAAAGGAAAAAAAGAAAGAAAGAGAAAGAGAAGTGAGGTAAATATTGGTATCACAAATTGGATGGTGTCGTTAGACATGTCTCCCATCTCCTTATTCCCAATTATGACGAAAGACTGGGGATTCCATGGGCCACGCTGGTATGCACCTTCTAAAAGCTCCTCAGCTAAACATATCCTCCGCCCTCCGTCGCGGGCCGCCTCGTCCTTCTAACTTCTCTGAAAACAGCTCCTTGCTGGCGTTGTTGGAGTTATACTTGGACGGGAACAGCTCGCGAGCAGATGCGCCTCGTCCCTTAATCGACATGCCATTAGCCGCTCCACGGATCGAGATGCCTTGATCGTGGCCAGCTTCTCCACGGATATTGACGCCGCTCTTTCCAGAGTCAGGGAAGAGCTCGACATTTTTGCTCCGCCGTTGATCCTGGGACCCATCCACAAGAGGGACTGAAATCCGCCTAGAGAACAGGTCTGCGGTTTCATCGGCAGCATCAATGGCATCCGACCGGCGATGATTGCTGTGTTTGCTGGGAAAGAGCTCCTTCTTGAGATAACTGGTCGCCGTTTTATTCGGAAATAGCTCTCGTGAGTTCGAATCGGCATCGGCGGATTTTGACGGGAAAAGTTCCTTTCCTTGATTTTGGCGGCTGCCCTGGGGTGATCTCTCGCGGAAATGTCTGCGCGAATCGCGACGGCCAAGCTCTGAATACCCAGTTTCCATCAACGTATCTCGACCCGGGGATGCACTGCGATTCTGAAGGCGTCCCGAAGGACGTCCTTCGTCTGTCGGGAAAAGCTCCCGTTCACGGCGTCGGCCTCGTCCATCACGATCACGACCCCTTTCTGTTTCAGAATAATCCGTGCTAGCTGCCCCCGTATCGTCGTACATGTTAGCGCTGATCAGCTCGTCCCCGTCACGATCTCTCCGTCGCCTTAGTTCTCGACCGTCGAATCGCCTCCGTCTGTAGTCTCCATCGCTGCTCTCCCCTCCGCCATGACGCCGTCTGTCGTCAAATTCCCGTCGCAGCCGCTCGCGAGGGTCATGTTCGGGGTGCATGAGGTAGAATCGACTGGCTTCATGGGCGCGGGGCTTCTTGCGATCCGACTTCACGGCAGATCTCACCTGGAGGACGGAATCGGGGTGGGAAGAGAGGAGCTTAGCGGATCGTAGACGCAGCGCAGGTAACACGGAGGAATCTTCTTCTTCGCTGACTTGCGTAAAGGCCGACAAAGCCTGGAGGCCGACCTCCGACGAGGAGTAGACAATATTTGCCGAGGTGTCGTCGATCCATTCGACGCGAGACGGTTCTTCAACGGTGAAGTGCTCGAGCGCGAATTGTTTGATGTTATCCGTGGTTAGCTCGTCTACGCCTCTGATATGAACTTTCTCATAATGCGCTTCCGCGGGCTGAGGGTCGACTGCTCCATCTTGAACCGTCCCAGTCATCGGATCCTGCGTCGGCCGACGAGAGTTAGATTATACACGAGGGTTAAATTGGCTGCAACCATACTCACGGCATCGAATTGTTCGGGTTCAGGTAATGGACCCAGGTCCAGATCCATATCGATATCCATTGACGCATCCATGATGTTGGAGATTGGTTGGTCACCGTTCGGCTGTTGCATGCTTGCGACCTCCATTGCAGAGGAGGGGTCACCTGCGGATAAATTGGATGTTGTGGATATGGCGAGGGATGGAATGTAGGAGAGAAATACGCGACCTAAGGGGAGGTCTGATAAGAATAGAGTGGAGAGGAGGGGAAGAGCACTCAAGAAGGAAATGAGTTGCGAACTGAAGCTTTGCCTGGAGTCGAAGTTCACGTTGCCTCACCGCTCGAAAGGTGGCGTCGGATTGAGATTTGGTTGGAACAACTCAATTCACTCATAATTTATCTCTTCCACTTAAAGGATAATAATTGAAATGATCTCATATCAGTTACCCTTCATTCTACTCACTTCTCTTCTTCTAATACATGCCATTCACTTGGTGTTATCTTTGTCTACAGCCCCCTCCGTCTTCAAAGCATCCGCATCATGCACATTGATCTGATACGTAACGAACTTCCTAGCCGGCACTTTTTGATGAAACATCACGTCCAGCTCATCATAAGTCCTGCCCCGGCACTCCGGCAGTCGGAAGAATGCCCAGGTTGTGGTCACCGCGGCGGTCGCCGTCCAGACATACGCTGTCTTGCCCTTTAAAATTGGCCTCGGTTGGGTTGATTAGATAAGGCTCGACGACTTGGGCAACAAGATTGGTGATATTGTAGATGTTGCGCGATAAACAAACAGATTTAGCCCTCAGGTGGATCGACGACGTCTCAGAAATGATCGTATAAGTAACAGGACCAAGAGTGACAGAATACGCGAAGGGCCAGTTCAAAGAAAGCGCAGCTTGACCCCATTTCGCGCTGCTGGATTCAGACGCCGAAGCAATAACTCCGATGATCAATAGGAGGCAAGTCAAGCAGGTAGTGCCAACCACGTAGAGTTGGCGTCTACCAAATCGGGCTAACAAGAACCACGAGATGATAGTTCCAACAAAGGAAATCGCGGTAGCCCCTATTGAGATCTGGTAGGCATTCTCCGTGCTAATTCCTGCTTGGACGAAGAAGTAAGTAGGCGTGTAGGCAAAGGCTGAGCCGGACAGAACTTGACCTGCGAAGCTCATGTACAATTTCAGTACGGCGCCGGTCGATGCCTCGGAAACAGTCCAGATAGCTGGATCCAGAATCCAGCTTCGCCTCCAGTTCAAGGGTATGCGTGATTTGCGCTAGGGTTCTTTGATGCGACTCACAACCTCTGGTGTCGAGCCGGGCAAGGGATTTGTAGGCGTCATCTATGCGATTGTTTCGTGTCAACCACCAGAGCGACTCCGGTGCCAACATGATAAGAACGAAGAGAGGAACAGGCCAAATCCACTGCAGGGCGTAAGCAACGCGATAGGACCATTCACCCTCGACTTTAGCAAGCCGTAAAGGGCACCGGAGGCTATGAATTGGCCCATGGCCCAGCAAAGGATCACGTAGCAAGTCAAATAACCACGGAGAGCCAGAGTACATACTTCCGAGGCGTAAGCTGGCGATGTCGTTGCAAAGATTCTCCAGGTGAGCCCGCATACAATTTGCCCTACGAGAAGCATAGGCGCTGACAGGGCGAAGAATAGGATGAAAATGAACCAATTCATACAGAAGAGGGCGCCTAAAAGGACTCTTTTGTATTCGAAACGGGTGGACAAGTAGCCGTTCAGAAAGCCGCCAATAATGATACCGACATTGCCGCCATTGCTGAGACCTGCCTGCCAGGAGCCAGTAACGACATATTCACCTTGTTCTGGGCGATATGCTCCGAATTTTCGTTGAAACGCAGGATAAGTGAAGAACTGATAGATGAGAGCTATTGCACTGTTACGAAAGCCTAAGGGGACAACGATGATCAAGACATTGCTCATCAACATCGTAGCCCTCCATGATGATCGTCAGCGAGATAGCTGCAGACCATAGCACAGCCTTATAGTTGTACTTTAGAGCTTCCCACACGGTGGCTTCATGCTCATATGTAGAGGCCTGTAAGGCCTCCTTGGTGGTAGCTGTAGAATCCGCGGCATGCTCTACGTGAGCACTGAGCTCCTTTGGAACGTCTTCGTCGGCTTTCATATCGGAGAGTGCAAAAACACCCGCGAGTCAATCCGAGGGAGCTACTCGAATCCTGAAGCACAGATACCAGGAAACATGGTGTATTTATAGCTCGGACGATCCGCCTTGCTAGGCAATTCATCCGTGAGCAAACAAATCCACATCTTGCGTCTCAACCTTAATTCACTAGCAAAGTCACCGGACTTTGTCCATTCCCTGGGGTAAATTAAATGCACCCGGCAGGATTACATGGTTCCCCATGGGTTACAGGGTACAGCATCTGTACGGAGCGTTATTGCATCAGCCGATTGGCTCTCATTCAGCCGAGGATCCTGAGTGAAGTTTCTCGGATTACCTTGCTTGGATAGGAGAGTCAATCTACATAAAGGGGAGTAAGCTGCGTATGCTCGGCTTGGATGATGGTGGGGGGCTTCATAGGGGAAAGGGTTAGGGCTAGATGGGAGCATGGCGTCTAGATCAAGATGCTGTTAGATAGAGGCACCATTGCCAAGTACACAGAGCATTGCGTGACATTCTTAAGAAATGCGGATACTCAATCTAACTAGAGTACCAGACGTTCAACACCTCGAATTGGGAACGTGGGAGAGCTCTCCATGGAGTGCCGCACGTCATCCAAATGAGGGGGAAGAAAGCGATTGATCGGAGCATCCACTTTTTAATCTTGCAGGTAAATAATTGCGTCTCTCCACATTCCACGCCGTTGGTGCTGACATCTTCAACCTTAAGAAGTCGGATGAGGCACGGGGACTTTAGGCTATAGTCTCTTGTACCTATCCGACGCCGCCGGTTAATATGGATAAGTATATATCAGACGATTCTTGGCGGTTAACAATGAAATCCCCCACCACCACCGGAGCTCCTCCGCAGGGGAACAGCCAATTGTCGTTATATACCGACGGTTGGCACGTCAGCGTCATCACCTTGCTGCAGGTGTTGCAGGGACTGAGTCCCCTTGAGGGGACACGATGAACCAGTCTCTCTGATCCATATAATGGCTCCATGGCCACAAGCAAACGATCCCTTTTCTCTCTTTCCGAATATTCTTATTCCATTATTAGCTATCTGGCAGCTTTGTGTCCTTTATACCACGTTTTCAGCCTTAATTGCTCCTATCATGCTCTACGCCGAAGACGACAAGCTTATCTATCGCTTCGACGACCACCTCCTTTGGATCCAGCCATGGGGGGACAATGCCTTCAGAGTGAGAGCTACAAAGCTCTCCTCCATGCCCACTGAAGACTGGGCCCTATCCACCAAGCCCAGCACAAGTAAACCAATCATTGAAACCCCAGAGGGCAAAGAAGCAAGTATCTCCAACGGCAAAATCAAAGCCGTCGTTTCCCCACGCGGTAAGATAATTATCTACGACTCGAGCGGCAAAAAGCTCCTAGAAGAATACGCACGCAACCGTCGCGACCCCAAAGACCCAAAATGCAGTGCCTTGGAGGTCGAATCCCGGGAGCTGCGAGGTATCCTAGGCGGTGATTTCCACTTAACCATGCGCTTCGAGTCCCTCGACCCTAAGGAGAAGATCTTCGGAATGGGTCAATACCAGCAGCCCTCCCTAAACCTTAAGGGTGCCGATATCGAGTTAGCCCATCGAAACTCCCAAGCCAGCATACCCTTTGCGGTCTCCTCCCTCGGATACGGTTTCTTGTGGAATAACCCAGGTATTGGACGGGCGGTTTTCGGGACAAATACTATGAGCTTCGAGGCGTACTCTACCAAAGCGCTGGATTACTGGGTTGTTGCAGGCGGTACGCCAGCAGAGATTGAGGAGGCGTATGCGAAGATAACTGGTTACGTCCCTATGATGCCCGAGTACGGCTTGGGGTTCTGGCAATGCAAGCTCCGGTACTGGAACCAGGAGCAGCTGCTGGATGTAGCCAGGGAATACAAGAAACGGCAGGTCCCGTTGGATTTGATCGTCATTGACTTCTTTCACTGGAAGCATCAGGGCGACTGGAGCTTTGACCCCGAGTTCTGGCCCGATCCTGGTAAGTTGTGTATCAGAAATATTATAGCTATAGGCCATAAGCGCTGACAGCTGCCTCCCTTCCAACCCAGATGCCATGATCAAAGAACTCAAAGAGCTAAACGTGGAGCTAATGGTCTCCATCTGGCCGACCGTCGAGACCGCATCAGTGAACTACCAAGAAATGCTCGAGCGCGGGCTCCTAATCCGCCACGATCGCGGCCTGCGAATCGCCATGCAATGCGACGGAGACATCACGCATTTCGACGCCACGAATCCCGAAGCCCAGAAGTTCATCTGGCAGGCCGCAAAGAAGAACTACTACGACAAGGGCATCAAGGTCTTCTGGCTGGACGAAGCAGAGCCTGAATACAACATTTACGATTTCGACATCTATCGCTACCACGCCGGTACCAACATGCAGATTGGAAACAACTACCCGAAAGAATACGCCCGGGCTTTCTTCGAAGGCATGCAGGCCGAAGGGCAAACTAACATCGTGAACCTCCTCCGCTGTGCCTGGGCGGGCAGCCAGAAGTATGGTGCCCTCGTGTGGAGCGGCGACATCGCGTCCTCCTGGGGTTCGTTCCGCAATCAGCTAGCGGCCGGACTGAATATGGGCTTGGCTGGGATCCCTTGGTGGACGACGGATATTGGTGGTTTCCATGGTGGCAACCCTGATGATCCTGCGTTCAGGGAGCTGTTCATTCGGTGGTTCCAGTGGGGGACGTTCTGTCCGGTGATGCGTTTGCACGGTGATCGCGAGCCGAAGCCAGAAGGTCAGCCTACTGCGTCGGGATCCAATAATGAGATCTGGTCGTATGGAGAGGAAGTCTATGAAATCTGCAAGAAGTATATTAGCATTCGTGAGGAGCTCAGGGACTATACCAGGAGCTTGATGAAGGAGGCCCATGAGAAGGGTACGCCGGTGATCCGGACTTTGTTCTATGAATTCCCGGAGGATAAGACAGCTTGGGATGTTGAGACTGAGTATCTATATGGCTCGGAGTATCTTGTGGTTCCAGTGCTTGAAGCAGGACAGCGCAAAACAACTGCTTATTTACCAGCAGGGGCTACGTGGAAACTATGGGGCGAAGATAAGGTCTACGAGGGAGGGAAGACGGTTGAGGTTGCTTGTCCAATTGAAACAATGCCTGTGTTTGTCAGGATGTAGAGGAACGGTTCGAGTGCTTATTCATCTCTAGTATTGAGACACAGTTCACTTTATCAAAGTATTTAGGGTACATTCTCTTGTTCTATGATCCTTCGTGGAAAATTGGTAGATGTAGAGGGTGCCCTCAGGGTATAAGTCATCTGATCACCTACATACAAGCAAAAAGAAAGATATACCGTAAGTTAGGTTTAATTACACCTACATCGATTCTTTGACATGAGAGACAAGCAAGTTCCTATGTAGATGAGTGTCTTCGTTTTCTGTATGAAGTCAGTACTAGAAGCAGTGCAGTAGGAATACACCGGAAAGATTCTTAGATGCATACATCTACCATACATAGTAGATTCAATTTAGGTGATACTATCGGCCGAAAGGGTAGTTTTCCACTGTTCTACCACTATAAACCATCAAGTTATAAGACATGACGTGATGTGTTTTGCAGTACATGAAATAGGCGCAGATGCAGTTCATGGATCCTCCCAAACCTGGAATGTGGTAGAAAATCCGGCCCGTGTACAGTTCATGTTGGTGTTTTAGATGCCTCATTTTTCTTGTCTTTCAGCAGGAATATAGAATCGGGTTGCTGAATGATGAGAAAACCATGACCTCACCATGCAGGTAATCGTGCATACAAATCAATATGTGATGTATCTCAGCAGGTCCAGGGCGTCACGCAGAACGTGCGACTCCGATGATCAATATCAGGCTCATCTTCGGTAACATTGCGGTAATAGTCGCCACTCGCCTCAAGCGGCTCAGGCGGAGAAGTGAGGGGAAGGGAGAAGAGGAGTCATCTGTGGAGCAGCCTAGATACTGTTTCATCTTAGATAAAATCTTGAAAAGCATCCACTTGCGGGAATGAAAATTGCCCACCCAAGGTATTCGCAAGGACACAGTTCAGCCATTCACCACTGATTTTCCTTGCCATCTTATTTTTCTTCCATCTTGACGAGACTAGACGCGAGTCACCGACCAGTCCTGAACCCCAATAAGCTCATCTCTAATATTAGAACCCGTAGTGTCTCATGGCATTTTGCGGGTATCAACCCGAGACACCGGCTCCCAGTAGTGCGACAAAGATTCGATACATTCTTGCAGGAATCAGCACTAACTTGACATTTCGCAGGTAGGCTTGTTGGTGAAGGAGCGGGACTAGGAGGTGATTGTGAAGCAGATCAAACCAGCATGGGGCCCGTGGGCCATGGTCAATCTCGCTGATTGCCCAGCCGGGAGGTATATGGGGCCCCTGTGTCCTAGTTTAGGGCATCAGGCTTTAGGACGGGATGGGCAAGCACTTAACCTATGTGCCGGACCCCAAGGCTGAGAAAAACTGAGCCGATAAAGTTTCGACAGCCGGGTAGATACCGTGCACAACCCGCATTCCTCCCAGCCGAGCCCATAGTGAACTGACTAGACGATCACTAGGCCATACTAGTAGTTCGCTAGTTCCGCGGTATTGCTAATGTCAATCAAGGACGCTTCTGTGAGAATGTTTTTTTCGTCGTGGTGAGGTCATCAACAAAACAGAGGCTTCTACGACTAATACCGGAAATGTTGACAATGGAGTAGTTAGCTAACCTCAATGAAAACTGCTCGCTGCTCTGTTGGGCCGATTTCCTCACCAAGTTTTGAAGGATCTAGGCCGCTTTGGGCTCATGAGAGTGAGACATCGGTGGATGAGTTTGCCCTGATGAGTTCCCTGCTCAAGGATTGTTGATCCCATTCACTTGCTTCTACCTCGAGTCATGCTCGGCCTGGGTTTCCTTAAGTGAGCATCTGAGCATATTTTTGGGTTATGGGAGTGTACGTAAGTCTCTTTATTTGGATGCGGTAAATGTTTAAATCAAAGGAGTGTAAAGGTTGTAGTTGATGGTGATTATCAAAGGTCTAGACTGAGAGAAGAGAGAGGGAGAGTCAATGCTATTCCTGGCACGTTACATTTGCTTTGCCCAAAAAGGTAATGGGTCGTCACGGGCTGCCCTCATCATAGGACCACTGCTGTTTCACAACACACCCCCCCCAACCGTCTTTCTTAGGTTCCTAAATTCAGGTTTACTTATGGATACATCCTGCTCGAAAACCTTCAAAGGCCGGGAAGCCTTCAGGATGCTCAAACAGTCAAGTAGCCCGATATCAAGTCGAGGTTGCAGCGCAGCAGCACAAAAACAAGCCGAGGAAGGAAGGGATGCACCTTTTGCCTTTATTGATGAAACCCAGTTATGGAGAAAAAGGTCAACCGGTTGTGTGGGACTACGAGGCTTTGCTCCCCTCCTAGACGGCTTACGATTCATACAAGGAAAACCCATGCCCACAAAAGTGTCATCGGGGACAGAAATGTCGTGCGAGAAATACGAAGCCCTCCTTGTTTTACGTTGACTGAACCGATAGTCCAGTCAGAGAGCCCAGGAGCTCCACGATTGCACTCAAGGGCTTTGAGCCGACGACCTATCTACATGGATATGGAAGGGAAATGCCGCGGATGGCCAGAATATGCCAACCCGATGGTGGATGCACAGGTGGCGTAAAACATGACGATACGCCATCAAGCTCACAAAATCAGTTGGACGAAGAAACTAGGCTTGTGTATTGTATATACACATATAGATTCCCGTTCGCAGATATGGATGTATGGCGAAGAATACAATGTCAGTTCGTTACTCCATCTGTGACGAATTCAAGCGTAATATGATGAGGGTCCACGAGGCGTGAAATCTGTTTCATTTTTGTGTTTATCATATAAAAATGGAACATATTTGTCATCTCATATCTAGGAAGGTCTTCTATAGATAGTCAACATTGGTTAGCAACTTCCAAATTGGTATCAGCCCGCCCATTTGCTCCGCAATGTTGAAGCCTGAAAGGACCTTCTAATCTCTCGCCGCATTGTGGTCTTTCTTTCTTTCTTTCTTTTTCTTTTTCTTTTCTTTTCTTTTTTTTTTTTTTTTTCGCCTGTGGGCCCATTCACACAGATACTCCCATAAGCCTTTGGATGAAGTCAAATCGACTTGTCTTGTGTCCCAAAGATTACCCCACACCCTGGTCCTGTCCTGAATGTGTCTGCATTGGTGGGCCATATGACAACCTACTCCAACCGGGAACGAGGCAACCACCCTTACGCTCTGGTTCACCAATGGCTCACAAGGACAAAGAATGAAGCACCATACTTTAGGATCTAGCGGATCAGTGGAGACCCGGTGTGGATGGGCGTCAAGATATCCCTGTAGTCGATAATGTGCAACGGCTTTCTAGCCGTACGTGGGTTGAAAATCCACTGTTTGGCCGTATGATATCCCGGTGTTTCTCGACGCCACTACCTTTCTAGCATGGTCAGGTTTCATTCCAGGATCACAGTCTACTATCCATAGGGGTATCCCATGCGGAGAGATGCTAGACGAGAGGTTCTGAGATGCCGCTCTTGTTCGTTGACGACAACATCCCTGTAGCAGCCAAACCCTGGATCCACAAATCAATTGATAGCGATGGGGAAGACGGAAGGCCTTCCACTTCTCTCGGGCGGCAGGTCGCCTGTTCGAGTTGAAAGGATACGTACGAAGTGGCTTCGGCATCGCGAATCTAGCTTTTTCTTCGTATAGAGGTGGGACGTTTTAGAGATCCCGATTTCATGGATTTGGAACCTAGAGCACGTTCGACGGCTTTGGGTAGTGACAAAGGGCATCTTAGAGACTTTGCTATAACCACTACTCTGTCCTAGTAAGTGATTACTCGATTTGGTAATTTGCAGATCCAGATGCCACTAGATTGGGCTCGTGGCGTCGCAATGGTGTCGCTTCTGTACGGTCGGTCCATTTTTCTTTAGAGAGGAGGCCGTGAGGAGCCATGAGCGTTTACTAGGGAGTATTTTGGACCCCAAGTTGGGCATGAGCAAGTTGCCCATCTACAAGGTACCGTATGTATAATCCCATCGAATAAGAAAGAGACTGTCAACACTGAGACATGATACAAAAATTCATAGGTGGAGGATTTATTGAACCACTATCGAGTTGTAGTCCATCTATGATTGTTGGGAAGGTTAGGTTGTGCATAAACGATCCATGATAACATGGGCACAAAAATTGTATTCATAGATAGTGAGGATTGAACATTAGTCTTTCTTGGGCTTAGGGCAAGTCGTGTCAGATGGTGGGATGAAAATTCCTGGACTAGTAGTTTTGAGAGGCTGAAGGGGAGGCTAAACCCGAACGAGAGATTCATCTCAGACCGGGCACTTTGAGCGAATCGGGAACCACATGGTCCCCGACAACATAAAGCCCGATACAGGACACCGCCCAACGGAGAGCGGAGCCCCCTTCGTATTATCTGACAACTAAAACACCCCCTTTTAGGTATGGAGTAGTATCTGGTTCCCCAAGGTAGTACCTCCCAGGTATCTAGACTTTGGGTAGTACTTTCCAATGTCAGTGGTTCCAAGGATCCAGATTATTGTCTTTCCTTCAAGGAGTACGAGGCACAACGCTAATTACCCAATTTTTTAGGTTCTGGTAACTGGATTAGGATCCCATGGGATCCTCCCATGGGAAAGGTTCACCGTTTTACGGGTTATGAGTTAAACTATTCTGACAAAAAACGATGGACCCAAGATATTGGTATGTTTACTTATCTCTTCTAGAAACGGTTGTCTATTTAGATAAAAAAATAAAATCAAATCTTTTTTTCCTAAATTTACCTAGACTTCTTTTTGACCTGCGTAATTTTTGACCACACTTGCCTTGTCAATGTACATATGTACATACATAAACGTGATACAGCACATTCTGTCTCCGTATTCGGTATTTGTGTATGTATGTATGGAGTGATACTGCGTCCTCCGTACGGAATATGCAGCTCTGTATTCTGTCCGTTACAAGTTGCCGATCATTTCTCCGTACCTACTGTGTGCATGACAGCTCCGTTGTAACTCTCCTGCTCTAGAACATCCATTTCGACACATACTAGCTTGAGACAGGATCCAGAATTGATTACTTTGTTAAACAAATAGTAGTCGATCAATAATTGAAGCCTACGAATTCATATGGATGGGCACCACAGCACTATACATGTGCTTGGCATAGTGGCTTTTTCGTTTCTTCTTCCCCAATTCAGACAAACACATCAAACTCGCGTCCTGATGGGTGCTCGGGCCTCTTGAGGTTCGCAGTGTGGGAGGCCCGACAGTCAGGAAACAGCTGCGGATGCGAGAGAGCCGTTCGCTCCACTCTAAAGCCCCCATACAGGGAATCCTGCGTCTCGATTGAAAACCTTGCCCATCTGACGTCCTTTACCTTTTCTTTTCCCCCAAGGTTACGCAACATTTAAACAACCTGCGTGGAAATAGATATATTGCTTTTGTTCAAGCATTCTCATCCATGTCCAACCCTAGGCCGGTCCTGAAACGTGCTGGTGGACGCTTGGCGTCATACATGTAATCTTGCTGACCAACATTGAGAATCATATCATGCATACTTTTCTTTGATTGTGAGTCTTTGAATCTTCCACTTGTAAAATAGAAATTAAATAAAAACAAATGGAACACCATAACTCCGCCAAAGCTTCAACCAGCCTGAAAGTATTGGTGCATACATACGAAGTACAGACATGACGGGGACTACGATGCCCCAGGAATCCCACACTGTATCGCAAGGCAATGGACCAGGGCCGATCTCCTTGTCCTGCAGGAGGCTACTGAACCAGACAACCAGAGTAGAACTCAAATACATCCCGTCCCTCTGATTGGTACCGGTCCGAGGGTACGCCGGCGACCATTCGGGCCAAAAAGTCTAACAGTCAGCGGATGTAGCGTATCGCATTGTCGAGTCCCGACTCCACCAAGAGCTTTCCGATCAATCAATAATCATTATCAGGGTCGCAGCCGTTAATCGGTAATTGTGACCTGTCTTCTTTTAACCACGCATGATATCGTCCCAGGTCCCTTTCTTTTTCTTTTCTTTTTGTTCTTCTCCCTTTTTCGAATATCTCCTGACATGGATGTATCCAATATTAGGTTGACCCGGAAGATCAAACGTGTGTACGTAAGGATGCGTCGGTGTTGAGTTCTTTGTTTGCTGCCGTCCCACGAGGGTGGATCGCAAGTACCCGTCCACATGGCTTTTCAGCGCCCACGGCGTGAATGGCGTTCTGAGATTGGCTCTCTCGCAAGAGGATGCTTGGCTCCTAGGAGATAGTCAATACTGAAATTGTAAAGGCCGAGGGTCCCCGAGTAACTCCATGAGAATCATCTGTGCTAAACCAAACTAGTTTGTCTGCACCCAAATCGGGCAGGGCGAGATCACACATCGAGAAAACGTCAGGTAAAGGCGGCTTTCCCCACTATTTTTCAGCATAGTCCGGCGTACTAGTCTACTTAGGAATCAACTGGGGTGGGCTTAGTTCTCGATTGAATCGAGGAAATCCTGTGGCGGGCGGGGAGGGGGGAATTTTTCCTGTGAAGTGAGATTTGATGTGTGACAGTTGATCATTGTGCTGGTGGTTGTTCTTCACAACTTACCAGTCACCTGGATTATGGATGGATTTGTTTCACCTTTACCGGAATGGGAAGCTCGTTCATTGTCTCGAGATCCATGTGAGCACATGGGACAGTCCCAGAAAGGACCAAATTCGGGATCAACAAAGGAAAAAAAGCCGCCTATCTTTTCCTAAACGGTGTGGTCCCACCCGCCCCAGAATGACAAATACCTTAATTTGCTGGCCAATCATCGGAGGCTCACGTCATGCGGTCCAGGGGTTCGTGCTTCTTTATCCTATCTATCTCTGGGAAAAAGGATCGACGGACGTATCGGTTAATTCGTATATGATGGCATTGTTAGATGGTTGACTGATCACTGCAACTGTACTCCATCCTCGATTAAATTAAATCTATTCTATTCTGTACTCGGTTTACTTTTGGTTTGTTCGCTTGGTAAGAGACACCTTCAGCTCGTGGTATCTGCCGATCTGCTCCATGTGTTTGTGCCTTGTCATATTGGCTGTCAGGTTATCCATGGTTGCGATGGGGCATATACTTTGGTATACAGCTCCAGTGTGACAGCTTTGACAGTATGGTTTGTCCACTGTAGGTTCTCGATCTAGAGATGTGATTGCCTCCTGCTTTTTGCATGACAGGCGCTCCCCCAAAACTCTATCTGACATGGGTATTGAAGTTTACATGGAAAAACTCGCTCATGACGAAAGGATTACTAGTTCGAGAAGATCAACACAGCATCGGAACCATCAGAGCAGTGAAGCGAATGCATTCCACATGGTCGATCTCTATCACTTCCTTACCAAAGCTTAATACTCCCTTCCCATTGCCCTGGAACAGCCTTCATCGAGGACATTCAGATTGGCCAATCAAATATTTCTCTCTGATCGGAGAATTTCCTCCGCTGGCATTACCAAATCTACAACAGATGTGGGTACGAGAGGGACGATAGTGCTCTATAGTTCAAAATGGTTGCTTTTTCCATCTGATGTTTTCTTCTGTCGTCCTCCCCACTGGGGACACCAGCACAGCGGCACCGGCCCTGTGCGCAGGATCCTAGTCTGATTGGGGTCAGCCCAATCAAAGACCCTGAATTTGTGTTCAATGCCATTCTTCTACTAGTAGAGGGTCGACTTCCTGTCCATTTGCGGAAGTTCCCGCGTTCCCCGTCCATGGACTATCTTCAAGCGGTTCGTTTGAGCGCGCAGCTGCATGATGATGCATTGGCGAGCAGATGGAGGGTCAACAGCCAAACGGAGTGTCACACGGTGGAAGGCGATTCGAAGGCGAAATGGGGCGGAAAAGAAGAGAGCAATGAGATCTGTCACTCTTCATTATCCATGGGCCGGCTGAGTGTGGACCCAGTATTCGGTCGACTGTGCAGCGAACGTGAGTCAGGAACATGAACTGGAAAAGGTGGTTGGACTGTCACCCTCTTGCGTTCATTATCTAGTACTTTTGTTCCTCTCCGATGCTTTGAGTTTGTAGGATCTTGACTATTTGTAACTGCATCGCGGAGATCATACCTGTAAAGTCTCCGACTGAGTCGTTTATGTCAAAAATCTTACCAATCAATAATTGAAAAAGGCCCGGCTCAATCTTCTACAAATGGGTCAGCGGCGCAGCAACGGCTGTGTCGTTATAAGAGCTGAGCATGAGAGCTTTGACATCACTCAGTTATTGGGGGAAGGGGTTAAGGTGGATGACTAATCTTGTATAGAGTGGTAAAGGTATCCGTTCTGTGTTCGGCAACTTGCGAAGCCATTGGCACCGAGGCAAAGGTTCTCTCCGTTCGAGATTCGCGATCTCCATGACGATCCTAACCTTCTCGAGTAAAACGAAGTCTAATGATTCCAAATTGTCAGAAGACTAGATGCACTGTGCCAATCATGAACCCCACCACACAAACGGTTCATGTTCTAAGAAGAACGGCCCACGGGGAGTGGAGAGATTAAGTGAACATGGCTGGCTGAGGAGTTGGATTGGGTGTGTTTTCTCAAGGTATGTATTCCTTCGTCACCCTTTTTTTTTTTGTCTTTTTTATTTTTTAAAATCCTTTCCTTGAGCTCTTGCCTATTTCGTTTGTAATAATTCTTTTCTTTTGTTTTTGTTGTATTTATAAAAAATATACATATTAACATCAATAATGTCTTGTTCTTTTCTTATGCTCCCCCATTGCCGGTCACTAGCTGCTAGACTAAGGCCGGCACCTCTTAAAACAGTCTAACAGTAAAACTATCAATGCACGAAAGGGTATCTGTCTGCCATGACCAGACAGGGATGCTGCCCGTCAGCAGTGGGTCCCCGAAGTCGCCGTTTCTTGTTTGGAAAGACTCTGTTGCCCGAAGCTATGGGCGTGAAGCTTTTGTCTCCTTGATCGCGAAATGATACCAATTCGACCACACTAGCTTAACACTAACTATATATAACTCTCTCCTCTATAGAGGAAAACCTATAATCTATTGTATTAATTCGATTAAAAATTGACATTAACCTTAGAATAATATTATCCAGTAGGATATAATATGGTTAGTAGGGGTATTAATATTAGGATCAATATTATAATTCTAACTAATTATTAAGTCTTCTTTTCTCTTCACAATGTTGCGCCTTTCTTTTCCACGCTGCCCCCCTTTTTTTGGTCTCTGTTTTAATATGCAGGAATTCCTAATTCCGAACGTAGGAGGGATGGAAAAAAAAAGCTCCGCCCAGTCAAGAAACCAGAGACTTTCCCTCATTTGCTTACCACTGACCGTTTCTGCCGCTCCCGTTCTGCTGTCAGGGCCCTGAACCTAGACGAGCATAGGCCAACCTCATCTTGAGGGTGGATCAACCATGGCTACGGAGATGATCGGACCTTATTTTTGATTCTTTTTTTAAAAAAAATTTTAATCTTATTTTCTTTTCCCTTTCCCACACAGTCTAGCGATTGGTGCCATGGGGTGCCCTCACACTCACTTGTCATTCCTGTATGTCTCTTAATTTCCCCATTGTGGCCTGAATGACTCAGGAAATATCGTGTCTCTCATCTCGACGACACCTTCCCTTGAATAAGACCCCACAGTGTATACGAGTGGACGGGGGAACCAACAAGTTAAATTAAGAAAAAAAAAGAAAAAGAAAATAAAATAAATAAGGGAAGAAAAGATTGGATCACCTGAAGGGGAGGCTGATACGTACTAATTCAAGAGCCTACGACGTATATGCTCGTCCTACAGACCGATTGATTTTTGTCTTCTGTTAACTCCGATATGGGGGGTGGAGTTATCAGCACCGGAGTTACGGAGTACTCGGTAGGAGCGCTAGGTATGGCGTACATACATTCATTGATTCCTGTATAGAGGATCCATGACTAGGGTAGCCTTGCTCGGGGGAATCCCCTGGAAGGTCAAATGAATAGGTCGCAGCGTGTGTTTGGGCGGAAAAGCAAATAGGAAATAGGAAGCGAAGGAGATGCATATCCATGTTTCACACAACAAGAGCCATTCGTACTACAGGGAATCCCTGCTGCAACACCGGTCCTGTGGTAGAGTCAGTGACTATGCCATATAGTGGCAAATCTCTCCCCCACGATCCGGAAATTCCCCCTGCTTTTCTTTTTTATTATTATTCTTTCTTTTTATTTTCCCTAGGAGCGTGCATGGGTGTGCTTCAAAATTATTACCCTGTCAGTATAGACTAAAGTTGGGTCTTACCGAAAGAAGATACTGCAAAGAATCTTTAGCTTCGTTTTTTCGCTTCCCCACACAAGTATTTTCTGTCGTTACGAACTGGAATACATTGAGTACGACGGTATGTATAGATTTACATACAGTACATCCGTACCGGGCTCCATAGGAAGATAAACAATGTACAGTACATCGGGATCTTACGTATGATAGAATTCATCTATACTTCTCAGTGGAGTCAATGTTTTCCCATTCTTTTCTCTCGAAGTCGACGATACCATGTCTCGAGGGGTAACTCCTCGAATCTCTATTGAGTAGGGTCGCAGTCCATGAACTCAAAAAGTAAACACAGTGACATACCCCCCTTCCTGTATATATTGGGTAAAAGCCCGACAGTCCAGATACATACATAAATACTTACAGTACATACCAAACCTGGACGATCGTGACAATACATTGGCGGTAATGTATTCGAGGGGGGTACGAAAAAGGAATAATTAAAAATAAATAAATCACACCCCCAAAATATTATTTTATTTTATTCCATGAATATTTTATTTTAATATTTTCTTTTTCTCTAATTTTTTTTTTGTTTTAATTTTAATTATTTTATACCTCCGACAACTGTCAGCTCTCCGAGATCTTGGATCAAGATCTTCTCCTATAGCGTGCTCTAGTGTGGAGCGGTCGTCCAGTTTTCTCTGACCCGTCTCCTTGGTCATTATACCCATTCTCTGACTATTGCTATAAAACTGATCATATCTCGTCCCTCCTCGTACTTGTCCATCACTTCAAAATTTCCCGTCTCCTCCCCCTTACCCTTCTGGAGATATATCTACCACCTGGACGTCGTACCTTTTGAACCTTAAATTCTTTCAATCAATCGACTCATCCCAATCTTTTCCAGGATCCAGGTACCCGGTTTAACCACTTTCCTTTCCTCCAAACAAACATAAGCACTTGTGGGATTTAATCTTCTGGTGCGCTAAAGTCGAACCCCCCACCATCGGTAAGAACGCAACCTCCCTTAATAGATGTTCAACCTTCCCCGCCCGTGCCCTATGCCTACCTACTTATTCCTCTTACTTCCTCTTACTCTTCCTTGTTACTTTAACTTAGTACATCTCTCTTTCTCCTTCAAGAACTTCATTCCTAACCGACCACCACAGGGAACAATAAGTGACACAAAAGTTAAGAACAATTAAACCATCACATCAAGGCTCCACATCTATCATGGCGCCAACTCACCGTCGAGGACCTTGGGTTCCTGAAGAAGACCAGTTGCTTCTTCAGTTGGTTCGCGAACAAGGCCCTAACAACTGGGTCCGCATCTCACAGCACATGCATTATCGCTCTCCCAAGCAATGCCGGGAACGATTCCACCAGAACCTCAAACCATCCCTGAACCGTGAGCCCATTTCCGCGGAGGAGGGTCTCATGATTGAACGGATGGTGAACGAAATGGGCAAGCGGTGGGCCGAAATTGCCCGACGACTCGGGAATCGCAGCGACAACGCAGTGAAGAACTGGTGGAACGGCAGTATGAACCGCAAGAGGAGAGGCCTCCCCACGTCCAGCACCACTCACATCTCGCGAACTTTTAATGGCCGAGTTGAGGCCCCATATACACGCGCCTCCGTATCGTTGAGCAGCCCAGCCAGTCGTTCTCGCTTTACTTCGATCTCCACCGATAGACCTCTCACTTCGTGGTCCAGATCTACGCCTCCTCGGCGGGACTCGACCTCCGCCGCTTCCATTGACTGCCCTCGCCAATTGACACCTATCTATACTCTTCCTGCGCTCAATCGCCCGGTAGAGACTCCTTTAACCTCGCCTGCCTATTCGGACGCTTCGCATGCGCCATCTTTGGAGCCACCATCAATGGTCTCGGATCACAACTCCGTTTCTTCCGCATCGCCTAGGACCGTTTCCTCGCCGCAGCTCTTACCGCTACCAATCGACACGCGCCAGCAATATAGCGAGTTCCGCAAGCAGAGCACCTCGGATGATATTTACTACGCTAGCTATCAGACTCCCAAGCCGCTGGAGCCTCTGACCGAGCTGCCCTTCAAATCCAGATGGGTCTCGGACAACCAACCCTGGAGCCAGCATTCAGCCCCCTCCCCGCAGGCCTGGCTTGTTGCTCCCGAAGAACGTAAAGCCGAATCCCCCCGTGATTCGCGCATGGGTCTCAGCAACCTACTCAACTAATGATGGTTCGCGTTGTGAAACGACCGCACGATTTATTCTTTCACTTTTTAATCTGCTTCACCTGGGATGTTATCCTTGAAGCGTTTTATGTATATGCCTCAGACCGACCCCTTGTCTCTCTTTTTGGATTTTTGAGATTTTCTTTTTCTAATTTCCTTTGTATCTATATCATGTACATTTTGCTGGATGATTTGCGTATATACCCACGGCCGGTCTCGTGGTAATTTGGGGGTGTCGAGTGAGCCCGGTTCCTTTATTTTTTTTATTTTTCCCCCCTTTCCCCTTCTATTTCCTATTTATCTTATTCCCCTATTTGTGGTACAAAAGCATGATTTGGAGAATGGTTGATTCTACGGTCATCTTTGGGTGGATGGCTTCTGGGATGGTTTAGAGAAAAGACGGGAGTGATGGATGATCTGATTCCCTCTGCATGTGTACAGGTGTGCGTTCCGGATACTTAACAGTGTGTATGTGCTTGGACTTTTAATAATACCCCTGGCAGTTGCTTGTTGCTTTTACAATGAATCTTATGATGTTTTCCAATTTTCGTGTATGATATTATTGAGACTCTTAATGCAGATCTTGACCGGAATTCCTCTCTCAACATCCTTCGTAACATAAGTCAAGAAAGGGTTGTTTCTCCGGCTGTCGACACTTCAGCTGAACTCCCTTGGTATTTTTGTGGCTGGCTGTCATCGGCATTTGTCTTCCTCACGAGGAGGACGCAAGGGGGGTTTGCCACCGGCCGAAGGATACCTGGACAGACACCACCGTCCGAACGAAGAGCGAAAAGAACGCTAGAGAAGGGGAGAAACTGAAGAGGGGAGGGGAAGGAGAAAAAATAATAAAAAAATTAAAAATCAATGGAAATAAGAAAAAATTACCTCGGGAATTCCACCTTTGCGACGGTTTTTTTACATGCATACCGCGCTCTGTTAGGAAATCAACATTGATAGATCAATTTCCAATTCAGCTGACGAGTGCCTTCGATACTCAGCCAATCCTTCAAGTGTCGTTCATGCAATCCTGACTATGTCCAGGGCACTTGGAACCTCTCTCAATGGTTCACCATTCAAACCTTGACGTGCAGAAGGTTCCATAATTTGTGTCGCCCATTGAGCACGATAGTGCTCTTGAAAGGTAAGGTTCATGCCTAAAGTTTATCCAGGGACCAGAAAACAAGAAGTTCCGTTGGATTTGAGACTCTCGAGGTCTGTTTCCCGTTCTGCATCCCATTCATTCATTCATTCATTCATTCATTCATTCTCCCCCTTCCACATCCGCTCCCCCTCCTCTCCTCCCTTTCGTTCCGGCTGCATAATCGGCTAAACGGTCTACCAAGGATCTATCCTTGGGATCCCCTCATATATGTGGTTGTATTATGTACATGTACATGTACATGTTATGTACTGTACATCCCCACGGATAGTGTAGCCGAACCTTGATATCCCTACCGGGGTTGGGATCTACATACATGTTCTAGCATGACCAAGGGATTGGGTCACAATGCAAGAAACAAGAACAAAGGAAAAGAAAAATGGGAAAAAAAAAAGCGAAAAAATGAGAGAAAAAGAAACGAAAATCCCACCTGCCACTGCGGTGTCAGAGTGCCACTCTGGTCTTCTCACTATCTTCCTCTAGTTCTCTAGTCTGGACGGGGCTCTGCGAATCGTATGCGTAGGAAGCCCTCACTCGTCGACCTCCCTCCCTGTCTGACTCGCCATAGTGCCACAAAGGAATCGGTGTAGAAGCCACATACAGGTCTGCAGGATCGCTGATCCCTGTATAATATGATATGATATGATATGAATGCTGATTATGGCATGGCCATGATCACTGCGGTGTTGGGTGGCGGTTGTGTCTAATGTATGGATATTCATATAGTACTATTCTGTGTGTACATACAATAGATAATTCATTCTTAAGCCCTCCCATGGTTGTCCTCCGGTCGAGTGCGTACTAATTGGTGACTGTGCCAGATGGGTAATTAGGGGTGTTAATCGTTAAACCCTAATGAAAGGAATCATGGAGAAAAAGTTCCATGTTATCCCATTTACGTAGAAATTTACGAGAAATGTACCTTAGTATAGTATCTACTTGGTCATCTTTTGTTGAACATTACTCGTGCATAAATCAATATACTAAATATTTCTCCAAATGGAATGTGATCCCCGACCGGTCATCAACCTCTCGATTGCCGGACCTTTCACCCGAAGATTGAATACACAATGCGATTGTTGATGAACCCCCCCCCCCTGGTCGGGACCAAGAGATGGACCGACGATCTTTTTTCCCATTGATTTGGAATACTCGTTCGTTAGCGTCGATTCGTTAACGTGACAGTATTACCCGATTCCGTTGAATCGACAAGACCGATCTTTCCCCCAGTGGAGAACCATTGCAACAGCTTCTTCCATGGTTAACCCTGATTGATGTCCAGATGTATCCATTCAGTCTACTCCAAATTCTGAATCTCAGGGGCGGGAAAAGGGAGGATCCTGGAAAAAGCCCTTGTAAAGTATTTTTTTTTACCAAAAAAAAAATCGAAATTGATTGATAATAAGTGTCAGAATGCGAAACAAATTAAGATTCAATCTATTTATATTGCTCAATTAATCTCAACCAGCAAAGAAAGGTGACAGCTGAAACGGTCTCCTCCCCTCCTTTATTTTTTATTATTCTATTTCAATTGTCTCCCTGATCGCCCGGAATTAATTAACATGAAGAGGTCGTGTTATTTATATCTTTGCTTTCATCGGTAATCAGATGAGGCGTAATCATTGGCAGATCATCTCGGGCTTTAATAGGGCTTTAATCTATTTACTGTGGGGAACTGGACGAGATGGAAGAAATGGTTGGCTCGATTTCCGACTCCACACCCACTAGGGTAGTATCTATCTACTAACCGCTGGGTCGTTGGTGATGCCATGGACAGGAATGGGCATTGGACACACACACACACACACACACACACAGCCCTTCGAGCTACAGCCTCGCTCGCTAGCCGGCCCGGAATGCAACATCCTATGCAGTAGACAGTTTCAACCGATGAGCAAAAGCCTCATCCTGAGCAACAGACAGTTCCTTCGGAGTAAACCTCATCTATTAGATAAAAAATGAAAGACCTCCCTAGACAACGCAAATCAACCTCGTTTCATCTGCGCTTGACCTCAGCTAACTACTAATAATACCACCCTCTCTAACAAGCTAAAGGAATGTTGACACAACCATAAAGTCAGAATAGAAGCTTTGCCTGTCTATCCCAGAACATATCTAGGTAAAAGATCAGTCACCACCCTCCTTTCCTTATAAATTAATCTATTATTTCCCACCCCCCTCCCCCCCCTTTCCTCTCCTTTCCCTTTTGCCGCATTTACGCCGCATCGAGGAGGTATAGGTATTCCCTGCTCACGCTCCCCAACAAACCCTTCCTGAACTAGCTGATTGGCGCAGTGATCTTCCCGTGGTCCCTGCTCCGACCCAGACCCAAGGACCGGACCACTTCCTAACCTGCTGATGTGAAACGGCCGCGCCGATGACAGTCCCACGGGTAAATCTGGAGTTCCAGTGAGGTTGGTGGGCCGTTGGGGTTGGTCGCTACTTGCTTAGTTTACTTGCTTGCGTACGGAGGAATTTGTTGCATTCTCCGGGAGCGGAACTAAATACATGATGTATTATTCGGAGTATATATCCGGAATTTTTTTATTTTTATTTTGGGGATTAATTTGGAAGTTCGGGGATTGATTGGTAGGTGGCAGTTGTAGTGGGGATTTACTTCGATTACCTTACCTGGATGTTAGGATGTAGGTTGGCAATGAGATTGAGATTTGGTTGGGTTGATTGGTTGATTATGTATGTACACCGCTGGAGTTATGTAGGCATACTAGGTATCTATAAAAAGTTAAAAGAGAGGGAGGGAGGGTGAGAGAGCCATAAAATAAATAATATTCAAGGTCGAATGAATAATAAATCTTTCCAATTGTCTTTTTCCTTTTCCTCCCCGAGCTGCAGAACAGCCACGTCTTGGGTCTAGGAAAAGGAAAAAAAGCTACCATGCTATCGGGTACACCCGATCAATCACCAACTTAACCGATGCAGAAAGAAAGAAAGAAAAAAAAATATCATTATGATCTGGAAGCCCCAAATTTCAGAACCTGAGGGTAAGAGAAAAAAAAAAAAAAAGCTTGCACCGGGAACCCACAATGCAACAAGCACGCCCAATGAACTGGTATTCCGGTGTTTATCCTCTGGGAACGGGGAGGTAAGAGATATCGGTTCCAGTTCTTTAAGGAGAGAAAGTAGGGGACGAGCTTTGCGGAGCTTGGGTTCGCTATCGACCTACCTCTTTTTTTCTCCTTCTCCATCGGTAATAGTGGCTACGCGGTATAGTTCATCTGGAAAATCTATAGTCGAGATTCAAGGCCCACCTTTATTCTCCTTCTCGCTCTCTTTTTTAACTTGGTAGGGTAAAATAAAATATACTAAATAAACGCCAAAATGTCTAGACCGTGTTCATACGTTAGATGTCAAAGTGGCTAACTCGTGACTATTTAAAATTTAATATGCGGAACGGCGGGAACATGACAGGGGCAAGAGGGGCTATTTGCATTATGCAGCGGTACTACTCCTTACCTATGGGTAACTGGATATATAGGGAAGTGACATTGTGATCCTGCATATGCAGGCGGTTGCTGCAGACTAACACTTGAGTTAGGGTAGTTTTACCCTGCGATTTTTTGTTGACAGACTCATGCGCTGCATGGTATCTACAGGGTAAAATACTTACTAAACTAAATTGATTACGGCTTTGTGCACACCCCTGAAGCAAGGGTGGGTTGAGTGAAAGTTAGCGCGGTCCGGTTGATCGATTTTCATCCTTTTTTTCTTCTTCTTGTCTGCACAGAACGTTGAGATCACCGTCTGGCTCCTGCCATTGGTTGGCGGAGGATCTCGGTGCCCTTGCTGATCACTACTGGTACCCGCCTTGCCGGTCCGCCCGTGATCAGTGGATTCTTGAGAGTGAAAGGGAAGTGCTGAGGTATTGTCGTGGTATGGGTCTGCTTTGTGTATGTACATCTTTAGTACAACACAGTACCTACCGTACGGAAGGGATGGATGTCATCCATACCGTACAGACAAGTATGGTAAATTCCATCGTCCAGGGGTCAGGGACATCTTGGCTCAGCCTCACCCCATCCCTACCTCAGTAAAAGTAATAGTAATACAATTCTACAGATATAGATGTGAGGATCAATGCCACAGCAAAGCTGACCGCACAGCTACGCCACGTTTCCCCATCGAGATATATACAGCGAAGCCAATAGCGCACAGAAGCCGCAATCACTGTATACCATGGAAAAAGGAAGAACAAAGACTGCAGAGTTACGATAGTTGTTCTGCTTCGTATCTCGTAGTAGTATAGTAAGTAGTAGTACTGAAGTCGACCAGGGACAAACAAACAACCGCTATGGCCAGCATTCGGACAAGTCACTCCCCGCTCCCCCCGCTAAGCCATTTCGGGTGCCAAACAGCGAGAAAAGAATTTGTCATGAGCTGCGGGTACTACTAGTATTACCGTAATATCTTCTAATACGCAAGTACGCATTACGCAGTCAAGGGAACCAATCACCATCCGAGCATGCAAACCAACTAAAACGAACAAACCACTTCCAGCAAAGGGGTTCTTGTTGAACCACGTGGGGCGCCGTCAGATACCAGCCGTTGCCGACCAGGGTGAATTACCGGTTACGAAGAGGTATTGTACCACGAGGTACTGTATGTACTGAAGTACCAACGGGTTTACCGATGCGTTTGCAGCTGAGACTTTTTCCCATTGAACTGAACTTGACATGCCCCCTTTGGACTTAATCCCCGAAGTATTTTGGCGGCTTCCCCCCTCTGGCATCCCTTTTTGGTTACTCAATTGCACGTTGGCGGTGATCAGATCAGACTCGGAGAGGCCGAAGCACTCTGACCAGATGAGACATTGCCGGCAGCATGAGGTATCAGAAGGACGACATGCATGCCTCCCTTGCCCTACCACTACCAGAACCAGGGGTTCGACAACCATGCACATGGTTACCCAACGGTGGTGAACACAAACACCAATACATTGCAAATACATCCTTGCTTATCGCCCTTTACGACAAGAGGTACTGGTACTATAGCTGAGTCTCCACTACCTCAGCTGGCTGATACCTGCGCCAGCACTTCCTTTGCCTGTATGCACTAGTTGATATGACGTGTAGATAGACGACGATGATCCACCTATTATCAATTATCGCATGGGGTAAAAAAAAGAAAAGAAAGAAAGAAAGACAGACAGTGATCGGAGACAGTCCCGAATTCAGGAACAAATATCCACACTTCCTGGACTCGACGCAGCTGAGGCTCAGATTGACAAATTCGGAGACGTTCGGTTGCTGTGTGCTTTCCTCCACCCAAAGAGGTATTGCAGATCCCATCGATCGCACAGGATCAAGCTGCTATCGAACATGATTTACTACATAGCGTTGCCTCCGAATCGGGGAAGAGGATCCTATCCCTGACTCGGGGTGTCGTCATCGATAGTAGTCTCCGTTATGCAATGGGATGAATTTGTCATGACGTTGTGAACTCATCTGCTTGTCGGTCGGATGCCGAAGTTGCCCGACGTTCGACGGGCATCAAGCAGGTAGACTGGGCTCCGTCATGTGGTCGATTATTGAGTGCATACAGCAACGGACGCTGCGCATACCCGACATTTGATGGTGGGGGAAGAAGAATAGGATAGCTAGCTCTGGCAACAAGGAGCTGCATTCTTTACTGATCAAAGCGAGCAGCTAGAAATATCACCCTTGTTACCCTGTTGTACCAGAGATGATGCTTTACTATTAATAACCTCTCCCATATGCGCTTTGAATTCCACGACATCTGAAGAGACGAGGACATGCGGTGAGTCCTGATACATGCACTCCATTCTCATTTGGCCGGTCGAATGTCTTAGTCCAGCAAGCATTCCCTGTTGGTCCGATTTTAAAATTTGACCGACCTAGAGCATTCGGAATCAGTCTGGGTGCCTTGCGCGCAATGAGTGCAGCAGGCGCTGTCCTACATTCTTTATCAATTTGCTCCCTGTAGATGTGCATGCTGCCGTTGCTTCCCTTCCTCAGGCTAATTCCTTGTTTGTCCGGGGATTTGAGGATCATGTGCCCCGGATCGCTGGGGTTGTACTACAGTTGTACAGAGTATCTCGGATTGGCATTCAATTGAATCATATTGATTTGGGTTTCCACTTTACACCTTCCTTGTGAGCAATGAGGTACTGTGAATCCATCCCATGTAGACTCTTCTATTCATCGAACAGTACTCTTCACCCTTGGTTGGGCTAGGTTAATACAATGAAGGTCTATATAGGCTTTCCCTAGACGTCTCTCGATGGGAATACACCTACCCCACCAACATGTAAACATCTTCTGCTCTTGACTCTCCTATTCCTATCTACTCGATGAGCAATAAATCCATCTTGTTTCCTTCAAAGCCCCATACTTCCTACCAACCATATCCTCTCCCACTACACTGAGAAAGCTATGCATTAGAAATCCTTCCTGTTTCGAAAGTCCCAGCAACAACTCCTGCTCAACAAAATAGGAACACATAGCGCTATCGATGATCGCAATATACCAAGTCATATGTGAAAGTCAGTACTAAAATCTATCAGATGATGCTCTCATGCTTTTCAAGAGGTCTGCAGGAAATCTCCCTTCAGCTACCTTGAAGATATGCTTGGTTCTGATATGCTCCAAATATATGGGATTGCAAGGCCTGCTAGCAACCTTGAAATCCTGGTAACCTGTATGTGCTGTGCCTGGACCATTGCTGGGATAAAAAAAAGTCCCAAGATACAGAAAATATTGGCTCCGAGTCGATGGTCCGAGAGAATAGTAGGGGATCAAGACGACCTAGTTTCGCGCACATTGAAAAAATTTGTGCGTTGAGCGCCCAATGGAACATTACGTTTAGGGCTCCAAAAAGTCTTGATGTTGGTAGACCGCGAAATTTGACTCGTTCTACGAACCGGTTCGTTGCGCACCTCCCTCCTGCTGTACCGATATGGACCAATATCAACCGATATTTTCAAGGCCTTCGACACCGTATGTGCTTTTCTTCCGCGGATATTAATCAAGGGAACGTATCCATTGCTACGCACAAAACGCCAGCAAACGTAACATGATACAACCTGCCAACAAGATATCCAACCATCCGTTGCACCAGCGGAGAATCAGATAGCCTCATTGTCAACATGATCACCGCACAAAGTATGATAAACTTCATCCTTCCCGTCAGCATTCCTGCTACCAGGATCTCTAAACTAATCATATACGAAGCAAGCACATTACCCTCAGCCTGGAATCTTACATGCTTCAGCTCCCCAGCATCATGGGATATGACTACTCGGAGAAAGAAAAGTATGTATTGTTGCGGGAATACCAACGATCTACCATTGGTGGGGGGCTTTGAGACAGGGAAGTCAGGCTGTGAAGAAATATGGACCAGGCTCAAGAGTTAAGTCACTCCTCGCACAAGAGAAGGACAGACCAAATTATTGGTGTCAATGGTTGTGAAGGGATTGGCGGACCGTATGACACAGAAAAGTAAACATCTGGATATTTGAAGACTCAGAAAACGTGCGGTTATTTAAGCCTTATAGGTCGTGACTTCTTAGTAAAGTGGGCTCAAACCAAACTTGGAGTGAAAGAGTGTCTCCAAAACAGAACAAATTCTTCTCGATATGCCCCTGAAGAGACGGATGATGGCATCCAAGTTCGACCAGGGCCAGATATATGAACACGGGGGCCACGAACGCACTCGGTAGAGGGAAGCAGCCTTGTTGTACTGTGTCGGATATGTCCTGTCCGACAATGCTTGCAGTAACTGTGAAGGACATACAATCTAGAAGCATTGTGTGACAATGGGAACCTCCAAAAAGAACAGTCACTGGATCCTGCTGTCACCACTTTCACTGGAACAATAAGGTGTTTCGAAACCCTGTGGACTATTGAGAAATATGGAAGAGGCCGAAGATGGACTGAACCTTGCCGGATCTCTTACCACACATGGTATTAGAGACATCCTCATAATACTGTCTTACACTCTAGGGCAAACACAGCCTTTCTACAAGAATATGGAAGACCCAACTAGTAGAGCAGTTCTTCTGTTCTCAGGATCTCGAGGGTTGAAAAAGCCTCTCAGTTCAATGTTCTTAACTGTGTCCAAGACATCTCTACAGTTGGATACACAAATTTTTCTGCTTCTACGCTAGAATTATCACCTAAGGATTCAATATATACACGGTCATCGTCCGAACCTTGGTAAAAATGAAGAACACCTGCCTTGTGACTACCTTTACTCCCGGGCCCCAACACTGTGACTGCTTTCGTTCGACAAGTTCTCGTGGAATACGGCACACCCAGCATGCGCAAGCATGTACCACATGGGAAAAGTCTCAATGCCAAAGGTAATGGCATATCTTTACCCAAGAAATCCGGTAACTTTTCCTCTTCCAATCTGGGATCAAGTCAACTAAAGTCAGTCCAGTACAGTGTTTCCCAGCATGCACATAGGCCAAGCAAAATCAACCAAATGTCCCATCCACTCTTCGTAATACTTGATCCAAAGCCCAAAGGGCGCAAATAAGAGAAAGGGTTTCGGCGGCTCTCTCACCACAAATTCCTAGAAACATTCATGGGTTTTCCCTTCCACGACCTCATCGCAAGAGCCCGATCTACGCGAACAATCTTATGACGGATCATTTCGAGAACGAAGTGTGGGGTGACCGGTCCTTCTACGATACGTATCGTATCCACCTTTAATGACATCCCATGTTCTAGCAATAGGATGGGTTCGCGCTCATTAGTGCCTAATTCCTTGTCTTATCATGAGATATAATGATGATTCTGCCGTCATTCGAATAATCATCTATTATAACACGGTACTGGCATGACGGTTCTCCTCTCCAATATGGAACCGCGCCCTCGATCCTACCGGTTACCTAGCTATTCTATTCCCTCCACCGTGATCCAATATGGTCAAGATAAAGGGATATACGGGTAATTTTGACGGATCAGACCTTGTTACGGAGTACCGCACAGGACCTACAGCCAGGATAAGAGACCCAGGAACAAAGCCAAAGGCTCCACGGAGATCTGGAGGTGGTTGGGGTCGGGTTCCCCACCCCCTGGTGACTTAGTGAATGGGTATTGTCTTGTTTTAGGACCGGGCTTTCAATTGATAGGGCCATTGACAGGCTATGTACACACTATATGACATTGCTGGGTAGAAGATTAGTCTTGTCTAGTCAGACACAGTGCTGATTCAGATATGGGTAGAGGCAGTTGGGTTGGCTACTAACTAGCGCATGGAAGACCGTCTGGTTTATCGGATGCGACGCTAAAGCCCTCAATCCAGAATGGGCTCTGTCAAGGAATGGAGTAAAGGCATTATTGGACGACTTCACCACTGGGACCGTGAGAATTGACCATTTACGACGAACCGTTAGACGATACATGATAGAATTCGGGTCACTTCCGGATCGCACGGAACACTTTGACCTAAAACAACAACATCAATCATCATGAACTCGGTTGGCTTAGCCAACAATCTACCCTCACGTGTTGTGAACCAAACGGCGCAAAACGAAGGGAACAGCAGTCCATGGAATCCATTGTATGAGGTGGATACAGAAAGAGGATCGTTCGGATTGCGGCAGGAGCTTAGTCGCCTTAAGGCTAGCTTTATACACGAAAAGAGCTAATCTTGCTGAGATAATTCGCGAATTACGCCTGCGGATTCAGCGGGATAAGGCCGAGAAGAAAAGACTCGGAAATGATACTGAGGCCTTAGCACTAGTATCGCTGAACAGGGGAGTGAGTTAAAAGATGCTGTAATCTCCCAGTTGAAAGCCGATCTGTCTACACCTGAAACATAGAATGAGAGACTTACCCGTGAGAATCAAGACCTGGTAGCCGTCCGGAACCTATACTTACTTTCTCTTGTCTACTTTAACCGCCTGACAGAGCAGTCCCGGTAATACCCAGGACATGTCTACCCCTCCTCAGACTTCCTGAGTGCCCTGGAACGGTTGTTGCAGTTAGTTTTTATAGATCTGGTACTCGCTCCTATAAGAAGCTCTTTTTATAGGTGAGGGATGTTGTGGCAGACGGTAAGCTGATTCTGGAGATTAGTTTCCTTTCCTCTCAACAACCATCCTCAAGAAAGTGTTCATCAATCATATCATCGTTTAGCCAACGTTCGTCGTTATGATCACTTTTAAGTAGTCAATTCATCAATCAATCGATCAGTTTATAGTTTCCATCATTTCAGTACGGCAGCCGTATCCTCGGACCCAGAACAATGGTGAGATAGATATAGTCTCTTGACGGGAGCTGACCATCTGCAGATCGCTCAATCGCGCCGTCGACCAGGATGCAATGCAGGGCGTTTTGGAGGATCAGCAGCTCCGTTTCATTTCTCAGGAGATGACTCAAACCATTTCATGTGCTCAGAGTACTATATATACACTTTTTGAGCAGACAAGGGCACGGCACGGCATCCAATCTTGTCTATCCAAGTAGGTTGGTTGATAACATAGCGAGACCGGGTGAAATGCTTCATACCAGTAAGCCATGAGGAAAATATGAATACAAATCACATCTTAAGATTGAGAGTGATCTCGATACAGTCCATCTATCAGGCAAACCACTACTCCAAAACGCACAGTCAGATTCCGGTTGTCTCACTGCCCAACCTTCCAACGCCTACCCATGAAAGATTGTAGTCGTAATCCCAAACAGTAGACCCAACTCAACTGCTAGCATACACCGTACAGCAAGCAGGTGGGGAAATTGATCATTGATCCGTAAAGACACATTCAACGCCAGCATGCACGAGGAAGATGGCATCCCATAAACAATTAAATCAAAATAATAACCACCAACAGTGAGGTATAGATCACAACGGTATGGGAATAGGCTATACGCCTATATGGAGAAGTAAAATAAACAAGATAGGTAAAAAGAAGAGGAAAAATGAAAAGAAAACAAGAAAGAAGGGGAAAAAAAACGCTCAAGGGGTATATTCCGAAGCGCACATCATAACCATATATCTCCTTCTTCGCCATCAACCCATCGTTTCCAGACATGTTCATAGGCATCTTCCAAATCGTGAACCCAGCGCTTGGTGTCAAACAATCTGCTTCTCCACCTCTCGTGGAACAACATCTTCCGGAGGTCGGACAACCTGCCTCTTACTCGACCCTCACTGCCAGGCTCATATTTCAAGCTTAGGCATAATCGGATAGCTTTATTTTCATAGTCCTCGTCGGATGTGGCGATCAATTCCTCACGAGCCTTTTGGCCTTCATCGGAATCCGGCAAGGCACTACTAAGGATGCTGCTCGCCATACGAGAACACATCTTGTACTTGTAGCGAGGGAGGGTCAGGAGAGGCGTGCCACTCCACAGAACATCCGTCGCCGTTGTGTGTGCGTTACACTCAGGAGTGTCCAGGAAGAGATCTAGGATCTTTGCCCGGGCGATGTGGGTGTTCTTGGGCGCAACATCAGTGAATATGATGCGAGAGGCGGTCTCTTCACCTGCCCAGGCGACGGCTGTTTCCTTCAGATTCTGTTCACCGAGGTCTGGGAAGCGGAGTAGCCATAATACGGCGTTAGGAATCCGTGCTAGTATACGGAGCCACGTGCGGAAGGTCGTAGGCTCAATCTGCGAAAGACGTTAGTCTCCAAATAGTCATCGATACAACGGTAGAACGAAGCTCACCTTGTATAGCTGGTTGAAATTGCCCAGGATAATGGCATCATCGCGAAGATTGGGGAACAGCTCCTTCCGCATACGCCATCGTTTGTCTTGTTCCTGCTCCCAAGCGAGACGTGAGTCCTGGGAGTCAGGTGCACTTTGTCGATGATCGCAACAGAAGAACGTGGCCCTGGTGAAAACAATCCTTTCTCCATAGACCCAATCCTCAAGATCCTCTCCATGGTTTTCCTCAAGTACTCGATCTTCGATACGAAGATTACGCCCTCCTGGAGCAAGAGTCTCTTGTGGAATTGAGACGGTGTCGGAAAGGATATAATCACACCACTCAGCACCCAGGGTTCCTGCAAACCCCATGAATGACATGTGGATTGGGGCGGGTCGTGCAGCAAAAACCTCGTTACGTGCACCGCGGGTGTAGCCGTTTAAGTTAATCAGGATATGAATGCCGTCTGCGACGATCTGCTTGACTAGCCGGTCGACAGACCACCCACTAGCATCATGAAACACTGGCGCTTCCCTCTCAATCTGCTGGCGATGAATGGATTTATCACTTGCGGTCGTGGCGTAGCAGTAGGCCTTGACTCTTGAGGGGTTGTGGAATCCGAACACAGATTGCATGAGATGCGCAAGGGGATGATTATTGAAATCTGAGGATACATACCCAACTTTGAGGTACGGGTTTGGCGGTGCCGGCGGCTGGTATACTGTAGCCGGGAGCCATGGAGAGCGAAGGGTCGCGCAAGATATGCGAAGCCCATTTCGCTGTGAGATCTGGCGAATCTGTTTTGCGGAAAGCGGACAAGTGAAGGTGTGAAAAGGTAGCACAGTGGGTGCATTGGGAGCAGATAGGCCAGGCGGAAGTTGTGGCCTGCGGTATTTAGACATGGGATATTCTTTCCCATGGACATAAAGGTCTTGATACCACTGCCATGTGATCGCTCTGATCGCGCGCTCAACGAGCTTTACAATTCTCGAGCCTTCCCATTTCTGCCCGGCCCATGACTGGAGAATAGCATTCAGAGACCCAGACGTAAACCGTCGGCTGTCCAATGCGGGAACCAGTTGCGCGCACAGCTGCTCAATTGTACTGGAAGTCAACAAGCCACGGCCCCAGGTTTCACCTTCTTTGAGCTGTCGATCAACAATATCAACGACACGCTTGATCCAACCCACGCCAGTGTCAGTACTGTATGCGTCCCGAAGCATCCCTTGTTCATTGACGTGCCACCGATCCCGGAAACCATGCCCGTTAACAATACCGCCTCGTCCAACCCAGTTGCAGACAGAATTCAGAGCGTTGGCTAGTCCACAGACTGCTTCTGCAAACTCAGGATTCACTTTGACGGCACGCTTGTAATATGTGATTGCTTCATTGACACGACCGGCATCTTTGACTGCGTTGGCTAGGTTCGCTAGAGCAATGTCAAAGTTGTTGTCACACTGAACAGCCTGTTCGTACATTCGAATAGCAGCCTGGAGCTGACCAATATCCTTGAGTAGACTGCCAAGATTCGTGTACAAGTGGGCATGTCGAGTGTCAAGGTGCAAGCCGTAGTTATAATACGCCAGGGCTAAAGATACTCCACTACCAAGAACCACTCCGGGTATCTCAGGGTGATGCATCTCCCCACTGGCGCGAGGTAGACCTTTAGCGGCGTTGTTTTGGATGCCGGCAAGCAAAATTCCTACATTGTTTGCGGTTGACGGGCTGGGTTGGAGAGAAAGTGAAAGGTAGTAGAGCGCCAGTATATCGCGGACGCCTGGAGCGGTTCTAGGAGCACCGGCGGTGGAGATACTGGACATCCCATCCTGGTAAATTTTCGCCAGAGAGAGTAAGGAGTTACTCGTGGTCGATATGGCCGCTTTTCGGGCGAGACCTTCTGCAACAAATTTGATCCCCGGTGGCGTCCCGCATGAGGGGAAAACCAGTTTGGAAGTCTGCAGTGCCTTATCGGGATATAGAAGGATGGTTTCGTTGGCGCTGTGCTGCTCCGGTGGGGCATGGTAGTCATGCCGTGATCCATGCGAGAATGCTGCGAAGATCTGTTTTATTAGGCTCTGAATGCCGTGCCGTCTTCTCCCCGCTGCGATCAAAATTGCATCTTCAAACGCCATTGCAGCTCCAACATTATCGCCCAGGGCATATAACATATTGCCTTTGGCATGAACAAGAGCCAACATTCTACCGTTGTCGCAGCCCGGGATAGCATAGCCACTAGACCCAAAGCCAGTAGACCCGGTCTCTGCAGGCCGCTTATTAGTAAACCCCGATCGATTCAAGTCATCATCGTAATCAAAGGATGCCTTCTCATACGAGCCGAGATCAGATGCGCTTGATGCTCTGCTTTCGACGTCACTATCCGTCTCGCTAGCATGCTCATCGGCCGTGAAGCAGTCACCGTTCTTGGGAAAGCGTAGTGACTTTTGCACGAATTCGATAATGTTGACAGCTTCCTTTCCGCGGTGACTGCTGCACAAGAGACCAATGAGATGTTCTACGGCCTCGAAAAAGCTGGGGCGGAGCTTCACAGCTCGGAGCCAGTGGTTCAACGCCTCCTCTCGACGATCAAGAGCCAAAAGGGTAGCAGCTAGATTTGATATTGCCTCAACATGTTGCGGATCCCTCGTAATGATTCTCATATACCATCTCATAGCTTTTGGGTAGTCACCCAGACCGTAAGCCAGACAGCCACCAAGTAGCATACCGTCAATCCACTCCCAACCACTTTCACTACATAGCGGGGAAAGCATATTTAAAGCGGTGCGAGCGTTTGTTAGTGGCGCGTTCTCGTTGCTAAAAGGTGGGGCAGCAAAGTGGGAAACTGCTGGAACCGTGAAACGTCCTGTATGCCGTAACCTATCCAGCATCTGGGTGTCGCTATGTTGTTGAAAATGGTGGAGTGAGGGTCGATGCCGATGCTGGGTCTGGAAGCCAGAAGGGTTGTCGACTTGCGTGGTATGATTGATGGTATTCTTTGTTCGAAGATCATACTGACTCGACGGGTAGCTGTTATGGCGCACAGCTTCCGGTGCATTTGCTTGAGAAAAGTCCAATCCAGGCTGCCGCGGTGGTTTGGGATATATGCTAGGCTTCAAATACCGCTGGCTCTGGGGGTCGCCGCCGGCGTGCGAGATGCTATTCCGTCGGGCGTGGTGAATAGAGGCCAGGAGGTCGACATAAACACCATGAGCCCATGACAAGACCTTCTCTTTAAATTCCACATTGGCCGCACGAGAATTGGCCGTGGGGCCCGTGGCGCCCGGGAAACCATGCCCACTCGAGGTGCCTGGCCATGGCGATGGGTAAGCTTCGCTTCCGGGCTGACGCTGTGAGAAGGTCGGACCTGCATTGTTTTGACGCGTGTGGTACGGTAAGGTGCGAAGAGAGGAATCAAGGGCCTTCTGCTCTGAGTGACGCGGGGGGAAATTGTTCTTCACCGAAGAGTCGTGACCAACCATTCCCAAAGGCGCCGCTGCGCCCCAGGTTGAACCTAGATCGGGGTGACTGCCTGACGGCACTGCGTTACGGTTGAACGATTGCTGCCCTCCATCGAAAAATTGAAGACCCGACGGGTCGACTTGTTTTGCGAACGGATTAGGGGAGTTGAATCGGGGCTCTCGAAAGGCTGCAGGGCGATAAGGAATGTATACACCATCAGGCCAGTATGGGCCATATGGCCCGGTACCCGCCGATGCGGTTGGGCCAAGGCATGGCTGGAGAGTCGCTGGTAGAACGGTAGGAACATATGCACCGTTATGCCAGTAGAACCTTTGTTGGGATACTGGAATTGGAAGCGATTGGTTGAGTACGGAATCCATTCCAGGCATATAGCTCAACGAGCGAACCCAGCTAGCACCATTCATATTCTGGACCATCTCCCCTAGAGCTGCATTGGTCCGGTTCGACTCGTTCTTGTACACTGGTGGGAAATTCATCGGTTTTGTTGGTGACGACTGTTCCAAAGAGAGTTGCGACCAAGAATCCATCGGAAAGCCCGTTTGAGGCGCTACCATCTGGCCTGATTCCAGAGGTGAAACGAGAATATGCTTCGTCGCTGGGGGTTGAATGGTTGTATCCCCCGGGGTTCCATCATAACCAGCCGCAAGTGTCCCATTTGGTGTCTTCCTCCTCAGTGCATGTTCTCCAGAATTCTTTGGGCCAGGTACCAGGCCGGTCGTATCATGAACATCAAGGCGTTGCACGGGATGATACTGCAATCGGGTCCGAGGAATCGAGTGAAAGGAGGATCTGTTCATGTCATTATACGGAAGTGTCGTGGCGAAGGATGTCGCGCCAAAGTCATAATTCCCATCCACTGTATCAGCGCCATGGTGATGATTCATATGATGATGTGGTTGAATTGGCGGGAAAGGTGCTACTGAGGGCAACATTTTGGCCCTAGACAGCGGAGACACCTTTGTCCCACCGTGATTTAACAAAGTCTATACGGAAAGTCCAGAAAGAGGGGATCCGGGATATCAGGCAACAAAATCGGAAATTTGAAAAAAGAAAAGAAAATGATAGGGGAAAAGTTGGAGACCGTCGGTTCAGGTAACGGCCACAGATCACGAGCGGTCAATAGTCGAGACAGGCACGTTCACTCTTGCTGGGATTTTCAACAAGCATCCTCCTTGAAACGTTTTCTACACCTCATCCTGGACATGAACCGGCTCACGAGACATTCAGCGAAGCCTCCCACGGCTTGTCTGCGGATTCGACATGAACGCTGGCTGGATAGGCGAGGCAAGCGTTGCGGGATCGCTGGACGAGGGATAGTAGAGAATGTAGACCAGGTCGAAAATACCATCCACCAAGAAGCCGGATTCCAGAAGATAGAAAAGACACGCAGGCGATGTGATTTCCGCTACGTTATTTGCTGTGTGAGTGTCGAGAGAGGTGAAATCGGCAATGCAAGGGAGGAAAGGGATTCCAGAGTCACAGCCCTAGTCGACGTCCTAAGAGTACCCCCACTGACGCAGGTGTCCGCAATACGCGATCAATCACTCGAAAATACCACGCTTGGCAGAAATGCTGTACTCAGCACGCTGACGAGAAAGGGAGGGAGCGGGGGACGAATCAAATCTCAGATCACAATAATCTTTTTTTTTTAAATTAAAAAAAGAAAAGAAAAGAAAAGAAGAAGAAAGAAAAGGAGATTTGATTATCAAAGAAGGCGGAGACTGAATCAGAGTAATAGTGTAGCAGCGGAATCGTCGAACATGGCACCACTAGCTGATAGTCATCAAAAGTGTCGACTTCTCACGGTTTTCGACCGTCCTTGTCCTTTTCTTCGCTTTTTCTTTTTTATCTTAATATTTCTTTCTCCTTCAGTGGTTGCCTTGGTCGCTTATGTTATTAGTATTATTATTGGCTAAACAGAGAGAGCGAAAAGACTAAAAATTAATAAAAGGGAAAGAGGAAAGAAGAGGTGCCTAAGAACCAAGGCGACAGCGGACGCAGGGAGTGTTATGAGGCGGAGAAGATCCAACGGCCGGCGGAGAGGCACAGAAGTAAGAGACAGAAAGGAGATTGGAAGGATGATGATCGGGTCTGGGGTAGTGAAGGATAAGGAAAATAGACCAGTCAAATTGCGAGGGGCGACCGGAAGGCAAAGGGCCATCAAAGAAGCTCGGAGATCAAGTGGGAAGGAGAATGGAGGAGAGTTAAAAAAAAAAAAAATTTCAAGTCATTGTCGACAGAAAGAGAGAGATGAAGCGGGATGTTCCATCATGACAGAGCGGAGCTTCACAAACAAAAGCAGTGGACAGCGTCCAGTCTGTAGCTCCCGTTTCGTCTTAGGGAGGTTCCTTTTTTGGGGTGGGGGAAGGAGACAAGTGGATGGAGCCTGGAGCGGGAGTGGAGTCCCCAAGTGGAGTGCCTTTTTCGCATTACTGGCTTGGGCGCCTTAGCCCATCCATGATTATGTGGCTTGTACGGGCTCAACATCATTCTTTCATTGGCCTTCTTCTTTCTTTTGCTTTTTAATTATCATTATTCGGTTTTTTTCCTCATTATTTTTCTCCTCACTCATTTTCTCAAATGTCCCCAAATCTATATTTATATATAGATATTACAAAGTCAACCACTCCCACTGGTTCCAAGAAGAAGAAAAAGACAAATAAAAGAAGATCAATCGGGGGATATTTTGACCCTGCGTCAGCTCCGTAACCAAACTCCCAAATCAATCTACCAAGGTGGGGGGGGGAAACAAAATCAAGAACAAAGAAAAAAAATCATTAGGGAATACCCACATAATCAAACACGACAATCCATCACCTCCCAGTCCCACCCGTGCGATCCAACGGCTAGGATGGACCAGGCGCTAGCCACTTGGGCGCAGGAGCAAATCCAAGTTTGTTCAACGTCAGTGGACCACCGTCCAAGACCCCCGGTCTCCGGTGGCGCCCGCAGTTGATCAAGCCTCTGGATTTGAGAGGGTTTGCTTGGAGACGGCGGAAGGGCGATCTGGCACATTCGGTGGGCTGAGTGGAGTCGCTGGCTTGCTGAGCGTATGTCCGTGTCGACCTGCAATGCAAGCTGGCCTTCGGCATGCACTGAGGTGGAATATTATTCTTCTTGTAATGATTTCCCGGTTCAAGAAAGAAGAAGTGGGGGGAAGGAATAAAATGAAATAAAATAAATCTTATTACACAGAAGGGAATAAATTAAAAAAGGAAAAGAGAAACTTATGGGGAGAGAAAGAAACGGGATGAGCCGGCTATAACATGAGTGTATGCTGATTATGGGGAAATAGGGAAATTTTGACAATGGTACAAAAGAAAAAAAAAAAAGAAAAGAAAAGAAATATCATCTGTAGATCAAGTGAAGTGGTAGAGAGGCTCAGACACTTGGCCCAAATGACCGTCTTTGAATTGGCGGTTCTGCAACTCTGATGCAGCCAGAGGCTGAAAAAAACGCCCATGGAACTTGTACTGCACATGCCTTGGAGGGAAGCAAATCAGGTGAGAGAAAACCTGAACGGTGTACTAATGTATGTATGGATTGTCCATCGTCATCATTTGATAGAGAATATTTTCTAGGCGCGGTGATGTATTTTGTTATATTTTATTTTACTTTGTGTTCTCTCTCTTTCTCTTTCCTTTCCCTACCCCCTTTTCTAAAAATTCTTTTTCTTATGTTTATTATATAGTTTGCATTTTTATATTTCTTTATGTCTCATAAAATGCTTCAAAAGTAAGAAAGCTACTTCTGAAACTATAGGGACTTGAAAAAAGGGTAAAAACAGAAAAGGCAAAAATAAAAAAGTTGTTGGTTTCTAGAGGATTCACGAGTCCCCATCCAGGAGTATATAAAATATACCTATTTAGATAGTACGTACGACGTACATCTATAACACGATAAAATCTACGTAGAAAAAGAAAATTTCCATAAAAAGAATCCGTAAAAATAATCTCAACCAAACCCAGATAGTCCAACTCAGAATCCACTTTCCCGGGTGTGGAGTCAACTTCCAAAACTTTCCAAGGCAGCCCGCTTCTTTTCAATGCCCAGTCATACCAATCCGATTCAGCCATGGGATCCATCCTCCCCATGGCTACTCCTATCACTAACTCCCACTAGTGCTCCTCCGGCGCAGGAATCACTACCTAAGTATCATTCTCTCCTGCTAGTTCCGACCTCTCCATCCGCCCAGACCAGGGTCTATAGGATCGATGAGGGCGGGAATGGGGCCGCCGACAACCCTTTTTTTCCATGTCACGAGCGGCGGTCTGACGACGGCGATCGGCAAACTCTGCTTCTTTTTTCTCCCTCTCCCTCTCCACCTTCGCTCCGTTCCATTAAGTCGGGTATAAAATGAGCATGAACATCAATCTATCTGGGTATAGCCGACAGGCGAAGGTTGCAGATGGACTAGGTCAAAGTCAAAACTCGCGACGCTCTGAACGGAGAATGGGGAAGTAAATATATATCAAACCGAGGGTGACGATAATGATGTTGTTCTTATTGTTGTTGCTCCTGCCTACTTAAGATCGATGTATAACAAAGTCCAGCCATCCGTTACACATCATGGTCTGACTCATCCTTACACCCAACGTGACTTACACAGCATATGTGACTGATGTATGGATATGGGCTGTAGGACATACATGACTGTACAAAGCCACCCCCCATCAGCACAGCTCCCACCACTAACCACCAGCCGGGGCGCCGCCTGCAGCTCGGCGCATATCAGGAACCTGACCACTACTACAGTACCGAATCAGTCTGGTGGAGAACAAGCATCACTATCCTCGGCGAGTGCGCCGCAGTTCTATGTCGAACTATCAAACAGAGACATGCTATTATTAATATACTACAAACCATCTTGTGCCACCTCTCCTGGATGCTTGCTGACTCTAGACAGCGAATATACTGAGGGGTAAGAGAGTTTATGTAAACTAACACAAACTGCCGGCCTGTTTCAACTTAGCTTGCCCCCCCCGAGATCCACGGCACGGACTGGGGTTTGATATCTAACAGATGTCGAAAGTGTGGAAGATCTCTCTGAGGATACTAAATACTCTCGAAACACGTGCGTAACAAGAGTAACTACGATTATGGTAAGAACGACAAAAAATTCTAGAAAACCGGTAATTGACAGACATCATTGCATTGTAACGACTACGAAGGAAGGCTACGAATTAGATGAGCCATAACAGGCTAGGCACTGAGCCTTGTCATGTCGACCGTAATGATGGATCACTGCATCCACAGAGAAAGGCACAAGGCCGATCGCAAAGATACCGCGATGAGTAACGGGCCGGAGTTTGATCTTCTTTGCTTAAAATAAGCCTATACCACATAGTAAAAGGTCACAAACCAGGCCCGGAGGCGGGAATGGACGGTAAGGGCCAGAGTGTTGCAAAGGTCATCTGGGTGTTGTCTGATCACGACTCCGCTCGCATAGAGACAGCGAGTAAATCATGAACAGAGATATAGATAGGAAAGAAATGACAAGGTGACCAGTGATTAAACCAATCAATTTCCGATTGAACACAAATGGGAATCTTGGGTCATGACTCGTAAACATTTTGTTTTTTTTAAGACATTGATCATATTCTCCTAACTAGCATGCCGATACATTAGGACTGCCGTGGATTTTTGACCATGATTTACTCCGAGGGAACTAGATAAGAGTCAATATACTGACGCCAGACCACAAGGTTTATTAAACTTACCCTCGATCTCGCCAGCCTTGATGTCATCAGAGACATCCTTGGGGCTACGGCCATCAACTTGGCAACCAACAGAGAAAGCGGTACCAAGGATTTCCAGGACGGTACCCTGGAGCTCCTTCGCCAAACTCCTGTGACGCATGGTACGAGCGATCTCGATAATGTCATCAAGAGGGATGGACTTGGTGTGCTTAATGTTCTTCTCCTTCTTACGGTCACGAGGAGGCTCCTTGAGGGCCTTGATGACCAGAGAAGAGGCGGAAGGCACGACGGAGATGGCGGCCTGACGGTTCTGGATGGTGAGTCTGACGGTGACACGCAGACCCTTCTATAAGGCGCAAAACTGCATATTAGCCGATTGCCTCCCATGTTTGCACATATTGACCATTGCGTCCTTACCCAGTCTCCAGTGTTCTTGGCGATATCTTCACCAATCTTCTTGGGGGACAGACCGAGAGGACCGATCTTGGGAGCCAGAGCAGACTGGGCTCCGACCTCACCACCAGTCACTCTCAGGTGAATGATCTTCACCTCATTGGGGTCGAACTTGGGAGCTGCCCATTGAAAAACATATTAGCCGCCAGTGTGTTATAACCAAGGCGATGATACTTACGCATGGCGAGTGCGAAAGGTCGTCAATCGTCCTTGGAGTTGGTCGAGGTGGATGGTACAAGGAAGAAAGGGAAAAAATTCTCGTAAAGGCGCGGGATATTTCACTGGGGTTTCACTTGGGAGGCTAGACCTTAAGCGAGGGGCCCAATCGGGTAAGGCGCCCAGGGCTCAGCCCGCTTATATTAATCACGTGATTGATAGTCTGGTATGGGATTACAGATATAGATCAGAGATAGCAAGTGGAGTCAGGTACCGAAGTACGGAGTATTATAGTATACAATCCACTTAGATTTTAATCCATTGGGTCTAGGTAGCTCTTATATTGCAGGGTAACAAAGTAAAATCAAATAGCCGCTAAACATACAAAAGAGCCAAAGATCGACGTAGAACCGCCCGTAATGGTCACGACGCCGTCGTATCTAGCTAGTTCCTGAAACTGCCAGCCTAGGTGAGAAAGTCAGTATGGGCTGTGAATTTCGTTGGTCAGATGGTACTCACTTCATCAAATGGTCCATGAATGTCTGCAACGAAACGTCATCGGTGAAGATGGTCTGGGATGTCACACCACCACCATATCCTCCCGTCGTATGCGTGGTAGATGGGTTCAGCTTAGACAAGAGGAAACGTGCCTGAGATCCACCTGCATCGCAAACGATGAAACGAGGCAGTGGGAAACGGTCTGAAATGAGTTCCTATATGAGATAAATTAGCTTATGTTCCAATAGGCTCTAGCATGGGTTGGGGGGAACAAACCCTAGCATCTTCCTTCGGTTGCTCAAGAAGCGTCTTCAAATTCTCATAACCTTCCTGGTCCTGATAGCCTGCCTTTCTCCATTCTGCGATAGTTTCACCGTGAAAAATAAGGATATGGAAGAAAGTGTCAAGCAAAAGAATGTGAGAGGGCTGGATGGAAGCCGAGTCAAGTAGGACAGGCTGGCTGCCTTCGTGTTCCAAGGAATACGAATCCAGGGTTGGCTGGATCATAACAAGAGAATCACCAACGTCCTCGTGGTTAAGGACGTGCCTGTAGAAGGCTGTCTCGTCAGGGGAGTTATTGAAGAATTGTAAGAACTGACTTCTGCGGAGATGGAACATGAATTGAGGATAAAGTGTGAAATTCTTCTCAAGTCGGAATGAAGTTGGGTCGTCCTTCCGATAATCCGCAAAACGGGAGCAGAGTCTGATGAGCATGCGATCGACCCATCTGAGAACATCAGGACCATCATCAACCTCTGCCTTGAAGACTGCAATACGTGCCATCAGAACTGCGGCGGCTTCTTGGTCAAAGGATTGTGCCAGCGTAGGATCTCCAGCTGGTCCACTCAAGTTGCGTGCGACGGTGGTAACCCGCAAGTGATAGTGGCCAGATGCATGCTGGTAGTATGTAAGGAATTGCATCATACCCCTTTGGGGGCCCGGCTGCACGGCTGCAGGCCCGCCTTGGTTTGCGATCTCGAAGTAGACACCGTAGCTCGAAGAAGGATCAATTCCACACATCTTCCAAGCACAAGTATTACCGATACCACACTCTGTTTCGCCGACGGAACTCGACTTCTTGTTCAGAGATACGGCATGGCCAATAAGTCCAGTAACCTTGAGCTCCTTAGTAGTGAGGACTTCGAGGGATGCGTTGAAGCCCATCAACAGGTTATCGTTGGCATCCTTATCGAAGACCCTGACAAAAGACTGCTTGAATTGTGAAGACGTGAAGCTGTCTGTGAGAAGCATATGACCTCCTGTGTAGTTGACAAGGTTCTTCATCTCGAGAAGACCAACTTGATCGAGACATCCCGCAAAGACATCAACAATGTGCCCATTGTTAGCAGCACGCTTAGCCATGGCATCGTAGAACTTTATTTATCAGCGACAGTACCTCCCATTGCAAGCTGACGTGCTTACCTTGACGGCCTTCTTGTAGTACTTAATGTTATCCCGGTCAATGTCGTGATGAGAACGCATGGGTTCCTTCAGTTCGGGGCCAACAACATGGCCCGGACCCTCGGTTGCTGGACCACTCGTGAAGACCATGATGCGTCCACCGGCGTTCTGGAAGGAAGTCTCAAGCAACCCAACCGCAACACTGAGAGCGACGCCAGTGCATCTCAAAGGCCGCTTGTCGTTCGCAACAGGCCACGGGTCGCGTTGAAGCTGCTCAAGAACGTTGGTGATCTGGAACTCGGCCTGCTGAACAGGGAGAAGGAATCGTGCGGCGGGGCCAAGAGGCGGACGGGCTGGTTGTTGAGGCATGTTCGGGCGCACTCCCGGAGAGAGGAGACCAAGCATCTCTTGGACTTGCTTTGCGGCGTATTCTTTGCTGCCTCGGAACACGTACGATTTGGCGCATTCGGTGTAGCCGAGCTCGTGGACTTGAGCCTGTGATAAGGTCAACAATTCATCCTCCAGCTGCTTGTACTGTCGGAATTTGTCGTTCCTACCATAGTGCCATATGTGATCAATCCAACCAGTGCATTTGCTGGCAGCAAAGACAAGCTCATGACCAAGGTGTCCTTCAGAGCCTTCAGGCTGTCATCCTCTTGGCAAGTATCAACGACGTATACAAAGATAGGGGGAGCAGGCGCGGGGCGTGCCAATTGGTATTCGATAGTCGTGCTTAGAGGGTGAAGCTCCGGCGGTATCGTGCTCTCGGTGATGTCCTTATAATGAGGGGGAAGAGGGTTGCGCATCAGACAGAAAGGACAAATCCAAATCCGGGCTCGTACGTCCACGTTGCTACTGGTTGTTAGCCACTGACCAATGTCTACAGTGAAGTGTATGTCATACGCATAAGGGTTTAGAACAGCCCGGCAAGGTGGTTTACAGGTAACCGGTTCATATTGCAGCAACGGGGAGTCTGGCTTGTCCTTGAGCGGAGTGTAAACAGCACCAATAGGGACGACGAGCCGGGATGCTTCCTACGCACCAGTTAGTCAAAAAGACCTGCGGGTATTTGAAAAGTCGGAACTTACCATGCGAGAGCTTGGGAACGTGTTCCAGCTAAGTCTGATGCCATCGCGGTCCTCGACGTCACTCCACTGATCCTTCAACGCTTCGTAGTCCATGTTGTCGGCGAGCAACGGGGCTCGGTAGCTTTGTGGTATGAGAGGGGTATCTAACAAAGACGATAAAAGGAAATAAAACTGGCTGATTTCACAAATTATAAACCCGAATGAATGTCCTATAGCACAACCCGGTCTCTAAATGGGCAAACACCAACAGCTATCGTCCGGAGACTTATGCGGGGACCAGGAGTATGTTGTGTGAACCTGTGCTGCTGCCATAAGGCCAGGTTGCAGCATGTTAGGCGGCTATGGGCAACCGCACCCGCACTAGTGTGCTTTAAATTTCGGTCCACAGCCCGAATTTCTTCTCTTTTCTTTTCTCATCAACAACACCGATACATCAGAATTTTTGGCAGCTTCCGTCACATCAATGATGAAGTTGTTACTCTGTACTACGCATCGAGTGAAGAGTAACCTGACCCGTTGCTGGGCACCTGGATTTGAAAGGTCGTTCCGATCCTTTCGGATAATCTGGGAATCAGCTGTGGTCACATTATGACTTCTCTCTAGCCATGGTCTTGTGTTGTGGCATGAAAGGGATAGGGAAAGAAGGCAATTCAATGTGCAGATTAAATTTACACGTAGATCTCTACTTAATAAAGCCTGCATGTGTGTGGCTTTAAAGATCCCGAACCCATCAACGCCTCATGAGTGAATGTTTGCAAGGGAGAAGCAAACGAACTGAAAGGCAAAAAGAACCACATGAGCTTCGTAAAATACATTCAACAAGCTTTTAAGCTTTCTTTGGCGCTTTCCCCACCTGCTTGAGGAGATAACTGCGCTTGAAGTATGTGTTTGGGTGAACAATAGTGTCCAGATCGGTCTGATTCCAAGTTCCATCTTCTTTTACTCGCTTGATCTCCGCCTTGTGCGTCCACTCGAACACTCTGTTGCAAGCAATATGATAACGAGTCTTCTCCACATCCTCTCGCACCCCACGTAGCAATTCTCTGTCCGTAACGCCGGTAGACTGAAGAAGTCCGATGAGGTTGTCGACGGAAAAATGACGGTATGGGCAGCCATGAGTCTGGCCAACTCCGGGATTCGAGTCTCCAAGAATCTTTTGGCATGAGTAAGGAGGGTATCCACGGCCTCTGCGGTTGGAATCACCACCCACGTCACCATAGGCGTGGCGAATATTGTACTTGTACCGGGAATTGAATTCGTCGTCTGTAAATCCTTTGAACGATTGACGCCAGAAAAGAATACACTCCTCCAGCGATAAACCGATTCCTTTCAGGAAGAGGGTATATTGAAGTCGACCGTAGTGCTTCAAGTGATTGTTCTTGCGCAGTGACATATGTAAACTGCGCATACAGAGAGGGAAGTGTTGGGAAAGTTGATCGATATTGTTCGCAGTGATCGGAGCACCGTCAACAAATCCCTCTCCCTCGGAGTATACTGACTCGGCGCTTCCGAAGTTCTTCGACAAGTGACTTAAAATTGGAGTAAGGCGATCATCTTCGTCCAGCCGTGGTAGTGCTCGACTTGTGAGCTAGTCATAATCAATGAGATTGTCCAGTCCATAGCACAGGATAGCACATACCTCTAAAGCGCGCTCCAATCGAGCAGTAAATTCAGCAATGATCATGCTCAGCTGCTCTCTTCCTGGAACGTACGCTTTTCCTTTGGATAAGAAAACAGACCGCCTCTCTACCAACTCCGGGACCCTCTCCCAATCAACCTTATACCAAGATTCCTCGTCGACACGGCGTAAACCCGGTGTTGCGCTTACTAGATGTTCGGAGAGCTCGCGCTTCTCTTCATCACTAACCGGTTCCCAGTCGAGATTAAGGCTTTCTATAAAAGCACGTTTCTCCCTTGAGTCGTCTTTTTGGAACCGAAACCTGAAAAGCATAGTTTCAGCTCGCGCGAATCGCCGACGGAGGTCCTCCGTGGCGGAAAAGGCCAACCGAAGGATGAAGTGCGAATAATGATCCTTCTGACGTTCATTTTTCAGGCGTTGATCGGCCGCGCCGAGCGATGACGAAGTGTTCGCGGATAGTGGAAGAAATTTCTGGAGGAGGGGCGTGATATGCGCTTCGGTCTCGGAGGGCGATTTGTTCCTATAAGAACAGGCTTCAATTTCAGCCAGGACTACACCAGTCAATAAACTTATACATATCATGGGACAGGTTCAGTACACATACCCTTCAAACGATCGATAGCCCATTGCTCAAACTGCTCGAGAGTAATCTCCGCGGTCGGTGGGACTTCATAGAAGTTTAAGCGATGCGGGTAATCTTGTTGTTTGAAAGTTGGAGTAGCAAATTGTTTTTTCTTGTGATCGAGAGTTGCTCTCCTCTTTGGATCAATTCTGTGGAAATCCTGCCGAATCATTTTGAGGCCACACAGGATGTAATTCTATGTCAGTTGAGGACGTGTACGGCGTCCCTTGACAACCAGGTCTCTATGCGATTGCTCCGACGCGACACGCGATCTGCACGCGTTTGATATCACGTGAGGATTAAGTGGATTGGCCCACACTAGCCGAGGGAAAGCATAGGTATTTGTCCGAGTGGAGGGTCCATGTAACACATGGACATGGCAATGGATTATACATGTGGATGAATAGATGAATAGTGTATAGATACGGTTATCGCCATGAGACTGCGGTCAGACAAGCAATGCGTGCCTTCTCAGATGACTGAGAGACATCCAATTCCTCGAGATGCCTTGCTATGCCCAGCTCTACTCTGTATTCTCAGTACTGACTCGGAAGGAACCTCGCTCACCGACTTCCTAAATAGGTAAACATCGAGATTCCGTGGGGTAGGACTTCCCCAGGCTGATGTAAAATCCGAACTGTTGAGTTAGATTACTAGTTGGGAGTATAGACCTGAACAATCACTTAATATCTGCGCATAATATACCCCCTTTGTTTTGTCTCTTTCATGTGCCGAAATGCAGTCGGAATGAATGTAAACTAGCGCCCTCTCTCTCTCCAACACTTCTCCGCTCTCCACTCATACGCCTGCAGCATTGAATCCGGAAACCATTAGCAGTCCAAATCGCAAAACAGTAGCGTGCAATGACACTCACCACTAGGCAGCTCCGGAAGGCTGCTCGTATCATCCTCATCGGGGCGCCTGGTGTAGGAAAAGGAACCCAAACAGAAAGACTTCTCTCTAGATTCCCGGGACTGGCCTCGATAAGTTCCGGAGACCTGTTACGAGAGAATGTCCGGATGAAGTCACCCTTGGGTAAGCTATGCCAGGTATATACGCTCTACAGAATGCGCCTAACAACTGCTGGCCCCAGGACTCAAGGCAGAGACTGCAATGCAAGCAGGAAACCTAGTCCCCGATTCACTGATCCTCGAACTTATATCTTCCGAATTTAAATTGAAGGGCTGGCTCTCGACGTCATCGGGCTCGTCAATTTCCACCAACGCTTCTTTCATCCTTGACGGTTTCCCTCGCACCGCTACCCAAGCGTCCAGCTTAGAAACACTTGTTCCTATCAATTTCGTTGTTCAGCTTGTTACGCCCCCATCCGTCATTCTCTCCCGGATAGCTTCACGCTGGGTACATGAACCATCCGGAAGGGTATATAACTCCGACTTCAACGCCCCCAAAGTCCCTGGAAAGGACGACATCACAGGGGAACCTCTGACTCGGAGAGAAGACGACTCGATCGACACATGGAAGCAACGACTTCACAAATTTGAAGAAACCAGCAAGGCTTTGCTTGAGCATTACGAGCGCAAGGGCTGCTTATGGCGTGTTGAGGGCAACACCAGTGATGAGATTAGCCCAAAGCTTTTCGCGGAGGTAGAGAAGAGGTTCTGCTAGTATCTCCTTGTATAAATATACCACCATTCGATACCTCTCTGTACCCTATTTTACGATGTTCTGTTTGGCGTCAAAACGTTTGTACGACCTGTCAAGGGCTATGAGGCGAGATAGATGTTACGTCTCACTAAAGAGATCAATGCTGTATGCGTTTAGATATATAATAATCGGTGGTATAATGGAAAAGAAAAATAATAAAAAACCACCATTCATATTAACCATGCTATGCCTTAGATCAATTCGTTGCCATGTCGTAATCAGGATATATACCTTCATCAAAAGTACGGACATAAACGTACAGACACATACCTTTTAGCTTACTTTCTAAACCACAACCCTACCCCCCTATACTGTTTCATTTATTCTGCGACTGCTCCTCTGAACCCATACGAGTCTTATAGTCCCGTGGACTTTCCCACCCAGCGCGATTGCGACGATACCCCTTCCACAGGCCTGTACCCTTCCGCTTGGCTATGGACTCTGCCTCCCTGTATTTTCGCTCCATATCTGGGCCTCCGAATTCCGAGCCTGCCTTCGCCTCATACACGGTAGCCAATCCCCGCGTCAACATCTCATACGATACATCTCGGCGACGAAACGGAATCGGGAAATCAAGCGCTCGGCGCGTATATGCAGAAGCCACCACACGCTGATACTGATCCTGACGATGCACTAAGACCCGAACACGACGATTGAGAACATACGACGTCAGCCATTGATGGGCTTCGCGAGCATATGGCTGCTCCGGGCGACCGAAATGCGCCATTTCCGGCGCATCCACGCCAGCCAACCGAACAGAGATCTAGAAATGCGAACCATCAGTCCCCTATCCTTGACAAGCTGAGACAAAACACCATCAAACGCACCGTCTTATCCCTCAGTTCCTTTTTGTTCGTCGGAACTTTCTTCCACGGCAACCATCCCCACCCCGCCAGTCTGCCTCCGGGCGTGTGGTATAGTCGGAATCCATCGCCGTCGCCAACGCTCGTCACCTGGCCGAGGATGGTCCTCTTCCGGAAGTAGGAGGGCGAGATGCTGACGGCGTCGGGGAATCGGCGTAGATATAGGCGGTGGATTTGTAGTGCGCCTACGATCCCTGTTGTGAGGATGAGAGTGGGGATAAGGGTCCGGGTTTCGGTGAATGCAGCCCAGTCGATTGCGTTGAGGGATTCGTTCCAGTTCTTAGGGTTGCTTTGCTCATTGTGTTGTTTTTGGGCTTGCGTTTCGGAAGCCCATGGCGGCCATCGCATGACGTCTCATGCCCTCGTTCACCTGGGAATTGGTGTTTTGGGGGATCGTGTCGGAATGAAAGGGTGTTGATAAATAAATACTTCGGAGATAAAAGAGGCAAGATTATTGTTACCGAGGAAATAAATGTATTTATGGCGGCTGGGCGGTCAGATGGAAATAGCCTGGTAAATATGTATAGATTTATTGATTGCTTCGTACAATCATGAAGAAATCGCATCTAGAGGCTTTTTGTTCGAAAATTCCATCTATTTATATATTTAAAGGATATACAAATTGGAAAGTGAAAGTGAGAGGCTTATGACTTAATTGTATGCTCGCTTGTGGGAAAATGACCGATATTTAAATGAGCGCCTCCTTATAAACTGGCTCACATAAAGAGTACGAGAGCTACAGAGGCCTTCTAGAAACAAAAGAAGGCTCACAAATGATATCACGTACACTTGAATACACCAATGCATTCCTAGTATAATAAGTCTATGTAAGATGAGACAAAATTCATGAATTCTATTGTCTCTACAACATATCTACTACCTATCTATATGAGTTGTCTTTCAAATGTTTGTATTCGGCAATCTAACTAGTGGTTTGTGCCTATAGTGTAGGACATGCTCTATACATCATAGCTGTCAAATATACAGAAGATACTATGCCTGGTAATCATAAGGAGTAAAAAAGTTGACAGATCCAGAACCCGCACGCCGTACAAAAGCCAGATTAACAAAGAAAGAAGTCGGCCAGGTAGTATATCTTGCAAGGAAAGTGAGAGCGGCGGTCTATTTCAAGGTTGCTGGAAGACTGGTTTTGGCTTTGGATGCAGCAGTGTCGACGGCTTTTTGTAGCTTCTGATCTCTAATTTTCTTCAAGTATGCGAAGAGAACAATGAAAATGAGTTCCATCCTTCTTAGTGTTAGCTCAGATCCTAGCAATATCTATCTACCAAACGTGGAACATACCTTTCTTTCGTCATCATTAGCAAGCCCTGGACTAGCAGACCTTTCAAAATTTGGGGCCCAATACCCTTGAAGAGGGATAATGGACCTTCATTCTGAATGATATATCGCATAACTTCACTAAAGGTCTTGAAGGGCTTTCCCTCGCGACCGGGTGGTGGCCGCGATTGAAGGCCAACCTTAGCCACAATCAATGGTTGGGTTGCGATTGTGGCCATTGCTTTGGAAAGAGCACCCAATACTGTGCAGACAATTAGTTTCTCCACATAAAGTGAATAGGTAATAGAACCACATACGAAATGCTTCCCAGGGCTTGAGGTTATTTCTTCCAGAGAAAAGGACGTCCTTCAGACGCTGGTAAGCGCCATAGGTAATCGCCGGGTTGACTACTAGAATCAAGCTGGCTTTGAGGCCTCTCCACAGACCAGTCCATCCATCTTCACTGTTGACAACCTCCTTTCCAGTCTCGATCAGGCCCTTCTTTTCGCCCTTTGGCTGTGTCTGCTGCCTGGTTGTGATGACAGCGACTGGAATGGTGAAGATCTGAGCGATAGCTCCTGAAACGGCACCCAGACTGAGTTCCGTAGCGGTTCCAGGTGCCTTGGATCCTCGACTCGATGCCGTATAAAGGCTTCTGACAACGCTGTACCAATAGAAGTATGCAAAATTCGTCGAGGCAACGCCGATCAACGAGCCAACCATCCCAGAGTATAGACCTTCAATTCCCTCTTTCTCCACAATCTTGTTGATGGCATCCATGGTCGACTCATAGTGTACAACATTTTCGTCGGTTTGCGATCCGGGTGTGTTCTTTACTTGGACCTGAAGTTTGGTTTTGACACTAAAGATCATCAACATGTCAGTCCTACACCTCTCCACTTCCCCAACCAATGAGGCTGTTTACGCACAGATCCAGCGGATAGACCATGGCATTCGCGAGAACAGCACCAGTCGCACCGGCGACAGCACTCCCCCAAGGGGAGAGCGCGGGCTTCGATTGGCCGGCCATTTTGCAAGATGAGCTAAGGTGCCTCTGCTAATTTTGTCAGTAAGAAGATATTCAAATCAGAAATACTAAGGGAGCAAGGACTGGCGAATGAGGGAGGGCTCTGAGTGATTTCGGGGTTTAGCGTTCGGCCTCAAGGCTTACCGGATCGACTGATAGAAAAAGATGAACCCCGAGCAAGGTATAAAAGATCCCAAACCCCTGAGTAGTGAGAGTAACGAGAAGGAACCAGGTAAAGATAGGAGAAGTAATTACAATAAAATAAGGGAAAGGAATTCAACACCGGCCGCTAGGTCAAGGCATCCTGACCGTATGGAAATGCGGGAAGGATAAAGGTAACTTAAGTTGCACCTCGGCGGTGCATGACGAAATGAGCCGAGGTCCGTTTTTTGGAGTTAAGCCAGGTTATCGGCGGGATGTCTGAGTCTACCACCATTCCCGTTCCTCCCCACCGATACACTAGTGAATGAACCAGCAAGCATATCTACCTTGTTTCTGATCTTATCCGAATGCAAGCAAATTGAGCCTAAATTAGGTTTTATGAATAACAATCCGATTCTCATTTGGCAATCATCATAGCCTTGATTGGGCCCTTATCATATCTGAAAAGGGAGTGGGATCGACCTCGGATGTCGCGCACTCGGAAATTTCACGGGCCCCTTCGGACCGGTCACAAGCAAGGTGTTTGAGAGATTAGTCTGATAGGCACCTAGTTGACTGTTATGACTGTTGTGGGGAAGATCTTGGAGTGCCACGGTGTTTGAGGATCCCAAACTACTGCCCCGCGTGCCAGCATGTCTAGACCAAACGCCTCTACTCAGAAGTCATTAATTACCCAGGCACTGGTACTTAGCCTTGTTATATCTGTCTTTTAATTGTACTTTATTTCAACAACCATACTGACCATTGGCTAGAAAGCCGAGCGGGATGTATCATCCGCTACTTCTCAAAGGCAAGCCTTGGAAGCGGCTATTGATGCCGCCGAGCACTACATGAAAGCACTGAGACTGGCAACCGTCCAAAAAGACAAGCATGCATTGGATGCAAAGTGTAAAGAGTGGCTCACCACAGCAGAAAGTATCAAAGAGTCAAAGAATTGGCAAGCTGCGGCCCACCGCCATGACAAAGTCGTCCCAGAGCCACAGTTGCCTGTATCTACTCGCAAGCTTACCACCCGGGAGGAAATAATTCTCCTAGAAGGAGCCAAGTTGAATGGCTTCATCTTCCCCCCATGGTCTAACCCTCCAAGCCCTGCTGAGTTCAAGCAACTAGTTGAAGAACCTCTGTTTACGTATGTCTTAATAAACTGAATTCTTGTTGCCTTAAATATATTCAAATGACTGTTGGATATTCTAACTGATACTAGGGACAAACCCGATCTTCATCTTTCTCATCTTCAAAGAAGAGTTTTTGATGGTTGGAAACGGCCGGCTGAGCTCCTCTTAAAAGATGCAGAAGACGTGAACTTGGTCCCTGTGATGTCTGTTTCCGGGAAGTCAGACCTGGTCCAGGATATGTTGACGGATTGTTCGGTTGTTGCTAGCCTTTGTGCTACTACGTCAATGTTAGAACGCGGCCAATGTCTTGTGAGCAAGCCCCTTTTCGGTTGACATGTTTGGTTCGCGCAGTGACTAACACATCCAGCACCTTCTTCCAATGATATATCCTAGCCGGGAGAGCTCTCAGCCTTCGCCGTCTGGCAAGTATATATTTCGTTTCTACTTCAATGGATGCTTCCGGAAAGTAATCATTGACGACCGTTTGCCATCGTCGCAAACGTCAAGGTCACTACATGTGATCGACCGAAACAATCCTAACTTCTTATGGCCCGCTCTAGTAGAAAAGGCTTACCTTAAACTGCGAGGAGGTTATGACTTTCCCGGAAGCAATTCTGGGACAGATTTGTGGGTGCTGACGGGTTGGATCCCTGAGCAAGTCTTTCTGCACAATGATGATGTGACTGGCGATCAACTCTGGAGGCGATTCTACAAATCCTTCAACAACGGGGACGTTTTGTTAACTATAGGCACTGGCGAACTCACCGAGAGGGAGCAGATAGAGCTCGGACTCGTGAGTGAGCACGATTATGCCATACTTGATATGAAGGAATCTAAAGGACGCCGCCAATTGCTTGTTAAAAACCCGTGGGCTGGAGAAGATACTGCTCCTGGTTACAACGGCAACGGAAGTATCACCGAGTCTGGAATTTTACCTCATAACCCGCCCTCATTTGCACCGGGCACCTTCTGGATGGATTGCGAAAAGCTGCTCCAACACTTTGAACACCTCTACCTGAATTGGAACCCCGAGATATTCAAATACCGCGAAGATGTCCATTTCACATGGGAGCTAAGCAGCCGGAGAGGAGTGGCTGGCTGCTTTGTGAATAATCCCCAGTTTGCAGTGTCGACCGAGCATGGTGGAATCGTCTGGTTACTGCTTGGCAAGCATTTCAGAACGACTCGGCACCCAGAGCGACCCCTTGACGAATATCAAGGCAACGATGAGTCGGGTTTCATAAGCATCTATGTCTTTAACGCAGATGGGAAACGGGTCTCTCTAAGTGATGGAGCTCTCCACCGTGGTCCCTATGTTGATTCTCCCAATACGCTTATGAGGTTAGAGATGCCCCCAAGAACAACTTATACCGTCGTTGTCTCCGAGCAATCATTGCCTTCCTTGAATCAAAATTTTACTTTGTCCGCCTTCTCTACCAACCCAGTACGTATGGCGAAAGCTCAAGACAAATACATGTGTGTGAGCAAGGTTCAAGGATCTTGGTCGCCCTCGACAGCAGGTGGAAATGCAGAGTCTTCCCGTTATCCACTCAACCCTCAATTCAGGCTGGAGATAGCGGACGACACAGATGTTTCACTCCTCCTGGAATGCTCAGACATGGAACTCGCTACTCATATTAAACTGTTCTGGTCCAATGGAAATCGGGTATCGCGTGTTCGCAGCCGCGATATTATTGCCGATAGTGGCGACTATCGTCGCGGTGGCTCTCTCGTGGAAAAGAAGGCTCTGGAACCGGGTTCATACACTATCATCTGTTCCACGTTCGCGCCAGATCAACTTGGCCGGTTTACACTATGGGTATCCTCTCTAATCCCTTGTAAGGTGAACCTGCTTCCACCAGAGGCCGCAGGACGACGAACGGTTATTTCAGATATTGGCATACTGCCGCCAGGGAGAGACCGGATGCTGGCTTCTCTACGAGTGCCGCGGCTTACGAGGATCAAGCTCATCAGCCGAAGTAGGAAATCCGTTATCGGGAGCCATCCCGTTGGGGCTTCACCAGTGTTGATGACAGTGGAACTTGGACAAGGGCCGTACAAAGAAATCCTGGCGACTTCCGAAGATGGGACTCACAGTGATGCTATATCGGGAGTACGTATTGAAGACTTTGACTTGCAGCCAGAGCTCGAGGAGAGGGGTGGTATCTGGATTGTTATTGAGAGGATCGGTGGTCCTGGAGGGCAGGTGGAGGACCACTTTGAGGTAGAAGCTTTGGCTGAAGAGAGGGTTGAAATTGGAGAGTGGATACCTCAAGACGCCTGAAGTTTCCCCATGGAACAGCTCTAAACGCTTTGAAGATGCGTTTTTCCAATCGTCACAGTAGATAGTAATTTAGAGTAGAATGGTGGAACGATGATAGAATTTTGGCTTTTCTTTGAAAAAAGAACTAAAGAAAATGCTTGTCGCGATCGCCTAATTCGATCTAGGTTGCCTTACTCCGCATGAATCATTCAATAAATTCCTCGGCTCGGGCGCCGACTTAATTCCCACTCCGAGAGCTTTCAACGTCATCCCGCTTGCTCTGTGCATCGTGTCTCCCTACCCCACTTCAACAATTGAAGCTTTTCTCTAAGAAAAATCCTAATTCGTGGCAACCTCCATGGCAACTACCGTCCCCGCTGTTTTGAAGTCTGCGGACCTTGGGCGCTTCACTGTTAGAGCAGCTCAGCTTGAACGTGTAAAGCCCGTGGTTTCCTATTGGTGTGAGTGTTACGTGATTGTACCTGGACAGATGAGTGGCTGATCAATGGATTTTATTGATCACAGGTAACTTTTGGATCGTCAATCAGATAATTGAGAGAGGTCTACACACTTCGGACGATGAGGTGAAGTTATACACTACCGAACTTGTCGATAAGCTGGAAAAGGTACACTAAATAACGTGCGATTGACCAAATCTTTTGGCACAGACTAACATTTCCACGGTCAAGTTCAAAAATGAAAATCCCGATAATGAGACGGTGACGGATGCCGTGGCTGCGAATGCCTATGTGGAGCAATTCGGCTTGGAGGTCTTCGGACGTGCAGAGGCAACCATGAGAGCAAACAAAGTGACTAAGTTCGTTGCGGTAACCCTGACGTTGGACGACAGGAACTAATCTATCACAGGCAAACTGCTGACACGTTTCAAGCAGCCGCCACCTTTCTCGAACTTTGCCAGATATGGAATACCCTTGAACCGGAGACTGCTGCAAAAATCAAGTTCGCCAAGTACCATGCGGTGAGGATTGCGAAGGCAATTCGAGCCGGAGAAGATCCGAACGAGTCGAACCCAGTTATGAAAGAGGAGAATGATCTAGAAGGGGATAACTTGGATGTGAAGGACGACGATCCTGAAGTACAGGCAATTGTTGGATCATCACTCGCACGACCGAGGAAGCCGTCTGTAGAGGACATTCCTGATGAGTCTACGCATCCTTCAAGATCTCCTATGTTACCAGAGCCTCCAACTGGGTTCACTGAAGTGCCGACTGCAGCGCCTGACGCCGCACATAGTCCGGCTCACGATATGGATGTTGACGCGGAGCAAAATGCGCCGCTGAACCTCCCCTCAGCACCTGCAACACTCACATCATCTTCAACCTCAGTTCCACATCTTCCAGATACGCCTACATGTGTTGGTGGACATCAACGTTCCGGGGCTTCAGACGCCTTTCAATCTTTTCCTCCGCCATCGACGATGCCTTCTTCGAGCCCATCAGCCGCCCCTCATGATCCAAGTTCTTTCTACAGTCAACCCAGTGCCACATCTCCCAAACCTGCGCGACCTCCACCGGTGACTGCTCCCGTTGTGCCACGCCCAGTACCCCAGCCCGTCTATACACCCACACCTATAGCGTCTGCAAGCTCCACCTCTAACTATACCAATTCACAGGCAGTTGACGATCATTCTATTGTGCTCGCTCAAAAGCACGCCCGCTGGGCTGTATCTGCGTTGACTTTTGATGATGTCAACACAGCTATCAAGGAACTAAAGAATTCCTTGAAATGTCTTGGAGCGGAGTAATGGTAGAACACGAATGCTACACTCTGGCTGGTCACTTGTCCTACTATGATTCTAATATCAAAGTATATGAACGACTTTCCGTTCGTACTTTAGAAGTCGGAGTGTCATTGATGTGTTGGGGGGGGGTTGGGGGAGGGGGAATAATGCCTCGATATTCGTATTATGAGCGTGCCATTACACCTTGATAATTAACGATAAGATGACCATATAAGCGCATTACTGACTCTGCACGTTGCCACCTTTGATTTCCTGGTTCGAACACACTATTCTACGTGTCTGACATTGTAAAGATTATTTGTTTACTCTCGAGGTCCACAAGTATCACTATTGTAGTGTTAGGGGGTCTACACTAGCCCTACCTCCCTTGACAACCTATTTGCCTGTTTTCTCAAAGCCATCTTTTAAATATTGTAGGATCTTTGCGTCTGTGATACACTGGAAATTCACGTTACTGTTCCAGCCCTGGCCAATGGAAACGACTAGGACAGGACCATTCTCCTTTCTGTTGTACTGATCTCCCATAGCAACACAAACGCCTCACTCATCATTCAGTACCGCCCATCTCACTTCATATTCAGTGCTCAGCTACCATGACCCTTCTCCCCCACACATGGTATGCGCGTCTGCTTCCCTGTTCCACAACGTCGTATCTACTCTCAGCCTTGGGATTAGAAATGGCAAGTGCCAGCTCTAAGCGACCTTATCGCCCAGAGCTTTCGTTATCGTTCATGGAGCCACATCCCATGAAGGCAGACTTGGACACGGGCCGCCTGACCTCCAAATGTCGCGACCGGAAGCTGACCACGTTCCTGGACTTGAAGTTTGATTACCACAGCGAGTTCATAACCCGCCTACGCGAACATGTCCAGACTAGCAAGAACGACTGGTTTCAACTTTACCTCTCCGAGGCCGACAGACGCTCCTGCGCTGAGAAATTTGTGGATAAGTATGGCATGACTTACTGGGGCACTGAGGAAAGCCGAAAGAAGCACTTGCTACCAGATGCCTTAGAAGAGCCTGGAGCTCTCTGTACCTATCCAGAGCGGAAGGATGAGTAGGTTTCCTTGGGATCCCATTCTTAGCGTTACTGCTGAATACTAACAACTAAATCTCCAGGATTATTCGGACGGTTGCCCTTCTGCTTGAAAGAAAAGCAAATAGTAATGCCAAGCCGAAAGAGAAGAAAAACTCGATGGAGGTCAGTGACGAACCATGTCCTGGTGTCCACACAGTAACTAACGAAGCTGTATGGGGATTTTATAGTCAGTAGCTACGCCCACCCGCACCTCTGCTTCTGTGCCACCTTTCTGGGGAGGTTCGTCCCTTGGAACCTCAACTCCAAGAATGGGCACTTTCAAGCCTGCAACGGATCCGAGAAGTGATGGAGATCACAGACAAAAGAAACGCAAGATGTCGATCGAGTTGGGAATGGAGACACCAGATCCTAGAGCCCAAAAGCTTACAGCTTCGGCACGGGGTGCTATACGCCCATTTAGCTCGATCGTTGCTCATGAGGACGAAAAGGCTTCAATTCCCTATGAGGAAACCAACCTCACAGCGCACCCAATCGTCGCAGACAGTAACATAGCGCCCAGCACTGAGAGCGATCAGGTCAGCAGCTCCGAAGAAAAATACCAGAAGGAAACCATGTTCCTCGTGGAGGCTTCCAACCAGGAGGGTATGGCGCCGGTTTGGGTGCCGTTTCAAAATTTTCCGTGCTCGTCTACGTTTTTGGCGCACATGGCGGCTGAATGTATGGTGGATGGATGGAGCCCAGAAGATCAGCTAATAAATGCAAGTTGTCACACAGTGCAGGCGGTTCTAGCCGCATCTGTGAAGTTTGAATGGTCGGGGTTTGAGATTCGTGTGCGTCAGGGGAAGGACTGCGACTGGGCTATCGTGGTTGATGCTCTCCATAAGGCTTGGAAAGCCAAGGAATTGGTTCTAGATGATAGTCCAGTCCGGTGCTTTAGGATAAGAGTGATGCTTCATTTGACTTGACCAGTTATTGGTCTTTTTTGGTTCTTTGGTTGTTAGGGAGGTTTGATAAGTGAAGCTGTAGGGGGATTTGTGGAGTTTTTTTGTTTTTTTCTTTAGGGAGAAGAGGGAAAAGGAGTACACTGGGACTAGAGAAAAAGAAGGTCGAGGGGTGAGAAGGATTTTACTGGACGTACTGGCATATGAAACCTATGAAATTGAATTGAAGAAAACACTAGCGCACAAACTACAGAAGGCTTGGTAGCTATACAGTCACGGCACGAACCATGGGCAGATTATCCACCGGCCCATGGAACAAGACGCAAATCCCGACTGGGGTAATCTTGGTTAGACGGAGAATAATTTACTCGTAATGAACTGACGTCAATATCATTCTCGCCCTTTAAACCCGAGAAGTCACTCGCTGGGATCATTCCTGTCTTTATCGGTGCTCGGCCACTCGCAATCAAGGACCGGGCCAATTTTGAGGGATTGCCCTGTTAAGGGCAATTAAGAGTACTATTTGGAATCTTGAATAATCAATGAGCCGGTACCGGTATGAGCTGACCTGTTCTTAGGCTTCATGTTAGTTGCCATATTGGATTTTTCTCTTCCTATCTGATAGATTGGGTTGGGTGAGATATCTCTCCCGATTCCTATGCGCTGAGAGCGATAAATTTTTCGGCGGCACACATAATAGTTGCATATAATAATATATGGAGTGCATTACCTTCCATACCCCATAGATATACCCACTGATCCTGGTCATTGTATCATATAGGAAATGAGCTGTCGATCTCATTTCTTCCCTGTGATAATCATACTCAATCGGGGGTTTTTTTTGCTGTCGTTGACTGAATTTCTATTATTCTTCAGACATTAGCAATGAGTGATCATCGTTGGGAATGCGACGGTTGAACCGGAGACAATTTGTTTTTCCTATTTTTGACTTTTCATCTTCCACTTCCCTTTTTTTTCCCCCTGCTCCCTTTGTCCGCTCCCCTCTCGTTTCTTGCCCCCTCTGCCTTTACCCACTTAGACGCGGGACTATGATCGGACGGCGTCCCTGAAGAACGGAAGATGTCCCACAACGCGCGACTTGGCAGGGGAAGTAATGATGAATCACCTTTTGTTCTCCCCCATCTTAGAGAGCTCTGAATTTCTAATCCCGAGAAAAGTCCCCAATCCACCCGCGGGCGAAATTTCTAGACGCAGACTAACGGAGTTTGCTCGGTTTGGGGGATTAACAGTCTTGGATTTACCACCCCCTCTTTTCGTTGGTCTAGCGTCATCAGCGGCAGCGGGTGATGATAGATTATGGTTGTTCGGCTATTTTCGTATATCAAACGGGGGTCCCATGCTAGGCTGGAATTCGAACCATAGTATGGGGATCCATCCACCATACTGGGGCGATAGTGACGAGTCATGATATCAGCAATTGAGTTTCGAGCGAAGTTCGTGGTTAGTAACCTTGGGACGGTTGGAGCCCAAAGACTGTGAGAGAGAAGTAAAATAAAATACCACAAATTAGAAAAATGAGAGGAGGGGGAAATAACGATGGAGATTAGACTCCAACAAAGTGCCAAAGTGCTAATTGGGTGGAAAAACGGAGATGGGAGGAGTAAGCTTCTTAATTAGTAGTTAGTAAAGTAGTTTAGCAGTTTACAGTCACAGGACGAGCAGGTGATACGCCCCAATTCATCAAAGCGTCGTTAGTTCCGAATTGGTCGTTGCCCCAAAACCACTTCCGTCTCCTGCTCATCTCTCCCTGCTGGTGGTCTTTTTTTTTTTTTTTTCCTTCTTTTTCCTTTTTCCTTCGATTTTCCTTCTGCCGTCTTTCTCTTTTTTTTTCTCCGTCCCTTTAATTTTAAATAGTTAAGGTAGTACTCTCGTCTGTTGTTCTCCATATTCTTCTTACCTTACATATCCCACTATATTATCACTCGGCCTCTTAACCAACCAACCCCCCCTCCTCCCCTCTCTTCGCACTCGATCTCCTTAACGCCTTGAGATTTATTTACTTCCCCTCCCCCTTTTCTCTGGATCCCCACATTCTTTGTCTGCCAGAAGCTTGCGTGTGGGGTTTGAGAACTAGCCATACTCATACTCGCCTGGTACGAACAGCAAATTGCAGTCTTGTACCGCCTCCCTTCCCCGATACACCCCCTGTCGCAGACCATCATGGCAAGCGATCAGAGTAAGAAGCCAGCCGTGCTGATTGTTGGAGGACTCGGTATGTACATGCGACGGATAGCCCTGCGGCTCGTGGTGGCGCAAGGGGGGGGGAGTGAGCTAACCTAAACGTCTTACGTTTCGCAGGATTCATCGGCCGTCACCTGGCGCTTTACCTGCATGAGAATAACTTGGCCTCGGAAGTCAGACTCATTGACAAGGTCCTTCCTCAACTTGCTTGGTTAGCCCCTGAATTTGAGGAGGCCTGCTCCAAAGATAAGTTCGTTCAGGCGGATGCTAGTCGGGAACGTGAGTGAACTCCCCGGATTGTTAATATACGATGACGTTGTGTACTTACGCACCCTTGATTCTATCTAGAGCATTTTCCGCGTATCTTCGATCGGGCCAACGGCGAACAATTTGACTATGTGATCAACTGCGGAGGTGAGACAAGGCACTCACAACCCGACGATGTATATGAACTTCGCAACTACAACCTCACTGTGGCCTTGGCTCGTGAAGTGGCTCGCCGAGGGATCCGTTCTTATGTCGAGTGTTCTACCGCCCATGTTTACAAATCCGGATCGTCGCCACGGAAAGAGGACGACAAGCTTCAGCCGTGGCATAAGCTGGCAAAGTGGAAGATGAAGGCTAGTGATGAAATCAGCAAAATTCCGGGTCTCAACTACTGTTTGCTGCGCCTGCCCCATGTCTATGGAGAATATTGCTCGGGCTTCTTCGCTACGGGAGTGTGCCTCGCTCGAGTTCACCTTGCAATGGAGAAGAATCTAGAGCTTCTTTACACCGGAGACGTTAAGATTAACACCCTTTACGTCAAAGATGCAGCTAGTGCCCTGTGGAAGGCCGCCGAGTGGAGGGCAACTGCTCCAACAGACGGTTCCGCCCCTCTTGCGTTCAACGTGGTTGACCACGGTGATACTCGTCAGCAGGATATTGCCGATGCTCTATCTACTGTATTCGACGTTAAGTGCACATTCTTGGGCTCTTTGGCGTCGCAATTTGCGAAGCTCAACCTAGACGATGTGATAGACGACATGAATGAGGAATGCCTGCAGGTCTGGGCGGAATTGGTGGAGCAGAAAAAGATTGAGCGTCCAGGCCCTATCAGCCCGTTCCTTGAAAGAGATGTTTTTAAGGACCAAGACATGTCTCTTGACGGCACACTTTTCGAGAAGACAACGGGCTGGAAACCCTCTCGGGAGCGCTTCAACGCGGACGGTGTACGGGACATGGTGGAGAGTTATAAACGAATGGGCTGGTGGCCATAGACGGACCCCGCTTTATGGAACGCTTTTGTTTTCTCGACACCTCCCCTACTAATCTCGACCAAAGTTGGCCCAAAGTCACAAAAGTATGATGGCCTTCAATAATGACGACCCATTCACGACCGCTGTTGTACTTTACCTTCATTGACGACGGATATCTGCATTGGAATAAAGCACACCATCTGAAAATTGAGCACATAGACCACCACCCGCCTCCGTTAATCACCCACCTCGAACCGCCAACTGTTGTCCTGTACTATGTATGGTCGCCGCTCTACTTGTAATCTATAATATCCTTTCTTTGGTTCCATCGGGTTCTGTTCTTGAGCGCTGGTATGTTTTAGCTCTGATCTTTTTTCTTTCTGATCATGAACAACATTGCGTATTTAGACTCCTGCACTACTTGCATGTGAATGACTTGAGCATTGCTCTTACTGCTCTGCATACAGCGTCTTCTATGTTTACTATGTCCCCACTAATTGGGTTGGAAATACAAGGTGCCAACACGGGGTATGGATCTCACTCTAGACAGCTCTTAGTCACATTTACTACATGCTGTCACCCTACTCCCTGTACTGGGACCGCGAGTGTAGGTTAAGTTTAGAACTGAGCTCTTAGTGTTTTGACCGTGGTTTCATGTTTATTTCCTCGATTTAACCTAGACGAGAATAGCAGATCCTGTAACGTTATGCCCCAGGGTTGATTGGATCCGGTTACTAATCCCCCCAAAGCGTGGGAACCAGTGGGAACGGTTCCATCTATATATAGGTCCCAGTAGAGTTTGTATCTACCAATTCTTTAGTTTCGTCTGAACAAACGTCGGGGGAGACTTTCCTTGCCCAGCCACTGACCCTCCAGACGGACCTACTGAGACCGTGTGGTAAACCTACCCATTAAGAAAAGAGGCTGAGATTGGGCATCTCCATATTTGTGCCATGTTGCAATTAGCGTCCTTATCATTATCAATGCAATCCACTGCCATCCACGAAAGCGAACCGGCTTCCATTCTTTCCTTCGGAATACCCAAATTTAGGACCAAAATCATAACCCCAAACAGATCTAGAAACTTTATCACGGCCCCGGGGCCCCTTAGCTTACCCGCCGTATGCGACATGTTCACTGGAGGACTTTTCTGATACTTTTGGTAGGAAATTGAAGATTGACCGACGCTTCGGAATGAATCACTTATGGATCTCAACGTTAAGGTCCGAAATTGGCTGTGGAGCAGGCTGAGTGGGTGATCTTAGCTGTGCTATCGGAAATCTACTACTCTGTAACCCTGATATCATACGAATAAATGGCCCTTTGGCCCTCCTGCCGCGGAGCAAACCCGCCTTGCCGGCCACAATGCCACACGTGCAGGTGGTGAAGAAATACTCGACTTCTTCCGCTTTCTGGTGAAAGAATTTGACATATGTCTCCGGGATGTTGTCCCAGAAATCAAGACCGGGGCCACCGAGGAGGATGGCATCGAGCTTGGGGCAGTCCTCGAAGGTGGTGTTGGTTGCAGCGTGAAGCCAGTCATAAGGGTCACGCTGTCCAGCGTCAGCACGAGGTAGTGGAACTCGATGTCAAGGCCTTCATTTGAAGTGCCTTTTGGGAGATGACCTGTTCTTTCAAGTGTGGTCGACATCTTTTTGGAAGCTGAGGTCAATAAGTCGATCGGAGTGGCAACATCGAGGAGTTGGAAGTCGTAGAGGACGATACCAAACTGAAGTGGAGCCATTTTGAGGTGGGATCTGGAGCAATAAAGGAGCTTGAATGAAGATTGACAGAGAAATGTTGTCTAGCTGTGGACGAATGAAGCAGAAATAGTATGTGGCTCTTCATAGTTTATATAGATGCTGAATATGTCTATAATATTGAAGAATATCTCGGTATTTATTGCCTTCGTACAATTGTTAAACTGATAGAGTTGATGTGCTTGCGTCTACTGGCTTAGGAATGTTTTTAATTTGAGGCAGATTTCATGGCCACGAGAGTATACAAAATCTGTATTCTGCAAGAGTAAGTCACTGCTAAGCTCTATTCGTCCCCCATATTGTTATGTCTGCGCCCCTGGGGGGTCTGAAGACCTGTGTCTGTGTATTGTATTGCTTGGTGTATTGATAACGCTCCCTCTCCTTCTATTCTTGGTTTTTTTTTCTTAGTTTGATGAGTCCGAAGAAATATTGTATAGACAATAGAGTAAAGCAATGGCCGAAGTAGGTCTTGTTGCTTTTGCAGGCGTATTCCAAAAGCACAGTTGCTTTGAAAGATAAATGTCGAAGCCAGTATATGTCACAGTCCCTCTACCTACCATGACGGGGCTTGAGAAGCAACCAAAAACATAAAGACAAAGAAACAACGATAGAAAAAGCCGTGAGTAAACTCCTAATAATACGCAGCAAGCCCCCAGGAAGTCCAATTGTATCACAGAATTTAAAACTCCCAATCCTCCTCAACGGACTTGATAGCCCACTCGAACTTCTCCCGCAGTGACTTCGAGAAGAATTTTTCGATTGGGACGTTGAACTTCTTGCTGAAAACCACCGTGAGACGAGGGTCGATATAGTTCTGTGTGGTGTTAGAAATCCTATCGATTCGAGACCGGGGTAACAGAAACTCACAATCTTGGACGTTCCAAGGGCCACTTCTTTGTTATCTTCCTTATCTTGAGCCTGCAATTCCATCGTCTCAATACGCTGTTCAAGCTTCTGGATGGCGGTCTCAATCTTGTCAACAGTAGGGCCTTTGCCTTCAGCTTCCACTTTCCCGGTCTTGTTCTCTTTGTTGAATTTCTTCTCCATGTCCTTAATCACTTCCAGTCGTTTCTCAAGTTCGGTGGCCTTCATTTCCTTCTCCCCTTCGGCCGCGAGCTTCTCGTTATCCTTGTCGAACTTCTTCTGGATCTTCTGCCGTTGTTCTTCAATCAAGAAAGCCTGATGCTCTTTGATCCACTCCTTGTCGATGTCTTCGTCGATTTCGAAGAATTTGGCTCCCTTCTTCTTCTTTAGATTGGGCTCCAGATCAAGCATCTGCTGCTTGAGGCGCCATCTTTGGTAACGAAGACCTTTGATCTGCACAACGGGGGCGGAGATCGTCAGCATCTTTGGAGATAGAAATCTCACTCGGTGATGTAGTACTTACCCTCTCACCCATCTTCTCCATTTGATTAGCATGGGATGCAGTAACTGTCCGTTTGTGATTGCAGAGGATGGCCACTTTACGGTTGGCATCATTGTAAGCCTTGACCTTTTCTGCAATGGTACCGGTCGCGTTCATTTCTTTGAGGAGTGTTCCCATTGTGTGAGAAGCGTTGTAAGTACGGAACACCTTCGCCGTCAACCCAGACATATAATTTGAAAGATGTTTGTTGAGCGCAGATGTCTATGAACAGTGACATGTTAGCGTCCAATATTGAAAACAACTGCAGCGCACACGAAACTTACCGTTAACCGGTCGAAGATTTCATCACCTTCCTTCTTAGGCGCTTTCTTGAAGATCTTTAAGTTTTTGAAAACCTGCTGATCGACTTCGACTTCGTCGTAAAATCGGATACTGTCCTTACCAAGGAAATCAAAAACAACCTTGTTTGGTGGCTTGAGGGTGACGTTCTCGTATTTCAGAGAGCAACAGCCAACTGTTTCGGCCTCGTCTTCGCCCTTTTCATTACCAGCACGAAGGGCAAACTGATCTATCAAGTAGACAGCTGTGGCCTTCTGTCTCTCTACCATCAGCTCATGTTTCAAGTTCTTCTTATAGTCCTTGCGAATCTTATCGATGTGGTGCTTCAATTCACGAGCCTTCTCGAACTTCTTGTAGTCGCTCTGACCCTTGACATCGGAATTCGCTGCAAGCATAACGTATTTGTAATTGCCATTGATGTTCTCTTGCCACATAGCAAGCCATGTGCCTTCTTGATCATGCTTGACTTCTTTCCAACGGTGGCCTTCTGGAGGTGGGGGTACAGGGGCGTCCTTTCCGATATTTATAGTGATCTGCTCAGGCTGAACTCGAGCCTTAACACGTCCCGTCTTGGGATGTTCACCACGACCACGGAAAAGCGAAGGGGGTTCAACACGGAAATTTCCAACTTTCTGCTTACGGCCATCCCACATGCAGAACATATAAGGAGCTTCTTCAGCATCTTTCTCAGCCTTTTGCTGCTTCTTCTCAGCCGGTGGGAGGCTCTTCTTTTCCAGGCGTTTCATGTCGTAGTATGCGAAGATTGGCTGGAAATCACACTTGGAGAAATCCTTGATATCGACCTTGTTACCCTTGGAGTCGGTTGCACCACCAGTCTTCTTAAGAATATCCTTGAAGTCCATGAAGAAGTTCTTTTGGAAGGTAGGGTTTTCAACATGTTGAGTCGCATTCAACATACTTCCGAAGAAGCCCGCTACCTCTTCCGCATCAGGATGAAGGTTGACTGGAACACCATCGTATTTCATTTTAACATCCTTCGGGAGGGGTTCGTACGGCGGGGGAAAGACAACGCCGTTGTGCTCGAGAGTCGTCCACTTGATTGTTCCATCACCCTTCGTAGGATCTTCCCACCACCTATATTCCTCCTCCTCGGCCTCTTCAGCTTCCTCACTCTCTTCCTTCTTAACAGGAGTAGCCTTCGCGCTTCCCTTCTTCGCAGGGCTGGATTGCGCAGAATTTGGCTCGGTCTTTACCTTTGATGTTGATGCTCTCTTCGCAGGCTTTTTAGCATCCTCGACCGGCTCCTTCTTGACGCCGTTGACTGGCTTTTTCTTGTTCGCTGCCGCCTTTGCGGACTCTTGTTTGCGACTAGCTTGCGCGTCCTTCTCCGCCTTCTGTTGGATTCTCTTCTTCTGAGAAGCTAACTTCCGTTCGATGGGGACATCCGAATCAGATTCATCGCCTATAGCAGTCTCAGCAGCTTTAGGCAGCTTTCTTCCGTTAAGAGCTAGAGGCACATCTTCATCGGTTTCTGGATCTTCGTGCTTCGCGGAAGTGCGACGGCGCTTGCTCTGTCGAAAGGTCAGTTGCTGAAACTAACACTGGCAGCGCCGCAAATTAAGGGATTCAACGAAGGGACTGGCGCGGGCTGATTCTGGCGTACCAAGGGCTGATCATCCTCCTCACTGCTCTCTAGTTCGGCATAAGACTTCCTTTGGTCAACACTGATTCGCGCTCTTCTTTTGCTGGCGGCGCCGTTGGCTTGGGGGTCTGCATCCGTCATTTGGACGTCACCATCTTTCTGCACTGGTCCAAAACGGTTTGATATGCCAGGATCGACATGACCGTTTGTCTCCGTCGCATCACCCATGGTCGCGTTGCTAGGGGTTACTAAAAACAAGGTCATGGTGTAAGAAAAGCGGATTCATGGCAATAGTTTGAGGGCAAAAGAAAGGAGACACATATTGTATTGAAGGTCAGGTAATCTTGTGATGATGCGGAAGACCCAGATGGGTAGCTGGCAGAGCTGGGAAGTGTAGAAACTCACGAGTAGATCGACCGTTCGCTTTCAAAAGTGGGGTATCGTCCTCCGATGAGCTCATGATCCTTGAATACGAGTGGATAGGCAAGCGTCGAGGAAAGAGCGAAGCGTATAGGGGATCTCGAAGGGCGGACTTATAACCCGAAGATGGCCTGCCCAGCCGGAAGAGTAGGGCTTGCGCTGGAGAGAAGGGTGAAGTCAAAGAGATTCTGACCAATGGAAAGACTGAGAAGACCGAAGATGTCAGGAGAAGAGTAAATACATTGACTGGACGGGGAGACAAGGTGGCAATGACGAGAAGAGTGAGACAAGAAAGAGAAAAGGGCTGACAGGTTGACGGAGGAAAAAGAGAGGAGAGAAAGGAATGCGATGGAAAACGAGGCCGTCTTTTGGGGCCTGAGGCGATCTCTCACGTTTCTCCGGACCGCCAGCCAGTCTGGTTGCGAGGCGGGTCCCTGCCTGAGGCGAGCAACACAAAACAACAGCGTCATTGACAATCTGCCCCGAGGCTGGCTGAGCGTGGATGCCTGCATGCCTGAATAAGAATGCCGGAAATTTCGGCTTAAGGATTGTGCGCGCTGCACAACAGGCGGTCCCGGTGCCCCCGACAACCTTCCCCTTTGGGCATGGTGCGGCTATGTTCCCGTCTGCCGGCTGTCGGACGAACAGAAACAGGAGTCCCAAGTCAACGTCTTCTCTTCCCGCTAAAGCAGAGGTCTCACTACCCACCCTCGCGGCTCTCCCCTCTGACCCTTTCTATCGCTGGTCATTATTCCTTGACCTTACGGTCCGACCTCATAATGTTCTCTCGTGCTGTTCGCCCGGCCGTCAGGGCCGGCAGTGCTGTTGTCACCCGGTAAGTTCTCTTCCGGACCTCTTCACACCCACCTAGACACTTCGTCCCAAAACAGACCTTCAGTCATTCGCAACAAAAGGGAAAAAAAATCATGGAAACTTTGGGATCCTAGGAAGTACGTGTTGACTATGATGGCGAATTGCTAATTCCTTGAAGCACTGCTCCTCCCAATGCCGCCAACTTCGCGACTCTGCGTGAAATCGAGGGCCGTCTCAAGTCCATTAAGAACATTGAGAAGATCACCAACACCATGAAGGTCATTGCTTCTACTCGTCTTACCCGTGCCCAGAAAGCTATGGGTGACTCTCGCGTCTACGGAGAGACCTCCAATACCGTTTTCGAGAAGGCCGAGACTAAGCCCCTCGAGGACAAGAAGACTTTGCTCGTCGTCGCCAGCTCTGACAAGGGTCTTTGCGGTGGTATCCACTCCGGTCTGAGCAAGGCTACTCGCCGTATCCTCCAGGAATACCCCGAATCCGACATCGTGGTTCTCGGCGAGAAGGCCAAGGCTCAGCTGTCCAGAACCAACCCCAACGCTCTCGTTCTGAGCTTCGCCAACGTTTGCAAGGACATCCCCACCTTCGCTGATGCCCAGGCTATTGCCGACCAGATCGCTCTGCTGCCCACCGACTACGCCAGCGTTAAGATCATCTACAACAAGTGGCTCAACGCGCAGAGCTACGAGCCCGCCACTGTTGAGGCTTACTCGGAGGAGGCCATTACCAAGTCCGGTTAGTAGTCTCTTGCCATCTCTTTGCTCGTCTTACGGCCTGGGATACTAAGCTTTTTGCCTCAGCCAACATCTCTTCTTTCGAGATTGATGACCAGGCTCTTGCCAACCTCCGTGAATATGCTCTTGCCAACAGCTTGTTCTGGGCTATGGCCGAAGGCCACGCTTGTGAAATTTCTGTAAGTTTTTGATATAATGTACGAAATCTGAATGAATGCTAACCTACCAATCTACAGGCTCGTCGTAATGCAATGGAGGCAAGTATCACTTGAAATAGCTGTGGTGCGAATTGACCCTAGACTAACGTATATTTTTTTTCCCACAGAACGCCTCGAAGAACGCTGGTGAGATGATCAACAAGTGAGTACCGCTCAGTAAACAAATTTAGTCCTAATTTCTAATGCCTTGTAGGTTCCAGATTCTGTACAATCGTCAGCGTCAAGCCGCCATTACCGGTGAACTCGTTGAAATTATCACTGGTGCCACCGCCAGTGCGGACATGTAGAAGCTTTCATGATGCTTCAGTGGAAAGGAGTCGACATGTGTGTAGACTTACTCTTAAATACCTAGCTAGATTCTTATCGGCCTGTAAATCAGTCTATTCATCTTTCTTTTGTCTCGTCTTTTTTCTTCACCGAGTATTGGGAGCGATTGTAGCTGTCAGCCATTGCTCTCTCTTTCTTTCCCTTCCCCGCTTTGCCCCTTCGCCAATCCACTTTTACTATCTTTGACGCCCCCTAAAGTTATCTGTTTGTACAAGATGGTGGTTTTCTGAAGTTTAGTATAGGATATTCCTAGACCTGAGACAGGCAACAATCGATTGCCAGTGACTGCTCTGTTTATTCTACACCCAACTACCCTATTCACGATGCAGAGAACCCCCATCGTCTTTCACATCTTACTTGAATGTGTACAGTGAATGATGATGCGTCATATTTACATTCGAGCTTCCCATCATATACAAGCCCTCAATTTTCAATCCTGGAATTCCCCTACACCTCACAATACCTCCACCTCTTGAGCTGAACCCAAAGCATCTCCATCCCAAACAGTTCCCCGAGAGATCTCACCATGGCCCCAACATCCAGAAGAACAGTGATGAACTGCTACGAGATCCTAGCCATCTCTCCAAACGCAGACTTGAAAGACATCAACAGCGCCTACAAGAAGCTCGCACTAAAATACCACCCCGACAAAACAACAGCAGATGACGCCCTTAAGTTCCGGAAGGTACAGCCTACGCTCACCATCTTAATCCTTTGCACATATATATCACTTTGCTTTTACTTTTCACCCGTGCAAACTTACTGATGTACTCTGAAGATCCAGGCAGCCGTGGAAATCCTCCGCGACGAAGCCCGTCGCGAGCAACACGACGCAGAACTCCAGAGTAGCCGCGCTTACGCTTACATGTATGAGAACATACCTTTTACTAAGAAGGATACTTCTTCGGGGTGGTCTGCTACTAGTCCGGATTTGTTTGCTCTGCGTAGTATGCGCGGCCGATACATGTATAGTTATGCGAATAGTGTACATATGGATCCGAATTCGCCGGAGTCCCAGGAGGAGATTAGGCGGTGCGAGAGGGAGCGTGAGTATGGGGAGCAGCTGAGGCGGGAGTGTGAGCAGTGGGGGGCTTATGGAGGGGATCCGGGTCTTTCGGGTATGACCTGGACTTATGGGCCGGCGGTGGAGGAACAGATGAGGGAGGCTACACGGAGGGAGGGTATGCGTGTAAATGTGATGCGTGATGAGGAGCAGGTGATGGAGGGTGAGGTGTTAGAGGAGGATGTTGAGCCGGAGAGTTTTTTTGAGCGGAACACTGCTGATACTAACGGACAGTTTGGGTTTGGAGAACAGGTTGGCGAAGAAGAATATGAACAGCATGAGAAAGGTGGAGAGTACGGAGGAGAGCAATATTACACAAAGGGGGAAGAACTCGGAGGAGAATGGTATGAAGAAGGGGAATATGAAGGGGAGGAAGAATATGAACATTATGAAGCTTGCGAAGGCGACGAAGATTACACAGGGTACGAAGAGCAGGAAGAACATGGAGAGGGAGAAGAGTATTATGAAGAAGGGGGATATGAAGGGGAGGAAGGGTACGAGGATGACGATGAATACGACGCGGCTGGAGGATACGATGGAGCAGAAGCAGAGAAGGAGGATGCGAAGAGCGATCCCGCTGATTCTGATTCCATTACATCTACGCAACAGACTCAAGCCGAGTATGAAAGCGCACGGCAAGCTCCAGCCTCAGACACCGAGGGTTTGCTTGACATGGAGAGCACTGGGCAGTCGGTCAACATAGCAGAACACATAAGTACCATCCTCGAAGCATGGTCGGACACAAACGAATATGAAACCTTCCACAGTCTGGGTGACGAAGACCAAGATTTCTCTCATAGTGACAATGCAACTTCGCATGGCACGCCCTCCGTTGAATCTCCGCCACGCTCGCCTTCATTCATCGACCCTTTTATCCCTCACTTCAAAGAAAAGCTCAACCATCCTAGCGGCCGCTATACAGAAGACGATCTTCATGCCGAACTCAGAGGTCTTGTAATGGAGTCCTTCTGTGGCTGGATTGAAAATATCCGCCTCAAGGTTCCCGGCGCTGAGCACGCAGAAACCGTGGAGAGCCCAGAGCAGTGTCGCCACCTAGGGTTTTGGGAGAAAGAATTTGGGTCTTCGGAGTGTGAGGTGTGCCATAGATGGATGCCCATATACACACTTTCCTGTCCAGGTTGCGGAATCAAGGCCTGTGTGAGATGTAAGTTTGAGTATGAGAAGTGATCCGCTCCAATTTTCTTGCTTGGGTTACGGCGATCTTACATCGGAGATATGCTTGATGACACGTATAAGCGCTGATGTTTTCATATATTACGCTGAAAGTTAAAAATGTCTTGTTCCTGGATTTTCACGATGCAGATATTTTGTCCTACGTTCAACACAATAAACTGTTATCCAATCGAGATTGCAACTAAGCATCAAACAGTGACCGTCCAATGAATCTCGTGCATCTAACATATAGATAGCCTCCATAGAGACAATCCTTAGCCCGGGTACATTTAGGCTTTCTCTTCTTCAACATGAATCTCTATAGCTAGTGCACTAGTTAGACGAGCCAAAGCTTTGTCAAGGCCTAACTCATGATATATGCAGCTTGATGTTCAGAGTCAGAGACAGCCATTCCCTCAGAGCCCAATATGGCATCCGTTTTCTCCAGAGACAACTGTTTCGTTTCTAGGACGAGAAATACAATGGAAAGCGCACCGAGGAAGGCGATGAGCCCGAAGAATATGTAAGGGCCATATGTGATGTCCTGGAGCATATCAAGCGTGACCTGACCCACGATAAACTTGTTCGTCCAATCTGATTGGAGTAGCATGTTAGTATTTAGATGTTCTGTCAAGATTCATACATCTCTAAGAAGCGAGAAACAATGACCAGTCACTAGCTGAAGCATCCAAAGCCATTCCCTTTGCCCGAGCACTCAAGGGCCAGATTTCAGCGATGATTATCCAAGAACATGGTTCTAGCTACTGTACTAATTGTACTTCACTCATTAGGGCTAGTGAGTTCACCCCAAGAATATCCGAAATGGATAACGTATAGCCACGCCATAAAAACGCAAGCCCACCCATCGGCCGGATGTGACTCCGATTGATCTTGGTGTTGGCCGAGAATGGCTGCGATAATGGTGTGACAGGCTACCATGTCGATGGCGCCGACAACCGAGACGGCCTTGCGTCCTAGATTATTAACCAAAATAACAATGGAGATCTTCAGTATATGAGCTCCGTGCATTCGTTATTTCTATGTGTGGGGGCTTCTCACTTTTAGTTCGCTTTTCGAACAGGCCTTGGGCCTTGATCTCTAGAAATTCTAGCTGAAGAAATGGATCATCTTCTCTCAACCCACCGACACTCGTAAGGGCCCTCTTTGCTTCATCTTCTCGGTCATGATGAACAAGCTATCGTGCCAAGATGTTCACACCAAATCCAAGAATTACAGCCGGAACGAGTTGGAGCGCCAATAGCAATAGCCATGCGGCGGCCGGGGCCCCCTATATCGTTCGCCCCTTAGTTGATCCTGGCCAGTCAAGAAATAGAGAAGAGAGACTAGGAAAGTACACATTAGCTTACCAGGAAGAAACCTAACACAATTAAATTAGTAGCACGAGAAAGGCTAGAACTCAAGATAATAGTCAATGGAACTCTGGAGTGATTTCCGAACAAGCTGCCTACCTCCCCACTCCCATACCGGTGATGATTCGGCCTCCCAAAATGTTCGACGAGCTTCCCATTGTATTTTCCTGCAGAGAACACTAAAATAAAAAGCACCGAATCAAGCCGAAGCTCAAGCATAGCTACTCGTAAGTTTAGCTAGCTATCTAGAAAAAACAATAAAACAAATCCTAGCCCTATGTGTACTGTGCCTGTCAACCACCCTTTTTTGGTCTGGTGGGTGGCCGCATATCCCATCTAATCGTTGCCAATACATCGACTCAGGTGTTTTGATCAAGAAGAGACTAACGCGTTGCTCGAAGAGATACATTGTCTACTACAGATCCTGGAGCTTTAGACTTGACTCATCCCAGTGCAGACCTTGGAATAGCTTATAGACACCAGAGAAGACGCCCTTCCAGCAGTGCCTCACCTATTAGCTGTGACTCTTGAGGATCTATATACACCGATCTGGTTATATTCATAGAGCCTGTCTTCTCAAATAAGCCTCTAAATCGATTCCAGCAGAGGCTAAAAGGGTAAAATTATCGTCCAAGACAACAACATCACCGAAGACTTTCCGATTCTTGATCAACCCAACTAGCCCATATAAGCTCTTGAGATTTGCTCTGAGTTTGCGCCGCGGCATCCATCTCCCGCGGAGGTATTAGCACCATCACCCATGTTGTGGGTTGTCCTATGCTGGCAGACCCTGTACAGTGGCTTCGCAAGTTAAGAGGTATTCATCGGACAAGTAGAAGAAGAATAACAATAACTAGTGTTCCAGGAATTGTAGAAGGCGCAAATCACAGAAAATATATGATTCGCATAAACAGGCGCATCCAGCGCCTTCAAATCATTGTCCTGCATGAATATTCTAGTCAATAAGCTCAACTCTGTGGTAAAAATGGCTAGAGGGGTACTCATAATTTATATGCGATACTGAAACCTTGACGGCTACAGAACGGATATATCGCTCAATATCTGTGCTGCGCACAGGTACAGCGAGCAAAAGGCGGCGAGGCCTAAAACGATAACAAGCAATATGTATAAGATGCCAAATGTTCAAGGTCAAATTAGACATTATTCTTTTTTTTATCTCTCTCTCTACCTATCAAATCTATACACCACAAGTTCGCGGTTACTATTCTCGCCAACCACGTACCTCTCATTTCCGCAAATCGTTCCTTTACCTATGAGCTCAAAGACATCGTCCTGTTTTAGAGTTTTAGTCGACAAGGGTGTTCGGATGCTCAGGAACATCTTTAAGTCAAAAGGCCATGTGATAGGTGACAGATGGAGGCAGAATCCGACCTCAGCGTTCTTGTCATATGCTTCGGAAATGACAGCATACCATGGTTCATCGCCGATGGCAGAAGTAAGAGGTTTTGTCTGTAAGCTATTGTTTCCGCGGTAGGGAGGAAGCACTTGATCATCATACCGCCTCCAGCAGGGTCCCTCACCAGTTATTGGAATGCTCGTGATTTGCACCTGCGATGTCCATTCTGTCGGTGACACCAAGCGATCGACTGGCCCTGTGCACAGGTTCTCGACAATATCTATAGATTGATTATCATCACTGATGTTCAAGCACTGCACCCCGGGAAACCCTCGCTGCCTGACAGAGTAGAATCCTAGCTCCCTGAATCCAAAACGCGTAATGATAGCTGGGCCGGTGTCTTGCCCTTCAGCTCGCAGACGCCCGGTTGGGTCCAAGGAGGGTCGGTAATCTGACGGCTTTGAGATATCCCAAATAGACAGCGACTCGATGGGGGCATCGTCATCTGCAGTGTACAGACTGCGATTGGGCTGCCAAATGTAGATGGCATAATGTGTCTCGCTGTGCGTGGAATAAAAGCGATCTCGCTCGCTGAGTGGGTGACCAAGGAACATGATCTTCCATTCATTCCGAAACTTAACATTCCATCCACTAGAAGCCCCTACCACATCAAAAGATGAAGCAAAGTGGCGATGCACCCCATCACTGTCATTCAACCAATGGAAGGCTTTGGGTTCAGCCCATTCGACAACGAGCACCCTTTTCTGCAGTCGTATTCTGCGTATCACCTTGCCTGTGATAATGAAAGGAATCATGAAACTCCTGTCACTATCTAGATCCAAGAGTACAAGGCACGAATGGTCGGCGCTCGGATACACGACCAGGCCATCCTCGTACGACCAAAATGACTCTGGAAAAGGGCAATCAACGCGCTGCATTAGGTGGCTAGCATGGTTCTCCCAGGGTTGCACCTGGAACCATTCTCTTTCCCCAGTTGATCCAAAGTCGTCGCAAAGTTTGTATTTCTGGATAGATCTGGGTTTCCCTTGGTTAAGATGATCATATCTGGAGGCAAGCTGATCAAAGAGTCTGCACCAATAGATGCCATCGTCTGTAGACTCCAGTGCACAGTCAAGCTCCTCACTGCGGAGTTCTCTGACTTCCTTCGCTAGAGGGAAGAACCTTTTCAATAGAGGGATCAGATTTGCGGGGTTCCCGAAACATTGACTCCAGCATTGAGAGACAAGGCGGCAACGGACAATATCTCTGGGAGTAAGGTAGTTCAAAATCATCCAGAAAATCTCTCGTGGCAGCATAGACATGCCCGGAGCTTCGCAGCCCTGAGAATTTGCTGGGATGTCCACCGACCCCACTGCCATGGTGAATGCGGGGGTGGGCTATGGGGCTTCTTTTTCAGGAACGGCGAAGATATATGATTATCAAGCAATTCAAGCTCATTTTCAGAGTATATGCGAGGTGTTCCTGGGCACGGTTCAGGTTTCCATGAAAGACAAATACTTTTTCTTGGTTAGGTTATGGTCAGAAGACACTAGCCACACTTGCATCATTTTGAGTTCATGGCGGAGCGGAAGCTTCCCCGTTGCATTACCGTTAATTCCATGCCAAGAGCTTCAGGACACATTGCTTCATTGCTTTTCTTTCAATCCCTTTGCCAACCATAAATACTGCTTCCTCTCCTTCTGAGGGGTGAACCACTTAATTCATACTGTGAGTCTTGTTGGCCATATATATAACAAAACAAAACAATACAAAAAAGAGCAAATAAATCGCATAGGAAGATACTTGTTTTGAATTCCTCACGATGTGGCAGCCAAGTTCTGCTCTACTTCTAGTCGCATCACTTCTTACGGCTCTTCCAGCCAATGCTGATGGGTTATACACGAAGAAATCTCCTGTGCTGCAGGTGGATCAGAAATCCTATGATCGGCTCATTGCCAAATCTAATCACGCATCGGTAAGGTGGACTGTTAACTGACTATAATGCTAACAACAGAGTTAACCATTTCATAGGTCGTAGAGTAAGCGCCTTACCCCTACCCCCTCCCCTCCCAGCTTTTATCGCCAATTCCTAATTTTGGTTTTCGGCGCTATGCTAGATTCTATGCTCCTTGGTGTGGTCACTGCCAGAACCTGAAACCGGCCTACGAGAAAGCAGCCAAGAACCTAGACGGGTTGGCCAACGTTGCGGCCGTCAACTGTGACGATGATGCAAACAAACCCTTATGTGGCCGGCTGGGTATCCAGGGTTTCCCGACCATTAAGATCATGACGCCTTCCCAAAAGCCTGGAGTACCGAAGGTGGAAGATTATCGGGGCGAGAGGACTGCCAAAGCTATAGTCGAGGCAGTGGTGGATCGGATCCCGAACCATGTTAAGAGAGTTACAGACAAGGATCTAAACAAGTGGCTCTCTGAGGATGAAGAAGTCCCAAAGGCTATCCTTTTCACTGAGAAGGGCACCACAAGCGCTCTTATTCGAGCGCTTGCTATTGACTTCCTTGGGTCAATCAAGGTAGCCCAGATTCGCAGCAAAGAGTCCGACGCTGTAGAGAAATTCGGAATTGAGCATTTCCCCACACTCGTTCTTCTCCCTGGAGGCGGCAGGGAGCATATTGTATACGACGGCGAACTCAAGAAGAAGCCAATGGTTGAGTTCCTCAGCCAAGTCGCGGCTCCCAACGCTGCGGCCGCAAATTTTAAGGATAAGTCTCCAAAGCCGTCCAAGTCATCGTCCGCGGAGCCTCAGTCTTCAACTGTCCTAAGTGATGAAGCAGAGGAACTAAAGCCGACCGAATCTCCTGACCCCAAAGTTGTCCCGGATGACGCAACGGAATCGAAACCCGCGCAAGTCCCAATCCTAGCACCCCCTATTTCTTCCCTCCCAACCGTGGAAGCTCTAGAGTCTGCCTGCTTGACACCCAAGTCTGGCACGTGTATTTTGGCTCTTCTTCCAGGGTCCAGTGAGTTTGACGCTGACCTCCCAAGCTTCGCCAAGGAGGCCCTTGTCAGCTTATCCGAAATCGAACACAAGCACGCTTTGCGCAAGGGCCATCTCTTCCCTTTTTACAGTGTTCCAGCTATCAATAACGGGGCTACAACCCTGCGCACTGGTCTGGGTCTGTCTGGAGAAAGCGATTCGATGGAAATAATCGCCTTGAACGGACGCAGGGGCTGGTGGAGGAGGTATGAACCATCGGAAAACGCGGACTACAGCTTGGCCCGCGTTGAGTCGTGGGTTGACGCTATTCGCTTGGGTGAAGGGTCCAAGAACAAGTTGCCTGATGGAATCATCGCCACAGAGGAACAGACTGAGAAACAGACCGCCGATCACGATGAGTTGTAAGTGGAAAACTATCAGCACCTGGGTTTGAGCTGTAGCTATAGCTGGTGGGCGTCTGTCTCAACATCCCTCCCTTAGCAGAGGTCCAACCGTTTCAAGTAGCAAGGAGCAGAGGCGTTACGGTTAGTCAATGGATAGGGTGTAGCATTTCAGGTTGAATAGTAAATGAAATAAGCTTTTCTTGTTCAAAATCGACTGTATATACAAGAAATGCGTAGGATAATAGGATCACTTGAAACCTGGCTTGCTTCTACACATAATCCCAAAATGCCAGATCAACACCATCTTTTTTGATGCACACAACCAAAGAGAACAAATACGCTTCCGTGGCAATCATATGCCAGGTCCCTACATCAACAACTGTGAATCATTAGTGCTTGCTCTTCTTTTTCCCTTCCGTTCCTTTCTTGATGATCTTTTGCCTTTTCGAATCGATCTCCTCATCATAAATTTCACGAGCCGACTCTCCCTTCTTGCGCTTGCTGGGCTTCGACGACTTAATGCTGACCGTCGAGGCGCCTCCGCTTCGAATCTGCTTCTCAGCATCTTCCCACACAGCATCACCGTTGTCGATCGCGTATCTGGAGGCTATTAATCAGTTATTGCTCATTCAACAGGATCGCGAGTATTTGCAAATGAGAAATCACTCACTTGTCAAGGGGAAGGGCGTCGATCAATGCCCGCTGCTTCTCGCGCAGCTCATCATCCACCTGCTGTCCTCCCTCGCGGAGCTCGTCTTCCAGACCAGTCTCTAGGGGCTTGAACCGGTCGTCAGCGACCACGTCGTCGTGCGCGTCAGTAGAAGCCTGGGCCTCGGGTACTTGTCCGGAAGGTATGGTCTCCGCAACGGCACCCTCGATGAGGGAGCGGAAGTGGGTCGACATCTTACGGACGATCTTGAGGAACATGGCCAAGAGCTGGGAGGAGGGCAGGCTCAGTTCCTTTTCCAGGTCGTCCATGGTCTTGTGCTGCAGGCCGATGGCCAGAAGAATGGACTGCTGCACGCCGGAGAGACTGACTTTGCCGTTAAGGCGGCCGGAGAAGTAGTACTCTGCGATGGTGGGGACCATGTCGAGGATGACGTGGTAGTCGAGGAGATTGTTGGCGTAGCTGTCGATACGCTTGAGATCGAAGGGGGAGAAAGTTGCGTCGAGGTCTGACTTCTTGAGGAGAGCGTGGGTGAAGGAAGTGTCTAGCTTGGCGCCTGCGTTGGCGGATTCACAGATGCTGAGGGAGAGCACTGAAGGGAATTCACGGAATTGGTACGACAGCAGGGCGAGAAAACGTTTGTGGAAGTCCCGTGCAAAAGCACCCAGCCAGCTGGCGTCGTTTGGTCCTGAGGAAAGAGTGCGCAGCATCACGCATGAATGCTCACCCGTGAGGTCGTTGGGTGTTTGGCGGAGGTAGACGGGGGCGAAGGAAGCACGCTTCCAGAACTTATGAAGGGATGGTGTCAAACCGTAGCTGACACCGAGGTAGTCAAGAGCGTCTGAACGGCGCTCGGACAGCTTTCCGAAAAGGGGCGGCATGGAGCGGATGTCACGGACATGAATGTTGTCGTCCAGAAGGTTGGAATTCGTGAGCTCCTCGTCGGTTACCCTGACCATTTCGTCCTGTGTCTCGCCGACGTCCTCGGAAAGGCTGGTGAATTTGCCTTCATAGAAATCGACCAAGAGTTCCAATGCACGAGAACCATATCCCATGTTCAAGTACTCTGGGTTGGTAGCAATGCGTACAATTCTAGCACCCGAAAGACCGGCAAAGTCCTCATCTTGATACTGTTGGCTAACAAGCCATGGGATCAGATCGCCTCCACCACGTTGACCACGGCTCAAGCTATTAAGGACACTTTGTCTGCTGATACGACCTTCCAGCGCAACCTGGATAACACAGAGGGGCTCCGGAAGCTTGGTAGCATCCTCGTCGATTGGTGGGACAAGCACGTAGAGCTGATGCGCCGGGGCGTCACTCATGAGCTGAAGGTCGTTAGGCGTGTTCTTGTAGTGACTAGCAACATAGAGAGCCATCATCTGCTGGAGGAACTTCTCAGAAACAGGGTGGAACGAGAACAGGGTGTCGCGGTTGACTTGAAGCAGCTGACACTGCGAGGGATGCGGGCAGCCCTGAGTATTCATTTTGGACTTCGGCAAGGTTGCATCGAGACACAAGACCTTGTTTAGCCATTTTTCCACAGAGTCTCCTGGTGCGTATCTGATAGGTTCGGACAAGGTGATCTCTCTGAGAGATCGTCCACCTAGACCCTTATCTGAGTTCTTAGCCGTCTTCCCGGTTGCACGGTCAGCGACATCGATGCTCTCTTCACCGTTAACCTTCAAACCCCCGCGTGATTGCTCACGAAGTTGTTGGATCAGCTTCAGAGAAAGAGATCTGCCTGTGCCTTCATAACCGTTGATGGTAGAAGCCATGAAAACAAGATAAGGACCCATCAATTTGCGGACAAGGGGAAGAGGGATCGCTGCCGCCTCATCAATGACGAGCAGTTCTGCCTGACCCAGGACATGGGCATCTTGGGGCTGGATGTACTGAATTGTCTGGCGGTGCTGACGATGAATGTTAACCCTAACAATGGCCTTGTTAAAATCGGGGTTAGTAGATTGAAGAATGGTATAGTCGACATGGTCAAGATAGCCAAGAGCATCAAATCCCTTGAACACAAATTCGAACAGTGTTTTCAAGTTCTCAGGGCTAGGAGATGTGATGAAAATATTGCTATAACCATGCGCAACAGCTGCCGCAATGGCGACACCCAGAGCTGCAGACTTTCCTCGTCCTCTCGCAGCGGTCAGAGCAACCGTGCTTCGGAGTGTCTTCTCCGCAATTGCATCGACAAAGGTGAGGAGTGCTTTCGCCTGGTCGACGGTTCGAGCCAAACTAATCAACGACCCGACAGGTTGCGATTCTGCCAAACTATCCTTGATTTCCTTCAGCTCCTTCTTTGTTCCAGTATTAGATGTATCGATGGATTCTGGCGGTGGCAGCGGTTTCACGTTCTTTCCTCCGGAGATTGGCAAGACGTTCAATTCGTCGTCGACGACCAAGCATGAGTCGCAGCTACCAAGGGAGAGGATGAATCGTTCGTTGAAGCGTGCGACCACATCGTCGTGCGCTTCTGTCCTATATCTCGAGTGGATATCCATCGATAGTGTGTAGAGTTGCTTCAAACTATTCATGCCCTTCAGAAGCAGCAGCACGATTCCACCTCCTTCGACGGTTTCGATCGTTCGGGCGAGCAGGTTCGGCGTAATGGCTTCGAAATCCTGGAGAATGCACATTCCATAGGTGTTACCTAGAATCTTCTCTGTCTCTTTGTAGTACACATAACGAATCTGGTTGAGCGTGATGAATAATTCGAAAGGATCTTCTTGGTTCGGTTCACGGATGCCCCTCTTCACTTCTTTCTTAATCTTTGCTTCACGCTTCTTGCGATGACTGGTAAACCCCAAGAGATCCTTCTTATACGCCCAGAGAACGGACTTGTTCTGTTTGACATCGTGCGCCGACATAATGTAGTGCAGATTGACGATCACATCTTTTGCGCGATCACCGACAACAACGAAAAAGCTTCGCTTCTTCTCCTGTACACCATTGCGGATGAGCGCCGGAATGCGCGAATCAATCGCCTTACGCGGCATTGTGGTTGGAACTTCCTTTGACGATTTTAGCCAGCAGAACAAACAATGCTTTTAAAAATAACGGAATCCTTGAAGGTCGCCAAGGGAAAAATTGTGAGTGGGTACAGAGATATCGTCCAAGGTCCTTGAACTGGCCACGGCACTCCACACGCAACCTGGGGTTCTTTAAGTCCACAGGCCAGACCCTTGATATATTCAATATGAAAAGTAAAGCCGGCGACTCGGTCTGGAATTGTAAAATTGCCGTCCGATGTGCAGCGACTTTTCTGCTCAGCAAAAAAAAAAAAAGAAAAAAAAAATGTTATCGGGCGGAGACCGAACTGCCAGGTCTTACCGCCTACGAGAGTGGACACCGCCCTCGTGTACTTACCTCAGCAACTTCTTTGGCCTGTTTGGGAATAGGGTGTTGTCCGACTGGATTGGGAAAGGAAGTGATGGACATTTTAACTTAGTTGAGTTCATTTAATTTAGTCGGACTCCATTCTTCGCGGAGCTTCATCACTTGATGACGAATATACCTATGATATATCTACCTATCGGCTCTTTGTCAATCATCAGATCTGACCCAATCAAATGCAATGATTGCCAACCACTGGAGTCTCATAAGGGGCAGCCATATCCACTACAGCTTCAACGATTTCAATCGCAACAATCCATCAAAGAGGACTTCGAATTATTTTATATGATTTGTTCAACCGATGGTCAACAGTAACCCAAATAACTTGGCATTACTGGGCGTCCAAGGCTAAAAAAAGGCCTCGTTCAATGATCGTCGCTGGCGTGCTTTGATTTTCCCTGCCAACTCCACGGCGGGCAGCCTAAGCTCCCCAATTCCACCAAAGACAGGCGGCGAATCATCCATGGTCGACCTTGTTTCGTTGACGCAATTCACCCGCTGGCTTGATACCGTCGTACCCCTATATACGAAGTAACCCTGGAGGGATCAGGTACATTCTCCCAATGGTCTCTGCTTCGGGACATTCATGCTACCTTACCTCGCAACTCAATCTTGTCAACCCTTCCCGCCCCTTGACGTCTCCACCCGACAAATTTAAATTTCCCCCGGGCGCTTTACTAGCGTACTAGTCGATGGTCGCTCCAGAACCACTCCAAGTTCCTCGATGTTCCTTATCGCGTGTGCTTTTTGACCAGCGCAGCATGATGCACATTAGCAATTGATTACTATAATGGCTTCATCTGCAACCAGCACATAATCATTAAACCTTCTCTTACAATGAATCTTTTGACTGCCGAAACGGGGCTCAAAGCCTCCGTGGGGTAAGTGAACGCTCCATTTCTGCCCCATAATAAGTAGCTAATGAGGTGCGCAGGGTATTCTTATTGAGCTGCATTTTCATTACGACTTCTTACACCACTACATTCGCTTTTGGTGAGTCGATCCCACACATGCTTGCGCCAGAGAGGAATGGAATTATTAGGGGAATTTGCCGAGCGACAGCTGGGCGTTGAGCAGGACAACATACTCCACGGGTGCGTAGCTAACAAAACGAACCGAACAGATCATCCAATCGAATCAGCCATCCTCGCCTGTTTCTTCGCAGCTATCTCTCTTCTGACCACGAGCAGATTCGTTGACTCCATTCCCACGATATCCTCACCGTCGCATAAATATTCCGCCATACCCCTCACCGGGCTCAACCATTCCGCCGCAGAGGAGCTTCCTTCGCCCAGTAATCATACCGGTAGCTTTCCCAGTCGAAAGACACTTGGTCTGAGCCGGTGGACCGGAGTTTGTCTTGTTTCGGGAATTGGATACATACGAATAGCACTATATTACCAGATCAGTCTCAACATCGAGTGCGCACCTCCGGGATATACTGTAAGTGTAACTGCGAAGTACTTATAACACATCACAAATGCCGATAATGAGCGACCTATCTTTAGTACATGATCCCATTCCTTGTTGCGCTCTACGATTACTGGCGCAACCAACGTGGTCGACCAAATGTGAAATGGACCGCTCCGGAAGGCCCTTCAAATGCGCATCTACGCACATTAGTCGTTGCGATTCGCCGTACGCAGTTCTATCTTTGCCAGAGTCGCTTGAGGAATGTATTATCAGCTATATTCCTCATGACAGGTGGACTTCTCTTGGCGACATTCAACGAAGGCAGGCAGTCGACTTACATCTGCCCTATTACTTCTGGTCTATACCCCCGTCTTCGGATGTATAGGTCTCTCAGCGTACTTTTGGATGCCTTAATCTTAATCGGCGCTGCCGAATTTTGTCGGGAAGGCACTCGATCCCGGGATGGAAAGAGGAAACAGGCGTTGGTTTCTTGGGGGTATGGCTTTCTTGTAAGTTTGTTAAAATCAAAGGTAGATGTATAATTCGGATGCTCTAACGGTCCGACTTTCAAAGGGTATTGCTGTGTTCTGGACGATCACGCTGCTCATTTTAAGAAAGGTATCCCCTGGGGATGAAGGCGGCTTTGTCAACTCTCATTACTTGCGAAGCTCTGTAGGCCAAGGGCTACTAGTTACTTTCGTCGTGGTCTCTGCATCTCAACTGGTAAGCGTCATTTGCTAGATCGAATTCAACCTCTTATTGACTAGCTTTAGATACCTTATTACGGTGCAGTTGGGCTCTCCATATTGGCAGGCTCAACCTCCATTAATTTCATGTTATCCTCGGCCTTGTTTAACGGACAGGAACCCTTTCCGTTGATTCTCGCATCCCATGCTTTCGCCGCCTTTCTTCTTACCTTCCTGGGGGTGATGTTATATCTATGTGGCCAAACGGCCTCTGAAGAACCGCAGTTCCTATATGCGTTCAATATAATCATGCGGATCTTTTTCTCCGTCATGTTTGGCATTGGGTTGATTCTGGTCGCTCACCAGCCCAGTGTAGCCAATGTACATCCGATTGACCTGCTTATTTATCAGGGTAGACAGCATCATGATCGCTGGAAATCCAGCGCCAATGGCAGCAAGAATCTAGCAGAAGCTGTTGCACAGTACCGTGCGAAATATCGCCAACATCCACCACCGTAAGTCAGCTGCAGATAACACGCAAACTACCATATTGACCCTTCAATTAGAGGCTTTGACAAATGGTACGAGTATGCCACTAGCAGGTCGTCTGTCGTCATTGATGAATTCGACCAGATATATGAAAATCTACTTCCATTTCGTGCCTTGGCCCCGGAGAGCATTAGGGAACTAACTCACCAACTAGCCACAAATCCATTTAACGATATTGGTGCAATCAGCATCCGTAATGGCACTCCGAGGGTTCAGCAGGGTATCAAACCAACACATGCCTGGATGGTCATCAGTGCTGCTAAAATGATTGAGAAATTTTCCGAGCATCTCCCCGACATGGACTTAGCTTTCAATCTTAATGATGAGCCTCGAGTTTCTGTGCCCTGGGAGAAGATGTCTATTTTGAAGAGCCAAGCCCGATCCCAGGAACCTCCCCCTAGCGAGGGCCTAACAAACGGGTGGTCGAGCAACCGTGATGAAGGATGGGCGCCCATTGAGCCGGCAGATCAGACAACTGAGACCATGTTCACCGAGAGCTCTTTTGTAAATATATTCGATCGCTACGTGGGTGCTCTTTGTCCTGCTTCGTCAAAAGCGCGATCTCAGCGGATATGGGATCGACACAGCATATGCATGGGTTGCATCCGTCCCCACTCGCTAGGACAGTTCCCATCTGACTGGACCGTGGCGACTGATATATGCCATCAGCCTGATCTTGCATACTTTCACGGGTTTTTCGTGTCTCCTGCATCGTTCAAGGTCACCCAAGATTTAGCCCCGGTTTTTAGCCAGAGCACGATTTCCGGATTTAGCGACCTCGTGTTCCCCAGCCCATGGAACTACGTGGATAAAATAAAATACGAGCCCTCCGACGAGCATCCGGATTTGGAGTATGAAGAAAAAGAAAATCGTCTTTTTTGGATTGGTGGTACGTCGGAAGGCGTAAGTCGAGACGGTCAATGGCAAGGGATGCCCCGTCAACGCCTAACACATCTAGTCAACAACAATACGTACAACAAGGTGTCAGTGCTTTTACCCGCAGAGGATCCCAGCACCTACGCTTATCAAATCCTCGACGGTTTGGCTCCTACGGAGAAACTGGGATTGAACGCGTCAGTTCACGTCACAGACCCAATCGTGCGCTGCAGAAAAGACTGTGGAGACCAAAAGAAGGAATTAGGCACAGCTGGTCGGGTCGACTTCCAAAGTCACTGGAACTACCGTTTTCTCTTTGATGCAGATGGTGCTGGCTTTAGCGGCCGATTCCTTCCTTTCTTGCAAAGCCACAGCCTACCATTCAAAACAGGCCTTTTCCGACAGTGGTTCGACTCGCGTATCACACCCTGGCTGCACTTCGTCCCCATTGATGTCCGTCTGCATGGATTGTGGAGTACCCTGGCCTTCTTTGCTGGAATTGACATACCTGCCGGCGTAGATGATAATGATGGCCAACCTAAACCTTTGATGGAGCCTCATAACCTTCAAGGGCGCTGGATCGCAGAAGAGGGCCGCAGATGGGCCGAACGAGCTTTACGAAAAGAAGATATGGAGATCTACTTCTTTCGGTTGCTTCTTGAATGGGGTCGACTGACTGATGATCAGAGGGATATTCTTGGGTATACTGAGTGATGTCCCGTAGATGCATGGTTTGTATACTGCACTGAGATACTGCAACAAGCAGACATTATATCAGTTTAGTGTATTTACAGGGGCACGGAGTGCATATTTATATAACACAATGTACATATTCAGCTAGATATACCTGTTTTGGCATATTTTAACACTCCGTGGAGCATTTCAAAAGTCATAAAAGAATGTCACCATTACAGCAGTCAAATCCCTATGTATAAAAACGAAAGTAGAGAAAGATCTATCAGACAACGACCTCAAAGCCCAGCCCAACGAAGATATACTACGGCGCTAAATCACTGCCCCCGGCGCTGTTTGATAAACGAAGGTATCGGCTGAGGTTCCTCACTCTTCCACTCACTCCCAATCTCACTCCCAATCTCACTCCCAATCTCACTCTCATCACTCGCAACGCTCGAAGCTCCGCCCTGATAAACCTTCAACGAGTTGATACGCCAGAACGCCTCTTCAAACGCAGCAGGGTTATTAGCCACCCAATCGTTGCAAGATCCCTTCGAAGCACAACTACCCGACCCCCAAACGCCGCCAGCCCAATCACCACAAAAAGTCGTATCGAAGATCTACAACAACCCACCCAGTCAGCAAAGTACCCACAACACTCAACCAACAAATGCGGCAAAGAAAACGAAAGCAAGAAACGAAGAGAAAAGGGAAGCACCCACAATCTGCAAATCCTTAAAATGAGAATCAATATTACAAGCCCCAGAAAACCGCGCAGAAGGCGTCCCCCAAGCCCCCGGATTCGGATGCCCGCTGCTAATATCGCCGGGGATGCCCGACCGTGGAAAAAACCAGATACTAATCGCCTGGCCGGTCCACTCCGTTGCGAACACGCCGCCCCCGGCGCCATTGAATCCGTTGCCGTACGACTGGGCCGAGTTATCTTTGATGCCGCAGCCGGCGTTGCTGGCTTGGCCAGGGGCGTTGTTATAGCAGTTGCTGGTGAGGAGGGTGCCGGAGAAGCCAGAGTTGTTGATCGTGCAGCTATCGCTAGTGTGTAGGGCTACTTGGTTGTTGGTTTGGTCGTTCACGCCTTCGATGATGTCTACTTCGCCGTTGTTGGGCCAATTGGGGCCGAGGAGCCAGCTGGGCTCTTATTAGTTTTGATTTGTTTATTGGTATGGGGGATGGAAAGAGGTTAGGAGGGAGAAAGCGGAGGGGCGGTCATACTATGCTGGCCAGACGCCGCAGATGCTGCCGGGCATGTGGGCCAGGTCCAGGATGAAGAGTCCGTGGTTGTATGCTTTGTTACTGCTTATACGGACGCTTTGACGGCCGCCTGGCGCGGCGTTCTTGTGGTCTACGCCCATGTAGACGGAGCCACCGGCGTTGATTAGGCCTGCATTCTGCGCGGCGGATCGATCGACATACTTGACGAACCCATGGGTAGGGTCTGCGCCTGTGAAGAAGCTGAACTTGTCGAAGAAGGCGGAGTCGGTGCCATAGTCGTCCTGCAGCGTGTATACGGCTGCGGTGAAAGAGGCCCAGAGGCCTAGGGCTTGGGCGAGGGTAGATAGTACGTGCATGTTTGACGGTGGAGGTGTTCAAGCCAGAAAGGAAAGTGGAAGGGATGGGGGCTGCGTGAATGGGAATTGAATAGCTGGTATACAAGGAGTGGAAGAACTATGTGTTTTTTCCTCTCTTAAAGGTGATTGTTTCGAGCAATGCACAAAGGAACGGCGGCGTCAAAGTCCTCTCTGTACAGTGGATGGAGGGATAAAGGAATGTTACAGATGGGGTTCGTTCATCGTTGTCTCGCCTGTGGCGGCAGGGTTCAATATATAGCATACATATTTATGGATACCCTTACTACACTCACAGATACCCTATTCTCCCATAGACGAAAGAAAGTCAAAACTCACCGCTAGTGAAAAGTGGCGTCAGCCATGATGTGCCCACCAGACCCGGCCTTGGGACCTGACCAGAAGCCATTGAAGAGGCATATCCTCAAGGAGCACGGGGAAAGGGGGAGCGCAGATGGAGGAAGCATGTGAGCAAGAGATTGGAGTCACGACCAATATCGAGGAGGAACCAGGAGGGATGGATCTTGATAGGATGTTCCTGGATCACCAGCAGTTCCGAAAGGCAAATATGAATGGATCTTTCCCACTGCTTTGAGGGACACAAGGACTTGTGAAACGGGATGAGTTGGAGAGCGCGCTTTGAGAAACAATATCGCATGTATGTTTCACAAGAGTCACTTTTATAGATTGAAAAACGGGGAGATCCACTTCGCCAGGGACAATGAAATAATTTCCGAGGATGGTCAGCTTAGCACTCTGGATTAGTGTGACACCTGAGGGGATCAATCAGGTTGCAATGATTCATGAATCTGAGAAGGAAATGTTGGACGTCGATCTAGAAAGAAAAGACCATGTGACCTGGCATCTTGTGATACATGGAATTCAAAACTCACCTCCAGTTCGATTTCCATTCGACGAGAAGAAAAGAACCTGGTGATCTCTTTCGCAAATGAATCCAGTTAGAAAAGAAATAAATCCCATCCTCACTGTCGGCAAAGATGGGGTCTTTTCAGCCATATCGACTGAATACCAGTCCAAGGATTTAAGCAAATGACGCCAAAACTTTAACCGCGGAATTGGTTTCACCTTAAATCGATATCTTATATGATATTATATCGGCACAATACCAATAGACCTCTTCCTTCCTTTTACACTTTTTGCTGCCCAACGGGATGACTGGAGGAAGAGAGCCAGAAAAAAAGAAAAAGAAAAAGAAAAAAGTAAAGATGAAGCAGATGCGATAACACAACGTATAGGGATTATAACAAGATACATACATAGGCTGATTTAAAATCATGACACTCATTCATTATGTACAGGACAGATAGGGCATGACAACAATTCCCAGTCAGCACCTTCTCGCCGAAAATGCGACTTCCCGGTTTGCCCAGAACCATCTAAGTTCAGTAGACACTGCCGGTGATACAAGTGTCGACACGAAAAGACCACGGCGGGCCCGATCGGCATTTCGCTACTCTTCTCTGAGATGTCATCTACCAGTTCCCCGTCCGCATGTCCATCAGAGAAGTGTACCGCCTGACCCGCCTCGGCCACTGCCGCCGCCTTACCTTTCCCACGGGCGATCGCAGGGTCAAGTCGCCCTTCAATCTGTCGTGAGACTCGGTGCTGATGTGCATCAGCCTGCCTCTTCTTCCATGCATCCCAGAACTGAGAGCCAACCCCAGGTCCCCAGATGCGTTGACGACAGATCTCACATACCTGGCCTCGCGGCCGCCAACCCTTTTGGCGCAGTCGCGTCACCTCGTCCACGTGCACAAACAAATCCCGGTCCAGCATCCCGTTAGCCAGAGCTAACAGTGACTTCTCGTACGTATAAGCCGAGAAGATCGAAGCCAAGACGGCACGGAGTTCAAGAAGGGAGGGAGACCACTGCGACGCACGGGTAAGAAATGCTCGCAGAATTCGGAGAAAAGCAACGTCGCTGCGTTCGCTAGTCAAGCCTCCGCCGACCCTGACAGTGCTAGAGAGCAACGCAGTGAAGACCTGTTGTACCAATGTACGGACAGATGACATGAGTTGAGCCGCATTGCTCCCCATTCGAGAGGTCATTGGTGCCAACTGTGTCAATTTGCTGTCCGCATGCTCCCTCTGAATCAGGGCAAATACGCTACTTGCAGTGCGGACGACGGCTTCAATGAGGTCAAGCCAGAGATTCTCATCGAATGAGAGGGGCTGGTCAACAGCCGTTTTCCCGGTACCATTTCTCTCAATGGTTCGCGACTTCTTGGTTGTTTTCGTTTGGCCCTGACACAGCCATGTACCAACACGCACATATTTGTTCAAAGATTCAATAAGGTCGTCAATCGCTTCGGCTGTACTGGCGGAGTCGGGAGTTTCCTGTATGCTTCGAAGGATACCTACAAGTCCTGACTCAAGCGTTTTCAGATGCGCGATGAGACGGTCCATGGCAGCTCGAATTTTCCCTTGTCTAGCCAACAAAATGACAGCAGCATCCACTACGCCGCTCTCTTCCATGAAAGGTAACAATTCCTCCAGCCGAACATCACCAACCCGTAGCTCATCAACAAAGTCGGCCACACGTGGAGGGTCGTATCTACAAAGCAACTGCACGTAGCGCTCTACCATCCAATTCTCCGCTGGCTTCGAAAGCCGACTCTCAGAGCTAGGATGCGTCGTGGAGCCAACCACGACAGCCAAGTACTGATATTGCTCGTAGGCATCGTCTTCCAGAGCTTTCAGAAACATTGTGTGCGTTTCTGGGGCGTAATCCTGCATTGTCTGGGCGGCCTTCTTGACATTTATCCCTGCTATCTTGCCAGCGTGGTTGTTGATCACGTCTATGACATCTCGCCTTTGTCTTTTCCCTAACCCGGAGCTGGCCCGCAGGCAATCCTGTAAGCAGGTAAAAATCGCTTCTTGCCCACTCGGGTCTTCCAGGTAGGTAAGGATCAGTTCGGGAAACTGCTTCTCAGAGCGGTAGGTTGACTTCAAAATTCGAAAGAAACGCGCCTCACGAAAGAGCGGGATCATGCTCTGAATATCGGGAGGGCGGTAAAAAGACAGGAGGTACTCCGCACTGAGTTCGCAGTCCTCCGCCATGTCTTGGCTGGGGTATCGGCACAGGCGCTCCAAAACCTGATGTAGTGTACTTCCAGAAAGAAGAATGTATTGAGGGTATTTAGGAAGGTTGCGAGCAAGGAACATGTCTAGGTAAATTATATCGGATGGGGCAAAGGACGACGGTATCATGACCTGAAGCAGGATACTGATTAGATATTGTCGGTTTATGGATATTCCTCTGAACGGAGTCTCGTCTGCCCCCTGTTCATTCAGGAAACTATCCTCGAACGCTTCGTTGAGCATGCTCATGAAGCTAGGTGCGTCGAAATTTAAGATAGCTTGCAGATCTGAGAATGATCCATTCGATTCGGCTGAAGCCGATGGCTCAGTTCCCGACAGGTTCCCGGAGAAGAGATGTTCGTATAAGGCTGCCTTAGCTTGAGTAGCTTCTGCGTATTCCATCTCATCCCCAGTAGGATATACGCGGCCTGTGAAGACAAATGAGAGGTACGGGAACATCTTCATCGCGTTCGTATACCGTTTGAGTTCATCCACCGAGCCCCCGTTGACCCAGGTTCCTCGAGGAGGAATTAATGCTAAGAGTTCTTGCAGTGGCCCCACGTAATCCCCCACACAGCGATTCCAAACATATATAAATGCGTCGTACAAGTTATAATGCTTACATAGCGTTGTCACTTGGTCGATATCCATTGTGGCCGTATCAAGGAGACAGATAATCTCTTCCAATCGGCTGGCGGTATGGTTCGTGGCAAAGTGATTGATCAGCGCTTTGACAGCAGTAGGCGGAAGGGTGCGCACTGTCCCTTCAACAATGTACGATTCAAGAGCATCAAGGAAAATGCCCTGCGAGTCATGCTCCTCATACCAACTGAATACCTCATCCCAGAGGAAGTCTTCATCAGCCATACAGACACAAGCTGAAATAGATACTTCAGCCAGTTCCTCGAGTTGTTGATTTCCGAGCCGCTCATTAGTAGCTTCTCGGTTCCGGCCAAAAGCATACTTCAGTGAAGCGGACACCATTTCCAGAAGCTTCTCTTGCACGATTGGCTGCCTCAGTGTATCTTCGTCGGGTAGTCCAATGGTGAGTTTTTCTCCGCTGCCCTTATAGAAGGATGTTGCCAGCCGTATGGCTCCAATGAAATCCCCAGCTTCCATGAGCGCAAGCAATCGATCTGCCCAGTTAGAGAGGGCTCCAACCAGCGCATCGCCATAACCCAGCAAAAATAGGCGCCCTTTATAAGAGCGAAAGCTCATGTAAAAAGCATCCGCTACCACACCATGCATCGTGGTATCTTCTTCATCGAACTGTTCGACCAGAGAATGAAGCTGCGAGGAAAACAAATCAACATGATATATATGTTTGTTAAGAAGGTCAATGCTATCTGTTACGCGCATAGAATGATCTTCAAGGATAAGCAATTGTTGCGTGATAGTGAGCACTGCCAAAACCGAACGACTCAGCCATTGCACGGCGACAATCGCTTCGTCGGCCTTCCATCTGTTCCGTGCCTGGAACTCCAGGCTAGGAGGCCGGTCCCTGTTCGGTGATCCATCTGTTTCGATCTCAGACACGTCTAGGATAGTCAGCACATTTGACCAACAATAGACGAGTTTTGTTTTGGAGGTCTGCGTATCCTTGCCCTTGAGCCTGATCGCTGGAAACCAGGCCAAGGCTCCAGTCATTGCGCCATGGGCGGCAACCTCTTTCGGGCGTGGCGCCTTGTGCTGGGTCTGTGCGACAGGCGTCGTTGAGACAATAACCAGAAGATAGGGTGTAAGCATCGCAACCAGACCCAGAGAATCAGTTGGCTCCTCGACGTTCCCAAGAGGAAGGGGCGAAAAGGCAAGGACAGAGCTTGGCTTCCGTGGTCGGTTGCCGTGGGCTATATAGTTAGGGTAACGGCCCAAGATCCTTGTCGTCTTTACTGTCCGCCCCATCGCACCCAGGCCTCGGGTCGCTAGGTGTGAGAAAGCCATCCCTGATCTATCGGCAGATACTAGCGCAGTGCGCCTCGTACCTAGGAAGCCTATATGGATGACAGACGATCCGGGGACGTGGCCATCAACAGTGCGAATATCGATCTGAGTCTCGGGAAGAGGCGGTATATGGAGAAAAGGTCGCGCCGGTCTCACAATCTCCCATGTAAGTATATCCCCGGAAGCATGCCCTCCAGCGATTGTCGAGTGGTCCGCGGATAGTGCCAACGACGTGATTGCTCCGCATTCGGTTGCTACTCAAAAAAGTTAACGAATTTCAGGGTAATAAGAGCAGGCTTCCAAAATACCTTTAGTTCCTTGTCCAATGATCGCCTTCAGACTCTGTTGGTAGTCAAACACCAAGATAATTCCTTTGGACGTTCCAATCACGATAGTGGTGGAGACCGCCAAACATGTTGGATGGCCAAAATTGCGTTTGCCGACCTCTGAAAATGCCTGGCCGGTTATCTTTCTTAGCTTAGTCCACCGTACAACATCCCAAGGGCCCTGAGGGGTCTCGGCATCGGAATCTACCGTACCCGGAGTAAGGCGGCTCGTGAGCGACGACTTTCGGGAGTGTATCTGAGCGAAAAACGACGATGACGGTCGAAATCCACTCAAGGATGGAGAGGATAGGCGGGACTGGAAGCGAAGATCGAAAGGACGATGCGACGGGCTGGGACTGGCGCGAGATGAGCCTCGAAAGGCCAAAGCATTGCTACTTTGCGACGACAGGAGAGAACCCTATAGCGATCAGCAGATAGCACGACCGATAATGATAGGCACAACGCACATGAAGAGAAGGCGTATCGTCCGGGGTGGAGGGAGTCTCATCGATACTTCCAGGAGTACCAAGCTGTTCGATACGGGGCGACAATGGTACATTGCCTGTACCGACACCAAGTTGGGATTTGCCCTTATCGAGTGTATGGTTTGAACTGGCTACATCCGGGAGATCTTCTTCGATGTATGCCATTGAGCCATCCTCATATTCCCCATGCGATACCCCATCAACTGAGATGCTGTTACTCTTTGGTTGAACATCTCCCTCATCCTCTTGGCTCAAGTCGAGCTCATCCTCTCGTGCCCGGTCATCACTGCCCTCAATCATGGAGCTCATCAGCAAAGTTTTCGAATGACCATCGCTTCGGCACTCTCGCAGGAAAAGGCGGCCAGGGAGCCAAGATCAAGAACGGCACCGATACGTCTGGTTGATGACTGTCTGACGATCTCAGGCCACAAAGCTTCAGCTGACGATTTGGTCGAGTGCGGGCCGATAGAGATGGATACCTTAGGAACCGAGGGAGAGGGCGGGAGGAGCGGTTGCCGACAATCCGACTGGTTGATAAGGGATTTCAGAGGGACAAAAGAGGAAGAGTCTGGATGCGATTCGCGGGGAAGCTATTGTTCAGACCGAGCAAGAATGACCACGAGCTCGGCTGTCGCAAGTTCGGGGAAGATGATCATTGACGGGAGAGGTAGGTAACGGCAAAGGCTGTGAGGTCCCTTCCGCTCAGGTCAACATTGGTTGGGTTTCCTTTGGTTCCGGGGGGCGGTGCCCCACAAGCCACGGGTGGCTATCAATCACAGAGCAACCCATCGTTTCTTAACATAATGAATGTCATTGTTGACACATCATTTTACTAGTAGTTATCCTGGAGATTTCTTTTCCAGGCGAGTCTCATATTCTGCACCTCTCATCGTAATTGCTCCACTGCATGTCCATCGTCTTTCCATTCTTCTAGAATCCGGGGCTCTTGCCTCAGGCATCAGTAGTATGCAAAGGCAATGACTACACAGAAAAGAGCAAAGAAAAGAAGTTTAATGGATTATGTACTCAGTTTATGTAGGGAGTAAAGATCATTACGAAAGAGGCCATGTTGAACGAGACCCTGGCACGGTGTCACCCTCATTGTTCAAATAATGTCTGTATTATATTGCGTTGACCCGTGGTGATAGATATCTTTCCATGTGATCACACCTACTCCGAAATATAACTTTCATACCATTATCAATATCAATTTAAAGGCAATTTCAAACAATATGATCTAGTCATACCGGATGTTTTTTCCACAGTAGGTTACAATGTCAGCATGTGACAAGAATCCCTTAGGTGCCTTAGTCAAGCAACTACTAGAATCCCCCACAGGCCCTAACTGACATTGACTGGACACTATCAACTCCTTCATTAGACATCCTTGTCTTGTCGACCACATTGTGCAGATCTACTCCTTTCGTGAAGTTACACTGATCCTTCAGGAGTATTAATTGATCTTTGTCCCCTTTGTTCCCATCCAATCTTACTTCATAATACTTCTCACAAGGCAAGTCACAAGGGATTGATTGGCCACATGGTATATAGTCATTCTTCAGCACTGCATGATTTGATCACTTGGTAACATCCAGCGCGTAACATAGGAAGCTAAGCAAAAAGATAAAGAGCTATAAATAATTAAGCACCTACTCTATAGTGAACATAAATGAAGGGATGATGAATTGCTTTATATATATATCAGGAAAGATACCCTAGCAATAGCCCTTTATATAACGTAAACATGCTATCCAACCAACACCCCTTCCTTTCCTACTTATTCTTCCCTCTCGTCCTCATCCTCTCTACTATTCAAATTGCCCAATGCAGCCCATCAACCTGCAACGGGCAATCCGCATTTTGCACCCGCAAGTACTCCAACATCACCCAACTAGGCGCCCACGACAGTCCCTTCGTCGGTCCCCTCCCACAACAAAACCAAAATCTCAAGGTAACAAAGCAGCTTGACCTAGGAATCCGCTTCCTGCAGGGCCAAACGCACAAAGCCATCGATGACAGCAACACCATCCAACTATGTCATACATCCTGTCTTCTCGAAGACGCCGGGACCCTAGAGTCCTTCTTGCGCACGGTCAAGACCTGGCTGGATAGCCATCCTAACGAAGTCATAACCCTGCTGCTTACGAATGGCGACAGCTTTCCCGCATCACGGTTCGGCGAGGTCTTCACCAGTGCCGGGATCAAGGATTATGCGTTTGTTCCAAGCTCGTCGCCAGGTGTGTTGCCTATTGAGTCGTGGCCGACTTTAGGGGACCTGATTAGCACGGGAAAGAGACTGGTCGTATTTCTGGGTAAGTACATGTGTTTTTTTTAACCCTCACTAGGTATCTGCTAGTGGGTGCGAAATGGTGTCCTATGTATTACTCATATAATCTCCACTATGTAGTTATATGGGGTTTGTTTGTTTGGTTTCTACCAAGGGTGTGAGCTTACTAATCTTATCATTCTTAGATTACGGAGCCGATACTAAAACTGTTCCGTATATCATGGACGAATTCGCCTACTTCTTCGAGACGCCATTTGACGTGACGGATGCCTCGTTCTCGAACTGTAAGATCGATCGACCTCCGGGCGCACCAGCCGACGGGCGCATGTACATCGTCAATCATTTCCTAGATGTCGATATTTTAGGCGTTCTCGTGCCCGACCGGATCCGCGCGCCCAAGACCAACGCTGTCTCGGGCAAGGGGAGTATCGGAGCACAGTCCAACCTGTGTCGGTCTTTATATAAACGGCTGCCGAATGTGGTTCTTGTGGATTTTGTGGATCAGGGTGAGGTGATGAAGGCCCAGAGCTCGCTAAACGGCGTTTAGAGCTGTTGCCGAGGATGTCTTTGGCATAAAGTTTTGCTATATGTACTTTGTAGGCATATATTGTTCAGCCTAGAAAGCAGTTAATCTCTGTAGGTGCTAGTAATCCGAATATCACAGTAAACAAGCCGAATATTCAGATGCCTCCACTTTCTATGGAAATATATGCCATGGCCTTATATACATATACTATACAACAACCGAGAATGAGTGAACCAGTCTTTGCAAAAGTTCGAAAAATTTGCCCATCTATTAAGTCCGACACAAGATTTATCTACGCAGGAGTACTATACCTTATTCATCCAATTCGAGTTGCATTTCGCGTTCTATAGCATTGTTAGGAATGTAGACCAAATGCCGTGAAGATAGCTATACGTACCCCAGATCTTATTTGCTGATGCAACGATTACTTCCGCTTTAGCAAGCAACTTCTTGGCATATCGCTCGGCTTCTGTGGGATGAATTTGGCTTCTCTGTGCTTTCCGTGGATTAACCTACTGCAAGTCAATATGGTTTCTGTATGGGGCCACTCTTAGCCTACCATCATTAACACGGGAACAAGGTCCTTTGCGTCGGCCTCTGCCAGTGCCCTCAAGTTTTGGAACCCGTTGTCTCGAAGCAACCTTGCTGTCCAACCCTTGACGTAGGTAACTTGAGCCATCTCTAATAGATCAGCGCGAGCCCCAGTCTCCAACCGATCCCGCATATGATCAAGGACCGCTGCGAGCATTCCCCAGCCCATACGTTTGCAAAATTTGACCATTCCTGCGGCAAATCCGTGACACTGTTGGGCTAGTATTTGGATGGCTCCGCGAGGGGTCCGGTAGCGATTGGCGATTACCGATAGGGGGACTTCGTTGCTTAGGTCACGAAGCTGAAATGCGGTGTAAGCGCGACGGTAGATGGTGGCTAGTTTTGCCTGTTCTGGAGTATCTTCTTTAAGAGACGCACCGCTTTGAACCCTACGGGCTCATTAGCACGCGCTTGCGCCATGTTGGGATTAACGTACATCCTGTTTACAAAGCCGGGCTGAACACCGACAAACAACAAGGCGCGGATTCCGCTCTCATCAAGGTTATCCAACTGGTCTCGGAAAATTGGCCAATCTATTTGTGTGGCCATTGCTACCTGGATCGGCGTAAACATGTAGAAGACATGCATCTCACCATCCATCACAAAAGCTTGCACTGCTCGTCTTAGCTCTTCATAAACGAACAGGCCATCTTCAGGTGCGAATGCAGATGCAACAACAGCTTGGCCAAGTTTTGTCGCGCCATAAGATTCATCGTCGCTCTGATGCAGGAGATGCTCATCGGTCAATTCTTGAAGTGCGGAGTTCATAATGTTGTACGCTATCTTTTTGTCCATAGTCCGATAAAGAAGGGTGCATTTCACATATTCTTTGATCGCTGCATAGCCGGCGACGAGGCCTGTGGCTATTGCTTCTAAAATCGCCCTGAACAGCTATGAGCGAAAGGCCAGTTCTCAGTTGATTTAGTCACTACCTTTTGAGACCACGCTTTTCCAGTGCTAGACAGCTCTCGATAGCTGGCATATCAGCTTCCAACAGATCACAAACTGCCTGTAGCTCAGATTTCCCGCAAATGAGGTAGGTCTCGCCAGCCTCATCTTTGCCCTTGCGACCAGCTCGCCCACACATCTGACGCCTTCAGAGGTTAAGTTAGCACCGACTTATTCGATTGAATATCGATAGAGGTTTTCCTACAGCATTGCTGGCCCAACCAGTTCGCGCCCCATACGGGCACCGTTTATGATAACCCTTCTAGCAGGAAGATTGACTCCGGCCGCAAGACTGCACGTAGCTACGAGCACTCTCAAAACTCCCTGGTCATAAGCTTGTGCTATTAATTCACGTTCCTCAGTCGTCATGCCTGCATCTGAAACACAGTCAGCTCATTATCATGGAGAAACATTATCGATGCGAATTACATACGGTGGAAGCCCACTCCTCTGACTAGCGTGTTTTCGAGATCTGGATCAAGACCACTAGGAAGGCTTCGTAGATCGGCGAGCAAATCCAATCGTCTACTTAGCTCCTCTGGATCTACTGCGACTGGCACTGGCATTGCTTCGCTAATAGTGGAGGCATGAAGTTGGCAAGCCTGTCTGCTACCAGAGAAAACTAATACACCATACCCTGCAGTAGCCGTACTGACTGATAACGCTACCATCGCATTTGTGGTTGGATTTGCAAGTTCCCGAAATGCTGAAGGCTGGATTATACGATGGGGAGGCATAGTATCGGTAAGGGAGGTGGCGGTCATCGACGTCAATTTGGTAATCGTGTGAAATAGTTGTCTCGAGGTTGCCGCGGGATAAATTGCATTCTCATATACGAGATATTCATCAATTGGAATCGGTCGATATGTTGAGATATAATAGTGTGCATTCATCCACTCTGCCAGCAACTCTGTGTTCTGAGTTTCTATCAGCCTACTTCCTTGAATGCTGATACCGTTACAAGACCAACCATACCGAAAGAGTGGCACTCATGCCGATAATCTGGATATCCTGCTGCAGGAGAAGTAGCTTGGTAACCATCAGTTCTAAAAGATAACCTCGGTGTTCATCATCCAGCATATGCAACTCATCCAGGATTACTATACACAAATTTCCGATGCTGCATTCTTCGATGGAGGTATTGATCAATGAGTTGGCCTGGCGCACAAATGTTAAACTATGCTCCACCATTCAGGTGGATAGAGTGAGAACTGACCTTCTCTATTGTGCAAACTGCAATATCTGTATCGGCCCAAGTAGCGGTGCTTTTGCCACCTGCGAAGAAACCAGTGACTCGGATCGATTTTTGTAGCGTTTTCAAGCGTTGATAATATGGCTTCATGTCACCTGCTTGATCATCGACATCGTCGATGTATTTCTCAACATCCTGAACAATGCGTCTAAGCCACTTCAGCTTTTCCTGGACTAGTGCGACGTATGGGAGAACTAGAATGGCTTTACGCGAAGGATTTTCGATGATACGTTTCAACATCAGAACGTCAGCTACAAGAGACTTTCCTCCCCCTGTAGGGGCAGTGTAGACCAAATGTTTCCCCCCCTCAAGCAGACCAGGGGCAAGCAAACATGCTGCCTGCCATGGATAAATATTGTTAACACCGAGAGAAGCAAAGTTGGCTACTAGCGCTGATGACAATCCGTATCGGGGGTGCTTCAAAAATAGATAAGGGTCACGGCCATGCTCTTCCATGGCATGCGTTTCCAATTGCATGCCATCATTTCTTTCTGGAGCACTTGCCTCCACAGGACGGATCTCACTAGCGCTTAGGCGACTTCTTGGAGGGGACACAGAAGGACGAACAAAGTCGACTGGACGAGAACCTAAGGTACGAGTAGAGATTTGGTGACTTAAAACGGGGGATTTATGAGAATTGTCTGGGGTATGATCTAGAAGCCGTTTTTGCCCCGCCAAGGGAGCTACATCATGATTTTGCTGACGAGCGATATCGATAGTAGTCTGGAAGCCATGGAATTGGAATGGCTGACCGGACCGCGCTGACATGCCTTAGGCACTTGACAGCAGAGGTGAACAAGATCCCATGAAGTGGTCCAATACGGGCGATGGCCACAGTGACAGACAAGGTACCTTAGAAGTAGTAGGTACCTAGTGTGGGAGGCAAACGTTGGTGGTTTTTTTTTTTTTTTTTTTATGTGCGCCAATACCAACAGCGCGCACCCTGATATTCCACCTTGGTATTGGAGAGAATTTCTATACTGGATATATATGGTCCACCTCAACGGGGGATGAGGGAACCTTGCCTGCTCTGCTAAGAAGGAAAAAGCGACGGTAATAATAGAAACCGTAATACTTAGGTACTAGGTAACAATAACGATGAAAAAGGCAATAACGCGCACAACGCGGTCGTTTTAGGATACTGCAGTCGTAGCCTGAGGCAGACTCCGGGAAGCTTTCCTCAAACAAATAAACACAGGTGGCCAATGGCCTAAGGCTCCAAGGCCGGCCTTGAAATGCAAATTTCCCAGCGTGGAACGTTCCTGGGTCGTCTCATCCGCTAACCGGAGCCCTGCTGATCAGCAAGCCTATTGAGGGATGAGTCGCGGCAGTCGCCTAACCTAACAAAGATTGGCCTACCTTTAGTCCAATAGTTCATCCGAATAAGTTGTACTCAACGCGGTAATCTACTTACTGGCCTGTCCTTGTCTGCAGAGGGCTAATGGGAATCCACCCTTCGATCCAGCAAGTTGGACGGCCGCCCTCAAGCACAGACATAGTGAATCCATCCGCCACGCCATTGTATTTTCCGTCTCCTCTGCAGATTGGATCGAATATCATATGGATGAGGGTGAATAAGAGACAAACACGTCTTACATTTTATTTCGAGAATTATAGTAGTACCTAGTCTAAGATATTCTTCCCCGACCTTCATAATCTCTCCTCTCACTTTCGTTTGGGTTGGGAAGGTTAAAAGGGTGGTTAATACCCTGTACAATGCGCTGCCAATGATCACCTGATGATACTCACCACTACTAATTTTCCTAACTTGTTGCACTGGTTGTTTTGCTCCGCAGTCATGTACACGAGTGGCTTGGAGTGTTCTGTACTAGTTATTGACGTCCCCCTTGACGCCAGAGGGCCTTCGTTACGTTCCACCCTCACTTCTACCTCACTAGTTACTTGGGATGCACAAATATACAGAACTTCTTTCTTTCCATTTTCATTATTAAAGAAAATTCTTGTGCGCGAAAATAAGCTAAAAAATTTTTAAATATTACTACGTACGGATCAGCCGGCGAAAGGCCATGGATGCCAGAGGGGAGAGGGAAGGAGTGGAAAAAGGAAAGAAAAAACTCATCCGTGGTCCACTTAGATGCGACCACCACGGCCGAAACTAGAAACTTGAACCTTCTACTAAGGTCCTACTAGGTGGGTAATGCTCTCGCTCTGTATGGAGTACTTCACTGTTTTAATATTATCGTCTCTCAAGGCTAATGTTTGTAATCAAATCTGTCTTTCATTGCCGAACTATGTAGGCGATAACGGAGGAGGGTATATATCTTCTCCATCTCTTGCTCAAAATAACCTGAATGAATCTCGCCCTTCCTTAGAGCAGAATACAATAGTCCCCACATCTCCATCGTCACGAATGTAAAGCCTTGATCCCATTGAGCCAGGTCAAATATTTAATGTGATCGGGGGCATTGCTAGATGATTGAAAGAACTTATCGAATGAGAGGTATTCTTGGTACACTTATGCTCAGAGCCTAGGTTGGTCCTAACCATTTATTGGTTAGGAGTGATAGACTTGATCACTCATTGCTGCCCTGCCCAGATGTGAGGCTGTACTCAAAAAGTAAACCTAAGAGGACACGCGGCATAAAGGCGTCTTTCTAAGACGAAAATGTACGGAGGACCAGGCGCTAGACTACTAATATTATCAACACCCATCCCATTTTGCCCTTACCCGAGACGGACAGTTTGTTTCGGTCGTGTGGCAGACTAGTCATAGGTTGTAATGTGGCAACACAAAGTCAGGACAATCACCGGGCAGCAAATCATCGGCCGTGGAGAATTATTGTCCTGTAGCGGTGATTACTATTGGCCCGAGTCCATGGTGGTATCTGATCCAACATGTACCTAAGATACATACGTAAGTCGCTCGATCTGCTTGAGACTACCCCTACATTTTTGGTGGCCAGGACATATGGAATTCGGGAAATGCGATTGACATGAATTATAATAATCATTGTAGGCTGCTGACTAATTTCATATTGACTCTGTGGGAAGACTGTTGCCGTTGCATACTACTAAGGAAGAGTACGATAGCCAAGACAAGCCAGAAAAGATCCGCCCTCGCGGGGGAGACCCCAGTAGACCTCCGTACCCTACATATTCGTAAAATGACGCTAAGGGTTTTCCTCCGTAACCACCGGATTGTGAAGTTATCATCAACTCAACCTTACTGGGACAGTCCCCTCGCCCGTTGAACGAAACAATGCCGACTTCTTATGATCGCCCGTCCGTACTTAACACAACAATTTTTTTCTCCCAAGCGGTTACATTGTCGCGTTCGATAAGTTGTAGTCCATATAAAGAACCCCATGATTGAGGATCTACTGTGTAGCTGCTAATCACCACTAACCGCCTAGCCTGCAGGTAATGGAACCATGGGACCTGCACCATGCTCCCTCCCTTTTCTGTGGTCGTTTTTGAACCGAGTTTTTCGGTCGTCCGTAGTAGTTAAAACCTTACCATTTTCAGAGGATACGTATCCATCCTTGCCCTCTGACTATTCGGTTGTACAAATCACTCTGCAAAATACGCCCCTCCGCATCTTCGCCCCTCGTAAAATATTCTAGGCGCTGCTGATTGAGGCTTACTATTATAATACCCTCCCTACCCGACGATAAGGGAAAACATGTCCGACAGATTCAACTTAAGGGCCGTTCTCATACTAGTATGCCGTTGTCCATTTTTCCCTTGTGTTCTCGGTATATGTACTTGTCCAGTTCCTAAGAGTAGCTCCCTTGCTACCCCATTATTCACCGAATGATATCATCTCCCAGAAAGATCTAGTCAGTTGTTCTGCAAATACTGGGGCATAGGTAGATTTCCAAAAGGAAAGTGACCTGCAGTAATAATGCGGTACCGCTCGTCCGTAGAGTACCCCTACTTTAAAAAAAATTAATTCTTGCCATCTTCTGCTGGGATTTATTCCCGGGAAGATAGGAGAATCATGGATCCAGACAACTTAGTATAATTCTTAGTGCGCAGTTGTAATATTAGTTGGTAATTATATGACCATGAGGGTCAGCCTACTGCTTCTCCGCTTCAAGACATGCTGCGCCTGCATGGCCATTCGTTTTCCCTCGATAAAACTTGGCATTTAGGATTTTCAAGATCCAACGCGCATGCGCTGCCCTACGTGACAACATTCCTGCCACAGATTGTGTGTATCCATACTCCCTACCCTCTTCCTTATTTTCGTTTCATTTTTATTATGATTATTTCTCCCCCTCCCCTTCCTTTTTCCTAAAGCCTATCGGTTTCTTCTACGATGACAAACTTAGGAATATATGAATGAAGCCACGGACATGCTAGTCTGGTTTTGTCCATCTTTATATTCCAACATACAATTATTCCCTTTCATCTTTTTTTTTTCTTTTTCATTTCCTTTTCGTCCGCCCCCCCTCTTCTCTTCAATACTCTCCATGAATACTCCTGGTTTTATCCCCTTCCACTGAACTCCCCCCCTCGTCCTAAATGATCCTTCCCATGGCCCCTCTCGGGTATCATCATCCTCATTCTTTACATCGGGTCGCTCGGCTCATACAATCCCTTTCTAACAGCTCCAGCAACAAGCATCCGTGATATTACTAAAATGTATTCCCGCTAAACCTAGTAACTACCGTAGATCACACAGTGGGCCACAACGCCGCCTCGAGAGAGTAAGGGGAACAAATGTAGTGGTTATACTATAGGCACCACCACCATTCCCCCCCATGTTAGAAAAAAAGAAAAAAGGGAAAAAAAACCTTAGCGGCGCGGGAAGACTAGCCAAAGCACTGGGACACTGGGCCATGTAATAAACCCATAAACGAAAGGGAAAGGAGAGTAACCGCGATTTTCTCTGGTTCTTGGTGGATGGAGGATCCGTCATATTAACATATCGGGACTAGGGGCGAGGACGTGGACTGGTCGGGATCCTGGACGGCTTTCCTGATTCTTCTTGTCTCTTTCTCTTCTCTCTTCTTCTTTACTCTCTTTCTCTGGGCTTGTCGCGTTTTCCATTCTTGTCCCACTTCTCCCTCTCCCTGTTTCCCTCTTCCCGAATCTACTTATGTTTGTCAACCCTCACCCGTTCTGCCGTTCTCCCTTTTTCGTGCCTATATCACCTCGGCTCCCTTCGTTTCGGTAGCCCTGGCCAAACCTTCTAACTACGGCCGAACTACTAACTAGTTCCGTCCTGCTGGTTACTACCTGGACTGATCCATTTGCTACCTGGAGCGCTCACCCCACGAGTCCGCCCTAGTGGCTTGATTCTTGTTCTGCTTTCCACCGCCGTTACCTTCTTTTGACTATTTTGACGGGCTTCAGCGGCCTTTCTGTCTCTCCTTTCCTTCCTCTCACCCGTGCCTCCTTGATTACTTTTATATTTTCTTCACCTTATCACATTCTGCGCCTGTACATCTTCCACATATTAGTGTTCCGTCTTTCCACGGACTTCTACCACGCCCGCTTAGTAGTCTGTCCTTGTCATCGTCGGGGCGTCCTGTCGATCTTGATACTCCCGCCCATCTGGTGGATTTCGTTTTCTAACATTGGCAACAACACAGATCTTCCCACTCCCTTGCGGGAATTAGAGGACCCTTTACAGGGGAAAAAAAGAAAAAGTGGAAAGTCACTACTGACAACGGGGATTCTCCATCGAGTGATACTTCCAGTCCTTCCTGCGGACAAACCGCATTACAGGGGATTCTCTTTCCTTCCACTTTTTCTTTTTTTTCTTTTGAGGTTCGGTTAATCCTTTCGATCACTACCTCCACTTATCTTCAAACTCAACACCTATGTGGGCTCGACTAACCGTCACGGCTTGTTGCTGAGCTTTACCTCACCGTGTCCTAAGCAGTTTTGCAAGCCCTCGACGCCACCGCTTAGGGTGGTTATATCACACTTTCCAACTCGTCCTAAATTAGCTTTTCTTTTTGTCGCGTCTGAGGGTTGACCATGGCCTCGGATAGGTCACCGCCCCAGAAGTCGCAGCAACACCACGTGAGGCTCAATTCTTCTTCTTCCGCTGCAGCAACAGCCGCGGGTCAACGTCGCATGCCCACCCCTGGCCAGTCTTCCCGAACGGGTTCTGCCGACTCTGCCTCCCCCCAAGGGCTTGCCACCCTCAACGAACGGCTGTCTCAACCCATGACGGCAGGCACTTCAACTCCAGAAGTTGCGGGTACGGAGCCGCCTAGTACCTCCGCCACTCCTGCGCCCTATGGGACGCGCTCCAGAGGTCGTAATGCGGCGCCTCGCCCCAACTACGCAGAAGATCGTGACATCGACATGGACCTGGAAATTGCTCAACCCGCATCCAAGGCTGCCAAACGAAGTAACGGCGTACCTAACAACTCAGCCAACGGTACTAAAGCAGATGGTGAAAAACCCGCACCATCTTCAAGTTCTCGAAAATGTCAAACAGCGGTGAATGGATCTAGTCCCGCTTCCACTGCTAAAGATGCAATTCCTGGTACATCGTCCTTCTCTGCAAAAGTAGAAGAAGCCAACGGGTCTTCGAATTCAAGAAAACGAAAGCAACCGGCAAGTACTACGAATTCTAGCTCTGCAAATGGAAGCGCTTCCAAAAAGATCTTCACCACGGCTCCCGGCGTCAGCCAAGGGCAAAATGATTCCAATTCAAATATGGTCTCTTTTGAGAGCCGAGGCGCTTATTTAGAAGACGGTAAAATAACAGCTGACGATGGCACAACGTTTTCCGTAAACGGTCAGTATCTCTCTCTTTCTGGCTTTCTTTTTTTTATGTGGGGCGGGGGGGGGGGGTTGTTCCACCAATCAATAATGAAATGAGTCCAAGATTATAAACGATACTGAGACTTCAATACAGACCACGTTTACCTCATCTGTGAACCTCCGGGAGAACCATATTATTTGGCACGTATTATGGAATTTCTTCCGAACAAGGATGTGCCCTCCAGTCCCGTTGAGGCGGTGCGGGTTAATTGGTATTACAGGCCACGTGATATCCAACGCAAGGTTGCAGATACGAGACTAGTATTTGCATCTATGCATTCCGATACATGTCCGCTTACTTCGTTACGTGGAAAATGCCAAATCAAGCATATCTCGGAGATTGATGATCTTAACGAGTACAGGAAGACCCGGGACAGCTTTTGGTATGACAAGATGTTTGACAGGTATATTCATCGATACTATGAGGTCATCCCTACCAAGAGAGTAATAAATGTTCCGGCGAATGTCAAGAGGGTCCTTGACGAACGCTGGAAATTTGTTCTTGTCGAGATTGGCAAACGGAAAGAACTGACTAGTGCGGTTAAAACCTGCAAGCGGTGCAGTCTATACGCTGCGAGGTACGTATGATCATGTTTAGGAGTCAATGGTGTCGTATACTCATATTATATAGTACTGATTCTGTGGATTGCGCTGTTTGCCACGATACGTATCATATGTATTGTGTACGGCCTGTTCTAACTAAGAAGCCTGCTCGAGGATTCGCTTGGGCTTGTGCAGCCTGCAGTCGTGCTCAAGAGCGGAAACTTGAGGCTCGAAACACTCCGATCCTTGGCGAAACTCAACAGGACGTGGAAGAAGAAGTTGTGGAAGAGGAGGAGGAGGAGCCTAGCGGTGCGAACGGTACAACAGGTAGCACCCCTGCCGTCACGGAAGAAGAGACTATTCGGCCAGCTACAGAGGAACAAGTCGCGCAGGCCAGGATGTGGCCGTATCGCTACCTAGGCATCCACTGCCGTGTTGAAGACGCATTAGACTATGATGACCGTATATACCCCCGAGCCAGCTCTCGGCTGGGGCCACGATTCCAAGCGATCGTCAATCCGTGGCCTGGGCGTCCTGTGGAATATGTTAAGCCAACGGATATAAAAAAGAAATACATGAAGAGCTCTGGGGGTCGCAAGGATTCGAAACTCTCGAAGGAGGCCCTTGCTGCACTCGAAGCCGCTAAGCAAGAGAAGGCAAACAGGCCAAATTGGGTTATGGATGAGCCAACTGGATACGTACGACGCGGCGAAGACGAGCCAGTTACCGTGAACAGCAAGCAGGTCCGCACTGCGGAGTTAATGTTCAAAATGCCTAGTGCAACACAGATACCCTCTAGAGGTGAAGACGATGCCCCTGGTGCGGAGCTCAGCGCCGCAGATCGAGAGAAATATGTCGACGACTACATGGCAAGAGCAAAGGAATTGGCGCCTATTCTTGGGGTTGAGAAATATTCGACGAACTTCCTGGATAAAGCTTTGGAGCTGCTATATGCCAATAGTTTTGATGCTGAGGCTGCTCTCTTAGAATTGAAGCAGATGAACAAGTATAAGGATCTTAAGGAACCTCATCTGCGCCCCGAAGAGGTCAAAGCATTCGAGCAGGGTGTTGCGAAATATGGATCAGAGTGGCGGAACCTGACGAAGCATGTCGGTACCGTACCGCATTATCAGATTGTGCGATTCTACTATATGTGGAAGAAGACAGCCCGCGGCCACCTGATCTGGGATAATTATGAAGGTAGGCGGGGAAAGAAGGAAGCCAAACGGAGCAATCCTGCAAAGCTTGTGGATGACGTAGCCGATGATCATGACGATTCCGCCTATGACAACGAGAAGGCCGTTGAGAAAAAGCGTGGTTTTCAGTGCAAGTTCTGCTCTACGCGGACCTCGCGCCAGTGGCGACGCGCTCCTGGGGTCCCACCCGGCACTACAACCCCAAGCGAGCCATCATCGAAGCAACGAGACAAGGGACCGCAGCTCACAGTGGCTCTATGCTTGCGATGTGCTTTATTATGGAGAAAGTATGGAATTCAATGGGAGAATGTCGACGAAGTTGCCAAGAAAATTTCTCAAAGCGGCAACAAGTCGTGGCGCCGTCGTGTTGATGAAGAATTGCTGACACAGCTCCTTATTTCCACCGAGACTCCGATCAGTATCAACAGTGCGACTGCGGCTACTGCGGCCTCTATCGGCGTTCCTGTGACCTCCAACCCTCAAGTGCAACAAGAGTCTGCAAAGAAGAAGGGGCGCACCAACGATAAAGATAGTACCGCAACTTCGACCGCTACATCGGTGGAACCGGTGCCGAAGAAGAAGCCGGCTCCTGAAAAGGCCCCAGAACCGGCACCGATCGTCCCTGATCCACCCAAGGCTAAGACACTCCCATGTGCCGTTTGTAATAAGATGGAACCTATAGGCGACCAACATCTGTCTTGCAGGGACTGTCGACTAACCGTTCATCGAAGCTGCTACGGAGTCAACCCTTCGCGGAACTGCGCTAAATGGTTGTGCGATATGTGTGCCAATGATAGGAATCCATTGTTCTCGACTTGCTACGAGTGTGTTCTGTGCCCCGTGACCTGGACGGAGCATGAATTAATGGAAGCTCCAAAGTCGACACACAAGAAGAAGACTGAACGAGATCGAGAAAAAGAAAGGCTGGAAAAAGAGATGGTTAGCGAGGCTATCAAACTATATCGGCAAAGACAAGAGGCTGTAGGCAAGCCGATCGGTCCCCGTGAACCGCTGAAGCGGACTGATGGGAACAATTGGGTCCATGTGACATGTGCTGTTTGGACTCCAGAGATCAAGTTTGCCAATTCCAAAGAGCTTGAGCCAGCTGAAGGATTTGCACTCATTCCTGCAGACAAATACCGCGAGGTTTGCAGGATTTGCAAATCGAACAAAGGTGCCTGTGTACCATGCCATTTCAGCGGCTGCAATGCCCAGTTCCATGTCGGATGTGCATTCCAGGCGCAGTACACATTTGGCTTCGATATCACACCTGTTAAGAGCTCTAGGAGAGATACCGTGAATAGTGTACGACTTAAAGATGAGGTAGGAGTGGCCTCCGCGGGAATCTGGTGTCCTCATCACACAATTCCGACTGTTGTTCATGCAACAAGTGAGCCGACAGAGGAAGAGGGTATCAACACACTCCAAAGATTTGTCCAAAATTACAAGCAAGCGGACCTTTCCTTGACTGGGACCCTTCGCAGAGCGGCGTACGTTCAGCAGTCTGTTAGTGCATCCCAACATAATGTGACGCCGGCCGGACACCGACGGGCATCCACTGTGAATGGCGTGGCAGCTCCCCCGCCTACAGCGAAGGATACCCACAAGAATACCAGGGCGAGTCCCGAGGAAGCTACGGATGAGATGGCTATTGATTCCGAAAATCATGCAACTGTTCAGGTTACAAGCTCAGATGCAACGCGACAATGTGCGCGTTGTTCCACCGCTTACAGCCCTCGATGGTGGTCTATTGACAAATCACGGCGAACGACGACTGTTGACCACAGGCCATCTCTACTGAACGGAGTTGGAACGAACGAAACCAGATTTCTGCCTGCGACCTCGGCAAGTCCACCATATATTCATCGGAACCCTTCTCAACATACTCTCACAAAACTCAACGGTGAATACGGCCCCGCAGATAGGAATGGTTCAGTGAGCAATGTTGAGGGATCATTGGGCCAGCCAAATCAGGAATCGTACGAGTGCCATAAGTGTCATCTCAAGCAGATACCAGCCCAACCCTCTCCGGAGCCTCGGCCATCTCCCTATTCAGCTCAACGGCCAGTCCTACCCGCTCCCCGTCTTCCTTCAGAATATCCCAGCCACCCTTACGGGCCTCATGCCCATCCTCAAACCGGGGTACTACCAAGGCCTCTTGGCCCACCGCCTCCTAGTGGACCTGAATGGTACCCGGGATATGAACAACGTCCCAGCGACTATGGGGATAAGCTGCGCAATGGCCTTCCAGTCGCTAGCTACCGCGGAGGACCTCCACCACCGCCGCACCATATGAATGGCTTCCAACCAACTCCTCCACACCATGCCCCGCCGCATCATTATACAGGCGGAGCTCATCCTCCCCCACCTCCTCAGCCTTTCCCCTCTCACCAGAGCCCCTATGGACCTGTGTCTATACCTTCACCCCATGTTTCTCACCCGGCAGGACCTAGGCCGTACGCCCCATCGGCGTCACCTCCGGATGTGCACTCAACGATGGTTCGGCACTCTCCACAACACTCTCTTAGCGCATTGAACGGGGGGCCACCGGCACGTGTCTACTCAGTTGACCGCGTTCTCAGTGCGCCAACGCAGTCGCCCCCAGTTTCGCAGTCACATGTTGATCTTCGAGGCCGGACCCCACCAGTCAAGTTAGATGATACACCTGTCGTTGCGCCCACGGGTCCGACAAGCAGCAGCAGGCACATGAATGTAAATGGGACAAATGGTGGCTCTGGCGCCAGCGCCAGCCCATCTCTAAAGAATCTACTCTCTTAAAATCTTAAGATTCCATGCCAAAGGGATGTTTAGGCGATGTATGATATATCCTTATTTTCTTCTTTTCTTTCTTTTCTTTCTCTTCTCTTTTGTGTTGTTTGGACTGGGTGGCATTTCAAAATGGGGTTTGGGGTACTGCCATCAGCGTGGTTCTAGATTAATTCGTTATTATGTTCCCTTCTATCTATATGCATTCTTTATTTTTCTTCTTTCGTCCTTTCTGTTTTGCTCTACGATTTGGTTTCTACCTTTATGAGCATGATATATTTGGGTTACACCACTGTCTGCAATGGCCCAAGAACAATTTTAGGGTGGCATGGACTGGGAGTTTCATGTTATTAGCGTTGAGAATTGCAGAATTGCGTTTCACGGTTTCAGATGTATCGTCGTCAATATGAAATCACGTTTGTTGAGAGGTTTCATTGGACCATCGGCAGGCAACCGAACCCTTGATAGAAGAAGAGAAGCGGGGTAAATACTGACTACGATGATAATACTATACTAGGTTGGTGAAAGAAACACAAACATTCTTTCAGTGCCCTTTTTTTGTCTTTGGTGGTATAGATCGACGGGGACGATCCTGGACGCGAGGGACTAATGGAAAACGAAGGGAACCTGATCATTAAGCCGAGCAGTTGAACAGCTGATGCAATGCGCTGTGACAGGGGATCATCACTGGTCGCTGATTTGCCTGCGGTTGAGCCTCAGATAAAGGCAAACTGGAAGGATTGTGTTAAGTGGTTAGTGCTTATTAGTGTTGCTTTCCGTTGTTAATTTTATATGGGGGCTCAGAGTTAGGTTGACCATTCCCACTTAGTCGGAGGTTAGTTACTCACACTAGAGACGGATTCGAATCAAGGACCGACCTGAGATTCGATCTAGTAGGTTTTTCCCCCCCCCCTTTGATTATGTCGGAAGATGTCTCTCTGGCGCATATAGTAATTAATACAATTTTATATACGGAGTACTGCAGTTGGGTGGGAACATTGTAGTACCTCACATTTAAAATGTACATATCTGTATATAGATCTATGTACGGTGTTCCCTCCTTGCATACACAATCAGAACTTTAACCTCGCGTCGATCTTGAAGGGAATGCATGAACCGACATTCCAAGATCATTCTTTTTCACACTCACTGGGGAGACTGCAGTGGGAGTACTTTTTTCCTTTATATAGAATGGAACCATGTGACAAACCCATGGCAGTGGGGACCTGCGGTCCTCATTGGTGGGTTCCCCGAACGAATGGACACGGTGGGATTTCCATTCACCTTTTCGCAAAAGGCTGAGAGGCAGTAAGGCAACCGGCGCCGATGACCTTCTGCCGAATGGAAATTATTTGTATGGAATTCTTTCTTCCCCAGAAAATCCCGAGTAAGGTTATTCAAGGAAGGTTACCTAACTCACGTAAGAGGCTGTATGGAGGGTTGGTGCGCAACCTTTGCCACCTGTCACAAACGGTTGAGGCAGGATAAAAAATTTGGTTATTCTCGTTCATTTGTTCGGTTGACTATCCATCACATCATAGGAGCCACATTCTTGTGGTGGGAAACGACGTCAGCGGTTGGTTGCCACCTTTTTGGCGAGGACGAGTCCTTACAGCGCAGAAGGTGCTTATGTTGGGTGCCATGCGCATGGAAGTTCTAGAAGAATATGAAGGATTTTTTTCGATTCTCAGAGTTACATATATCCGCGTGCCGATTTATAATAAAAGCGTATATATTTATTGAATTTTTCTTTTCCCTCTTGTCTTCTTTTCTTTATTTTCCTTTTTAATTTGACGGCAGGAAAAAGGAAGGGAAAGAGAGCCGGTAGAAGAGATGATCTTAATCAGGAAGGGACGTATGTACCAAAACACGCCCGGTAACAATGCACCCAGTAATCAAACATTACGATCCTTCATCGACAGATTCAATGGATGATTAGCACATCCAGCCGGCATTCTAGAAAAACCCACGGAGATTGAAAGGAGCTAATGAGATCGCTTGCTTAAGCGTCGTTCTCTCCACTCTCTCCGCTCACTTTATCTCTGGTCACTTTTCATTGTAATTTCAATTTTTTTTCTGTTCTTTTCTATTTTTCTTGTTCTTTTCTATTTTTCTTGTTCTTTTTCTTTCCACATAATTAATTGCGATTTGTGCGTTCGTGTCTCCTCAATTTGTGGCTCAGCTCAGTTCTGTCGAGTTTCTAGCCTTCTTCCTTACATGCTGCCTGAGACGGGATTGGACATCCAAAGTGATCAGCAGAAATTGGGTGATTAGTCCGGTTGAGTAGGGATCGCACTGATTGGTACCTGTGGTCTTTTATCCCAAACCTTGGATCCTGGAGGTGTCTTTGTGTTTCTGGCTCTGGTGACGAGCATTTAATGCATAGTTATACTTATATCTAGATTCTACCTATATACTCATATATATGTATCTTAGGATAGAGCAACTAATTGAATGATTGGTTAAATTAATAACTAAAGTCCGATTATATTAATAGTACTTCAGACAACGGAGGATCGAAACCATACATCGGATACCATATCAATACCGCTCCGTATGTAATGAATACCTGACTACACCTACAGATCGGCCCCATCGCCGAGTCTCTGACGACGCCCATACCCGCCGTGCCGCGACCTTCTGGAAGTCTGGAAGAAAGCCTGAGCGAAGGGGAAAAAAAAAGAAGTCAGTCTCACAAAGCCCACGCCTCTTTCCCGGCGCTGGCACTTCCTACTGGACGGTTCAACTTCTTCTATTTCCATTGCCCTACTTATCGAAATTCACCTGAAACTAACCTTGCTACTGACTGTTCGTGCTTTGCTCCAGAGTTTGTTATACTTACTTACACTTGCGCCAACCGATAGGGCCCTTGGATCGGAATTACCCAAAGAACCTCAATCAATCCACTTCATCCTCCACTCTTCTTTCCCACTCCCTGAATTCGTTCCCTTCTTCATCTTCGTCGTCTTCTTCTTTTCATTCTTCCCTTCCTTATTGTGACAATCTTATTTTCCTATCTGAACAATATCATTGACTATCCTCGCATTATTTTAATTATTTTCTTTTATTTTTCCTTTCACAACTTCCTGTTCCGCGCCCCCCCCTTTGTACAAGTACTCAACCAGCCTCATACCGTAACTCTCAACGTTCGGTCTTTCACCTGGTGTCGGAGTATTGTTCCCTTCCCCCATCGCCTTTTCTTCGCTTGATCAACCTTCTTGTACTCTGTTAACACCCGCTCTGATTGTCGATCGTTGGCGACCGCACGCTTTTCTTCCCTTCGTCACCTTTTGAGTCTCGTGTCATCATTTCTCCGTGTGGCCCTGCCCGTGGCCCACCATGACGCCCTAAGATTTCCCGCTTCTGGGCCTCGAATTTTATCGTCCTTGATATCGGCGAATCTTATATGTGTCGCGATCCCGTGGGGTGCACTTCAAGTGTTTTTTACCGGCGGTGACTTTGGATAGTGCAGTACAGCACAGCATCAAACCATTGGCCCACACCTGGTCGTCGTGTTTCTTTCTCGGTCTCTTCTCTCACTTGACTTTCTGACCTTCGCCAACCCCCAAACGTGAGTGGATCCCGTGTACGTGTATGTGGCGATCGCGGTAGATTGCCATCTGGAGGCTTGCATGTGGAACAGAAAACTGGACGTCTCGGAAAGCGGATCCTGGGCAGGTATTGCACCCTAGACAGGCTGGCAATCGATCAAATCCCAGTGGAAAACTACAGCGAACAATTAATTGTTCGAATGCGCACCTGTAGCTGCTTCTTGGTCCCCGGTTTCCTGGTGGCAGTGCTCTTTGGCCGTCTCCGTCCTGGCTTCGCCGTGTCGCCTACATACACTACATCACCAGAACTTTGCGGATGGTTGCTGACCCGATATAATCAACAAAGATTAGGGTCGTCTCTCTTCTCCCTTTCGCAGTCTCTCCTTTTACATTGAACAGTGAACCTACCGTATTCCCGCGACCTTCGCTATATACTCTGCCAGCCGCTCGTTTTCTCTCTCTTTTCCTTCTCTTTCTCCCCTCCCCTTTCTCCTCCCTCTTGATTTCTTGTAATCACCCCAGCAGCGACCTACACGATTAACTTGGTAATAGCCATATGAGACCAAGTTCGGACTGGGTGGATAATAGTTTTCTCTTCTATCTCCCTATCTCACTTCTTGTCTCGTGACCAGGCTTCGGATTGGGGAGATACTGAACTATGGGTGTGCCGAACTTAGTCGACAGCATGGATGGCGTCGAATGTTCGGCTGTGTATATCGATCGTCGTGTGGCCCAAGAACGGTGGGTGCATCAGAGCTCATCCGATTTCTCAAACATCTCCGATACAAGTGCCTCTATATTTCCCGACGAGCCCGAGTCACTCCGATCGGATGTGGATGTTCTGCTGGGGGTCTGTAAACGAAGTATGTCTTGTGTTCATCTGGTGCCTCATGGTTCCTGGTACTGATTGGAGACTCCAATATAGTCTACCTTTGTAATGTCGGCCCATCTCTCGCATCGAAACTCGCCCAACTCAGTGACGATGCCATCGCCACATGTATACCTATCTTCGCATTCTTTGACGTCGACTTATCTGGGGAAGATCCTGGCTTATCGTGTCGTAAAAGCGGGCGTGGTTCGTGGCCTGAGGTAACCCCTCCATCTCCGGCGTCGCTGCGCCGCGGCTTCACATTTTCTTCCCAGTGCGAGGGAGCGAACAATCTGAAATTGCTGTCAGGATTGTCGGCCGACATCCAAGTTCAAGAGTCCCCAAATCTAATTATCCCAGTTGCTATCTTGCGTTCTTCCCCTCAGGTCCCCAGTAGTGTCCCTGTGGAACCTCAGCGCAATGGGACGATTTCCGAATTTCAGCAGATATCGAAATGCTTAGATGCCGGAGCCGTTGATGTTCTAACATCGCCCCTGAGCAGCGCAAGAATACAGGGCCTTGTAGTCCATGCCTTCCGTGCTCGCAAATCAGCGCTCAAAGAACAGACGCGCTTTATGTCCAGGAAAAAGTTGCGCAAGCATTCCTGGGTAGGCGTTCATGATGAACAGCCTTATGCCTACCTAAGAGAAGCAATGTAAGTCCCCCTGATCTCCATCTCAAAGTCGAAGATGCTCATGCGCTGCATTGTGTAGGGTGTCGAAGCTTATGAAAGGCATTTGCAATCCCGAAGAAGTGATAGAAGAATTTCAGGACCGGTATGTACGCCAGGACCTATAAAACCGAATTCCCAACTCACGATTTAAGCAGTGAATTAGATATAAGCCCCGAGCGTGAAGAGCTCGTTAAAGAACAGATTGGGAGTTGGAGCTTTACCGCCCATGAGTTTTCAGATGATGAGCTCGTGCTGGGGGCTTCTGAAATACTTCAGCATGCTTTCACCATGCCAAATTTGGAACAGTGGCAGTTGACGCCAGGTAAGTGAATGTTCAATTCCGTAAAGACATGCCGCGGCAGCTGATTGGGTACGGCTCTTCTGCCTTAGGTGAACTTCGGACATTCTTAGTCGCATGCCGCGCATCCTATAACTCGTTTGTCCTCTACCATAACTTTCGCCATGCCATTGATGTCTTGCAATCCGTATTTTGTTTCCTTCTTCACATTGGTGCTCTACCCCCTTATGGGTCGGTTACACGAGATTTTGACACAAAATCACCTCTTGCTTCTCTTCTTACACCCTTCGATACTTTAACTCTGTTGATATCGGCAATTGGCCATGATGTGGGCCATCCTGGAGTGAACAACTTTTTCCTGGTTAAACTCAACGCTCCGCTGGCACAACTCTACAACGACAACTCGGTTTTGGAGGCATTCCACTGTGCTGCCTTTTCCCAGATCTTGCGCCGCTATTGGCCCTCCGCATTCAAAGACAAGCAAATTCGCAAGTTACTAATCAGCTCCATATTAGCAACAGATATGGGTGTGCACCAGAAGTTCATGGAGCGACTCGGGTCGTTGCAGGAGAAGTTCTATGAGAACAGCAAGACTGTTGACGGATGGAAACCCCAGGATCTCGAGATGTACAAAACCCTCCTTTGCGGTCTGCTGATCAAGTGCGCCGACATTAGTAACGTGGCACGGCCGTGGGACGTGGCTGAAAAATGGACCAAGATATTGCAGGAAGAGTTCGCCAATCAGGGTGAGATGGAGAAGGAAGTGGGAATGGAAACCGCTTTGTTCGGCGGGCCACCGGAACTCGGCAATACATACAAACTCGCCACAGGCCAGATCGGTTTTATGTCAATATTTGCTCTTCCTTTGTTCGAGGGTGTAGCGGATATCTTACCCGATATGCGGTTCACTGTTGAGCATATTCGAAACAACCAATCCAGATGGCATTACCTTGCTGATCTGGAGAAACGGAGGGAGGCTTTACAGGACGAGAGTAGCCCCGAGGACGTTGTCTCTCCTTGTACTCGGAGTCCAGCATCGAGCTTGAAAGGATTTAGAGGACTCCGTGCACCGTTGACCACGACCGGTCCGGATACCCCTGCCAAGCCATCATACCCAACTATTGAAGGGAGTGGCCGGCGTGAAACAGATTACTTTGGTCCAATTCACTCGTCTGTGGATTCTGGGGCCTCGTGTGGGAGCTACAACGAGAATACTATCAGTCCTGTTGTATCGCCAGATACACCCGGTCCTTCAATGGACATAACTGGAAGCCCCTTGCCCTCGCAAACACCGTCGCGGAAATCTTCCAACGCTGTGCCGGACCTTACCATGGTTTCCGTCGCAGGCGTGTCTCCCGAGAGATATAGGAACCGGGCAGGTTCTGAAGCATCCAACAGAGCTGTTGGCGATCACCCTTCACTTGACGCAAACCGCTCTTCAAGGGATCCCTCGGTTCTGGCTGCTGTCATTTTCGCTAATTCACACAAGGATGGAGACACACAGGATCATTCAAATGCCCGCCACAGTGCGGGGGAGACAACAGGTGAAAGGCCGAGCAGTTCACGGAATGGGCCGCACAGCTACCGTCGCCATCACGCAAATACCAACTCATCGGGGCGCACATCGGGGCCATCTAACTCCCAGCGGAATAGCTGTACTCGAACCCACAGCGTTAGTACTTATAGCAATAACATGACGCCTATCTCCCCCGCGACGAACGCGACCAGTTTCCTTACTGTCGACGACGGCGAGGATAATGGTTTTAGCCAGGAGAGCAGTACTAGGAGCGATCGTGAAAGCGATAGAGGCGACGCTCGCCCAGGCTCTTCCAATATCGACCGAGAATCGGAGGGTAATCCTCCACAGTCTAGCCATACTTCCCATTCCCAGTCGGATGAGACGAATAGGAACCTTGTTATGGCCTCCGACAAGGGAAATGGCCACGGGTATCCTGGACAGTCTGCGTACAAACCTGGAAGCCCAAGGCATGAAGGCAGTGGTCAGCAATGGGATGGATCTAGCGGTGGAGAGCAGCCATCACGGAAGCTGCTGAAACGGCGAAGTCGCCTTCGATTGGCATTCTGGAAACGCAAAACCCATCATTCTCACCACCCCGAACTGAGCGGTGAATCATGATGGTATCTCCCCCTCTAGAGGATTTCATCGATCAATGTTCTGTTTGTTTTACATGGTTTCAAGGTGTTCATGGCTGGGATTCATGTGGAATCAATGGGGGGATGGGTAATGGGCTCATGAATGGTGGCATTGGCTGATGACTCGGAATTACGATGGAATTGCATGATGTTCACGACCGGCTCGGTTGATATACGAACCCGAGCACCACAAAAGAAAAGCATGGTTTTCGAGGTAGACGCGCAGGAATGGCCAGCAACATTGGCATGCGCATGACAATATCTAGCGATGCTGTCGGCAAACCAACAGCACGTTCCGGATATCCGAGAGAAACAACACCCTTCGGGGATATCGGATCTCCTGGTCAGATGATATGGAATCGGTAGTCGCCTTTTGACTGGACACTTAAAAAGATATGGAAGCCTCTTTTATATTTTCTTCTCCTTTTACCTCTTTTTCTTCTTCCCTTTTGCCCCTTGTCAAAACACCTTCTCTCGATTTCTTTCCTTTTTTTTTTCAACACTTTTTCTATATCTCATTATCTTCATTCACTTATTTTAACAATTTCCTTTGACCTTCTACCTTTACAGTTTCTACGGATCGACTTTGGGTTGGCGGACATAGAGTCAGGGCGTGATTTTGGCGTTCTGAGGTTCACCACATGGCTGGACTGTGCCTCAAGTCATTTGTGTTTGAAAACATGGGTCTATAGTTGCATTTTGCTGAAATTTTTATTTACCCTGGCATGATTGTGGAACATGACATTACAGTGATATATATTCAGCCACATTGATCGTGGATGTCAAATCATCAAGCGTGATTATAGTACACAGTGCTTTCAAATCAACCTTGTAGTGAGTTCTCTCTAGACGGTATACATACATACACAGCGCTCCATGGTATATAACGAATCCCAATGGAAGAAACGTTGTGATAGGAACTATGAACTTTATCCTATCATTATAATGGTTCCTCTTATGTGCACAGGTAGTACGGATACCTGGCATACAATCCATCTCAGATAAAGTCATCGAAAGCAAATATATCTAGATATCTATAAATCCACCCACCCATTCACACCTATCCTTAAAACTATACAAATCACCGGCAATCCTCGCACTCCTTCTCCCCAGCCTCCGACATATTGCTACTAGTAGCAGCCCTCAACGCCCGATCCGTATGCCCCAGATCCCTTGACGGATCAACCACATTCCTCACCAACGACTTGAGCATTTTCACCTCTATCATATACATATCCATTAGCCCCACCTACCCAAATGCGTTCCCAAGACCTAGAAAAAAGAAAAGAAAAAAAAAGAAACTAGAATAGGCAAAAGACATCAGTATGAACATACCAGGAAACCCGCCATTGGTCTTCCGATCCCACAGGACCGTCTCCTGCGTCTGGACCTCCTCCCCAGATGAATGATACATCGTTATCCTGAAGATTCCGCCCGTGGCTGGGATCAGGGCTACCTCGCCTAGGTCTGTGCTGAATGTTGAGAGGAGTTCTTGGGCGAACTAGGGGGGCAAATATTTGCTTGGTTAGGTTTGGATATTTGGGATAGAGTGGATTGGAGGGGTACGCATTGAGGGAGATGGTTGTGCTAGTTTTATCATTGGGGATGGGGACGTTGTTGGTTGTGGAGGGGGGTTGGGGTTCAAGAGTCTTGATGTAATAGTCGAGGGAAAGACAAGGCAAGACGTCTTTTAAGACATACATAGGCGGCCCGTAACATCCATTTGCATTGTGTGCAGTATTTGATGGTGATGCGTGGCAGGTGAACCTGTCCTGTGGCGGTCTTTTTTGGGTCGATTGGAGTGGTCATTTTTTTTTTTACCTTTCTTTTACTTTGAGACCCTTTCTAATTGTAAACAGTTTGTTTTTGAAGAAGAATTTGAGATAAAGAGTCGAGGGGGTATAGGGTTGATATGGTGGAGATGATCGAAGTGATGTGATTGCTTGAGATTGATATTGAAACGAAATATGAAAATGAATTAGTTTAAATGAATCGGATGATGTCAGCGGCGGGTGGAGCTTGAACGAACTGGAGAAGCAGTTATTGGCGAGGATTCTGATTTGTTCAATCGGTTTATTACCTCTTGGTCTTGGTATGCAGAATGTTTTCTCCGAGACTGACTGTACATGCTGTCGGGTTGCTTTACGACGGCTCTTACTGCATGGAATATGATATGATAGAAAACTTGCAGCTCTTACTGCTGCCCTCGCCATCTGAATCAGTCATGTCGGTATTATAGTTGGCTCGAGATCACCAAATCTATGATACAAGAAGGGCCATCAACGTATCGTCCCCCTGAGGATTTGTGGTGATTGTCTTTTTTAAAAGTATGAGAGAGGGTAAAGGGGGAAAAAAAGGAAAAGAAGATCCCACACCATCCATAACGGCGAAACAAAGGAAATATCAAGGAATCAATAAAAAAAACCAATGCGACGAAATAGGCATATTGCCGAGGCTAGAAAGGGAATTTTCAACACATCCAAACACAAAATGGCGGTAAGAGAGAAAGGTAAATAAAAAGAGACGTCGCAGATCGGAGTGCATCGAAGCCATGAACAGTGAATCCCATGGGTCGATGCGACCGTACGCTTCCCCATTTTCAGCGTCCGAAGTTCATGCAAGTCCAGCGCGTGTTTCCTTCCGGAGCTGAGTAGCCTCACGAGCACCCAGAAATACAGCGCCCCCTGCTGGTCGATCGTCGGTCCGTAGTCCTGGCCGTAGCGAGTGGGTAGCGATGCGACGTTCCAAAGGTCAAAAAGGGTGAATGAGGAGAAGAATAAGAATTAGGTAGTAGAAGGTAATGTCGTAGCGATGAGGGTACAATGGGACAGCTTTGGTGAGAAGAGTCCAGCTGATTTAATGGCGTGGAATGTCACGGATCCATTACATGACCGTGCAGCAACCTCCCTGTTGCTGGGGGGCGTATGGGTCATCACGCTTGTCCACCTAAAGCTTGGTCAGCTTGTGATCCCGCGAGCTAGAAGCTCGTAGCCCTCGTCAAGAGGAATTTGGAGAAAAAGTCGCATACCTGACCCCATACGGAAGGTACCATAAAGTCGCGAGTGTTGTTGCAGTAATTAATCAGCCTATTTTCCAGTGACGATCGGATGTATCAGTAACCGTCGGTCGCACACGAGGGGTAGTAGATAAGTAGTAATTGGGGGGGGGTTGGGTTTGACGTACGACATGGCAGCCTCGGACACTTTGACCCGGGGACGGTCCAGATCCTCCTTCAAACGAGCATTGAGCTCTGTCAATCGTCGATACTTCAGATCGGCCACACTTTGCTTCTTGTTCTTCACATCCCCTCCCGATCGGAGCTCGTAGGCAGGCATGGCGAAAAGTTGACGTTATAAGGTTTCTGTTTTCGGAATGATTTTGAGGTGTGAATTAACTATATGCGCACACACGGGTCGGGAAGGGGGTGGGAAGGTATGATTGATTGTGTGTTGTGTGTGTGGGTGTGGGTTGGTCCGGTCGAAAGGTGGTGGTCAAGTAAGGTTCGCGCGCAGAGCCGAGAGTGAGAGAAGAGAGAGTAAGGGGAAGGCGGAAAAAGGGAGAGGGAGGAATTAATTTAAGAACGAGAGAATGCTTTTCTTGCAACAAATATTGGGGGTTCAACAACTGTAAGAGAGTGTTTCGAATAGTTGAACCTATAAATTTGTCGAAGTAAAAGAAGAAATAAAAAAAGAGAAAAAAAAGAAGAAGTAAAAAAAAAGAATAGAGTCCCCGAGCAAGGATTAGAACTTGAGAAAGAGCGACAAGTCGAGAAGAGGCTAAGAAAGAGGAGAAAGAAGAGAGAATTGGGGTGGTCTGTGAGCTGTTTTTTGGGGGGGAAATCTCGGATGTTGATTTTAATTACGAATAGGATAACTAAACCACAACTCTCTTCTGCTTCCCCTGAATGCAATTTAAATAGCTAGTCTGTTAGTCCCGTAGCAAGGGGAAAAAGAAAATGCGGATGATCGATGCCGACAAACGGATCATCTGATTGTTTAAAGCTCTGAAGAAGAATTACCGAATACTAGGTAAATAAAAGGTGGTGAACTATTCCCACTATTTATTTGCCCATTAATTGCATACAACATTCCCTTCTGCCTCCCTCCCGTCGCATGGACCATCTTCTTTTGAAGCTCCTCACGTGTATCAGCTTACCGTACGATACATTACACGTGATTGCGGGCCATTGATGGTCTGAGGCGGTTTTGGTTTCATTCCGTTTCATTCCATTCCATTTCCCAGCAGTATGGCTTGTAGCATACTCAGAGTGATAGACATGGATACATATCTATGATTCTCTATATATTAGTACTGCTGCCTTAGTACAGTACGACAGGACTGATCCATGGCCGGGTTACCACTACAACTAAGCCCCCAGCTGACCGATTACGAAAATGGATCCAATCCCTTTCACCCCCATTGTTCTCGAACGGGCGTATTGTCCACACCCGAACTTCTTCCCAGGATATCACGAACTTCAAAGGTCCCCAGAACCACCCCCACGAAAACTATTCCTACGTCCAGATTGGAGACATACCCTAGGGAATTTCTTGAAGCACTTTAGATTTCAGACTAGATCTCCCCTGAATAGATAGACCATCAGGTTGAGTGGGATATCACGCGCCATCGTCGTGACTGGTCTGTAGATCACGTGACTTACATCGCTTAACCGAAGTGGGAAGCCCTTCGGCCTGTTTTTCGAATTCTCGCACAACGCCCGCCCAAGCCCAAAGATCCCTCCGAACCGACGTTGAAGGGCCGTCGCGTGGCAGCGTATTTACAAACAGGGACTTTATCGCCATCGAGACTTGCTGCCCGCCGTCGTTGTGCGAAATCCATTTTTTTTTCGCCCCTCGAATCAGAGGCGTGTGCCGTTTTCGATTAAAAAAAAAAAAACGTTGATCCCGAGAACTCTCCCCCATCATGCCGCCTCCACCTCATATCAAGCCTGAAAATGTCCTGAAGGTGAGTCATACCTTCCGGTGCGGTGGACATTGATGCAAAGTCGAATCGGCCGCGGATAACCAGAGATATCTGATGGAAACTAACCGTGGTGCTTTTTTGCTCGTCTCAGAGGGCTCAGGAACTTATCGCCGTGGGCCAGGCTCCCGCCGCCCTGAATGTCCTTCACGAACATGTCACCTCCAAGAGGACGCGCAGTACCCCCATCGTCTCGCTGGAACCGGTTATGCTACTTTTCGTCGAGCTGTGTGTGGATCTTCGCAAGGGGAAGGCCGCCAAGGATGGATTGTATCAGTATAAGAACATCGCCCAGAACACAAATGTGGCAACGATCGAGGTACGCACATAATGAATGGTTTGAAATGGAAGGGGGTTATCTCCGCAGGGTAGAAGCTTACAGGTTGTGTGTGCATGCAGGTCGTCCTGAAGAAGTTCATTGAACTCGCCGAAAAGAAGGTGACCGAGGCTCAAGCCAAGGCCGACGAGATCCAGTCTTCCTTGGAATCCGCCGCTCCCTCGACCAATGTGGACGACTTGGAGGCAATCGAAACCCCCGAGACCATCCTTCTCGCTACTGTTTCCGGTGAGCAGTCCCGCGATCGTACCGACCGCGCTGTCGTGACCCCATGGCTCAAGTTCCTCTGGGAGACCTACCGGACCGTTCTGGAGATCCTGAAGAACAACGCTCGTCTCGAGGTGATGTACCAGACGACCGCCCTCCAGGCCTTCCAGTTCTGCTTGAAGTACACCCGCAAGACGGAATTCCGCAGGCTCTGTGAGCTCCTCCGGAACCATGTGCAGAACGCTGCCAAGTACTCCACTCAGATGCACGCAATCAACCTCAGCGATGCGGACACTCTCCAGCGCCATCTGGACACCCGTTTCCAGCAGCTGAATGTGGCCGTTGAGTTGGAACTTTGGCAGGAGGCCTTCCGCAGCATTGAGGATATCCACACTCTTCTGAGCCTCAGCAAGCGCCCGGCCAAGAACGTCATGATGGCCAACTACTACGAGAAGCTGGCTCGCATTTTCCTGGTCAGCGAGAACTACCTTTTCCACGCCGCCGCCTGGAGCCGCTACTACAACCTCCTCCGCCAGTCCGCCGCCACCCTCGCTAGCGGCCAGGGCACCAAAAAGGACAATCCTTCCGTTACCGAGGCCGACATGACCAAGGCTGCCTCCTTCGTCCTCCTGTCTGCTCTTGCCATCCCCGTCATCAGCACCTCTCGTTCCCGTGGTGCTTTGGTTGATGTGGATGAGGTCCGCAAGAACAAGAACACTCGTCTCACCAACCTCCTGGGCATGAACCAGCCTCCCACTCGTGCCGTTCTCTTCAAGGATGCGCTGAACAAGGGTCTGCTGAAACGTGCCCGGCCCGAGATTCGTGACCTTTTCAACATCCTGGAGGTCGACTTCCACCCCCTTTCCATTTGCAAGAAGATCACCCCTATCCTCAAGCAGATCGGCGCTGATCCCGAGATGGAGAAGTACGTCGTGCCTTTGCAGCAGGTCATCCTGACCCGTCTCTTCCAGCAGCTGTCTCAGGTCTATGAGTCGGTCGAGCTGAAATTCGTGTACGAGCTGGCCCAGTTCCCCGACCCCTTCCAGGTCACCCCTGCTATGATCGAGAAGTTCATCATGAACGGCTGCAAGAAGGGTGATCTTGCTATTCGTGTGGACCACACCTCGGGCGTCCTTACCTTCGATACCGATGTGTTCTCTTCTGCCAAGGCCCTCCACGCCGGCAGTGCTGCTGGATCTGCGGAGAGCGAGATCGGCTCGGTGCAGCGCCTGCAGAACACCCCCGCTGAAATCGCTCGCCTGCAGCTCACCCGTCTGGCTAAGACCTTACATGTTTCGTGCATGTACGTTGACCCCTCGTACAACGAGGCTCGCCTGCAGGCCAAGCAGGCGGCTCAAGCTCGCGCCGCGGCCGGTGCTGCCAAGGAGCACGAGGACACTCTGGCCCGCCGTGTCATCATCGACAAGAAGAAGGAGGCCGCCACTGACGCTCTGCAGCGCAAGCAGAGGGAGGAGGAGAATCGCAAGCGCATCCGTACTCAGCAGCTCCAGGAGGCTGAGAAGCAGCGTCTGCTGGATGAGCAACGCGAGCGCGAGAAGAAGCGCATTCAGGATGAGCAGAACCGCATCCGCGAGCAGGAACTGAAGAAACAGATTGAGGAGTTGAAGAGCGGAGTGAAGGGCATTGACCTCAGCGAGGTGGATCTGAAGGACCTCGATGCTAACCGTCTCCGGGCGATGAAGCTTGCTCAGCTTGAGAAGGAGAAGAACGACCTCAACGACCGTATTCGCACCACTGGCAAGCGTATCGACCATCTGGAGCGTGCTTTCCGTCGCGAAGAGTTGAAGCACATCCCTGCCGACTATGAGGCACAGAAGAAGCACGATATGGAGATCTACGAGGCTACCAAGGCTGAGACCCTGAAGGAGGCCGAAGATAAGCACAAGGAGGCAGTTGCTCTCAAGCATCGTCTCAGCCGTCTGGTGCCTCATTTCAACAGTTTCCGCAAGGATGTATCCGAGAAGCGTCATGAGGAATTCGAAAGGCGCCGCAAGGCTGCCGAGAGAGATTTCGAGGCTAAGAAGAAGCAGCGTATCAAGGAGGTGCAAGACCGTAGGCGTCGTGAGAAGGCTGAGCGGGAGGAAGCTGAGCGCCAGAGGAAGGAGGAAGAGGAACGTCTTCAGCGCGAGGAGGAGGAGCGACTTGCCAAGGAAGCAGAGCGCAGACGTGTTCTGGCCGAGGAGAAGGCCAAGCGCGAAGAGGAGAGACAGTGAGTTTTTGACCCCTGTGGCTTATTCGTCGACGTTGGGAAAGTTTTGCTAACCTCGTTTATAGGAAACTCGATGAGATTGCCCTTAGACAGAAGCAGCGCGAAGAGGAAGCCGAAGCCCGTCGTGCTGCAGGCCGGAGACCCGGTACAGAGCCCAGCCGTGCCGAGCCTGAACGTACTGCTCCTCGTCTTAACCTGGCTCCTCGTACCAGTGGTGCTCCTAGCTGGAGAGACCGCCAGGCCGCTAAGGAGTCCAGCGGTGCTGCTCCTGAGCCCGCTAAGGAAGAGCCTCCCCGCAAGACCGGTGGTTACGTGCCTCCTCATCTCCGCTCTGGCGCTGCAGCTTCCCCCGCTGCTCCTCCCGCTTCTAACGGCGCTGCACCATCCCGCTATGTCCCTCCTTCTGCTCGCGACTCTGGTTCCTCCACTCCCCCCTCCCGTACGCAAGCCCCCGCTACTACTACTTCTGAGGAGCCTAAGAGCAGTGGAAAGTGGGTGCCTCGGTGGAAGCAGCAAGGCCAGTAAATAATTCACGTTGTTTGAAAAGTTTCTTGGAATGTTGAAAGGGTGTGTTGCTTTTACATTTCTTCCTCCTATATCTCTCTTACCCTCATATTGGCATTGTCTTCTACGGTATCCACTTCTTATATTGTTTCTATGATGATCGCTGAGGCTCCAGGGACATCTTTAATTTGGTCCCCTAAATAGTCTCCATGCTCGCCAAATGCATTATGTTCCATAAAAATGAAGGTCCCTCTTCCCCCACTTCTGATATCCGACAACTATTTGGATGGATACTGTAGCAGCTATGAGTCTCCTTCTTTCACCGTATATGATTATTCATTTTCCGTTCTCTCTTTTTTGAAGTCTTTGTTCCATGGATAATGGTGGCGTACTTCGTATGATGTCTCTGGACGGATTTCACTTGAGCCTATTACGTGCCTTCTTTTATAGAGTATAGTCCTTCTGTGTTCGGGAATCTTCAGGAGAGGTATTCATGTTCTACGTAGTCAAGCTAAGTACGGTGACAATAGTGCCCTGGGAAAGAAATGTACCCCCTGATTGTTAATAGTTGTGTAACTTCATGGCATTCTTATTTTATCTGATTCACACCTTTTGAACTCCGTACTGTACAAATCAAAGAAATTAACAAGAAGCAAGAAAATGGCAAAAGCCGTGCAAGAGTATATCTCGACCTGCGAAGAGAAAGGACAAAGAAGATAGGATAAATAAGGAAGGCGGATCTAATGAGGTTGGAGAGGGTGGTTGTTAAGTGATCCGAATAAATGAGATAGATAAGGTTGTGTGTATGTATGTATGTCTCACACTGGATTTAGGCATTGAGAATATAGGTCAAAACAAAGAAAATAAGTGCACGACGGGAATGAAGATCTATATACTTAGAAAAGGGAAAGTGAAAAGTAAAAAGGGGGTATGTCGCAGCCTCTACTATCTCGCAGATAATTCATGTGGCGAAGAGTTTTTATCGTGAGGTTTTTCAACTGTGGTAGAAATTCCCTTTTGTCGAAGGGGAGAAAGGACGACGAACAAGTCATGAGTTGGTTCAAGCGACGGCAGCGGCGGCTTCTGCGCCAGCAGCCCCAAAGAGTCTTTCTCTCCACTCCCCGCACACGGCTTCGAAGCCGCTGACGACGTCTCCGCAGACGCGTCCGGCTTCCCGGTCTCGCAGACGGCGATCCCAATCGCCTTTTTCAATCCACCGGGTGCCCTCTTCACGACCTTCTTCTTCACGGCGAAGTTCGGCAACCAGTTCGCGCGCAGATCGCAGTCTTCGGGAGGCAGTGGCTGTCAGCTGACGTGATTCGTAAAGCGTATCGCTCAAGCTTTGTAAAGAGAGCGTGATTTCGGACGTTTGGGATACGAGTGATTGGAGAGAAAAGAGCGGGTCCAGGGCAGAGTGAGAGGGTGTTGCGGGTCTTGAAGAATGACGGGACTGTCCCGGCAAAGGATAAGGAAGGTTGGGTAAGAGCTCGTCGTCGATTAGAGGGACCAGGGAATCTATGGCATCTGTGGAAAGGAGGGGGAAAGGGGAGAAAAGGAGAGGGTGGGTGAGTGTTTGTAGAGTCCGAGTTTGGTGGGTGAGATGTGAAGTAATGGAAGAGTGTGCTGTGATAAGTCTGCACAGAGAGGTACGGATCAGTAAAGCACATCTCTTGACAGCGTAACAGCCTTAACGATGAGGAACCATACCTCATGGCATTGTTCTCGATGCCACTTTGACCACCAAGATCCCGGAGTGCCTCAACCACCCGAGCAATGACATGATCGTTCTCGCTCCCATTGTTTTCAATACCCCGCCGAGCTAAGCTTTCGATCTCCGCCATCTGCATCTCCAGACTTGGCGATATGTCCGCAGCCTCCTCCAGGTCCGAGTCATTGCCGTAGTCCGAACCGTCATACTGCGATTCGTGTCGGCGATGTCGATGGCCACCATTACGGGTCTTGGGCCTTGGAGGGTGTAGGGAAGCACGCTCGGACGAATACCCCGACGAAGGGGTCCTCGTACCCATGTGATAGCCATCCTCGGAGTCGCTGCGGTCCATAGGTTGTGAACCCACGGGGATATGTTCGATCTCCTGCCCAGACGCATACCCATAGCCACCCTCTTCCTGCTCCCAGGCATCAGCTAGCTCGTCTGCAAGGTTTCCCAAACCACCCCCGCCCATATCCGCAGCACCTCCAAAGTCACCCGACATCCTGAGAGATCCGTTTAGGCTTTGCGCATGGTGTCTACGGGCCGGAGACGAAGGGCCTGAAAAGCGAGGGGATTGAGGCGACCTTGGAGGACTTTGAGAGAATCCATTTGGAGCATAAGTGCCCGGAGAGATGAGATCAAAGTCGATGCTGGATTGACTCTGATTATGGCGGTGAGACAGCCTCAGGGGAGATGGTGGAATGGACGGCATGATTCATACACAGCTAGATGATGGGGGAGAAAGGGGGCAAACAAAAGAGGAAGAAGAGAGTATTCAAAGGAGAAAAGAATGACAGGTTGCACGAGTTAATATGGAGGAGGATTTCAGCGGTTGAGATGGAAGCTGCAAGGGTGCGGAAGGTGACAAGGGGGGGGGGGCGGAGGTGGGAAAGTAAAAAAGATCAATGTCAACAATGCACTGTCGGTCGCATCGCCAGGACGCTCATATACGAAGGAAAGGCTGAATTTAAGCTCTGCACATCAAATCAGTCAAGAAGTTTACTGGCGATAAAGATGTAAAGGAAGGGAATGTATGGTAAGACTGAGAAAGGGAATAAAGGAAGCGTTGGATAAATCCAATCCGTCCAAATCAGCGGCATTTTCCCGTGACCGCCGAAGCCCCAATTGGTTTCTTTCCCCACGCCGGGGCTTCAATTCAGTAACTTATCCCTTAACGGACGATTCACAACCATAGCTCTCGTTTCCCAGCTTCCTATTGTTCTCTACTATATCGCTATTAACTACTTTTATTCATTCATTCCTACATTCCTACTCTCTGGCTTATATTCAACTCCGACGGCATCACAATGAGCTCCATCCGGCGCATGTCCCCTACGGACTTGCTCTCCCTCAACCTGACAAACCTCGACCCATTAACGGAGAACTATGACCTGGGTTTCTACCTCAATTACCTTATGCGGTGGCCGTCTCTCTTCAGTACCATCCAAGATCGCCAGGAAGGCATTGTCGGCTACAGTACGTGGGAATATCACCTTGAGATTTAGAAACTAGCCCCACTACCCATTAATCGCATATGCATGTCGCTAACGTGGCGCCACGCCATTCAACCCACAGTCATGGGAAAGCTCGAAGAACAACACCCGTCCATGCGTCACTCCGAACACTACACTCCCTGGCATGGCCACATCACCGTCTTGACCGTTGCGCCCGCATGGCGCCGACTTGGCCACGCTCGCCGTCTCACCGAGCGCCTAGAGCGCGGGTCCGACATCAACGACGCATGGTTCGTCGATCTGTACGTTCGCGCAGGGAATAAAATAGCGGTGGATATGTATAAGGGCATGGGGTGAGTGTCCTGTTTACTACTCAAGGTTTCACGCCGCCGAGGTTAGATCGATGGCTGACGAGGGAACGTGCAACAGGTACTCGGTCTTCCGGCGGGTAGTCAATTACTATAGTGATGATCCGACGGGGATGTCTGCTTCAGGTGAAGACGCTTTTGATATGCGAAAGCCGTGTACGCGGGACAAGAATTTACAGCATGTACGGGAGAAAGGGGAGGATTTCCTTGTTAGCCCGGAGGATGTTTCGTAGAGGTTATGATCGGTTTCGATGTGTTGCGTAGGTGTGCATGCATCTTAAAAGCTCGATTTATCTGTTAGCATTTAGGTGTTTCGGTGTTGTTTCTTTCTTTTCTTTTTTCGTCTCTTTCCTGAGAGTTCTTATTCATCTGTCATCGCTTCTTGCTCTATTAGATTTAGTCGGTGTAAATGAACATGGAACGAAAAGAATTTCCGCAAGCGGTACATATGCTTTAGGGGGGTCTCTGGTCATTTATCTGATTAATATCTTTGTAGCGCTATGTGAACTAAAAGTCTAGTCTATCTATCGAAAATTAGATTATATGCACATTCAAATACCAGTGTCGGTGAAAGTATACAACTTTTTTTAGAGCCTAAAAAGCCAGTCGCCGGGCACAATGCAATGGTTTCGTGTGGTAGGATATCGTTGGGTCATTCCACGCGGCTTAACTCTCAGCGTCCTGTTATGGATCGACGATGCGGTAAGCGTTCAGGATAGATGCTGTTTGAAGGATGGGCCTCATGAAGAAGCAACATCAGAGCCCTGGTCACGGTCATCTTCTCGGTTTTGTGTACGTGAAGATACACAAAGCCCGAGAAGGGACGTTGATGGCTCTGTCCTAAAACGACGATTCCTTTTGGCTAATAAAACTTGTCCCTTATAACAGGGAGGGTATAAGTCTGGTAGGAAGGTATGTGCTGCGCGAGTTCAGGCCTTGACAGAAAGTTCGAATCCGGTACGAGACAGTCTCAGTGCGGCAAAAATGGAGGCAGCTGTGATGAGACAGCAAGCAGTGAAAAGTTGAACACCAAGATAACTGTGGGTGCTATCCAGGATTGCACCGCCAATGGGCGTTCCGATTAACAGTCCAATTGACGTGGTCGAGAAGACCATTCCCAAGCGTGTTCCCAGGTTGCGGATGTCTTTAGTCATGCTGGCCATGACCACTGGGGGCAGCGAAACAAACCCTCCAGAGGTGAGACCATAGAGAATGGCCAAGATAATGATGCCAGGGACATTGTGCACGCCAATCCAAGCGAAGGCGAGAATTGCGGTGGCGGTAGCGGCGGGAGCGAGCATGTTCAAAGGGCCAGTATGATCGGCGACAAAATTAGGAAAGATTCGCCCAAAGGTGGACCCGGCGTTCAGCATCGCAAGAAGGTAGAAACCTAGGTTGGAATCGACAATCCCGGTTTGGATTGCGTAGGACTGGACGTAGAACAAGAAGTTGTAAAAACCTAAGAAACCCATGAACATAGCGACGGAAAACATGACGAATTGCGGTTCCTTGTACGCGGAGAGCTGAAGTAGTTTACGCTTCTCTTGCGGTTGGAAGCGCATTCGCATGATGCAACAGGAAATACAGCAAGTCCCGAAACAAAGGAATCCTACTGCACGAGTTGCCCATGCGAACCCGACCTTCTGCTGTAGCTGGTTGAACATAATCGGGTAGACTACACCACCAATGCTACTTCCTGATGCAGCCAATCCATTGGCTAGACCTCTTCGCTTCCTGAAGTACTGGGGCAGGATTGCAACAGAGGGAACGAACAGACAGCCGGCCGAGAGACCAATAACAACCCCCTGGGCGAGAATTAGGTGCCAGAACTGAGAGGAGATACTAGTCATCATTAGGCCAAACGGCAGTCCAAAGGTTCCAAAGGTGATAAGACCACGGAAATAGCCTGCGTCGAACAAGGGACCAGTTACCACTCCGAAAAGCATGAGAAGGAATGACTGCAATGACCCAATCCATGCAATAGAGTCTGATGACATGCCAGACAGGAAAGTCTGCTCGTAGTATGTTTGGAAAGCGCCCCACGTGTTGATGACACCCCTAAAGCATGAAGAAGGTTGGTTAGAAAGTCTAGCTCTCAACTAAAGAACTTTAGCGACACCAAAGAGGATCACACATACCAAGAGTTGAAGAACAGGAAGAAGGAGCCAAACACTTGCAACCAGGTAGTTAGTCCTGTGTCAAAGGGCGGCTCTTCTGAGGGTTTCTCCGCAGATGAAGAGTCCGAGAGATCGCACGATTGTTCGCTATCATTTTGAAGATTGTCAACGGCTTGAGGATCCGCGATAATCTTCTCTTCGATATCAGCATTCATTCCCATCTTGACCGTGGCCCGAATGTGGTCAGACGGTCTTTTCTGCGATAGCAGAAAACGTACAAAACCAAAGATTATAGGGACAGGGCTAGGATAAGACACGCACAAAGACGCCGTGGCCAAGTTGGAGAAGATGCTGCTTAAAAAGGCCTGGACCACTAATAATAGCCAAATAAAGCCAAGAGAAGAGAAGAGGAAACTACAGTGGCCTGAGACGGAAAAGCGGAGATTTATAGATTGGCATTACGATTTCTCAGCGCCTGGGCTTTGTCTCAACGGGCCGATAAAGAGGCCAAGCTCGTGGATATGGTAGACCAGAGTTGGTGGAGCCTCTCGGGGAAGATGGTCCACTATCACGGGACCCATTCTGTGAAAAAAAAGAAAAAAAACTTTTGAAAGAGTAGCCTAGTATAGAGAATTTCGTATATGACCCATCCGTGGAATGTACGGCTAACGAGTGGGTTACCAAGTACGCCTTGTGGTGCATTGCCGAAGTGAATTGCCATATAGATGTATCGACTGCACCGCTACCCCAACCAATTTGAATGCCCAATATTGTGACAGTCAAAGACATAGAATTGGATTAGAGCTGTGCACCATGTATCCATGTAGAAGGCCAATCGTTATTTCGTATCATTGGTTCAGGGGGGCCATGGTTAAAACGTTTAGTCGCTTAGTGTGACGAGTTGCCGATTATCCAGCGGGGAACAGGGACTAAATTATTAATCCAGGTTGCATCTTAGCGGAATTATTCCAGGGTCGATGACTTGATCTTGATAATCAATTAGCTTAGTCTCCAAACCAAATATTTCTCCCGAAAAAAAAGAGGCAAACGAAATGCATGTCTTCTTTTCCCTGAGTCACGACTCATGGTCGGGTGGGTCTCCGTTGCGGAGTCTTCGTCAAACTTCGAGCAATAGTACCAGACAAGCCCTAAGGCTTCATGTGGGGGTGAATAAATGCGACCTTATCCATTTATATCTGCACGTAAACACCCTTGTCCGTCTGCAACCAGGGACCGGCGTATGAAAAGCAGAGATGTAACGAGCTCCAACTATCAGGATCTGTTGATCGTCTCTTATCGTGTCTTTGCACCGTTTGACACGGTCCGGCCCCGGAAAAACCCCATCCCGCGGCAGACCCTAATTGTACTACGACTGACTTGACTTGATTCCTCCATATACGACTCTTCTACCTTTCTATGCCTAGCTCGATGTCTCCACTTCATTTTCACTAGGGAAATCTTATTGAGCTTGGCCCTGCATCTTGAGCTGCAGAGTAAGAACTAGTCGTTGACTGTGACTGCAGTGACATCAACTCTGTAAACCGAAACGTGCTGGGGACACTAGATCAAGAGGAACGTCGCATATTGCAGGCAGAGAACCTGTCAGTAATCGGGTGTAGTTTACGGAAACTGTAAAGAAATAGGAATCTATAATGCTCTCCGGAGCTTCACATTGACCCTCGTTAGAAACATTCAACCACTCAGGTCGAAATCACCTATATCAGAAGAGGCGGAGAAGTTGATATGTACTCCTCAGTGAACACCCAAACGGCTTGCCGTGACTCGGAGATGTAGGAAACTGGTAGGACGAGCATTGTATTGTTTGGAAATACCGCTGGCCAAGAGGGCACAGGAATAAGTAGCAGTAGTTGTGGGATACTCGTGAATATAGCAGAATGGTCATCATTTATCCGGAAAATAAGTATGAACGTGTCTAAAGATTATTTCATAGTAGCATGGTAGGATCCTGTTGAAAGTAACAGCGTCAACTTCAATACTATTTTCTCCTTATTTGAAAGACTGTACTGCGTTATTGTTTTTGAGGATTTTTTTTGCCCTTCCCAGTGACCCCAGGCTGGCTAGCCATTTTGGTCCGCTTTCCTACTCCCAAACTCCAAACGCTATGCTGCACACAAGGAATGAAAGAAGTAACGTACATAGAAACAGAAAGAGCCCAATTTTCAGTACACAGCCACCCATTCCATCTTTTTATCTAGAGAAGTTCTTCGCATGTCCAGTCCTCGTACCTAAATCGTGAAAATGATTGTCAGACTTGACTCGGGGTCCACTGTGGACCAAGAGAATCACTTACCATCCGTCAGGCAGATACCTCCTCACAATTAGAGGAATTTTCTTCTGGTTCAGCTCCTTCATAGCGATCTGCAAGGGATCCGTTTCGCCTTCGAGGTCCACAAGCACAGGAGCGTTCATACTGATACCAAGTCAGAAACAAGGCCCACGATTCAAGGTATACCAATCCATAACCCACCTGATCTGCAAGGCTCGGGTTCCCAGAACACGCGCTCTCTCATACTTGGTCATGTATGGGGTCGTCGTGCGCTGATCGTTTGGCACTTTCCTTTCCCGCACCTGTTCCATCACCTTTCCTGAGTACCCGGCGCTAGGATCGCCCGAAACAACAACGCGGTCTCCATTGACTGCGGGGGTGTAGGTATCCTCTCCATATGTTTCTGCGCCTTCCACGGCCTCAATATCCTCGGGATTCAAGAAGTCCTCGGGTTCATGTTCGTCGTAGTCCTGACCGGGCTCGAAGTCATAGCTAGAGAAGTGTCAAATCAGAAAATCCTCTATTGAAACATAGCTACCGGCAAAGAGGGCATGTGTGGCGCTTTTGCTTCTCTTTACGATAGCTGTAGCTTGCTGTGAAAAAATGGCTTCTTACTTGTCCTCATCACCGTGATCGCCGTAGTCAGACATTGTGTCGGTTTAGAAGCAAGTAAATTGAAAAGAAACGGAAATTGCCACACAAGCGAATGAATAGCCAACACGGAGTCCCGGGCGATCTGGGGCGAAACGATGGGTGTTGCGACGGAGCTTCCGAGAGAAGAATTCGATATCGCGACTTGAAGGCGGCGGAAAAAGTTCCTTAGAGACTAGCCCCTTTGCGGCAACTATACTCACCGCTTTGCCATCACTTTCCGGCAAAATCAAACGATAAGCCATCCTAAATAAAATTTATCATTTGTTTTCACCTGTCGCGTTTTTGTGCAAAAGCCTTGTCTTAAATGGGATTTAAATTCCATAGGCAACTGTCTAGTGCTTCTTGAGCTATGGGCTTAAAAAGAAAGGCCTCAGAAGGCCTCACAACCCCGAAAAAGATCCTTAAGCAGTCGGCACTGGACTATACCGGTAAGGAAGCTCCCTTGGGGTTTTGAGAATCATCAAAGAAAAACTAAACATTGTTCAATGGATATAGACCCTATATACGAGGAAGCCCATTCTGATGCCGACTATGTATCGTCTGATGAAGGCAGTGTAAATAGTGATAGTCTACATGAGACCCCAGCCACTCCCATCTCCACAATCTCAGCCAGGTATCCATCCGAGCTGAAAACTCACCGCTGCCCTTTCGACGGATGCACAAAGGCTTTCAATCGCCCAGCGCGGCTCCAGGAACACCTTCGTTCGCATAATAATGAAAGGCTTTTTAAATGTGCTCACGATGGCTGCGATAAGACTTTTTTGCGAGCTTCACATCTGAACCATCATGTGAAAAGTGCTCACACTGGAGTCCGAGATTATGTATGTGATCGACCGGGATGTGGGAAGAGCTTTGTAACTGGGTCACGTCTTCGTCGACACTTGGCTGCCCATGATGGGAAAGAAAAGTACCGTTGTACGGAATATCCGCCTTGTGATGAAACTTTCAGGAAGCATTCAACTCTCCAGAAACATATAGCAACTGTTCATTTGAACGAAAAGCCATTCCAATGCCCGCATGTCGATCCAGAAACTGGACAGAGATGCTCAATGGCCTTTGACACTGCTGGCCACCTCCGAGCCCATGAGAGCAGACTTCACACAGAGAAACGATTCAGCTGCGCGGAGTGCTCTCAGCGTATGGAAGTAACAGACACGGTCTCGGAGGATCCCTCAACTAGCCTGTCTTCAGTCACTTTCCCCACCTATGCTCTTCTTCAGGCTCACATTAAAACCGCTCATCCTCCACAATGCCCTAGCTGTTCAATCACATGCTCGACAGCCCGGGAACTACGTCGGCATCTCGAAGTCGCACACGGTGACGTGAGTCTCGAAGAACGGAAGATATTTCCATGCGTAGTCCCCGGGTGTTACCGAAGCTTCACAAAAAAAGGGAACCTGACGGTCCACATCCGAACCGTACATCAAGGAGAGAAGCGATTCGTCTGCGGTGAGGTAGATCTCTCAAATTCGAAAAAGGTGGTAGGGTGGAATGGCGATGGATGTGGGAAAAGATACGGAAGCAAACTTGCCCTGGAAGAACACATTCGCACCGCACACCTTGGATTTCTAAACGCTAAAGCTGAACGACGACAACGTCTCGGTTTGGGTAAAGGCCAACAGAATGCGCAAAGTAAATCCACCGGCATGTCAGCATTAGCGGCTCTAACGGGTGAGGGCTATGCCGAGGAAACAGGCCGCCACATCGCATGTTTCTTTGAAACTTGCCCCCATCGCTTTCACCGCAATTACGATCTATGGGTACATATGGGTAGCAAACACGGCTGTACAGAGGATGAGATCCGCGATATGTTCATGCAGCGAGCATTATTGGCTGAAGATCCAGAACCACTTACCGGTGACATTCTTGGAATCTACGGCCTCGAGTTTGACAACGGCGACCCCTCCTACGAACCGTATATACTAGGCGAAGCCTCTGGCATTAGCGCAGACCTGAATGCGAGTGACAACAATACCTTCGCAGACCTGAACTCGACAGATTACCCCGGTACCTCGGAATTTGATTCTAATTTCATGATGCAAGATGTTGGTTCGAAGATACCAAATGATGACGACATAGCAATGATTGACCCTTTACTGGCATATAATATGATGGACGACGCATAGAGGAACTCCTTGCAATAATTCCGGGTCGCCGCTGATTGGCAATGCAATATTTATTATGTTTTCCCCTTTTTTCTTTCCTTTTTCTTTTTAGCCTAGTGCGCATTTGATACCACAAAAGTACCTCGCAGAATAGTTTAGATAATGAAGTATATGCCACTCTATCCCTCAAAACATGACCCCGGTATAGTTACTTTAGGTCATAGAGAATCGCATGACATTGCTCATCTTATTATTCCCGCAAAATTTGCACAGCACCCAGTTCTCGATTTCCAAATCTCAAGCAAACAGATATCGTACGGGAACATCACCTTGTAACGACCATCAGCATAAATCCAATATGACCCCGCAGAAGAGAGCTTTCATACCTTTCTTCTGAACTCAAAGGGAGCCATGAAAGGAAAGAAACAGATGAGAAACGAGTCCTTGCAAAGCTGAAAAAGACATCAAAGAAACAGAGGGGCGAGGAAAATGCTAAAATGCATAAGGGGTTCTCTAGTCTAGTGGGATGTCTTCCAGTTCATTGGGGATTTAGTATGGTGATAGTATGGGGTTCTTAATAGGAGCATGTGCTGCTCTCCTAACGGGACGGACAGTTGGCACTGTTCTAGCCGCTGGGGAGCAGACAAATCTGGGAATCTGGGAATCTTGTGAAATGCTGATAGATATGGGATGGAGTGGAGAGTGTTTTGAGGAGAATAGGTAAAGGGGTGAGGCATAAACAGAAGCAAAGATAAACAAAACTAGGAAAGCTGTGGTAGCAACCCGGGGGCGAATTAAAATCATTCGTGAACCATTATCCATGACTGAATCTCAAGAGGACCAAGCTCGAGAAGTACTATTCTTTCCCAATGTTTTTCCCCGCACTTTTCCCTTCTCTTCTTTCCAAATTTGCAGCATTGTATATTGTACTCATTAACAGCCGAGTTAAGAACTGTGACGTATCGGAGCCGCATCACAATGACCACCAGTTTGGACTCTGTGAAGCACTATGTCTTCAGGTCGAGGACCGAAATCTATTTAGTTTTTCTCCAAGGCGGTTCGTTTAATGGCTTGGGTTAGAGTAGAGACTCTAGTTCTAGTTCCAGGAAGACCCGTTGGCTCGGACGCCTTTCGCTTGTTTAAAAAGAGATGCATATCAGTTACGTGGTTCAGAGCTGGGGAGGCGTTATGTCAGTTTTAACTTACTGCCTCGCCATCGGAGTTCTGTCTGCTAATGGTGCGAACGTTCTTCGGAGGCCTGGTCCCAGCCATGGTCCCCTGGATTGCTGCAGTCTGTTCGAACGTACGCGTCTTTTTACGAAAGGAACGAGAAGGCGGGGCCGCTGCGAGCTTGAAGCTCGTATCAGGTTGCTTTAGGAAAGATACATTCTCGACAAGGTCAGCTGTCAAACTCTGGTTGGATCGCCACACATCGCCAAAGTAGTCTGGGTTGTAGCGGGATAAGGTCTCATCACGGTAAGGGAAAGGTGTAGAGCGACGCGAGCGAACTCCGTCGACCGATATTCGAATCTGAGTAAGGAGCTGCAAGTAAGAGATATAATCGTCACTGGCCACTACAGAAGGCTTGTGGATAGCGAAATGTCTGGCAACGTCGCAGAAAAGATGAACTGCAGCTAACCCTCTCGCCATGCTCAACCACAGCGCTGTCTTGAGCATCAAGTTGAGGGCAACATTGTTGGAATACTCCGATGGCCAGTGAGCCAAATCACCTGGTTCTGCTTCTTCGGTGGAGGCGCGAGGAATCTTCTGGGACGATGGTGGTAGCCATCCAGATGCGCGTGCTTTCGAGGGGTTACATCTCGCCAGATGGCTCTTGTAGTATTGGTGAAACACGGTAAGCTCGATATCAGATTCTGGGAAACCATCCCAACTCAGGGAAGCCTTGCATGCGCGGAGTCGGATATCCTTCATACTCATCATTGCGGCTCTTGCCTGTGAGACTGGGAGAGGGTTGTAGATGGTTTCTAAGCATTTTTAATTAGCCTGGTGCTTCAAGGTTGAAGGAGGCGTTTGCTTACTGTTCTCCTCGTCTGTTTTTACTGCCAACATAATGTACCGCTTAAATTCCTCAATCACTTTCACAGATGCCTCCAGTTGCTGGCACACCTTGACACTCTGAATATGTCTGGAATTCATCCAGTAGACGGGCGTAGTATTTTCCGCACTCAATGGCGCCAGTAGCTTTCTCAGCATTTCAAGCTCAGCACCAAAGAACGTCTCATCTGTAATGCTGGTGTGATCGGGATGAGTGATTGTCCAACGCCTGTAGCGCTCATGAAGCCATTTCTCCAAGTTTTCCTGAACTCCATGCATCCTGCCACAATTTTCGAGTAAAATGATCAAAAAGTGAGCGTATGAACCAGGAAACAGGCTCTCAGACAACAGTGGAAGCCCGGCCATGACTTCTCTGGGAAAGGAGCCGGGATCGAAGCCTTTGGTGAACTGATTCATCAGCTCCTCGACTTTTTTACCTTCGGCCTCGGTGATCTCCTTCGCCTTTTCGTCCGGCAATTCATGACCAGGGGCATCAAACGGAATATCAATCGCTGAGGAGTGCTTATCCTCAGAGCTCTCCGGAGATGGTGTAGAGAAGAGTCTGAGTAAATCCATGCTGCATATCAGATGAAATACTTACTAAAAGCTTCATTCACGTCTCTGCGTCGCTTTGCTATGCTGATAGAGAAACAAGTTGGAGAGCAAGGGAATGTACGAAAGCAAGAAAGAGAGTGAGCTGGGTTTAAGAGAATGATAAAGGGTTCTCAGAGAGCGTGAATACAAACTGTGGTAAGGCAAAGTTAATAAGGTAGTTGAGTTGCATACGTAGCTGTGTTGCATAGCTGGAAGAGGGACATGAATGAATGGTTGGTGGGAAAACAAACAGAAGTCAAAATGAGATCTGCAAGGTGAATGAGAAGGAATCAAGTGAATTTATTAAAGGCTCTGGTCTTGGAATAAGGCAGTAATTTTACTCCTTGACAATTGGGATAGACTGTGAATCAGACCATGCCTTCGACTTTAAAGTCTCTGTAAGGACATCTCTCTTAAAGGCAGTTATGATTAATGGACAAGCCCAATAACATAATAATCTCCTGTCACTGGACATTGTGGCAAATGGTAGAGGTAGAACGAATATCCTTTACAGAGCTGTCTATGGGAATCACTGCTACTTGCCAGCAGAAGTGGTTAGAGACAGCCTTCCTTGGTTCACTCTGGTTAAACCGTGTAGGCTAAAGCAAAAATGGGTTTTCTTTGTGTCAAAACACGGCAGTTATTCTACTTAGTAAAGTTGTCAGTTTCTATTGTCAAATGTTGGGGATCACAGGTATTCTGGGTTTGGTTTCTAATATTATCCAAGCCCAATGGTATATCAAGAATCTAGAGTTCATGTTATGTTCTGTATCTAGTTAAGAGTATCAAAAGCCAAGTTCGTACTGTTACTTAATAACTGCCTTATGAAGTCTTGATCGCGCTCTGGATTTCCTACGTAGAAGTCAAGTATTGAGTACCTAACCTACTACCCTGGTACCTACAGTACTATTAGTAGAGTAGATAGTACTGAGTACTTAGTCGTAGCTCAAAGATAAATCAGCCAATCGGTTCAGATTCCGCATATTTCCTTTTTTTTTTTTTTACGTGATACTGGAAAACTGGATAACTAATTTTATTCCAGCGCTCTCTCTCTCAAGTATCCTTTTCTCATTTGCCCAACTTGATTCAGGGTATCATATCTTCGCTGGTGTTATCAATAAACACCAGAGCCACCCCGGAAGTGTCAACTGAGCAACCACGGACACCAGAGACTGGCTTCAAAAGCATAATGAGATAAGATAAACAGATTGTGGGAGGTGTACTCTGATTTCTTGAACTGTATACCAAATATCATCGTCAGAGTTTAGCTGGCCGATTCGAAATACATTAATATGAGAAGAATACGCATTCTTCGTATCAATACCTGCAATGCATTGAGTACCAACACCATTTGCAGGTAGCCATACAATGCTCATGGTTCAACATCTTAGCGCTACAAACTTATCGCTGGTGGAAACTGCTACATAACTCCTATATTCTTTTCCGCTATCTTTCTAATGACTATACTCTGGATGACAATAATCAATAATAGTGAATACCAGGCACCTGTCGCAGCATACCCTCCATTTTGAAACTCAGGCCGCAGGGCCTTGGTGTCTGCGACACTCGTTCCTTATCGACAGATATATCACCTACTTTGCTCTATAGAACTCGCCGTGACTATTATCGATGTCGCAGGGCTTCCCCGTTTGGGAGAATATTTGGTCGACATATTCGACATATGCTCTGGTAGTGCTGAACTCTAATGGCCCCTAAGGACTAAAAATTCAAGTTGGCACCAGTCAAGGTAATATCTGACCTCAAGACAATCTATAGTACGAGGGAGAAGACAAGGGCGAACTAACTGACATAGACGTAATTCCAGGAGCCTTGCATTATGGGCGCGACACCCTTGTCCATCTGGCCCGACGGGCCAGAGTGACAGGGTGTTGGGTGTCTCGTTGAATCATGTCCCACCTTCGAACCACGCGGTACTGTAACTGTTGGTGTTTCTTGAACGAACGGTAGATATCTTTCTACACTGACACGTTTTAATGGGGAAGAAAGAACAGCGCCTAGTCGAATGGGATGCCTTACCGCTGAGAACATCTTGGTGCGTTTGTATTTGAAAAATCCCCCGCTAAAGAGTAAAACATAATCGTCTGTGTGGTGCGTAAGTAGTATATAAATAAGAATACAAGATACAGAGATATTTCAGCAGTAGTCATCAGATGCCTTGGTAAAGAAAGCTACGAGTCTCTATGTGACGGAGGGGAAATGTGAGTTAAAGCGACACAATAAAGGTGAGACAGGGGTGAGTTCCGACTGAGGACTCCGTATTTGTGCTCCATTATTCCGGAGTATCGCAATTGGGTTTCAGAATCTGAGTTCGTTGGCCCATTCAAGTGGGTCTGGTGCGTGTAACATGCACATATAGGACCTCTCTTGTTTAGAGGCACGTGGATCTTAGGGACTACAGAATAGTTGACATTTCTACTCCGTACGTCGGAGTACATAAGGCTGCTGCTTTGCACACTGGGGTCTTTGGGATGTCGCTGTGTCCCGATTTGATATAGTCAATGCGGAGTAAAACTAGGCGGGCAGGTACTGGTAGAGGGGAAATACCTCGCATATCTGATCACCATTGGAACTGGGCGACCACCTTGATACTGATTTAAAATTGCGCAATTGATGAACTGTCTATGCAGCAGGGTCTTGCATCAACCAATTAGTTCGGATTCTAACCGTAAGTAGCTTAAAATGGATCTACTGAGCATATCTCATCTATAACTTTGTCTATCCTCCATCTTGGTTGGTGGCTGAGGCGGGGTACTACCTAATAGTACTCTGTACATGGACTAACAATCAAACGATCGGAACATGCTATCGTTTGTCAATGATACAAGCTTGCGTCCTGCATGCATGGGAATAAAGCAGGGGAAAAAGAAGGATTGAAAAGCATTGAAAGGTTACGTGGTAAATATGAACGGCAGTCAACCAAGGTCGTAGGATCAAGATCCTCCACTCGCTGAGGTCATACCTGCAACGAGAGAATCCTGTTAAAGCAACGATCGCTGGCCGAAGTGCGCGTCAAACCCAACGCTCCATCCCCGGCCGGTCCGTAGGTTAAAACTGGACGGTAGGAAACCCTAGGGCTGTGGGCCATATACTTTATGTCGTCGTTGCAAGTTGCCACACTACAAACGTTGTCCATGCCGTCCATGACTTTTCCATGTCGCTCAGGTACAGTAGGTAGACTACATGCGTACTCCGTACTGTACAAAATTACCAATAGTACTTGGTACTGTATGTATGTACCGTTGGGGGAGGGTTGTCTAATCTGGTGGATGCCAAAGGAGAAAATATGGATTTATCACTGTAATCGAAATTGAATTCCAATGACTAGTCTATGGAGATACCTAGTGAATATCAATGGTGATTGACTTTCATGGTATATAGATATTCTTACCATGTGAGTTTGTCTGAGAAAATTACGCTAGAAGTACCGAAATATTCCTTGATTCCGTGGATGTGGTCAGGTACCTTATTCGAATGCGGAATTCTTTTATTTTTTATTTTTTTTCGAAATGCCGCATCTTCTCCTAACTGCTGCTTTGCCATCAAGATTCATTGCCACTCGGAGTAAAAGGGGTGAAAGGGGTATATAAAAAGGGGTCAAATACAATAGTAGCTCCGACATACTCCAATCAAGATGCCGACTTAGTATAAATAGTACTGCATAGTGTCATGTTAGTTTACTTGCAATGTAACTCTTCCAGTTTCCGAGGCACTTGGTGTTGTTGTGGCACAGAAAGGGTGTGTGGCAGTGCGATAGTACGTATGTACATGTTGTGTGCGTTTCCTACATATACAGTCCTACACCGTACCTACAGCACTCTGTACGGAGTACATTGGTTGATACCGAATACACACCCTTACCGAGAACGAACCAACAATAGCCGGGTGTCCCGTTCCCTCTCAGTGCACAGACTAGGAAGACAATAATAAAGGGTACTAAAATACTAGGTGGTCAAATTGAGCAGGGCCGCCAAGGCTACGTTGTCTCTCCTCCTCACCTGTAGAAGATCGAATGAAAAGGTAAGGCAAAGAACGGACGTAACAGGCGCCCGTACTGTGCCTAAGTTAGTTGTAGTTAGTCATGTAAGACATGCAGGTCTTGAGTTACTATATTTGGATTGTAGGTATTCTCCGTACTGTCGATTTGGGTCTTTAGGCCCGGGTTCATGGCGATAAAAAAGCCGGGGAGGTTGGCCTCTGTGAGTATGCACCGTTTAGTAGGGACGCCATATTATTGGCTAAGAACAAGTCTGGCCAGAAATAGAGGAAACTGATGGGTTCATATCAGTAGTACAGGTACCTCCGTGGACATTTGCTATCTTTTGAGTTATTGTTTTCATGTGTGGAATAGAATTCATGTGCCGCCTGATATTCTCAACTTGAAACTGAAATAAATCCAGATGCAAAAAAGTAAAGAAAAAACAAAAAAGGTGGAACTTGCAGCGTTTGCTGCTCTCATGATCCACGCCGATCTGTTTGATTCGGGGCACACCACAGGGATACTAATTTTTTTTTATTTTTTTCTTAGCCATGCGATGACGCCAGCCGCTATCTTTGGGCCGGCCAATCTATTAAAATCCAATATGAGCCTAGAACCACTCCGGTACAGTAATAAACCCGTCGTATTGGTACATACTTACATCCGTACCTGTACAGTGGTTCACTTCAACCATGCGGAATGCATGATATGATAACTTACTCTTTGCCTCTTTCTAGGTCCGGAGAAACATGGATCTGTTAACTTGAATTCCCTCATCCATTGACGTAAACGATGAATGAATTATGACTTGTTTACCCCCAATGACTCGCTAATCCAAGAAAAAGAAAAAGATCAAAACAAAGGCTTCTTCCAAACTGTTGTTCAGACCCGTTTGGTAATTGTGTTACACCTACCTCTTTAAGACCCACGTTCTTGTCTTGGGTCAGTTGGTAGGAGAAAGGTATCATCTACGTCTTCCTATTCTCTCTTCTTTGTCAATCTTGTCCTCTTCCCTCGCTACTTTCGTTCTTGTCTCTCGCTCGCTTTCTTTCCTATTCTTGATTTTCTTACATTTTCATCCCCATTTGTCTGCTCTCCTCTTCTCTACCCGCCTCTATCCGCCTGCCACAGAAAACTGAGACATCCAGGGTACAAGTGACTACAGTCAGGCGCTTGCAGTCCAACACCTTGCATTTCTCACTCGTCGCCTGTCCCAGCTCCTTGGCCGTGAACCGTCCTGATTCGCTCGTTTCGAAATCTCCAAGGGCAACTCCATGGAGTCTGTCTCTCATACCTAACTCACAAGAAGTGTTTCGGGGGCTCTGATATTTGGACGTTATCTCCGTGCGGGAGATCTAGGTTTAACACACACCTTTCTTTTCGATACTAACCTCTTCTCACTTCCGATCTTGATCACCCGACCTGAAGGTGACCCGGCTCAGCGTCATTGTCTAAACCCGTTACTGGCGCACAGTTTGACACCTTGGTAACGTGGAGATCGGTCCCTTTTGCCTTCAACTCATCTATTATACAATAGATTTCGGCATTATGGTTCGCTCGCGTGGTGAGTACTCTCTCCTGCCTAGGTATGTGAATGATGGATGGTTGACGCCCCTTGCGTTATAAGTGCTATCTTTCATATCGGCATTCGGTGGCTCGTCCCGCAAAGATCGTCCTGAACAACGTCATCGGGCATCCTCCGCTTCAGTCGCATTCAACAAGGCTCCGTCGAGAGTGGACACACCTTCTTCAGATACGCCCTCTCCGCAAGATGCTTCACCAACAGGGCTCTCGTCGAATGAACGCCGGATGTCGCGGCCTGGGTCGACCATCTTTTCGCATGATCCTCCGTTCATAGAAATTTCTCCAGATACCCCTCCGGAACTCCAACCAATCTTCACGTTCCTCAACAGCCATGCGAACAAGGTGTATCACGAAGGCTATTTTCTGAAATTGAATGATTTAGATACTCGTGAGTTTCCGCAAGTATTAATATGCTGAGTTCGCGACTGATCCATAATGACCAGATGGCCGACCTTGTTCCGATCGACAATGGGTGGAATGCTATGCCCAACTGATCGGAACTGCTCTTTCACTATACGACGCTGCTGCGCTGGACGCAGCTGGTGAAAGGGAAACTTCCCCTACCTTTATTAACTTGGCGGATGCGTCCGTTAAAGTGGTGAGCTTGAGATATTCCCTGGGCGCAGCCCAGGAGATGTTGCCTTTACTGATCATGCGACATCGTAGATCGAAACCCTACCGACCCGGAATTCGGAAACACCAATGGTGAAGAATGTTCTCAGTATTTGCTCAGCAGGTCAAAACCGATATCTTCTACATTTCGGTTCTTTCCACTCCCTCATACAATGGACTTCAGCCATTCGTTTATCCTTGTTTGAACATACCTCGCTGTATGAGGCATACACTGGTGCCATGATTGCAGGCAAAGGGAAAAGTCTCAACAATATCCGAGGTATCTTAGAACGCAATCGCTTCAAGCATGAGGACTGGGCTCGTGTAAGATTCGGTGCGGGGACGCCTTGGAGACGGTGCTGGTTTGTTATCACCCCTCCGAATGAAAAAGAATACCAAAAAGCACAGAAGTCCCTTAAGAAAAAGTCGGCTTATGACCGGGCACCTCAAATGGTCACAGGAGACATTAAGTTCTATGAGACGAAGAAAACTAAGAAAGCGAAGCCAATTGCGACTATAACCAATGCTTACAGCGCTTACGCTATTTACCCTCAGTCCAAGGAGCTGATTGATCAATCAACACTGGTTAAGATTGAAGGAGATGTCACGATTCACTCCCAGCAACAGTCAACTTCGGAAGGGTTTGTCTTTGTCATGCCAGAATCACATCCAGCTGTGTCTGGATTCGAAATGATGATTCGGTTCCTAGTACCCACCTTCGACACTTTCAACCTATACGGACGCCCGACCCGTCTAATTGCCGCTACGAATCACATTAAGAGCATCATGTTTGCTTTCCCGAAGCAGCGGCGTTATGGCTATCTAGATAGTCTCGACATCGCGTCCTTGATGCAAACTGCAGGCAGTCAGGATTGGAGTGAGGCAGAATGGAGGAAACAGTTGAAGGAGGCAACCGCACGTCGCATGGCAGCTGCTGGCAGCAGAACCAGCAGCATCTCGAGCAAACCACGTTTTCGGACGAGCCTTCCAAATCGCCACAGCAATGTCCACGCTGGACTGCGGCGCAATGAGACCTTCCCCGAGAGCTTCAATCAGTCGGCTGACGCGATTGTCCAAGACGTGCCTAGCGATGCAAATTTCTTGCCAACCTATCATGTGCGAGGTGCTTCGGATACGGCAGGGTTCTCGGCTAACAGAAAGCAGACGCACGCTCCTGTAGTCGAAAGCTCTCCATCTTCCTCCGCGCGTGATTTACTACAAGCTGGGCATGAGCGTCCCTGCCCCAATGAGTTTAACGATCAAAGTAGCTCTGACAGTGACTGGAGACAACGTTCAGAGCCCCACACAATCCCCGAGGCTGAAGCTATCGGGGAGCAGTTCCGGTTGCCTTCTCCTCCATCACCAGTCACTAATCCTCCGGCCTTTACCCATGCACCAGGGGAAATTCCTCAGGAACGGCCGCTCCCCTCGGCGGATCTGAGAAAGGCTAACAACAGAATGTCCAATGCGACTCTTGCCCAACTCGCCGCCGCTTCAGGAAAGATGAATCTGCTTGGCGCCGTGTCATTCGAAGACCAGGAGGCCAAAGAGACCGATGCTCAGAGCTCTCAAGCTCCCACCCCAACCGATTCTTACAAAGCTGGCTTTGGGATGCCGAGTGTCCCTTCCTTATTATCGGACTCGAGTGACAAGAGGGCCACCCCACAGGAGCAGGGCCCGCCAACACCCGAACACCGGGCCAGTATATTCGGTCCTCCCTTGGAAAAGCCAAATGGGGTCAACCTTCATATTGATACGTCGAAGTCAGTGAAGAGAAAGCCGCTTCCCGGTCAACAAAACAAAGATTCTACTGTATCAAGTCCCATTGAACCGAGCTTTGATGATCTGCGCCATACAGTTGATGAAGAGGCTCTGAACCGTGTGAGCTCTTATCAGCCTTCATTTCCTTCGCCCGTTAAGGAGCGCCATCAGGAGGACGAAAGCGTTTATGACGACGAGTCCACAGCCTCCCCAGACTATGCCAGTACGCATGGATCCGTGTACAGCAAACGCTCTACTAAGTCAATCCCTAAGCCGAGAATGGGTGTAATGAAGACGGTTGGAACGGAAGCTAGAAAAGATTTGGTCATCGGTGATGCTCATTACAGCGTCGACAAGCCTTCACAAAAGCACAATCCAGATATTCCCACGGTGGACTTCGGTCCAACCATGACTCTAATGCCTACTACTGGGCGTCCGACTACATCGGATACACTTAAAAAGCTTGGCCACCAAAGGAGTGACTCGGAATCCACCGAAAAACAACGATTCGCCCATCAGACAGACCGTGGCCACTCACGGTCACCAAGCCAGGATGAATTCCGCCGCAGTATGATGTGGCAACCCGGTATGGCCGCTGCACGTCCAGTCACACCTGGTCTCACACCGGAGCAGTTCGTGCAGCAGCGTGCAGCGCCCAGTCCCCCAGTCCATGTCCATCACCGAACTCCTTCTACGACTCCAACACCCCCACCGGCGCGACCCGTATCGGGTGATTGGATGGCCCACAATCGTTCTCACTCCCAAATGAGCATTGGTAGAGACACCCAGGCGCGACCCCGTTCTCGCGGCGCCAACAGCATGATCAACTATAATGATCTTTCGTCCCATCTTTCTGCTCGAGAACAGGAGCATGTTGCTCGGATGACAGGTTCCTCGTTCTTCAACATCAACAGTGGAAATCTAAAGCAGCAGCAACCGGTCAACCCCATGGGCTTAGTGGGTGCGATCGACGCACGGGAGCGTGAGAAGAAGAGTATCATGGAAGGAGCGTCCAACCAGATGGTACAGCATGCTATCGCCCAGCGTCAACAGCAGTGGCAGCAGCATCCGATGCCTCCTCCGGTCAACTCATATGGACTTCAAAGTGGCGCTCATAACAGTGTTTACAATATGCCGGCAGCGAGTCATACTTGGGATGCTCTCAATCAACCCTACCGACCTGAGGAGCCTCGACGCCAGTCCTGGTATGGTCAATTCCAAACCCAGCAGCCTCAAGTTTATCAGCAAAGCCAATATTTCAGCCAGCAACCTGGTCATTTGGCCAATGCTAACACAATGCATTAATTGATTCCCCTCCTTCGTCACCTTTTCACTCTAGTACTTTCTTTCAAGTTTAGCATTTTGACACCATCTCGTTTGTACCTTTTGATCACAGTCATGAACTGTCGCTGAAATTTCTTTGTTTTATGTTACCCCTTTCATCTCTGTTATTCTTTCTCTTTTCTTCCCCACTTTATGACGCATCCTAGAGCTAGACTTTCAGATCTCCCTCCTGCCTGGAAAGAGTTGCTGTTTGTTCCTTCGTCGGTTTTTCACAGCAGTCGCATCGTGCATTTAACGGAGTTGTGAGAATGGGTCTGATGCTTGGGTTCTTGCTTCGTTCACAAACCAGTTATTCCTTGTTGATTAGCGATTTCCCCATGCGATGAAAGGTTGACCTTGAGAAGGATTATTACTATCTTTATTTGTTATCTTATTTTGCTAACTGTGTGCATGTAAATATGGGCATATATCATTTTCAAGCGATCAGAATGCGGATAGGCAGTGAATCTCTACTGAAAGCATCCTTGTCAAAGTGATTAGCGTCTTCAAAAATGTCTCATCCCAGTACGCCTCGTAAGTAGAGGAAGAGTCATGGGAGAAACAAGGAGACGAGGGAACATTCTTCTGCGTCTGTGTCAAGAGGGCGCGTATAGTAGCAGTGGAAGAGAATTCCCGGATTCTGACTGAATCTATAGACTGGTTAGAGTGTTTTAGTTCGCCTTGTTTGGCCTAGGAATTGCTGAGAGTCACTATAGAACAGTCTTTCCAAGATTTGCGAATGTGCATATGAGCACCGAAAGACTTGAGATATAAGGGTGCCAAAAACACCAAACACTTGCTGCTAAGTATATCAAAAAATATGCACATGTACCCAAACGCCTTGACTGCCGAATTTGCCCTCCAGAACCACACCCCCTCCTGTTCTACTGCTCTGCTTTGACCATCAATGTGCTTATAGCCTCTATGAATATTTGTATTGAAATCTTTTTGTTTCCCTATTTTCCTTTCGAAGGGTCAATTCCTCGTCGTAGAACCCCACATTTAATTCGAATGGAGCTTCTTGACCTTGAGAACACCCTCGTACAGGCCACGGTCTATGGCTGCTGCGACAGTAAGAGTACCACCGATGATAGCGCAGACTCCAGTCAAGAACCCAGTGAACGTCTTGGGCCGCGCCTCCTTGTTAATTACTTTCATGGGGGAGATATCATAGTTGAAAAAGACGCCGGGGATGCCATTTGCAGCATGCAGACGTTCCTTGTGGCCTTCGTCACCGGCGTCCCCGCCTCTCAGAGAACGCTTGTGCGAGGTCACAGAATATTGATGCGTCTCGATGCTGCTTTGAGAGCCATAGGCGATTCCATGGGTACCGAGCGGGGAATCTTCGTAGGCGCTGTGGACAGACGAGGAGAACAACGGATCCCAGCCAAGTGGCAGGTAGGAAGTCGAGACAACCTTGACGAAGTACATAAAGTTAAATGCAGGATCATTGGTCTCTTGCTGGGTGTTGTCGAGCGGGTTGGTGTGGTGGTGGTCAGTCCACTGCCAGCGATCCGACAGTTCATCTGGAAGCTGAGGGCCAAACCGGAGCTGGTGAATGATATGGGTCATGGTGTGTTTCTCTGCATCGGGGAGGCCGCCCTCGAAGAAATTCTCAAGATCATGAACGTGGACGTTTCCACTGGTGAAGCTCCGACCAGGAGCAATGTGGAAGTTTCCGACTACTTTGTTCACGCGGAGAACACCCTCCAGGCGGCAGCCCTCTCGGCGCTGGGCGTCGAGACGTTGCGCATAACCTTCGCGTTCACATTGTTCAATGTTTTCACCCTTTCCGAAAGCCCATTGTTGTTGAGCATAGGCCTCTCGGACTTCCTCACAAGTGTTACAGCACCGCTTCTCGCCAGAGGGAGAGGGGACTCCGCCACAATCGCCACAATAATTGGGGTCGAGATGCTTCGCAGCCTCGCCCTCCGAATGACTGTACACAATATCTATGAGCGATATTCATTCGAAGTAGGTGAGATAAGGGAAAAGCCAACGTACAGTTCCAGAGCTTTGACATCGATGACATGGCCGCCCTCTGCTGGCGAACTCAGGCGCACCTTGTTTATGCCATGCGCCACGCCGGTCTGTTGTTCACCAGAAACATCCATCACGTCGAGGGTAAGGAGCTCACATGGGAGGCGTGGAAAAGTCATGTTTAAGTGGATCTCCATTTTCTCTCCTACACAAAAATGCATAGCAGTCAGTTTTCGACACAGACAACTAGCACTGTTTTAGCCCTTACCTCTCGACTTATCCACTACCAACTCAGGGAGGACAACCACTCGTCTGTAATCCAACCATTCTCCCCAGACAAGCCATAAAACAACTAGTAGCGAGGCGATGGTGATGATACCGCCGGAGGTGGTCCGGATGCGAGCGTCCTCAACTGTCTTGGCAAAGGCATCGAGCCTAGTGAATCGCGATTTCACAGCCATCTCCTTGATCGCTCAACGACCATACAGGAAGGCGAGGGAAGCAGTAAAGAACGTAAAAGAGTATCCTCCAAATCAATTGAAGGAGAGGTAAGCGCCCGCGGGACAACTTCTAGAGGACAGATCAGAATTGTACGGGAAAGGTTGGCCCAAGCCCAATTGAGTGCTTTGCCTACGATAAACAAAGACAACCGTCCATACTGGAGAAGGTAACTAACCTAAAAAGAAAATGACTGTGTTGTAAAGTCGGGAAAACCGCCGGCAACAAGCAGTGCGTCTTGGGCTTCTTCTGCGGTTCCTTACTTTTTGGCACAGCTGTCCTGATGATAGATTGTATGCATGTAATACTCAACTAAGCAATCGTCACGAGCAGCGTAATTTACTCCACTCAGTTGGCGGCTTCGGTATCGTGTATTACCGGTTGATGCTAAAGGACAGACTGCAGCCTCTGATTGGCCACCAAAGCCCCCACTACGTGGGTGCCTGGATCATAATCACGTGGATATGCAGGCATCCACTTCGCTGGCTGTTCACGTGATATTACTGCCTGCGAGAAATGCTTTTGATTCACGTCACTTTTTCCACTTGATTTTCTTTTGCCTTGTCTTGTTCCCTCAAAGACCTCGCCCGCGAGGTTGGCTTTATTCTATTACATCCTTTTCAAAGACTCTAACTTCACTATCAACAATATATAATTTACTCCTCCCTGCATCCATTATCTCTCCTGTTGCATGCCGACTAGATCCGTCTAAAATTTGAGGCGCGCAGCGCTGAGTCCGCCTCAGGAAATTTTATACGAACTATATAACACCACCCTCGATAGCGACCACCTCTCTCCTCATTCCGGATATAGATATTACTACGATCAGCATGAAGGGCGGAAAAGCTCCCCGAGGCCGCTCAGGCGGTTCGGATCGCGGGGGTATTCGCAAGAGGGGTGCGGCTAAACGGGTCGATCGAGATGGTGATCTGGCTATGGACGCAGGCTCTGCCGAGGGTCGTGGAAAGAGGGCGCGCGGAAATTCCAGCCGCTCGGCGGCTACTGGACCACGAGCACAAACACGCGACAGGGCGCTCAACGCTATCCAGAAGGCGATCGCTAGCAACTCAGATTCTCAGGCGAACATCCGACAAGGTGGCCGAGGTAGTAATCTGGAGCAAGTCAGCGTCCAAGGTTGGAAACAGAGCAAAGCGGCATCTAACCGCGATGGAGGTATCGAAAGCCTAATCACCTTCCTCGAAAAAAAACTCAACTCACCCGACTCGAAAGCTGGCTCGCGCGCAAGGATTACAAAGGTATGTGCAACACCAGAACTGACGGTCATCGACATGAATTCGCAACGTCGTCCTCTCCGGTGTGTTCTCGTTTATAGGACTGGTACCCCAGAACGACGATCGCCACATTCCTAGGCTGTTTTTGGGTTTTTGTTCCTTTGGATGACTGCGGTTTCAGGGTCTTCTTACGCCTTACTAACGTTCACTAGTCGCGGGTTGAAGGCGACGCTTTTATAGTATCTATCCGGCCGGAATTGTTGGACAGGATGCTGAAGATGAATGGATTCAGTTTTGCAGGAGCAACTCTTACAATTCAGACGTATGACCCGTCCACGAATGGCCTAGACCAAGCGATGCTATCCGAAGTGTCGCAGAACGGCAGCACCCCCTCGGCTGCCGATACAAAATCCAAGATGACCGCGATCCTGAGCAAACGCTATTTCCAGCAGCAGAAATTGTTAAACCTCTCGAAGCTCGGTAGCGACCCGGATTTATTGGCGATGGGCATTTTTAACAGCACGTCCACCGAATCGAAGTTCTTTCCAGCGTTGATGAAAGTATGGGAGATGAATTTCGATAGCACCACAGCGCGACGAGAGGCTGTCGAGAGCGTCAGTCTTGCAGACAATCAGCTCGCAAACATCACGGTCATCACCACATTAGCTCAGACATTCCCAGACCTGAAAAATCTTGACTTGTCGAACAATAATTTCAAAGACTCTCAGTCCTTGATCGGATGGCGATGGAAGTTCAGAAACCTCGAGTTTCTCGACCTCACGGGTACTCCTTTCAGCGCGGATCCCGCTTTCAAGGACACCATGCTGAAGTGGTATCCAAAACTCCGGTTTTTGAATAATACAGAAGTCCGAACGGCGGAGGAAGTGGCTGCGCAGAAGAAGACACCCATTCCGGTACAGGCGCCACACTTCCAGGATGAATCTCAAATCGCAGAGAACTTTGTCAAGGTGTTCTTTGTTGGTTATGACAACAACCGGGCCGACCTTCTGAAAGGCGTATATGATAACAATTCCACATTCTCACTAAATGTTAACACCACCGCTCCGAGAGCCCAACAAACCGACACTGCAACCTGGGATCCCTACATCAAGAAAAGCAGGAATCTACTCAAGATCAACCATCTTCCTGCGAGGATGTCTCGTGCCTTTGTTGGTGCGGAAAAAATTCTTGAGTTGTGGAATACCCTTCCTCAAACGAGGCATCCCGACATAGGAACTCACCCTGAGGAGTGGCTCATTGAATGTTTCCCCATCCCAGGGCTTCCTGATCCTTCTGGGCAAAGCGCGACTGGCGTGGGTGGGCTCCTTATAATGGTTCACGGGAAGTTTGAAGAGATCAATGGGCCAAAAGTCGACCTTCGGAGCTTCGACCGGACATTTATCCTTGGACCTGGCGGAGGCATGGGTGGAATTAGGGTAATCAACGATATTCTTTGTCTACGGGCTCATGGAGGTCATGAAGCATGGATGCTGGAGCAACCAACCGTCCCAGCAACTCAGCCAGGGCAACCTCCTGTTCAATCACAGGTTGCCCCCCCTGCTGCGCCTGATAGTTACGGTATGCCGGCGCCCGGCAAACCAGAGACGCAATTGCAACAAGAACAACTGGTCATGCAGATAAGCGCCAAAACGGGCATGACCCCGCAATATTCTGAAATGGCGCTTTCAGGCAATGGCTGGAACATAGACGCTGCTCTGAAGAATTTCCAGGAGCTTAAGGTACGCCCTCTTTTCTTGTCAGCCAGTCCCTGTCGTGGAGCTTTACTAATAGTTTGCATTAGACACAGGGACAGTTGCCTCCTGAAGCTTTTCTTCCCGGGGCTGTCTAATTATAACTTATTTGATATTCACATACCCAAAATTCCGAGTGGAGGATGCTGTGGTGTTTGCTTGGAGTCTGATTCATCTATTATTCTGCATTTTCTGTGTTTGCATGGCTTAGGCGAACGGTTATGGGTTCTCTGGCTTGAAAGATTCACTGTATTACATTTTAAACCTTGAAAGACGAAGATCATGTCCATATAGATGGGGACTGGAGGGGATCAATATTGAATAACGAAAAAGAAATCCCCGAAAGACCCAAACCAATTTGCTAGACCGGCTTCCTGCGGGTCATTAAAACAAGCGTCATCTTCCCAAATCCGTATAGAAGAACGCGAAGTGGATGTAACAGTGAAGAAGTTGACAATTTAGATGAATGGCTTTCAGGGATGAAATAAATAATTTAGCCGCGTTGCGCTAAAAAGGGCATTTACACTTTCCGGATCGCCAACTTCCCGCATTAATTACGTCGGTCAGCTGGACAACCTTCTTTTGGTGCTGATATTTTTATTCATTTCTAGATTAATCCCATTTTTTTATTTATTCCTTCTTCGTCATCTTCTACCACTTATCCTCGCTGAACTGGTGGTCAGAAATTCCACTCGCAGCATGTACCTTATTGTGTAAGCTGAAGAGCTAATGGAATGTCTACCACCACCTCGACCTCCGGCAACATGCCCTCCAACGGAGCGGCGGATCTCGATCCTCTCGACGCAGGTGAGGATAACTCTCAAACAAATTGTACCGACGGACCTCCGCTGATACGAATCTTTTTATGAAATAGCGGACTACGATCCAATTGACCATCTAAACGCTGTCTTCTCTCACCCCTCCACGCTGTCCTCCGTGTCCCAGGTTTTACAGTCCCTCCTAGACTACGAAGATGAGCTCGACGAAGAGATCGGTGCGCTAGTGGAGGAACAAGTCACATCAAATGCGGAGAGCGTCGAGCGCATACAGGCTGCCCAGGAGGATTTGACCGAGTTATTCAAGAAGATTGACGATGTGCGGGACCGCGCCTCCAAGACGGAACTAGCGATTACGGAAATGACAGCGGACATCAAGCAGCTTGATAATGCAAAGAAGAATCTCACGCAATCCATGACGGCACTGAAGAGGCTACAGATGCTGACGACGGCATACGATCAACTCCGGGTCCTCGGTAAGACACGCCAATATCGGGACTGTGCTCAATTACTGCAAGCGGTTATCCAGTTAATGGCGCACTTCAAGTCGTACCGATCCATTGATCAGATCGCTCTTCTCAGCAGGAATGTGGCGGACATACAGCGGGAGTTGTTAGAGCAGGTCTGCGAAGATTTTGAGCTAGCGTTTGCCAAGGGTGAGGTGGGACAACAGCGAGTTGTACTTTCGGAGGGCTGTCTGGTTATGGATGCTTTGGGGGAGCATGCGAAGTCCAGGCTTGTAACCTGGTATTGCAACTTTCAGCTACGGGAGTACCGACAGGTATTTAGGAATAATGAGGAGGCAGGGTCGTTGGACAATATTTCGCGGAGGTATTCATGGTTCCGTCGTATATTGAAGATCTACGATGAGGAATACGCAGCGATATGGCCGACTTCGTGGAGGGTTGATGAAATTCTGGCGAACATCTTCTGTGAAGGAACGCGAGAGGATTTCAAGGGAATTCTTTCCCGGTCGGTGCGAAATGGGCAGACGATCGACGTCAACCTGTTACTGTCGTGCTTGCAGGAGACTCTTGACTTCGAGCATACTCTAGAACGGCGGTTCGTCAATTCATCTCGTCCGTCAACCGACACATTCACCTCATCTGAAGCACCCGTCTTCGGCCAAGCCATCTCAGAGGCCTTTGAGCCCTATCTGAGCGTATGGGTTGAAGCTCAGGACAAGCAGCTAGCCGCCCTTATACCGAAATATCGGCAGCAGCCAATTAGGCCCCCTGATGAGGAGTTCGATTCCAATATCGTTATAGCATCCTCTACGGAGCTTTTCACATTCTACAGGCACTCCTTACAACAATGTGCGAAACTCTCGACGGGTGGGAGCCTTGCCGATTTGGCAAAGGTCTTCGCAAAGTACTTGGATCAATACGCGCAGCAAGTTCTTTTATACTATATCAGTGAGAGGCCCACCGGCACTACTCCATCCAAAGTACCGTCTCTGGAAGACCTCATCTTAGTTCTCAACACTGCGGATTATTGTTACACTACCTGTAACCAACTGGAGGAAAAGATCAAAGGCAGGCTCGACAAGAATTTGAAACAATCAGTTGACCTGCAAAGCCAGGCAGACTCGTTCATGGGAATCGCATCTGCTGCTGTTCGGTGCCTTGTTCGGATGGTCGAAATCGAATTAGAGCCGTCTTGGCGGGAGATGCGCAACACTCCTTGGAATCGGCTTGAGAGTGTCAGCGATCAGAGCACCTACGTTAGTGAACTAATGACCAAGCTAAACTCCAAGTCCTCCGAGATTTTGCAGTTGCTCCATAAACAGCAGTACGCTCGAGCTTTCGCAGATCATGTTGTGGAGCTGCTATCAAACGTATTCATTTCAAACATCTTCCAATGCAAGCCAGTCTCGGAGACTGGAGCAGAGCAAGTAAGTTGCTATCCTTCGGCTTCACCGTCAAAATGCAGTACAGGTTATTGACAAACTTTCAACAGATGCTCCTCGACGCATACACACTGAAAACCGGTCTCTCATCACTTCTACCAGCGCCCGCTCCAGCAAGTTTTGCTAAGCGCGTCAATAACAGCTTCATCAAGATTGAGACTCTCCTCAAAACCCTCCAGGTACAGCCATCGCCACCTGAGGCCCTAGTACAAGCCTACTTGATCCACATCAAAGACAGCAGCAACACGAACTTCCGCAAGATTCTCGATCTCAAGGGAATCCGCAGTCGACAAGAGCAGAACCAGCTCGTGGAGCTCTTCCAGATCCACCGCGCATCCGATCGTCACGCACCAAACCTCCAGCAAAGCAATCCCATCCTGACAGCCCTTCAAACCACTGCCGCTTCCTCCTCGAACCCAGTCTCCCAAGGTCTCAGTCTCGGAACCGCAGCAGCGTCCATCGGCGCTTCTAACCTTCCCACCCGCTTCGATGCATCCATGCTAGGATCCGCCATTATCTCCGCCGCCAAAGACGGTGTCGATCGATTCGGAACCCCCATGTCCTCAACGACAAACCCCGGTGCAGGCGGTGCCCCAGGATCGGCCTCCACCACCCCCGTATCGCCGGGGCCATTCGCCCAATTGCAGAGCAGCGCAGAGAACGCTACCTCCGGCAACCTAAATGAGAACCTGAAAAATATTGGGAAGTTTTTCCGCCGTGACCTGGGCGGACTCGGCGGTAGGTTTGGTAGGAGCGGCGATGATGGCAATTGAAGCGGGAGCATATTATCTCATAAGCTTCATGCCAAAGGATGGGTTGGCCATCTTTTCTTCCTCGTGAAATATACCATGTTTGCTGTTCTGAAAGGTTTATATATACCGCGTTTTACGTTGCGGAAGGTAGAAAGGGCTGATAGGTGCAATGTATGATACCGAGTATTTAAATCATTACTTCATTCGACAAATGATGTGAGCTACCTAAAGGTTTGAACAATCCATCATATCCTTGCACATGTCTAACCTACCAGCATATTTCATCTGACGCGGTATATGATTCAGATCAACTAAGACCGGATTCTCGTGCAGTAATTCTGGCGTACTACGAATTCAAACCGTAGATATACTACATCATAGGCATCTGAATGATCTGCAATCACAGTTAGCAATCAGTGTTGCTAGAAAACAATGTGAGACAAAACAAGGTAGGAAGGAGGCGAGTCAGCAAAAAATTAGAGTGTTTGTTGTTGCGTGTTTTTGATCTTCAAAGCCACGGCAGTGGCTACGAGTTAAAAATTGTATCATCATCCGCCAAGGAGTGATCTTCAAGATGGTGGGAGTAAAACAGACGAAGAAAATGTATGCTCACCTTGTTTTTCAAAAAGATCATGGACCGCAAAATCTACGTCCATATCTATTTGAAGAGAAGTAAATTCACCATGAGATTCGTTTTCATTTTTCAACCGTCATGATTGGCCGTAAATGTATCTAAAACATGGTAATCGCATCCCGTACAATGACGCGAGACGCTTAGTCGAAAAGACCGAATCCCATGTCATCATCAGACTCCTCCTCTTCCTCTTTCTTCTCCTCAGCGGGAGCGGCACCGCCAGCGGCAGGAGCGGCGGAAGCGGCAGGAGCAGCGGCAGCGTAAGCGTCAGGGTTGGCGATACGGTCCTTGAGCTCCTCAATCTCGGGCCAGCTGATCTCGGTAGAGATAGCGACAGCGAGAACCTTCTTGTAGCTGTTGATAACGTGGTGCATAACAGCGGGAAGGGTGGGGAAGCCAGTAGCCAGAGAGAGAGCAGTGATGGTCTGGATGGCGCTGCTGAAGGCATCGAGCAGCTGAGACTCCTCGATGTCGAGAACGTCGGCACCGAAGGTCTGACCCTCCTGGTAGACCTGGGAGATGGTCATACCGTAGGTGAAGGGAGAGATGTTGAGCATGTTCAACAGGGTAGCCTCGGAGGGGCCGACCTTGGCGTTGGCCTCAACGAGCTTGAGATCGGTGGTGATTTCAATGGTACCACGAGCAATCTTGGTGGGAACACCGAGAGCCTGGAAGAAAGAGGTCTTACCGGGTTCCATACCGGTGTTACCAGCAGGAATCCAGACATCGGCAGGAGCGACAGCACCAGCACGAGCAGGGGCAGCGACACGGTTGGCAAGGATCTTCTCCTTGGTGGCCTTAAGGTCGCCGTTGGTGAAGATGAAACCAACGTTGCCCTTGACGAAGGGGAGCAGACGCTCGTACTCCGGGTTGTCAACGACGAAGCCCTTGATGGCACGGCGAACCTAGTTTATACGGTCAATTGATGTACTAATTGCGCAGGAATGAAGAAATACATACCATGGTGTTCTTACCCATCAGGACGACACCCTCACCACGGAGAGAGAGACGAATCTCGTGCATCTGCTGAGAGCTGACATTGTCGACACCGACAATGAAGACCGTCTTGTACTCATCAAGAAGGTTCTTCAGCTTCTCGAAGTAAGCGGCCTTGGTAGCGGACTTGCCCCCCATTTCTTCTTAATTGGGTGAAGTTAGGATGTTTAAGGGCAAGGGATAACGTGAAGGTTGATTTACTGTCCGACTTGAATCGTGACGTTAAGGATCAAAAGTTCCGAAGAAGCGTCAAAATTGGTGGGTTTTTGTTTCTGTGGATTCGGCTAGCGAATGTGATCACGTGGTTTCCCGCCCGGCAGAAAAAAATGGCCGGAAAGATTTCATTTGTAGGGCGATAAGTATGTAGTGAGAGATATGAAGTTATTTTGTTCCTAATTAGTGACGGTTCTTTGTTTAAAGCTTTTGTCTTAAAAGTAGTCCATGTACTTTATTACCCGCAACTTTGCAATCCACCTTCACCTCTGTATTTTCTGACGACACATCATTCGTGGCCAAAACCCGGTCTAGCTGAGTATACGGCCAATTATATTCATCAATGATGACTGCCAATTTTCAACTTCCATTCCAATGTATCCAATATCTGGAGAAACGGAATGCGGGATCCCAGCGGTTCCTTATCGCATCGTCCGGGGGCAAGATCTACTCCTACTCTGCAGAGACCGGACACCGCCTCTCTTCTTGGCCACGAGATGTAGATGCAAGCAATGCAAATAATTCCAAAGCAACCGATGCAGAAAATGGTTCAGATGACCAAGTACCGCCAGAGAAGAAGCGAAAGGTTTCCCCATCCGCGGAGGAAACAGTGCGAAATTCCAAGTCGGCTGCTAAAGCCCCGGCTTGGTCTAGCATTCCTATTTTGGTTGCGCATCCGAATGGAGATCATGTAGTCGCACTCACTGCAGAAGACAAGTACATTCGTGTCTTCCACTTGAAGGAAGATGGCACTTTTGAACAACTCAGTGAAAGGTCAGTTAGCCCAGCTGACAAGGTAGAAAGCATATACTCACCTAGATGCAGATGTATGCCAAAAAGGCCATGCAGTATTGTTCTGACCGACGATGGCAACACAATCCTGTGTGGTGATAAATTTGGAGATGTTTACTCGCTACCACTTCTTCCCGGCGATGAGCCTTATGTTGCGCCAAAGCCTGCTAGTCGGCCGAAAGTACCCGCAGCAACAACCCTCACTGTGCACAGTAAGCGGAATCTTGAATCTTTGGAGCAACAATTGCGCTACGGTCAAAAGACAACATCTACTGAAGAGAAGCCCGCACTGAATTTCCAGCATCAATTGCTTCTTGGCCATGTGTCATTGCTCACGGATGTGGCTTATGTGTCGGTACCCAAGGGTGTTGATTCCGCTCAAAGTCGCAGTTACATTCTGACAGCAGACCGAGATGAACATATCCGGATCTCTCGCTATCCTCAGGCCCATATAATTGAGGGCTACTGCCTGGGCCATACTGCGTTTGTTAGTAAGCTCTGCATTCCTCGGTGCGCTCCAGAAATTCTCATCTCCGGCGGAGGTGATGATTTCCTCCTGGTCTGGAAGTGGTCTGAGGGCCTTATCCTACAGAAGATTCCCCTAGTGGAGCATCCATCAGAAACTACTCAGGTTGTAGTTCGTGGGATTTGGGCGACATCTTTTGGTGCATTGAACATTATTCTTGTTGCACTTGATGGGTGAGTGTAGATGGAAGCTTCAGCTCAAGAGATCATGTTTATCTAATCTTTGTTTGATAGGTCCTCACAGCTCCAATGCTTTGTGCTCGAATCAGACGGTACCTTGAAAGCACAGAACCCTATCGAAATGTCTGGCAACGTATTAGACGTGACCAGCATTGAAAAGGATAGCACGATTGTTGTCTCTGTGGACAGCATCCGTGAAGAGGGCTCAACCCACGAGTGGAGATCCAATGCAACAAGCCCCTCGAATTTAATTGAAACGTACCGTGTGAAGCCAGGGACAGAAAACTTGGAGTGGGAGCCAGTTACAGATTCGCTTGCTACCAACATTAGCTCTAGTGGCACCTCGGATGTTCCAGCAGATACCGATCCAAAGCGAAGAAAGGAACTAAACGACGCATTTTATAGTTTGGGAAATCTGCGCAAGAAGTTGGGGGAAGACGACTGAGGATAATTTAGTTTTTAACGCTAGTCATAACTGAAAAGAATGACCTGAGCTATAAGTACTACACAAGCCTTTTGGTCATTGTATACCTCTTATTCCGTACGTCCATGTTACCAGCCTGGAGACACAGGAAGATTTCCGGATTGGGTTGGGATCTATGCATACCACCGGAAATGTAAGCCGGCGGGCCGAGACGCCAAGGACCGGTTGGGACCTTGGTGCTGGAATTGCATGCAATCACCCCTCTTCCCCTCCTAACTACGACTTCATTTCACTCCCCGTCAAAATGCAGGAACAATTCGCTCCATTGAAGAATGACCTTTTGCTGAGGGCCGCAAGAGGTATTTCCATCAAAGATTACAACAGCAGAAATTGCCGCCGCTGATGTAATTGTTAGGCGAGAAGGTCGAGCGTCCTCCGATATGGGTTATGCGTCAAGGTATGATATATTCTTCGCATTTATCCATTTCTCCCATCGCTGCCTCCTGCAGGTAGAATGGTCTATTCATCGCTGATTTCTTCGTTTTCTCTACTCACAGCCGGACGCTACCTCCCCGAGTATCACGAAGCTAAAGGGGGTCGCGACTTTTTCGAGTGCTGCCGCAGCCCAGAGATCGCCTCGACGCTCACTATCCAGCCGGTCGAACGATATGCAGGGCTCATTGATGCCGCGATCATTTTCTCCGATATCCTAGTCATCCCTCAGGCCATGGGAATGCAGGTTGAGATGGTTGACAAGAAGGGACCCCACTTCCCGGAACCGCTGAAGTCGCCGGACGACGGACAGTATGAGAAAGTGATGCAGAAGCAGGTTGATGTTAAGGATGAGCTTGATTATGTTTACAAGGCCATCCGGCTCACCCGGCATAAGTTGCAGGGCCGTGTCCCGCTGATCGGTTTCTGTGGTGCCCCATGGACTCTTCTTTGCTACATGGTTGAAGGCGGCGGAAGCAAGATGTTTATTCAAACGAAGACATGGATATATAAGTATCCCAAGGAGTCCCAGTCATTGCTGCAGAAGATTGCGGAGATTTGTGTGGAATACCTTGCCCTTCAGGTCGCCGCGGGTGCTCAGCTAGTTCAGGTCTTTGATTCATGGGCTGGTGAACTTTCTCCGGCCTCATTCAAGTCATTCTCGCTCCCTTACTTACGCCATATTTCTGCCAACCTGCCCAAGCGGCTGAAGGAGATGGGGCTGGAGCCGGTGCCCATGACAGTTTTCGCCAAGGGCGCGTGGTATGGACTCGAGGACCTTTGCGAATCTGGCTATAATGTTGTTGGGCTGGACTGGCTACACGATCCGGCGGAAGCCAGGCGGATTGCGAATGGTCGGGTCACCATTCAGGGTAATGCCGACCCAGGTGTGCTCTACGGAGGTCGTGCTGCCATCACGGAGGCTGTCGAGGCCATGGTTAAAGGTTTCGAGAAAGGCAAGCAAGGATGGATAGCGAACTTGGGCCATGGTATGGTCCCCCGTTGGACCTATTTTTACGTGAGACATGCTAATTTTCGCAGGCATCACTCCATTTGTCAAGCCTGAGGATCTGAGATTCTTCTTTGAGGAGATTCATCGACTAACAGCATAAATGAAGCATAAGACGTGATCATAACGATGACATTTGTGGATTTGAGTTTCTGACTATTTACATGATGGTTCATCATACTCTACGGCTCATCGGCCAATGACCGCCTTGGATTAGACGGCAATATCCTCATTCCTATGTGATTTGGAATATCCATAGAGTCAGCTACTGTCATTCGAAAAGGAGATGGGCGGTGAAGCAGTATATTTTTGTCGACGACTTGTCATGACCAAAAAGCAGTACTTGGAATTGAAAACTTACCAAAGCTCCGGCTTCTCCTTCATGAATTTCTCCATCAACTGTTTGCACTCCTCGTTGTCCAGAACCACCAGTTCCTTGCCACGGTTCTTAAGATATTCCTCTCCTCCCATAAAGCTCTTATTCTCGCCAATGACAACACGCTTCACCTTGTAGAGAATGCAGGCGCCCGTGCACATATCACAGGGTGACAGGGTTGTGTACATAGTAGCACCTTCATAAGCCGAAGCGGGAAGACGACCTGAGTTCTCAAGAGCAGACATCTCCGCCTATTAGAGTCAGCGTAAGCCATTCGCGTTCTTCCAGGTAGGCGGTACTATGCGATTGACTGACATGTAAAACCGCACTCCCTTTCTGGACGCGCATATTATGTCCCCGGCCAAGGACTTTTCCATCCTTGGAGACCAAGGCCGCTCCGATAGGAACTCCGCCCTCGGCGTAACCTTGCTTTGCCTCCTCGAGAGCAGCAATGAATCCGGGGTCTGTTTCCATTGTGTGGGATATATTTAACCTTGATATTCAGGTTACAGAAGGAGAAGGAGAAAGAGAAGGAATGTGAGAGCTCGAATGCAAGGAGGTCGTAAAGATAGGTAGGTAATCGAGAAGGCAATTGAGTGTATGGTAGATAAGTAGTTAGTTAACTTGGTAGGGAGCTGTTATGTAACTCAGCTCTTTCGGGCAAAAATCTGGTGGTCAACTGCCGTTCTTGTTCTAGCTTTACCCGCAGGAACGGTTGGGCACGGTTTAAGTTCTTGTTGGCCAAGTTCTTGATCGAAGTTGATAAGCCTTCGGATCTTCCCTCGTGAGGAGATATCGGGAGTCTACCTAAAACCATGTACCCGCCGATGACTGAGACTTTTATCTCTCAAGGTGAAATGGGAATATGGACGATTCTTTTTTTCGATCTTTTATTTTTTTTTTTATTTTTACTTTTAATTTTTGTATCGAAAATCTAGACTATATATTCTATCGAGTGTGCAAGGGAGTAAACATCAAATCTGAATATATATTTAATAAACGCGGGCTTCTGCGTACTCTGTTGAATTGAATCCATTCCCGACTCATGGAGAAGACATTGATAAAAGATTACTATTAGAGAAGTATAGTTACAGGTTAAGGATATCATAAATTTCAAAAAAAAAAGATATTTATTCTACCGGCTTTCTTCCCTTCCTTTGATATTGTTTCTCTCCCCCTCCACAAGGCAAACACACCCCTCTTTCCATTCCCGAATATTATCGCTTATCGATAAGAAAATATTAACTAGCCATCCGCCGCCACATTGTTGGCCTGGGGCAAATTGGCTGTGCCACAGGTTGGTGAAAGAGAAAAAAAAAAAACTTTAGTTCTAAAGAACCAGATCTTCAACGTATCTGCTCTGTACTGGTTGATTTCTACAAGAATCTAGAACTGTGTCTTTGTTCTTGATTTTAGTTCCTTTCTATTTAACGCAGTTCTAAGATATTATTTCTTGACATATGAAGCCTCCACAACAGTTTATGCTCTGTCATTCATTAATGATTCTGGAGCGAAATAATAATTACCCTTTGGTAATACATAGGCGCTCTGTGGAAGCAAATGGAAAGTGACTTGCTGATACTGTTGAATACTCTGTCGTAAAAGAGCCGTATTGAACAGCAGGCACTGGGGCAAATCCCATGGGGACTGTGTAATGAGTGTCACAAAACCATTAAATTACCAAAGAGGAAAGGGAGCGAAGACCATGGAAGATCAAAGAATTGGATGGAAAGGCAAAGTCAGCCTGTGACATGCGCCAGAAAGGGAAAGCAAAGCCAATCAGGCTGCAAATATGGGACATCGGACCCCTATCGTTTGGACGTTGAAAAGCCAGGCAGAATCTCTTTTCCAGTTTCCTTTGATTTCATTTGGTTGATTTTTACACTTGTTCTCTCTGAAGGTCGTCTTCTTTTTATGGATATCTAAGGAAGAATCTCTAATTATCCTCGGATTTTCGCCTGATTGTATCTCCGGTATCGATCATACCGATTGCACGGGGCTTGGCACATTACTCAGCATTTATTGTACACTAAAAGACCCCTTAGGTGCCTGTCCTGGTATTAGAATTACGCCCCGTCAGCCGCTTGTCGCCGCTCCTGTCTTGATAATCTCGAAGTGGCCGTCAGATCCTTTTTCTTCTCTCCATCAACAATCCCGCCTCTTCAATCACACCCCCAGAGGCTCTCTCTCTACCTTATAGACCCTTCGTTCCGGCTGAACCTACAGGCGAAGTCCTTCTCTCTCTAAGCCAATTCCTTCTTTTCCGTACCCTTCATATCCCCGGGACGATTTCAATCGAAAAGTTCTTGTTTCAATAATTTTCTTATCTGCCTTGTCCTTGTAATCGCCATACAAGCCATCCTTTCCCTAAGTATACGACAAAACACACCCTCACAATGGTCAAGGAAACCAAGTTTTACGACGTTCTCGGGGTGAGTATCTTCATGTCTATCCGTCGTATCTTCTGGGCTCGAAACTGACGGTGAGGCTACTAGGTCACCCCGACAGCCACGGAGGCTCAACTGAAGACGGCCTATAAGAAGGGTGCCCTCAAGTATCACCCTGGTACGTTGCACATGAACCGGTTCCAGTGACCAGCTGGTGCCCCTTAGGGACGGGTTTTGGGCTGGATTTGCTGACAGTTTCCTGTAGACAAGAACGCAAACAACCCAGAAGCCGCCGAAAAGTTCAAGGAACTGTCCCGTGCCTACGAAATTCTCTCCGACCCTCAGAAGCGTTCTATGTACGACCAGCTGGGCGAGGAAGGTCTTGAAAATGGTGGCGGTGCCGGTGGAATGGGTGCAGAGGATCTCTTTGCCCAGTTCTTTGGTGGCGGTGGTGCCTTCGGAGGTATGTTTGGCGGTGGCATGCGGGATCAGGGCCCTAAGAAGGCCCGTACGATCCACCACGTCCACAAGGTCAACCTGGAGGATATCTACCGCGGAAAAGTTTCGAAGTTGGCACTTCAGAAGTCAGTAATCTGCCCTGGATGTGATGGTCGTGGTGGTAAGGAAGGCGCCGTCAAGTCGTGTGGTGGCTGTAACGGTACCGGTATGAAGACTATGATGCGCCAAATGGGACCTATGATCCAGCGATTCCAGACTGTTTGCCCAGACTGCAGTGGTGAGGGCGAGACCATCCGCGAGCGTGACCGCTGCAAGCGCTGCAATGGTAAGAAGACCGTTGTTGAGCGCAAGGTCCTTCACGTTCATGTCGACAAGGGTGTCAAGAATGGCCACAAGATTGAGTTCCGTGGGGAAGGTGACCAGATGCCTGGTGTTCTGCCCGGAGATGTAGTTTTCGAGATTGAGCAGAAGCCTCACCCCCGATTCCAGCGTAAGGAAGATGATCTCTTCTACCACGCTGAGATCGATCTTCTCACCGCTCTTGCTGGTGGTACTATCAACATTGAGCACCTCGATGACCGCTGGTTGACCGTGAACATTGCCCCTGGCGAGGTTATCACTCCTGGTATGTCACTCATATTCATTTACGAGGGTAGAAGAACGAATGCTAACGTTGTCTTTTACATTAGGCGCTATTAAGGTGATCAAGGGCCAGGGTATGCCGTCATTCCGCCACCATGACTTCGGCAACCTCTACATCCAGTTCGATGTTAAGTTCCCTGAGAAGGACCAGCTCAGCAACCTCAACCTCCTGGAACAGGTTCTGCCCCCCCGGTTGGAGCAGCCACAGCCACCAACCGACGGCATGGTGGAAGACTTCGAGCTGGAGGATGTTGATTCCAGCGAGTACTCCCAGGCCCGTGCCCACGGTGCTGGCTCTATGGACGAGGATGATGACGACGTTCCTCCCGGCGCTGAGAGAGTGCAGTGCGCCTCTCAGTAAAGCAGGGGCTTTTCTGTGGTTGAATAAAGTTGCTTTGCTAGGGCATTACTGACGTCGCTTATGATACCTTGCGGGAGCTCAGCCCTGGTATATGCTTTTGTTTTTAATTCCTGTTTTCGATTGATCATTTACTCTGCGATGGCGTTTTCTCGAAGATCCGGAAGATGATACGGGAGATTTCGTGTCGGTTCATTTGCTACATTCCCATCATCATGCTTTGATTCCCATGCATAATGTTCTCTTTCTTGTTTGTCTCTGGTGGGAATGGTGGGTATGGCACTGATGAGATGGACGAGATCATGTTAAACGAGTCAACTTTTTACTTTTCCCCTTTTTCCTTCATCACTTTGGTTGACTCGGGGTGGGTTATGGTGGGTCGATATAGGGGTTGAGCGTGTTTCCACATTATAGACTACAGCGTGGGCTTGGGTATTGAATAGTCCGTTTGTCTGCCAAGTGTTCTTGCCAGCAAGTTGTTTCGAACTGGTTGTCGTAGTTGGAGCCGTCTCGTTGCCGCTCACATGGCCGATTCTGTAGTATTATTCCTTGCATTAGAATTGTGTCTAGAATCTGGACCATTTCTTGGATTTCATTTTCTGCGTGTCCTGATCCTGGGTAAGGGCGTAGATACTCAACCCCTAGTATAGAAGAGCTTTGAGACAACACCAATCCATCACACTCCCTGTCCCTTGAGAATCGTGCGCGGCCACGTCTTTCAGATGACCTTCGGAAACCCACCTAACCCTAGCTATGCTCTCACACCTTTCCCCTCAAAATCCCAGTGCACCCCTTCCAGCGTAACTAGTAGACCCCCGAACACACATAATCTCAAGGAGAGCAGCTGCAGCATATCTCATCACTCTCATGATCTAAATCCATGCCCCACATATCCACATAATCCACCATCCGCATGAAACCCAGAAACTCACAATCCACCATTAGCATCTAAATTCCCCGGAAGGTCAACAGATCCGTCACCTGTTCCATTCCGTGGCCGATCCGTGCGCCCCCTCCCGTACACCTTCGATCAGATTATTTATCCCTGAGTAAGCGGTAGATTCGGGCCCTCGGGAACTGTGCTGAGCCGCAGCAGTACCCCCGCCGGCGGGGGGGGGGGAAGGGGATTGTTTTTGTTTTGTTTTTCGCTTAGGTTGAGACATGCATTGGGATGGTTAATGTCGCTAATGCCGGCTTCGCATTATTAGACCTGTGGGGGCATTGTTTTTGTGAGACGTGGTAGGTAACTAGTTCGTTAGTGGTGTCTTGGGGATTGGTCACTGGTTGTATGCATTGAATGATGGTTCATTGTTTTGGGGGCCAGGAGATGTGGAATGACGTCAGGCGTTTTTTTTTTTGTTGCCTGAGGTTTGCGGTGTATTGGGTTTGTGTTTGGGTTCCCCAGAGGGGGTGTTGGTTTGTTAGTTTTGAGTCTGTCTGCGGTTGAGTCTTTGGTTAGTTTGGTTTGGTTTCTTTACTTGGGTGAAGTCTTTTGTTTTCGGGGGTAGAAGGTAAGTAAGGGGGGTGCAGTTGAGTGTCTCCATGGTTTGTTTCAATGTATGGATCTCAATGGGTAAGATACTAGTATGGCTCGGAGTGTGAAGTATGAGTATGAGTATGTAATGTGTGTACTCCAGTATTAGCTCTGAGATCGACTCTGGGGTAGAGGTCAGGTGGCCTGGGGCTCTTTCAGTCGTATCAAACCAGAGCTACATATAGTTGCTTCGTGATTGGACCATGTGATCAGCGACAATTAGTAGCAACGTCTCTCTTTCTTTGGAGGATAACTCCTCAAGCTGAGCATGTCAATCATGTGGGGAGAAAACAAAGAGCCATAAAAGCATTTGGATGATAGTTATAAGCGAACCCACGAGAGCATTTTGGCGCGCCACAACTAAGTCAGCGTGCCAGAGGTTGTTAGATCTCATGCTCAAAACGTGGCATGTGCCGCCTGATATTTTTTCCCTTGCACTGCTTATAGACACGTTCAGCGGTTAAAAGATAAAATAATCGAAAGGAGAAAAGAAAGGTGACTTGTAGGGTTGAAATGACCTCATATACTTAGATACTGACGAGGCTGAAGTCCGTGTAAGGCCCGACTATATACATGGAATCCTGCGAGACATGACAAGAAGAGGCCTGACCGCACACTTGTCAGGCGACCGGAAGTTTACTCAAGTATCACATCCTAGCAGGGGATAAGTGGCTTGCATCTCTGAGGCATGACCGTGCTTTTGGGTTGGGGTTCAGGAAGTCTAAAGCACGCCTTCGCAGCAGGGATCTGTCCGTAAGATGGGACATGGATGATGAGATTTTTTATAATTGGAGGTGAAATTGCAATACGAGAGAACGGGAACTCCGCGGAATAGGCGCAGTTAGGATGATGCTAGCGAGTAGTTTCATGCACCATGTATCCCATTGAGAAAGTGTATTCCGAATGGGATTTAATCATCCATACCGATGACTCAAAAGGGGAAGGGATGGAATCCAGTATATACACCTCCCTTGTCCAGATTCTGTACTTGAGGCTTGGCTACGGTCCTGTTAAATGTCCGTATCAGACAATATCAATTAGTAGCCGCACTTGTTGGGCTAGGGATTTCTCCTAAACGAGCCAACAATGGACAACGGGAGTGATAAGATCGATGACGCGATTTTGATCTCGATGGTGTTAGAGTGGGGAAGTATGCAGGAAGGAAGTAAGCTCGAGAGATGCAGGAGACCAGTCAAAGTGGTGAGAAATCATTGGCGAGCGACAGTGCCACTAGACTCACTATCCAAGAGCTCTATATGTACCTAGGGCCAATGCGGCCCTTCTGTACACTATGCTGCACCGGGATTGGACGGTCGTTGTCCCCGTCCGTACTGTGTAAAGTACTTTACCTTCGTTTAACTAGTCTAATGAAAATGTTAAATTATGTTTGGGATCCAGACTAGGTTAGAGCCGGTATACCTTAAATGCCACGCAGCTGACATGGTGAACGAAATGAGATGCCGCCATAACATTCCGTCTTCTTATAGGTACGGAGACCCAATCATTACTACCTCCAGGAGACCCAGAACGCCAAGACCAACCGGTAATGTCTTCGTAGGGGAGGAAAAGCCGACGGAAGCTGCCCGCGTCAATGATACTTCTGATACGACTACAGTGACGACGACACAGATTGGATAGAATTCGGGGGGAAGTGAGTTAAGCCTCGAACTCATCAGAAATTTTACGTCTCTGCAGCACTAGAGACGTTCTAAAGGGACTAGAAGAGAAAAACTAGAAGAGACTTCCAAGGTCGATACTTACTCGAATCAGACACTTTCCACACGTGGACCGGCTTGCTTTCACCATCAAAGTGAGTGATGGCGTGTTCTACCGCCATCCCCATTGGCCTGGAGATGGGTGGTGGGGACGTGAATGGTGTTGCTCACTCCCGCTGATTGGCTGTGGACCTTCTGCAGGTTGTTCTTTCCTGTGGGCGGTCAGCCTGGGCAATATCGAACAATGGGGGAGTTTTCTATCAGTGATGGCAGATGCACATCTCGCGTCCTATGGGAGATGACCGGATACTCCGTACCCTTGGATGGTTTGCCTTCACCATGGGAACCCATTTGCCGATTGACTTTTCCCAGATACTGATCATCCATGGACTGGGGCCATGGGCGGAACCATGCTCCACGGCTCAGCGTCATCTCTCGCTTCGAGACTCCTCGTCACCCAGTCCACCTCAACGGCTCTTACGCCAGCATTCCATTCTCTGACAAGCTTGATACAACCTCGCCCCTGCTAGACTCTCTTGCCCTTGGCGATCCATAGTGGATCAGCTGCTCCATCACTGCGCGTTTCTACTCACACTCGTTCGCAATGAGGATTCTGATCCTTTCTCTCATTCGTTTATTTTCTTTGATTATTCTTTTTTTCTCTTTCTTTTCTATTTTTATTTTTCATTCGCTGACACTTGCTTCCTATGCGGGCCACTGCTCGTATGAACCTCTCTCTTCTTTTAAGTGCCCATAATGGAGTCGTTTTAATTACCATCCGTGATTATCAATTCCGTCTGATCATCTCCATTGATCGATTCCATATTGTTCCTTGCCGTTGGCAGATATCCACTCGCAACCCTTCCAGAGTTGCATGACTTATCTAAAGTAGTCGATTTCTTGATGCTCTATTTACATAACCGAACTTTTCTCCCCGTATTGCCTTTTTTTGCCTCTTTCCCACCATATTTTCTTTTTTTCGTTTTTGTGATCTAGCGGGTAAACATCAGTCTCGTGCGCCCAGTACTCCTACTACTAGTTTCCCCCACGCGCCTTTTGATATTATATTCCTTTTTTATTTAAATTAAAATTAATATCTTCTACTCGTTCAAAGATGAGACTACTCTCAACCCTAGTTGAATAGAATCTTTTTTATTTTATTTAGTGGTTGTGGGGAGCTAGCAATTCGACTTCCCTGCTCCTGATCACGACATCGCTCTTGGCCGTCCCGTCATTTCACTTTAAATCTACCCACTCGACCAGCATTTCCCTCCATTATCAATTTCTCCACAGGCTCTGATGGACCTTGCTTGAGTTCGCATTGACATCAACCTTCCTCTCTCTACATCTTCTTTTCTTTTCCTCCCTCCATCCGGCTCTTTTCACCTTACCCCCTGCTTGATCTCAAATCACTGGTGATCTATAGTTTTATACACTTTGGGCTAGTCCCGCCCCGACCCTACATACTCAACTCCCATCAGGAGCAATCATGTCGGGCGATACCAAAACCAAGGTCGGTCACGGCCTAGCTAAGGCCTTGGGGATCAAGATCGGCTACCGGGATCCTTTGGGAGCCCATTCAGACCCGGTTACACGAGGCGAGTCGACTTTCTCCATGGGAACTGTCGACACATACTCCTATCTTGAACCTGAGCCTACTTCCGGGGAGTGGCTTCTAGAGCTCTGCCCAACCTGGTCACAGGTAGCCCATTATTTCTACAGCCTTTTCCCCTTCCTTTCGTGGATCACGAGGTACAATATGCAGTGGTTTCTGGGGGACTTGATTGCTGGTAAGAGCTATACTTCCCGGTTCTGTCAGTAAATGGACAGAATGCTGACCAAGATATAGGCGTGACAGTTGGTGCTGTAGTCGTTCCGCAGGGTATGGCTTACGCGAAATTGGCAGAGCTTCCTGTGGAGTATGGCCTGTATTCATCCTTCATGGGTGTCCTTATCTATTGGTTTTTCGCCACGTCGAAGGATATCACCATTGGTGTAAGTTAATTCTCATTCAAGTCGATACAGTGGAACCATTTTGCTGATGGAATTATCTTCCTATTATAGCCGGTGGCTGTCATGTCTACCCTGGTAGGTACAGTGGTGACCGAGGCGCACGAAAAGATTCCCGATGTTGAACCGCATGTAATCGCCTCCTGTCTGGCTATCATTTGTGGAGCGATTGTTTGCGCCATGGGTCTGCTGCGACTAGGATTCATCGTGGACTTTATTCCTCTGCCGGCAATCTCAGCCTTCATGACGGGTTCCGCTATCAACATCTGTTCCGGTCAGGTCAAAGACATGCTGGGAGAGACGGCAAGCTTTTCGACAAAAGATTCTACATACCTGGTGATCATCAACACGCTGAAGCATCTTCCCTCTGCAAAACTCGATGCCGCCATGGGTGTCACTGCCTTGGCTATGCTTTACTTAATCCGCTCGGGCTGTAATTTTGGCGCGAGGAAGTTCCCCCGTCACGCCAAGGTCTGGTTCTTCGTATCGACTTTGCGGACCGTGTTCGTGATCTTGTTCTATACAATGATCAGTGCAGCCACGAATCTGCACCGGCGGGATAATCCCGCATTCAAGCTCCTGGGGAAGGTTCCTCGGGGTTTCCAACATGCGGCGGTCCCTCAGGTGAACAGCAGGATTATCAAGACTTTTGCTAATGAGCTTCCTGCTTCCGTTATCGTCCTGCTGATCGAACACATTGCTATCTCCAAGTCCTTTGGCCGTGTCAACAACTACACCATTGATCCATCCCAGGAGCTGGTCGCAATTGGTGTGTCGAACCTGCTTGGACCATTCCTCGGCGGGTACCCAGCAACTGGATCGTTCTCCCGGACCGCAATCAAATCGAAAGCTGGTGTCCGCACCCCGCTTGCCGGTGTCATTACCGCGGTGGTTGTCCTTCTTGCCATCTACGCTCTGCCCGCTCTCTTCTTCTATATCCCGAAAGCTTCCCTTGCTGGTGTCATCATCCACGCGGTCGGCGATCTGGTCACGCCGCCAAACACGGTGTACCAATTCTGGCGTGTTTCGCCCCTGGATGCGATCATCTTCTTCATCGGTGTTTTTGTTACCGTTTTCACCACAATTGAAATCGGAATCTATTGTACGGTCTGTGTGTCGGCGGCAATACTGCTTTTCCGCGTCGCCAAAGCCCGCGGTCAATTCCTCGGACAAGTCACAATCCACTCGGTGGTTGGTGACCACTTGGTCCAGGAGGATGGGAAATATGGGTCTGGCAACTCCCCCAATACCCCTGGCGACGGCAAAGATGGATCAGGTCGGTCTATCTTCCTGCCTATCAACCACACGGATGGATCGAATCCCGATATCGAGGTGCAGCAGCCTTACCCTGGTATCTTCATCTACCGATTCTCCGAAGGATTCAACTACCCCAACGCCAATCACTACACGGACTATCTGGTCGACACGATCTTTAAGAACACGCGTCGCACAAATCCTTTCTCGTACGGCGAACCGGGCGATCGACCCTGGAACAACCCAGGCCCTCGCAGGGGCAAGGCCGAAGAAGACCGATCGCATCTACCCATACTGCAGGCTGTCATCCTTGACTTCTCGTCTGTCAACAATGTTGATGTGACCTCTATCCAGAACCTCATCGATGTCCGCAACCAACTCGACCTCTACGCTTCCCCCAAGACTGTGCAGTGGCATTTTGCTCATATCAACAATCGCTGGACCAAGCGAGCCCTTGCAGCTGCCGGTTTTGGCTTCCCATCCCCTGACTCCGGCGACGGATTCCATCGGTGGAAGCCAATCTTCAGCGTTGCCGAGATTGAAGGCCGTGCCTCTGCTGCTGCCCACGCAGAGATGGTGAACAACGAGCACGTCCAGCAGCAGGGCCTCAAGAGCGAGGATCTCGAGCATGGCTTCAAGCATGATTCACATGCCGTGGAGCGGGAGACTCACGGTATTGAAGAGTCTTCCGATAGCAGCAGCACTGATGACAAATTGCAACATGATCTGAAGAACAGCAAAGCATACCGCAATCGCCGAAAGGTCGCTTTGGTCCAGGGTCTCAACCGGCCATTCTTCCACATTGACCTGACTAGTGCATTGCAGAGTGCCCTAGCCAACGCGGGTGATGATCCAGACCCTAAGATGAATGTTCTCAATGCATAGTCATATCTTATTTTTCTTAATATTTCCCTGTCACTTATGCTAAACTCCCTGGTCGGAGTCCTCTTTCCATAGGGCCCTGTGCAGGGCCTGTCAACTTCCGTTATATAATGTTTGTTTCAAGCGAGGCCGTCCACTCTGTGCTTTTGAATTTTGTTGGTTGGAATCTCGTTGCGAGATACATACATATACCCCTGACACCTGGCTTTTGTGTATATAGATAGACTTTTTTATTGATGCACATATACATCCATGCAAACTTCATTCTGTTCAAGTTCACATATTCTATCTTTAGGCTCTGGGCTTCAATGATAGTGTCATAAACAGCTGCTTACTGATGAGCGGGTAAATGGTAGTGGTCATTTCGAGGGCATTCGCGACCTTTTGATTATATGTCAAAAAGAATCTATGTACGATAACGACAAGAACTCCTCTGACGAGCTTTACTTTGTATTTACTATGCTAGTGCATGCCCCCCCTCGCTTCAAATAATGACTACTTCACACTTAAAAGGCTGCAGAAAAATTCAAAACACAACGGTATTCATTAAACCCGTAATGAATAGGATGTGTCTATATAAGCACCTCGAATCCCAATACTAGCAGATGTTAGTCTTGCCTCCGGCAAAGAAAGAATGACTCCATGAATTTAGCAAGAGAACATTTAACTTCAGACTGTTCTGCAACGTCCGGCATATATTGCTCTGACCTAATAGATGCTGGAATATTGGTCGTCTATATTACACAACTGACATCGTGCTACTCTCGAGCGGTTTGCTGATTGCCTCCTGTGCAGGAGGTCGTATTTGATACGGATTATAACCGCGGGTGCTATCTGGGCAGTAGACGAATGAATTGATCAAAACGAAGATATTAAATGACTAACTGCGTTGGACACATCTGAGAAAATGTTTCAATCTGGCGTCCACAAACATCAACTAAAGCAAAAGAAAAGAACCGAAGGAAAGTGATAAACACCCAACTCGCTGCCCTAAGCTCCAGAACTTGACTAGACTTCTCGCGAGAATATCACCGAGTCATGCGCACTATGGAACGTGTGACTTACCGTTTTGATATCAACCCTGGCATGCCTTGGGCAGCATTGGAAAGTGCGTTAATCACTCATTATGATGCCAAGTAGGCTCAGCCTGGCCTTTTACTTTTATTTATCGCAATGTTATAGATTTAGATTACTAGTAGTTTTCCCAGTTCGTATTACATAGGATATGACAATCATGCTTCCACAAAAGAACGACGAAACTGAAAGATTGTGAAGCTATTACTGACCCCAGAAAGTATGGACCAGCCTCTCGACAACCGTAGAGAGAAGCTATACCTCCTGTGCAGTTCGAGATCTATCACGACTCTCGGAGTGGATTAGGGCTGGCTTTGCCGGTCTGTAAGGTCCTCGCGGCCACATCAACTGGGTCGGCTGATAACGCATCAATGCAAAGCTCAATATACGTATGTAGGAGAGGTAATCTTAGATTGTGTTAGATCTGGTCTCTTAGACGTGTTCGCCAAGTCCGAACTATCAGTGGCACAGCCCTGCGAATCCGCGATCTACATCAGGCCGCGCCCACCTCCGAAATCGTTGAAGGCAGGAGGTGATTGGTCTTTAGAAATATAAGTATAAAGCCCTCTACTAGTAAACTTTTCTACTATCTAAATGGATACTTTGGAATGCAATTTAGCTTAGGCCGTGAGGGTCACATAAATCCCGAACGATGGAGATCTGTAGGTTTCATTCCCAACATAATCATGAACTCAAAGGGCCTAGAATTCAAGGAGCAGAAAACTTCATATTCCGCATAACAAAGAGTGGCCAACCCAGGTGGTCCACATCATAGAAATAAGGGTATTCTCTCTTCCCCCTTCTTTGCTTCAACTATCACTCTTAAGACGCAGATCGCGGACCAACTCCGGGCTCTAAACGACGTTGAGCCCGATTCTCGCCCCATAGCTGGCCCGATCATGGCCAGAATCAGAGCACTATGTTGATTAAAACACCACTGGAGTAGGCATTGAATGATATTAGAGGCGCTTGGCAGGGAAATGGATGAAGTGTATTTTAACTCACCACTTCCCTCCGCCTGCTTCCGATTTCATGAAACCTTCCAACCCACCATCCATCCATTGATCACTAGCCTACAGCCATGACTCTCACCGTCCACCATTTGCACATCTCCCAGTCAGAGCGCATCGCCGGGCTATGCGAAGAGCTAGGCATTGATTATGAGCTCAAGACATACAAGCGGGCGCCCCTCCTAGGCCCCGCCCGACTACAAAGCTTTGCATCCCCAAGAGACCGCGCCCGTCATCCAAGACGGCGACTTGACGCTGGCCGAGAGCGGCGCATGCACCGAGTATATCTGCCACATACATGCCCAGGGCCAGTTATTCCTGCCCCCGAGGCATCCAGCATATGCTGACTTTCTGTACTGGTGGCATTGGTCCAACGGTACCTTTATGCCCACCATGATGAAGTCTATGTCGCTGCGGTCGCTCAAGTTGAGTGGTGACAGTTCCCACATGATTATGACCAATAGCCGTTTCAAGAGGGCGTTTACGGCGCTTAATGACAGACTACACAACAATGAGTGGCTTGCTGGGAGTTTACGGTGGCAGATATCATGGTTGTGTTCGTGCTCACTACCTTACGGTATTGGTTTCCCTACGGTCTGGATGAGTACGAGAATGTGGCCAAGTATCTTCAGCGTGTTGGGGGGCAGAGAGGCATATCAGAAGGCGATGAGAAAGTGTGAGCCAGACCTGGAACCAGCGTTGGGGGTTGATCTACTGAAGAAGGAGGAATAAATAATTGGAAGGAGTAGCGAATTATCACGTATATTAATCACCGCTCAAGAATAGAAATGAAAAGAAGGGCTAGAACTCCGCTATATAGCCAATTTACAGACATCAGGAAGAATAGTGCTTCTTATGAAAGGCAGCTGCCTCGTTGCCCGCTATTCTTCCGAAGACAACGCATTCTAGAAGCGATGATCCTCCCAAGCGATTCTGACCATGAAGACCTCCTGTAACCTCTCCTGCCGCCCACAGACCCTTGATCGGGGTTCCATCTTTAGCTAGCACTTGGGTATGCTCATCAATTGTAGCGCCTCCCATCGTAAAGTGTGTAACAGGGGTGACTTTTCCAATGTAGACTACGGAGTCCGATGTCACGTCCGTCAGAGACCAGTTGCCGAAAGCCGTACGGCCAAACTCATCCTTCTCTTTGCCGGAAACAATATCTGCATATTTCCTGACCGTGTCAAGCATCGATGGATCAAGCTCGCCCACCGTAGTCTTGCGCACCAACCCTTTCCATAAATAGAACCCCATATGCGACCCCAAGGCAGCAGCAGTCCCTTCATCCAAGAGAAGATTGACATCCCACTGACGCGCATCTGTCTCCAACGGCTTCGCCGAGCGCATAATAACATTCGTAATATGCTCTCGAGTCTCCAGCTCGTTCACAAACCGAGTCCCATCTCCTAGAAGCAGAATCCCCCCTTCGCCACGAAGCGCTTCCGCCGCAAGGATCTTAACAGACGCCGAGGGCTCTTTCTCATCCAAGAAACCAGTTGGATGAATCTGCACCTGTTCCATATCCACCAGTCCAGCCCCAACTTCCTCAAGAAGCGGCTGCGTCCCCTCCACCGCCTGATTCGTCGACGGTATCCCAGCCAAATCAGGCCGATACTTCGCCAGCAGTCCATGGGCGTCACCGGCAAATCCACCACTCGCAAACACAACCGGCCCATTAAGCGTGGTCCTACTATCCTCCTCACCCGCATACTGAACCCCCAAGACCTCCCCCGCCTCCCTTAACACCCTGGTAACCCTCGCCCCCTCCCTCAATTGAAAAAGCTTGTTCGCTTTCAACGGATCCAAAAGCGCACTCACGATTGAAATCCCCGGCGGCCGTTGGCCTGCCCCCCGATGCGTCCGCGGCTGACTATGCCCCCCCAACCGACAAACCTTACTCAAGTCCACCCCCTTCTCCTCCGACAGCCAGTAAACCGCCTCCGCAGATGAAGCAGTAAGGGTCGAAATAAGTGATTCCCGCCGTTTATGCTCCTCCGCCGGGGACGATGCGAGGACGTTCCCTGCTGATTTGACCGTGTCGGCGAAGAATAGCTCTTGCGAGTCACTGCCGCCCTCGGGTTGGAATTTTGTGGGCGCCCCGTTTATGCCGGATGAAGCTTTCATGCTGTTTCCACCGGCTTTGGGGGCTCGCTCGAGCATTATGACGGGGACTTGGTGGGAGATGAGTTGTGTTGCTGCTGATAGGCCAGCCAGGCCGGAGCCAACCACTATTACGGGTTGGGGTTGCGTCAGGGGAGACGAGAGGAGGGATGGGGATGTGCTCATTGTTGGGATGATTTTGGAGATATTGTTTTGTAGGGGGTTTAGTAGGAATTGAAGGGGACGGAGATTCATGCTCTGGTTGTCGAAGTCGAGGTTGGCTGAAGGGTTGGTGATGATATTGTATTTATTTTTTGATTGACCGAGAATCGTATGATATCAAGATCATTCCACCCCCGCGGGAATAATTATCGTTGCTTCCGAGACACTCATGAAACGTTGGACATACATTCATTCCATTCCTCGGGGATTTATTTGGTTTATCTTCCGGGTTGCGTGTAACTTAATATTCACGACGTGGTAAAGTAGGCCCGAGGCACTTGTTCGTTTACTATGAACGTGATGTATGTATATACACTGTAAAAGCACAAGATCGGATGTCTCTATCTAAATTCTATAGTGTTTCTAATAAAAAAAAAAAAAAAAAAAAAAAAAAATAAAAAAAAAAAAAAAAAAAAAAAAAAAAAAAAAAAAAAAAAAAAAGGAAAGAAAAGAAAAAGACAAAGACAAAGAGTTTTAATTCCCTTTTTCTTTAAAAAAAAAAAAAAAAGAAAGAAAACAAATCCATACTGTAGCAGGCTAGCAGTAGTAATAGGATATCTTTGTTTCCTGTCAATATACGATGCCCTAATCCCTACTATAGGACCAAGCTTGCATACAGATCGGATATACGCTAGTGGTATCCTCTAGTAGTAACTAAAGCCCTTGCAACCCGACGCAAACTGCGGGCCTCTTATCCCTGTCAAATATTCGAAAACCCCAGGGTACTTTAATTAGACAGGACTAGGATAGAGCTAAAATACGTGATCACTTCTTCGTGGCACTCTTATATCTGAACTAGAGATGATGCCGCGGATAACCGCCAGTCCTGTGTATAGGACCCTCATGTCCGCATTGTAGCTATCTACATCTTCCACACCAAGCTATACCCTATAACCAGACCCCTGCCAGATAGAAAAAAAACAAAAACAAAAAACTAACCATCGCTTCTAGAAAGATACCCCGAACCTTCCTCGTATACCCAAAATGCGCCTCAGTTTCCTTGGTCTAGGAACAATGGGCACACCCATGGCCCTCAACCTCTCCCGCCAATTCCCAGTCACCATCTGGAACCGCTCCCCCTCAAAATGTACCCCTTTGCGACAAAAGGGCCTCACAATCGGCGAAACCCCAGCAAAGGTCGCCTCCCAATCCGACATAATCTTCACCATGCTCTTCGACGGCCCCGCCGTCGAATCCATCCTCACCCCTGAGTTCAAATCCGCCCTGCGCGGGAAAACCCTCATCAACACCAGCTCAGTCACAGTCGAATGCAGCCACTGCCTCGCCTCGCAAGTCCATGCCGTAGGCGTCCACTTCATCGAAATGCCCGTGAGCGGCAGTTAGTTTCCCGTAGAACAGGGCCGACTCGTAGGTATGCTAGCCGGGGACCCGGTGGTCGTCGAGTGGGTCAGACCCGCCATGAAGCCGCTGACAGCTGCGGCCGTTTACTCCGGGCCGATTGGATTTGGGCTTACGATGAAGTATGCGGTGAACCTGTATCTTATTACGATGACGGTTGGGCTGGCCGAGTCTGTGAATCTGGCGAGCGCGCAGGGCTGGATCTGAAGGCGTTTGGGAGAGTCCTTGGGGCGGGGTCTTTGGCGTCGCCGTATTCTGGTCTTAAGGTTGAGAAGATGGCGATGGGGCACTGGGGGGCTCAGGCGACGGTTAGGGATTGTTTTAATATTACGGAGCTTATTCGAGGTGCGGCTGGGGAGGTTGATGCTGAGGCGCCACTTATAGCGTTGTGTGGGGAGTTATATGGGAGGGCTGTTGAGGCTGGGCTGGAGAATGAGGACATGGTTGCTGTTTATGAAAGTGCTTTCAAAGGAGGCATGAGAGAGAAATCTATGCTTTGTTGGGATGATGGCCTTTGGAGGGTGATACAGAGTCTAAGTAACGGGTATGTGTTTGATAGGAACCATTGCAGAAAATACGCTCTCGTAGCTATTATCTGCTTGGTACCATGTTTAACTTACAGACAATACATTCACAAGTTCATATGCCTCATTTGCGGAGATTGGAGAGGATGAGAATAGCGTAAGGTAACGGAGGATAGGTTGATATAGTCTGATATAGAGGTTGGCGTTCCCAGTTAATTAATTTAACGCTACGAGCAGTACTACTGATGTGGGGTTATAATGATAAAACACCAGAGTATGTATTGTTTACTACTAGGAACTAGTAGACACTTCATTATCATTAGACAAGCATAGTTCTGTTAAATCACGGGACGTTGATACCCTATTTTCTGCCTCAGGCTGCCATATAAATCATCAACCAAATCGTCAGCTGGATGGTGCATCATGGAAGGTCAGGCCAATACGAGCCGAGAACATGATACTCTGCCTAGTAGATGATGTCAACTTCAAGATTTCGACTCCATCAACCAATGGCAGTGGTTATCCTTTGCTTGTAGGGCAACATCTTACTTCGTGATTATGGATCACCCGATGGGGCTGTGCTTCGGAGATATTCCGCAGAAGCTTGAACATGGTCCAGGCAAACAGATTCCACTCCATTTTCTTACCTAGGCTTAGGTCGTGGAAGCATCATGGATTGGATCATCGCGGTACTTTCCGAATTTGTCAAGATCGTATCCGGTAACTGTTCCTTATGGACCAATCCAACCGCCATCATTGAGCTTGAAGCCTCGATGCTGTGGCTGATGCTGACACAGCCCGCAAAGCATGCCCTATCTTCTTCAATCTATGTTGATTTTAATAATGGCCTCAGAGGTTTCGAAGGGAATATAAATACAACAGTCGGATCACTTCTGGGCTTCTCTCGCCCAATTCAATTTTCCAGATCCGAAACCTATCGACATGTTTGTAGCGGCAAAATACATCCATCGAAAGATGAAATCCAGGCATCGGAGCCCGAATAATGACTCCCCAAAGCTGTTCACAAAGAAAGCTGCTTGTCCACACTCGCGGCCATTTCAGGTTGAACTTGCAAGTAGGGGATCTGCTGAATATCATAGGACTACAACAGCTTCAACAACAGAAGAGGACAGGGTTCTAGTATCTCAGGACTTGCCAAAGGGCAACGAAAAGTGCCACGCTTGCAAGAAGCAGAAGTATGACGCTCGTGTCTACCGATGGAAGCTTATCGCTGGACTGTCCCTACCGTTTATACTGGCAACGTTGGACCTCACAATTGTTGCTACGGCGCTACCATCTATAGCCTCTCACTTTAGTGCGCCCCCTTTATTCATTGTTGATCGGGTAAAATTGCTGACAGTTATTGCTCTAGACGAGTTTGATGAGCTGAATTGGATTGTGACGGCTTTCACATTGACCTCCACCACCTTTATTCCCATCTTCGGTCAGTTTGCCGATGTCTTCGGGCGTGGCGAGACTCTCCATCTCTCTCTGTTTTTAATGATCATTGGAAGTGTGCTGTGCGCAGCTGCACAGACATGGGGGATGCTTCTCCTAGGAAGAGCCCTGCAGGGTGTCAGCGATGCCGGGTTGATGAACGTGGTGATGATTATCCTCTCAGACAAAGTGTCCCTGAAGGAAAGCGCAAAGACTAAATCCCTCTTCTCCCTTGTCGCTGGTATAGGCTACGCCGTCGGACCAACCGTTGGAGGGTAAGATAACCAAGTCATCTTGACCATACATAGTATCTTGCTGACGGTTACTAGCTACTTAACAGATGTGAGGCATCTATAGGATTAAAAACTATACACTAGGGACTAACTGGATCAGGCCAACTGGAGATACTGCTTCGTAATATCCATACCTGTACGGCTGACCCTCTTTGTTCAAGATGTAAACGCTAATATCGCCTCAGATCGCCGTGGTCTCCCATATACTAGTCTTCATACTCCTGCGCAATGACCTCGTCGAAGGGACAATGTTCAAGAAGGGCTCTCGCCTATCAGGGATCCTCCCCGCCCTCGCAACCGTCGACATCATCGGCTCAATCCTCTTCCTCTTCGGCGTCGGGCTCATCATCCTAGCCACCGCCTGGGGAGGAGCCAGCTATGCCTGGTCCGCACCTCAAGTCCTCACCCCACTAATAATAGGCAGCATCTGCTTCGTACTATTCTTCATTTATGAGTACTTCCTTGAACCAGGTCGTATCTTCGCCCGCACATTCCCAAAACAAGTAGCCATGCTTCCCTACGGTATGTTCACCCGAACTGACACAATCTGGCTCGCCATCGTCCAGTTCTCCACCGGAGCAGGTAAACCCCCCCCCCCCCCCCCCCCCCCCCCCCCCCGCCCCTCTCCTTCCCCAAGCACCTCCCGTTATCAATCCCAACAGCCCTAACATCAACAGCAATGTACTCCATCTTCTACTACATCGGTATCTACTTTTCCCTCGTAGAAGCCTACCCAGCCTCAAAAGCAGGCATTCAACTCCTCTACTACATCCCCGGCATGGGCGGTATGCACTTCCTCCCTATCCACCCGCAAAAACACTCCAAATACTAATCCAACCACCTAGCGGGTGTCTACATCGCCGTCTTCATGTGTAACGTCTGGCCCGCGCAGACCTTCTTCCCCCTCAACCTCGGCACAATAATCAGCACCGCCGGCCTCGCCATCCTCGTCTATGCCATCGGCACCCAAAACACCCCCGTCATCAACGCTATGATGGCCCTTACCGGCGTCGGAACAGGCCTCCGCTTCATGCCGGCCACGCTGCACATGGTGGGCGTGTGGCCGGAGAAGATCGCGCCCGCGCAGTCACTGATGCGGTTTGCGCAGCCGTTCGGCGGGACCCTCTGTTTGACTATTATGGGGAGTGTTTTCAATAATAAGTTTGCGGGGGGGTTGGTGGTCTTAGGTTCGAATGGGGGGGCGATTGATGTTCATGATACGGGATCTTTGGCGGTTGTTGAGGGTTTGTCGGCGGAGGCGCAGAGGGCGGTTAGGGGCGCTGGGAAGGAGGCCATTATGTGGGCTTTTATTGCTATATTGCCGGTTATGGGGGTGAGTTTGGTGACGGGGTTGTTGGTTGGGAATGTGTGGGTTAGGCCTGGGGTGGAGGATGAGGAGAGAGATGCGAGCGATGGGGAAAGGCATAGTGAGGTGATTTATGTGCCGTATCTGTGGGCTTTATGGAAGGTAATGTTCTTTTCTTTTCTTTTCTTTTCTTCGTTTCCTCGTCTCAGTTGTTCTAATTTCGGCTTCCCATCGCTAACTACTTTATGCTTCCTAGGGTAATATCGACACATATAAGAAAACTAACAGGACGTTACCACCTGCAGAGACTGGGAAGTCGTCCAACCACGATAACAACTCATAATATCCTTTATATTGATTGGATACCAAATAGATAGATAGATATAATATAGACAATAGCACCATGAAAAAAAGAAAACACATTCTCCTAAATGAAGCACCACATAACCCATCCCCTTAACATTAACCCTCACTGCAAAAACAATAGGGGAAAAAAGGATCACCTCAAAACACCCCCAACACCAGCCCACCCAAGCACAAACCCAGACAGTGCCTCCCCGAAAACCCCACCCCCAAGCCACACATCTCTCCACGAACCCTTCCTCCTCATCTGCCTACCACCCCACACCATCCCATTCGCATCAATCCCCTCGATCTCGCCCACGTTCGGCCCGGGAAAGAAGACTCCCGACCCCTGCCCATTTGACCGGTAAAGCAAGAAGATGTGGAAAACGCCCGAAACAACGATCGTGCCGGCTAGATAGAACAGGAACCCCGTTGCGGACTGCAGGGCGAGGATTCCGGCCGTTAGACCCAGGAGGAAAGAGGTGATGGAGTGGAGGTTCGAGAGGATCTGGGTTGGTTCCGTTAGCTATTCTATCCTTTTTTCTTTGAAATGGTTTGCGTGGTCTATGTGCTGTATAGCTTGGTTGGAGTCCAGGGACATACTCGGTTATTATGCTGGACGGACTCTGGGACGAGCGGATTGATTAGGAGGGATATTTCTTGTTTTGTTAGCGGCATTTTGGTGTTTCTTTTCTGTTCTTGAGTTTGGTTTGTTGTTCTTTATTTGTGTGAATTTGTGGCAGGGACGTGTTTTCTGATATTTATTTCTTGGAGAATCGTCGGGTCCGCTTTGTCAATGTGCGTTTTGGTACTGCAATTGGTCAAAGGGACTGGGGAGAGATCGCAATTGTGAGATTTGAAGCTCGGGATAATCACGATGATGGAGGTGGTGTGTATTCTGCCGTGGGATGCCGCCTATGGGGTCTGGGGGTTTGCTTAGTCATTGGGATATCTATGGGATGCCTTAGGCTGGTTAGGGCTTGAGTTGGGAAGCCATTGTTGTTGGAGGCGCTGGGGTTGGGACTAAAAATTACTGTGATTTCATAGTCCGTCATAAGCAGGTGAGGTAGTAGATACTGAAGCAGATATGTATAAAGATGCATAGTTTATCTTAGTGACAATGCCTTTAATATTCGGAGACACTTGCCTGGCATGTTACCACGAAAGCTACAGATCAAAAGAAGTAATATCTCAATTGCTATAAACAACATCTAACCACAACTAATATCCAAAAACATCCAACTACTTATCCACGTTCTGTCCACCAGTTACAACGCCCGTAAGTGCTCCAGTCTGACTTCCCGTAGTCAATCACAACTGACTGCAATCAACCTTACCACAGCACTGATTCTTCCCACTCTTCCAGATACAGTTATTGGCGGGAGCTTTAATATCACAAGGAATTTCAGTAAGATCAAATGCCGTGCACATCTGTGGATCCTGCGAGAAGAAGGTAATCGCCGGGGTTTGAGATGGACAAGCGGGACCAACTCCCCACTCGACTCCTCCAAGACAGTACTTGCCGCAAGGCCATTTGCTCAAGGAGAATTTGCCAGCGGAGGCAAAGTCCTTGGTCTTGCCGATGTGGGCACCATCCTTGGCGTTATTGAGCCATTGGCCTTTATTCGCGCCGGTTTTGACGTCGCCGTAAAGGTCCCGAATGTACACTCCATCCTGGGGGTTGATAGGTGTTCCAGCGGCGCATTTCTCGTCAAGGCAGAGCTGGAACTTGCCATAGTGGAAGTTCATGTCGTCAGGGCGGGCGTAGTAGATTCCGTCCTCACCAGAGCCTAGGGTATTGCCGTTGGGCGCGGTGAAGGTGTAACATTTGCCTAGTGAAAAGTGGCTGTGAGTAGGCAGTTAGAGTGAGGGGGATTTCGTGTTGCAGGAGCTTACCAGATGCCAATCCGGAAGTGCAGATTTCCTCCCGGCAGGTCCCGTTCGGGCCTTCAACGGTGCCTTTAGGGCAGACACACTTGCCGTCGACAAGGACCTTGCCATTCTGGCACACTGGCTTGCAGATCAGACCGTCATAGGTCTGCCCGGTTGGGCAGCACCTGTATCCGACTTCGGGGGAGCCAGCAATGCCATGGCCTACAGCACAGCAGTCGAATGCTGTCTCAGGACTACCGAGAAGATTCAGCCCCGGCAGACAGCAGGCAAAGTACTTCTTGTCGCTGGTAAGGGTGGGAACAGAGCCAAGCGGTAAGGTGCAGGTCTTGGTTAACTTGCACTGAAAACCCGGGTCGCAGTCAGGGTCATTGTACACGATCGTGTTGCCGGTGATGACCGCATCAGGGCCAACTTCGTACGTCGGGATGTTCTTCTTGTACCCCTTGGCCTGAATGGAAGAGGCCTGGAAGAGAAGAGCCAGCAGGCTAAGTTGAACGGACTTCATCTTGAAGGATTGAATGTGAATTGCTGATAGAAGTAATGATTGAAACTGATGATTTGAGTTGTAGACTTGATCGAGCTGAACTTGACGCCCCTTCTTATATGTTTAAGAGACCCAACACTTGGGATTGTTGCGGACGAGATGTCTCCTGGCCAGTCTTTCAGCTCCGCAATATCCCACCACCCTCAGTAACCAAAGGAACAGAACGAAATCCCTCATCATCGGGTCAGGCGACATACCCCTAGCGAGCTCAGTGTGTCTCGTCTCTGGTATATGACAAGAGATAAACGACAGTAACCAATCAAGTACACCACTAGTTAGACTGACTGCAGGGCCTTTGACTTCGTTCAGCAAGCCACTGCCCCTCGATTTGTCACTATCACAGGGGTATGTACTTGATGAGGACAACAGGGGGCCTGGAAGATGGGTCCGGCTAAGGTCACGACCTAAGCCGAAGGATTCTTCTCGAGATCTAGATCAGTATAAGCTCCCCTACTACGATACTACGATCAACTTAGAGAAGAGGTCGGGAATACCTACCGCAGCGTGGTCTCTACAGTGGTATCAGTATACGTAATAAAAAAGCTTGCGCATAGCATCATGTCAAGTTGACATCTTACCTTCATAATGTTTAACATCAAGCTTCGATCGCTAATAGCCTCAACGTCTCTCTCCCTTCTTAGAAGGCGTCACAAGACTAGTACATTCCCATGAGCCAAGGATATCACGTCGCACAACTACCCCAATAGTAGCAGGAACACATATACATTCTTGGATGGAGGCATGCAGAGCACGGTCCAATGAGAAAGCTGAGGTCTCAGCACATGAACTGGTTCAGCATCCGTAAACCAATACCTTCTGTGGCGTGCATCGGCAGGAACGGACCGTTTGTTGACTGGTTGGAAGTAAAACATGGCTGCAGTTAGCTTCGGTAATCGCCGCATTTACATACCCCACGTTGTGCTATTGCTCGGGGAAACTGGGGTCCAGATCCCGCATCCCGCAAGTGACCCTTTTCCTGCCAAATTGTAGATCCCGCTTACGGGGCGGGATCCCTGCAGAGAATGAAGGTAGTGGAGTTGCCAAAGTCATCCTATTCGAGGTAATGGTTTGGCACATGCAGTGATTGTCGCTGCAGTTGCATTCGAGGCTAGCTAAAGGATGAGTATCTATTTGTGACTTGCCGTCAGTCATGAGTCAAGCTTATTGACGGTGGGGTATATGCCCTAATTTCTGCAACTGACCCAAGAGGCCAATTACAGTCCCATCACCTGGGTAAGTCTATAGCTTGATTAAGAAAGGTAGCATTGGTCGTATCTAATAATTAGTTATTGTCTCTAAGACTATCCGGTAATATACACCAAAGGTACGACATTTGACAAACGTCGTTCAATGGGACAGTTAAATTATTGACCGTTTCGAGATATATCGCCTTGATTTAAATAGCTCCTTAATTATCCTATAACTGTGCCAGTATACCTAGTAAGGACGCAGAGGTAAGCCCTAGCGCTGGTCTGCAGGTCCGGAAAATCTATCTTGCTTACCTATGTCCACGGAGGAAACTGAAAGCAGCAGGTAGTTTACCAGAGGATGGGAGCCCTATTGCTGCTCTGCAGCATATCGTGTTTCTGAATAAAGACCGGGTAGGCTATTGGAACCAAAGAAAAGCCTACAAGTATGAGCTACTCGAGGGCGGCAAGTGAATGGTTTGGCTGAGATAGTGCCTGTGACACATCATAAATGCGCCTTCGCTACAGCGGACTTTTGAGTCCCCCAATATGTACAAGTCCTTGGAGGTTCGCTTTTGCGACAGGTGTTTTGTCGTAGGTGTCGTCGTTTGGGCATACCCACTATACCACTGCACTCAAGAAGGAGCAAAGAAGGGCAGTAAGCAATAAACGGGCTATGTGCTTTCTCGGTTCGATTCGAGAGTCAGTCAGAATGGATTGGATGCGACAAAAGAAAGTGATATCCGTGTGAGAAGGTCTTTTATATTCTCTAAGTCGACAGGGATGGGTCGACAGTGTGGAAGCATGGTATGTATAGTATGGAATCACTTCACCCCGTATAGATGGTAGTCGTTAATTAATCAGTAATATACCTAACATAACATCAAAGCTTCAAGCCAATCAGTCAAGCCTCATTCTTGTCATAAACCATTTTCCTGGCCTCGTTACACCTGGGACACAACCGGGCCTCCCATATGCGTCAAGGCCGCCGGAACTGTTGAAGGCAGCCCAATAGCCAAATCCATCAAACAAATACATACAGAGCTTCAGTCACTCATCCAATATGTGATCAGACAATGTCTCGAATCGATTAGTACACGACTTTCCTCCTCAAAAGGTCATCCAATGAATCACTCATGGATATAATCGGATCCTGCCACTTATGCCCAATCTCAATCTAGTCAAATTAATGCAATGGAGAGAATGTTAGAAAAGAAAGATAAAAGAGAAAAATCAAAGACTGAGGAACAAAGACGCCCCCCTTCACATAATATTGTCGAGCTTGCCGTCATTCTTGGCCTCTCTGACCTGTTCAAAGACCTGCAGCTCTGTTAGTGTTGAGTTCTCCAGTACTATTTACATCTGGCGATGGACTCACCTTGAGCATCTTGTTCCTAGCGCCGAGAGCATTAACGCCGCGCTCCTCCAGAGCTTTGTCGTTAAGCTCAACCAGCTCGGTCCATTTTAGATCCTTCAGATTATCCGTATATTTATGCAAACGCAGAGACCTCAGCCAGCTGGGAATGTCCTTCAACAAACTAGGATCGGTGGGATCCTCTGGCGGCTTGGAGCTACCACGACGGCCTCGTGGAGAGCGACCGCGAGTGACCTCCGAGTGATCCGAAAGATATCCTTCGTGACCGCCGAGTCCAAACTGTCCAATGCCAAGCGCACCTAGCCCATTGCCCATGAGAGGATTATTCGGGTCATACGCCGCCAGGAACCCGTTGTTCTGAGGGGAAGTGAATCCCATTGGACCGAGAGAGCCTCCTTGCATAGCAATTCCAGGAGAAGTGGGGCGGGACCGCCGACCCGCCATAGCGGCCTGTTGTTGCGCCTGCAGTGCTGCCAGCTGTTGCGCGTTCAATAGTTGTCCAGCAACAAGGTGGTTGGGGCCCGGAAGACCCGGGCTTGCGAGGCCGCCTTGAGGCATGTTCTGGTTGATGTGTACATTGGCGTTCTTCCCCTGTCCGTCGTTAGAGCGAGCGCGGCGGTATTTCCGAGCATCATCGAGCGCAATGCGGTTGTTCACAGTCGACAATGCAGCCAGCTTCATCGCCGTCGCATTGGCCACCATGTCAGCCTGCGAGTTCTGTTGTTGCTGGTGTTGTTGCTGCTGCGCAAAAGTAGCTGTCATTGGAGTATTGGTCATAGAAGCCCAGCTGGCATTCCCGACATTGTATGGCGACAGAAGAGGAGCCTCAATTTCGGGCGCGGGAATCGTTGCAGTCTGGGGGAGGGGAGAACGAAGGCCAGAGGAAGCCTGACTAAACTGCCCCATCGGCTGCTGGCCAGAGGACGACTTGGGTCGAGCAATGGGAGGCTGACTTTCGGGACCCCGTTGAGCCCATGGAGACACAGGGGGCTGACCCAGGTTGTCCGTGGTGTTATCCGGAGCGGAGATGGTGGGTGCAACGAATGAAGTCCGATCTCCAAATACAGCACTGTTACGGTTTGAGGGAGGAGCATTGCCAGTCTGCTGAGTGAACTCGGCCTTTTTCTTCGCGATGGCTGCAGCGGCATCAGGGAACATAGCATTGATGGTGGAAGAATCCAACCCCGAGTTGCGCTTGGCACCTGGGGATGGCGGAGGACGGCCTAGAGAGTTCCGAGAGCTATCCACGTTCAATTTAGACATCGCGTCGTTCAGGCGGTTTGACATAGCATCTATTCGAAAGACACCAATGTTATTGATAAAAACAATCCAAAGTATTAAATAGCCGACTTACCCTTTTCTCCAAAGTTCGCAGGCGACAGCAATCCCGACATGGGGTGGCTCTTGGCCATTTGCTGCAAAACCTGGATAAAGAAACGGATCTGCACCTGAGTGGTCTGCTGAAGTAGAGCATACAAGGCGGCGGTGCGTTCAGCTTCGCTGAGCACACGAAACCATTGCTCGATAGCACTGAGCTCATCCTTGAAGTCCTGGTCAAGCGTGGCAGCCGCCATTTCTTCTAGTGTTGTCTCGTACTGATCGATATCAGCGAGCCACTGCTGAGCCGCACGATCCAGTGGGTCCTCTGCATTGTTCGACGCCTGGGACTGCTGATTGAAGTACACCTCCGACGACGGACGGATGCTGCGAGACGACAGAGGGGACGGAAAGCCCGACATATCGGCAGACGCTCGAAGCTGATGCGTACCTAAGTTGCGGGATGACGACGGGGGCCGAAGGGTGGATTTGGAAGCGTCCGGAGTGCTATTGCGATTGCCAATGATGTGACTTGCCATGAGGCACGAAATGAAAGTGATGTCGATCAAGGAAAAGCCGACTACAGGCTTCTCTCTCTTTTTTTTTTTTCCTTTCTTATTGCCTTCTGGCTTCGATGTATAACAAATACAGGTGGAAGAAGAATAAGATATTACTGCAAAACACCTGCAGCACCTGCTGAGTTTGCGTAGTATCGAAAGGAGCCTTGATCGAGCAGGCGGGGCTCCAAATTGACAGTCGTGCGGCCGTTAACAAAAACCGGTTTTGACCGAAGAAAATTCGCACAATCTCTCTAAAGACGGAGACACTTTTATTCTTTTCTGAAGCGTGATAACCCAAACACTCTTATGCGATGATGAACGGGGCACAGACCAGTCCAGTGGCTGCACTACCGGATTCGAGTTCTGATGAGGGATTCGAATCGAAAGAGCATCAAAGGATTTCGTCGTAAGGGTGAGGGAGAATTCGGTGGGTTCGCAGAGTGGGCAAAGCGGAGCGTTAACGGGTATAAATTAGGAAGTGTGGGCTTTTTTCTCCTTTTTTTTTGGTTTTTTTGGGTTAACGAAAGGATGTCAGGGTCAACTGCAATAGTGTGTCAAACACAACAAGCCGAATGCCCGAAGCATCAAAAAAGAAAAAGGAAGGTAAGAAAAAAGAGACGGGGGGAGGGATAAGAGGAAAAAAGCGAAGAATGGGGAAGCGGATGCAGATGGGAAGAAGTAAAGGCAAGGAAGCGAGAAGAAGTCAATGAAACGGCGCTTTACCGTTTGGGCGCGGTCACTGGACTTCCCGAAGGAGACAAGACTCTCTCGACCAACTTCTTCCAAATTAATTCCCATCTTCTCGGTTGCTTCGCAAAATCAGAAAGTCTCCACTAACAAGGGTTCTTTATTCGCACTTACTTTCCTTGCTCTTTTCTTCTGTTCTCATTGCTCCAATTCTAATCCGACTCCATCCAAGGCGACCTTGTCCGCGTCTGCACAGACTGCTCTAGCCTCTCCTAGCGTTTGACTGGCGCTTAATTGTTGCTATAATTGAATAAAATAGTTCGGCAGCGTCTGATATCTTTTCTTCTCTTTTTTTAGTTTAATTTTGCATAATATCTCTTGTGTTTCCCCCTTTTTTCTTTCTTTTTCGAAACCTGTCCGCTCACACGTCACGAATTGAATCTGGAAAGGATCCAATTATCTATATTATATTCTATACGCCGCGAATGAAAGTGGATGCATTCTTCATTTCGGCCCCAATCAGAGCTATGATCAGCCTTCGTCCACGGGATCTTTGAGGCCGCGCTTCCGATTATCAAGTTCTCTTTTTCCTTTTTTATGACGGCCTTGCACTATTATTGTGCAACCAGCCCCTCTACTATCATTGGTCCTTAAGCGTGCGCCGGGATTCCTAAGAGAATCCACTGATTTTTATGGGCGCTTGGCTACGAAAGGGGTTAAACAAGATTATAGATCCTGGCGGATAGCAAATTCCTTAACTGTCCACAATGGACTACCCCCAAGAAAACCAGCCCAATCATAATATCCAAGCTGGAGACATTGGGTATCCTGACATTGATGAGGCAATACATTACCCGTGGCAGGGCACCCAGACAACGGTGCAAACCGACCCTATCCATTCGGTGTTGGACCCCCGCCTGTACAAGGACTTATTCCCAAGCAATTCTTCACAATTACCGAAGGAGGCACTACTTGATGAAAACGAGGATGTTGAGGAAGAGTTTGCTGAGATTGACGATGATTCCGCTGAGGACTCCACCTATGAATTCTCTCCCGAAGAGGCCTCGACGTCAGTATATATTTAGATCCTCGTTTGGCTTGATTGACTTTCCCACTTCAAGCTAACACTGAACATAGTGACGAAGAGCTAACCGATGAAGAGGATGAAGGCGAGGATGATGCGTATTCTCGTCGCAGGCGGCGTCATAGAGGCACTGGTCCTTTCTCAGGCCGCTTCGGTGCGCGTGGTGGTAAGGGAATCAAGCGAGGCCCCCGCAAACCATTAGAGCCTAGCCCCGAGTTCAAGATACTGCACTCAGAGGCTACCTCAGCCTTTATTGATGGTGACTATGACCGTGCCATCGGGTTGGTAAAACAAGCAATTCAGGTCAATCCGGAGATGTTTGCCGCCCATTCTCTGTTATCCGAGATCTGGTTGGCACAGGGCCACAAGGATAAAGCGTTGACGGCTCTGTTTAGTGGTGCACATACGCGCCCGAAAGATCCGACGGTCTGGACTAAAGTGGCACGGATGATCCTGGAGCGGGCTGGAGAGGATCGCCAAAGCGCACTCAATGATGTTATCTATTGCTATAGTCGCGTTATTGATATCAACCCAAAGAACTACAATGTGCGTTTCCAAAGAGCGGCCATTTACCGGGAATTAGGGCATAATGGTCGAGCTGCGACGGAGTACGAAAGGATCCTAAAGGAAATACCGCATGATGCGCGAGCTCTGCGACATATTGCGGAAGTCTACATTGACCTAAACGATGTTCAGAAGGCCGTTGACCATTGGGCAGATAGTGTCGAATATTATCTATCTCTTGACCCAGAAGAAGCTCCTGAGTTTTCTTGGTCCGATGTGAATATTTATGCCGAACTTTATGGCTACTTGAATCAGCATGGGAAGGGACTTTGGGCCCTGAAGAAGCTCGCCAGGTGGCTCCTTGGCCGCAAAAACGACACCATGTGGGATGATTTCAGTGAGGATGATCGCGAGTGGGATGCCAACGATTCGCCTCGACGCATCAAAGTTGAGGGCTATGAGCCGGGACGGTGGCCACGAGACTCCTATGGATTAGGACTTCCTCTAGAGCTTCGCATTAAACTTGGACTTTTCCGTTTGAGGATGGGGTATGAACACAAGGATGAAGCTTTAGTAAGTGCCGACGGAAAATTTAGCGTAACTCCTATCCCTAACTCGAACCTATAGCACCACTTCGGGTGGTTGAATCCGGATGACACGTCCGCAGGAGCTCGGCTTTACGATTACGGGGATCTCTTTCGTGAGGTTGCAGACGCACTTAAGGAAGTGGGGTTGTTTGATGATGCGCTCCGATTTTACATGCCGCTTCAGCAAACAGAAGAGTATGCGGATGTCAGTTTTTTCATGGCAATGGGCGATTGCTGTCGACATCTGGATAGGCTCGAAGATGCCGAGAATTGCTTTCTTACTGTTGCGGAGCATGACACGAGAAACATAGAATCTCGTGTACAGCTGGCAAAGCTATACGAGGGTATCGGGATGAATGAACAGGCGCTCAAGTATGTTAACGAAGCCGTCCTACTTGGGAGGCAAGAGACTCGGAGTCATCGACGACGAAAAGACACAAGACTTGAACAGTTGGTAATGGAGTTCAAGTTGGCTGAAGGTGACATTGTGGTGCCTTCCTTGAGTTCAGCTGTGCCGAATGCTATAGGCAATGAGGTTACAGCGCCTGCGCTCACAAGTGCCCCTACAAATGTACTCGATAGAAAAGAATCCCCAGAATCTGAGAATGAAAGGACAGAAAATATCCGATATCTCTATACTAAATTACAACAGTTGCAGCCGAAGGTCAAGACTGGCGGTCTCGAAGCCACGGAGGACTGGCTAGATATTGCCGACGCGCTGCTACGAGAGTTCCGGTCTAACCGAGTGTTCTACCCCCTACAACGCAATGTGATGTTTCTGGGCTATTCACGAGAAGCCCATAAAAAGGCTGGCAAATCCAAAGATCGAACAATGATGGATGAAATGCAGGAGATGGCTGGCCGTCTCCAGGAGTCTCTAGGTACGACTATATTCATAGGTCGCACAACCTTGGTGCAGCTAACACATATGTAGGGACTGTCACCGATGAACCTCTTCAAGGGGCTGTACCAACCGACTATCACGGCATAACTTTTGATGAGTGGCTTGATCTCTTTCTACAGTACGCCCTTATTGCGGCAGGACAAGGTGAATCGGAAGAGGCGTACGACTCCCTTGCTGCCGCAGCAGATGCCAGCATTTGGTATCATTCCAAACCCAGCACTCGCCTGATCCACGTTTGCTGGTTCAGTGAGTATCCCTGTTGCACGTGCCTGTTCCGTGGCTGACCTGATATAGCATGTGCTCTCCGGGTGCAGGACGAAGAAACTCTTGCCAATGAGGCACGCTGGTTCATCAAAGAGTACCAGTTCGTAACTGACACATATCGACTTTTTTCCATGCTGAGTCGTCTCTGCGGCGACCCCCATCGGTCTCTCTTCCATTCATCACCAAATATGAAATTCATGCTACGACAAATCAAGGCCATGGACTACACGCTCCCGGACGAAATCACCGGCCTACGGCCGACCAAGCCTGTAAGAGAATCGATTTACCAGGAGCGCGCACGCCTGTCTACGCGTGATGAGAATGGAGAACCCATTCCGGCCAATGAAATGGACATTGCTCTTCTTGTGCTGTACGGTCATATCCTTTATTCTGGCAATAGCTTTCTCCCGGCTCTAAATTACTTCTTCCGTGCATATGCATTGGACGACCAGAACCCCGCTGTGCTTCTTTCGATTGCCCTCTGTTATATTCACCATTCCCTTAAGCGTCAGTCCGAAAACCGACACTTTATGATCATGCAAGGGCTTGCATTCATGAACGAATATCGACGTGTTCGGGAACAGCCGGGAAGTCTTCCACAAGAGCGACAAGAAATGGAGTTCAACTATGCCCGAGTTTGGCACCTGCTTGGCTTATCCAATCTGGCGGTAGAGGGCTACCAGCGGGTGTTAGAACTGGGGAAGGAGATACGGGCTACGAAGCCGGGATCCCAGCCGGTGGCGCAAAGCGCGGATAGCGATGTGGACATGAGAGACGCAGGACCCGAACAAGAGCCCTTTATCGAAGACTTCTCGCCAGAGGCTGCGTTGGCACTACAGAACCTCTTTGCTCTGAGTGGAGATTTCCAATCGGCCAAGACCGTGACCGCGAATTGGCTAGTTATATAACTTACGAGGTCCTTTCTGAGTGAGTAGCGATCGCGTTTACTGTACTATTATTGTAGAATACCATCATCGAGCACATTCTCCATCTGGATTTGTAGAGACAAAGTAGGCAAACGCCAAGAGCCGTCCATGTAACGAGAAAAGTCAGAACAAAGAGGAAGCATACCCCTTTCCTCTGCATAGAGATAGTATATTGCGGTCATGCAAGGGCTTCCTACTACTTCACGAATATGCAAGACGACATCACACCCCACCTAGACTCCCCATGGAGAGTTAGCCCAACCCATGTGGCCTCCACTCATTAGAAACATTAAATCGTTCAGATTCTGCTCACAGCCTGTGGACATCTCCGCCATCTCCGCAGCCCTAGTAAAACGTAGAACAATGCACCTCCCCCCCCCCGACTCTACAGTTAAAGTCTCTATCTCCCTTTCCTCCTCCCTCACCTTCTCCACAGACCGTTTCTGATAATCAGGGTACCGCCATATCCGTCGTCGTATAAACGTACGAAACGGGGATTTCCCTCCACACACACTGGTGAATCCCCTGATACAAACATTTCCCATTCCACCGCTCCAGCCCGGCAACGCATGCATCGACCTTCTTCTCCTCCAGCCCGGGAGCAGGCCCAACAAGTAGAGTCTTCGGATCGCGATCGACGTAGCTATCATCTTAGGCAAAGTCAAACGCAATAGGGATCCATCAATCATGGATGTGTTCTCTGTAAGTGCAAAGCCTGTGATGTAGATTAACCGGACAACTCCTCACGGCCGGCCCTCTTGCCTTCTGGTCTCGGCGCCCAGGCCTACCAGGGCGTCAGTGCCGACTTGGCCGCCGTAGGAGTGCATGAGGACTACAACTTCTTGGCTGGATTCGATGAGGCTCTCGACGTAGTTGCGGATGGGGGTTGTGTCGGTGTAGAGGTCGGCATTAGGGGGGGGAGGCAGATGCCGTTCATGGAGGCTTAGACGGGGGATGAGGGGTTCGCGGCCGAGGGATTGAAGAGCGGAGGTAATTTTGGTGTAGGAGGAGAGGGTGTGTCATTCACCGTGGAGTAGGACAATAGTAAGGGTGGAAGTGGGCATCTTTATTATTTATTAATTATGTAGTTTTGGTGAAGGGAGAGAAGGTTGGGAGAAGTGAGGTGGTTGTTTTATAACTTGTTTCCCGTGTGGGATACGGGATCACTTTATATAACTCTGTATGTTGGACTTGAAAACCCAATACTAGTAATTACTCTTCCCATATCGTGCTTGTCGAATTCTTTGTTCTCTTGGTTTGGTGTTGGGTCATTGGTTATCTCCTCTCCATACTGTCACTCCCCCTTGATCATACTCCATATTGTCGAATCAGACATATTGGATCGTGTAACCAACAATTCTCGGATTCATGGCTTATGTGGGGTTCAGATTCTATATATCAGAATAGAATCTACTGAGGAAAGCAAGGATAGGGATTCATTTCTCTGTAAACCTATATAGAGAGGAGGTCACCTCACGACAGTCTTGACGCTTCTCATTAACTACCGTCGAGATGTAGGATTCCCTATCTAGATTTGAATTTAAGCTCTATAGTATTATTGTTATCAATCAGCTACTTCTAATAGATAAGGGTATACAGCATTACTTCCCGATCCAATATAAACCCTTCTTTAAACAGTCACTCTAGGGTTAAGCATCAATGCGGGACAGGAGTGTCTTCCTAATCGGGATTAAATCTCGCCTACGTGCTTTATAAACCATAGCCTCACAACACTTCACTCGCTGAGCATCTTTCACATAGAGACTTGTGCATGATGAGTACCTCTCTTGGCTACACCTCACAAGATTCAAAGAATTTAGTCTACATGGTTGGGTCGCCGGGTTCACCCGGGACCGAAGACCTGGAGAGTTTTGCCTATGATCAACTCGATTCCTCCACTGTATCTACACGGCTTCTTGAGCTTTTGCCAAGCAAACCGATGTTCGGCGGTCCGCTGCAATATCGCCCCAGCAAGCTTCGCTAGCAAACCGAAGTATGAAGCTCTGTCGTACTCGTGGGGTGCACAAATCTGCACATAGACGATCATATTAAATTGCCAAAGTTTTCAAGTCACGGAAAATCTATATGATGCCCTCTACTTTTTCCGAAAAGACAAAGTACGGGTAGTGCTCTGGGTGGACGCAATTTGTATAAATCAAGACAACGCCTCCGAGCGAAGCAGTCAGGTCAGTGTCATGCACTTCATCTATATACTCCCGTGCCCAGAGAGTTATCGGCTGGCTTGGTGTTCTAGAAGCACCAAGCAACGCCAAGCATCCCTGGTCCATAGAAGAGCCCAAGCCGAAAGATATCTCTCGCCAATCCTATTGGACACGGCTCTGGATCTTGCAGGAGACCTGCCTCGCACATGACCTGATAGTCTGCACCGATACAGAAACGTACGATTGGAATCGCATAGAGTCAGAGCTTTTGTCTTGGGGTTATTTCCACCCGAGGTGCGGAAAGTTTTCAGCCTCCGGAAGAATCGATATGGACTATATAGACTAGAGCTCCTCGTGGAAAGCTTTCAGGATGCGAAATGTGCGGAGCCCCGAGACTAAATTTTTGGATTTCTCGGTCTTGCGGACGATCCTTGGAGTCATGTTTTGACCGTCGACTACCACGCTCCAATATTCGATTTGTACGCGAGCGTCATTAAAGTGCACCAGACCGCGATACCATTGAATGGTCTGGATGACATTAACAGGAGTATGGATAGGTCTGCTCGACTGATCAAGTAGAGTCAGCGCATACAGAAAGTTTTAGAGTGTTAAGACGACCGCGATGCCGGGGTTCACGCAGTTTCCGAGGATCCCGAAATGTATGAAGCAAGAGGGTTTCTTGTGAGCGAGATTCCGGATATTGGACCCAGCTGTCCCGATACGGTTGGTTCACTAACGGCGTTCAAAGATTGGAAACAGTGCGTTCACACTCACTACAGCGAAGCCTCGGAGTTGGCATTTCTGAAGAAGACCTATGATCATTGCTATTGGTGATCCTTGGAATGGATAAAGCCGGATGAAAAGGTGCGGGATGTGGACAGTAGTGTCTCTTTTGGCTTCCGATGGGATCCAAAAGAATCTATCGAATCCGCAAATCCTTTCAAAACCACCCTGTTTCTACAAATCCAATTAGGACACTACCACGGCTCTTTCTAGGCACCAAGTCATTCATAGGCTTTGCCCCTCCGCATGCTCAAGTCGGATATATGATCTGTCAGTTTTGGGGGTGTGATTTCAACGTTGTACTGAAGACGTCAAGGAGATCAAGATTACTACAAGGTCGTCGGGACTGCTCATGTTTCGATGGCTGAGAGACCCACCGATCCGCTTGATATCATCAATTTGGACCTGACGGCGTGGAAAGATTATTGAGAGGCAGACGAAGACGACCGGTTTCGTCAAATGATGCGATTGAAACTGGATGTTGAAACGTTGCACAAGTTAACTCGCTGAATGAAATTGATAGACATTTATTTTCACACTGTATCTCTGATCAATAATCAAATATCCAGTAAGCCATCCATATCCGGTATATAAGCAGCCATACGTACATAATTTGATGTCAATCCTGAGGGTACTCAGCTGAGGAACCTTTAAAGGTCTCCGTAGAATCCAACAATAAAAGACTAGTGATTGCACTGAATTTATCCTCAAAAACAGCTACACCAGTCTATACTGCACTTACCTCTTCAACGCTTACCGTCAATTTTAAGTCAATGAGTTCTTCCGACAATGCCTTTGATCATGATCACATTGATTCAGAGTCCGTCTCCCTCGTCCCCAAACCTTACCATCTAGATATACTAAACAACTTTCACATATCAGCCCAGGCCCACTGTACCAAGAAACATGGGTCCAAAAGCTTCTTCAACAAATCCAGGATTTTCTCCAGGTTAACAGCGACTGGTTTGGGATTGATCCGTTCCTGCCTCAGCGCGTCCTCGATTATGCCTGTGGGAATGGCACTGTATCAAGCGTAAGTATATTCCCCCACTCGTGCGAACGCCTACCTGACTAGCTTCATCCTAGGCCCCTCTGGCTAATTTTCCGAACGCTACCTTCCAAGGCATTGATATCTCCACTTCTCAGGTCCGTCGCTTCAATGATGAAGCCACGAAGCTACTAGCGGAATCCCACGACCGCATGTTTGCCATCCAAGGCGACCTCTACGATCCACACGCACCCTGGCTTGAGCGATGCACAATGGTCTGCATTTGACGTCTGTGTCATCAGCTTTGCTCTTCATCACACCAAGGATCCGGTGGACATGTTGAAACGACTTCGACAGCGGGTTCGAACCAGGGGCACAGTTGTCGTTGTGGATTTTCTGAAACAACCCTCTGGAGGTCATACAGCTCAACAGCAAGAGGGGAGGGACCAGAAGTACAATGCGGCAGATATGGTCAAGTTGCCTCAAGGGATGAAGATATGGCCGGGATTCACCGTGCAGGATATTCATGCTGATATGGCAAGTTCGGGTTGCGTTGACGTTGAGGTGAGAGAGTGTCTAGAGCCAATCGATGGACCTGAGGAGATAAAAGGACATGGTAGAAATTTTCATCGCCAGAGCTACTGCTACTTAGCGGGGATTGCGTAGTTATTCAATAGTGAAGCTTTACTTATTTATACCTCCATACGTATACTCAAACCACACTACCAAGGAGCATCATCCGCCGTAGCCATCCGATGGGTATCCGGGTTCGCATTCACGAAGTCAAGGATATCCTGCAAGGCAGCCCCCCACGCTCATGACAATCCCCAAAGTTCTTCCGAATATTAACATGTCCGTAATTCATAATCCGCTAGCTCACCGGCGGCGCCTGCGCAGTAGTATCATATAGCTCAAAGATATCCTTCGCAAAACCGCTGAGACAGACTGCCTCGTTCTGGTTCAGCGTTTTCAGGTTAGACTCATATCCCTCGCTATCTTCGGTTTCGAAAAAGCCATACAGGACTCGGATCCCCACCGGCTCCAGCGTTTCTCGGACCAAATCTCGCAGCGCTTCAATGGAGCACGCTTCACCTTCGGAGCACTTGTCGGGGCTCTTTATATCCAGCCAGATGAACGAGATCTGTTTGCCGCTTTTTTGCTGCTCGGCAATGAACTCAAAGAGTTCGCGAGCTGTGGCGCCGTGAAACGCGGTGGCCGTGATAGCTAGGAGGGAAATCACGCAAAGGTGCGCATCAGAGAGGATGGCGAGGGCATCTTAGAGGGGGTGGGTATCTAGTCGCATAAAGTCAAGGATAAGGATTGGATGGGACGATAGTTCACAACCAAATCACGACGTGGGCGAGTCTAAATAGATTAAAAGAGAGGCAAATTCCGGGCCTTTCTCCTACCCACACAGTAAGCGTACCTATATTATAATGTCTTACACTGGCGACAATGAGAAGTTTTATGCCATTACGCAATTGAAATCCGGGGTCTGAACATAGGGCTGTGAGCCAAGGAGCTACTTCTTCTGCCAGTTCAAGTCGTGTGTCACCAGATCATGCCGCATGCCGAGGAAAGACCGTTTCATCCTATGGAAAATGAATGCGCGCGACGATCGTTACCTTCTTCCACAGATGATTATTGATATGATAAGAGTTAGGAGAACCAACAGAGGTTGAGCGGTCATTTCCGATTGGATTCTCTGTGTTCCCCTTTATCTTGGCGGTTTATATATATGGATATCATTGTCTCCTGCCCTAGGCGCAAAAGTATGGTAATAAGGCCCCCTGGTTCGTGTTGTGTAGGGCGCTAATGATGTGCCATTGTCACTTTGTGTTCTTGGGAATTCCACATCCAACGCTATGGCGACCACTAAAGTGTTCCGATCCAGAGATGAATCAGCCCTAAGGCAACGACAGTGGCACGGAGAGTGGCTACTGCGGCTTGGGAGAAAGAAAGGAGTCTTACAAATCTCCATCTCTCGCCCAGTATGAATGTTTCTATACTGCAACCCGAAAGTACAAGAAGTAAATTCTGGATATGTGTCATAACAATGTGGCCATAATTGCTGCAACAAAGAAGAGATGCCAAGATGCCGGTCACTTTCCTCGTCTAGAACGCGAAGAGCTAGCAGGGATACTAATGTCCTAGGGCATTCCCATTCGGGGACGGATCCCCATTGTCTCTGTGCGGTTGCGACATATATCTCCCTCTCCTCTATAATCCCAGTTGATATATGTCGGGTGTAGCCGTCATATATGCCCATCCCGACAACCATCATGAAACCGTTTCTTTCCGGTGCTATTCTTGTCCCTCAGTGGCACGGCCATACGTTATTTTGGGCCAAATCACAAGAAGCAACGATTTGTATATATTGCATGCATCTCCAGATCCCAGGCAGAAAGAATCCTTAAAAGGTGGCGCAGTGCCTAAAGAGACAGTGAGATGGTATGGTACATACAGTACTTAGGGTCCTAGTACCCTCACCGTTTGGTCCCCCATGCTTCTCTTTCCAATTCTCTAAGATCGATGAAGCTTACGTGTCTCCGGAGCTCGGACGCGTGGGCTATTATCACCGACTAGTGGGGCTGTAAGTAGCCTATGCCACTCACTGCTTTCGGCTCGCGTGGAATTACGCTGCTTCTAGAGATAAATCTCTGCTATCATTTGATTAGGTGCACAGCCTGTCTATCTCTGAGATAGAGGTCTCTGTATGGAACTTTTTATTAATCAGAGTTACATATTCAGAGGAACATTCTTCCTACATTTGCCAAGACGTGAGTCAATTCCGCGTATGTCCCATATCGAGATGCAAAACCCAATAGGCAAATAAAAGTAGAAAGGTGATCGGGCTTTGAATATTCTAAACGAAGGAGTTGATCAACTTCTCCAATAGCCTGGCTGGATTGGAAGTTGAGCTAGAACCCGACTTCTCAGTGTCGGCGCGATGCCAAATAAGGTATAACAAAACCCAATAGGCGATTCAACATAACGTAATCGAGAGCATTGAGGATCACTCTCGAGGAACGGAAATTAAATGTACGATCTAGTAGTTGCGGGGATTTTCGTAACCAATAACGGACCTGCTGCGCGTTGAAGCTTATCCAAGATAAGCTTATGCATCGAGACTATTCTACGCCACGGAGTTACCATCCTATGAGGATTTGTTGATTTTCATACTTATTTTGAAGTGATTAGATATAATAGGGAGTTCGGCATTACTACTCGGATTTCGAAGCGCCTTGCAATGCCATGATATGTAAGGAGGTGAATTAGGGTTAGCTGCATGTTCAGAAGGCAGTATGTGCCGTTGTATAAACTTCAGTGTCGCATATGAGATAGCCTATTCTTTCGCTAAATTTTACCATGTTGTATGCTTCACTCGTACTATGAATAAAAAAATAGATTTTATCATTATCAGTGACTTCTGACTACGCCCCATTCCCCTATCTTAGGGGATGAAACATACAGTGACTACCACATCCACTCTATAATGAAGTATATAATTCACAGATAGCAGGACGATATAAAGCTCTTCATTTCCCTCCTTTTCCATTTCATAAAACCTCCCAATCTCAGCTCTATCCCCCGCTCTCCCACACTCCTCCCCTTTATCTGGTTATGAAAAGTTCTATATATCTTTCCTCCAACCTGTACAACATTCAAGCTGAATAAAACTCTTCAAATATATTGACCATCAAGTAGTTGATCATCCTTCTACCAATCACATCGCGACGACTAACCAAAATGTCGGCACTGGAGCAAAGAGCTAATGCCCAAGACCGACACGAGACTACATACCGCCAATATCTGGGCCCGCCTGTACCCGCTGTTTCTAAACGAATACAGTCGGAGATCATGAATATCAGTTCGCAACTATGCATCGGTGTGCCGGGCTGCACTACAAGCTCGTGCCCACGATATAGACAAATAGCCTTAGGCTAGATTGGCCGTACAGTTTTCAGGGGATGAGATAGGGTCTCTGTGTATCTTCTCCACTTCGCAAGATACAAGCCATCAGCGTTCTCTGAGATGTTCCTCCATACATCATTTGGGAAGCTACTACCATGATACGATAGAGGACTTATAAGATGGGTGGAAGAATTGCGAGAGAAGACATCATCGATGGCTAGGTAGATGCTGTGTCCAATCCTGCTGGAAGGACGCGGAATTATCGATCACACTATGAGCAACCTGGATCTGGCAAACTGCCCCCAACACCTCTTAAGTCAAAGGGCCGATCCAAGTGCCCCACCACCAGGTAAGAACCCCCTCGGTACGCTTTCTGGCGCTGTATAGGGGATATGGAAGGTTGCACTACACCACGCGCGACGAGAAGGCGTCGATCTGGCCGAGGGGTTGCGGATATCGTGCGCCGACGAGACCTTGAGGTGCCGGACCCGATCTCTCTCCGCCTCGGTGTCGCCCCGAACCGGGCGCCGGGGTTTCCGACAGCCTGGACGGCCGGAGGAGTGCCCTGGAAAGGCTCCATATCGACTGGGAGGGTACCGTGCCACCTTCTAGGTGCAAAATAAGCTCTTATATCAGCTCCTACAGTAGAGCAAAGGCCATAACACCTATCAAGCAGAAAAGGAGAGGTGAAGCTTGGACATACATAGGCCGAACAATCATATCCTCCGACTGAGCATTCAGGTTGCCCTCAAGTTCCTTCGAGTACATTCAAAGATTTGTGTCACAAGCCACCCAAAGTAAGACGATTACACGCGAGAGGGGTAGACTGCCAGCCGACTATTATGGCGCGATATGCGAAATAGGTGGATACAGATAGTTTGTCTTGAATCAGCCCGTACGCAAGAGCAATGTCTATAAACCGGAGGCAGCACTCGCCCGCCACGACGAAACCGAGTTGCAGACCAGATTAGTATCTTGGGCTATGGTTTTCAAAAGAAACAGAATAACGTGGGCTGCATCCTTTAATAAGGGCCCGCATGCCATAGCAGCATGGAAGACAACCATTATCGCAAGAGGACATCAGTCTATACTCAAGATGACTATTCGCCAATTCCCCCATCTCCGAGATTTACTAGGAGAAGAAACCTTTGACTTTGTACTGCAAGCAGCATCTTCGATAATAACTTCTCAAATCTCCCCAGCTAGACGCCTCTAGCAACCAATTTTCTAGATGTCTCCACATACCTAAGAGGTGTAGGCAGTGACTCAGAGCTGTCCCGAAGACTACCACCAACCAAGCTCTCCCCTCTCCCTTCAGTATGTCTAAGCTGATAGAGAATAGCCAGAGACTCGCGGAGGGTCTTGTGCAAGGCATGAGGCAGCATGTCTCCACAATTTCCAGAAATTGCAGGTCCAAATGCCAAAGCACAGAGCGCTAAACATCACCCTTGCCGACATTATTCACGCCGAAGGATAAAAGAACTCGTTTCCACCGTGATGAGCATCCTTTGCTATCCGATATAAAATTGAAAAAATATATATCGTGGATAGCGCGGTGTTGAGGCGTCATCCATATCCACTCCGAAGTCACGGCATAGCATTGAAACCGAAGACAGGTATCTATGAAACTAGGGACAATTTATCAACTTCTGTCCATATAAAAACAACGCGAAATTAAAGTTGTCAAACTAAATTCTATAAGTTTTCAAGGCCAATAGGCAAGTATTGCAAGACGGGCAGCGTGAAGCTTATGTTCCTTCTCATACCACCGTCGTTAAGAGGAGCATGGGTACTGCCCACCAACTTCCGTCACATCAATGAGAGACTCCCCTTTTCTTGTCCTACATTTCCTCAAAGTTATGTCCTTCTTGCCTGCATATCAGCCGATCAATTCCTCAATGGTATCCCTAAATCCCCGTGGAGCACGAGAAAACGATGTAGATGGGGCAGCTCATTCAAGTCGAACTACAACGTGAACAAGAACAACTACGACATCATGAGCACGAACGAGACCTTAGTCCCAGGAAGAGTTCGAGACGCTCTATCCGTGGGACTTGAAAGGTGCATGAGCTAGCGAGGGCCGCATGGGTATCGTAACAGCTTTCTCTAAGCAGCCCGGCCTATTTCCCATATCTACACCAAGTCTCTCATTTGTGCTATGTGGCTATGATCAAGCTCTTCAAAGAAATATATATATCATATTTGCAAGAGCCATCCATGCCGATCTTTCCAAGCCTGGTATAAGTAAACTAATGTACAGTGAGTAAAAGAAACAGTGGTTATTGTTCTAGATGAGTCTGGTAGTATGATGCAGTCCAACAACATCTAATGCAAAAAGAAGTAGAAATGGAGCGATCAGTCGGCCTTCTTGTCGTCTTCTGCGTATAGGTCCGAATCATCGAAGAAGACAGCTGACTGTCGGCGCATCTCCTGGAATATATTTCCCGTGCTCCTCCGTCTGTTGCGTCGGCTACTCGGAGGGTGTAGACGAGATGAATCCCGGGACGGCACAGCAGAATCAAATTCTGAGCTATCCGATAGATCCTCTTTGCCGTCAGGCTGACGATCCGGGAGGTTATGATCAAGACGTTCAGATAGTGGGTCTGACGTTTCACGAACATGACCGCGACTCCGATGGGACTCCACCGGTGGCACCGTGGGGGAGCTTTGATGTAGCCCTGCCAAGATAGCATTTTCTATTTTGAGCCTGTTCTTGATAAATTGTATCATGGGGAAAGCGCTCTGCTGGCCAACATTAAGCATGCGCGCCAATCGCTCGGGCGAAGGATCCGAGAGGATATAGTAGAAATCGGATGGGATGGTCTTAGGCCATATTGTTATGGTACCACTAAACTTTTGCAGCCAGATCTCGCTCCAATCCTGGCCAAGTGGTCGCGGCAACAGTTCTAAATGTCGAAGAACTCTAAGCCATTTATTCAGATCCAGCTTGATATACTGTTCTATCGCAGATCCCAAGAAACCGCCGCGCCAACCTCGGCCTCTCCGATGTGTGACTGGTCGGCCAACGGATCCTCGAGAACTGAAGAAAAAGAGGTTGATATGGGGGTTCACCTAGTAAAAATTAGATATTTCCTTGAAATCATCCGATCTTCAGGTAGCGACAGTCTCACCTGTGAAACGATAGTGAAGTTGACATTGAAATGAAGGTTCAACGCTCGAATGGGGATATCTGTGCGCAAGCTGCCATCTTTCCACTTATGCCCAAAGGAGTATGGAGCGAGTGTACCGTCACGCTTCTTAGTCATCAGAACAACCGGGTTCAGTATACCAGGCACCGCGGCTGAAGCAAGCACGGCGCTCCATATGACACAATTTGGGGAAGTCAAATAGTTGGCCAGAATCGTAGGCGAATGAGGGTCGGATGGCACACACGAAACATTTAATATCCGCCCTGTTCGTTCGTACGCTTCCTTAAAAGTGGTTGACCCTCGGCAGAACCAGCTACACTCACGAGCCCAGGTGATAGTGTCAAACCGGGCTCCTGTCCGCCACCAACGCCACATCCATGTAGCGATGCCTTCACTACTTGCCCGTATGCGGTGCGCAAGAGCAGGAACGAGTAGCTGTTTCAACTCTTCGTCTGTTCTGGTAGCAATTAGGGCAGCAACCAAAGCTCCTCCGGACGTCCCCGTAATGATTTCAGGCAAGACTCCGTTATCGAGTAACGCTCTAGCCACACCAAAGTGGTAATAAGCAAAAGTGGCGCCTCCAGATAAGCAAAGGGCAGTTCGTCCGAAGTTAGTATCCAGGTGCTTGAAATGATGATGCTTGTCCTCGCTGCTAAGTCGCTTATTGTTCGAAACCACCTGTATACACTTCTCCACTTCGCCGATGTATTCCCGCACAAGGTTTTTGGTTCCGGAATATGTCTCGCTATAAAGCCGGGGATTTTCAACGCCCGCAAAGTTATTCTTGACACAGCCCTCTAGCAGTGCACATAGTTCCTCCACCGGGGGCATCTCCGTCAAGCTGGAACCCTCATTCTGCATCTGCGACTCAACATCTGTTCGCGCCTTTTTCAACTGGCTAACTAATTTGCTGATCGTAAGGTGATCGTAGTACGCATATTCGTCTATTTCCTTCCACTGTTGATTTCCCAGGTGGTTGTCAAGGGCTTGAGCGGCTTTCAGCCATGCGTCGTAATTCGTCTGCTTCCAAAGTTCCCGTCTGAGGGACTCCTTCTTGCCCCTCCAGGATACCCATTGTTCATATAGAACGATGTAGAAGCGAGTTAATGCGTAGGCGAATCCGAGGACCGTAATCCAGCCAAACACCGTGAAGAGAAATGGCCATTTCAGAACCGTGTAAAGTACACCCTCCCTCGTTTCATCTGTGGTACGTCTGGGCTTCCTCCGACGACTGCGGTTCTTGCGAACTCGTTGGTAAACCGGCCGCCAGTCGTTGAGAGCCACTAATGAGCTTGTCTCGTTATCATTTAACGCATTTTCAAATTGGCGCAGGTCGTCGGGGTCGATGAATTCTCGGTCATAGTCTGGGATTACCTTGGGATCGTATATGTCGCAAGTCGCAGACTTCACCGAGGCGGTCATTGTTGGAGATGGATCATGATGGATGGTAAGATGACAATGTTGGGATCTGGTTGAGCTACCAATGGGACTCAAGTCGGACAAGGAAATGTACATCGACGTCACGTCACGTTACACCGCCTCCTTCCCCGTTTCACCAGCCACTGTCTGTGGCGCATTGGGGGCCTTCGATGAAGGCTTGGCATTTAGAGTCTTTTTGGCCCAAGAAACCGTTTTGACCCCGCGCTCGTCAAGACGGACCGAAAACAAAGAACCATGGGTCCCACCGGACATGGGTTTAATCTTCTTTTACGAACGTCTCTCAAAGTTACACGGGAGTATACTAGTTAAGTACTCCTTACTATCTAGTACTCGTTAAAAAAGGACCACCATAGAAACAACAACAACAATGATAATGCTTATAACAGTTATTATAATCCTCGTTTCACGTTTCTTGTCTTTTTGCGTCTCTTTTGCTTTTTCTGAAAGGATTCTAATCACCTGCATGATTATACCCCCAGGATTCTCTTCAATGGATCAGACCATCACTGCATGCAGATACATGATCTGCTCTATCACTTCCCGCCTTCTTAGCCGAGTAAACTCAGATAGAAATCTGATACATCTCTCAACCGTGGGAGTCTATAGCAAACATCCACCCCTCCATTACAAGCCGTCAAGTCGCCATTACGCCAAAAACGTGCTTATCTAACTGGCCCGTGACGCTGATAGATCGACATTGCAGAGAAGCGAAGCCCCGTCAATCCTTACCAGAAATATCGCATGCACACCGACCGACGAGTTAGGTTTGGGTAAATTACATAAGTGTGTAGCCACGTACTTGAACGAAGCATGTGTCGCTGAAGTCCGGGGAGCATTGGAATGCGTCCTGCCCACGCACACAAAGATTCTGCGTGGGAGAAACACGCGGGATCGATGACCTAGCGTGATAATTGAAAAAAGTTTTAGGTTATGAATGAAGTAGGATGCGCAATCAATGTTGACAACCCCCGCCAGTACTAACTCTGTGTATGTAAAATAAAGACGGCGTACAGTACCAACGTCAAAACGGAATTGACGGAACCCCCGTTGGCAATAGGGTAGGTAGGTAACACCTTATGCAGCATTTCATTTCCACCATTTGGAAGGAGAACCGCCTCTTTCCGGAAGCACTTCGCAGCATTAGGGATCTAAATCTCAATAGTACGGTCAGGTTATATTATATCAGCGACAGTCTGTATCACCTCAAAGGGTTTGAGGCTAGGTCGACTATAGGACGATGGCTATATTGCAAACAGGCCTCTTATGAGAACATTGAGCATTGCATTGCGGGGTAAATATCCAGTTAGTCCGGAGAATTTTTTCAAGTGGCAATCGAGGATGGGCCTTGAGAAGGAAAAAGAAGGCTCCTAATAATAGTTATGGAGAAAAATTGTTCATCAGCTTTACTCTGATGCGGAGTTAAAGTCAAGGCCAAAGGGCGACAGTAATGAGGCGGGTGGATGATTTGCAGCTACTGCTGGATATGGTTGGTCTGATGTAGTCCAGCGAACTAAGCCAATCAAGGTAAAATGGCTTCGTGGTCGCCTTCGGACTGCGGCTTTAGTGGGTTCCAGGGTCATTTTAGCCTACTTGTTTGGATGCCACCCAGGAGACTTATCATGCAATAAGAACGCACCGGGAACGTGACCACAGCAACAGTTGCCTGATGAGGTTTTTTTTTTCCTTCCAGCTCACTCTGCATAGACTCCAGTGTTCTTGATTATAATCTTATTTTGATTCGTTTTCTTTGAATGTAGATGATTGTTGTTATTGCTGCTGCTTTATTTTAGTACTTATCTGACATTTGTCACCTTTCTTTCCACCAATAAGTATAGATAAACTCTTTCCACCTTTATCCACTCTGAGATATAACCGCTCTTCCAGGATTTTCCAAACAAACCGAATATTGAGACCTCCCGGTAAATGAGGATATGTTTGTCGGATGGTGTCTACCGAGATGAATTTTATTTTTAATAAATTAAACTCCTCGCGCGGTAACCGCTCTCTGTTTCGTAATCCACTTGAATCCTTTGGATGATAGTAACATTTGACCCCTTTGTCTGTAGTATGGAATTCCTAACTGAATCAAACGCTCTCGTGGCTTTCCTAAAATGGGAACCTGCATCAGGGCTAATTCTAAATTTCCCTTTCCCCAACACCATCACGTCCGTGAGCTCATCTTCGCCCTTGTTCTCCCGCATTCTCTCTAATGCATGACGATCGGTTCAGTGGTTTTTTCCACTTGGACGTGTGCCACACTAAGCATTTGGGGGAATTAGTCCATACAACGGGGGGTTCGATGCCTCGCTCATCGCCATCTCTGCTTGGCACTTTCTTAACCCTTCCGTCACTCCAAGAACATAAATGCCTACTCGGATGGATGTGATTGGTAGGAGAATCTCACCTCACGGGAGCCACCCGTTGATCATTCGAGCGGTTGACGACCGGCCGGTGGAGACCCGCCTCGTCGTCAGATCTCTCCATATCCACCAAATGACCCGGCTCGGTTACCTCTTTTGGGGGGGGAGGAAGATTCGATTTTGCATATGTAGATTTTTCTTTTTTGATTGTTCTTTTTAGACTTTTCTTTTGTTCTTAGAAACTACGATGTCATAATTTTAGGACCATGTGAGTGCTCTGGAGCTTGATTGGTGACCGGCAGAATAAGTGCCAGTAGCTAGTTCCTTTAGTTTCGAATACCGATTCTTTCCTTCATGTACGGGGGTACGATATATCTCCATCCTTCTATCTGATCCCTGATGACGGTATATGTAGAAAATGCCTGTATCGGAGAGCGGAGGAATCCAAATGGTGTTATCGCCAAGAAGATTCTTTACCCCATAGTGTAACACACGATGATCCAGGGATCTTGGTTAGCATTACTCCTTACTTCGTGCAGGATATCGAAAAGGTTATATGCCAATCTAATTAAATATATTTCTTTTTTCTTTGTTTTCATGTATTTCGTTGTGCAGGACTCCTGGCATACTCAATCATGCAGAATTTGACTTGGCATATATCCTTCCCGTTGAGCGTTACCGCAGCTAAACCCAAGGTATGTATGTATCTCCCTCAGCATGCTGCGAGTCAAAAACATACATTGGTAGTTTACTCGGCACCTTGTACATCTACCATACAGATAATGCCTTATGCACGCTCACCTAGGGTAAAACTTGTTTTACACCTGTTTCCTCTTTGCCCCCCGATTTATCATGGGTCATCTCTAGAGGTAAGGTGTGTATCATGTATGAAACATGGTTGAATCGACTGAGGTATCATGTGTGTATGGTCCCGATCATCTTTCATCGGAAGCGTTTAAAGAAGCGGTGCATCTAGAGCTAAGGTAACTTCAGGGCTGGCTATTACCATATCCGGGCGTGTTCCGGCCATGTACCCGTTCATGGACGTCATCCATTCAAAGCCACTGAGCAATATCCTTGTAACGATGGATGTCTAGGAGAGGTCACAGGAGTGTGGGCCACTGAGATGGAACAAGGCGAAGGAAGAAAAAATAGTCAGAATGGAAAGATGGGGTTGGACCCGTGGGTCAGTTATGATGTAGTATGCTGAATGACTTATTTTCCGATTTGGGGGGGAATGGAGGGATGCCAGTGGTGTGATGATGGAGCATGAGCGGTGTGACTGACAGGTGGATGATACGATCGTGACTAGTGCTATCGTTTTCTCCGATAACCCACAGTAGTTCCCGATCCCGATCTTCTAACAGATTTTGACAATGAGATATCAAGTTCAAGCACTGACTCAAAGGGCTAAAAATATTCGAACTCATGAGTCAAAGAGAACCGATCATCCGTTCGAACATAACAGTCGGTGACTGGAATATCCGGGACGGCAGCAGGCTGAGGTCATTTGATACTGAAGATGAGGAGCTAAAGAATTAGTGCCCTCCACTTGAGCCTCCAAAGAATGTCAACGTCAGTGCGAGATACCGACTCTCTTCTCCGGACTACTGGAAAAAGAACTTTCTTCTTCTAGGAGCTGTTGTTCCGAGTTTCAGATGAGGTGTTTCCCACAGGAATGTATCCGATGGATCGCATGCACCCAAGCACCATGGATCCGTGGGGATTGTCCTAGACCCTTCATAAAAAATGAAGCCGCTACTGTATGGTCTTTTTGCACGATACCTATACTTAGGAACTAGGATTTGGTACTACTGAGGTACCTAAGTCCTAGTCATACCCCTATTCGCGCCATTCCTCTGCATGCGCCAACCTTCGAACACCCCTACAGCCTCTATACCCGGTAAAGCGTCATGCAGGTGACCAGGATATGTCTGTGATTCGTCCAATGTGCACGTACTTGAAATGCCCGCCAGGGCGCTATCAGCTGCACGTTGCGCCCCACCACCAATCAACGTTGCGTAAGGACCGTACCAACAAGTGGGCCTTGCCAACCTTAGGTAACGAAAGCACGGGTCACCTTTACACCCTTCCAACCATTTCCCACCCTTCCCCCCAATAAAAAAGAAAAGTAAAGAAAAATAAAAGGTTAAACAGGCAGCGGAAGGGAAAAAAAAAAGAAAAACTCTTTTTCACCGACCTGCAGCTGTAGGTTGAAGCCCTTTGGATGACTACGGAAATTACAAAAAAACTATTCTTTACTGATCCGCTCATCTGCCGTAATGGAAGTATATATACGAATCATTTTTCAAATTGTTATAGATGCCTGTTAGCTTTCCCCGTTCGTTTTATGACCTTTTGTCCATAAATTGGATTTAATCTATTATCGCACCATACCATTTCAATAGTATACTCTCAAAGGTCGGCCGATCGGGATACCCGCTCAAGAAACTCGGAAAGTTACTCCACCTTACAGAGCCGAAGAATGTCACTTACTGGGTTGGGCGTTGTTTTGATTGATATGACTGACTCCTTTCAATCTGAAACTGATAGATATGTGTCGTTCCAATGGTTCACAGAAGGGCCAAAGGTCATTCTCAATATTAGGACGTTGCTTACTAGGTCAATATTCCATTAGAAATAAGGAGAAGGTTTATAACCCCGCCATCGGAGACACATTTCATACTCTTGGTCAAAGGTTCCAGAAATAATTCTGTTCGATGACTTCCAGATAAGGACAGATGAGCGGTCGGCACGCTTGGTAAACGACGAATATACGAACCATTATTGCCACCAGTAGTACTCCGTACGAATTACAGATAAAGGGGTAAAAGGTTAAACAATTTAGAATAAAAAAGGAAATAAAACGAGATGGAGTCAGGGAAAAAAACATGGCTCGGTAGGCCGTACATTGGAGGCGTAGGTATATACGTACAGGGTAGTATTCTGTACCCGGCTGCGCCCGTACTGTATGGTACGTATGCAAGTATGTTGAGCACGGGTACGGCGGCTCGCCAACCAAAGGGAGATCAGAACACGATAAGAGGGTATCATTTTACCTATACGATATTTAATTATATTAGTATATCGCCAGCCGCTGTTCCCTCAGTTTCTTCCTTCTCTCCCTGTGTCCCCCTCTCTTCTTTTCTTGCTTTTCTTTTCTTTACAGCCCCTCTTCTCTCAAGAGTATATATAAAGAAAACAAGTTTAGTAGTCATCATCTGCATTGGTCCCTGTTCCTTATTTGTGCGTATTAAATTACTGGCTTTTGTTTTTCCCGTTTCTTATTATTTTCACTCCCTTGACATTTTTCCCCCTCCCCATTTTAACTCAAGCTAAATTACCTTGTCATTCGCTGCTGACGCCTCCCAGCCCCTCTCAGCTGATTGATCGAGTGCACATCCATATCCACCGTTGCCCCCCATCATCCACCACCACTAATTCCACTAGACTGTGGTTCTCGCATTTTAGCGCCTTTCGATCATCTTTTCTATCCCATCTCATCCCGTCTTCTCTTTGGGTGGTCACTGCTTTCAGCACGCCTCGTTTTCTCCTGTCCAGGCGACTTATCTCTCTCCCAGCTGAGTTCAGAGGATCGCTTCCTTCTCAGCTTTCTCCCTCCAAGGTATTCACAAACCATTGTCGTGGTTGGAGACCTCGTGAATTGGTTCAAGGTTTCTTATCTATTATTTTAAACCCGGAGATCTTCCTGGTAATTTTTTTTTCCACTCTCTTTCCTTTCTTCTCTATCCCTCATTCCGGCTGCAGTAACCCTCCCAACAGCCACTACATACTTACGACAGTCGGGCATGGGAGACGTGCTTCAGTAATTGTGGCTGACTTGTTACTTTCCTTAACGTGCCAGGTCCTTCGCGTCTCACTCCCTCTGTTGTGTGCCAGCAAAATGTCGACTTCTGTTTTTATCACTGCGAGTAGTTGTTGAGCGCTCCTCTTCAAAGTTCGCCTGACGTGATCGTGTCCCGTTGGGCGAGGCATTGTCCGTAATGGAGAAGCTGAACAATGAAGATGGACAGCTTTTCATAAAGGTTCGTATATCATACAAACGCATCTTGTTTGATCATGCCTATCCGATAGGGTGACTTTTTGACTCACTAACTCGGGGTTACTATGTAGAATCTCGCAAGTTTCGTACGAACTCATGAGAAGGCACTCGCGAACGCACTTCAGTTAAAACGCCAGCCTAGCAAAAATGCGACGCCCACCCAGTCGAGCTCGCAGACGAGCTCGGCGTCATCCGCTTTGGCGGCAGCCTTGTCATTCGGTGCCTTGAAATTTGCCTCGCAATCCATTAAACCCGCTAAACTCACCTTAACCCCTCACCATCTCTTCTATCTCCTCTCTCGATTTGAAGACCTCTCTATAGCCGTGGGCCCTATGAATGTAAGACTGGAGAATATTCATACAGACGTGTCGCAGTCCTATGTTTCATTCCTGAATAAGCCTCAACGTTCCAGGGGTGACAGGGAATCCATTCACTCAGTATCAAGTGTCCGTAGTGTCATGTCTGGTATGAGTGCTCTCTGGTCGTCATTCGGGCTAGGCTCGAAGGACTCCATCTCCAAGTCAGAAAAGGCCAAAACGGCCCTAGAAGCAGATCTTAAATACTTATACTCTGCTTTCACTAAAATTCCGTGCTTACGCCTAGCCCCTGATCGTCGTGCCCGCCTGATTCGCGGATACGAAGAGTTTCCATTTGACACCGCTGTCCCTCTCCACTCCTTTAAAAATTTGGGCGGGCTAGAGATAATTGATATAGACTTTCGCTCGTTCTTCGGCTGGGACCGACTATCCGAGCAACTACGAATCCTTACTGTGAAAAGAGCAAATATTGAGGATCCAGCAGATCTGTTGACGGGAATTGTGTTGGACGACATCGACAAGCGTCGACGGCGGTCATCCAAGAATCAGCCATCACCGGTCCTAGGATGGAGTGGGAATACGTACCCTCAGCCAGTCTACAAGTCTGACATCCCTGGGTCTCTCTCTGCCCCAGGCTCCCCAATGGCTGATACAGCGTTCGGCACCAGCACAAGTCCCCAGGCGGTCCCCATGCTTAGGGTAGGATCAGAAGGCTCTAGAGGGCATGGACGGGCGGGAAGTATCTCACCTACGCGTCCGGCGAGCTCGAAGCACTCTTCTCATCGCCATAGCCGGCGCATACGACGTACCGGATCTGGTAGTTCAAACTCGAGTGATAACACCGGTCGCAATGGAAGTTCTTCAAACCTCCTTACCGCCGGCGGTCTTCCGCCGTCTAAATGGCAGTTCTTGCGGCATCTGGGTTTACCAGATAACTCTTTAACCTCCGTCACAGCCGCAGGACTCGCCCCTGTTGCTAATACGCTGTATTCTCTTGACCTGTCGGTGAATCTCTTCACCGAGGTTCCTGACAGCCTCGCAACATTGGTTGCCTTACGGGCCCTTAATCTCTCACATTGCATGATAGAATCTCTCCACTCATTGTCCCGCAATCCTCTTCCTGCTATAACCGCTCTTAACCTTCGTGGCAACCGGCTTCGCTCCCTCGCGGGCATCGAAAGGCTACTTTCCCTGGAAAGGCTAGATCTCCGAGACAACGATCTAACCGATCCCACTGAGATTGCTAGACTTACTAGTCTCCCTGAAATAAGGGAGATCTGGGTGTCTGGTAATCCTTTTGTGAAAACGCATTCTGGCTACCGCGTCGTAATCTTCAACCTTTTCCGTCGCACACCGGGTTATTCCGAAGACATAATTATCGATGGATCCGGTCCTGGGTACACGGAGAGGAAGCAGCTTGTTGACCGAGCTGCCGAACCCGAAGGAGGGCCAGTCATACGATCAGCAGCCGCGGATCATTCGGCAATCGTGAGCAAGCCATCCCATCCCACGGGCCAGGGAGTCACAGCTGTTGGACCCGCTGAAGGAGAGGTTTCTGTACGGCGAACACCGCAAAATGAATACGGCGTTGGGTCTACCCGTCGGAAAAAGGGTCATCGAAGGAGGATTGTCGATACGTCCGCGGAGAAAGCTTCAACTGATGGTAAAGAAACCCCAGGTGCGGTGGTGCCTTCTGTCCTTTCTGTCCAGCATATCCAATTACCCGTTGATCCATTTGTGACGCCGTCTTCCGATCGTCAACGGAGATCTGATGGTGGACCTCAGGTCGGACCTGCGAAACTTCGAAGCCCAGAGAAGTTCGACAATGATCAAGATGCTTCCGCCCGGCCGATGAATGAGTCCCTAGTTTTGCCGCACCCAGTCCAAGGTCTAGACTGGAACGCAGAGGGCAAGTTCTACCAGCGGCAACTAGAAGCCCTGAAACAGGAAGTTGGCAACAGTTGGCTCACCGCGCTAGGAGACCGTCCGTGGGATCAATCACCACGGGACCTGAATGTTCCTCGCACGGGCGTGAATCTCGGTGATCCGGCGATAATCCCAGCGGAGGCGCTTACCCGGGCAAACAACTTGCCCATCCTGAGTGGAGGCCGACCCTGAGTTTCGCATCCATATTCATTGATTGACTTATACCCAAAGAAAAAAAAAGTTGTTCAAACTGACTCCTTTCCTTGGTTCTTTTCGCCAGCCAATTCTTCTTGACTATAACCATTACCCCGGGTCACCTTTCCCGCTTATTGCGGTGGCCGTTGGCCACTGAGTGCATTTTGTGGCGTTCTATGGCCTTTTCGAGATGGCGGGCCGGATGTCTGAACTACTTTTTGCTTTTTACGACCATTATATCTTCCCCCACTCCATCTCATATCTACCGTACAATCTGCATTCGACCGTTTCAGGCTGGTCCATGTTATGGGAGGCAAGATTTTTCGTGAGATTCCTCATCTCTAGACCGTTTGTATTATTGTATTTGAAGGGTTACTGGTGTTTCTCGGCGTTCCTGGAAGCTGTGGTCTTTTTTTTCCACTTCTTAATTTTTTTTTTTATTTTACCTTTTTCGGCCTCGACATTGATCTTCCCCTTTCTTCTTATTCTTCCTCTCTAATGATTGACTCAGAGGATTTGACGCATGTTGAGCTGCCGCGTGTTCATTTGACGTATACCTTCTGATTTCTTTGTTTCCTCCTATTCCCCCCTGCTCGAGTTTCGGAGTTACGCAGAGCAGTGATGAAGTTCGGATCTAATGCATGAGATATGAAAAACAATGTGCGACGAATTATTCTGGGAGCGCGCGATCATATCAGGGAGTCAGTCATAGTTGAATGCCAATATGTTGTCGGAGATGCGTCATCGATCTGTAGTCCATTTTAAGAATACGAGAAGACTGAGAAACTAGAGCACGTCAGTAGTTCATGCGCAACATCGACGTCGATGGGAATGGAAGGGAGATTTCCCTGGATCTGTTTCGGATTTAATTTGATTTGGCGTGGTTTGGTTTTGAATTTCCATTTTCTCCTACTAGTGTATGAGAAGAGATATGCTGCACCGTGGAGAAGCGACGATCGGAGAACGGTGGCGAGAATATCGGCAAAACAACGATCGGAAGAGAATTGATTGATTCCACCATCGATGACTGTAGATTTTAGAGAAAGAGATTACGTATATACATATATCTTAAGGTAGAGAGAAAAAGATGTAGTCGAGACTGAATTGAGAACTGGATTGAACTGAATACCTTGTATATATACATTCTTCCCAAAGAAGTCATGACCTTCTCTGGGACCAATGAGAGGGCGGCGGTGGCCGGGCGGCCGAGCCAGTCAGTAAGTTTAACCTTTTCACTCCCTCTTCTTTGCTTCGACCACCAAACATCTCTTCTCACTGGTCAAACTTCTCTCTTGGTGAGCCTTCCTTTGATCTCCTCCCTTCGTCTCCCACTCCCTCTCTTTCTCTACAATCTGTCAAATCAAAAAAAACCCCTATCCTCTTCTCATTCGGTCTGCTAAAGTTCAATCCAGGCCGAATTATCAAAAAATTTTCAGCCGTCCGAGCGGACAGTAGAAGAAAAAAAGATCCCTTGATTGCCGACGCTCTCAAACAACCCCTTCCACAACAACCACACCCCTTCACGCCACCACAAAGATCTTCTTCGCTTTTCTGGCAAGCCTTTCCCACCTCAACCCTCCGGATTCACGGCTTATCCGCCATCACATTCCATCCTCAACCTCCCAAAAGAGAAAAAAATATTAAATTAGCCTCGTCGTGTTTTTTTACCCAAGACTCTGCCGCTTGGTGCCTGTTCTTATTTTTTCCCTCTTCTTCACAGTCTCTGAGGCTTCCTCTCATCGCCGGCAACCGCATTACCTCGTTATCACCGCGCGTCATCTACGATCTGAGGGGGAGTGTTTCATCTTCGCACGTCGTCTGGCTTTCACGCCAGATCCCCCCCGATTGTCCAAGGCCATTTGGCCTGTTTCCGCTGCTTGATCTCCTTGTTCCCTCTAGATCCGTTTGGTAAGCGCTCCACCCCCTCTTCTATCCCCGTCTCAATTACGACGAGTAAAAAATTTCCCGAGCGCATTCATCACGCGTCTTTCGCTTGAATTTGGCCATCTCCGCTGGAATTTATTTTTCCGCCGTGAGTCTAGAGGTATACTAATAGTCTAGTCACGATAGTATAGACGCCGCGTCATCGTAACAAGCGCTCCGCTACCTCACCTTCATCCTCTCTCTCCCACTTTCTTTCTTTAATTTTTTTTTGTCAATTTTCGTTCGTTCTTTTCCGCCATCACCTACGCCTGTGTGCGTCCTTTCCTCTTTGGTTTCCTTCGCTCTCGCCGTCTCTCCTTAGAGCCCCGTCGCTATGGCTGATCAGGAAGTTGATCTGGATTCGATCATCGATAGATTGTTGGAGGTGAGGGGTAGCCGTCCTGGCAAGCAGGTCCAGCTGTTGGAATCGGAGATTCGCTATCTCTGCACCAAGGCCCGGGAAATCTTCATCTCTCAGCCTATCCTGCTGGAGCTGGAAGCACCAATCAAGGTAACGGCGCGGCCCTACCTCCCGACCCCGAGTTTGGGATCGCAATGGCATCATCCCTGAGGGCTAACACTCTGGCGCGATCAGATTTGCGGTGATATTCACGGTCAATACTACGATCTTCTGCGTCTCTTCGAATACGGTGGATTCCCACCGGAGGCCAACTATCTGTTCCTCGGAGACTACGTAGATCGTGGCAAGCAGTCGCTCGAGACAATCTGCCTGCTCCTGGCGTACAAAATCAAGTACCCCGAAAACTTCTTCGTTCTTCGCGGGAACCACGAATGCGCGTCCATTAACCGTATTTACGGCTTCTACGACGAATGCAAGCGCAGGTATAACATCAAGCTATGGAAGACTTTCACCGATTGCTTTAACTGCCTACCCATTGCGGCCATCATTGACGAGAAGATCTTCACCATGCACGGTGGTCTGAGTCCCGATCTCAACTCGATGGAGCAGATTCGTCGTGTGATGCGTCCTACCGATGTAAGTGTTTCTCTGTTACCCCGCCCCTGCCCATCCTGGTTGTCTGCTCTAGGCAAAGGTTTCTCCCTCGGGTAGTTCAACCGGGTTCTACCATAGGTCATCTCAACGCATTATGTCCTTCCGCCTAGCTTCTAAAGCTCAAGGCTTGACCCGCTGACGAGAACAGATTCCTGACTGCGGTCTCCTGTGCGATCTCCTGTGGTCCGATCCCGACAAGGATATCACCGGCTGGAGTGAAAACGACCGAGGTGTATCATTCACGTTCGGTCCCGACGTCGTCTCCCGTTTTCTGCAGAAGCATGATATGGATTTGATCTGCCGTGCACATCAAGTGGTTGAGGACGGCTACGAGTTCTTCTCCAAGCGCCAACTCGTTACCCTGTTCAGCGCACCCAATTATTGCGGAGAGTTTGACAACGCTGGTGCCATGATGAGTGTCGATGAAAGTCTACTCTGTTCCTTCCAGGTATGTCGCCACGAAAGTTCCCGCAAACTGTGATGGTACGACGGGCTAACCTCCTTCAGATCTTGAAACCAGCAGAAAAGAAACAAAAGTACGTTTACGGGGGCATGAGCTCAAACAGGCCCGTCACTCCTCCGCGAAAGCAAAAGAAGAAGTAAGACATACGAGCTTTTCCATGTGCAGCAGGTTCGGACGGAGATAAACATCACATACCTCACCCATTCAACAACCACCACGAGACCGGATCCAGATCCCCACATCATCGATGGCCGGTGCATTAGACGATCGGAAGCAGCAGATACAACAACATAGTCACCCGAGAGAGCCTCACGATATGCAGAACGTTATTTCCCCCCGCATACCACCTCTAGCGACTCCGGTGATTTATTTTCCTTTGCGCTGATTATGTTATTTTTCTCATCTCTCTATATGGAAGGTACTTCTGCTCCCCGTCAGGGTCGGTGTTTTTACTTTTTCTCTTCTTCCCTTCTATTTTCCTTGTTTATTTTCACTTTTTTCTTCATCTTTTCATCTTTCATTGACTTTTGTGTTGCCCGGATCATTTTACTGAGGAAGGGGAAGCGTCGGGCTGCATCTGGTGTTCTCCGTTTGCACTTTTTTGAAAATCTTCCTGTGAGTGTAATGCCAACCAAATAAGCAACGACATGTCCGTGTCTTTGAACTGCAAGATCCATCCCATCCTCCAATAGCCGTCCGTGCCTTCCCTGCCCTTACCATCTCTCCATCTCCCGGTAATGGATCTTCCTTCCCCGGGTCTTGTGCAGCGGGCCCGTGCAGGAACTCGAGCAGATTGGACGACTTCACGATGACGAACCATTCCATCACATCACCTCCGCATATCATGTTTCCTTGTCATGCCCAATGATGAGTTCATGTTATTAATTGGTTGATTGATTGATTTTCCATCTTACAGCGAAGAGACACGACACTGATGCAAGAATAATCTACGCTTCCTTTCCTTTTCGTTGGCTCGTCTATCCGGAGGTGGCGGGGGTTGTTGATTCGGATCGCTTCCTTTCAATGTATTACTGTATTTTAGAAGCACGATTATTTCATTGGAGTTATTGATGATCCTCTTTCTTGTCTTCCGTCGCCGGCTTCATGGTAAAGATACTTGGGCTCACACGTGCTTTATTTCTTATACCTATCAGTATATCTAGGTGAGGAGTGTTCATGGATTGGGACATGTAGTCGTAGCATATAGCCGTTGAATGTAGAAAACAGAAACAGTCCCGCGTATTTAGCCTGTTACCATGCGTCTAACGCCTTGTTTTCATTCTTGACGGAGGACGCCTTTGTGACCTTTTCGGTCACTATATAAAGACAAGGGTTGAAAAGAGTAAAAAGGAGAAAAGAAAAGAAAAGAAATAAAGAAAATTAGACCTAGTAAATAGCTAATTCGAACAAGCTAAATCGATTGACGATTGACCATAATCAATTGCGTGCCACCGAACCAGGAGAGACGATGTGCGAGATATCAAATATAAAGAAACGACTCCGACCAGTCCATCTAGTTCATGAACACCACTTCCCTCTTTCCACCCTCTTCTGGTGTCCCACACAAGCTTGCTTCCGTTTTTGCAAGCTTAAACGTATTGAGACAACCACCTGATACCCTCACCGTATCCTGCTTCCCGGTTAGATTCTTGTTTTCTTCCCAGGGATTGATGGGGGGAAGCTTACCCTGTCTCATCACGACACTGCACATAAAGACCTCAATCGGCCGGATGCCCTCAAGCGGCACCTTGCCCTTCCCTGTGGTCTGGTACAATCCCAACTGATGTCTCAGTTCGTCTTCGCTGACGGCGTCGGGGTGATCGATCTTGTTGCCGAGAATGAGGAAGGGGACCTTGGCGAGCTCCTCCATGGCGAGGAGGGCATCGAGCTCGGCCTTGGACTCGGGAAAACGCTCGTGGTCCTTAGCATCAACGAGGAAAACGATGCCGCTTACTTCGGGGAAATAGTCCTTCCAGAGACGACGGGCTGTACCCGGCGTCAATTGTTAGAAAGGGTCGGTTTTTTTTTTTTTTTTTGTTTCCACGAGTATGGAACATGCGATGTCATAGAGAGAAGGTAGCTAGGATGGAGGAGGGGTGGTGTGTGCGCGCTTACCCTGCTGGTGACCACCCAGATCGAAGGTGGTGAAGCGGTTATTTCCAATAGCGAGCTCCTCCGATGCTATAATTGTCCTCAGTTAGCCTTTTGAAACCCCATTTTGCCACCTGTTTCGAACCCCTGCCGGATCGGCTAATATCACATCCACATCGTTTTCAAAATCAAGGGTACGTACTCGGATGGGCGGTAGGCTGGAGAACGGCAACCCGGTCGTTCTAGTATTCGGCTCGCGTCAGCACGCAATTCCCACGTCATTCATCCCGCGGCTACAGTTGGATTTTCCCGTCATGTCGTTGAGTATACGTGGCGGGTATTGGGGAAGACGTATAGGGAGGAGAGAAACGCACCTTCAGCATGTGCAGTAGGGTCGTTTTCCCAGCATTGTCGAGACCGAGGAAGAGGAGCTTGGCGTGCTTGTTGAGCAGGCCAAGGGAGGCCAGGACATCGTAGACTGTGCGGAGAAGACTATCAGCCACTGCAATTATTGATTTGAGGATATCTCAAGCCGGAGGATAAACAGAATGTGGAGAAATCATGAAGAGATCCTTTCCCATGAAGTATGAAGTGAAGTTTTGCATTCGAGCATGCCGATCGACGCTTGTGTTCACCACACAGGGGACGAGGAAGGAGCACGTACACCAGTTAATAATCCACATGGTGGGATCAACTCAGTCCGGACGGGTTGGTACTGAAGATCGGTAGTATGAAGTGGGAAGCTTGAGAAGGTTGGCTGGCGGTGAGGTTTGAAGAAGATAAGACACGGTTGCGGTGGTTGACGTTGACTTTCGCTTGCTTGACGCTTAGCGCTCGGCTAAGCCAACCAAAGCGCCGGGAGATCAGCCGGGACCACGTAGTAGTAGTACCTTGGAAGTACACACTTTCGCTCTTTTCCTGTCCGTAATTACATTCACTACGGAATCTTTCTTTTTTAATATAAATAATTTTTTGATTTGTTTGAATTTGAATATTTCTGAGGGATCAGCACACTGATCGGTCGGTTTGAACCTGATATCTACATCGCATCAACCAAAAAAAAAATTAAATGAAAAAAGGGGGTATACACTCCATGAACCGCCTCCATACAACAAGACAAAAATGGATGAAAACAAACCAAATCAGAGTCCCGACCGGAAAAAGTGGCCTCCCAACAGAAGGGATGTCATAATAATAGTAATAAAAAGGAATGCCGGTAACAAATATGTATCACAAGAAACGAAGAAGCAAAGGCGATCCGCCCTGTAAATGCAAACAAATGTCCTCCGAAGCAGAAAACAATCAGCCAGGTAGGAAACGACAGTTCAATGAGCGGGTGATCGTTAAAGATAATCAAGTATGTACAAGAAAGGCGTAAATCCCTTTCAAAGAAGACACGAAGGGTCTAAACGGATAGGACGAGCTGTGCGTCTTCACCGACACCATAAGCTCGGCACCTCTCAGCAACTGCGAGGCCCAGGTCCTTCATCCGTTCAGCACCCTTTCCGGGGATAGGTCGCCGCTGGATCTGGTCTTTAGCAGCTTTGCGGCAGTGTTGACGCCAGTACTTTTCTTTGCGTTTCTGGCGCTTTTTCTCGAGACCTTCAACGATATCGATAGGACCTCTAGTATGCACTTCACGAGTGCGAGATGATTCACGCTCAGGAGACTCCCGAAGAGGGATAATACCCGTCCAGCGATAAGAATCGTCCTGTTTGGTGAAGAATGGGTTAGGCGTACGAGGCAGCGATTTGGTGCGGGTGATGTACGGGCGCTGAACCAACTCGCTGATGTTGACGCCGGGAGGCTGAAGATAGCTGACTTCATCGCTAGCAGTCCGATCGGCCTTAGTGGGGGACTTCAATTTCATCGGCGGTGGAGAACGTAAACGTCTGGGGGACGAGCGACCATGTCGACGAGGGGGCGGGGGAGAGACCATCCGCTTGGGAGACAGGCGAGGGGACAGCTTTCGAGACTGGTCTGCCCCAGCTCTTCCACGAGTTGCCTCATCAGTCATGATGGACTCTGCCAGATCGTCGTCGTCGTCCTCATCCTCTTCATCGACATCCGATGTCGGGAAACTAGGGTCGATGTCTTGCGGGATCAAGATTTGCTTGGAAAGCCGACGTTGCTCAATGCAGGATTTATAGGCAGCTTCCAAGGGGCGGTCTTCGTCGAACGTTCCACAAACGAAGTCAGTGCTATCAGGGAGGTTGGGAGTTCTGGGGCGCATCTTCATAGGCTTGGCACGGTGAATGCCTTTGCCTGAGAGGGCTGGCGGCCATCTCCGGCTCAAGTCATCATGACCAGAGTCGAAGGAGGTATTAGAATCCCTGCGAGGTAGAACAACAGGAGGAATATCGAGGGTCAGAGGACTAGTAGCGGCAGTAGTCGTGGCAGGAGCCCAGAATGCATATTCGGAGCCATCATTGCTCTCGTCATCCGAGTCCGCAAACCCCGCCTCATTGTCAGATTCGTTACCATCATCTGACGATAAGTCAGAGTCAGTTGAATCATCGTCAGCATCGTCCTCGTCCTCGTCATCCTCTTCTTCGTCCTCAAGCGCCTCCTCCTCTGCTTCTTCGCCAAGTTTTCTGATCGCAATCTCTTTCTTCATGCAGTCATTCAAGGTGATCTTGTCGGTGTAGTCACCAGATTTGGTGACCCATTCATCGTCCTCCTCCTCAGAGCTGGCAAACTCGTGGAAACGAGTCGCCTCAGATTCTTCGAACTTGCCCAGTCCACTCGTGGGGATGCCCCTCTTCTCGATGGTCGACTTCTCTTGGTTCTGGGTGACCGGGGTCGTATCTTTCGCTGGGGATGCCTTGCGAGCGATAGGAGCAGGAGATCCACGCGGACGTGACCTTAAAGTGACACCACGACATGGAGACCGTTCTCGTTTCGTCTCTGAGTCACGGGCAGGGCAAACGAAGGTGAGGACCGTCCTCCGCTTCACGGGTTCTGTGGGAGTAGGGGTGATATCATTCTTCTGCGTGGTCGATCGTTGCGGTGTGGGTGGTTGGGCTTTCCGTTCCTCTGATTTCCGTCCACAAGCAAAGCTGATGCATCTCTTACGTCCGAGGTTAGCCTCGACGGTAGACTCGTTAGTCTCAGCCGCCAACTTTGTGCTGTTACCCATCGGGGGAGGTTTGGCGGACAGCTGAGTTGGCAGAGGTGGGCTTGGAGTGCTGGACAAAGATGGGCTGCTCAGACCTCCGTCGCTGGTCAATTCAGCCGTCGACACACCGCTAACGTTACTGTAAGGGTACGAGCGGTAGAATGACCGATCACGCGGGGAGGGAAGCTTATCGGACGGGCTTAAGGTCGGACTGTGTCTGAGGGCACGGGTAAGGAGGGATTCCTTCTTGTCACTCATGGCGGTGGGAGACTTGACATAAACCACACCGTCGTCAACATTGATCGGGGCGGTATTCAGAAATCGATGATCTGGAGGTTCATCGATGTCCTCAGCCAATTCGTTTTCTTGTGGAGCAGGCTTGTTGGACTGGTGAGGCGAGAGTAGCATCTTCAGAATGTTATGTATCGACGAGAAGGGTCGGTCACCACTACGGAAGTGTGCCATCACTTTGAAATTAGAATATTGATGACGACAAAGGTTATGTGTGAGAGAAAAAAGTAAATGAGAATAAAGAGACGATTAGGTCCGAGGGTCGTATATGGAGAATCGAAAGGTGATAGTGGCGACGGTGAGGGTTTGGAGGATTCAATTGCTTCGAAAGAATATAATCCGATAATATCTCAATCAAGTAGGTAATAAGAAGATACTCTCTCAGTATCGATCAATAGTACAACCAATCGACCCAGAGGGCAGAAGAGAATGATGTCCCAAACAGGACGTAGGTGGTCATGATATACAAGGCATGATGTTGGGGTAATGGCGAAGTAGTAAAGGGGACAATGGCGTTAGGTATGCGGCCAAGATCTGGGATCTACGCCTTCTTCAATAGATGGCAGCTCAAAGAGCGCCAGAAGAAGACGCGTTCAAAGAGGGCTCCAAAAGACAATGTGTTGGCAATGGTAGGCTTTGAGTTTGGGATGGAGGAAGAAGGAATGTTCAGAGAGAGAAGTCGGAGAATAAAAAGTAATTATGGGAAGGGAGGGTAAAAAGTGTATTTTAATAAAAAAAAATTAAATGAAAAAATTAAAAAAGGGAAAAGGGAAAATTAAAAAATGATTTCAAAGGTTAACAACCGGTACAGTAAGTACGGCGTAATTTGTAGAGGGGGTAGGAGCGGTTTAAACCAAAAAAAAAAAAATTAATTAATTTTCAAGAGGGAGGGAAAAAAAAAAAAAAAGAGAGAGAATAAGGGTAAAATCCTATGACGGGGGGCGCGGGAGAGCGGCACTGGGTTTGGCTTTTTGGGGGTGGGAAGACTTGGTCGGTCAGGGTAGTGACTGGTCAGGAGTGGTCGCCACAGTGTCAACGACAGTTGAACAACGACAATTAGTCAAGAGAGAGAAAAAAAATAAAAATATTAAAAAATTTTGGATCTTCTCTTGGCCTTCTTTTCTTCTGCAGGCGAACCAGAGGCGCTTGGTCCAACCAACCCCGCCAAGACATACCCACCCTATCGCTTTGCTCGCCAAACTGATGCATGCTTCTGTTCCTGCGGCTACGTGACGCTGAAAAATACAATACCACCGTAAGATTAGCAGGGTACGGTGGACTGCCACAGAACCACAGCCTTGTACATACATATATTACAAAGAAAATGATATGATATACAAAAGGGCAGATCCATATTCTCCTCGATACTATCATTCATTGGAAGTTCCAACTCTGGTTGAAATTGTGTGAAACTTTGTATTCTAGCGCTATGTTTCCAAAGGATTGAAAGAGAATTGATTGTTACGAGCCGGTTTCAACTCATCGGGACCGGGCTCATGCCGAGTGTTGGAAAACTATGAGGGATTTTGAAGACACACCCTGGTATTACCATAAATGGAAAGGCAGCTGCTGAGCTGACTAACCCGCTCCAGACATTTACCCAACAGAAAGCGCGACCAGGTCCATACAACAAACCTCCAAAGATTCACGAAACTCATCGGAGAGTATTCTCTGAAAAGGAGAAAAAGGGAAAAAAAGATTCAGATAGCATACTTCTAGAATCCTAGAACTTGATCTCATCTCGGTCGGACCCAAAATTGGATGCTACTAAATCTCAACAGACTATTTACGGAGCCGATCCATGCTGTACTACTGTAAGTAAAAATCACCCCCACGAGGACGGACATGAGAGCGGCACGAGCTGCACAGCAGCGCTCATAACGCCGGCAACCAGTTGAGTGGTTGCCCTATCACTTTGGTCAGCGCTCTTGCCAGACAGGAGAAGCCCGTAATGTAACGGTACATTACCTTCCATACGATAAAGAAAACATGAACCACTGGCATGTTTGGTTTCAGTGATGAATTGGGACCGTGTTTGGAGAAGATGACTGACTCCGTGAGGCAAATTATTATGGCTGCTATGACTGACCATCACAAGGCAAGTGCCACTTGATGGTTACTTGCTGACAACCCTCGAATCAATTCCTTGGGAAAGCGTAGCGCTGTGTCTGAACACTCCAAGACGGGAAGGGTAATTTAGTTTGGAAACAGGTGTGTGTGGGCTGTGGATAGCCTGAGGCTGCCGCTCTCGCTCTTCTCTCGGCCAAACTACTCTCTTGAAATTCACCCGGTCGCTCACTAGGACGAAACCGGCTCGTAGCACTAAATTAAAATCAAAACCAAATACAAACCCAACTCTCGCGCTTTACGCGCGCCTTCATCTTGGAGAATAACTTAATCTAGTCTAGTAGAATTGACTGTCCTTTATCGCTGTGGGGTATACTATTGGTAATATTCATTTTCCAGGTCTCATATGAATACTACATAGTAGTTGATAATTCGATGAATCATTACAATCTTGCCGAGACCCGTTCCTTACTGACAGCACAGTTCACTCGTTCCTGATCCGGACGTGGGTGTAATCTTGGCGTTTTGTTTAAAAAAAAAAAAAAAAAAAAAAAAAAAAAAAAAGCCCCTACTTACTGCATACTACGGTAGGGTGCAGCCCTCGACATGTACTCTATGTCCTTCTGGTCTTGGAGCTTTCAAGATACCTTACTTTGTGAAACTGTCAGATAAGAGACTTGAGATAAATTAAAGACGAGGATCAAGGGATAAAAAGAATGGAAGCTGCAATCGAAGTCGCAACGAATTTCTCGAATCTAGAGCCCCTTGCGTAGCCCATCAAGTTACCTCCAGGACAAGTGGAAGTGCAACAACCATCCGAGGGTTTGGCCAATCTCCATCCAGCGCCCAACCATGACGCTATCGACTGCTGGATAATACTACTGTGGTGAATGAGAGTTGCAGTTTCCCAAATGAATGATGCTATTATCTTTGAGAACCTCCTATTACGAGAGTCCAGTCCATCCCAAATCGAAACCCGATGGTGAATATTGGCGACTATTGCCAACTACAGATTCTGGGCATGACATAAATTGATCTTGGCAAATCCAGCATCACGGATTCATTTAACCACCACATTATAAATAACAATTAGGGGGCGATGATCGCGCCTCCAATCTGAGCGGAGAGGCTAATCGTAGATAGACCAGAGCAGTAGAATTGCTGCAAAGTTCCAACAGATCATTTGAGTTCGAGGTTTAAACACCCTTTACTTTTCTCACTATCTCTCTCTCTCTCTCTCTCTCTCTCTCTCTCTACCTCTCTTTCATCCATTACTTACTCCACATTGATCGCCGGCAGGGGTGGGTGACTGGGAGAATTCTACATTCCAAGATTATGGGTCTCATTAGCCGACATTCATATTTGTAGAATGTGATTAATATTATAGTTCCTGCTACCAAAATTAGAATTGGATTTAGGCATTCATGACAAGAAAGGCGAAGCATAGGGGGCAGTGTGAGATCTTCGAAGATCATCGCCTCAACGGAGGCTATTCGTATACAAGCCTGCCCTCCGTACAGAGTACATGCACAATCCATGTGCCAAGTCCCAGCCGTCTATGCGAGGTATGAGAAGAAAGTCTAAATGGAGTAAAAAAGGAGAAAAAGAGGTGAAAAGGAAGTAGGGTAAAATATCCTGACGACGTCCTAGGAGACCCTGATATCAATCACATAAAAGAAACTAAGTGGTGATGCCTGACAAGGTATTGCCAGAGAAGCGGTCAGATGCACTTCCAGTGACATTGGAGAATGGGTCCTGGGTCACGAACGAAAGAATCGCACACTGCGGAAATCTTGAGTCTTGGTCAAGCTTCATACGATTCAAGGATCCCCCCACTTGTACCAGCCTTACTCTTTTTTTTTTTTTTTTTTTACTTTTGTTTTTAACTCGCTTTCCATTCTTCTTGCTACTGTTTGACTAAATCTCTCATTCGGCAAATCATAATTCATTCAAACATCAGCCCGCGTCTGTCCAAACATCACACAAGCAACAGCCTTGTCTTGTGAACACAAAAGAAAAGACAGAAATACGAATTATTCGGGTCTCCTGTTTCAGTTAGGTAACTGTTATTTCCTAACCTTACTGCCTCAGGGCTGAATGAGCCAAAGGTGAAAACGTGCCTTTTCTCCAACAACACAACCCGTTCGACATGAAATGCGTCTCTCCACAGTCAGATTTTGAAGATCCATGTCCCCAGTCTGATACACGCAATGCATAAGACTGTAGGAGGCACCTGACCTTCAGCGATTAAAAATCCGACCAAAGTTTAACCATATCGCTGTGGGTGGAGGGAGATCGCATGTGGCAGAAAGCTCCTAGGCAGCTAAAGCAGGCCCAGTCGAGCGTCCAACTGGTCGATGCGTTGTAGTCATCGCAGTAGTCAAGTCACCGGCCGGCCAAAAGGAGAAGGTCCTTTACGATTCACCTATGTGGCAGAATTCCGTACAGAGAGTTGTCCACACGGGATGTTTTCGTATCCCGACGACGCCTTAGTTTTCTTTGCCTCCCCAGCCCTTCTACGATGGGGAAGGGGAGCTGCATCAAGCCATCCATAGAGAGCCAACTGGGTGGAGGTTATGAATTGCCAGTTGTACAGTGGGTAGTTCGTAGGCCTTTCGGCTAATGCCTGGATCAGGAGATGGTGAGAATGAATACGCTTACTGTATAATGGGACGGAGCTATAAACTTAGGATTGGATAAGGGCTGCATAACTAAATGTCAAAACAGCTTATCAAACAAAGCCGATAATGGCCGACGCCGGAGACTTAGTCAGTTCGTGATGGGGGAGCTGTTTGTATGAGGCATTTATTGGACTCGCTCACTCCGGTGGGGAGCAGACGTGTGTGCACGGGACTCTAGGATTCACGCCGGTCCTTTCAGGCCATTCAGTCACGACGTAAGCCTGGCCCAATGTGGTAAGCCTGAGGCAGGCAAATCGGACAAACCCCATCCGGCTTCCTTTCCTCCAGGACTACACGAAGCTCTCTCCATATTGCTCTGCCAATCCTGGACAACAAGCATCCATTGTCAAATCATCGAGTTTCAAGACGACAGGGCAAAATGTCTCAAAAACTGAACACTACCACTAGTGTGCAAACCACCGGGACAAGGCAATTTGACCTTTCCTTTCTCTACATCATGACGGCTGCGTGGTGCTTTTTACCCTCTTTTACTTTCTCTCTCTCTATCTCTATCTCTCTCTCTCTCTTTTCCGTTCGAGCGGAATAATACCCATTGAGGTGGTCATTGTTCACGCATACAATTTCATCGTGGGCTTTTTTTTCTCCATTGTCTCACTAGATCCACGATGGGTTTCTTCATCCCCCAGTATGGTATTGAGAATACCGTTCCCGGTATTTCACGACAATGCATACCACGGAGGGTAATTTAATTTGAAACCCCGAACTAGACAAGTAAAACAAAAAAGAGGGAGAAAAGAATTGGAAACCAGATATTGAAGCCGAATCTGGCTGCTGTGTAACCATGTCGCACATGGAATGGCCCTTACTTGGTTGGCCAGGCTCTCGTGACGGAAAGGCTAACAGCTTCTTTCCAGAACAAAAACCCCTTAGCTCTCGGCCCGAATGTGCTTCGGAATGCCACACCGTACCTGTCATTCAGTGTCTACACTTTTCTCCTAAACAGAATAAGGGGTAGGACAGCTCTGTGAGAGTAAAATGGAGTGGAACACCATTTGATCTCATGATTGACATTCCCCAACTTTGCATCTAAATTCTGTAATTCCCCCCTGGAACTTTATGGGCAGCCAAGACCTCCGCCAAGAGAGATTCAGTCCCCCATGCATGGACTCATGGGGTACGAGCATTCCCTCTCCTCCAACACTGCGCGTACCCCCCCTTACTCCCTCCCCTTTGGCCCATTCCACAGCAGCGCTTGGCAACGTCTCAATGACTGCGCCTCCCCTCCGTACCACGGAGAATCCGCCAAGAACCGTATGACTTGGTGTTCTATTACATTCTTTCCTCCTTGCGCATCCAATGTCACCGTAGAGAGATGGTCCCAGTTCCAAGTTGCGCTGCCAAGTGTCGCCAAGACCTCCCACATTCTCAGTGTCCAGCGGGCTTTCGAATGTTCTCGGACTCCGCGAAGCTGCATGACAGTTCTGTTGAGACATTGGAGGCACATCCTGTCGATCCCATGCAATAGCCGGCCGAGACTAGAATCATTAATCATAGATACGTCGACGGCACACACTGACTTCGTCGCAGAGATTCCAGCACCATGGATTGGACGCCGAACCCAAATCCAATAGTGCGGCCTACTGAAGGTTGAGACTCACAATAGATTATGATGGGTACTCAACCCGCAGTAGAGAAATCACTAATGACTCAAACTTCAGTCTAGAGGGAGCATTTCTCTGGTTTGGAGGACGGCTTCCGACCGACGGCGTGACTCAGATATGAGGCTCTGCCTGTGCTTGGTAGACGAGAATCACTTCTACGAAAGTTAGCAGTAATGGGAATCGAAATCATTTAATTCGACGGTCTACAGTCTGATAAAAAAGCGTTATCAAAAATCTACATCTTACCTTGTGCACAATAAATAAACAAATCATAAACTCACACTTACATACCATCCATCTCATATATGTCACTATGCATAGTAAGCACACCAACAACAAAAACCACCCTCTATAATCCAATCCCAATAAACAAAAGAAAGTACTAGAAAATCCTAACAATACAATTATCCCCATAAAGCAACCTTCTCGAAAGAAACAAAATGTAATTAATAGAGGATCCCCATCTCCAACTTCCCCGCACGTAGATGCAAAGTGATAGACGCTTAAGCATAACCCCCGATGTATTAAATCCCACCCTCCAACATATAATAATGTCATCCATAACAATCTACCTTTCTTTAGAAAAATGGATTCTGAAAAGAAAATACAACAAATACCCATTCTCGTTACGTCAGACCACCAATCCCAAAAGAAAAGGAATAAAAATCAATAATAACAACTCTTTAATTAGGTAATTCATTTGTTCACCCCGGGGCCCGCGGGAACACATTACAATTTGCGTGGTTTTATCACCATCAACTATAACCATATAAACAACTGAATATTATAGGTTAGTCATAAATATTATGACCCAGATTGAGATTACTTTAGTAAAATGGTAGTCCCAACAATATACCGCATCCATCCATCCGAGGGTGTGTTTTGATAGGACGAGATGGCGGTCAGATGAAGGGACGAATGATGTCATGTTTGTGGCGAGGATTATTTTATATTTTATTATCCATTTTATCAACGCCTGGCGATTATTTCCGGCAGGGCTGACTGGCCCTTTGGCTTGTTTGTTTGTTTGTTCTATTTTGGGTTGGAAAAGGCAGGTTTTTGTTCCTTTCTTCTCCCTCTACAATGACATGGTCATGGGGATGGTTGGGTTGATGATGTTTAGGTCGGAATCGGACGGAGCGGATTGATTGTTTCATAGTGAAGCGGGTTTCGTCCCTTTCGTTTCTTTCCTTTCTTGTCTTGTCTTGGTTGTCTTATCTTGGTATGACATTATTCATATGGAATAATCGCTAGACAATGGCTATGTTGGAAACTCCGAAAATAGTACAGTACAACCTACCACAGCTCGGCGGAACAAAGGAAAGAATGAATGGGGAAAGTAATCCCCTCGTACACCCATGCGGTGAAATCGTAGCCAGTCCTGGATAATCGCCTTGCCAATGCCCAATATGCAACGCGGGGGATGATGAAACGTCAGGATTCAGGATGGAGGCTGATGGCCACGTAGAGGGGTCCTCTTTAACATGGGGATCTGTCTCCCGTACCTGCTGCCTAACCTATTACGTCGTTGCTGCATTGCTTTCGTCGTTCTCCACCACCTGACAATGATCTCCTTGGCCCAGAGAATCCGGTCCCTTGTTTGTACGACTGCCGCGCACTGTCGAGCGACGTCTCGAGCCATTGTCCGCCGTTGTAGATCCCGGCGTGCGAGGATCTGCCGCCATGTATTTTGTAGGACTGCCGCGGCGCGAGCGCGCTTGGTCGCAGAGAGGAGGCGAGAACAGAGAAAGGCAAGTGCTCCGATTGTGGAGTCACTGTCAAGGATGTGAGACGTGGAGGTGCAAGAGGAAATGAGGTACGCTAGCTGCTATTAGCGGTGTGCGATGATGTGGACTTCTCAAAGGACTCACCAAATTGTGCACTGCATCCTAACGCTCTGAGGCGGGATTGTAGTAAAGGAATCGTTTCCCTGTCGGTAGTAGACAGATCCTGATCCTCATCGAGTATGTAGCCTTCATACTCATCCATCATACTTCCGTAGACCTTGCCATCTCCAAAACTGGTGCTGAGATTCTCAAGACGTAGACCCTTCAGATAGGCCAGGATAGAAGCCCATTGCTTCAGTAACAAAATCGGATCATCGTCCTTCTCATACAATCCATTCAAGTTCCTGTCGCTGAACCATTCCTCGTCTCTGACCGACTCATATCCATATTGGGAAAGAGCTTTGTGTTTCAGACGGTCGATCTCCTTTCTCACGTCATCCCAGTCCACAAGTCCGCCAATGACCCATTGGCTAACAAGTCCCCATAGAAGTGCAATGGTCTTTTCACGATATCCGTCAACGATGTCTTCTGCACGCACATGGCGAACCAACTTCTGCGAGCTCTCCGTGCAAGCTAATGCATCTAGAGCAATTCGAACATTGAACAGCTTCACTGCACGACTGAGACATGGTAGCTTCAACCCCCGCGAAAGTGGTCCCAACAACTCGGCCGTGTGACTTTCACGATGAGGAGGGACATTATCTGGGCACAAGTTGGTAGAGTATAGTAACAATTCCACAACCTTGGTTAGACGGACACCGTCTCTCATATCTACAGCCAAGTTGCTTATGTGGTAGTCATACTCCTCAAGTGGTCGTTGCTCATAGTCCAAATGGCAGCCTAAATGACCGAGCATCTTGATGATGTCCCCGGAAGAGGGTAGCAGGAAACGAGCTAGAGCCTGGAGTACGGCTGTAGAGGACTTAAGCTGCGACGAACGAAGGAAAAGGCAACGGGGAAGCATCGACCCTGAGGAAGTCCTCCCCTTATCCAAGAGAATGATGATCATGATGCTGCGAAGAACTGTTCGATGATATGCCATGCCTACCACATCAAAATCACCTTCGCTGAGCTCTCTACTATGCTGCTCCATATCTTTATTCTGCAGCAGAAAGGTGTTCAAAAAGCTTTCCAGTTCTCTCTTGAGTGTTTTCTCACTACCGGAGATTGTGTCAGCAGGGCCGTGAACACTGTCCCGAGAAAATTTGCCGTTGAGTATTCTCCTTCCAGTAACTGTTTCTACCGCCGCTCTCAATGCCCAGGGATTATATGTCTGCATCCAGAAATCCAGAAACTTTCGCTTCATTCCCACATCCCGCCGCAGCCGGACATGCTGGGCAAGCGCATCCTTTGGGATACTCATGGCTCCATATAACAACGATGCTTGGATCCTCTTGTAAAGATGAGCGAATGGTTTCTCCTGGTAGAGCATGAGAAGTTCATGTCGAAGCAATGTCGGGTCATTGAAGCTTGATTTCTTATTAGTCTGATCGAAGAGCCCGTTAATCAATTGAGTTATCATGACCTCCTGATGAGAGAGCCAGTCATATTCATACAATGCCGGGCCTGTGATATGCTCTCGAACCAGCGGATACTCGTCCTCAAGACTTTCCGAGTTAGCTCGTAAACTCGCAGACTTGGAGGGCTTGACGCGCATTTCCGACTTCTTCAGTGGGTGTGAGTGTGTGGTATCTTTAGAAACAGTTAGTGTTTTATTGACAAATTTTGTCTTTCGTTTTTTCAAATTGTTGTTGGCTTGGAATAAATTAACAGATGGCGCTATCGCGTTGTTTCTTTTCTCTTCCATCACTTTTCGTCTTACAGGCCCGTTAACGGACCTTGTTGCTAGTGGGCTCATCGGCTTTGTAGATCTGTGCCCAAGTAATTCAGTCTGCGGAGGGTTGGAAATTTTCTGGGCATTGTCGAATCTGTTCTGTATTTTCGTCGGTTGATAGCCCTTGTCTTTATTGAGGAGAACGGTCCCAGGTGGCACATTTTCCTTCCCACCATTCTTCCCAGCAATATCAATGTGAATGCACGATTCTTGCTTAACTTTTGCACTTGGTTGTAACGGAGTTCGCTGCGCGGATGAAGTCAGAGAACGCTTTGCTTGCCGTTTTCTAGCAATCTGCGACTCCAAGGAGTTGATCTGAGTATCCTCCAAAACAACGCCCTGCATAGTATTAGACTTAATAGGACTAAACATGCGCATAAAAACGCTTGCAACCGTCGAGTCATCCGGCGGAATATAAACCGTGTTGCGGCGCATATCTTTCTTCAAAGCATCCTTCTGCGGAATTTGCCGTCCGTTCCCATTGATCTGCATCAAGAGCTCCCTATTCTTCTCCGCATCAAAGTTTGGGTTTCGCAATCTCTTTTCAGAATCTCCTTGCATTTTCTGGTGCTTGGCTGGTCTATTTGCGAAACTAACCTTTGGACGGAACCTCTGGGCTGGTTGGGCAAGTAAGGACGTCTTGCGATTTGAAGTTGTGACTGCTGCGCCGGTTTCTCTTCTCTTCGGGTTGGCTGTTTGCATGGAAATAGGTTCGCCATCATCGTGGATAGCGAAAGAGCTCCCGGTCTTGGTCCTTCGGCGGGGTTTAACTCTCGTTAGAAGCGGTGCCTTGATCTCGGTGGTGAACTCGACATTGACGGTCTCGTCGGAGGTTTCCAAGCTATCCTCCCAAAGTCTGCTAAATGAGCTATCTCCGCTGCTTCGGCCAAGTCTCGAGGACCTTGATGGGCACGGAGTGCCGACTTCTTCTAGTAATCCTGACATGGTACTCCCAGACAATGTTTAACAGTTGCAAAGGAAGTTTGATACAATACGAGATATGCCTCTTATAAAAACATGTCTCTAGTAGAATGCTTTCGAACTAAAACAATGCCGGTAAAAGCGTGTCGAGGGGTACGTAGTTAAGAAGTAAGGGGCCACGCGGGGGAGAAGTAGTGGCAACCCTCGGAAGATCGTCGCGTAGAAGGCACGGCTTGTTGATCAGGTACGTTGAAACTAAAGCACAACCTTTTGATGATAGGATGTAACTAGATACTAATTGGCTAAGGGATGTTGGAACCGTGGATTGTGGTATGGATGGAGATGGAGACGCGATGTTGACGGGTTAGTTGCCGGTGCAACGGCTCGATGCCTAAGGCATGAAATAGCATGTATGACTCCAGATGGCAGCGCGTACCTGCTAAGGTTAGATATTGCCATGCATCAATTAGTATTACAAAAGCATAGGCACGGGCAACTCAGGAGGAGACTATATGGGCGAGTGCAGTATTATATAGTGTCTTATCCTTCACCCGTATCATCTAAAGTCTATATAACAGCCCTTGAAAGAACTTTATAGTTCATGTAGGTATATCTCATTCATTTCTATATTCTTAAGGGATGTAATTGATTGCAACCCATCACAAGTTTTGATCACCATAGATGTATTAGTAGTAGACTTTGAATCCTCACCCATAGACGGTCAACGAACATTTTATCAATGGCTGGGGAATTATTGTGTATTTCCTATCCCTGCTCAAAGCTTGCAGTACGAATCGGTTTTGAAACGCTCCAGCAATTTCAGGATATCCACTGGATATAAGTATGTTCCTATCCTTTACATACCTTCTCTAATCCTTTCCAAGATCCGCTTTTCGTCTTTATCCGAACTTTCCCACTCTTTCTTGATAACCTGTTCGTGTTTAGAGCTCCTGGCTCGAAACGAGGCTTTGACTGAAGAGGGACTTGACTCGTCGCTAAGCTCCGTGGCTCCTGATGCAGAGGTGATATCGTATGCCCAAAGCAGGCGCGAAGTGACGATCATCAAACTAGACCGCGCGAGCCGGTGGCCTGGACATACCCGCCGTCCAAAGCCAAAAGCAGAGACAGGTAGATCGGGGTTGTCAAGATATCGATCAGGATTAAAACATGCGGGATTGTCAAAAATCCCCTCGTCCATGTTCATTCCATATTGATTCGCCACTACCGTTGAATTAGCAGGGATACGGTAGCCCATGTACTCGTCGTCTTGTATGACTGCGTGAGGAACGCCAATCGGAGAGATAGGATGCCAGCGGAGCAGCTCAGAAACGATTGCCCGGATGTATGGAAGCTTTTCAAGGTCGTCAAACGCCGGTAACCGTTCTTCACCGACAACGGAATCTAGCTCTGTTTGCGCTTTTTGTACCACCTCCTTGTGGAGTATACATATCATGATAAATATCTCCAAGACCATCTTGGTTGTGTGGATTCCGGCTACGTAAAGTTCTCCCAGCGCGTAGCAAACACCTTCCCAGGGAAGCTCCTTTCCTTTGTTCCTCTGAGAGACTTCACGGCTCCAGTTCCAACAGTCGCCCTCCAGCGCGATATTGCCGCACTGGGTATAGACCTCTTTGGTCTTGTAGTGGAGCCTCTCGGCCTTCTTTCTCCAGGTCAAGAAGCAATGTGGAAGCCAGTCGAGGATAGGGAAAAGGTCGAGCAAGATAGTTCCGAAAGAAGCTTTCTGAAGGACGAAAGTGGCCATTTCGTTAATCTGATATAACATCTTATGGTCGCTATCATCTTTTCCTCTTCCTTTTCCGTATACGAGAGTGAACATGATACCAGAGGTGTAGCTGAGAAAAGCCTCCGAGAAGTTATCTGTGGACAAGAAGTCTTGAAGTAGTCGCTTGCTCTCAAAGTCCTGGAGATGGCGATACACGATGGACGCTTTTTCACTGAGAAGTGATGAACCCAGTCGTCGATGGAGTCTCCATTGGGCACCATATGGCATGAAAGCAGACGCCAGTCCTTTGTGTAGGTATTTATCCAAGAACTTTGACGCAGGACGCGAGCTATATATACTGGCCCGTCTCTCAAGGAGGTCCTGGGCTGCTCGGCGGCTTCCCAAAACGATAAATTTCTGGGCTCCAATCGTTGCGCTCACGATAGGCCCATACTTCTGATTCCATTTCTGAAATGTTTTGGCGATGTCTTTCTCCGGGAATGGTCCCGATAGCAAGGTTGGGCCCGGTGGAAGTGGTAATTTCGACGAACTTGGGCAGATGACGCCCCTGAGAGGGTGGTAGAGGAATAGAAGAGCAGCCGCCAAACAGAGAATGGCGATCAAATCCATTATCTATTCCCCGTTCCTATTAGAACAAACTATTTTCCACAAGAAAACCAAAATGAAAAGAGGAAAAGAGGGTGGTAAGGGATCCAGTCGCTATCTGTCAAATCTACGACACTCCTGAAGATAGTCTGGCTAACTTATAAAAAAAGCTGGTTGTACAACCATCTTCATGCAAGTGCACGTCAAGTTGCATATCACAGTGAGGAAGTTACAATTCCTGCGAAGAGGATAGGTCCGTGGATGTTATAACTAGAACGAGTGGGTTATGGAGCAACGCGTTAAGCACGGCTAAAATCTGCTTTTCTCCCCTTTGCTCGAGTCAAATCTCGGTATTTCGGTGACCTCCCGAACCTAATCCTCGAATGAAACTTCTGGTAAATCAATAGAGTTGAATTATGCCGCTGCTCATTGGACAATCTTTGGGGGATCGACCATTTAACTAAGGTTAGACTCTGATAGTTATACAAGATGTTTTATCGGTAGTGGCTAGAACAGCATGTTAGCCAGGCTAAGAGGCATTTCAAACCTCAGATACCTTTCCGTTGAAACCACAACGGCAGCTGAGATACAAGTACGGAAGGTTTCTTAACTTTCTTCACGGCGAATTTCTCCACTTTTGGAGGTTTCCAGTCACTCAGTCCATTGGATGGTTTTGCATATTGCTGTATCCGGTTTAGTGTGGAACCTTAGTCATCCCATATGGCCCGTGACATGTCATCAAGTAATTTTAGGTTGGGGCCGAGATTCATCTTCCCAGAAAATAACGAACTTCGAAGAGTGTGGAAAAGGTTTCCTGTTTGTTTGTTCGTGCATCTTCACGTGTGATCTAATCAAATTCTGAATGCACGGATGTTCAAATTACTCTTTTCAAAAGCCACTCAGGTCTTGCCCCCGATATTAACAAAATATACTCAAGTCACTAATTTTAAGACAGCAAGGGGAAACGCAATTATTAGACCAGGTATGATAACAAATAAAAATGGATAGAGGACCCTGCTCATAGTCAACTTGAAACAACAGTTGTTCTGCCTAGTTCGTAGTAGTAAGAGGAAAGAGAGTAAGTAGTCAGAGTAGTATGATTGCTTGGGCCTCGGCCAACCTCGCCGTGATCCGTCGGCCTTCACGAGATGGACAGCTCGGTATCATGCGAGAAAAAGGAAAAGTGTCAGAAAGAGGGAACAGGGAGAGTTTTGATACCTCTGTATAAATTATAAGAAATAGTTCACAACCTCCGAGATAGCCATATCAGAAAGTCTCCGTCTTGTAGGCATCGATTTAATTTTATTTAAGTATATTGACCGAAGAACCCCGTTGAGAAGGGGGTCAGAAACGATAATTACCCAGAGGGGGTTAGAGGGCGATGACTAAGTGGACCCGTGAACGCTTGCTTTAAACCCATTCCGAACGCTGATCCGGTCTCCGATTCGACAATCGACGCATCCAAAACTTCCCCTTCCCCAGACACACATGGACGGATCTTCAACGTGGCTCACTGTGCTTGCACTATTTTTACACTATCTGCCAGGGGTAAAGTACCTGGCTTGAACGAGAACCCGCGCTTCGGGCTTGGATCCTTGACTCTTTTTCCTTTGTTTATCGACGCTTACTCCTCTCCGAAAGCCCATCTGAAATCCTCCCCCCGGTTGTTCCGCAATTGATTATCGCCTTTCTTACACCACCACCACCACCACGACGTCCACCTCTCAGCGCTGTTGGGTCCGTTTTTCACGGAGATGGTCCTTCTATAGACCGACAACTATCACGTTTCTTTCTCTTTCTGCTTCTTACGCTCTTTATAATACATATAATAAAAAGAAGCCGTCGACGCCGACCAGACCCAACAGCCCACCTTACCCGCCCCCCTCCTTATCCGCCAAGCTTACGGCATGCCCACCGGTCATGGAATCTCTCGTCTATGAAAATTCGCCTTTGGCGGACTATCTCCAGGGTGAGTTTTCCTACGGATCCTGATAATTCTACTGGTTTTTTATCATCACATGTGGAGGCCTAATGTGCACCAGGGGAGGGTGAGCACGACCCAAGCTGGCCTGTCAAGGAGTCTGAGAATAGCGATATTGCCTCTGAGTCGACAGCGGCGGATTACGCTCCACGAGGAACATCGAAATTTCAAGGGCGGATCCGGAATAAGCTCCCCAAGCCACTAGACCTAAAATCTTCGCATCAGAGAGTGGCTCTAGGGAGGCTGTATGACGCCTGTACGGTATGGTGTCGCCTATATGGACTGGTATTCATGGTTATCATTAGGCTGACGAGTTCTGTAGTCGGCGCTGAATTCGCGAGTTGGACGGAGTGATAATGAGAGGTTTTTGGAACAATTCGGATATGTCATCGTCGCGTCGCAGTTATTGAACGAGCATAGCGCCCCTTCCTACACGTCAGCTGCAGATGTACTCTCCAATTCGCGTTTGGCAGATCTTCCGTCAATCTCCTCAACTTTCGGACTACAGGGCGCCGTCGTTACGGCTTCGACATCTTTCTCTATCGCTTGGTTGTTGCACTGGAGCCGGCCTCGATCGGGCTCTGCCCTCAATCCCCGGAAAGTTGGCGTTCTACTGGTTTTGGTTCCCGTGATCGGAGTATTATTTTATGCCTTCGCCAAACGTCAATGGCTCAAATACTTGCGACATCAAGCTGTGGATGCGGCAGGGTTTCTCATCGGCAACGCTCAAGGGTTCGATTCTGCCGCCTCGGCATCGGTTGTGTTTATACAGGAGGTCGAGCTGGTCTCCAGAGGCTACCGCATGTAAGCCGGCATCCACCCTGATTCCTCTTTGATATAACGAGGAGAATACGACCTCTAACTGAATTATAGAAGCACGCCGTTGCCCCCCATCTCAAGGCTCGAGGATCAGGCACAAACACGAAGGTGCCTAAGACTGCGTCGGACTGTGTCGGAATGCTTCTACTTCATGTTAAAACGGTATCTTCAGGCGCAGCGCTGCCTGCGACCCATCACAGACAACAACAATCTGGCCAAGTATTATGACATCTACGATGTCTCGGAGGAAGAGTTGGCGGAGGCTGAATTGGCGCTTGCTGAGCGAAAGACTGAGGACCAGTACTCCCTACGTGCTCTTCGCACTCTGTTCGGGCGGCTATACGTTGTGAGGAAGAGCATACTGTGCTGTCTATTAGCTTTGGGTGCCGATGGTGGCGGGTCTGATATTGCGAGATGGAGCGTTGCTGTTGAGCAAATGCAGGATCTGGCTGAGGTAACGGGTGAAAATACCGAAAAAATGACGAGCATTCTCAATGAGGAGGATAGTAAGTATTATCGCGACCTATCAACGGCCTAATTAACCTATCCTCTAGGCAACCCAGTGCCTCGTTCTCCCCTGCCCACAGCATCTCCCAAAAAGGAGCATCTCCGCGCGCAATACAGAAGGCTTAATTCTCTATCTCAGGCAATCCGTGCGCTTCATGCCAAAATGCATCTCCTCAGAGAAATGTCTAGTGCCACTTTGGAGCAACCGGATACAAGTGAGAGTGATGAGACTGAAGCGACTCTACTGTCTCAATACGAATCAATCGGGTCGGACATCAAGAACCTACTTCAAGAATGGGAGAGTGGTAAAACTGCCATGACAAGTAACTCAGATAAGCGGTTGACTGTAGATCGTCTTTCACGGCCGTTGAGCGAGTGGAAGCTACCATCATCTCCCACTCCTAGCCTGGGTGGTTCCACAACAGTCGAAGGTAGCCCGTCCGATGCGCTTAAAGCTTTGAATGGCGAACGGCCGGATTCCAGCGTCATCCATTTCGACGAAGAAGAGGAGATCTTTGAAGCTGTGGCTCTCCCGGCTCGCAGTAAAAGACAGTCTTTGACGAGAGAGGAGCGGATCGCACGTGTCAAAGAAGACCGAGCAAAACAAGCTGCGGCACGAGAGCGTCTTGACGCCAACACCAACATGTTGAAAGAGCTTGAGATGGTTATAAAGCAACGACCACCGCCAGCCTCGAAACGGGTTACGAGCATCTGATCCCGCAGATGTCCCTTGCCTCCTCCTCCTCCTCCTCCTCCTCCTCCTCCCCCTACCTTCCTCCGTCGCGCCTTCTACAACCCCTCCTTGTACCCTAGTATACTCTCACTTCCCGTCATCTTGGAGTGAATTGTTCACAGCTGATCAGCAAGCCATGTAGGTTGATACCCAATGTATATAGAGTGGACTGGTGTCACTGGCGTTTTATGGGCTGGGCCTTTACCTTTATTTTGGTTGTACCTTATGCTTCGATTCTGTATTATCTCGTCATTGCTGTACAGTATCCTTAGTTTTTGGTTTATTTTTCTCCTTGACTTTTACCTGTCTTTCTTTCACTTTGACGCGCTCTTTTTAGCATGTTTTCATTTTGTACTCTTACTCGCTGACACTGGCCACTGCCAGCTAATTTCCTATGTAAAAAAAATTGGGAAGCTTTTGTATATAGTCTATAATAAAAACAAGACATGTTTCAGACCTCATCCCAATGAACATGAACTACGTATGAATAGTAAGTCTATGCTATGTTTGCATGGCAGCCTTACAGCCAAGGCAGCAGAGGGTCTAACCTGAAATGTTCATATCAACCGTAGGCACGCGTGACCCGTGAACGCGTTTCCCCACTACGCGACCTGAGCTTGTGAATCCGCAATTTCTCTTCTGTGGTGACCGTATCGATTTCTTTATTTCTTCCAATCTACCTTTGACTTGTCAGTCATATAACATTTTTAAAACTCTTATTGACTACACTAATAATTCGTCTTTCAGAATCTGTCTGACACTAATCCCTCATATATTCCCTTTTTTATCTCATATCTCTTTATTACTACCATACATATCAAGAGTGAGTTTTACGCACGCCAGTGACTTCCGCACAATTGCCCTCTAACCGTGATCCTAGTGTTGGAAGCTCGCCTAGAACAAGCCTCTCTCCTCAAGCGCGTATGTGAATTCAATCTCAACAGCAGCCCTCGTACTGTCGCTGACTTAGGACTCGACTATGTAGGTTGTCGATGCCATCAAAGATCTTGTGCAGGACTGCAACTTTGACTGCAATGACTCCGGTATCGCCCTGCAGGCCATGGATAACTCCCATGTTGCCCTGGTTTCTATGCTGTTGAAGGCTGAAGGCTTCTCCCCATACCGCTGCGACCGCAACATTGCCCTCGGTATTAACTTGGTCTCCTTGACCAAGGTCCTGCGGGCTGCCCAAAATGAAGATATCCTCACTCTCAAGGCGGACGATTCGCCTGACGCCGTTAACCTGATGTTCGAGAGTGCGGAGACCGATAGACTAAGCGAATATGATATCAAGTTGATGGACATTGACCAAGAGCATCTGGCTATCCCGGAGACCGAGTATGCCGCTACCGTGGAGATGCCATCGGCAGAGTTCCAGCGGATCTGCAGAGATCTCAACGCACTTTCTGAGTCGGGTTCGTGAACCACCCCTGTACCTTCGACGAAGGCGTCCATCATCAAATAGAACGGCTATACTCGAACAGTTACTGACGACCGTCTAGTTGTCATTGAGGCTACCAAGGAAGGTGTCAAGTTCTCCTGCCAGGGTGATATTGGCAGTGGGTCCGTCACCATCCGCCAACACACCAGCGTTGAAAAGCCCGAACAGAACGTTTCCATTGCTCTCTCTGAGCCCGTTGCCCTCACATTCTCCCTCAAGTACCTCGTCAACTTCTGCAAAGCCACCAACCTCTCCAGCAAGGTGTCCCTCTGTCTGTCCCAGGAGGTTCCCTTGCTTGTTGAGTACGGTCTGGGAAGTGGCCACTTGAGGTTCTACCTCGCTCCTAAGGTAAGACTCTTTCTCTTCCTTTTTTATCTAGAAGCAATAGGGTATGCTAACGTGGCATAGATCGGCGACGAGGAGTAAACAAAAAGACAAAGAAAATAAAATCAAAAACATACCAGTCATGACGGAGGGGCATTAAGCAGAGGGCAAATGATCTCTTTGCGGGTTTCTTCTTTCTTTTCTCATTTCGGAAATATCCCACGTTGACGGAACAAAGGATTTTGTTATTATAATATCCCAGTTAGATATGAAGCGATCGTTTTACAATTTCCATCAGTTGCTGATGAACCGAACAAAAAGACTATTATCGTGGCCATACAAAGTAAGATAGACAGCACAAGGTTTGATACATCTTACGAGCTATGCAATGTCTACAAGAAACACATAAATGTTTCCAAGGCTGTCCATTTATTCCATTCCAACAATAAATCTACCCTAAACCCCAGTATACTCTCAAACCCACCCCTGACACCCAACAACAACTCCCTAAAAAAAAAGAAAAGACAACGGGCCCAAAGACCCGCACCCTCACAAATCAGCAAGAGGACACCAGCACCCTTTCCAGTCCAAGAGCAAAGACTCACCTGAAAAAAATGGAAAAGAAGCACCACCCCAACCAGAATAATCGGAATCGAATGATACCGTTCTCCCCCCTCCCCCAAAGGGAAGGGAAGAAACCAGCATGCTGCGTATTGCACTAAAGTGTCGCACGGTTTCCCGCACACACAATCTTCGCAACGACTCTCCCAAGGGGAAAACCTGGAGGGAACGCGTGAACGTCCCCATTCCAGCCCCGATGTTTCTGATGCCGATTGCAGATGTGCGACCCGGCCGAAGCTGGGTTGGATTTTCACACCAGGCCCTTGCGGGCAGTACCGGCTCGCTTTTCCTGTGAGAGGAAAGAGAGAGCGGGTTACTTTGTTTAGGTGAAGATTCCTCCGAATTTCTCATTTGCATGGTTGGCTCGGCGCGTCTGGGACGCGCCGAGAATCAAGTTTTACCTTGATCGTTTGTGGCAAAGAAACGCAGCATTGATTGGGGTGGTGCTTGGAGAAGAAAATTTGGTGGAAGGGTTTGTTTTTGTGGGTTTTTATGAGGGGCGGACGAGGTGGTTTGACCGCTTGCTGTGTTGGGTTAGTGAATTTTTTTTTCCGGATGACGGGTGGGTCTTTAGTACTTACTAACTGGTGAGTTGTTTTGTCGATGGGATTGTTCTCTGTTATTATGAGGCTATTTTGAATTGATCGGCGCTCTCTTTTTATGAGGAAATATAATCATTATAGCACTACGCTTGTTTATCAACAGCGAAACTAAACACAGTATATTGATCCTTCTCGCCCAGAACATAACTCCTATAGACAGATGTAGCAGCGAAAGTACTTGAACACGAATGATTCGATTCTCCAGCGAAGCCTATGCTGATTTGTTCTCTATCACTATCGCTATATATACAACGGATAACGAGGAGATCGTGAAAAATAATATTATCTAGTACCAGTAACTCCGCGGAGAAGTCGGTTACCGAATGCCCGCGGAACAGAAAGACATTCTTGTTGACCATGTGTGGTTTCTTTGTTTCAATCGGAATACCATTCAATCGAACCGGATACTTGGGATATGCAAGTGACCGAGCGGGAAAGCTTGAATGTGACAAGGTGATGAATGCTCCAACGAGAGTCACCGGGAAACCATAATAATATTATTACTTCGGACCCGAAAATGGACCCCGCATAAGGGTTCCCCGCACTCGTGATTCTAATCAGTATGGTTTGATGTTACAGATATACGGTCTGTTATGTTGTGACTCACCTGCGGGTATATAAACGTCTCGAAGATCCAAATAGTGATCCACCAATTCCTTCATTCCTTGCACCCAATGACAATGTCCGGAAACACTCCAAGTCTAGGAGCAGATGAACGGGCAACATACCTCCTAGATGCCCAAAACAAAGCTATTCAGCTCTTCGACGAAATCGAACGAGATCTACTCCGGGCAGGCGTCGGTGAAAAGCAACTAAGCGAAGAGATCTACGAGCTTGCCAAACGTCACGGAGTGCGAACCCATTGGCATAAACGAGTCGTCCGAAGCGGTCCCAACACATTGAAACCCTTTGCCGACAACCCTCCTGACCGCATCATCCAGCCCGATGACATCTTATATGTCGATCTAGGTCCCGTCTTCGAAGCCTGGGAAGCGGACTTTGGGCGCACCTTTGTCCTTGGAGACGACCCACACAAGAAACAACTACGCGATTCCCTTGAGCCAGTATGGAACACAGTCAAGTCGCATTATGTTAAAAACCCCGATATGACCGGCGAAGAGCTATATGAGATCGCATGTGATGTTGCAAAGCAAGCTGGGTGGGATTTCGGTGCCGAAATCGCTGGGCATATCGTTGGATCTTTTCCGCACGAGCGCATCCCGAAGGATAAGATTAGTCTTTATATTACCCGTGGGAATAATCGACCGATGTCTACCCCCGGTAAGGATGGGAAGAGGCATCATTGGATCTTGGAGGTACATCTTCATGACCGGGTTCGCCAGCATGGTGCTTTCTTTGAGAAGCTTCTGACGGTTGGATGATACTGGTTTTCTCGTTGGAACTTGTTGCTGGAGCTTTACAATGTGTACATAGCCAGACCACTTCTGTACTTTTTGTTCACTAATATCATGAGGTGTTTAACGTTTGACGATACTTATTGGACCTCTGCTTCTTGGTTATATCACTTACGATAATTGATTTTCATATAAGACCGACTCTTGCTACCAAAAGTCTAATTCCATTGAGGAAAGATTTAGGTATATCTATGGCGTGGAGTACCCCAAGTCCACAGGAAATCAGCCCGTGAGGAGCAGCTATAAATGCCCAGAATTGACTTTACATGTAGATCTCTGGTCCTTTTCCTTTTCTCAAATGATTATATAGAGTCTCAACGACTATTACACGCCATTATCAATCGTGGCACGACCGTGGGAGACATTTTGTATCCATATCTTTGCTAGCAGCAGCCTTACCGACCTGGACACAGCACGTTGCAAAAATACAGCCAGTTGGGGCTTATGTCTGGACCAGTAGTGGACTCATTGAGGGTATTCCTGCACCTGAGAGGTCCAATGTTTCGGAATATCTGAGGATTCCCTTTGCCGCATCGCCAACGGGAGATCTGCGATTTGCACCGCCAGTAGCATATCATTCTAACTCCGCGGTGCATGCAAGTACCTATTAGGTAATTCCTTGAAAGCATCAGGGTGAATTAAGCAATTAACAGGGTTACAGAGTCAGTATTTGAGCTTCAGCCCTTTAGTCGAGCGGACGTAAATACTTAACAAGGCTATATCAGAGACTGCCCTGCTAATATCGGTACGACCCGGATGATTACCCTGGTTTCACTCCTCAAGCCCAAAAAGTTGTTCAAACGTTTGCCCAGCAGCTGGGCAAACCACAAAGCGAAGATTGTCTGTACCTGAACATGTGGGCCAAGCCTACGACGTCCAGCTTGAAGCCTGTGCTCGCCTTTATCCATGGTGATCGTAAGTAAAGGCCCCCGGTTTCCTGTGCCTTTCCACAGTGACTGATATCCTCCAGGATTCTCACTGGGTGGTGCACAGAGCCCCTATTATGATGGTCAGATACTGGCTGATGAGCAAGAAGTTGTGGTCGTAACTTTCAAGTCAGCAGCAGTTCCTCCAAGTATCTTTAAGCCCACTGAATAACAGGTACCAGTTACCGACTGAATATCTTCGGGTTCTCCGCCGCCCCCGGGTTCCCCCAGAATGTAGCCCCCCTCGACCAACGTCTAGCAGTCGAATGGGTCCATAGCAACATAGCAGCATTCGGGGGAGACCCCTGCCGCATCGCCATGTTCGGGCAATCAGCCGGTGGCGCCGCAGTCGACTACTACTCATATATCTGGGGCAATAAACCTCTCGTCAGCGGCCTCATCTCCCACTCCGAAACAGCCCTCAGCTTCAAGCCCAACACGCCCCAAGAATCAGCCAGCTACTTCCACCACGTTTCCCATACCCTAGGCTGCGGAAGCACCACCACGAACACAACCTCCATCATCCAACGTCTGCGCCAACAACCGAACAAATCGACCCTTAAAAAAGTCGCCAAAGTACCCCCCGCCCAGTTCCCCGTCCTCCCCCAACCTATCTTCCACCCAACAGTGAACAACATCACCATATTCAACAACTGCGCTGAGCACTCCGCCGCCGGAAACTTCAGCTCCATCGTCAGTCCCTCCTCCTTTCCCCCTCCCTAACCCCTTACCTACTCAAACCCGCCAACTCATACAAACTAATAACCACAGCCCTACCTCCTAACCGCCAACGCCAACAAAGCAGGCTACTACCGCGTCAGTGCCTACGTCACCAACACCTCCCACCCCGACTCCGTCTGGACACTCTTCAACCAAGCCGCCTTCGCCTGCCCTACAGGCAAAACAGCCTCTGACCGTGCCGCAGCAGGCATCCCAGCCTGGCAATCGCGCTACTTCGGCGACTGGGATAACCTCCGCCTGTACTCGTCCAGTGGACTACCGAGTTCTGCGAAGGAGATGGAGCTCGCGAGGTATATGGTTTCGGCGTGGGTTGCATTTGCGTGTGAATGGGTTGAGGGAGTTTAGATGGCCGGGGTATGATAAGGATGGTGAGTTCGGTGTTCCCCCTTTTTTTTTGTGTGTGTGTGTGTGAGAGAGAGAGAGAGATTTTTTCCTGTGTCTTATATGTATAGGTGGATGGGGAGTACTGATTTGGGGGGAGTTGTAACGGAGACGCTCGTGGGTCCTGTGTATGGGGATGAGGCCAAAGCTCGGTTCTTGTTGCCTTCGTTGTTTGAGCAGGAGAGTGCTAGTTTGGGGAGTGAGTGATACTTGGCCTAGGAAGGGGGCGTTTTATGTGTTTTTAGGGGAGATTGTTTATTGGTTTGTGCTATGGGGGCTTGGATATGGTATCATCTAATCAGATATGTACATTATGTACTAGTATGTATGTATTTTGAGGTGTACCCAGGTACATATACATAATTATACAAGTAGACGGTAAATACACGAACCGACCAATCAATCACGATATGGATTCCCCAACAAACTGTAGATCATGCTCGGATTTAAGTATCAATAATCAAGATTATAAGTCGTGGTTGGAACCATACCTCGGATGTTGGGGTAGGGCTGGATTGATGTTAAGTACCGAGGGTGGTGGGGGTTCCTTTTCCTTATTTATCGATTACTTTGGTTGACTGTCCTGGTTACGTACCTCTTCAATCAACCCTTTCCTTTCTACCACACAACTCAGTAAAGATAGTATACACCGTTGCAAAAATGGCCGACTTTTCAGAGTATACGAACCCCATTGAAGAATGGCTTGAGTTGGAGAAAACCCTCCCGGAATTCCCAAAGAACCTGACCATAGACCAAATGAAGACAGCGGCGAATCAGGACCGCGAGGCATCTGCTGCGAAAGCTATGATTGCTGAAGGTTTGTACACATTACGTGGTGTTCTACGGCTGCAAGATGGTGGAGGGGGGCTGAGGAATGGCTGAAGCTTACGTTTCCCGGCCATACAGGTCTTGTGTCGCAGGTATCGATGCAAGACTACGAGATCTCAACGCGGGATGGAAAGACCATAGAAGCTCGCAGCTATCGGCCGTCATCGGTGCCTGCTACGCAGCGACTGCCTGTTTTCATCTACTTCCATGGCGGCGGGTTTGTACTCGGTACCCTTAGGTCGGAGGATGCAACTTGCTCTCGCATCGTGGTTGACCGGGCGGCGGCGGGGTCCCCTGTGGTTGTCGTCAATGTGAATTATCGCCATACCCCCGAATACAAGTATCCAACCGCTTGGGATGATGCCGAGGATTCCTTCCATTGGGTTCATGACCATCTGGATGATATTTACGGGGACGGAGAGAATGTGGTGATCGGTGGTATCTCGGCAGGGGCCTATCTGACGGCATCTTTGACGCTCGCACAGAACACCGGCAAGGATCTATCGTTGGCTCAAAGACCTAAGGTCCGCGGCCAAGTGCTTATGATCCCGGCTCTTGTAACGGAGGATTATTATGCATCGCAACTCGCGAAACTTCGTGATCCCTCCGTCTCGAGCTATGTGCAATGCGAGCATGCACCCATTCTCCCGGTCAGCAGAATGCGCCTGTTTGGGAAGCTGCTGGACCCACCTGGTGGACCGGAGTTGGAATTCGATAGACGGATCAATCCGGGCCTTGCGACGCCGGAGGAAGTGAAAGGGTTGCCGGCTACGACGTTTGGAATCGCGGGGAGAGATCCTTTGCGGGATGAAGGGTTGCTGTATGCGATGTTACTGAGCGAAAATGGGTAAAGCCCTGGAGTGAATTACGCTGCATTTGAATGCTTGACAGCTGACTGGTGTGTTTCAGTGTGCCTACCAACGTTCATGTTTTCAAAGGGTTGCCCCATGGATTTCGGCGTTATGGGGACAAACTGTCCGCATCGAAGAAGTGGGACGAGGTAATCACGCAAGGTATTCAATATGCCCTGGACAATCCAGCGCCCGGAGAATTTGTAATTAAGGCTCATTGAAGCTAAAGTCGAGATGTCGGAACTTAGAACATGTAGACTTGGCATGATCTTCGAATGCAAGACAGGGACCAGAAATTCTTTATTCCCATTGCTGATCATCATCTCGCTCGGTTTGATAGAGTAATCGGCTTCGCTGTCCGATTCGACGCACGACGCGAGGGATCAGCCAAAGAGATCTGTAAATAGTAACCTTTCCAGCCGTGAACTTTCCCATGCACAACGTGCAATGTTTGACAGTAAGGATGATCGTGTCACGGTGTCAGATTGATCGATTAATTGGCTTTGCTTGAGCCACGACCAGTGTGGCTCACCTGAACTACGGATCAACACCGCCACCAGCCATCGATCTCATTGGTGTGCTGTCAGCCCAGGATTTAGTGTAGGGGTTGTTGACATGGCGATGATAGTCTTGAATTAACTTGTTTAGGGCTAACTGGGTGGGCATCCCATTCTCCTTGAAACGTTCTATGTGGAGTGAACAGGACCGTTTTCGGTATCGGTTCGTATTTGTCTTACTAAATGCTCGCCTTGACTTCAAGTTCTTACCTTCCAAATTCGGGCAAACAACGGTTCGAGCCCATTGCGTCGAAGGTCATTGCTACTCGACAGGATCGTACGGTAATTTCCTGCTTGTCAACTATCCATCCTGTAAAGTGCTCTGCTCTGTAGTCTGGTGGAGACAGTTGAACTGGCCTGATGAACTCGGGCATGTTGTCATCCTAACTGTATCTTAGTGTACTACCATTAGCAAGCACCTATAATACCAAACACTAAACTTTATCTTTCATACACTCCGTCGTCTTCAAAAATCAACCGGGGCTTGAGGTAGTACTGTGTGTTTTAGGTTCGCACGTTTCAAACTTGACGGCAAGACTGTACTCTCCTGGTCCAAATTCTAACACGGATGGCCCAAGCGTAAAGCCTTTAGAGGGCGGTTACTATTCCAATATTAAAAAGCTTGATCTGCGATGATGCTGCATGGAAGGATCCCTTGCGTCGACGCCTATGGAGTTCCTTTGCTATCAACTCTGATCTCGGTAAACATGTGAAGCATCAGTGTTGTCAGAAAGCGCTAACTGATAGTCTTGATCGATGTAAGATTCCGGTTTGTGTACATCGTCTGCGCTACTTGCTCAAGGCAGATGTAGGAGCAGAATCCCTGGGACCAGTGGAGATAGTTGGGTCCGTCAGATAGAAAAGACGTGTCATGACTTTCAAGCCAATAGATCTGTCTATCCAGCGCTCTGAACTCCAGCGATGTCTTCTGGACGATTTATTTCAACAAGGCCGTGCCAGGGTGCTGTTGGCCTGCTTTGCTTCGGCGCCACTGCCAGTCGCGTATATAACTCACGCTGCTTATGTTAGGGGAGCTCTTTTGCCAACATAGCCTTCATCTCACTCTATGTCTGGTTCCGCCCCAATGTACGGAGTGTGCCCATCCATTTTCTCTTGCCTTGTTGGTTGTCCTTGCTGCATAAGGTCCATATAACGGCTCTCGCGTCGGTGTGCTGTGCGATCCATGCCAGTGACCGTTCGAGACCGATGTAAGGGTCGTTTTCGGTTGTAGTGTGCATCCCAGCCCTCATTACCCAGCCGTTCATGTCCATGAACAGGAGCAGCTTCGGGCACCCCGAAGCTATTAGTGAAGTCAAAGTTCCACGGAAGATGAATTATAGCAATATTGTATTGTACTGTTATATTCGCAGGTTCGCGAGATCCAGGTACTGTTGCTCATCTTCTAATCTGATTTTTCAAAACAGTTAGTAGAAGTAACACAATCGAACAACCCCCAAATAAATATTTGTTGAGATGCTGGCCTGAAAATTTGTTGGTGTGGTTGGACTTTTTGGATGAAGTCACGCCTCTATTGGCTTGGTTTCAGTGACGCATGACGGTGGCTTATCTACTGAAGTGAATTAAATAGGGAAGGAAGCTGGAACGACACAGCTCCAACTTATAAGTAAGATTGTGGACGTTGACATGGTGGCTGGCAGGAGTAGTATGGTAGATGTATAAATAACAGGGCATTGTGGTCGGCGGCTGGACTATAACAATTTCAAGGTAAGGACTTCCATCATTGTTGGTACTGCTCGTGCTTATTTTAGTTACATGATCTGAATATTAATAATAATAAAAAATGAAATCTGCTCACCATATTAATAAGTTTGCAGGATGATGGTTTACCTTATACATCAATCCTGCCCGTAGGATCTATATATAGAACACAAACCACCAAAGGTAGTACTCCATACTTTGCACCGTAAGGGAGCATCATTGAACTTTCTGTCAAATTTCAATGCTCAACAATAGTAATGATAGTACAAGTTTATGAGACAATTGCAGTGACTACCTAGAGTCGATATCTGTCTGCCTAGGGCAGAGACCCATGGAACACGTACGGAGCACGTTAAATAACCTTATAGCTGCCCTATGCTAACACTTTTCGAGATGGGGATACTAGCTGACCGAGTGATCCACACACATGCACACACACACACAATCACGTTAGATCTCTTCCTTTAGTTTACTACAGTTTGTGACGACGATGTGGCCGCTAGTGATGACTGATCTATCATTTCTAAATGAGAGGGGGTTATTTACCAGTCAGGTTGTGTCCCATTAGGGGTTGAACCGTGGGTAACAGCAAGCGAAAGCCAGGTACACAAGCGAATTTATTAGCCAGAGTCCAGACGCAATCCCCCGAGGATTCTGGCCCCATCACATTTTCCGTCTTACAGGCTAGGACGGGTCCTTGACCCACTCACAGGCACCGATTCAGGAGAATCGAAGTTAGTCTTCTTCATCAAGGGCCTTTGGCACCGCCGGTTGGATTCGGATGCGATTGTTTGGATATGATACTCCGTACGGAGTACTCCGTAATTTATTAAGGAAAAGAGTTCTTGGCTGCAGGTTTGGTTTCTGGGACGGGAAGTAAAAATGGTATTAATAGTGAACGGAAGACCCAGTTCCTGGTAGTATCTAATAAAATGAAAACAAAATAAGAACACTAATAATAAAATAAAAAAAAATATTGGGGGGATGGGCAACAATTTACCGTTAACTGTCAAAAGCAACTGAGGCTATTAAATCTATGATTTCCATGATTGACATTCTTCTCTCTTTTGTTTTCTTTTTCCCTTGAGGGTAAGTTTGTATTTGTGTGCAATTCTTCCGTGTGTCTGGACTTTTTCCCTTTCTTTTCCGCCCAAAAGCCTGGGTATAGCCAAAAAAAAAAAAAAATCTCGGTCAAACCAAACAAAGCCAAAAAAGAAGAAAAAACCTAAATGATCAGTGGTACTTCTTGTCAAGTGACTGCGTAATTGCCAGTCAAAAAAAGGTCTCTCTCTCTTTCTTCTCTCTCCACAACCGATTGTTTAGTACTACTAAAGTTACCTTACCTAATTTCCTTTTTCTCCTCATTCCTTGCGATTACTACTCTTTAGTTGGTAGTGGTAGTATTATTCTTCCTCCCACCCACATCTAATCGGCACATTCCCCTATACTCAAACCGCCCCCCCCCCCCCATTCCTATTGTCTCTCGTTCGACCACCCACCTTCGTTTTTCGAATTCTCCTTCGTCCCCTCTTTATTTATCTCTTCGGGTTTAACTGACCTATCAGTCGCTTTTCTTCGACCCATGTCCAGCCACTCGCTGAAAAGGGTCCTCGCGTGAGTCTGCATGTGCTCAGTCTTACACCAGTCCTGAAAGATCAATCGGATCCTCTGCGCCCAACACAACCTTTCACTCGTGGCTTGGCAGCTATCTCTAGAGGGATATTCTATCCATTCCCAAATCGCGCCTTCTGGTCATCGATCATTCTTGTCCTCGTCGGGCCCATCTATCCCGCTGGCCATTCAGCATCGACCCGAAAGAGGCTGTGGAGGCTTGTACATCTGTGCCTCAGGACCCGTCGTCTGACGAACCCGCCCGGCTCGAGAGCAGACCTCCTAAAGCCCTCCCACTAAACAGTCTCCAAACAAAACTCTCCGACCTTCCCTCTGCGTCCCTAGGTCACGATTCCTAGCATACTTTCCTGTGTTTTCGCCGCCATACGGTGGTCAAAACCGGCATATTGTATCCCAGATCTGAAACTCCGGCGGACACGAGCTCCGTAACGGAGCCTATTGCCAAAATTTATACCAACAATTCGCGAGCCTCCCTTCTTGGGGGATCTTTCGACCCGGCATTTCGACGAGGCGGAGGCGGTTTTCGAGGGCGAGAAGGGTATGCAAATGTGCCTCCCCACCCTCCGAAGCGCAGGATGTATGTTCCAAATTCAATGTGGACATGGTCCTTTTGCATTGTGACTGTTTTACAAACAATCATCACGCTGGCTCTAGAGTGGTATGTATAATCGCCTCCGTTTACCTTCTTTTGCTTTTTTTTTATTTTCTTCCCAGATGTCGCCGGTCGCTAATGTTGATGAATGATCTGCAGTTATGTTTTCGCAGACTTCCAGCTCAAGCTCGTTGAAGAAATCGCTGGAGACGTGCCCTCATCTAAAACAATTCCGACCTTTTTAGCACTATACAGTTTCGGTTTCGTTTATGAGTTGGTACTAGTTTACGATGCACTACGTCTCAAGAACACCATTCAAGTTATCGGGCTGTGTATATGCAACATTGGACTGCTGATCTATGGCGCTGTGCAAGTGGAACAGATCAAAGATGCGGTCTCGATCTTACATGACAATTCAGCCATTGACCCATCCGTGTGGGAACAGATCAAGCCTTTCCTGATCATCATCCCATGTGTTGTAGCCATGGGTAGTGTACTGATGATGATCGTTGCCTGGAAATTATATGATGAATTTGCGTGGTCAATCTATAAGCACATCAGCGCTGACTTGCGAATGAAGCGTCGATATCTGACGTATCAGGTTTGTTGTGAACCACTTCGCGGATAAGGAACATCGGCTGATATTCCTGGTAGATCTACATCGCGCTTCTCAAGTTCGACTTCTTCTTTTTCCTTGGGTTTACCGTTCAGTTCATTGTCATCGTCACCAACAAGAGTGATGCCGAGTTTGCTCTCACCCTAGCGGCTATCCCTGTTACAATTTTGATCCTGTTAGCAGCCGCTCTATTCGTCAGGCGCGAAAGCTCTTTCGGAATGATCATTATCATTGTACGTGGTGGTCGACCAACAACCTCCCCTGTGAAATATTTTCTAACTCTGATCGCAGCTCCTCTACTTTGCTGCACTGGCATATTTCCTGTTCAAGCTTGTTCGCATGTACTCCCCGAGCACTTATGCAGAATATCTCCAGGCTCAACGGTCTCTAACGTTTTTCGCTGTGATCACACTTGTTTTAATCGTTATGACCATTATCAACGCTTGCTTGTGCATGCACAATTTCCATAAGGGCTTGAAACCGCATGTGAACAAAAAGAAGGCGCGCAAAGAAGCGGAGAAGACGACAGAGCTGTCTTCGAACATAACTGGCCAGGTGCCCAATCGTATGATGATCGATTGAGCCAGACTTTGACCAGGATCTATGATGATTAAGGACAACCTTTCGGTTCTACTGTTCATATAGAACCAACCAAGCGCTTTATCGGGGCACAAATATCCACGTTATACATTTGCGAACCAGCGTACATTTCGCTCTTATTAGCCGACTTGGATACTGTATTTTGAAGGTGTTTCCGGGATTTGCGATATGATACCTTTTACTGCATTGATCGATTTAGCTCACGATTTCCCTTATCTTTTCTGCCGCTGTCAGGGTTCTTTTTCTTTAACCTTTTGTCTTTCTCGTCATCCCCCATACAACTTTATTCAATGGGCGCCGACAGCGTTCAATTGATGATTCCGATATTTGCGCTCTGATATCCTTTGCTTATGTCATCTTCTTTTTCACGACTATGCATCTCATATGTTATATACTGTATCTATCACATAATTGGAATAAAATACATAGGAAGAATATGGTTTGCTTGACTGTACTTCGTATGGTATTCAGAACAAAATCCCACTGCGCCATACTGAATACTAGCTCCTTAAGCCGTTCCACGGAGCCCGATAAGATCCATTATGCCGATTACCTGCGCAAGAAGACCTGGCAATTTGAGTAGAGGAGGGACTGCAAGCATGGGCTGTGATTGGTGGAGGAAACTGGGGTAGGCCGGTGTGACGATACGTGACAGTACAGCCGAAGGGAAATCGTGAGCGTGGCCTCTTTTGAGTGACTTGACTTGCGACCTCACCTCTCTCTGCCAACTAATTCCCCTTCCACTTTCAAGCTGCCTTCTCTCCTTCCATCACCGGCCAACTTTTCTTTTTCGTTCTTAAATTTAGTCATCTTCATTTCTTGACGACATTCTTTGATCCTTTTCATTCTATTACTGCTCTTCCACTCAAAATGGTAAGTATCCTGTGTGCCAACTGATCGCCGTGTCCTCGGGCGGATGGACTTCTATCGTGTCGCGACCATCGTCAAGCCAAGACGATGTCATTATCTCGCATATCAATTCGCAATTTTGAAGCTAACACAATATCCTTGTCAAGGCTTCTCCTCGTGCCGCTTCCCCCCTGACCTCTGGTGCTGAATCTGGCCCAGACTCCAAGGCTTCTGGCTCTGGTGCTGGAGCCGCTGGCTCTGTTTCTTCTGTGGCTCGTACCTCCTCTCCCACTCCACCCGGTGGACCTCGAGCTGCTTTGCGTCGTCGCGCGGCTGCCGACCACAAGGAGTCTCTCCGCAATGTTAGACCAAGCTCGACTCGCGCTGCCGGTGCTGGCGGCTCTTCCGGTACTATGCTCAAGCTCTACACCGACGAGAGCCCTGGTTTGAGGGTCGACCCTGTTGTCGTCTTGGTTCTGAGCTTGGGCTTCATCTTCTCGGTCGTTGGTCTGCATGGTACGTTGCACCTGGAACCTAGCCGTCTAGACAAGTAACTCAATGCTAATGTGCCTCCGGCTTTAGTTATCGCCAAGATCACTCGCAAGTTCTCCACGTAATTTATGACGATGCATCTACTCTCACCGTTACTCTCCTGCCTGCATCGAGCGACATATGGTCCGGCCGAATGAAGTTCTTAGTGAGCAGGGCTGTTTTGCTATGCATCAGCGGACCCTGCTTCTGGAACGATTCCAGTCGTTCCGTGAGGATCGGTTTTTGTGGGAACTTTCTCATGCCCTTCTTCTACCCTTTCGAAATAATATACCCCTTGGTGTCCGTTACCTGTACTTTGTCCTTGGTGTGCGGAGATGTTCGATCTATTCGCCCGATTCTTCGCGAAGTTGAGCGTTGACAGCCTATCTGCAGCATAGGTTGGGAACGTGTGCTGGTTGTTATGTTACTGTTGATGGTGCCTCGAAACACCTGCGACCGTTAATGAGGGACTGTTTCATGCTGAGAGTTTGGAAGGAAAGCTTTGTATAATATCGGATGCTCTTGTCAATGGATACATGAACCTCACCAATTGATTGCACTGTAGCCACGCCTGGGCTTTAATCTGAAGTGTAGGGCCTTGGCTAAAGCATCCAGCTTAGTAAGAAATCCTCGATGCTTAGTACTCATTAAACCACCCTTCTACTACTAGTATCCGCTACTTGACACAACCCCAAATGTGAACTTATTTTTTTTTAAAAAAAAAAGGAAAATTTTTTGGTAGAGGAAGGGGATATATCTCTTGGGCTCGACTGTCCGCACTCCGGTAGTTAATGTCTGAAACCCACAGACTGCTACTATAAGAGTTCAGTTCAATCAATCCTGTTTCTGATCTTTCCCCAGTTCTCCGCGTAATTGGGGTGGAGGAGGAATGCAGGAATATCATTACTCGAAACCTGGAGTAAAGGGAAAGTGTTATCAAGGCCAATGGGCTCATTTTTGGTGATTTACATGAAGACTGGGTCAGCATCCACTATCTTGATATCAAAAGTCCTTATCACACCGTTCTCGTCTCGGAACCAATCGATGGACAACCTCCACTGATAACGGATGGACGACGAAAACGAGCCCGACCAATGATAACGGTGGGATTGACATCGACCACGATAGGAACCATGAGCCCTATGGATTTTCAATAAGCCGTTCACATAAGAAAAACAGCGGGATAATGACGCTGTGGGAATACGAAGACCCATGTCCTTATCAGGGTCCCGGAAAGTTACATCGGAACGTGTGGACACAATGACAGGCTTACATACCTGTCTGGATTCTCGATTCAATGGGACTAAGTCTGTTGATCAGGCTGGTCTCTGCGAGTTCGGAGGTGTCCTATGCCCGTGGTTGTACTACTTCACGTAGTATATGAATCGAAGTTATCCTTCGTTTTTACTACCAGGTTTGTCTCTAAGAGAGCACCAAACCACTAGAGGTCTTTGGTTTCAGGATCAACAGACTTGTTCTATATACCGTCATATCTTGGACCACAATCTATACCTTATCTTGCAATTGACTATCCGTGGGTATCGTCCATCAAAGGCCGCACCCATGTCGGAGACGGCCAACTTCGTTGCTCCCCTATCCCAAGGGTTCGGCTATGGCATCATCGTCGGATTAGGATTTGCATTCGCCTTGGTAATGGTCTTTATTACATGGGCTCTGAAAAGGTCGGTACAACGCATGATCTTCAGTTGTGGGTCGGAGCTAATAACTGCTTACTACAGATATCAATATGAAGTCCAGACCTCCGAGATGTTTTCAACTGCAGGAAGATCCGTGAAGTCAGGTTTGGTAGCTGCTGCGGTCGTAAGCAGCTGGACTTGGGCTGCCACTCTTCTTCAATCCTCTGCAGTAGCCTACCAGTACGGAGTCTCAGGGCCATTTTTTTATGCATCAGGTTAGTTCTATCAACGAAAGAGTAGGGTTTCGTGACTGACGGTTTCCGGGATGTCAGGTGCTTGTGTGCAGATCATCTTATTCGCAACGCTCGCCATTGAGCTTAAGAGACGAGCCCCGAATGCACATACATTCCTGGAAGTCATTCGCGCGCGTTATGGCACTGCCGTTCATCTGGTCTTCATTGTTTTCTGCTTGATGACCAACACTCTCGTCACTGCAATGCTGCTTACTGGCGGTTCTGCTGTTCTGACGTCCTTGACCGGTGTTCATACAGTTGCAGCCTGTTTCCTGCTCCCAATTGGTGTTGTGCTCTATACTCTCTTCGGCGGTATCAAGGCAACCTTTATCACAGACTATATGCACACCGTAGTCATCATCGTCGTGATTTTTATTTATGCCTTTTCTGCTTATGCGACCAACGACACCCTCGGATCTCCGGGTAGCGTCTATGATGCCCTGGTTGCGGCAGCTGACCGCCATCCTGTGGAGGGTAATGCCCAGGGAAGCTATCTCACCATGCGATCAAAGGAGGGTGGTATCTTCTGGGTTATCAACCTTGTCGGTAAGTAATCAGATGCATCTTTTGTCTCTGGGTTGGTGCTAACTATGATCTAGGAAACTTTGGGTGTGTATATGCTTAACTCAAGCTTAATTAACGCTTGCTAATACTTTGCTATAGAACTGTCTTCCTTGACAATGGCTACTACAACAAAGGTATGTTGTGGCTGCGATTCGAGGATGTTATGATATCTAATACTCACTTTAATAGCTATTGCTGCACATCCTGTTCACGCTTTCCCCGGATATGTTATCGGGGGTCTATGCTGGTTCGCCATCCCTTGGCTATGTGCTAGCACGATGGGAATATCTGCGCTTGCTCTTGAGGGCACTCAGCGCATGAGCTCGGAGGATGTCACCGCCGGGCTTGTCTTGCCATTCGCTGCGGTCAAGCTGCTTGGATACAGTGGAGCAGTCTGCACCACTCTCATGATATTCATGGCCGTCACATCAGCTTTTTCGGCTCAGCTCATTGCCGTCTCTTCTATCCTGACCTACGATATCTACCAGGCCTATATCAACCCCTCTGCGAAGGGTAAGAGGCTAGTATGGGTTTCTCACATGTCGTGTATTTTCTGGGCCCTTGCCATGGCCAGTTTCGCAACCGGCCTCCACTACGCGGGTATTGGTATGGGCTACCTTTACTTGCTCATGGGTGTTATCATCTCATCCGCTGTGTTCCCAGGCGCGATGACTCTTGTCTGGAAGGCACAGAACTGGATCGCCGCAGCTGCATCACCCATTCTGGGCCTCGCCATGTCCCTTATCGCATGGCTTGTAACTGCTAAGAAGGAATCTGGTGTGTTGACTGTTGCTACCACAGGCGCAAAGTAAGCCAACCAAAACCCCCCCCACCCCCCTCCCCTTCTCCTCTTTCCATTCTCACTCCGTAAGAATATCCCGACTAACAAAGAAGTCTAGTTACCCCATGCTAGCAGGAAACGTCGCCGCCCTCCTCAGCCCAATCGTATTTTCCCCAATCCTCACCTACGTCTTCGGCCCTCAAAACTACGACTACGAATCTATGCGCGCCATCCGCAAAGTCGACGACACCGACGTCGCAGCCGCCGCCCACGTCGACATCGAGCTCATCCCCGGCGAGAGCACTCCCGTCGCCAACGCCGCCGCCAAAGAACAAGAGGAAGAAGAGCGCAAACTCAACCGGGCGGCACTCTACTCACGCACCCTTACCATCGGCATGGTCCTGTGCTTCCTGCTCCTGTGGCCGATTCCCATGTACGGCAGCTCGTATGTGTTCAGCAAGAAATTCTTCACGGGCTGGGTTATTGTGGGGATCATCTGGCTTTTCTGTACGACGGTTGGAGTTGTAATTTTCCCGCTGTATGAGGGGAGGGAGAGTATTGTGCGTACGGTCAGGCTGATGGCTCTTGATGCCATGGGTCGGAAGCCGAGGTATGAGGGGCAGGAACACGCGCCGTCTGGGGTTGCGACGCCGACGGAGAAAGTGGGGGTTAAGTCTGATGCTTAATCATGTATGATGGATGCTTGTTTGGTTGTTACGAAAGATATAAATGGTTTGGGTTGGACTGGGTTGGATAAGTAATGTTGCGGCATACCTACTCGGTGTGACGGTTGGACCTTTTGTGTGTTTTGATTTATATACCCGGATTGTTTATGTCATTTATGCTATTAATGCTGCTAATAATTCCTACGTAGTGAATGTACATATGACATGAAAGCAGAACCCGTAAATTCAGTTAAAGAGCAAGAAGGGTCAAACAAAAGTATAGGTATCTTTCACAAACGAGCAGATTATTACACATCATTAACCAGTCACTTTCCAGCTAGAACAAAGTCCCATCTGAAGAAAACAAAAAGAACACGAAGAACAACACAAAGAAGACCACAGCAATCACTTAGGCGGATAGTTCTGCGGCGGTGGTCCGGGCTGGGGATATCCATTTCCCCCAGAAGCCTGAGGAGGAGGTCCCCAATAGGCCTGTGGAGGTGGCACTGGTCCAGATGGTACACCCGGCGGTGGCCTGGTCTCTGGGGTGATGTCAGGGCGGTCACTTGACTGTTGTCAGTAGATCTGGAGGCGACTTTCTTTTGGGACTGTAGCTTACCGCAGGTCTTGAGTGAAGCGACATGTATGACATATAACTTCCTGGGAGAGTTTTTAGTATTCTAGTCACTCGGGGATGACAGAAGAAAGTGACTTACCTTGTACTTATGTGTCGCTAGCGGGATCATGGGCTAGAGAGTTACATTTGATATCAGCTGGGTGTTCCCGAAGACGACAGGACCAATCGCGGATATGCAACGTACAATGAAGCAAACGGTAAACCAAGGCCTGGATTCATTAGCCTTACTGTCCTAAATGCAGGCGGTACATAAGTACTAGGGAAGGGGAAACATACCATCGCGTAACGCAATGTCCATTCCAGTGTTGGCCTGATGTACATTGTGATTAGCCCGGACCAGGCTCAAGCTAACAAAGTGCCTTAGGTAGTAGAGTAAACATACAGTTATAGCAGTATGCTCTAACATTCTCGTAGCCTTCTAGCATGGAGGTGAATTCTGGTCATTGTGTTAGCTTAGTGCCTACAAGAACCAGGCTTTGCATTTAAAGATCGATGCATTGAGTTTATTTCCGGTCGGATAAAACAAAACATGCGGAGGAATTAGTATGTAGTGCGGTGTACGTACCGTGCGTCCCGAACGTGATACAGATTGCCATGATGGGAGGTTTCTCACAGAGTCAGGACTATGGTAGTAATTGAGTGGTTGCGTTTCTGGTCATGGAATATCTATGGAATATCTCGGGTTTATGATCAAGGGTTAGGGAGTTGGAGGTTCAGTCAAGGGCTCGGAGAGGCAGCGCTATTATAAGGTTCCTTATTGGGAGTGACGTGTGGCGCTGTGGCTTGGCACTTGGCGTTGTGCCTGGAAAGCGTGGCAAGTGGTTCCTGGGGTTTCGGTGGGTTTATTGAAACAGTATTGAATTGGGATCTGTCCTTGAAGTTGTAAGGAAAGTGAGATATCCTTGTGTGTTTGTGTGGCTGTTGGTTGTTGGTTGTTTGGTGCAGGTACTCTACATATATTTATCATTGGGGGAGGGGCTACGGGAGTTCCGTCCAACAACACACAATAGCTTCTTGTTTTTGACATTCTAAGTCTCACTAAGATAAAATGACACCGAAATTGAAACGTGTAGGAATCAAAGATGAACATAAAGCCGCTGAAGGGAAGGGAGGATTATTTAGCACCAATTGCCATAGGTGCCTGGTTTCAGGGGCTAGTCCATCTCGTCGCGAGTTCTGACCGATATGTCGCTGGCATCTATTGCCGTGGCGGTATATCTCGACTGGCAGTCAAGGCCCCCAATCGCCCAGGGACTCAGCCCCCTTTTCTATTTCCAACGTGTACGTCACAGGGTGTCTATTGGGTCTTGAAGAGGAGAATGGCGCAGTGTCCGAGGTAGAAGTAGATGAAGTGTTTCGTCTCTAAATGGAATCAGCGACTTTCCCGGATTTCTGGGCATAAATACATACCGTGTGTAACAAAGCTTCCGAAATTCCTTCCTACAACACAATGCCATGTTGCCCCTTTGCGCGAGTCAAACTGTAGAGAGTGAGTGGCGACGAAGAAGCGGGGTGCTATCGAAGGGAACGCTAACCTCTCGCTTGATGTACTGGGCGATGTCCTAAAGGCGATTAAAATCCCACTAAATTGTCGTTTCGTTTTATCATTGTAACCAACCTTCTCAATGTGATACTTCTCCATGGCCTCGATCGCTAAACAATTAGTCGCAATCACCTTCGTCTGAATACCTAATAGATCATACCAACTTCAACAGCCTCTTGCTGCATATCCTCCGTCTTCACACCATAAGCAGTTATCCCTTCAATTATACAGGCGATACTCTTACCATATCGACGGACTTGATTTGCGCTAGACATTAATCGTTAGTCATTGTGACGATGCCCGCTTGAGGTTGCACTTACGCTCGAGCTTGTCCTTCTTTTCGGAAGCCATTTTGGCGGTTGGGGTCGTTGAGGTGGTTGAGGAAGCTTCAATAACAAGCAATAGGGGATAACAAAGATATGAGTCTCAGGAGTAGTCTGATTGCACGCAGCGTTCCGCCGAATTGACTCCGGAAGTAGACCTTAGTTTATCGTGGCCGCTGTGGATACGCACCGACCAAACCCACTCCCCCTCACCGCCTTCATCGGCACTATAAGGAAGCGGCATAAACTAAAAAATTTTTGGAGCTTTTCTTTTCTCTTCATTCCATGCTGGCATTGGAAAATAACCAGCCACAGGATACAATCATGGAAAGCACAAGAGTGTTTGTCTCTGGCCTTCCGCCAACTTTCTCCAATGACCAACTTAGGAAGCACTTTGCTAGTCGCTTCCAAGTTACCGACGCTCATGTATTACCCAAGCGCAGGATTGGCTTTGTGGGCTTGAAGACCCACGAGGCCGCCAAGGAAGCTGCCAAATACTTCAACAAGACATACATTAAGATGTCTAAGATCTCAGTAGATATTGCTAAACCGGTATGTGGTTCTCTCCCTTGGCGATCTGGCTTTCTGTTTCCTCTTCCCGTTGCGCACGCTGACCGGTAAAGGTGGTCTTGAGACTGACCAAAATTGCTTTAGATCGATTCCGACCCTGCTGCCAATACTACTCGCAGGGCTAAGAAAGGCGATGAGCCGGACTCGGCTGCAGAGAGTACACTCAAGCGTAAACGTGATCGGGAAGCCGACCAGCAAGACTCAAAACTGCAAGAGTATATGTCCCTCATGCAACACTCGTCACATACAAAGACATGGGCCAATGATGATGCCGTGATAAACCCTGTTTCCAATGACTCACATACAAAGGTTCAGCCTGTCGAAGCAGATGAAGCCCCTCAAGAGCTTACTTATGCTCAGAGGAAGAAGGCAAAGCTTGCGGAGACGTCCGGAGAAGATGCCTATGCGTCAAAACCCGACGACCCCGAGCCTATGGTTGTTGATGTGAGTGGGGAAGAGCACAACACTGAGGAGGCAATAGGACAAGAAGAGCCTGCTGCCCAGGAAGAAGAACAACAACCGGTGTCTGATGCTGATTGGCTTCGGTCCAAGACAAGTCGCCTTCTCGGTCTCTTGGACGAAGAGGAGCAAGCAGAATTCGACTTTGCGACGCCAAAGGCTACTACCTCAACGGAGCCCGAAGCTAAGGTTATGGCCGACTATAAAGCTGAAGAGACTGCTGCTTCGCCGCCCGTGGTTGACACTGAGAAGCCGACCAAGGTCCCAGAGGTTGATACCAACATTGAGAACATTCGCATTTCTGCACGCTTGTTTGTGAGAAACTTACCTTATGATACGAGAGAGTCGGACCTCGAACCAGTGTTCAGTCCTTTTGGTAAACTTGAAGAGGTTAGTTTTTCTTTTCTTCTCTCCCCCGCCTCCCTTTAATCGATGCCCAAATACCTCCACTCCCCATTTTTACCTACGAAGTTGCTCGCATGATGATCTTCCTGATAGGGACATCCGATGCAAAAGCATATGATGTGACCAGGACAAGAGAATTTTAGTAGATGCCTCTTAATACCTGAAGAGCACTTCCTCATTCTTATATTTCATTCATTATGGTTATATCTTTATTAAACAACTGCTAATCTCCTTAGATTCACGTCGCCTTCGATACTCGGGTTAGCTCCAGCAAAGGATTCGCTTATGTTCAGTATGTTGATTCCGATGCGGCCGTAGACGCCTATAAAGCCCTCGATGGAAAGCACTTCCAGGGTCGTTTATTACACATTCTGCCAGCTGCTGCAAAGAAAACGTATAAGATCGACGAACATGAGTTGTCTAAATTACCTCTGAAGAAGCAAAAACAGATCAAGCGAAAGCTGGAGTCTGCATCTTCAACCTTCAGTTGGAACTCGCTTTATATGAATGTAAGTCAAATAGAGATGCAGGTTGAGCGTGTCGCATACTAACAAGCCCCGTCTAGGCCGATGCTGTTATGTCGTCCGTAGCTGATAGACTCGGTGTATCCAAAGCAGATCTCTTGGATCCTACCTCGTCGGATGCCGCAGTAAAGCAAGCCCATGCTGAAACGCACGTTATCCAAGAAACTAAGGCTTACTTTACTGCAAATGGCGTCAACATTGATGCCTTTAGAGAGCGAGAGCGTGGAAACACTGCTATCTTAGTAAAGAACTTCTCTTACGGTGTCAAGACTGACGAGCTTAGGAAATTGTTTGAGCCGTATGGGCAGCTTACAAGACTACTGATGCCTCCTAGTGGCACGATAGCTATCGCTGAGTTTGCAAAACCAGATGAGGCCCAAAAGGCGTTCAAGGGTCTGGCGTATCGGAAACTCGGAGACTCCATCCTATTTCTAGAAAAAGCCCCTAAGAACCTCTTCGACCCATCTGTGGCCCCGCAGAAACCAACCTTGGAGACGAAGGCTATATCTCAAGGATTTTCAACTGCTGACACATTCGCGGCGGATGAGCCTGAGGATGCCATTGCCACTGCAACTCTCTTCGTAAAGAATCTCAACTTTGACACGACGAATGAACGTTTCGTCGAGCTCTTCCAGCCGCTGGATGGGTTTGTGGCAGCGAGAATCAAGACCAAACCCGATCCCAAACGGCCTGGCCAAACCCTCAGCATGGGCTTTGGCTTTGTTGATTTTAGGACCAAAGCTCAAGCTCAATCTGCGCTTGCTGCAATGAATGGCTACAAGCTTGATCAACATGAACTGGTAGTTAGGTCATCACATAAAGGTATGGACGCAGCCGAAGAAAGACGACGAGAAGATACAGCGAAGAAGATCGCAGCAAGAAGGACGAAGATCATCATTAAGAACTTGCCATTCCAGACGACCAAGAAGGATGTCAGGTCACTCTTTGGAGCCTACGGCCAGCTTCGCTCTGTGCGCGTTCCTAAGAAATTTGACCGGTCCGCTCGTGGTTTCGGTTTTGCAGACTTCGTAAGCGCTCGTGAAGCGGAAAATGCCATGGATGCGCTGAAAAACACCCATTTATTGGGCAGAAAACTGGTACTGGAATTTGCAAACGAGGAGGCTATCGATGCGGAGCAAGAGATCGAGCAGATCGAAAAGAAAGTAGGACAGCAGTTGGACCGGATGAAGCTTCAGAAGCTCACGGGAGCCGGACGCAAAAAATTTACTGTAGGGGCCCAGGACGAGGAAGACTAAAGTCCCTTCTGCCCTTCTCCCTTTGGATAGGGTCAATGAATAGTAATGGTTCTATATTTGTGTTTGTGAGATATACCCCCTTGCTTAGCGGAACAATGGGCAAGTTAACACGTTCCTGCTGTCAGGACAGTGCGTGCAGACGCGTCCTGCAAAGTTCCGTCGCCTCGTGCATCTTAATGAAGCTTTATCTTTTTTTATCCCCATATATCCTTGTTCAATCCTAGAACCACCCCCCGTTCTCGTCTTTTCTTCCTTCTACCCTTTGGTATTTTGGAACCCTGGATATCAAGTTAAGAACAGGGTGAGATCTTTGTTTTCCACCTACATTCCCGTCGCACCGTCTGTAACCGCCTGGACATTCCTCGATGATCGCTCGGGGTAATGTTGTTGGACATGGGACATTCCAGAGAGAGGCCTTTGCCACCATTTGGCCCATCATTGCTCATCTGTACCTGCTTTAGTAGCGACCGTCAGTGTTCATGTCGTGCAAGCTTGAAATTTCCGAGCAGTGGCTCGCTGGATCGTGCACCCTGGATGTCCCCTTGCATCGGGTGCCGGCGTCCACAGTACATCACCCTTCCTCCTGATTTGCTGCAACAAGGCGGCCGCTGCTCTTCCTTCCCTCATTGCTCTGTCGACGCGTGAGGCTCAGGTCAAGGGTTCCCCCGCCTTGGACCACTGAGGTTGCCCTCGAGGGGCCCATCCAAACAAGTAGCGTGGTCCAGCAATGTAACTGCTGGGGCTACCTTCGCGCTCCTTCTCCAGGAGAGGGAATGGTTCCTTATAAACATCATGCTCTTCCTCCCACATTCTCTTTCCCAGGTTCTTACATTCTCTTCAAGTATCTGCGTTCTTTGCCAGACAAGAAGCATTTGCGGCCCTCTGAACATCTTCCTCTGTGGAATCTGTCATTCTTCCGAGAGCCTATTCGAGGTGGTCCGCCCCCATGGCTCCCGAGTGGCAGACCGAATGTATGCTGCCTCAAACCCAACCAGGTCTTGAGAGCGTAGGAGCCCATCCAGGTCGAGTTCTCCAGAACACCTCTGGGAACATCCAGTCCTACTCAGACAACCTGGCACATACGGACCCCACCGGGCGTGACGACCATCTTTCACACTATGCTTTCAAATACCCTCCTCATCCCCCAGTCCCAACACACCCAATGCCTACCACTGCCAGCCTCCATCACCCGCAAGTTTTAGCCAACCGTTTCCAAACAAAGAAACTACGACGTCTTCATTCACTTGGCCCTAATTTGCTTGGGCCCCGTAGGACAAGAAGCTATCTCAAGAGCCAAAAGTATTTGGAGTACAGGTCACGCCCTCGCCGGGACACTGGAAAGGATGGGGAACCAGTGTGGTCCGATGAGCTTGAGGATGCTTTTCAGCAAGGTGAGATGACCACCAGTGCTTTCGTAGGGAAAACGTTCTAACAATACTAGCCCTCGAGGCGAATCCCCCGATGGGCAGAAGAAAGTGGTCTGAACGCGGGAAATCGTATGGTCGGAATGAACTCATAGCGGAGTACATCTACAAGACCACTGGGAAAAGGAGGACGAGGAAGCAGGTCTCGAGTCACCTCCAAGTACTTGATTCTTTCCTCAAGGGTGATCCTGATTGTAAGTTGTCTTAACAGCTCCTACGAGACAACCCTAGATCTAACCAGTCGCCTAGGGGAGAGACTTGTACGGGAGCAAGCAGCAGACCGTTCGAACGGCCAACCACAGTCAACCGGTCCTCGATGGAGAACCTCGATGGATCTCCCATTCACAAGTCAATACGGCAATCATAATTATCCCTCCTATCATGATCCTCTGAGACCGGTGCAACCTTACCCGGGGGAGTTGCCTCCTCCACACCTTGTTTTCAACCCAAATATGCATACCGAAACGAACGTAAATATGATCTGTGGCCTCAGTTTTGATATGTGGGTCAGCGCACCGAATCAGCCAGAGCGCATTGAGAACGCGTTCCACAAATACACTCGTCTTCAAGGAGACCAACGGCATCCTGGTGCTCCTCCGAAACTTTTAGAAGATGTCCCAACTTGGCGGACGTCATTTCCTCATCTGAACTCTGTGTTGACAGATCTTAATAATCCATTAAACTGCGAAGTTATATTACTAGAAGCCAATCTTGAATTGATGGATGATTTTCCACCATCCGGCTCGAAACTTGGGATCCAACTTGAGCTGGACTTTACCCAGTCCCCTACCGGTGATGCCCTGACGAACCAGATGGAGAACTGGTCGTGCAGCACGTATATCTACGAGGACGGTCAAAGGATATCGAAGACATACCATAACCTCCCTAGACAGCAATCGAACAAAGTGAAGCCTCCCTTTGAATCCTCGTGGTGGGCAAGGCGTTTCACAGAGCTCACCCAAGACAAACAAGTGAATGAGAAGTCTGGACAATACCATGCGGCAGACGAGCAAACGAGGCAGTTCTTTCGTACCCTGACCGCAGTCCAAGAGATACGGGCTACCCCCAGTTCACGGCGGGTAACCAGCCAATACCTCGATCATTCTCAGGACGACAGCAAAATAATGGCTATTTTACTTTGGAAATTCCGGCAAACACGGGCAAAAGAAGTGGGCACTACTACCTGGCGCCGTGTGATCCCTCCCTCCCCCGACCGAAATACGATCAACAGCCCGAAGCCCCCAACGGGGATCGACCTCCCTCCCTTGTCTTTTGATCCACTTCCCCTGACTAGACCTCCTCCAAGCGTGTATCCCACTCCTCAGTCGCACGACTTGTTGAATCCTGGTGGGCCTTCACAACCGCAATGGCCTTTGTACCAGCCGCCTCAGGACAACATGTTCAATCCGAATGGAGGCTTTGACTTCATCGGCTCTATCACCAAGCAAGAGGGTGGCCTTAATGATAAGACCGCAGTCACCTCAGTGTTAGATTCCTTTCCTAACCTGCAACCTGAAGTCACTCAGCCCACGAGCCTTAATGGCTCTACTGGAGGAGCCGGGATGATGAGTGTCCACGAGATGATGTCGCACAGTGGTCTTGGGGCATACACCCTCGGCCATGATAACCACTATGGACCGCCCCATCAACATGGAGTTAGTGTTCACGATAATAATCACGTCTTGAATAATGGCATGTTTGGATCCAGCACCCAGTCCATCGATGACATCAGTCATACCCACGCACCTTGGGCGACCCCCAGCACGACAATCACTGATGTCGGTTCCAACAATTATACTCACCTACCCTTTTCTGATCACCAGGGACCGCCACCACGAGGCTCCGATCAGTCCAACAGCTTTGAATTGATGGGTCCTGATGATCTCATTGGTATGTCTGGTGATCCTGGTCTAAATGGGACAGGCCCAGGTCACAGCAACCATACCTATGCCGAGAATAATACAGTCGAGGCAGCGTAACGAAGATTTATTTAATAATCGGACTAACGGAGGCCTACTGATGATAATAATGGCAGCCCAAAAGTGTCGCGTGGTTTCATGTTTCCCCCTTCTCTTAGTTTTCAATTTTTCTGTCTGCCTTTTCTTTTGTTTTCTGGCGCAGGAGTTTAGTGGTGGAATATTGGGACATCATCTGCATGGCTTTAGTGGCTTTTTCTTATGTTTATGAAGTAGTTCTTCGCGAGTCTGATACCATTTAGTATATTAATGTTTGTTTCATAGTTTATTTAATATTTATCCTGATAGTGTCGTGTTATGTAGTATAACTATAGTATTATTTTTCTAAGTACTTATGGAGCCCCCCGAACTACTGGAAGCCAATAAGAATGAATACGGGTGGAACTATGGTCTCGTGACAGGACCAAGGGCCAATCGGGACGGGCGCCAGCTGGCTATTTACCCGGCGAGTGTCATTTAGCCGGAATTGTATATCCTCAAAAGTCTCAACCATCACTTTAGCCTCAAGACAGTTGCCATTCCTCCTCATATGACTGGCTTCATCGGCCCGACAGGTCTGGATCAGGTCATATTTATCCTGAGTGGGTATGGCGGTACTCCAGAAAAGGAATTGGGAAGGAGGTACGCAGAGATAATTCCCAGAGGATGATTTATGCCCCTCCTTTTCTTTTTCTGCGGAGGTCTTCCTCATTCTCTTCTCCTTTTTTCTTCTTCATCCTCAATTAGAAGCGTTCTATTATTCTCCTTTCGGAGAGTAACTCTAAGACACAATAACCAAAATGGCTTCCCCCACCGTTAAGCTGAACAGCGGATATGACATGCCACTCGTGGGCTTTGGCCTCTGGAAGGTGAACAACGACACATGCGCAGACCAGATTTACCACGCCATAAAGGCTGGATACCGTCTCTTTGACGGCGCATGCGGTATGCAAACACTCTCTATCCCGAATCTTCCCAAGAAAGAGCTAACACGGCTATCTAGACTACGGTAACGAGGTCGAAGCTGGCAGGGGTATCGCTCGCGCCATCGAGGAGGGTATCGTTAAGCGTGAAGAGCTCTTCATCGTGTCCAAGCTTTGGAACAGCTTCCACGAAGGTGACCGCGTTGAGCCCATCTGCCGGAAGCAGTTGGCCGACTGGGGCATCGACTACTTCGACCTGTACATGGTGCACTTCCCCATTGCCCTGAAGTACGTTGACCCGGCCGTCCGCTACCCTCCCGGATGGTCTTCGGAGAACGACAAGCTGGAATTCAGCAATGCTACCATCCAGGAGACCTGGACAGCGATGGAGTCGCTGGTCGACAAGAAGTTTACCCGCAGCATCGGCGTTAGCAACTTCAGTGCTCAGCTGCTCATGGATCTCCTCCGGTATGCGCGCGTCCGTCCCGCAACCCTCCAGGTTGAACACCACCCCTACCTCACTCAGACTCGTTTGGTAGAGTATGCCCAGAAGGAGGGCATCACGGTCACTGCGTACTCGTCTTTCGGACCTCTGAGCTTCCTCGAGTTGGATGTGAAGAATGCTGTGGATACGCCTCCGTTGTTCGAGCACAACACTATCAAGAGTCTGGCCGAGAAGTACGGGAAGACTCCTGCTCAGGTGCTGCTGCGCTGGGCCACCCAGCGCGGTATTGCTGTCATTCCGAAGAGCAACGACCCCACTCGTCTGTCGCAGAACCTGGAGGTCACTGGGTGGGATCTGGAGAAGACCGAGTTGGAGGCGATCAGCTCGTTGGACAAGGGCTTGCGGTTCAATGACCCACTTGGAGTAAGTCTTTCCTCGATACTCGTATGCCTTCTTTTGCATATTCTAACTTGGCTTAGTACGGACTTTACGTTCCAATCTTCTAAAGTAGTGAAAGATGTGTGGTGACTTGCGAATAAAAATGTATATGGCATATGAGTGCATAGTTATGATACACCCAACGATATAAAGATCGTTCGCTGTCTAGTGCAGTACCTACTATTCCTATACTGCAAAACCCAGAAGGAGCAGAGTACAAGTGAGGGTGCTTCTTTGGCAGAACTATACCCATTTACTGGGCTGCTTCACTCCAACTGTACCGCGAACAATTGAATGGGGTTGAATATTCATGAAACCAACTTGATATAAAAATCCATTTTAGAAATAGTATTCCCGAATTCCAGGAGAAAATAAACTCCTCTACAGAATAGTAGTAAATGTATACGTCTCCAACAAGCCCCAATAAAACCAGGGGACATAGTTGAGGTCGACTTCTAAAAGTGGGTCTGCCACTTTCGGAATGGAATAATATTGTCCCAGAAGTGGCAGGAGGTCTGTGTGTTGTGGCAGCAGAAAGTTTTTCCAATCCATTTCAAAGCATTTCACTTCTTTATATACACCTGCCACCTGCTCACTTTCTGGTCTTGTGTTCTCCTGCTGGTTTCTTTAATGTTATGGGACTGACTTACAGGCAGCCCTATATCATGGGAGGCTCTACCTAAGGCATCACTGCCAAATCTTTACCCCACAAAAATTTCATACGACACGTTATTCCTGTCCATTAGCTATTTCTTGTTCAATAGGCACGCTTAGGTTGGAACAGCTTATTCGTCCCGTAACATTATTGAAAATAGATGGTATTAGCTTAAATAACTTTCACTCAAAGCCACTGTGCACAGACACCAGGCCACGTTCGGAAAATTAGCTCCGTTCCGATTGTCGATGGGTCCACTCTAGAAGTAGGCGCCAACTATACACTCAAAAGTTAAGATAACTAGTTGAAGCCCATGACTAAGCACCCTTTATCAGTCTATCAATTTAGTTCTAATCAATCAACCAATATTTCCGCTCCAAATCAACCCAAAGACCAAAAGAAAAAGAGAGAGAAGGGAAAACCCCAGCAAGAATGGCCTCAACCCTCCCCCGCCTCGCAACCCGATCGATCTACATAACAACAACTCCAAACCCGCGCTCCCTCACCGAAAGCAAACAAATCCTCTCAGCACTCCAGAAATTCGGCGAAGTAGTCACCTTTCGCAACCTCAAGGTAAGTAACTAACCAACCCCTAGTCTGCACCCAATCCAATCTCCAAATGGAAACCCTACTAACAAGATAAAGTACGACACAACAAACACATCCCAAACCTCACGCTCTATCCTCGCAATCTTCGAGTCCCCATCCTCCGCATCGCAAGCCATCGCCTCCTCCCCCCTCACAATCCCCCTCTCCCAACCTCAATCGCAGTCCCAATTACACCCTCCCTCGGAACCAGGAAGGCCCTCTCCGGACCCCTGGGCCTCGGCCGAAACAGCCCTCAACTCCGCCCGGACACATCTCACCTGTACGATTCAGCCGTCGCGACATAACCATGAGTCTGCGCTTAGGCGCAACCCATTCCATACGACGTTTCGGGTCTCCGGGACGGATTATCAGGCGAAAGATTTGGTGAGGACGGGGATACCGTTGAAGGAGTTGGCGGATGAGCCGATGGCGAGGAAGCAGCATGTGCCGCTGAGGGTAAAGAGGAAGGTGCAGGGGGAGAATGAGAGGTTGGGGGCTACGAGTTTGATGGGGCTTTATGAGAGTGGACTGAGGGAGGATCGGGATGGGGAGATGGGGGGTAAAGAGGGGGAGAGGGAGGTGGATTGAAGTGGAGGAAGTTGTTAGTTGAGTAAGACTGGGTGGGTTGTGCTGTGCGCTGAAGCCTCTTGTGGCGGCGGTTAGCTTTGTGCGCTGCAATGCAATATATGCATGCGTGTGCGCGTTTGGGATACTCAAACGGGTTTTGGAGGCTGTTAGGGAGCGTGGGTACCTCTGCCTTAGCTTTTTTGGGGGCCGATGGTGAGGTTTATTTGGTCTTGCCCGCAAGACCATTGACTTTGTGATACCTAGTTAGTGCTGGTGGGTGATCTGTAGATCGTTTTCGGGCTTTCGAGCTGGCCTCGAAATCCACCCGGTGACCGGTGAAGGGTTATCACGTCCCATGATAATAGCCTCCTGTGAAAAGGGAGGCATGAGATCGTGATACACAGAGACAGTACGGTGTTTCTCTTAATCTACAATTGACAGAGATTGATTGGATTCAAATCCGCTTTCCATTAACCATGATTGTAGCCATCGCATCATCAACTATGCTATCCCTTGTATGGTAATTAAGCTATCCTCACGAATGCTACGTCCGTCAGTATATGCACGCACTCCAAAGGGGAAAAAGATTGCACTTACTAGCATCGATCTGCATAATATGCGGTATCGCCAAGCGCACCTTATTCCGGTACACCGCAGGCCCCTTCGTCTGTAACGGGTTGCCCTCGAAGTAGACCGTCTGTAGCTTCTCCTTATCCTTCAGCTCCTTCTCCACCTCATCGAAGTTTGCCAGCTGGTTGTTCGACGCCCAGAGCTCCTCCAGATTCTTTAAATGCGACAGATGTTCGAGCTTGGAGACCTGGTTATTCGAGAAATCCAAAACGCGCAACTGGGTATTCGATTCCAGACCGCTGAGGTCGGTAATAGCGTTATGAGAAACGTAGAGTTCTTCCAGGTTCTTGAGGGAGGAGAGTCCGTGGAGACTCGTAAGCCTATTCGACTGAATTGAGAGGATCTTGAGGTTCTGCAAAGAATCCAAATTCTAAATCCCCGTCAATAAACCCGAGGCCCCCGAATCCAAAAACATACACAACATACCTTAAATTCCGTAATCTTATTCTTCCCAAGCCACAACTCTTCCAGCGACGTCAATGAGTCAAGGTTCTCGATTTCCTACCACCCTGTCAGCATCAATCACCCAGCTCAACTCAACAAGTATCCCAAACACCCACCCTGATCCGATTAGCTCCCAGCTCCAAATTCCTCAATACACTCAACCCCTCTAACCCCTCAATCTTCGAGATCTTGTTCTGTACGAAGTACAGATCCGTCAACTTGACCAAATGCGAGATATTCTTGATATGCTTGATCTTATTAAAGCTCAGATCCAGACTCGTCAGCTCCTTAAACTCGTCTAGACCCTTCACATGCGAAATCAGATTATCGTAGAGATCAAGCTCGACTAGCGTCGCGGCAATCTCGGGGGGAAACGTGATCCGCGATATTTGGTTCTGTCGAAGACATATCCTCTACATTTGACCTGTTAATCTCCAACACTCTTTCACTCACTCCCACTCTCCGGTCGCGAAACGAAATATAAAACCCATAACCATACCTGAACTTTCGGGAATCGCTCGAAATGTAGCGCCGGAATAGACGTTATCCGGCAGTGAACGAGGTCGATATCCTAATGGGAACGCTCACCCAGTTAGTTCAATTTAGAACCACGCCAAACGCAAGGCAAGAATAGATATCAGCGTACCTCGGTATCCCTATCCTCATCTTCTAGTAGATCTGCAAAACCCAAGACTCTAATGAGTATCTCCACCTTCAACGGAATATAAGACAGAGTAGTGGAAGCATAATACCTTCATCAGCCTCGATCTCCTCCACGGGGGGGGCATCCTCATCCGTGTAATCCGGGTCTTCGAGGGCCTCCGGATTAGTGATGGTCGCTTGGGCGCCGACTCGTAGTTTTCCGTCCCACCCCTTACTGTCTTTCATTGTGGATGGGGGAAAGGGGGGATCGATCTTGGATTCTCGTATTTCAACGGTCTGGGTTTTGGAGGTGGTTTGATGTGATGCGGGGAGCTTTTTTTTGGTCTCGGTGGGTCGAATGACGGTATGGGTGTAATTTGGTACGTATCTGGGTATTTTGCAGATCGGTATCGGTATCTAGACCGAATTGAGGACTTGCAGATATTCTTTGTCGCGTTAGAGAATTGAGTAATGGTGCCAGATTTTATTGCTTCTCCGTCGCATTCAATTTATTTATGCCGATTCTATGGGACTTGAAAGCACTTCCTGTCTCCACTCCCTTTAGATGTTAATTCCATTTGCGCTACTAAAACAGGGGGTGTATTGAAGGATGACGCTTTTTATGTACATCTAGCACGTACGCCAATGATACATATACATTGGTGGCTATCGATAATCAAAGATCTTGTATCGATGGGAAACTATGAGTATCGAAAAACAGGGACGCGCACACCATATATGACGATGCCACTCGCTAGTGAGGTCTCCAAAACAATTCATGGCTGACAATATGACAAAACACGCTGAGGTTTTGGTGGTGATCACACATTCAAGAAAAAGAAAAAACAACACAGATAGGAAATCAAGCGACAGCTGTGTCAGGCCTCGTAAGGGCGATGGTGGGATTTAGACAAGAAAAGAGAAAAAAGAAGTCAGATAAAAGAGAGAATGTAAATGTGCGTATACATGAGATCAGCAAAAAAGGGTTTTAGCTGATGGCCAAGACAGACGCCTACAGAATGCAAAGAGAAAACTAAACCACAAAAAGGGGATCACAGGGGGTTCAAGGGAAAATAAATCAAAATCACAAGGGGACAGAAGGTATTGGCTCTCTAGGAGCGTAGACAAACACACACACACAAAAAAAAAAAAGCAAAGCTAGGAGCCCAATAGATGGGGGGAAGCAGAGAGAAAAGAAGAAGAAACAAAACACAAGCACACATGCACAGTTGAACTGTCGGGTCTCAAGAGTTCTTCTGATGCGCGGTTCGCTCATGAACCACTCTAACAACTCAAAGGTGAGAGGGCTCGACGTGTCGGTGGGTATTGAACAAAGAAAATCGACCGAATTTTATCTTTTCTATGACCTGATGATGCCCGTAAGCGAAGGATAACTAAACCAATCACGCTATAGATGAAATGTCGGGCTACTGTACAGACATTACAACGCAATGTCAAGAACCAGACTAACGTCTTTTACTTGTGTACCAGCGAGATCTTCCAGGACGGGAATCAGATCAAGAAGCTCATTATCATGGGCGTCAGAGAACCAGCTGCTGATGGGTATCGCGTGTTGAGGGTGGAATATATAAGACGTGGGAGAATTATCGATAATAATCGTGTCTCGAAGGTCGCGGCCAACTTGAGAAAGATCCTACGCAGAAGTCAGTATGACGCGAGCAAACACTATAGAGTTATTGCTATGACCGACCTTCACATAGTTGCCTTGATGATTATAGCAACTATCTCTGAAAAGTCGGTGGTGGACAACATTATGGATGTCCAGTTGATCCAACAACGGATCGCCGTACTTAGGCTAGATTAGCGCGATGCGTGATTCCAAAGATATGTCAACAGGACTCACCTTTGAAACAGATGCCGTAAAAACAACAACTTCGTATAGTTCGCCAACCCGTTTCATGAACTGGTCGACCCCGGGCCGCTTGATAACGTAAATGTTATGGTACTGGCCCTCAATCTCAACGGGGATGGTGAAATCGGCGCGCTCGAGAACCTTAAAACTACTATGGACCAAGGTCTCGTCTAGGTCAAGGACCAGGCATTTCCGCTCTCGCAGGTGAGGCAGAGGGGGAGGTAGCAGCCATTGTTGATCCCTATCATGGTTCTCATTTTCTGACCGTTGCCCCGGCGGAATGAGGGGCGGCGGTGGTGGTAGCTCGGCTGGTAGATCGATCGCCTCTTCCTCATGCGTAGAGTACTTCGACTCATCCTTGGGACCAACAGTGTCGGCTGTTACAGCTGGTTGTGCAGTAGGTTCGCCCTTCGGGGCAGGAGAATCATCGACCCTTGGTGGCGGCACTGAAAATGTTACGTGCTCCTCGGGCTTTTGGGAGAGTTCCTCAGGCTTTTCCGATACATCATTCGCCGTAACCGCACTGGATTCTTGTTGGGCTACCGCTAAATCCCGTCCTTCAGCCATGTCCTTCTGTGAAGAAGGTTCATGGTGCGACTCAAGTTGAACCGGAGACGTTACCGTGCCGTCGAGCTGCGAGCCTTGATCCGGGCCACTGCCTGTCTGCTCTTCGTCCACTTGCGACGGCGACTGGTCAGACGTCACGGTCATATTTACCTTTTCATCACGATAGTAGCTCGGCTCCTTGGACTCTGCAGTGCTCGAGTCACCGGCATGAACCTCAGCCTTTTCCGGAGTAGGCTGGGTACTTGGGACCGATAGCCGGCGGGTTGTCCTCTTCGCTGGAATGGCAGCATCCTCGGGATCGACGTTGGAGGATGAGCAACAACTCAAGAAGGCAAAAAGCCGGGATGAAACTCTACTCTTCTTCTCCACCTTGGCGGGTTCCCGTAAGTCGGAATCCGTCTTATTCTCTTCCATTACCATGTTCTCCTCATTCCTCCGCCGAGATCTCATACTACTTCCTTTGCTCCTGTCCCTCCTCCCCTTTAGAATGCTTCTCTTCGAACCTCGGAGCGTGTTTTCGGAGTCGTCATTGGCAGTGTCCTGAGAATTGTCTAACGTGGATTGTCTGTCCGCTTTCAAGGATGTTCGTGACGGGACGGGGAGCAGATACTGCTTTTTGGATACTTCGGCAGAACTGGCGGCAGAGGTGCCTTCGGGGACAGGTGTGGATTCTGGAGCCGCCCCGGAGGACTCTAACGGATTTGCCGTCGGCGACGCATCGGTACCGGTGACATGAACCAGAGGCGACGATTCAGGGACTGGGGGATTCTGTTAGCGATAACCTACGGGAGGCGACCCAGGCGCGCGAAAAGGAGACTTACTTGAGTCGGGGTGACTCGTTGCGATAGGCATGGACGCTTCTCCCGTGGGGGCGTCAGAATTCGATGGTAGGGAATCCCGCTCCGAGCTCCCTCCGAGCATTGAGGGTAGCAGAGCGAGGTTCACACGAACGATGAGAAACGAGGCTCGAAATTGTCCAAGAATAACAAAAGGCGGATGATACCAGAGCACACGCCTAACGACCACCGAGATGGGAGAGGGGGTTGGGTAGAGGCAGAAGGGAGTGCGAAATCAGCCTCCTGGATCAAGACTGGGAAAGCGGTAGTAGTAGGCGTGGAGGCAGGTCGTAGTAAAAGTAGTAGCGCTTTTAGCTCTCTTTCAGTCTGTCTCTCGGGACCCGTATCACCGCCTTGATTTAGAGGCTAGTGCTCAGCACTAAGGCCCGTCGCAAAAGAGGAATCCACCCTGCAAGAACCTCAAAAGTCGAACGACTTGCGAGAAAAACCAATCACATGCGACCGTGGTGCTTGACTGGAATTGATCGTAGGGACGGGGGAGAAATCGACCGTGAAAGGGAGAGGAGTCGGGGTCGTCACGTGGCGGGTCAGGGTGCAGTTCCTCAAACTTGGCCGGTGATGATTGATGCTTTCTTGATTCGAGGAGAGAGGGGGGAGAGGGGGAGTAGGCCGATGAGGAGGCGAGTTTAGATAGAACAAGTTAAAGGGAAGAGAGTGAGAGAGAAATAAAAAAAAAAAAAAAAAAAAAAAAAAAAAAAAAAAAAAAAAAAAAAAAAAAAAAAAAAAAAAAAAAAAAAAAAAAAGGGAAAATCGAACTCTAAAGGATTGATTCCCCAGGAATAACCCGATCGGCGATAGTAGATAATTTGCGCGGGTTTGTTTGCTTAATAATTGAGATATAAGAAGGAAAAAAGACAATACTTTTTTTGGTTGAACTTGATTGTTCCTTTTAGTCTAATCATGAAGGGTCAGAAAGTGTGAGTCCCAAAGGGTAAGAGACCAAGGTACTTTGACTACCAAGTTTCTACCCGGGTGTTCAACACAAAACGAGGATATTGGGAGGTGGTTTGTTCTTAGTGCCGTGACAGTAACAGGGCTAAGAGGGGGGCCAGAAAGGGGAGAAAGAAAGGCCGACTGGGTGGAAAAGGAATGGGAAGAGACTCAGAGACACAAAGATGGGGGTTGGGAAGAGAGCGCTAAACAATCATCGTACTAGAATTGGTAGTAGTAAGTATGGAGTATTAGGTATTACCCTTCTACAGATGGATTTTATTTAGTGGTAACGATAATAATAATAATAACAATAATCATATTGGTAATAAATAAATAATAATAATGATAATAATTATAATTATTATTGCCAGGTACTCGGAGGGAAAAACGAAAAACACAAAGCAAAGTCAGGTTGATCTCGGTCTGGACCAAGGATGCAGGGCTGCAGAATTGGGGCCGTAGAACCAGCAGCACCGGCACTAAATTGAAAAATCACTTTGACTGGTTGCCGTCGAGCTACCTTACTAGTAGTAACAGGACAATCTTACCAAATACACAGGTTTATCGAAGGGTGCAAGCTAACCTGACCAATCCTTGAACACACTCGTCCATCTGTTCATATCATTACTTACTCTCGACTTATGATAGATACGCTAGAGAGATATCCCTTCTCCGGCAGATGTTAATGGATGGAGACGATCATGATCGAATGAGGAAAACCCAATGCCTGTTGAGGTAGGACAAGATAGATGAACGAATGCATGCATGTATGTAGGCATGCCCTATTATTACGCTAGTCGGTACTACAGATTAGTTTCTCAACTCTGAGGGAAAATAAGTAAGCTACGACCACCTGAGGCCCCAGGTGCTTGCATCGGCTCGCATCCACTCCTATTATTGCTCACTCAATCCTGCCTTTTCCCCCATACCTCACCAATCAGAGAGCGGTTCAGCAGGAAATTACTACTAGTAGTAGTGTGCGTAGATATCTTCCAAATCCGCCAAGTTTCTCTCTGCATCCATCCTACTTAATGCATGTGTTCTGTTTCTCCGTCCTCATACTCCAGAATCCGTAGTATACATCCAGAGACTATGTACATACATACACGCATACCTACATCAGACAGGCAGACATTCACTCGCATTGTCCCTTAGTGGGGATGGTATGGACGGGCGGGGTCGACAACCAGGGGTGGTAATTCAACGTTGGCTTAAGATTGGCTCGCTATTATAGTGACTCCATTTGAAGAAGGTGAGCGCTTAACAGGGGAAACACTGGGAATTTGTTATTTGTTAATATAAATATGAAATAAAGATCTAGAAATTTGAATTTTTATTAATTTTTCTTGATTAATCAATAGTGTGACCAGCTCAGTACTCGGATTGTCACCGTTTTGTAGGTACAATAATCACTACCTCCCCCACACACACATACATACACACTGCACCCTGTATCATTCCTCATGATCAGATCAAACATGAGGATCTTCAACCCATATCCCGATTCAACCCTCCATCTCAACTATTTAGGTACCACACCTTGGACCAGATGACAACCCTCATTCCAGCCCGTGGGTCTCATCCTGGACAGGACGTCAAATAGTTTACGGTTATCATGGAGATCGTTACCAACTCAGTGATACGGGATCTTAAATTAACTACCCCCTTCTCAGATCCCAGCCCATCACCTCCACACTTAGGGTAGGATAAATCGGCATTCATCCTATTTGTCTTCGTTCTACTACCTAAAGAACCATGTGTTCTGTGAACTCGGGCTTTTTTCCCCTTCAGTTTCCCCCCCTTATTTTCTAACTGGATCCTACTTTTATCGTCCCCTTAAGGTACCTACCTAACTTACCAGACCTTGTAGACCTCGAATACTATGTATATAATACCGTTGAAATACGTACCATACTGTAAGGCGAAATCAAGTCCAGAGCCCTGAAATATCTCCCTGATCTTAGTATTAAGGTAGTCTTGCTCCCGCACTGATGTGCCATTCTTTCACCTGGGCTCGTGCCATCAAGCAGACAGCTCATTCACTCAATCCAATCGTACGGAGTAGCGCAACTGTCAACGTCTCCATAGCTCCGCTTGTCTCGGCGTTACCCCCCGTATTTTTGCCGTCTATAGTTAAAGTTAATATATTGAATTCGCTGCTTTTTTAGCAGAGTAGACTTCCAAGGTTTATGGATTCCAGATGCAGCGGTTCTGCGTACATTCCATGAAGTCCAAGGCATATGTGGAGATATGGGATGATCCGTTCTGAGTTATTCTACATACCCTACGCGTCGAACAAATGTTAAGCGCCTACTTCGGAGAAATGTTGATGTCTTGGCAATCGCAGGTCCTATAATCTCTTTCTTCATGATTAGGGTTACTTTGTAATCTCTGTATTGTACGGGGCAGTCCCGACTGTCTAGTATTGGTACAAACATACTGACTTAGGTATCAAACAGTGCCTTCCAAGGTCTAGACTCATTTCCTGCGACTTTGGAGAAACTACTCCTCGTCTATAACTTAGAGAGAGTATGACAGCTTATCAAGGCTATGCACACCCCCGCTATGAAGATACACGGACCAGACATTCTTGAGCTGTAGCTAAATAATTTAGATGTGGCTTTCAGCCACTCGGCATGGCATCACGCCTGGCTGTGAAGGCTCAAATGGTATTGACATGGCGATGGACTTGTTCGGCGTATTTTGTAAGCCTCTCCACCTCGTCCCAGATATCCGATCTTATCATCTTACTTGGCGAGATATAAGAATACAGGTGAGGGGTAGGTGCTAGTATATATGACATTGACTGGTGCGATTCGAATACTTATTGACAATCCTTGTCAGGTTATAAATAGTAACTAAGCCCAGCACTTAAGGACACGGACATAGGGCTACAGAGACAGTGACTAATTCCGCAAATCTCGGAAGTACTTGAAAATAGTAAAGTAACTAAAAGCTATACGCGGTGCCCCAAAAAGTGTGTATTCTTGGCGTGGAGTGGTCTGGGGAAGTGACCCGCACGTGAGACCCTGCGCAAGTCAATGATTGACCCGAGGTCATCACATGCAACAACGTCAGCATCACTCATAATGTTGACTTGTTCAGCAGATCGCCAACCTATTCCGTCAATACTCACTCTCCGACCTTGATCGATCGCACAACTTGTACACTTTTAGTCGCGTCCTACACCGACGCTTTCCTCATGGCCTATGACGCTCTGGCTTAAGGAAGGGCGCTGTGCGAGCTACCCGCTCCGACATCTAAAGCACAATGGCTGTTCACTCAACACTACGATCACGGGAGGATCCCGTCGTGATACTATACCACTACTACCTCAACCTGCTTCGTTCTCGGTTTAAGCGTTCATCGAAGACGGCCAAGCTGATCGCTACCGCTGCGCTAGTCCTCTCTATCGTGGGATCCGGATATGGAGGGTACAAACGGCTACGGCGGAAGGCGAAAGAACGCGCCCAGGGCCGACGGTTGTTGCGTCGAAACTCTGGAATTCGAGGGAAGGATGGGTCTCGCACCATATATGTACCTTACAAAGACTCCTTGACATCCAAGGTGACTATCTATCCAACGAAACCCACGACATTCGATGCGCACCGAAGGCTTTTCTTAAACCCTCCGGCTTCGGCTCGTGCTGGAGATGGAGAGTCAAACCAGATTCCACCGCCGATCACGAAGCCGGGTCTGAACCTCGCTTTTCTGCACCAGTTCCTCAGTCTTGGGAGTATCATGGTCCCTCGATGGGGTAGCAAGGAGACAGGTCTTCTCATGGGTCACGGTCTCTTCTTATTGTTACGGACATACTTATCGTTGTTAATTGCAAGGCTAGATGGTGAGATCGTGAGAGATCTTGTTGCAGGTAAAGGTCGAGCGTTTATGTGGGGTATTCTCAAATGGTGCGGTATTGGTACTCTCGCTTCGTACACAAATGCCATGATAAAGTTTCTGCAGTCTAAGGTGTCCATCGCCTTTAGAACGCGACTCACTAGGTATATCCACGATCTTTACCTCACCGGTGATGATAACTATTATAAGTTGATGAATACGGACGGCGGCATCGGCCAGGGCGCAGACCAGTTTATTACGCAGGATCTTACACTTTTCTGCTCTGCAGCAGCAGCGCTGTATTCTTCCATGGGAAAACCACTAGTGGACCTTTTCGTTTTCAATTACCAACTGTATCGCTCTCTGGGGCCTTTGGCCCTGAGTGGAATTCTCACGGGCTATTTCAGCACCGCAATCGTCTTACGCAAACTATCACCCCCTTTCGGCAAACTCAAAGCTGTCGAGGGCAAGAGGGAAGGTGATTTCAGAGGGCTTCATTCTAGATTACTTGCCAATGCGGAGGAGATATCGTTCTATGGTGGGGCTGACATCGAGCGAGTTTTCTTAACGAGAAGCTTCAAGGATCTCCAGCGCTGGATGGAGGGCATTTACAGCCTGAAGATTCGGTATAACATGCTTGAGGATATTATTTTGAAATATTCTTGGTCTGCCTTTGGCTATTTGATCACATCTTTGCCGGTCTTCCTTCCTGCATGGGGCGGCTTAGGCGGCGCTCTAGAGTTGGCTGACACGCCCGAAGCGGTTGGGAGGGAGCGGAGTCGTATGAAGGAATTTATCACGAACAAACGTCTGATGCTGTCTCTAGCAGATGCTGGTGGCCGAATGATGTACAGTATCAAGGATATTTCGGAATTGGCTGGCTACACCTCGCGTGTCTATACACTGATTTCTACATTGCATAGAGTTCATGCAGACGCATACTACCCTCCACGTGGCTCTCATGCGGAGCTGTACTCGATGGCGGATGTTCAGGGAACCATCCACAACGGCTTTGATGGGGTCCGTCTTGAACATGTCCCAATCGTTGCGCCATCTCTCTATCCTCGCGGTGGCGATGAACTTCTCGAATCGCTATCCTTCGTTGTACACTCTGGAGATCATCTGCTTATCTCCGGGCCAAATGGAGTTGGCAAGTCTGCCATCGCCCGTATCATTGCAGGCTTATGGCCAGTCTATCGTGGGTTAGTCAGCCGGCCAAGAGGGTTCGGGCTGGACGGGATCATGTTTCTTCCTCAACGGCCCTACCTCAGTGTAGGGACTCTACGTGATCAAGTCATCTACCCTCACACAGAAATAGACATGCATGAGGGGGGGGCGTCCGATGCGAACCTTCAAAAGATCTTGGATGATGCCCATCTAGGTTACCTTCCTACTCGCGAGGGTGGATGGGACTCCCGGAAAGAATGGAAAGACGTGCTGAGCGGTGGTGAGAAGCAACGAATGGCCATGGCACGTCTATACTACCACGAGCCCCGCTACGCCTTCCTCGATGAAGGAACGTCTGCAGTCTCGTCAGATGTCGAGGGTTTGTTGTATGAACGGGCCAAGGAGCGCGGGATCACCCTCATTACAATCTCTACCCGTGCATCTCTCAAGAAGTATCACACCTACAACCTCACTCTTGGCCTCGGATCTGAAGGTGAACAGTGGGAGTTCGAAAGGATTGGCACTGAAAAGGAGAAGATGAATGTCGAGAAAGAGCTGCAAGAACTCCGTAAGCGGTTGGATAAAGTTGACGAATGGAAGCAACGTCGCGAGGAGATTGAGAATGAACTAAGCAAAGTTTGGATTGAAGAAGGAGAGTTGGCCCCGCCGCCATATACAGAAGAGTCTGAAACATCTGAAATTCAAGTGATTGAGGGATCGACGAACTGATGAGAGTAGAACTGAAATTGGAAGTTGGGGTATGTAGTGTTCTTGTATGTACTCTGGATGAGATGAGCTTGATATAGAATCAGTGTGCCATTGGAACGATTAATTTAACGAGCCTCGCTCCTCAATTGGAATTAGAGCTTGAAAGTCTTCTAGTAATGATTATGACTCTGGCCGTCCCCCTACTAGAGCACTGATTGAGCTGCTCACTATCTGCTCGTCCATCATTCACATTCATCCATATGGGGGTCACATGACCATCGGCCACTCAGAAGGGGCAAAAGCGGATCATCGCATACAGAGATCAAAATAATTAATCATTGTCTTTCATGTCTACCAGATGCTCCACCCTCGTTTTTACTAAAATGAAGGTCGGGGTTTTCTGACTACCGATTTTTTCTAAATCTAAAAATACCATGATTACACCATTGCCAGGCTAAAATCCCTAAGCGTGTCAGCTACTTCATCTTCTATCAAAATGTCCCGGCCACATTCACTACACCCGGAAGAGGAGGATGTGAACGAGAGTGAGAATGTAATAATAGTCCCTATAGATGGATCATTCAGCGATGGGGATAAGTCTACTTGGCCCACAGAAGCCAGGTTTGGCATGCCGGATGATAGCAACTACCGGGAGAAATTGGCAACATTGTGGTTGCAAAAAACTGGAGCGTACGAAGAGGGTATGAATATGTTTTTGTTTTGCGAATTTTTTTTTTTCTCTTTTTCTTTTCTGTTTTCTCTGGTTTCTGTTATCATCTGTTCATTTTGGTAGTTGTGCGATTATTCTACTGTATTCCCATCACTGCCGCATTTCTCTTCCAGCGTGAACATCATTTCTAATCCAGTGACGCTTATACCTTTGTGGTGCTCACAACTCACTCGCTATGCCTTTCCACACCGATTTTCCTTCCTGATCTAAAGTATGCTAGAAGTCATACTTGTGTACCCCTATCTATGATCTCGTCGAATCCTACCATTCAAGGTGAGACCTTGTGTGCTAAACTATCCTGGTGATTGCGTTGAGACAGCTTCTTTGTTCCTTGTTGGTTGCATCCTACACATAATTTCTCCTCCTCATCAGCTAAAACATTGACTCTTCAGGGATGCGATATATGATCGACCGCTTACCAGATGGTTACGCCCTTTTCGACAGGCCGCGTGGAACGGACCCTACCATTGTAAGCCCTTTTTATAATACCTCGCAAACTTCTCTAAATCTAACAGTTTTCTTCACAGCGTGATCGGTTCCTTTGGGGTCATCCAATTGGGCAATACTTCCCCTCAACGATTCAGTTTTTCCCGCATTTCTACCGCTTAATGACAGGAGGATCTGACTCTTGTTCTTGTATGCTTTGTGTGAAAATGGCCAAGCGTGAAAAAGGTTCGGTCCTTAATTTGTATTGAGCTTGTAACTTTGGTTACTAAAACATCAGATCACTAGCCATAGTAGATGGTGTCGCCCCACGAGGCCGAAGGCCAGGGAGACCCCCTGGAAGTCAAAACGTTGTCAGGCCTGTCGACATGCCCCCGAGAAGGCCACCTGGACGACCACGAGGAAGGCCTGCAATAAACTTACCTAGAAGGCCCGGACGGCCCCCCGGCAGACCACCTGGTAGGTCTGCCGGGGCAGGTCTGCGCTCTGTCCTAGACGCCGAAGGCACGCCAGATGTGTTTAAGATGTCTGTGATGAAGCTCAAAGTCCATGGCGTCCTGGACGAGGGGATCAAAGAGACAGGAAGTATGGATTGGAGAGCAGAACGGAGCGCACTCGATGAGTATATCGAACAATTAGGCATGCAGCCTTCCTACGTTCCTCGGCCGGGAGAAGTCGTACTCTGGGCGCCGGATTATCAGGGGGAACTGGCGTGGAACCAGGAAACCATGCGCATCCAGATATATTCCCCTGGCCAAGACCAATGGCTAGGAACCCCCGAATGGCGGGCTGGTGTCGTTGGCCAAACCCCAGAAGAAGACCCTGTCCTTCAGGACTTAGTCGAGACAGCGTCTAAAAAGTGGGGTGTTAACTACTCAGGCTTTCGCGTAGAGACCTTTCCAGACCCACTTAGCTACGACAAAAGCTACTCATTGCAGTACAAATACGTTCATTTGAAATGTATCAAACCTTTCAATGCATACGAACTGTTTTTGCAAGGGATTCCGCGCGAAAATTTACACCCTTCCATCGCATATGCGATGACGATAATGTCATCATTCAGTCTGCTCGACAAGTACCATTTTAGAGGAGCTTGGCCGGACGCAGCAATCTATTGCCGAGGCATTTTCATTGGAGCGGAGCTCTTAATTATTGGAGATGCTGTCCGCTTGAAACCGAATACCCAATCCTTGTTAGAAACCGGTGGGGCTGTTGAGGACATTATGGTCATTGACGAAATACGGCTAGAGCTTATCAATTGCGTGGATGAAGCCCGGTCGGACCAGTTAGCAGAGCAATACCAAGTTCGCATTGCAGGAAAGGTCTATACGAGTACTCCCCGGAGAGCCAACGCTGGGACTGGCAGGCTGAGTAAACAATTGCCTATGAAACCCGAGGAGGTCATCGATGTTTTCCAGTCGGTTGGCATGGGTGGATATGGAGATTGGTACAGGGTGTGGAGAGGAGCAACGGTGGAGGTCTCGCAGGATATGATTCTTGGTCGATGTTACGACCCTGACGCTATGGATCTCTTGTATGGCTCTCGCTCACTGGGGCTAGATCTAATGGGAATCATTGAAGGGAGGGAATATTCACGAAAAGTCGATGAACGAATCCCGGAAGGAAAGAACTGGTTTTGGGGTGACTTTCGAACCCAGACACTGGCGATTGATACACTTAATGGCGAGGATGTCGGCTATTACAGTGAGGTACGCGAACTCAAGATGTGGAGAGCAAACCTCAGAGTCCTCGATGGCACCGCAGATTCAGCAGATCTCCGCGAAGCTAGAATCCCCGGCGATGTTGGTCGGCCCTCTACGAAGTTTCGGTCGAACTTTGCGGAGGTTGGTAAGACCAGCAAGCTAGTCAGCACTGGTCTTGGAGGTGCCGATGTGAGCAACCCAGTGAGCTCCGAAGAAGGGCTCAACCCGCCAACTGAGGAAGATACCTCCGAGCCAGAGGAAATCTTTCCGTTGCGTATAGATCAGCTTCGAGGAGGTACAGATGAGTCAGAGGGATGGTGATTACAGGCCAGAAGATGTGCCCTAGGACAAACAGCCCATACACGAATTCTGACCACGGCTACCTCAGACCTTTTTTCTTGCCGATATTAATTTTTCCCCCGACATACTATAGCGTCAAGGGCTTCTTCTACTTTGATACCGGGCGGCCTTTTTCTTTGCGCGATGCCTAGCGTAGAACTTAGGTGCTGACTATTGAATTATTTGTGAGCACGATGTCCCTCTAGCGTTCTGCGCCTCAGCCATGGTTTTCTAATTTTATCTTATCTCTTACCGCTGCAGACTAGGGAAGGGTGAGCATACAAGCAAGAATACAACAGTATCATGTTATCAACCGATAAGAGAAAACCATAAAAATAAAAAGCCGGAGATAACCGGCCGTCGGATTGGCCCGCAAGACCAAAAGGCGGGGAATATAGTATCAATTATATAAAAAAAACGAAGGGGGCAATAAAAATAAAGTAGAATTAAATCTCCTCTAATTGTTCCATCCCATCTCCTATCTTCCCCCAAGGCCACACGAATCCCCTCAACCGCAACAATGGGCCTAGACAACGTCCCCCAAGCCCAAGCCGTAACCGTAAGTCTTAAAGACCTCATCAACGGTAAGCAAAAGACAAAAAAAAGAACCCATCCCATAACCCATCCTCACCCACTAACCCTCCCAAACCCAGGCACCGTCTCCTTCGAAACCCTCACCGAAGCCTTCGGTCCCTCCTCCCTAGGCATAATCGTCGTCAAAGACCTAAACCCCGAATTTCAACGTCTCCGCACCCAAGTCCTCTCCAATGCATCATACCTCGCATCCCTCCCCTCCTCCGACCTAGGTACGTATAGTATATACCTCAAATTCGGCCGACCCTAATTTATCATCTGAACTAAACCCCACTAGAATCCCTAACTAGCCCCGCAGCAAAATACCTCGTGGGCTGGTCCTGCGGCAAAGAAACCCTCCGATCAGGCCACTTCGACACCCTCAAGGGCTCCTTCTACGTCAACTGCGCATTCTACCAGGACCCCTCGCTCCAGGGCGCCCCCGCTGACGCCTTCCCCGATCTCTCCGAATACACCGCGCCCAATATCTGGCCCCCCAAGGAGACTTTGCCTACGTTCCGGCCGGCGCTGGAGGAGCTCTGCACGCTCATTATTGATACGGCAGCGCTGGTGGCAAGGGCGTGTGATCGGTACGCGGGGGCGAATATTGAGGGGTATAAAGATGGGTATTTGGAGCATGTTGTACGGACGAGTTTGACAACGAAGGCGAGGTTGTTGCATTATTTTCCTGCGGAGGGAGGTGAGGGTAAGAATGCGGGTGTTGGGGAGGGGGAGGGTGATGATGATTGGTGTGCGACGCATTTGGATCATGGGTGTTTGACAGGGTTGACGTCGGCTATGTTTGTTGATGAGGCGAGGACTACAGAGGCGGGGAGGGAATTGGAGGAGTTGGATGTGTCGCCGGATCCGAAGGCTGGGCTTTATATCCAGTCGCGGACCGGTGAGGTAGTTAAGGTTAACATTCCGAGGGATTGTTTGGCGTTTCAGACCGGGGAGGCGTTGGAGCTTATTACTAGGGGAAAGTTTAGGGCTGTGCCGCATTTTGTGAAGGGTGCTCGGCCTTCTGAGGGGAGGCGCATTGCGAGGAATACGTTGGCGGTGTTTACACAGCCGAATTTGGGCGAGGAGGTGGAGAGTGGGAAGAGTTTTGGGGAGTTTGCGAGGGAGGTTGTGGCTAGGACTTATTAGGGCATTATTTTCTTTTTGGTCTATTAGTGAGAGGGTTGGTGGTTCAGAGTTAAGTTTTATTATGACGATGGTGTGCGTATAGTTATGAGTTCCGAGTACTATGGTTCTTATATTGTACAATTGCAGGTTGTTTGTCTAGACACCTAGGAAGAAGTACGGTAGGCATCGCCAGCCTGGAGGGCTTCATCGTCGGGTCACGGAACGTAGGGTCCCAAATGGCAGGACTTCTCCGATCTTCTTTGCGCCGGTAAAGAGCATGCAGAGACGGTCAATTCCGCACCCCCAGCCACCTGTAGTCGGCAGGCCCCATTCCAGCGCCTCGAGGTAACTCTCGTCGATTTCTGTTGACTCGTCTGCATCCTTGCTGTAGCGTACTTGATCATCAAACTTGCGTCTCTGCTCAGATGGCGAGTTTTCTTCCTCGTAGGTATTCACTATCTCTCTCCCTTCGATGAAGAGCTCTCCACGCGCGGCGACACGTTGACCAGTATCCGGGTGAATAAAGGATTTTGACAAAGGGGACAAGCATTCGGGAGGGTTGATGATAAAAGTTGGGCTCACGCATTCTGGTTCAACATAGATGCTGCAAAGTTCATCCAACAATCGGGGAAGCGTAGGCCTCTCCGGAATCTCGAGGGATAAGTCTTTGAAGAGCTGTCTAACCTGGATCAGAGCATCCGGAGACGTGAGGTCCGGGAGCTTGCGGCCGATCTTCTCTTCGATACCAGAGATAAAATCGATCCGGCGGAATGGCGTTGAGAAGTCAACCCCGGTGGGCTTCAGGGTAGCGTCTTTGTTAAACTCGCGGATATGCTGTGCCATGCCGGATAGCAAATTCTCTGTCATGGACAAAAGGTCTTCCAGATTGGCGTATGCATGATAGAACTCGCATGTTGTAAACTCAGGGTTATGGGTTTTGTCAATGCCTACACAAGTGTCAGCCGTCGAAAATCGCTACGCGGGAAAGCATAAGATAGGAAAAGGACAACGGACCTTCATTGCGAAACGACGGTCCAATTTCAAACACCTTATCGAAACCCCCCACTACCAAACGCTTCAACCACAGCTCTGGTGCAATCCGGAGAGATAGTTGACGTTCGGGAAATTCAGTCGCAGAGGTGTAGAAGGGACGAGCAATGGCTCCGCCGGCGATCGAATTGACGATGGGAGTGCTGACCTCCATAAAAGACCGGTCAAGGAAGAATTGACGCAGATATTGGACGATCAGCGAACGTGCCTTTATAATGTCGGTCGTGGTCTGGTCTGCGAGGAACTGAACATGACGGGGGTATGGCGAGTTCTCGTGCTCCTTCGCATCCAGGGGAATATCATGGAGACAAGGAGCCAGAAGTTGAGGCAATTCCGTGGCCACAACCGTGAGCTCTCCTCGTCCAGTACGGTGAGGTTTACCTGTTACGGCTATGACAAGGGTTTAGTCTAAGAGAACATACAGCGATGGCTGTTAAACATACAGAAAGCATCACCGCGGCGAAGCAGACGGTAGAGCTTTTTGAAGGCTTCGGGGGTTATCTCGGGCAGTTGGCGGAGATTGCACATAATCTGAACTTTATGGCCATCTTGGACGATATCGAAGAAGATCAATTTGCTCCCGGCAAGTCTATACGTACGTATCCTACCTACTAATCTAAGTACAAGGACAATAAGGTAGAGCCGACTATGGCTGAGACCTACCACGCACAACAACAGAGTCGCCTTCTACTGTCTCATTATTTTCTAGATGGCTATATCGATCACGGAATTCCGAGCAGTTCACTGAGCGACTGTCTGTTGCTAGCCGAGGATACGGATCAGGACAGGCATTCTGAACCTCCTGTAGCCGTTCCTTGAAGGCCCTTTCGGGCGAGGCTGAACTGCTGCTACTCCTAGTGCTGGTAGAAATGATGGAAGGGTGATTACTTGCTCGAGCTGCATAAGCTCTCGATGAGGCCCATTTTCCACTGGGTAACCCTGAACTGAACATCATTTATTAGCACCAGGGATCAAACCGATCATGTGCGAAAGAGAGGAACGAAAACAAGTTCATGCAATTAAATCCAGTCAGAGTCAAAAGGCTTCCGTTACGTTCATTACTTGCAAAGCAAGCATCAACTGCAGCGGTTCTGTAAATAGGAAGGGATCTGTCTCGTCCTCGGATGGCATTGCAGGGGATTTTATATAGAAAAAAGACAGCAAAAATAACTGGGGGAGTTTCTTACCTGGACCAAAGTCTCCCCGAGGTCAGTTGTAAAGCCCACCGGGGGCGGATTGAATGCATTTGCAATGAATAGGAAGGCGTAACCTACTCACATCGCGTGTGCGGGAAGAAAGGAACGAGACGAGCCAAAAAGCCAAAGAAAAATCGTTCGAAGGCGGTGAAGGTGGTCCAAGCTTCTGACTGGAACTTCCGATGAACAGCAATTCAATACCTCTCCATCTTCTCTCTATACTTACTAACATCAACTTGACTCTTCTACTAAAATTGTTAGTAAATTCCTATACATTAATTGATTGCGAAAGCTAATGCCTCCCCAGTAATTTCCCGATAACCCTCCAACAATAACCGACATCATGTCTTTCCTCTTTGGCGGCCCTCCCAAAATGTCCTCGGCAGAGAAGATTGCTGCCGCTGAGACCGAAGTTGAGATGATTTCGGACATGTTCAACCGGTGAGCTCATAGATAATATCCAAATTCACGTGGACTATTTGATGCCATAAGATGGCCACTCAATGTTTGGGTTCACAAGTGCGACTCTTATCTTCGACTCAGCGACACTGACACCGATACCTTTACCTAGTCTCACCGAGTCCTGCACCAAGAAGTGCATTCCCAACGACTACCGTGAAGGCGACCTGAACAAGGGCGAGTCCGTCTGCCTTGACCGCTGCGTGTCCAAGTTCTTCGAAGTCAACATCAAGGTTAGCGAGAAGATGCAGGGCGAAGCTGCCAACAAGCAGGGCGGTGGTATGGGATTCGGCATGTAAATGGACGAGAAACCGGTTGCCTTATGAACAAAGCTCCCTCTTAAATCATAGTTCATGTTCTTTTTACGCTCGACTTTGCCTTTATGTTGCTCGTGTCAGGCGCGGATCTTACCTTGGGTTCAGAAATCATCTTTTGCCGAGAAGCGTTGCATTTGGGTTGGCTCTCGAAATTATCAATCTCCGGGGCGCTCAATGCCGGCTGGTTATGACCACGGTCTGCTATGAGTGCCAGGATGGTGGAAACGTTTGGGTCTTGGTTCTGGTTCTGCGCATGGCATGGTTAATCGAATGTTTTTCATATTATGTACAATAGAAGTGAATATAAAATATCACAGTATTACATTACAGGTGCCAGCCCAAGGCAACAGTTACGAAAGCCCCGTAAACCTTCCTAGCCACGAAAGCCAAGAGCAACTTTGTCTCTCCTCTTCACCACGAATTAGAGTCTTAACCCTTGTTTCTATCTCATCAACGTGTCTCTCGAACTCCCCTAGACCAGTCTCAACATCTTCGATCTTGGAACCCAAAACGTTAAGTTCGTAGTCTAATTTCGCGCTCATCATCTCGACTCGTCTCATGTTGTCCGTGAGTGAAGAATGCTCTTCCGACATGAGATCACTGGATCTCTCTCTAATCCCCTGGTATTGATTCAATCTCTTCATGTATGATGTATTGACTCTTTCGTGCATCTCGTATAGGATTCGGTTCAGATCATCGACTGAATCAACTTGTCTTTCGACCCAAGGAACGGTGTCTTCGCGTAGGCCTTGAACTCTGGAGTTGAATATTCGCGCGTCGCACACTAGCATATCCTCCTCGGCGATAGCTTCCTCCAAGCTGGCATCGGGTTTCTCAGAGTCGCCAGCCTTTCCCTTCAAATCTTCCCATCCCAAGACAACCTCCTCGATGGTGCTGAAAGACAGATGACGAGGCCAGTAATTATCTAAATGCCCAATATCGTCTGCCCGGTAAAGACCGGCACAGCTTTGCGGCCGGCGCAATGACATGATGCCGAACTCCGACGCCTGATCTTGTTCAGCAGGCACATCGATCGACCGTGACTTCCACCTTTCTAGATCTTGTGATTCTTCATCTGTCCGGGCTAAAGACACCTTCCGCGGGGGCTCGGAGGGTTCGCTGGATGTTACCGGTTCGATCGTTATGGCTGGAGGTTTAGCATCGGATGATTTCGGTAAAAGGTTGTTAAGCGGTGTTTCGGCGGTCAATTCATCAGTTTGGGCTGCTACCTCGCTATCAGGAATACTTTCAGGTGCGAGTTGGCGACCGCCATCGGAAGCTACTTTCGTGGGGACCATTTCAGTGTCGCCTTCTAACGGAGGAAGGTAAGCTGCGTCACCAACGACATCCATATCATCCTTTGTCTTCTGAGGGTTTGACCGTAAACCCACTGCGTCTTTGAATCTGCCGAATCCTATTCTTGCATCTGACACTTTTCCACTGACGCCTCGTCGTACCAGTCTACCCAGGTTCTGCTCTTTGTCTTCAAGCGTGTTGACTAGCTCTAATTGTCTTCCTGAACGATCTGGCACCTGATAAGAGCGCTCGGCTATTATATCGTCGTGTGAGTTTCGTTTTCGACTCGTCCACAGATATCCCCCTTGGTCATCTGTAGTAAACATCATGCTTGAAGCTGAGCGCCTACCTGGAGAGCTATTGTCGACCCCGCACTTGCGTGGTTTTCCTCTCCAGAGCCATTTTGCCCGTTCGCCCGTAACCAAGTGTGCAAGGTTGTCCACATCTAGAGTTTCAATATCGGCAATACCGCCCTTTTCCCGACCCCGCACCATGCCCATCACCATCTCGCCCCCATGTCCGCTCAGCTCGGCCATAGTCGACTTCACGGCATCTGTCCACCCCTCTGCATTCGCAGCCTTTGCAGTGACTCGATGAAGCCGGTCCAATGTTTGACGGTCTAGTCTTCGGGTCCGTTTCAACTTCTGGGACTTCTGGAAACTACTAATCCCTCTTTTCAAGTTGGAGATATCAAAGGCATCTTTTCCAACCGGAGCACCAAAAGCGTGAAGACGATTCCGGGCTCCCATGAGCGTCCCCAACAGAGCAGCCACGGTAGTTGGTCCCAGAACACCATCGCTGGGTTCAATATTGTATAGGTCCATGCCAATTTCTGTCCACCAGTCGCTAATTGCTGCCTCCGTCACGTCACATAGAATTCCATCAACATACTCTGGCTCTAAATTACCAAACATCATCAAGGCGATCTGGCACTGCTTCACAAGCTCTATAACGGCCGAATAGAGCGGGACTCTCTCACTTGTCCGGTAAAGATGGTGGAATTTGGCTTCAGTTGCGGCTGTGGGTGGTTGTAATTTTAAGCCGGCCCGGCCTGAACAATTGAGCCGTTTTAAGTTTTCATTCACGATAAAATCATCCTTGTGCTTGTGAATATCGCCATCAGGCACAGGTATGACAGTAAGAGCTGACGGAAAAGTGCTCAAATCAGTAACCATCAGAGTACCAAATGGGGTCTCTTTCTTGCGTGCTTGGTATTCGGTAACTGCTTCGCAGTATAATTTTAAGCGGGGGGACCATGTTGACTCATCCTTGGGAACGCTTAGCAACCCAGCCACCACCTTGTGCGAAGGGTCTCCTGTGTAGGTAGTGATAATAAAAGTAGGGTGGATCCTGGAGCAAGCCCATTGCTCCACGATGTATATCTCATAGCCCTGGAGAATTAGGCGCCGATGCAACACAATTGTCAAAGGGTCTTCTTCAAGGTATCGGAGCGCGACAGGATCGGTAAAGACGAGCCTCTGGTGCCCAGGAAGATACGGCTCTCCATCCGGGCCGTTATTGGGTGGGGAACTTTCTTTGGTACCAACTGATTGTTTTGTATCACGCCGGATAGTGGTAGTAGAAGGCGCAGCCTGTGCGCCGTTTTGCATTGGTTGTGACATGGTAGAAACAAGGAGTTCCTACCACTTAAAGAATGAATGAAGTTATCATGTCCTTGACGTGAACTAGGGAAGATACAATCACGAGTGCCGTCCAGAGACCAAGCTCAATATAAAGGGGGGAAATAACTGACCCTCCTGGGGTCTGTCGTACTGTCCACCAAGCCGGAGAGAATCGTGACATATCCGAGGTATGTGGAGGACTTTGCGGGTTTATAGTCTGAAACGTGGGGACGCGAAGCGGAAATACGGATCGGCCATGTCGCTCATCGACAGCTTGTGGGAGATAGATTTGTTATAGAAAAGGGAAGTCGACAGTCTTCAGCGACGTCACTATGGTTATGGAAGCGGTGAGCGGCTAAGCCACAGCAAAATTATTTTATCAATTATTTCACCCGGAGAAAATCAAATAGATGCTTTGGTCTTCCTGTAACCAATAATTATAAGTCCATGTGAAGGTGCCTCTAGACTAACCCCAGGCATAGGTATGAACGCCACATTTTGAGCATCAACACGCAAAAAGCAGTTGCCTAATTGCACCTTTAGCCACCACCAAATATGTACCTTAAAATTTAGGGGTATTCCGGCACTGCCATATATGCATATTCCACCACTTGTACAGTAAGCGGTAGATAAAGCCGAGGGTAAAAGGACTTCTTCATTCAATATTAAATTGCCCTGTTGGGGTGCATAGTGACCTGCACTTTTATCGTAACATCACTGCAATCTTCACTAGCACTAGGATTACTCTTTTGAGGCAGCAGAAAAGTAGGCAACATGGTCATGATTTAGGTGGACGAAGTGCATCACAGTGGAATGTTCAAGAACATTACTTGATTGAGGCTAGCTTATACAATCAGACATTGAGTCATATCAGATAATTCAGAGATCTCTTCTCTACAGGCCTCCAACATGGGAAGCAAGACAGCAGTGAAAAGACCAATTACTTCGAGCGCTCCCTAGGCGGGCCGTAGCATACAGAACGCTACGAGACTCTCAGTTACTGACTCAAAAGCGATGTATGAGCCAGGGCATTTTGTTTTTCAAAAATTCCCAGCCGACCCTAGGGCCAACTGGAGTGGTCAAAAAAGTAGTTTTCAACTAGCAAAAACACGATCTCGGATGTCTCCTCACTGATACGTGTATTGCCCGTGCACTAGGATGAAGAGAAAAAGAAAAGAAAAATCCTAAAGGATTGGGGGGGCCACATAGGATTATATACTATCGCCAAGACCTGGACGGGTGCGCTAGCGTAAGCGAGCTGCTTGCCCTGACCCTTGATTGGCTCGCCTGCCAATGTTTCCCCGAGTACTCCTTAGTCAGTATGTAGAATTGGGTTAATAGTTGTATCACCGTCCAAGTGACCTTAGTATCCCCCCTTTATTGTTATATGACCATACAAAGGAGGCAGTTTATCTACTCTATAGTACTATCTAGGTACCTTGTAAGGGAGCTACGACTTAGAATATTCACCGTTTTGATGGATATTGGTAAACATCCGCTACGTCTACCCCACCTATCATCTTGGGCTATCAGCGGACATTCTCGCTCCGGTCTCTTGCATACTATTGTACTTATCATGCACTGTTCTCAGTTTCAAAAAGGTTATCAATTGCTTGGGGGTCTGCCCTTCATCTCCTTTCGTGTGTGATTCTACGCATCCCGAAAAAGCTTATAGAACAATGAGTTTTCCCCCTATTGTCTTTATAGCCCTTTTGTGACATATCGTGCAAAACACAACATGGGACCGCGTAGAATGCTTTCCAATAGGATCCACAGCAGCCCCATTACAAGGTTGGTGATATGTGGTTGTCAGGAGGGGTAAAAGGGGAGAGTCATTCATTCCTACCCTATTGTCCCGGAGCACGTGACAGGCCATGTCGTAATGCCCGTCCCTCCGATAGAAGTGTTCGAGAGCATCCGATCATTTAATGCTCACGCTACCTCCATTACATGAACCAGATGACCTAGTTACCTGGATCTTCTAGAGGCTCGTTCCTCCAGCTTTCCTGCTCTACAAGCAAATAATTAAATCTTGAAGCTTCATTCATAGTTTCCATATGGCCATCGCCACATAGCTGCGGTAACTTCTCAAACTCCGCTTCTATTATACTTCCTCCGACCTACACGGACCTCCTACTTCACCAACCATGGACCTTGTTCAGAAAGAACACGACCGGTTGTCGAAGAAGATCAAAGCTGCGCAAGGTATAAAAACTGTACAAGCGACGATAGATTTACTACAGTCGGCTCGAGATGCCATTGCTTCCGGTTGGTTCCCTTCTCCTCAAGACGGGAGTGTCTCAGATGCCCGCTGTCAGCTTTCATACCCGACTCGTCACCCAAACCAACCATGGCTAGATAGTCTGTATCTAACACTTATTGCTTCAGATCCAAGTCAGGCGCCTTTAACGTTGGCTAAGCTTCAGAACTCCGTGAAATCATCCTTCGACTCGATTAATGACGGTCTCAAAGAAATGCATAGCAGCCTTAATAAATATTCAAAGTCCCTCGACAAGGTACACCCCTCAAAAGTCAAAAGATCAAGTGCGAAGGAACTTGGAATCGAAAAAAATTCGCTAACGCCTGAATAGCTCTTCAAAGACCGACCACTACCAAGTACCGAGCACGATGCCCTCTCTTCCCAAGAACACCTTATTAATCGAGCCATCGCAATGCATCTTCTGCGTGAAGGGCAGTTTTCCGTTGCCGCAACATTCCTTTCAGAGATGGCTGAAAAGAAGGCCATGGACTCGCAGCAACAGGCCGACACAAGCGCCTCGGAAAACGCAGCGACGCTCTTAGACATAGATGAAGTCCCTTCGAACGAGGTTCGGAAACAGTTCGCCACCATGTATTTCATACTCCACGAAATGAAGGAGAATAATAACTTGCTCCCTGCAATCCAATGGTCAAGGGACAACTCAGACGCGTTGGAAGCCAGAGGAAGTAATCTTGAATTTGAGCTGTGCCGGTTGCAGTTCGTCTGGCTTTTCCATGGCGGACCAGATCAGCAGGGGCCTATTCCTACGGGTCGACAAGTAGCTTTAGAGTACGCCAGGTGCGAATTCCAGAGCTTCCTACCCAGATACCTCCGGGAGGTTCAGCAGCTTATGGGAGCAATGGCTTTCTGCCCCAACCTGCAAGACTCCCCTTATAGATCTATCTTTAACAATCCTTCGGCATGGGAAGATGTGGCACACTCTTTCACTCGCGAGTTTTGCTCTCTTCTTGGACTGTCTGCTGATTCGCCTTTATACGTCGCTGCTACGGCCGGCGCAATAGCTCTGCCAACGTTACTAAAACTGCAAACCATTATGAAAGCGAAACGGACAGAGTGGACCACAGAGAATGAGCTTCCAGTGAGTGGTTTCAGTGCCTTTTCCACATCACTCTTACCTAATTTAATTCAATCTAGGTCGAGATTCCACTTCCACCATCGTATCTCTTTCATTCTATCTTTGTCTGCCCCGTTTCTAAAGAACAAACTACGGATGATAACCCTCCGATGATGATGCCATGTGGTCACGTAATCGCAGAGGAGTCGCTCAAACGGTTATGCAAGGGCAGTAGATTCAAGTGTCCCTACTGCCCTAGTGAAAGCCATCCTCGAGAGGCAAGGAAGGTCTTCTTGTAGGACATTTATAACGGCGGTTATTAGAGTGAACGGTAGGCGTAAAGGCTAGGCATCTCTATACATATTGAATTTTGGACTGAGAGTGACAATGGGAATTGGGAGCGTGGCTATCTCTGGCGCTTGGGGTAATGGGTAACTTTTCGGGCTGAATATGGTTCTACGGCCTATACATATCGACTTCTCAAGCATATATCTCCTCATGAATCGTTCGCTGACTAACTTCAAAGCGATTGTCCATAAATGTTCATGAATTAGTTCGTACGCGATAGAAGTTTGATACTTGAAAAGTCCTGTATCGACGATACCCACACATCTTCAATGATAGATCTATTTTTTCCCCACCACCGGTGCTGCAATTGCACGCACATCTGAAACATGCGAGTAAGCGATCGTCCAAATTCAATTGACGTATCCAGTTCCAGTCCTTATTCCACCATGCGATTCGTCCATCGAGTAGGTGAGGTTCCACACTCCCTTTCCCATTTCCGCAATGTAATTGGCCAAGGGTCGGCTCCCGTGATAGCGCGAGTATTTGGCGATTCTATACGCGTGCATTACCTGTCCTTACGCGTCTCAACCAGTTCCAATCACCTTCGCATGAACAAAGATCATGCACAATCCCCATGCCAGGCTGATTATTGGCAAGATGGATGGATCAGAAAGGATACAAACGGCCCTATCTTCCCAGGCCACCAGGGCAAGATTGCTCGACCAACCGGCCTCTTGTCTTCCGACTATCCGTACTGACAGGGGCATTCATACGGAGGCCGTACATGTATTCTCCATCCGTTTCACAGCTGCTATTAGCTTTATTAGAAAAAAGGAGCCCCCTAAATCCATCACTGTCTTTCTCATATTCTTATCTCACCCTTCGTTGCAAAAGGAAAATCGCCCTCAAACGAACCTAATCCAACAGAGCTAGCGTAGCGATTCCGGGAAAAAAAAGGATGCTTCCCACAAAACGCACACGCACACCTCCAGGGAATCCAGATAGTTTATCCTCCAAGTATGGAGCCGGAAAATTCGTTTCTCGGAGTAGAAAGCAGCAGCTATTCAGGGACAGTCCGTCGGTATCACGACGTCTAGACAGGCGTCAGGGATCATCTACTCCAGATGGACGGTAAGAATCTTGGAAATCGTATCGAGAACCCTGCCAAAGACTAAACAGAGTCGTATTTGCCAGATCGCATTCGCCAGCCGTCATTACGCTCGGTGTAGGCCCCGATAGACGCCTCTTCGCAGCTCACAAAGACATTCTATGCGTATCACCGTTCTTCGCCACAGCGTATGCCCAAGCCAATCCGGCCGACTCTCCCAACAGACGGATCAACCTGCCCGACGAGCAACCGGAAATCATCTCGTGTATCCTCGAGTACCTCTACAAGGGCGATTACTACCCCCGCCTGGTCCACAACAAGCAATGCAATTCCTGGGAGTTGGAGGAGACGGGAACCGATAAGGATGGCCAGAGTAATGGGGCGACTTTGTTTCATCATGCCGCTGGTGCGGAGATCCTACGAGATACTGCTGTTTAGTATGTTCTCTTTCCTACCTTTCTCCCCTTTTGGCTTCGGCTTGTTATTCTCCTACATTGATACTCCTATGGAGAGAGTATCCTGCTTACCTATGACAACAGCTGCGCGGCGGAAAAATATGGCCTAGACCTCCTCAAACGCCTGGCCTTGCGAAAACAAGGCTTACATTCTGGTATCCAGTGCAGTACTATCCTCACTAGTGCGCGCTATGCTTACAGCAATACCCCCGATAACGAGTCCAAGCTCCGGGCGCATTACCTCGCCTTGATCATTCGGAGTCGGTCGACGTTCAAACGCAGCGGAACGATGCAAATGGAGATGGAAGAAGGGGGAAAGCTGTTTTTCGATCTTTTTGTTGCAATGTGCAATCATATGGTAAGTTTTTGTCTGCTTTATCGTCTCTGATCGCGTTACTAACATGGAATAGGACGATCTTTCGTCGAATGTTAAACCCTCTCTTAGGTGTTAATATCCACTGGTTTGATTTTTGGGCAGTTTGGGTGTTCGGTATATAATGTATGATGGGATGTTGCAACATCTTTCGTTGGATATTCTCTTGTTTCGGTTGTTCTTAGCTGCCTGGTTGCTTTTAAGGCTCTCTGTTGGGGGAGATGCTGGATGTCTTGGCTTGATTTCATCTAATATGCATGAACTGCGTATAGACTTTTATAGTTATTGTTGTGCTTATATAGAAATAATTCTATGTTCTTGCACAATACCACGCGCCGTGATATACCTAGTACGTAAATGTAAACATAAGTCAAAAGATGCTCTGTAGGCGATCGTCTAGATCATGAAATCCTTTCTCGGTACAATGTCAAAATTGAATTACCAATACAAGGCATCTAAATGTCATAAATCATGACGCATCTATTGTATGTTCATTGAAAATGCTATCTCTCTCTCTCTCTCTTCGCCCTTTCATCGAAATGATCAATGGGGTAACAAGTTTCTGAGTGGCTATCACTCAGTAATCCTTTGCAATGCACTACTGTTCATGTCGCGTGAGGTATGTCACAAATCTAGTCACCAAATGTTATATAGATGGTAGACTAGGGTAAAGTTTGTGTGCAACGCAAAGTCACCAAGGTCCAGGTGACCAAGTCATAGACGCCCGGGCAGCACAAGTTAATAACTCGACGATCTGCATTCAGGGTCGTGTGGAAAGTGATACTGTTGTGGTCGTAAGTTCTGGTCACAAGTTCTGGTCACAGTGTATGTAAGTGATATAGGAAGATAATCAGGAGCATAGTGCTTCTCGTCTCAAGCTGGCTGTAAGATACTAAACACCTGTTCCTGGGAACGCCGTGCCGCCCTTGCTCAGAACAACCATGCCGCGCTCACGAGCAATATAACCTTTCATAAGGCCCTATTAATAGTCAATGACTGATTATATGTGAAGCGTCACGCCCAACTTACTTTGTAGACAAGGTTCGCTAACAGACACTCAACCTCGTCAATGTCAACACGAGATCTATCATCAGCATGGGTGCCTATTCTCAGCGCTGCTGCGAATTCGGAAACTGGGACACGTGTACGTCGAATTGGTGGCTGGCCCTCCTTGGATTCTTCGAAGCCTCCGGCAATGAAGACCTTTCGGAAGAGATTCCGCAATGCTATGTCACGTCCCCTCTCAAGAGGCAGATAGATGCGCCGCTTAACAAATTCTTCTTCTCCTGCTGCCATAGCATTATCGAAGCCATTGAGATCGCCCTTCATGATACAGCTACAAAGGGGACGGAACAGCTTCTCAAGCCTGGGAAATGGGGCAAGAAGCCTTTTGCTAGGTAAAGTATGCGTTGTGACAAGGTGGCAGGGGATAAGATAGAGGAGGATCTGCCTTCAAAATAGTTAGCTAGGTAATTGTACCAATACAAGGTGCACTTACTCTTTATTCTTGATTGCATTTTTGTGGCACATATTCCAAGCGTATGCTAGGTGCTCTTCAGCCTATCAAAACGCAAGTTAGTCTCAGAGGCCAAGAGATACTGAGGCTGTTGTTTACCTCTGCATAGTTTTCATCCAGGAAATGAATCAATCCAACATAATATTTAAAAGTAACTATGTGAGATTTAGGGAAGACCTCCATATCTGGGAGATCCGCTGACGAAGCGTTGAGCGCACGAAGCAGGTTCTTGGAAAGAGAAACAGAGTTGATCTGTTCCTTTGTTAGCTGAGAGCAACTTCTTATGACAGTGACACTTTACCTACCTTAAAATAGGTCTTGAACAATAGATTGGTTGTATTGTATATTCCCCATTTGCGCGACTCCTCAATCGATGCCCTGGATCTAGTTATTAGAGATGCATTGCAACTCAATACACCGCCAGTGGAACATACCTGTCGCTAAGGCACAAAGTAAACATCCGGTTGATAATACGAGCCGACTCCTCAAGTTTCGCGCTCTTTTCAAAGTCGGCAGCTATGTCATCTTGGAAATTGGCGCCAAATGTAAGTGAATCTTGAGATGATAGTTCAGCGTCTGCTTTCATGGCGAAGGTGCGTAAGTATTTCCCCACGATATATAAACACGGTACCGTCCACGCCTGAAGTCCGAAGTTCGAGTAACCTCTGATGAGGATATTTGCCAAGTCTTTCCAAGAGTTGAAGACCCTGACCCAGCTCGCGTTCGACGGAGAATCCGTGAACTTGGTGATCTCTCCAACTGCGGTCCAATAGGCAGAAAAGATATCAATCCAAGCATTCTGTTCTTGCTTCGGTAATTTCAAGCCACTAGCCTGAAAGAGGGTATAGCGAAGATCTGCAGTAACGCGCGCGGCATTGGAGAAGCGGTAGAATGATTGGAGTCGCTCGGGGTATTCGGCGGGGGCAACGGGAGTGAGAGCCGCTGCGAGAAGAGGGCCAGAGCCAATTCGCTGGCCTTGTTCAAAGTCTTCAAATACGGAGGTCATGGTGATGTATGTATGTTCCGGGATTACTCATGAACTTGCAATATCGAATGAGCAAGCTGGGCCCATATCAGAGGGCTATGGCGGAGACATGGGAATACGCTATCGTCACTTTCTTCGTACTACAGGTAATGGTGGGGAACGACGTCTCACCGCCTACGGGAACGATCCTATCAGCCACAGTGGCTGAATTCCTAATCCGGCATGGCATCATGTGCCAAGCCTCAAAGGTCGCTTAGGGTGGCAGCCCTAACTCAACGGAAATCACAAATCCCCAATTTCATGAACGAGACCCAACCGGCATACCTCTCTCGAGCAACCACAACAGTCGACAAAAGTGAGTCCTACCCTGACACTTTTACCCGCTATGTTGAGGTGATTTGTTGCTAACAGAATTACAGATGGGTGAGTTAAGAAAAGTGTTTCCTTTCTTCGGACCTCCTTTTTCCCTGGTGGATCGGTGCGGTGTTTCCCCCCTGCGAACGTTGAACGACACAATGCCCGAGAAAGAAAGCCTTGAGGAACAGCATTGGGATAGTCTGAGGTTTATTTAAAGAAAGCGATAATATCGGATGGGTTGGGAAATTGAGCACGAATACATGTTTGGCAGGGTCGGAACGATGGGATTTTACGGTCGCAAATTGTGGGAAATATTCTCGGCATCGAACATATCAACCACGTATCGCATGGAATTCAGTGCACCGATCCAAGACGTTCTGACGATTGCACACTATTGAACACTTGAAACATGCGGAATGACTGACTGGTTATCATAGGGCGTCTCACCGAGTACCAGGTCATCGGGCGTCATCTGCCCACCGAGGCTAACCCCACGCCCAAGCTTTACCGCATGCGCATCTTTGCGCCTAACACTGTCGTGGCCAAGTCCCGGTTCTGGTACTTCTTGACCCAGCTCCGTAAGGTCAAGAAGGCCAACGGTGAGATCGTCAGCCTCAATGTCATCTCCGAGAAGCGCCCTTTGAAGGTCAAGAACTTCGGTATCTGGATCCGCTACGACTCTCGCTCCGGTACCCACAACATGTACAAGGAGTTCCGTGAGATGAGCCGTACCGAGGCCGTTGAGGCTCTCTACCAGGACATGGCTGCTCGTCACCGTGCCCGCTTCGGCTCCATCCACGTATGTTTCCTCTGATCGCGATCGCTGGTTTGTGGTTGTCTAACGATCCCGTACAGATCCTCAAGGTTGTTGAGATCGACAACGCCGACTCCATCCGCCGCCCCTACATCAAGCAGCTCCTCCAGAAGAACCTCAAGTTCCCTCTGCCTCACCGTGCCGCCAAGCCCGCTGGCAAGAAGCTGTTCGCCTACTCTCGTCCTTCTACTTTCGCTTAAATGTGAAATTTTGGGTGTTGGGGGAAGGAGTGTGGATGAAATGACTATGTTATGGCCATAGCATGCATGTAGGACAGAGCACGCAGAGAACATAGCGTGTATCTACAACCCAGATAATGGGAGAAATGGTTTTGATGTCTCACTAGTCCTCTGCAGCGACCTTTCTAGTTAAATCTCTTAAAATACCGGGTTTGTCTTCTGAATTTTATGGGTTCTCTACGAGGTGAAAGAAGTAATATGCCTATTGATCGGCCTGCTTACCCAGTCGGGTTTCAACTCGTAGAGCATTAATTGTGATTCAGACCCGAACGCAACCTAAAGTCTAGCATTGCTGAGAGACCGCCCATAGAATGGTTTCCCAACATCTTCCGAATGATATTCGGTGGATGAGAAGAGCTCGAGTCTGATAGCAACGAAACGTGCATTATGTCTCAACTATGATACCCTAAATTCACATCGTCAGATGCATTGGGGGACTAGTAATGCGCCCGTGCTTGGCCTGGCCGGATATATTTCTAATCAGCTCGGATTTAACTATGGCTTGAACGCCGTGACCGCAAGACAATATATCTCACGCATCAACTCTCTGGCCTTCCCCTCCACAGGGAATACGGCAACAATGGTAGATCGTAGTTCGACGAATCAAATGGACTCCATAATCATGTAGTAAAATGCCACGGAATTAGGTCTCACGTTAGTAATAAATATCAGGGCAGGTATTGCGTCATGTGCAGTCGGCGAGGTCGGAGGGCGGGTCCCGAAAGTGCAGAGCTCAGTACTTAGTCTCTCCAGCCGTCTTTCCACCATTCTTCTCCTCTCTTACCCCATTGAACATCCCCTCCACTCTCATTCCCTTCCAAAATGTTTGCCCGTCAGGCTTTCCGCTGTGCTCAGCCTTTGAAGCAGGTAAGAATCGGCATCCCTCCATGTCACCAGAGAGACCCATGCTGACTCGTGTGTGCGCAGAGCTTCCGTAAATACTCGTCGGAGGCCCCCAAGGCCAAGTCGTTGGCTCCTATTTACACTGCTGTTGGCGCTACCGGTCTCGCTGTTGGATTGTACCGCTACTACTCTGGTGCTGCTTCTACCGCCGAGGTCCCTATCGAGCGCTCCAAGGTCTTCACCGGTGGTGACCAAGGATGGGTGGACCTGAAGCTGTCTGAAATCGAGGTCCTCAACCACAACACCAAGAGACTACGTTTCGAATTCCCCGACAAGGAATCCGTCTCTGGTCTTCAGATTGCCTGTGAGTGGCTTCGATAGCGAATCTGCCTGAGTAGCCGTACTGACGAACCCAGCTGCCCTTTTGACCAAGTTCAAGCCCGCCGGCGCCGAGAAGGCTGTTCTCCGCCCCTACACCCCCGTCAGCGATGAAGGTAACGATGCACTCTTCTATACTAAGAATTGACTACATTGCTCACCCCCCATGGCAGACCAGCCTGGCTACCTCGACCTGGTTGTCAAGGTCTACCCCAACGGACCCATGTCTGAGCACCTGCACAGCATGAACGTCGACCAGCGCCTTTCCTTCAAGGGTCCTCTGCCCAAGTACCCCTGGGAGGCCAACAAGCACGAGCACATCTCCCTGATTGCCGGTGGTACTGGTATCACCCCCATGTACCAGCTCATCCGCCAGATCTTCAAGAACCCCGAGGACAAGACCAAGGTCACACTCGTCTTCGGCAACGTCAGTGAGGATGACATCCTCCTGAAGAAGGAGCTTCAGGATCTGGAGAACACCTACCCCCAGCGCTTCAAGGCCTTCTACGTCCTTGACAAGCCTCCCAAGGAATGGACCGGTGGCAAGGGCTTCATCACCAAGGAGCTGTTGAAGACCGTCCTTCCCGAGCCCAAGGAGGAGGGCCACAAGATCTTCGTCTGTGGACCTCCTGGGCTGTACAACGCTATCAGCGGTAACAAGGTCAGTCCCAAGGACCAGGGTGAGCTGAGCGGTGTCCTGAAGGAGCTGGGATACAACAAGGATCAGGTCTACAAGTTCTAGATGAGGGATGTATGATGTTAGCATTTAGATCTCAAGTTATCAATCAATTGTATGTACTTGTTGGGAAATGAAAAACCTACATTTGGCGAAGCGGGCCTGTTCTGTATAAAGAAACAGAGATAAATAAATAAATACATACTAGTGGGAAATAGCTCCCCAGAGCCCTAAAGGCTTTCTAGAAGATTCATACACTATAGATATCAAGAAATAATATAAAATAGGCAAGCCATCAGCAAACAACAATCTAACTTTTCCTTTAGAAAAAAAAAGAAGAAAAAGAAAATGTCATTGATCCCCCGCCTCCAAACACCCCTCGACCATCCCATCCACGGCCAAATCCCTATCCCCCGCCGACAAAACACCTCTCTCCACCAACATCATCAGTGCATCGCCCACCCAATTCTGACAATTCCAGTCCAAATCCTGCCGCCCATTCTTCACCGGCGTGGCTGACACCGCCCGCCGAATGGTCGCAGCACTCACCGACCCATCAATCTCCGCCACGGGCACCGCCTTCGCCAGCTCGCCGCCGTCGTGCGGATCCAGGTCCACGTCCTCTTGGAAGATGAATAGGCCCTGCGTGCCGACTACATGCATTGTACTGGTTGTGCCACTCGGGAAGGTGAAATGGAGGGCTGTGTGGCGGTATTCTGGGTAGTCGAGGGGGGAGCCGGTGTAGATTAGGATGGTGGATTTTGTAATTGACATTTTTCTTTTATAGCGAATTATTAAAGTGAGGGTTGGGTTTAGATATATATTTTGTTGGCGGGCGGATGGTTTAGTAGTGGGTTTTGTTGATTTTTAGTTGTCTAGGTTTTTATTTTTGGTGATTACCATTATACACAAGTATTGTTTGGGTGGGTTTTAATATCAAATATATATCGGGCAGAATGAAGATGGTAGAGTAGAGTGAAAGGTTCGTTTGTCACTGATGAAGGAAAATAAGAATTTACGGATCTGATGCCAAGACTTTGTTTTCGGTGTTTTGAACAAACAATAAGTAGTTTTTACTGGGTGCCAGTTGTTTCTTTCTTTCATTTCATTTCATTTTTTTTTTTTTTTTTAGTTGTACCTCTTTCTTTCTGACAGCTGGAGGATTTTATTCGGAGATTGGCCCCGTGATCTGGGGTGCCTTAGAATATCCCAATTGTCTAAGACGATATTCTGTCTAAAGAAAATATTCAGAAATGGACGGCTGAACAAGAGGACTTAAGGTCCACTGTGAATACAAAAGTTGTGAGAACGACATTAGACAGAATGAAATTCTACTCTGAGTTATGTGCTATGCGTACTCAGAGAACGTAGTCAATGGTTGATTCTTGAACCCTATACCATTCATGCATTATTAACCATCACACATTATATATATATTCAAGCCAATAGAAGAATAAAAAAGAAGATCTAGACTGCACAATCGCGCCGAGCCAAAGAAGCTCCTTCTACATCCACTTCCTCTGTACCTGGCCTTGCTTAGGTGCATGCTCTGCCCGCCAGCACGGGAGCCACTTCTTCAGAGCGAGACTGAACAGCTTCCGCGACTTGTCAGCAGGCTTATAGCCCAAGTCAAAATCAAAGCAATGCTCCGCGTTAGGAATGACATAGCCGAAGAGCACGTTCTCGGGGGTCTCAACGCCACACTTGGGGATATTCGTGGTGATATGCACATCCTGGGGCGCGAACGTCTCGTTCGACAACGGCGTCAACGTACGCCAGGGGTCGAACTCGCCAGCGCTCCAGAAGACATTCGAGGGTCGGATAGACCACCCGCCTGTTTCGGCATTAGTTTCGTCGGCCTCTGGGTGGGCGGGGATCAGGCCGCTCTTGCGTGCGCCGGGGAACTGCCGGTAGCAGATGGATTGCTGGTACTCCAGGGATTGGTACTTAGACAGCATGGAGTGGGGACCCAAATTGTCGGCCTGGAGGTAGCCCCATTCGGTGCAGTACTGCCAGGTCCAGCTGATGGTGTCGGGTTCGGAGAACCGCTGGCCTAGTTCGCAGGATGTCTCAGTTGTGTTGTCCTGTCCTCTGCAATTGGTGCTGCCGAAGATGTTGACCAGGAAGAGTAGCTCGGGCCAAGCGGCGAACTTTTCTGTCAGCTTGTCCGCCCCAATTTTTGGGGCTATACCATTGGGGCTGGCGTCTTTGTCGAGGTACTTGCAGAGCTGGGAGAGACTGCCTTTGCCGCCTTCTACCCCGTAGCTTTGGAAGAGGTTGTAGATGCTCCCCAGCGCGGCGGTGAAGTCGCCGTTGGAGTTGTGGATGCCTTCTTTTCCGATGAAGAGACGCTTGATGTCGTCTGCGGCCTGGCCATTCTTGTCTAGTTGGCTGTCGATGTAGTCGTTGATGGCTTGTAGGTCTTTGACGCAGCCTCCGAAGCCGTTCGCGACCATGCCGCGGTAGACTTGTTCGAAGTAGATGGTCATGTTGACCCGAGCCTCGACTGGCGCGGACATGGCGAAAGAAGCGAAGATGGTGTCCGGGTACTCATTGCGAGTGAATGCCGCCCGCATGCCCGGGTACGAGCCACCGAGCATGACCCATGGGGCAGACTTGGGGCTCAAGTCGGTCCCGTTGAGGCTGAATTTCTCAGCGAAGTAGGGAATATCGGCTAACGCCTGGCGGTTGGTGAGGTACTCGAAATGCTCATTTGGCGTGCTCGTGTTGACAGGGAAGGGCAATGATTCGCCATAGTAACTTCAGTCCATAGTCAGTAATTAAGCACAGGATTAATTTCTGGATCAAACGGTCTCACCGATGCTCCCACACAAGGCCAATCGCACCAAATTCTTTCAGGTAGTCTGCGAAGAAATTGTCGGATCCGCCCAGAAACGCCTGTGCTAGGTTGTAGGCGTTGCCTTCGCCGCCATCCAGCACGAAGATAGGACCGCCGGGCTTATAAAAGTCTGTCGAAACCCAGTAGCGATTCTTGTAGGATCCCACAGACGGATCATCGTGGTCAATCGGGACCTAGGAGATCCGTGTTAATAATAACCACATATCGATGGATCATTTTTGTCCGGGAGAGAGACATACTGATATCCGCTGGGCTGGGACTTCTGAGCCTCGACCGCGGGCAATAGCAGCCTCTGCAATCTTTTCCGGATTGAACCTGGCGGTGTGACCATCGATACCTAGTACCGAGGCCAGTTGCAGGCTGTTGGCCCTGATGGAAGGGAAAAAGCTTAGGGCAGCAGACTGGCCCACCAGCAGGGTGAGGAGGGCCTTGGAAAATGTTTGCTTCAGGGAAACCATAATGAACTGGGACCCCGTCGTTTACTAGCTATAATGCTCTTGAATCCACAGGTTACAAGATATCGCCGCGCGGCAGTCCCTTACTTATAGCTTCTCTGCAGAAGCCACCACCCATGCTGCTTTCTTTACTAGTCCTCCATTCAGAGCGGAGGGAGCCACTAGTTCCATGTCGATTTGGCTGGTACGGCCCTGCAGGGAAGTGAAATGACCTGAACAGTGATTGGTAAGAGGCTTATATTGATATTGGGCCCACGTAGCCGGACGACTTGGTCTTCTAGCGTGCGGGACGGATTATTGCAGCCATCCTAAGTAATCGACCAGTTATAGATAAGAATCTGCTTGCCTGGTGGGGCGCAATCTCGGGCCATGACTAGTTGAACAAGAGTTTGAAAGGATCGAATAGACATCTGAGCCTCAAGGATGCACAAGGCTGTGATGAAGAATTGTCGCATTGAATATTTGTTTGACTTAGCAGGGTTGACTGCATGCATAGCCTGCGGCCAATCATTCTTCCAACTTGAATGGAGGTATGAGTATGGAGGACGGACAAGAGATTTGGTTGTTGTTGTTGTTGTTGTTGCTGTTGCTGCCTGACAGCCCTCCAGGGTCCGATACTAGTACCTGCAGATCCCTTGACAAATTGGGGTAAAAACTGCGGAAGTTCAACCGGAAAGTGCAACGCTGTTATCTTAGTTTTGCGAGTTTATGGAATTAACTATGTCGGATCCCGCTAGCTTTAATATAAACCACCAAGACACGGGTTCTTTAGGTCAAAATCACTCTCAAGTTAATCTTATCGGGATGAAGACAGTTTTGTTGCATGTAACTGTCCCTCCATACTCGTGCTCACCCTCCTGCTGGAAGATAGTTCGAGGCAAGGGACCTCGTGGGGGCCATGCTGGATTTATTTTTAAATCTGACAGTACACGAGGCTGACTTTCACAGTCATCTCAAGTGTTGAGTGCATCTCCCTAGTCAGTATACTAAGGCCTTGGCAGTCGGGGCTGCCCAATCGCACTTCCATTCGAATATTGTCTCTCCACAGCATTCCGAGGAAAAGTATTCCTCAATATTCGGGGTAAAAACGGAGTCCGAGCGAGCCCATTTCTCAGCAAATCACCAAATAAACCTCTCCAGTTCCCCACAATGCAAATGTCGGTCTAAGGAACGAGGATGTAGGTGAGTTGAGTCGAGTATGAAATAACAGTATGCATAGCCTCGATTGAATTTCTCTTAGCAAAGCTTTTCGCTAGCTGGGTATGTGGCAGTGTTTTTTTTTTTCCACATTGGAGGCAGAATGACTGTGAATTGCCCCGGAATGTTATTCTCGGAATAATCGTTGTTTCCCGTACGCTGGAGTCGTGGGATTCCTCGCATAAGAAATGCGCTTTTAGTACCAGAGGTTACTTTTGTGTCTTGCAACATGTATCACCTAGGATCCACCACGCGCTTTCCTATTGATGGATGTACATACTAGTGTACGCTGGTATGGTTCGGTTATCCTATACCTGATGTAGTGGATTGGCCCAATAATTCATCCTCTCTACCATGGCATGGTATACCAGGTAATCTCAATAGTAGACATGCTAAAGGCGACGTGGGGGGAGCTCATAGAGGAGGGCATGGATCTCGAGACTTACCATTTGATACCATAGAAAAGAATGGAGGAGGATATGCGCCTGTAGCTGGATACTTGCTTTCAACAACTGGGCAAGGAGTAGCCAGGTTATGCTGAGTTCATAGTTCAACAGGGTTTATGGCTGACGATGTACTCGATACCATCGTGACAGGCCTATCTACCTTGGCATCTTGACATTATTCTAATAGTGGTTATGCGCGGTTGCCAAGTTGGACCTTGTTGCTTATGTGCTAAGCCAAGGCTGCCCCGCGAGGTCGCTTTCCAGACTTTTGGCTCTGATATTGGCTCGGCCAGATATTGGATACAGACTTTCGGCTGACGCAACTGTTGATTGCCTGAAAATATTCACGATAGAGACCATTCCTCCAAAATCTAAAGGCCACTGGTCTTCCGAACCTGGATCCCAGTGAGCATTGATTATTTCCTGGACAGCATGGCTCCCTTTCTATCATCTTTTTGACCGAAGAAGGGCACAAATCTCGCTGCAGAATATTTTGCTGTAGTTTAGGAGTCTTTTCCGATGCACCATGTGCGACGGCAGCTCTCTTAGGGCTGGGATAGTGTCGTCCAGATCGACAGGCTGATATTCAGGCCCTCATAAGTTAGCATTCAAGTGGGTAACCCTTAGCACATAGTAACCAAGATTCTATGACAACAAAGCTATAAGCGCCTTTATAGTCGTCATCCTATAGTTTTGTAGCGATATGACTATAGAAGTTCGCGTCTTGGTACAAGAACTTTTTGGAACTTGATGTAGAATATAAATCCCACTGAGGTGTTGGCTTTATCCAGCTGTAGTACCCGATAGTAGTGTGTCAATTTTGTGGTCCAGGGCTTCGTCTGATCTCCATGGCACGTATTGCACCGGAATGTTATGAATTTGGTTCTTTGGTGGGTTGGGTAGATATTGGAGAAGCTCTTTTGAGACGACTTGAAGTAGTTCCGCGTATAATGTAAAATCCGATGGTATATTATGCCTATTGTGCAGGTACCCCAGATAAGAACCGCAGTGTGTTTATGAAGGCAGACAGACTTGAAGAGGTAGATGGCTCATTATGCGATCATCGGGACTAAATAGAATATCGGTGTTGTATTTCAATCATTGTTGGTGCATCTAGACTCATCCTGTGTACCTTATTTGTTGTCCGATTCTGTAGTTGTTAGTTATTGTAGAACTATTTTGCAAAGAGGACTAAAAGGAAGAGAAGGAATTGGTGGGGGGGAGAAACCCAGTTATCTAGAGGCCAGCACCTGACTAACGAGGTGGACACCAAGCAAATTCTGGGAAGGCAACGCGATTATTCAACGGTTTGTTTGGCTGCTTCTTAAGTGGATGAGGTAATCTTGTATGGTGCGCGAATGGCTGATCTTCCAGTTGATTCTAGGTATGTACTACTCATACAGCTGCTTCTTCTGCTTCTTCTGCTTCTTCTGCTTCTTCTTCTACTTCTTCTACTACTACTATCTCAATAAATTGGCAGATACGGCGATTGTGTCTTGCTGATAGTCTATGGGGTGAACATCAACTCATCTTCATATAAGATCTTTTCCTCATAAAGCTTATGTAGTAATAAGTTTATGGTTTAGCACCAGATAACTGTTCAATGGAGCAAGGATGGTATTTGTTGAAGTACTTGAGAAAACAACATTCAGAGGCCCCATTTAATCTACATGCGAACAAAAATTGGCTGTATCCACGGGAAAGAAAAACTAAAAGTCTTTCAAGAAAAAGAAGACACGAATAGAAACGTACATTTCCAATCTCTTGAAGACGTACAAAATAGTATTATGCTAACGCCCGACCTCCTTTCTTGACAATACCATCATCATCACCATGAGCTTCAAGGCCCTCAGCATGTTGGCTAGGCAGTCTGTTTTAATCGCGTGACCAACATGTCGTCTAAGACCTTCAGGGCTGATTTCGCGTTCGGTCCCTCAAGGACTGATTTTCCGGCAGTCATGAGAAGCCGTTCCGGCGCTGGCTGTTCAAGATATGGCATCACTCGCGTTCGGTGAGCGGTCCGAAATAACTATCCGCTGTCAGCCAATACGGCAGAAAGGAACAAGTAGAGCAAGGATGTAAATGCATACCTTCATATGGTTCACCATCTTCTTAAACTCATCCTCAATCTGGCAGTCCATCGGCCCCTTCAACTTATGACGAAACGAGTACTTCTTGAAGGCTCTACAGAGATCTCTTTGTCGAATAGGAATATATCGATCCATGTTTTCGTCGCTCAAGTATTGATCCAGTCCCAAGAACGCATCAAGTGCCTGGAAGATCAAAACATGATTACCCGATAGTCCGTCATCCTTGACGTACTCCCCATTTATTATCCGCCCTACACCCCAGCCTTGGAAGCCCTGGATATAGCTTAGCCATACTTCCCGGGAAACGCGAGATGCGGTGAGCCCGTCGTAGAAGATCTTGAGGAGGTGACGTAGTCGGAAGGTGATGTTTTGGAGATGTGTCAAGCATGATATATTGCCCTTTTCTTCAAAGCATATGATGGCGCGGACCATGTCATAATAGATAGGTAGGGCCTGAAACGGATAGTCAGAATTTGTGAACGCTCTTTGCTCATAGGATGCTGCTGCTCTTACCAGGACTTCGAGATCATAGAAAAGACGGAAAAAGGCATCTTCGGATGACTTGATCTTCTCGGACATCCCAATATTGATCTTGAAGACTCGTTCTCCTTGCTCGTCAAAATTGTGCAGTACATTCGCCGTATTATTCCCACTATCAGCCTCCACCCCGAAGGCGCGTTGGAGATAAGGCCAAGGCACTTCCAGTTCCGGAGGAAACTCAACAATCTTCTCAGTCTGAGCGACCTTGACTACGGGAATTGTTGCCCATCTAGAATAAGTGTTAGAGAATGCATAAAGAGTTTAACAATGAGAACTACTGGGGAGATTTATATACCTGTAAGCGTGACGACAAACTGCAATGCAGCAGTAGAAGGCATTGTAAGTGTCACGGGGGAATACATCCCAATTTCCTGCTTCAGCGGCGATCAGGAGCTTCTCGACACCGACAATATCAATTCGTTCGGTGAGGAGCTTCCTCATGCGGGATCGATATCTGTTGCGCTTTTCCTGATTTACATCATCTTCCAGCGAAGGCTGTGCTGAAGGCAGGCTGGGAGCGAGCTCGTGATAGATCTCTTTATAGGGCTGCAAGGACTCTGGCCAGGTCTCGTAATTTGTTTTGGGGGGCCAAGCACCCGCACCGTCATTGTCAATCAAGTCTGATAGTAGTGATGCTATTCCATAGCGACCTTGCTCTTTCATCAGTCTTAGGCATTGGATTTGCCAGGCCGATGCATCAACCCTAAGTCGCTTTGGGTGCTGTCTCCAAGTTACAACGATGATGAGAGCGATTAAAAATGAAAGGGGAAGAAGAAAGAGAAACATTGTGCAAGATGTAGTATGGAGGCACTGCTATAAAGTATAATGTACAAGTCCTAGTGGAAGGGCCGTCAAAAGCACCGACTCCTTGCACTTCTTAAAAAGGTTATGGCAAAGCCCTCATATACTTCTGTGTATAGAAACTTCCACCAAACCCACTGGAAACACGGAGACCAACAAACGACTTTACTGGCCTGAAATGATCTCAGCCACTAGGTTTAGGGCTCTGACTCCATTTGTTGCCTATAATGTCTTGGCCACCCAGTTTACTCTTGGCTGTATGGCAGTCTTCTGCTCCTCCGGCTGCGAGGCACGGCAATTCATAAAGCCAAGGAGGTTTAGATACATCGACAGACCTTGTACCTTGTAGGCTATATTGGTATCTATTCACAAAGCATGCGTCTATCCGGAAGCTTTCATCTCCGCAATCAGGGCAAGAATCCTATTCATCAAGAAGGGCAATTGGGTGAGCCACTACGATTGGTCTGGATAGATTGCACCCTCATAATTAAACACAGTCTCGCTTAGATATACTGGGAGTAGATAAATTTCCTGTCTCGCTAATCTTACTCCAAGCTGCATGATGCATCCAATTCAGCTGTGCAATATCCAAGGTGCAGAACAGTCGGGGTAGTGGCGTTAGGCATCCCGGCTTTAAATAAAAAGTGATCATTTTCCTGACATGGGCCGAGTTTGACTATCTGATTGGCCTGCATGACCTGCGGTGTGCCTGTCGTGGAATGTTCTTTATAACTCAATGGTAACCGTCGTATGACAGATCTGAGCCAAGAATACTGTGGCTGGTCGGCCGTTAAACAATCGCTCTACTCGAATGGGTCAGTTTGACAACTTGACTCTACGTATACGAGTCTCTCTATGCAGATGCAAATAGTACCCCATCCACAGAGGCCCCGGTATCGTCTATAGGCTCGTCAATTCCGATTCCAACCGCCGCGCACACGAGGCTTTCTGCAAAATATGCATACCTTAGCGCTTAGTCCTCCTCACGGTACTAGACGACGCAATACCACTCACGTCCCCACTCTTGAAGGAAACCTCCTCGCATGTTCAACTTATGACTCCTCCATTGGGCCGCGGGCACTGGTTCGCTGATGCTACTACGCTGTCATTGTTACTCTACATCGGTCCTTCCGAAGTTGAGGCTTAAATTCGATACCCACAGATTGCGCAATCTGCCCTATTGCAATGGTTGTTCGGCGTCCCCGATCTGAGTATATGTGAGACTCTCTTGGATGATGAGGGATGGCTATTACTGATTGCTCGGGCCTCAGTCTCGCTGCATCCATGACTACACGTGGCTGTATTTCGGGATTTGGATACATGCTCTTGCCGCGTAGATGGGTTCCTAGGCAGAGGGACTGGTGTTGGAGGTTGGGTTGTATCGTAGGGATGTAGCTCAAAAGTTCTTTCTGGCTATTTTGAAATGATTGAGGCCTAAGAATACAGAATCGGGAAATTAGAGAGTTAACCAAAGTTAGGGCTTTGAAATCAATGCCTCTATTGCAAAATTCAGTATGTGCCATGTATCTGACTATAGAGGAAAATTCTCAGGTCATATTTGGCTGTCTTTTCTGAAAACCTGGAGAAAGTATTCTAAAGCTTCCTCGCAATAGTGACCGTATACTTCTGGTGCACACCCGGCTCAGAGGAAAGATCCCTAAGGCAATCTTTAGCCAATTCCTCCAGCTTGTCACCCACGATCCCCCGAGCCCCAAGCATCTTACGAAGTAGTTCCGGATAATTCGGAATTAGCTTCGCCTGAACATACCTCCTCATAGCCTGACTCTCCGGCGTTTTGCTAGATGGCACAAAAGAAAACTCAAAAGTTTGGATACTCAGAACCTCCAACCCAGCATCCCGCATGAATTTCGCTGCATCAGATCCGGCACGCGTAGACAAACCTGCATGCTCAGTGCCAGCCACAACAGCCCGATGCCACTCCCATCCATCGCTGAGACATTCCGACGTCCAAAAACGGTAAAACTTCCAGTCCAAGTCTTGATGTTCGATGATTCCACCGGGGCGGAGTGCCTCGGCAGCTGTCGTGAAATACCGGCTCCAGTCATTGATCCCTAGGAAGAGCATCTTCCCGAAAATATAGTCTAATTCACTTGGTGTGAAAATCTCGCGGTTCATTACATTGCTCGTGGATTGGTTATGATCTACTTCAAGGATGTTTCCCATTGCCCAGCTGGTGTTTGCTGGGGCAAGTTTTCGCACGTCCTCTGGGACGGGCGATAGATCAAGTCTGTAGACTTTCGCGGAAGGGAATATCTTGGCCATTTGGATGGTCGCAATGCTGGTGCCACATCCGACGTCTACAGCCTTGGAGATGCCCGTCATGGACTGGATGGGTGCCAGGAAAGGTGCCCCTCCGATCATTTTGACGATCGCGGCCGCTTGGGCGTCGAGTCGGTCTTGCTCGACGGCACTAGGTAAGACGGGATGTAAGCTATTTTATCTGAGATATCAGAGATGTGACTGGATGGGTAGTGCTTACTCGTTTGGGAGCACATATGGGGAAGATGTACTGTGGTATTGTCGTTCAGTAGGAGGGAGTACTGCTGTTTCTGCTGCCATGCTTGGCTAGTGTCACAATGAAAAGGGTGTAATAGAGCAGACGCCACTCTCAATGTGTTTCGAAGGGAGTGTCTGATATACATAATTTTCCAACGGTGTGGGAACCATCTTTGCAGTTGAGCCCAAGCGTCATAGATGATAGGTGTGTGTATGATCTGTGAAAGCAACTGCAACAGTCAGGGAACAATAATGACTAGGACAAGCTCACAGCTTACAGCCTCTGGATACGAGATTTGCCCTTCTGTAGCAGTAAGCAGTCACTGAGGGTTGGTAGAACTCGTGGTGGCCTGTATCTAAACGATAATTAGGTATGGTTCAATTCAATTCTGGGGTTTTCTCGGGAGGGTCTTCAGCAGCACGCTAAGCCAAAGTAGGAGTAGGCCTTCGCAGCTGGAGCTCAACTGAAGTCATGTATTAATTCTGGTGAATGGCAGGGTCAACTTTGCATGCGAAAAGTTGGCCTGATTTTTATTAATAATACCTGCTTGGCTACCTTAAATTGGCCCCGTGTCGCCATTGATTGGCCATAGGAGTCAAAGCTAAACCAAAGCAAGAGTGACTGCTCGGGGAGGAAACCCCGGGGAGGAAGAAATGGGGGGAATTTCCCGACGGCAGATCAACATGTGGAACCAACTAAACAAAGATTGCATGGCTTCTAGATCCATGGTTTTGCCTCTTTCATAGCCAAATCTCTCTCCCCTCGTATGATATTCGTGTCACAAAGATATCCCTTTTCACCCATTTCGAAATCTATTTGTCATCGTGGCATTTTTTGCCAGCTATGTCGGAAGGATGTCTATCCTCGTTCTGTTACATTCAAGGGAAGGTTAAATTGTCCGTCTGACCGGCTGTATTTTGCAAATTCAAGCAAAAACACAAGTGCCTCCTCTTGTTGCCTTCTTTCCCATCTCCCCTTCGGTCCCTTTTATATACGCAGTTTCAATGCCCTATACCACCTCACGCATGACCATCGACTCCTCCGGTATTGAACCAGAGGTCAAGTCTCCCCAGAGTGGCCTGATAGAACAGCCATGACAAGAGCAAGGAAGTCACCTCCACAATGCCCAACGAGGCTATCTACCTTGACGCTAATGCAAATGCCGTTGCTACCCCGAGTGCTCTGCGCGAGAACCTGTTCATGATTTTCATCACATTGGCTCAGCTTGTTCAAATGATTCCACTAGGTGCAGGAATGAACTCAGGCCTTGCTATTGGAGAGTCTCTAGGCGTAACTCATATTCAGTCGGTTTGAATCGTGGCGTCTACCCTCTCACGCAGGGAGCATTTATCCTTATTGGTAAGTGCGCTCGTGTAAGCTTGGAGAAGAGAAAAGATTACCCGACTAATCTTGGCGCAATCTTCTACTCGCATTAGGCGGTCGTCTTGGGGCAGTATATGGCCACAAGAATATTTTCGCAGCTGGGTGTGTTTGGTGGGTCTTGTGGGCCTTATGCGGGGGATTTGCCAATAACCTAGTCTCCATGTGCTTCATGAGAGGTCTCTGTGGAATTGGAGGAGTATTGATGATCCCGAATATTGTCGCCCTTCTCGGGATTACATTTCCACCAGGCAAAAAGCGGAACCTTGGCTTCGCTCTCTTCAGCGCCATGGCGCCTGTCGGTGCCGCAGGTGGCTCACTTGTTTCTGCAGTCATCGTTCAGCTGTCGGAGTGGAAGTGGCTATTCTTCATGCTGTAAGTGCGGGATCCTTCCGCAATTTTAATTTTTATTGCTGACCTCTCTCTTTTTACAGGGGTTTGCTGGGGTTTGTGGTCTACGGCACCGCCATTGTCGCTGTTCCGCCGGATGATCCCGTTGATCCAAATGGTGATGTGGACTGGATTGGAGCCTACCTTGGCGTTGGTGGCCTCATCTTGTTCAACTTTGTCTGGAAGTGAGTGGTCCTGTGTGAGCAACACTTTACGGGGGAAAACATGACTAACTGTATGGGCAGCCAGGCACCTCTCGTGGGGTGGAAGAGTCCTTACGAAATTACCCTTCTCATCGTTTCGGTCCTTCACTTCGCGGCCTTCTCCTACTGGGAAATGAAAGTCGCCAAGGAACCAATTTTACCATTTAATATCTGGAAAGCGCCTTCGTTTGGTCCCCTCGTTCTTACAACCTTCTTCTCATTCATGGGTCTGGGTATATACTTCTGGTACATGAACATCTATATGATCACCATCCGTGGGGACAACCTCATTCGGGTGGGTGTCCAGTACTTACCGTTGACAATTGTCGGATGCATGGTAGCCTTTCTAGCCGCCTGGCTAGTTCCCCGAGTTCCCACACAAGTCATCATTGGCCTGGGTTGTCTGGCTATGACAACCATTAATATCCTCCTCGCCACCATCCCAGAGAAACTGGCCTACTGGGCCATGGCATTCCCCGCTATGTTTCTGCCCGCTTTCACAATCGACTTGATCGTAAAAGTGCACAGATCATCGCTAGCAACACAGTCCCGATGAAACACCAAGGCGTCGCTGGATCTTTGGTGGGCACCCTACTCAGCTATGGTATGAGTACTGGGCTCGGATTCGCAAGCACGGTCGAGGTGAACACCTTCGATGGTGGAAAGAATCTCCTGAAAGGCTACCACTGTGCTGCATATCTGGCAGTGGGTCTGGGCGCTGCCTCACTGATTATGGTTGCCTGCTTCATTCGCATCCCGAAGGATAATCGCGAGGGCTGGGAGGAGACCGAAATGGCAGAGTAACGTATAGAGCTCGCTTTCTCTTGCTATTCTGGGGCATATTACTGCCTAGCGCACTATATCCTGTGAACGATAACTGGCTATCATCTATTTTACTAAAGATACAAAATCCTGCACTAATCTTAATCCATTGAATTTCCCCAAGCACCGAAGACAGTCTTGTTGGTCAGAACAATCCGTAGCCCTGTTTAAAACGTCACGGTATTTCTTCACGGAATACCCGGCTAGCCCCCCTGCCAACCAGTAATCTGCAGAACCGAGCCGAGGTGTGACATTCAATTGAAACGAGCCAAGACGTTACAGCACACCAAGCTCGGGTAAAGAGAGAGAGTCCAGCGCGTGGGCGCAGTGTCAGGCGAGCACTGCATAACATAAAAGGAATGTGTGATTGGCGGGGACTGGGATCGGGGATTAAGATAACTCTGAACGTTGCGTTTTAAAGCTTCTGCAGGACATTACCTAAGTTACATACTATGGATGATCTAGAATAAGGCTGTTTCGGGATTCGGAATTGAGGGGCTTTGATTTGCGAGTTTGGTTCGGTTGGTTGCATTGCAGGGATTAAGAGGCTACTGCACGGACTAGTACTGTTAGCTTAGTAGGTGAGACTGGGCTATAGTACTCGATAAACCTGGGGACTCGTGATGGGTTCTGGTGCCAGGCTTTGCAAAGCGCTAGGTTTCTTTGGGGTTGTTCTTTTTGATCCCTCCGCATCTTCCGGGTATGGTGATGGTATTTGGTTATGTTGGTTTTAAGTAGGGTAGGCATGGTAATGGGTTTGAATACAGGCCGCTAGCGGTGATGCCGATGCTCGGTGGCTGTATGGCGGTTTGGATATCGTGTGACCTTGACTGGAAATCTAAATCTAGACGGAGATTACCCGGGTTCGCCACTGCAGGCTAAACGACTTGGTATGACAACCGTTTTTAAGATAATTCTAATTGTTCAAGGGTAGAGATGAGGCCTGATTTGACTTGGGGTATCCTGTAATCTATACCTTCCTTACGTTATGGGCTGGACCTGTTTCGGGGGTATGGATAGTGCTCGCTTGGCTATGAGTGCGAGTACATATAATGCCCTGAGCCCAGAAAGTACAGCATTTTTCAACAGTCATTTGATTCGTTCAGTATTTACACCCACAATCGACACCCAACGTCCATCATGGTATGCCTCGACTTACAGCTCGGCTTGCATAGTTGTGCCTCCAGAGCTGCTGATGAGCCTTTCGTCCTCCCCCCAAACACCGACCTCCCCAAATTCAAGGCCTTCCTTTCCTGCGCAGCGAGTGTCATAGATGAAGCGAATGTTCAAGTCATCGACATCTACGATGACATTGCCCAGGAAGAATACATGAACCCCTCCAAGGCCCATGATATGTTCCATGTCCTGGAGAAGACGCATTTCGTATCATCCGCAGTTGTCGCACCGAGGACTGTTGCCGATGTCCAAGAGATCATGAAGTTGGCCAACGAGTTTGAGATTCCCGTCTGGCCGTTTTCCAAGGGCAGGAATGTTGTCTATGGAGGGGCAGCCCCGAGAGTACCTGGCAGTATCGGCATCGATATGGGCAGGCACATGAATAGAGTGGTAAAAGTAGATACTGAGAATGCGTATGCATTGGTCGAGCCTGGCGTCTCCTACTTCGAACTACATGAGTATTTAGTCAAGCATAATTTGCGGGATAAGGTGTGGGCGGATGTGCCTGATCTGGGAGGCGGTTCTGTTATTGGGAATACTCTCGAAAGAGGTGTTGGGTATACGCCATATGGGGATCATTGGTGAGTCGCTGCGACCGTTATTCCGGGAGACATGGACTAATGGGGGCATTGAACAGGATGATGCATTGCGGACTGGAAGTCGTCATGCCTGATGGTTCGCTCCTCCGCACAGGAATGGGCGCTTTGCCAAACCCTAAAGCAGATAAGAGCAAGCCGGCACATGAACAAGAGCCAAATGAAAGCTAGCAACTATTCAATTATGGTTTCGGCTCACACAATGATGGTACCTTTTCGCAGTCATCGCTCGGGGTCGTTGTTAAGATGGGGGTCTGGCTTATGCCTAATCCTGGCGGTTATCAGGCCTACATGATCATCTTCCCGAGGGACGATGATTTGGATCAGATTGTGGAGATACTCCGGCCGTTGAGGATCTCCTTTGTAATTCAGAACGTTCCAAAGCTGGATAATGTTCTGGTCAGCGCCGCCCTCGAGGTATGTACATTGAACTATCAACCTGCCTTTTTTTTTTTTGGCTTTCTTACAGTCTCCAGGGCCACCGCAGCGATTACACAGATTCCGACAAGCCCTTAACCGAATTTGAACTAGATGAGATTGCCAAAAAGCTCGGCATCGGTCGCTGGAACCTCTACGGAGCAATGTACGGGCCCACCGGCCGTTCGCGACGCTCTCTGGTCCGTCATCAAAGCCTCCTTTAGCAAGATCTCGGGTGCCAAGTTCTATTTCCCCGAAGACCGCCACAACGATGTAGCGCTACAAATCCGAAACAATACGTTCCAGGGAATCCCCTCCATCACCGAGCTTCGATGGGTAGACTGGCTCCCCAACGGCGGGCATTTGTTCTTCGCTCCGATCGCTGAAGTAACCGGCCCCGGCGCCAAAGCGCAGTACGATCTCCCCGCCGCTTAAGCGAAGAGTATGGATTCGACTTCATTGGCGCATTTCTCGTCGGGGTCCGCGAAATGCACCATATCGTGTGCATTCTGTTCGATCGAAAGGACCCGGATTCTAGACGTCGCGCCTATGAACTCATTAAGGTTTTGATCGCCGAGGCGGCAAACCGCGGATGGGGTGAATACCGGGCTCATCTCGCCCTGATGGACCAGATCGCGGAGACGTACAACTTCAACAGTAATGCGCAGATGAAGCTGAACGAGAAGTTGAAGAATGCTCTCGATCCAAAGGGGATTCTGTGTCCTGGGAAGAATGGGATTTGGCCTGCGAATTACAAAAAGGAGGAATGAAGTTTGCACAAGCCGTAGATCAACTAGACCGCTCTCACACCAACACATACATTTTCAGGTGAATATTGAATAGACCCTGGCTTTTGTCCCCGACGAGAAAGGACTATAGTCCGACGGCCCGAACCGATCCGCCGAGTCATGGCTTTCCCATGGTTCCAAGCTGGAAACCGGTTTCGGCTAACACTTGAAAAACAAGGTATTTAAATCTACATTGTATGGAGCACATTGAAAGCAATCTTTTGCCCTACTATTAGTGTTGAGAACACTTTTTCAGCGGCTACTTATTTCTAGCTGGCCTCCTAACGTGCTATATGGTACACTTTCAATTTTTATCTATCACCACGGTAGCGATCAGAGATGATCGCTCATAGCCTGTAGCCAAGCTACCTGACCCTGGAAGCCCCATAAGGCTTACTGCCAAGGCTACTATAACGTCTCCCTTGATCGATTTAACCTGGACGTAGGTCGTACACTTTGGTTGTGGGGATCTAGTTTTAAAGTTACTTTCCTAGGTTTCCAGCATATGATAACCCTAGAAAAGCCAACGAGCCATCATATAGTAGGATTATTCCCAATAACTGGCAATCATATAATTCATGTTTCAGAGCTATGAGCTGTTCTCCAAATTTTTGACAGGAAGCCCTCGTAAGTTAACAAACGCCACATTTACCCAGCACTTGGCTTGCAATGGCCTATAGAATATATGCCCCTTACGTAAAATAATTGACTGGGCGTACATAACCTTAAATGTTGGTTTGTGATGGTTCCTTGGATTTAGCCTTTCGAACAATGGAAAAACTAATATTAACTGGAGACAGTGTATATAAGCCTGCTTGTCGGTCATAGCCGGTCCTGGTGTGAACATGGAGCTGTCTGGGGGTCAAGGTATGGTTTGTAAGTAGCTTGTTGCTATAGTAGAAGATCGTGGTGAGTGAAGCCGGGTTGGTAGTACGCAGGGACCGGGCAGTTGTCTGTGTGTGTGTGTGTGTGTGTGTAAGATGGAGGATGTTTGGAAAATATAACTGGATTTCTAGTGGACTCCTTTGACCAATACAAGGTGGATGAATTGCTGGGGAACTGTACTACAAAAGAAAGTAGTACAGTTTCTTCTTAGCTTCTCATTATAATTGATCAAAGCGTGATTCTATTGTATAACACCCGCGCCACTGGATCATGGTCTTTCCAGAATGATGCGGACATTCGAGGTGTCAACCCATACCATTGCCGGTGCAGCTTGTCCTGAGATGGCTATAGTGAAGATTTATTGTAAAATCCTATGGTTGTGGTCAAGTAAGGAGCGTTTATTTGCGATATTATCAGACAATTCTATTTACTGGGGGTTACCCCCGGTTCAAATTGGACAGGGTATCCAACTGCTTTAGATGTGGTGGTGCTTTGGTACTAGTTATGTGATGCTTGGTACTACTTCAGGAGCATTGGGACCGATTGTATGATATATAAGGGCTACATAGACCAATCTTTGAGTATGAAATAGATGAAAGCTATATTGAAACTGGTCTACCCAATCTTCGTGCATGCTTTTTCGAACAGGGTAACAAAAAGTCTCTTAGTGAGTTAGATTCTGTCTAAGTACTTGTCAAGCTCAAATGCTTTGTTTAAATCACCGGACAAACCTAAGCCTACACACTACTACTGGATTAAGCTATTGATGCTCATAATCGGACATATCTAGTCATGAATGATTATTGAAGCTACGCTAGAAAGGGGTCAACGGGCAACGGTGTAGGTACTGGAGATTAACGAGCATATGTTGAGCCTATTCACGTCAAGAATAAAGAGAAGGGTTTAGAAATATAAAGAGATGGAAGATAGACGGATTCGCACAAAGAAACAGCAGATCAAACCACACTGAGCAAGCAAAAAGGTTCGGGACATGGAAGGAGAGGGGGTTAGACCGCCATTTGATTGGGGGTGGGGGGAAATGGTTAACTAGTTAGAGCCCACGAAGAGTAAGCAGCGACGGGTCGAGACCCGCGCACCCGCTTAGGCATTATGTCATGTCATTGTTAGCGACCGCCAACAAGCATTGTGGCGATTATTCTGCGCCATTTGTTCAACCGACAAGGCCATCTGCCGCCGATAGCGACTCTATCCAGGATATAGACCAGATAGATCTTGATCTGAAGAAACTGAAGACAGGGAGTCAGACACGATATCTATGCGATTCGGTTTAATTTGGTTTTTAAATTATTTATTTTATTCAATATCTTCCAGGATTGCAATGTCAGTTACGCTCGCTTGAGATGCCTCCAAATCAGGCAGATCCTTTTGGTCAGTTTTCCTTGGGCTTAAACTGCTGTCTAAAGTTTGATCAAATCTTCTTTTCCCTAGGTTTTCTTAGTTATGTGTCTATTGCTATCGCACTATGTGTTTGCTGCTTGGCCAAGGAATTTGATTCTGGCAAACATATCGGAAATTCTTAACAATATGCTAGAGTGGTGAGGGAAAGGCTCCTGACAGCAGAAATGCAGGCGGGTGCGCATCATCTCCGGGCGGGGAGGGGTACAGCACACAGTAGCTCTGTAGTCCCCGTCGCAATAGAGGGGCAAAACAAAAGTACTCTCTATCTGTCACTACACTGGACGCGACGGAGAGTGGGTGGGGGCAAGAAAGTAAATAAAGAAGGAAAAAGAGTATATGGTAGAGGATTCGTAGCTTTACTTTATCTCGTATCCAAATAAATCATAATGTGAAGTATAAACATTAGACGGTAGGCAATCTCCAACCTTAGGGTGGTGAGAAAAGAAAAACAAAGAGGTTGGGTTGTGCATTGCAAACCAGGTGCGTTGGTCGTAGGCACAGCACTAGTGGGTTTCAGTATTCTGATGTGCGACCTCAGGGGAGGGGCAAAGGGTAAAACGGAGGGTGCAAAAAAGGAGCCTTGGGTAGGCGCCCGGCACCCGAACATAAGTAGGTCTTCTGGGGGAACGGGACAGCCTGCAGTGCAACCGAGAGTTGGCCGGCGCTTAAAGGGAAAGCCCAACACCCTGCGACCGCCGGGGCTTAACAGGACACTCTGAAGGTCGTGAAGCACACTAGTGAACTCCCCGTGCCCACTGCCCTAGGGCCCCTAAGCCGAAAACAGCGACTCAGCAGTGCCCATCAGCGCCCACTATTTAGTAGACCCTATTCCCCCCTCTACCGCGACCCCGCTAGCGAAAATTTCTTTCCCTCTTCTTCTTTCTGAAACCCCCATTATTCCCTTCTTCCCTCCGTTCTTCTCACCAATATTATTATCTGACGGATTCTCCCCCAGTGGAGTTTCACTGCATCTTCCATCATGTCGCGCAAAGACGACACTGTGTCCGTCAATATTGACGACTTCACTAGAACCCGCGATAGTGTAAGACCCCCTTGTTTACTGTCCCTCCGGTCGCGCCGGGCACCCAGTCGGGCGCATCGCTCGGTGCTTCTCTCCCTGATCATCCGCTCCCACGCGTGTCCATAAAAACAACGGCCCTGAGGGTTACTCCTCTCTAGCCTGTCCTGGCCCTACGCCACTCTCTCATTATCGTGGAAATATTCGCGCGTATATTCACACCACCCAAGACTTACCTTTGCGCGTAACTCCATTTTTGTTTTTCTCTCATTTGTTCTTGTTGTCTGTTTTTCTGCCTTCCCACATGCTACTCCATCATGGCCCGACGCGCCTCCACCCCTGGTCCGACGCAGCCATCCTTGCCTTTCCGAGATCTTATTACATCTCTTGCCCGCGCCACTGATTGTGTTAACGCCGCCACGTTTGGTGTCCGCGCGGTCGCGACCGTTCCGCCTAGCCAAGCTCAACTAACATACTCGCAGGTTATCGTTAGTATCGCGCATCTCCAGGCGGCTGTCACGAAGCTGTCGGAGGCGTATATCAACCATGCCAACACTGTGCTAAGCCGTGGTTCGACGGTGGATATTGCAAATGTCACTAGAATTACCAACTCCCTCTATGAGGGTAATCTGCTGGGCGCTAGCGTTGGCGCTCGTGCTACCAGCCCCGGCGCAAAGTCTGAAATGGGCGAGAAGAAGAAACGCAAGCGCGCTCCCCCGGACCCCAATGCGCCTAAGCGTGCCTTGACTCCTTTCTTCCTTTTCATGCAGCACAACCGCTCCAAGATCGCGGCGGAGCTGGGGGATAGTGCAAAGCCTAAGGATGTCTCTGACGAAGGGACCCGTCGCTGGGCTGAAATGCCAGAGCCGGAGAAGGAGGTAAGTGTTGATTCCCCCTTGTCGGCTCCCAGCCTGTAACATCATACTAATGCCCTACGTAGCACTGGAAGAACATGTACGCCGACAATCTCGCGGTCTACAAGGAGAAGATGAAGGCCTACAAGGCTGGTCTACCATTCAGTGATGACGTTAAGGCTGCCAACCAGCTGCAACAGGAGGCGGATCGCGCGGAGGCCACTGCCGCCGAAGAGTCTGACGAAGAAGAGGAAGAGGAGGAAGGGGAGGAGTCGCCGGAACCAGTCAGAGAGCCTACCCCTCCCCGCGCCGGCAAGCGTCGCCGCAGTGAAGCTGCTAAGACTGCCAAGGAAGTCGCCTCTCCTGCGGAGACCAAGAAGGCGTCGCCCGAAAAGAAGAAGACTCGCACCCCTGCTGCAAGGGAAAAGAAGGCCCAGGAAGAGACACCCGTTTCCACCCGCAAGACAACTGCGGCCGAGAAGCGGTCCAAGAAGAAGCGCAAGAGTGAAGCCGGCGCGGACGAGTAAATCAGTAGGATATGAGCCTTAGAAAAATGGGTTGTATAAGGGGGGGCGGTGTACAGGTATTCGGCGCATACATGTGTTTTTTGGGGGATTGAAGCGTACCCAGTGCTCCCTGTAACATAGCTGCCGTTTACTGATTGGGTGCTTTCTGGGTAGTTTGGAGTCCTTTCCCGGTGCTTTGGTTTTGCTTTACGTCTCGCTTTGCTCTCCAGGGAACAGTGTATCTTTTTGATCTTAGCGCAAGTTTAAAGAAAATGGAAGGAAACTTGAATATAGGTTTGCGTGGAATTCCAGATTGATCGAAAGTTTGTCTTACTTCCTGTTTCAATCAAGGTCATGAGACGATATGGATGTGGCGTCATAATCAGGATGTATTGGGGAACTCCTAAGATCCCCGAGAGTGCTCTGGCCAACGCCAGTGCAGAATCCTTGTACCCCAGACCTGCAAGGGGGTTACAGACTCGCTGTGCCAGGGCCCAGCCTGGGGGTGTTCCAAGGGTATGTTCTGGTAAGAACCATAACAGAACGATCGGGCGGTTAGCCGGCACAGCAAACCTGTTAGTCAATGGATGATTGAATATCCAATGGACGACGGCCAACCATAGGCCGAACGGGCCCCTTATCAGCATGCCGACAGCTTATCTCGGCGAAACCCCACATCAACATCCGGCCTTCGCCTTTGTTGCGCTTCATTTATAAAAATCCTCCCCCGGAATCCCTTCGTGTAAGCCCCGGCTTTTTTAACCTCCAGCGAAGGCCATTGTAAAGAGACTGTACCTTAAAACATCCAATCAGCGTGATAATTGATCTCGCGCTTCCTTCTCTCCATCATATTCCTAATCGATTACTTTTTCTTCTTATTTTTCTCTGTGTCATCCACTTGACGAACATTGATTGGTCAACCGAGTCCCGATCGCCTTCCTCACAGCGTCGGTGATTCGCAGGCCAAGAGGCAATCTTGTGCTCCGCTTTCTGACTACTGTCAGCCAGAATGCACCTCATTCCCAAGGAGGTGCGTATGAACAGGGATTTTTCGAAGATCGAGATCTATACCACTTACTTACTAATCCTGTCTGTTTGGTAGCTCGATAAACTTGCGATCTCGCAATTGGGATTTTTGGCCCAGCGGCGTCTCGCACGTGGTGTGCGGCTCAACCATGCAGAAGCAGCGGTATGTCACTCTGAATACCTTTTCGTGGGCTCAAAGAAAAATTAATCTCTTTTTTCCTATCTGGTTCACTGTTTGTGTCTTACAAATTTCAACTAACCAGCAAAATACCTTCGCTTAGGCCTTAATATCGTCGAACTTGCAGGAACTGATCCGCGATGGCCTCTATTCGGTGGCTGATCTCATGTCCATCGGTAAGACTATGCTAGGTCGCCGTCATGTTTTACCCTCCGTAGTATCGACACTCGTGGAACTACAAGTTGAAGGCACGTTCCCTACTGGCACATACCTCGTAACGGTCCACCACCCCATTAGCAGCGACGAAGGAGACTTGGAGAAGGCACTATATGGAAGTTTCCTTCCGATACCGCCCACGGATGCCTTCCCTGATCCCGATCCGGATGACTACGAGCTGGAAAAGATGCCGGGAGCTATTATACCCGTCAAGAATGAACGCATTACATTGAACGAGGGGCGGAGGAGAATCCGACTCAAGGTTATGAGCAAAGGCGATCGGCCGATCCAGGTGGGTGCTCGTTACTGTCTTGTTGAACGAACACTACTCATATCATGGATGTGTAGGTTGGGTCTCATTACCATTTCATTGAAGTGAACCCCCAGTTGCATTTTGATCGCCTTCGTTCGTATGGCTATCGCCTGGACATTCCCGCCGGAACATCCGTACGATTTGAGCCCGGAGACACCAAGACCGTGACTCTTGTTGAAATTGCCGGCAATCAGATTATCAAGGGAGGTAATTTTATTGCCTCGGGTAAGGTTGACCTTAGTAGAGCGGAGGACATCATGCTTCGTCTGCAGGCCGACGGGTTCGCTCATATCGCTGAACCCACTGTGGATAGTGCGCTCGTTAGTGCGTTCACAATGGACCGAGAGGCCTATGCCCGGATGTTTGGGCCTACCACTGGCGACTTGGTTCGTTTAGGAATGACGAATTTGTGGATCAGAGTCGAGAAGGATTATACATCGTACGGTGATGAGTGCAGCTTTGGCGGAGGCAAGAGTCTTCGGGAAGGAATGGGGCAGTCGTCGGAGAAATCCCACCAACACTGCTTGGACACAGTCATCACAAATGCGCTGATTATCGACTGGAGCGGTATCTACAAAGCGGATATCGGCATCAAAAACGGTGTAATTGTTGGAATTGGCAAGGCTGGAAATCCCGATGTTATGAACGGAGTACACCCAGACATGGTTATCGGTGCCTCTACAGACGTGGTCGCTGGTGAGAACAAGATTATAACCGCTGGAGGGTTCGACACACATATTCATTTCATCTGTCCCCAACAGGTAGATGAAGCGGTGGCTTCTGGAATCACAACATTCTTGGGAGGAGGAACTGGTCCTTCAACAGGGTCAAACGCGACCACTTGCACCCCAGGACCTACACATATGCGCCAAATGATCCAAGCATGCGATCACCTTCCCATCAACGTCGGTATCACTGGTAAAGGAAACGATAGTGGTGGACTCAGCATTGAAGAGCAGATCCTGGCCGGAGCTGCGGGGTTGAAGTTGCATGAAGACTGGGGCTCGACTCCTGCAGCCATCGATACTTGCCTGGATATGTGTGATAAATACGATGTGCAGTGCATGATTCACACTGATACTCTAAATGAATCTGGCTTTGTGGAACAAACGATCGCGGCCTTCAAAAACCGCACGATTCACACCTATCACACCGAAGGGGCTGGCGGTGGCCATGCTCCTGACATTATCTCTGTGGTTGAGCATGCGAACGTGCTTCCCAGCAGCACAAACCCTACTCGTCCGTTCACAATGAACACTCTGGATGAACATCTCGATATGTTAATGGTGTGCCATCACTTATCCAAGAACATTGCCGAGGATGTTGCGTTTGCAGAGAGCCGTATCCGTGCCGAGACTATCGCCGCCGAGGATGTTCTCCATGATCTCGGAGCCATCAGTATGATGTCCTCAGACTCCCAAGCCATGGGCCGATGCGGTGAAGTGATCCTACGGACATGGAACACAGCGCATAAGAACAAGGAGCAACGCGGCCCGCTGAAGGAGGACGAAGGCACAGGTGCAGACAACTTCCGAGTCAAGAGATATATCAGTAAATACACCATCAACCCTGCAATTGCCCAAGGCATGGCCCACATGATTGGCAGCGTGGAGGTTGGCAAGATTGCCGATTTGGTGATCTGGCATCCCAGTTCTTTCGGAACCAAGCCTGCCCAAATCATGAAGAGCGGAATGATTGTGGCCGCGCAGATGGTATGTATAAATATTCTTCCCTTTACATCTAGAAGACACTAATCTTCTGGCCAGGGTGATCCAAATGGCTCCATCCCTACCATCCAGCCGGTCATCATGCGTCCCATGTTCGGAGTAAGCTCCCATCATCTTTATCACCACCCTAGAAACTTTCCTAACCTTAATATCACAGGCCTATGTCCCTAGCACCTCAATTATGTTCGTCTCACAAGCCTCCATCGATGCCGGCATCGTACAGTCCTACGGAATCAAGAAGCGTATCGAAGCCGTCAAAAACTGCCGCAACATCGGCAAACCTGACATGAAATACAATGACGTTATGCCCAAGATGCGAGTAGACCCAGAAAGCTACACTGTCGAAGCGGACGGTCAGCTTTGCGATGCCCAACCCGCGACCAGTTTACCGCTTACTCAAGACTTTTTCGTTTATTAGATTATAAGCTTTTCTTTTTCTTTTTCTTTTTCAATTTTTTTCTCTTTTCTCTTTCTCTGATTTCGTTTGGTTCCTAGTCATGTTGAGATACCTAACCTGTATGCGTTCGTGTGTTTAGCACATTTTCATTCTTAACTTTCTCGCTGCATAGATTAGGGTAATAGGTTGGTTATTTCCTTTGCATTTCGGAGCTGTATGCATAGTATAATGAGTTATGAATATGTGCCATGATATATCCATTGTGTTGTTTCTTTTTGGGTTTTTTTCTATTTATCAATAATTTAACGTCTCCTACGATCATATGTATACATTATCAAGCGCTTATATAGTACGCTGGCGATCATGTCTTGATTAAATCGAGGTATTAATAAAATCACAACTCGATCTCCTCTTCCGTATGATTATCACCTGCAGAAACAAGTCCCATCGACGCCCAAGCCTCATAACTATCCGCCTTAGCAGCTCGATATGCCGCTCTCCGTACTCGAGATGAACTGCTACTTCGCTTTAGAAGACTGGGTGTCTGGGTAGTACCATAAGGTTGTGACTGTTCTCGAGCCACAACCTGGCCGTCTAGTGTGCAGTCAAACCCTATATCGCTGCTTGGCTCTAATTGGTGCTCTTGGGAAGCGAAGGCAGAGGAGGAAATAGAGAGCGCGTGGCTGAGTTGACTATCGGGGGCTGGATCTGGCTCTTCGATATCGTTGCCTGTGAGATCTACGTCCATGTTGGCTTCATCGTCTGAATGCTCGATAAAGCGGCACGATGTCCCTTCTTCGGTAGACAATGAGGAGGGGAGGGATCCAAGGTGGAAGGGATTTTCTGCAGAGCGAGCATTGTTTAGGAAGTGCCACGCTTGGCGGATCTCGTTCCGTCTAGCTTGTTCTGCCTCTCGGGTTGATATTGGGATGGGAAGTGGTTCGCCGACGGCTTGGTTGCTTTCTCCGGTAGTTGCTGGGGATGGTGGGAAGTGGATTCTCTCTGAGGGCGAATGTGGGGATGACGACGTTGTTGGTCTGCTGGGCTGGGTTTCTGGGTGATCTAGGTGTCTTCTTTGTGAACCTGTGCTATTTCCGGGGTTGCTGGTGAAATTCATTATAGCTCTGGGTATACTATCGAGCTTGCTGGATGATCGTTGGCTTGATTGTGACAAGGATTCTTCGTAGGGCGTTCGTTTCTTCCCACGAAGTTCATCGTCCGTATCTAGCATGTCCCGCATGTGTTGGTCGTGGGCAAACTCTGTACCGGAACAAAGATGTCCGAAGAGACTCTGCATAGAGACGTCCTCGTCCCAGGATAATGCGTCCACTGTGCAAGGGTATATGTCTTTTGGTTTGAATGCGGAGACCAGCTCGCACAATTCTGCATAGGATGAGTGGCGCGAATACGAAAAGTGCTACAGTATGTTAGTGCGTATCAGACATAGTTGATGCAGGAGCACGTACAATGGTTCTTGGAAGCTGATTTTCCGACTTGTCTCGTGGTCCTGCTGGCCCTTGGTTGTTCTCCGACCAACCTTTGTCATAGAAACGACCCCGACTGAGGATATTCACTAGTTTCTCCAGCGGTATGTCTTTATCACCCTCCATCCCATAGCTATCAAGCGGGAGTACCTTGGTCTTAGACTTGAAAGCTTGGATGAGCGCCTCCCGCGTTTCTGAGAGCGTCTGGGGATCGTAAATCCGCTCTAGACAAAGTTTCTCCAGCCGTTCTAGTACAGACTCGTCTGGGATTTCGAGCTCATGAATTTGATACAGATCGCCTATTCCACCTCCAGCACCAACTTCGGGTAGTGTCGAACCATCTCTCGCTCGACTAACTATCGGGACAATGTAAACGGGATTCTTTGAAGGTATTGCTGAGCACTGTACGCCTGGTTCACAGCTATGAATGCGACAATCTTCGTCTTCGCTCAGACAGCCAGGAACAAATCGATTCCCGAGTTCAAAGCCACAGAGAGCAGATGCTTCGCCGACAAGTGTCTGAGCGGAAACGAGTGACCTATATAGGCCCAGTTGATACCGATCCACATGAACCTATTTCATCAACTTAGCATCATGGGAAGTGAAAAAGAAAAGGAAAAGCGATGTATACCTTCGAGTTGAGTGCGGCGGAAAGTGCCATCCAAACTTCCTCATATCCAAAAGTCCATGCCCGGAAGTAGAACGTAGTGCCCTCTGGGTAGGTGGCCACTTTCTGCAAAAGCTCCGCCAGGCCGTCTGCTTTAGACGGGAATGTACGATATACGGACGAGTGACGGGCAAATGTACTATCGAGATAGATCTTGTCCAATCGCTTACTACCCAGTGTGTAGGGGATGAGCACTGGATGCCGGACAAGGCTGTTAACCCACCAAGTTTCCGCTGTCCTTTGTCAGAGCTGGGATTCATTGAGTAGAGCGCCGTATAAATTCACGTACCACGAATATCGCCGGTGTAGAGGATAGATTTTCCATGACCTTCGATGAGGAACATCACTGCACCTGTACAGTGATTAGCATCCAGAAGGGTGACTCTGATAGAAAGCCGAGGGGTAAGTTCGATTTGCGTCGGCGTGTTTAGAGGAATTGGCCGCTATGTTAGGTTAGTAGGGTTGAAGGAAACTAGCTATGGGAGACGAATGACCAGAAGTTTGGATAAATGTTTGTAATGCAGCCTTCGAGATTCCAGGATCCCTTTGCTGAAATTCATGCGATGAGGATATTTCTCGATACGCAAGAGCAGCTAAAAATGAGTTTAGCACACTAACTTATGGTATGAATAGGGCGGCATTGGATCAGCACCTCTCTAGTAGCTGCCGAACAGTAGATGAAAGGAGCCCGGAAGGACTCCAAACCCTGGAGATGGTCACTATGGACATGACTGAGGAAGCCCGCCAGTGGGGGAGGTCGATCTGGATTCCTGCGGAAATAATCGACTTTATCTCTTAGCCGCTGTTGATTGGGTTTTTTTTCCTCTTCTTACGTAGCTGGCTCACTTTGAATGTAGGGAAATTCTGCCCGAGTATTAGTGTCTCTAGAACTGGAGCGATTTAAATATTCACGGAATACCTTGAATTATTCCATCAAAGGTCGACATTGGGGGTATTCCGAAAGTATAAAAGTATTCATTATACTAGTTGTATGTAGATAAAATGAGGGAATCTTCCGATAAGGAAGCTGATGCAGATGATAAGGGTAGGGTGTGTGTCCTAAGGTGTCAAGGCGGGAGGAGAATTGGGCCATGTAATAACACACGTGCGGGAATGTCCCCCAATGGGGTAATAAAATTCTTAGGCAGTCTTGGGAGATTTTCTATCTTACCGCTTGTTTAATTGGTTTTTTTCTCCTGCTGAACCAATAAGAGGATAGACAGCATCATGATTCATGGAACTACTTAAATGTCCTTATCCATCCACTTGGTCAACTAATCGAAGCGGTGACTTAGTAATAACAAGACCAGACTGACATGTTTTTCTTAAACCAGCAGCAACAACTAATGTCTAGACCTTTTTCTATCAATAGCGTCCTCCTCCCCTTTAAGTTGCCTCTCCCGCGCGCCCCCCCCCCCCCCCCAGCACCTACAGTACATGGGTCCCTGCCTGAGACCTAGACCACCGGAGTCGGATCGTCGACCAAGTGGCCTTGCAGGCGACAAGCGTGAGGCGAGTGGATGAGCGACCCGCTCGCCAACGCAGTCTTCTTGGATGGAGAAGCAGCATTCTGTTGTCCCGAGATTAAAGTTGGCTAACTCACTCACAGTTACTAGTCAGCGATACTCCACGCAGTTGTTCCTTATGCGCTGTTCCACGCATGCATGATGTTGTTGTCAGCAGACATCAAGATTGTTCATTACCAGAAGAGAATTCAATTCCCATATAAAATAGACTCCTCTGCTCCTTTTTTCCCCTCTTCCCGTTTCTTCTAATTTGTCTTCCACGGTTTCGACAATTTATTTACCGTAGTTATAATCATTATCCTCCTCGATTGCCCTCTTTCCCTCCATTATGGGTATTTCTGTCTTCTAAAATCCAGGAGACGGAGATTTTTCGCTTTGGGCTGCGACTCGTGCCTGAGGCCAAAGCTTCAGTTTCATATTATTTCAGTTTCTGTCTAGGGGTTGGCAAGTGAATGAACCAAAAAAATAAAAGAAAAAAAAGGACGGTTCAAGAGAGTGACGGGACAGAAGGGATAACCTTACCTATTCATCATCATTCCCGACCAATCCATGTGCAATAACTATTGACACATCACCACCACTACTGCACTGTTGGATGCGCTGGACATACGCCCATTGATCTCTCCGTTTGTTCATTGGAGGCTCCCGCATTTGTCGTTTCCGATTTGAAGTTCTCCTGACGACGCCATCAGCCACCTGAAACCCTAGTGAGATCTGGAATTTCTAGATCGCGATTAGTCCGTCATTTTCCTACTATTGAATTGGTGATCTCCGTACTCTCGCTCCCCTTCCGCAAACAGGGCAGTGAGGAATTTGGAATCTCTTACTTCATTTCACACTTGCCCTTCCCGGTTCTATTTGTTTTCTCCTAAACCTAGCAGGCTCTCCCTCTTGGTCCCTGTCCAACTCTTTTCCTTTTGTTTCCCCCCTCTTCTCCCCCAACCTCACTTCTCACTTTTACTTTTCTTGTTCGACTTATCAATCCTTTAAGCCGTGTTACTCCATCCGATCCCCTATCTTCAACTACTTCTCCAACCTTGATCGCTATCAGACATTTGAGACAGTTCAACCATCACCTACTTCTATCACATACGCTACATCCGCATACAGTCGGACGGGTCGCCCACCATGCATAAACCCTCTTTGGCTCAGATTGTGCATAACGCAACCTTTCCGCGCCCGCGTACGAGCGATCCGGCGACTTTCTCCGCTCACATCACCCGTAACCTGGTCCCCGAAGTTCGGATTGAGACTTCCACCTTCTATGGATCGCTCGACACTGTGGAAGCTCAATACCCTGGCCTCGATTATTCGTACGGTCCGCATCGCATGAGGCTTAGTCGCTTCCCGTGGCATCGCCGGCTATTCAGGGTCTTCGACGACCTCGGTTTAACAGAGGCCGAGATATCCTCGCTGTGCCGCTGGGAGGGTACCAAATCGGCACGCCAGCGTTACGAGAAAGAAGAGGGCGTTAAGGTACAAGACACGACCGCCAATGGGGTCCGACCAGCGTCGCCATCCCCGCTGCCTTCTGTGGAAGTTCATTTCGACGATGGTCCGGAACGGGTCAGAGAACCAGAGCTCCAGGTCGAAACGCGCGAGCACTTCATCCCTGTGAATGATGCCATTGATGACCGCGGTGTGGACTGTGTTCTACCACAGAAGGTTGAGGATGACTCAAGCGATGATGAAATGGAGAGCTGTGGCGTGGAACTGAACCATCGTCTTCTTGCAGCAAGTGCCGCCCGCGAACAAGGCGCCAATGTTCCCCTGGATGAGGACTGGGAGCAGTGGCTGAAGGAAGCTGGCGAGCGGGGAAGCTACGCAGATGTAATCAATGCAATCCGGAGGGGGCAACCATTGGATTTCTTGTATGAGATGCCATATCTTGGTAGGACAGGTGCTAGACGGTCCGTGTCGCTCTCCGAACGAATCATTCTTTCACCGACGTCCAGTATGCTTGCGCCGAGCGCTTCTATTCGACGCCCCTCCCATACTCCGTCAGGGGCAGCGCGATAAGACCCCATACAGAATGATGCTCGGTTTGATTCCTTTCTTCGTGTCTCCTTGCGGTTTCCCAGGTTTTAGCAGGCAGGCATATGTCCTATCTAGGTGCATTTACGGCGCATCAGCGGCGGTCTCATACTCTCTCTCTTCATCTGCCCGGGGGCGTAATACTCTATTCGATCATTACTATGGACCGCGATTATGTTCTTTCTCTCACTACCCCCGACCGCTGATTGTTATAGATTTCTTTGCGTTTAGCCCTCCCGTCGATTCCTCTAATACCCCTCCTGTCTATGTCGATCTTGTTTGAGCATTGCATAAAATGGCCATTGGTGTTTTTTACTTTACGAAGGCACTTCGCCGAGATGCATTCCTAATCGCCGTAGTATTTTACCTGCAAAATTTCTGTTGCATCCTATCTTTCTCCGGTCATTCGATCTCATCATGAACCTCTTCCCCGATTGTGCTCGCATGCGGAACTACTTCGGTACGATATCCTGGCCCTATCTTAGAAATGCTAAAGTTATTCATAGGGCGCGGTTCATTAGCGGCAGCATACCGATCGACTCCATTTGTAGTGGTATTGTGTACTATTTGGACTAATAATTAGCCAACGAAACTTGTTCCTAGTCTGGTCATCCCTTAGTCCTAGAACGCGTGAGGAAATTTTCGCTATCGTATCTATGTGTGAAATTCAATTCCCCGTAACGGGTGTGAGAGCGTTAGGTATTTTTGTCACGGGGGCATTGGAGCTTCAACGCAGTCTCCACTTTTAAAAGCTCCCCGCGATCTTCCCTCTCCACTCCCTCCCGGACACCACAATTATCAGTGCTGTTCTGATTTCCTTTCGCCGGTAACAAAGTATGCGCCTTTGTTATGGGGCAATCACATTCCTAAGATGATGTCCTGGGGTTTTCTATAGCATTTGCTAACTCTCCCTTCCACTCATCCCTCCTACATCCACCATGATCAAAGCGATCTTCTACAGTAAATTCGACACCCAGGAGGGTAAGCCAATCGTTCAAACTCGCTAGACGCTCAGACAAGGGAGCAAGTTAACCATTACTTCTTTTTAGGGCCCAAGGTCGTCCATCAGGTCCCAGATGGCGCCATTGTTCCCTCCGCGGCCGCCCCGTCACAACATCTCTTCCTGACTTTCTCCGACATCTCATTCTTCGTGATCCCCCGTCAAGAGCTATGCGGAAACTTGATGCAGGTCTGTACTAATGGGTACCGGATCCTTGGATACCCAATCTGCATGAAGTCGCCTCGCTATGACCGCAACGAATTCATCTTTAATTTTTGTCTGGTGCTAGCGGAGGAAGAAGACTTCAGCACGTACAAGAGCGTGGTCCAGAAACTTGCAGATTTGATGCATGGGTTAGAAGAGCAAGGCCAATTCTTGTCCCGGGATCACTCCAAGAGTGGAGAGGGAAAGGTTTATAGCTTGTGTGAGACATTGATGGAGGATTTAAACAATTACTGCGAATGCATGATTCCCATCGGTATGCACCATTCTACACCCATCTAGGGAGAAAGGGGAAAGAAGGATCAATTGCTAACTCGAGTAACGCAGATGAGTTGAACACCTTAAATATTAAGCTATTTCCCGTCTATCCGGTTCCTCCGGCTGTCAAAGCATGGCACGTTCCACTATTTACTGTCCGATATCAAGCATTTATGGATGAGAATTGGGATCTGACTATGCAGCGGGTATATTTCCAGACGCATATTATAGCCCCCGTGCAGTGCTGACAGGATGCTAGATCGTCCCTCACATCAACGGCGTTAATAGCATCCGGATAATTTCCATCCTCGCCGATACAGACTTCTCTCTCACTTGCCGTGCAATCCGCCACTTGCTCTACTACGACTGTCTCTTCCTCCTCGACATATTTTCCTTCTCATCCATTTATGCTCCCACAGCTCAATTCAGTACGACAATTGCCTCGGACGAGAATATGCAACGAGAATGTGCTCGCTACGTCAACACTCTCTTCGCATCGCCTGCTGCCGCATCAACCCTCACGAATTCTACCCGAACCTATAACCCAGACGCTGTGTGGCCGCCACTCGGTGAACCCGTCACAGGCACTTCTACCAGCGTCGATATAGCAAGCAGCAATGGCAGTGTCAGCCCCAGGAGCCCTAGTCCAGTCCCTACCATTACAGCCCCAGGTAGCACAGCAACGACAGCTGAAGACCAGCCGGAAAGGGAGGTCGTTGACGGAGTCGGACTAGTCGAGCTCTACGCCAGCCTCAAGCAAGGCCAGAGTATCAAGCAATGGTACATGCACCATAGCCGACAGCTAGCCTACATTGACATTCGCCGGTTCATCACCTTCGGCATCATCAAAGGCTTCCTTTACCGCGTGCACAAATACGCCTACGCGACAGGATTTCCTGCTCCGCCCTTGAAGTCACATCATCACCATCATCATTATCACCACGGTCACACAAACAGTGGCCAGTCATCCAGAGGGCCCGGAACAGGGACAAATAGTCCATATGCATCGAGTGTAGGCGACGACCCTGCGCCCATCGCCACGCACCCGCATGATGGACCTTCCACCTCTGCGTACAGCGGAAGTCGGCCCGGAACGCTGATTGAAGATGAGGATGACGATGATTATATCGATGAAAAGACCTTGTCAAAGTACCTGGATGGGATGCACTCTTTTGATCAGATCTGCACCGAGCTGGAAATCAGTGAGAAGGAGTTGACCACTAGATTAAAACGATACCCGGGAGAGGTGTTGATCATACACCGGTGACCTTTACTCTCTGATCAAACTCGCATCACTATTTCATTACCCATTTCTTTACCAAGTATTTAATGATACCCAATAAATAAAGGCAATAGACTGGTAAAAATTCTTGATCTCGTGACTAATGATAGCTTTGCGGCCGAATTATATGCCCGCTCTCTAGTGTAAACCCCAACGCCAAACACACAAAACCTCCATGATCGACGCTCAAAACAAACCTACGACCTCAACCATACCCAATCTCCAGTTCAAATCAACATTGTAGAGCTAACATGAACGGAGAAAGAAACAAAACACAAAAGATGGAGTGAAAGGAAAAATGCATATACACGAAGGTAGAAAAAAAAAAGACCTATTACATGAAACGTTCGTATGGGGAGGGAAACGAGGATCGATCACTCCTGTTCCTCATCCCAGCCTTCAAGTTCTGCTTTCTCATACTCGGCCATGACTGACGTGTCAAAGACCGATTCGTTTATCCCCGGTACGGAAGTCTTGCAATCCTTGAAAATCGGCCCGATGCAATCACGCCAACGCTTGCGTCGGTCCATGAGAGTTCGAGCAACGTCCCCGATAGCGGGACGGCCCACACCAGCGGCACTGACGACGTGGCTGCCACCGCCAGCTCCTCCTGGCCTATGCTTAGCCTGGGAGCCTTTCTTGCTCTTGCCCAATGTCCGGGTCCGCTTGAGGTAGGCCTGTTGTACCTGCGAGTCAAGGTCGTCGTGGATGGTCATGTACTCCTGGTATGCCATGCGCTCACGAGCGATTTCCAAAAGCCTCGCTTTTCGGGCACTGTTGACGATCATTTGCTTCTTTAGTTCGCTCTGGAGGAGACGGAGTCGTTGCGCGATGTCATCGTCATAATGTGCATCGTAATCGGGGTTGTCGTCAGGGCCAAGGAAGCCCACGTGACGAAGTTCGGCTTTGAGGCGCTCGTCAAGTTGGGCGTGGTCTAGCTTAGCGGCAGGCACCTTGAAGCCGCTTGGTGAAGCGTCCGGGAACGATGTTGCGGAAGCTTGGGGTTTGCTCTCTGAGTCGCCAACTGGGTGGTCGAGTTCCATTGCGTCACCGAGTGAAGAAGAGCTGTTGGGCAATTCCCCGTTGACCGTTCCGTTGGCGCCAGGATTTTCATCGTGGGGAGCACGGTGCTCATATCGCAATAGAGAGTAAAGGCGGCTAACCAATGGACCAACAGACACCTTATCTGTCTCAATAGTTTCGTCCGTCACCTGGTCAATGTTCCCGCGTCCCTGGTTTAGAGGCAGACGTTCCCGGTTGCCATTTGTTTGGTCGACATTCATCAATCCATCCTCCTCAGCCCATGTCTCACTATAATGCTTCTTCCCACGCCGTGGCATGATAAATGGAGTTGCTCGATCACCCTGTACGAGTCAGTCAGGGGCACATTTGGTATCAACTAAGGTAACAAACCTTCTCTTTGAGAAAAGCAATATCCTCCTCCATTAATGGACGGACGTAGGCATCGACATAGGCTAGGAATGTATTCGCGCTGACCTGGTTCGTAGGCTTGGAATTGCTAAAATCGCGATCTGGAGCTATCCCAGCCATCATATGACTGAGATCGCTAGATGGGAAACGAGTAACGCTGTAAATCTCCTTCTTATCTTCATCGGTCATATCCGGTGTGACATCACGTATGTGGTATATAGTCGGATCGTCGAATTTTACAGGGTTGGGTCCGAATACTTGGATTTGAGGTATAGCTGGAGCAGGTTCGGGCTGATGCGAGTCTGAGCTATCATCCGACATCGGTGATCCAGGAGCTTGCGATGATTCCTTGGCAACGTTGTTTTGAGGAGAGTTAGGTTCTGGGGGAGACAAGGACGAGGTGCTCTTTGACTTTTTAGACACAGGAGATGCGGCTAGAGCAGTTAGAAGTTAGCTTGTGGTGCTATTTCGGGGAGACAGGAACTGTGATTGTCACAAAGCAGTGCCAAAAGATGGGGAGTCGGTCTGTGAGTGACAATACTGAACTGCGGTAAAAGTGAATTTGATGAGTATCAACCTACCACCCTCCACTTTGGTTTCGGCACCATCTTGGCGAGAAAGTTCGTGAGCACCGTGGGCTAACGGGCGATCCTCCTTTGAACTGCTGCCCCGTTCTTTGCGCTTCTTCAATTTCCCTCCCTTAAGAGCTTTCGAGTCATCTTCCTCATCTTCCGCCTCACGTTTCATCTTCGGACGGTCGCCATCGTATTCAGGCTCCTCCACCACTTGTTTTCGCTTTTGAGATAGCTCTCTAATGCCAGCGTCGCATGCATCGCAGCGAGCTTCTGCCAGCTGGCTGAGAGTCTTCAAATGTTCCATCAATGTCTCGAGAGACTTCGAGTCGGGAATGGGACCAACCCCTCCCATTCGATCCAAGAGCTCTCCATATTGCGCGGTCACCGGTACGAGCAGTTTCGAGACATCATTGTCGAGGTAGCTGGACACTGGGGCAGCGGTTGGGGCACTGAAACTGGAACTGGGCGTGGTGTTTCGGCTTCGGGAGGGGCGCGCTTCACGGCCTTTGCCTTTTCCTTTATTTGCTGACGGCATTTGGGATGAAAAGTCTCTGGGAAAGCGACCGGGTTTGCGACTAGGCTCTGTGTAGTTGTACTTTTGTTTTGGATAGCTTTAATATCCCATGTTAGGTGTTTCCTTTACGGGCTTTGGTTGTATTGTTCACTCGAGGTGTATTGTGCGATAAAAAGCACTTGGGTAGTTGGTCACTGTTCATTCAGGCTAGCCTTATCATAGGCTATGACTGTTCTCTCCAGAGCTCTATTATCATCGGGATATCACGATGTTTCCCCAGGCTTGGCACGTGAGGTCACATGGTTTCACGTGATGAGATAATGGCCCAGGACGATCAATCGATCGCCAAATATAGCAAGTGGAGCCCATCGCCCTTTCAAAGTGAACTGCAATTCACTATGAATTCAACGTATATAGTGCTACCATATCAATGCTTGTCCTGTGACCAAGAGATGTTCCAGACTCCAGCCATCCTCCTATGAGCATTATGGGTATAAATTTGAAGTAGTCCCGTTCGCAAACTAAGCCACGGTTAATGCAAATCAGGTGGCTTAGCCTGCCCTATGCCCTTTGCTAGGGATGTACATACATGCTAACATACATACATACTACATAGATGGCCGCATTCTTATCTATACGAGATGGATCTCTTCACTGGCTCATTTCAGGTGGCGAAATGCATTGCTTCCATTTTTCTTTCCTCTTTTCCTTTTCCCCCCTTTTTCTGTGGATTATGTGAATGCTCGTCACACTGGCGGCGGAGATATCCGAAAACGTCATGCAGTTCAACTGCGAACGGCAACTGGAAGACCAGGAAAGGGCTGAATTCGAAGGGCGAATCAAAACAATACCAGAACAGGGCGAAAATTTTTTTTTCTCTTTGGCGCAGCCACCTTTATCGGAAGGCACCCAGGCAGTGCAGCGATCCTCAGGTCCATCCATGCGGCCTGTCTCAAACATTCCTTTTGAATTCATCGAAGTGATCCTTAGGTACATTCTTCCTGATTCAGCCGCTGCGCTTTAGGATCTGTCTCGACCGCGCCATTTAATCAAGATGTCCTGTTTATTTCAGCTCTGAGGCTCCAGTTTACTTCGTTGTGAAGCAGTTTTTGATGCCTCACCATGTACATGATCTACATGACTGTCACTTTCGAAAACGCTGTGCTATTATCTTCTATACCGTTATTTGGAGCCAAATCTAGCTGCCCCAGTATATGCAAGAAGTGAAACCTAAAGATGTCTCCGCCCGCTGCTGCAGCAAAATCGCTCACTACAGCTGCCACACTTTTTGCCGGGGCGACAAATACTACTCCATCAACCAATGTAGGTCTCTATGAGCCTCGCATGTTATCTAATAGTGGAATCTCACAATAAACCACAGGACAGCGCGACCTTCCATTTTGTCGTGGATGGTGCGGTCCAAACATTGTCTACCCAAAATGCTCCAGGAAATGCCCCAATCCGAGGGCTCTTGTTCGTTCCTAGTCTCGACGCTGAGAATTCGTGCAACAATCTTACCGCTCCGCTCATACCCACCAATGTCACCCGATATTCCGACGTGGAGCGATTTCGATTTCCTACTATTGGTCTTGCGCCGTGGGTGACCGCCGAGTGTGCGCAGTCGTTCCTAGACGCCTCGCAGCGCGCCGGTTCCGATGCGCTGGTGTTCTTCTTGCCTGCAAGCAATAACAGTAAACCGCCACCAGCCGAAGACCCGACATGGTCATTGAGTAACGGTGGGGATTGGAAGAGTCGAAATATCCTCCCCGTGTACGCCATCCCTGGTCCGGCGGGTGTGACCTTGATGCATCAGCTGGCGTGGTATTCGGGAAACACAAGCCATGCGCACAATGGCCACAATGAATCCGCATCCATGCCAGGTGAACCTGACATCCGGCTGTTTAGTCTCATTGATTTTGGTACGACTATGAATTCCAAATCATTCTTATTCGTGACAGATTCTAACAAATGGTCTCTAGAGAGGGGTCAAAATAAGATGCCTAGCCTCTGGGGATTCATCCTTGCCATCCTAGGTACAATCTTGGTTCTCAGCATGATTGTTCTACTTTGTTACCAGCTCGTACAGAAGAGACGTCGGGAGAGTCTGCAGCGTAGAATCGAATCTGGAGAAGTGGACATGGAAATGCTGGGTCTCCATCTAATGAAAGTCCCACGGGAGGTTCTGGACACATTACCTATCTACACATATCCGGATTGGGGCGCATTGAGCGATATTTCCGAGGCAAACGACAAGAGCTGCTTGCGATCCGACGAGACTCATGAAGTCGAAGCCAAAGACGAAGGAACGAACTCAAGTCCAGATACTCCCACGGACGTTAAAGCAGAGGACACAATAGAAGATTCTGGAAAAGAAGAGTCGGGAGACAGAGAATTGTCAACCCAAGCCGACATCATCGCCCCCGGCACACCATCTTCCCAATCTCAATCGTCAATCAGTACCTGCACAAAAGACACTCCTCCTAAGCTAAAGAGACTAAGTCACTCGCAAACCACATGCGCAATCTGTCTAGACGACTTCATTCCACATGTCTCTACCATCCGCGAACTAACATGTGGTCATATTTTCCACGTCGAGTGCATCGACGCATCTCTGTCACTGAATAGCTGCCTGTGCCCGATGTGCAAGAAAAGTGTTCTGCCGCCAGGATATTATCCGGTGCCTATCACCAACCGAGTAGTTCATCGCGATTACATGATACGGAGGACGGTTTAAGTTGGGATTTTCTGAGGATTTAACTTGTGGTTGCATTCGATGGAAATTGTTTTATGATACCCGATATGATTTGTATTTACTCTTTTAGGCCATACGTAAAAAGTTTTGGCTATTAGTTTAGGTTATGTGTACGATATTCTTTCCTGTCCTTTTCTTGCCTTTTAAGGAATTAAAAGATGAATTCCAAATTATGAGCAATTTCCGCATCATCCTTTTTTCAATAGACTCTGTGTTGTATGTAGTACAAGTGAATATAACTCGGCGGAATATGTCATTTGAACCGACTGATACTACGATGTGCTGCACACGGAATACCATTGTAACAGTCTACCCCAAGAACGACATTGCCAATAGAATCTAAATAGACCAAACAGCGCCAAAAGAAAAAATACAATTAAAAAAATTCCCATACCCAAATTCAAAACCAATGGACAACACAACAACATACGTCACTGCAAACCGGTAATCGATAACCACGCTTATCGATAAGATAAAAGAAAACCACCAATTAACTAACCTTATCCACCCAAAATTCAACCATTCTCCAACACTCCAACTCCAAGCACCACAACCTCCCCCCAAAACAAAAAAATGGTCAAACCCCTAACCTTCAAAGGCGACAAGCCCAAGAAACCTAAAAAACGCAGCACTCCATACCCCACCACTAAACCCCCCAAACAACCCTCCACCTCCGCCTCCGACCCCCAAGAACCGACGACCTCCGACGACCACACCACCGAAGACCAAAGCTGGGTCTCAGCAGACGCGCCCTCCGATATCGCCGGCCCAGTCATCATCGTCCTCCCCTCCGACCCGCCAACCTGCATCGCCAGCGACGCCAATGGCAAGGTTTTCGCGAGCGAGATCGAGAATTTGATCGAGGGGGACGCGGGGACGGCGGAGCCGCATGATGTGCGGCAGGTGTGGGTTGCGACGAGGGTTGCGGGGACGGAAGGGTTTAGTTTTAAGGGGCATCATGGGAGGTATTTTTTCCCCCTTTCCTATCTGGAGAATAGCCCTTGTTTTGGTATTTTTTTCCCCCTTCTTTTGGCGTCCCCTTGAGAAGGAAGGGGGGAGGGTTGGGAGATCGATTTGGTTTGGTATGGGATGGCTGATGGGTGAGACAGATATCTGAGTTGCGACAGTTATGGAATTCCGAGTGCCGCGTCATCGGCTATTTCGCATCAGGAGTCGTTTGTTGTCATTCCATCGGAGATTCCGGGATCGTTTAGTTTGCAAGTAGGTGGGGGGGATAAGGAAGCTTTTCTTACGGTTAAGGAGACGAAGTCGAGTAAGGCGGCTAGTGGGAGTATGATTGAGGTTCGGGGGGATGCGACTGCTCTGTCGTTTGAGACGACTATGAGGATTAGGATGCAGGCGCGGTTTAAGCCGCGGATTCAGGCGAGTAAGGAGACTAAGGCGAAGGAGAAGATTAGTCGGAAGGAGTTGGAGGAGATTGTGGGGAGGAGGTTGAATGAGGATGAGGTGAGGAGGTTGAAGAGGGCGAGGAGGGAGGGTAATTTTCATGAGGAGGTGCTTGATGTTAGGGTTAGGGGGAAGCATGATAAGTTTGCTTGAGTTGATTCCTTTTTCTTTTTGTTCTTTCTCTTTTTATCAAGGTTACTTCCAGGGCTATGTATGTACAATGTGTTTTGAGTTTTCATATGGGGCACCGGGTTTGGATTGCATGGTAGTTGGCTTGTCTATACAACTACATGTATGTACCATTGACTTATCATTAACAAAGTCGGGAGACAAAATCTAGTTGATTTGTTGATAAGTCCCTCTTAACAAATGTCCAAATTTGTGTAGATCGTTGTTTCTTGAAAAAAATTATTTGGGTATACCTCATCAACATTTAATAAGATATGCTTTTTAAACTGTAGGTCGTGATAAAGAAAGAAGAAGTGAAAACAATCATACAGTTGACGTAAGGGTTGACGACTTCAAAACTTGGAATCTTACTTGAAGTCACTATGTGGTAACGTCATGTTTCATGTTACGATCAGTACCTTGGGGGTTGCTCTCAGGGTCCTCAACCCCGAGAACTATATAAGATGGTACATCAATCACATCACATATAATCATTCATTAATCATAACTCAGTGGTATCTATATATACAAGAATCTAGTCAAAAGTAATAGCCGCCTTGATTGCAGACTTGTTCTTCATCGCCTCTAGGCATTGCTCCCACTCATTGATATTGAACACCTTGTTCACGATACCCTTGACCTTTACCTTGCCAGAGTCAAGGTAATCGATGGCAGCAGGGAACTTGTATGTCTCGGAGAAACTTCCGATGATAGTAATCTCATCGCCGACTGGACTCTGTGTTAGTGGTTGTACTGTACACTGCATGGAGAGGAAGTGTTACTTACAGATCTTGCTGGGAGGCCAGGAGACGCGGGCCTCGTTGTTGTACACGCCGTACACGACCAGCTTACCACCGCGGCGAACATAGTTGATGGAGTCCTCCAGGATCTTTACACTGCCAGTGGCTTCGACAACGATGTCGAATCCGTAGGGGTTCTCCTTCTTCAGTTTCTCGAACTGTGCGCTAGGGTCCTGACGGGACAGAGCGACATATTCATCACCAGCATCAAGAGACTTGGCCAGATCCATCTTCAGACCTTCGGGAGCGGCCACGACAACACGGCACGCACCGCACTGGCGGAGCAACTGAGCAAGGATCTGCTGCGTGTTAGACAAATGTGGGACAGAACTTCGGATCTAGTTTGACTTACAAGACCTGTGGGACCAGCACCGAACAGCAAGACGGAAGAGCCCATCTTAGGAGCGATCTTGTCTAGACCATGAGCAGCGCATGAGGCGGGCTCGAGGAGGGTGGCATCGACATCAGAGAGGTTCTTGATCTTGAATACCCTGCCAGCTACCAGAAGTCAGCGATGCCATGACCGTAATTGTCAGGCTCTGTCGCTACTTACCAGGATAAGCGCAGTACTCGGCAAAGCCACCGTTCATAGTAACACCGTGAGCCTCGAAGTGTTCACAAAACAATTCATCTCCACGGCGGCAGTAGAAGCATTCACCACACAGCTCCGAGTTGTCCGCGACGACCCGCTCACCGACTTCGAAGCCCTTGACCTTAGGGCCAACAGCCGCGACGACACCAACAGTTTCGTGACCTGACCACACATATCAGTATGAAGTTACCTCGATGGAACATGGCGATGTGGAGTGGTTGCATACCAGGAACCAAGGGGAACTAAAACATTGTCAGCACAGAGTCCAAGAGCTGGCACGTTCAACAGCACAAAACATACCTTGGCAATGAATTGACCCTCATGGATGTGCAGGTCTGTACCGCAAACACCGCAAGCCTTGACCTTGATCTATAGTAATCTGTCAGCACACGACCATCCTGGATATTTCAGCTACCATGGACAACTGGCACATACCAAGACATCATTGTCACGGAGCTCGGGAAGAGGAACGTCAACAACAGCATGTTGCTCGGGCTTCTCATATCTGATATGGATTAGCGGTTGAACAGTTGGATGAGCAAGAGTCCGGGTAGGCAGTCATTACCGGAGAGCCTTCATGGACTGAGGAAGAGGCATTTTGGATGGGTGATACCTCTAAAAGGAGTCAGCAATTGACTAACTAGTATGCAGTTGGTTGATTGCCAAGGGGAGGGGGTCCTACAAGGATACTGGGGGAGTAGAGATACAGGTAAGTAAGAGAAGTGAGAATGTGATAATTGATTGATAGATTGATCGGAAGATAATGAAGGAAGAAAACAAGCAGGAGAGAAAGAGCGAGGAGAGGGGGTATTTGAATGTGCTGATGGAGGGGAACTGAGGGGAATGAAGTCCGTATGCCGAAGCGTCCTGTCAGGTTCTCCGGTTTGGTCCATACAAGTACCTCTCTTTCTCTACTACTAGTACATGTTACTATACCAGGTTCACAGTGCTCCGGCCAATCCCAGTTGGATCTAGGCCAGTGGGGCCGCATCAGTTGACTTGAACGAGACCGCCTCTAGAGCAACAAAAGGTTGCACCAATCCGTCCTAGCGGTATCTTAGGATTCTCTCCCTTCCGAGTTTACACAAGTCAAAGCATAAATCCAGGTAACAGTACAGTACTGATTGATACCTTCCTACTAATGCAACAAGTTTGTTTCCCTGAGTCTAGTCATTCCCTACTGAACTGGTGGTCGTGTACGTACTACTAGTAGTACGTACAGTACACAATGGAAAAAGAGAAGCCCAAGAGAGAGGACTGAGAAATGACTTCATAGAATCACCCAGAATTGAGACCCACACTTGGTCTAAAATAATTTACATGCGGCAAGCACCACAACACTAGACTCGAGTCATCGTGTGATGACTTCACTGCCCCCCACTTCGCGTCTCGCAAATAACCTCAACATACCCCAAGCAAGGCAATTACGGAAGAGAAGAGGCTCTTCAGGAACCATCCAATCGAGACAGTCAGGTTCCTGAAGGGCCTGGGATGGAACCTGATGTCAGAAACTTTCTTGACCGCAATCGCTGGTATCATTCAATCTATGAGAACGTGAATGGGGTGTACCTTCGGAAATCCAACCGGCCAAAGTTCGCGGCTTGCTCCACTTTTTTTTTCTGACTTGGGTCGGACCTTGCTGTCACTGAACTTCTACGGGAATTATCCCTCACTGTTTTCATGGCCTACGTAGAGGGGGTCAGGTGATACGATACTTTGCAAGCATCGAAATAGTACAGAGTGTGCATGAGGGCTCAATATGTTATCCGGCTTGCTAGCCAAGAAAGAAAGTCTTGAATAGAGCTCGGAGTTCAACCAAAGGTATAGTGTACAGAATCATGCTACCCAGAGCTGATTCCTACCTCTGAGTCTCCCAATTTTTCTTTCAGCAGTCAATGATGCTCGCCAACTGGGGTAAATTGTTATCGCCGAGGACAAACGTATACCTTCTGGCTACGAGACAAAATATGGGGGTTAGAAAAGAAAAGAAAAGAAAACAAGAAAAGGACTTGAACATTATGCGAGGTATAGAATTATATATTCACTTCTAGTGGCTCCATGTATCGAAAGCACCAAACAAAGCCGGAAATACAGCCATGGACAAGGATACTTCGGTTCTGCCCAGGTCTATGTTTCACATCCTCCTAGGAACTAGTAGTTCATCCTACCTATCTATACTGTACAGTGGGGAATCCCAAAAGAATAAGATCAAAAAGGCAAATAAGCCGACTATGAAAGAAAATACTATGCATATTCTTTTTACCCCATGAGGATAAAAACTCCCCGGATATGGATATGGTCATCACAGCGTCAGAACCAGTCGTCCCTGGGATACCAGCCCAGTGACATGTCTATTTGAGGCCAAACCCCTCACTGTTGAGCACTGCTCCCCAGAGCATTCGCTCTAATTGTTCCCGTGTAGTATACCGATACAATCCCAACATATTAAAACATGTACGTGCGGTTGGGAATCGCCACGACTCATCGCCTAGACAGGCCACCCGAATGGTGAGACTGGTTGCCCCCATGGCCGGGATACGGTCACTGCCCGTGATAAACGATAGTATTTTCCGCTGTGCCTGCGGCTGGGTGTGCTCAAGGAATTGCCAGAACCATTGCACGACCGGCACCGTCTCAGGACGGGGTTCAGACCAGTTGTCATACGTGGCAACTGCCCGTAGCGATGCCACGTCCAACGGTTCGTCTGAGCCGCGCACTAGAAGTTCAATCTCCTCGGGACGGAAGAGAGACAACGCATTACCGCCACAAACAGTGAAGAATCCTCGTTTGAAGGGCTCATACTGTCTGGTAACAGCTGTATCCAACAGATAATGGACATACAAGTCCACGAATTCCCGTCGGTTTGCATTGGTAACCGGTCGTTTCTCGCCCCCAGAGCAGAGCGGCACCGCAACTACCTCGCCATAACGATCCATAGGAGCAACAAAGTCATAACAGAAGGTTTCCGCAACATCTCCTTCGAATTCGAGAAGGGCCCGGAGACCCTTAGCAAGCGTGGGTCGATACTCAGCCAAGTCATCAAGGCTACATTTGTAAGTTGACCGCGTTGTTGAAGGTTGCGGTCCAGACGTCTGTGGCGCGGAAGCCAAAAGCTTTTTAAATGCGAAAGGAGGTAGGTTAATGTCAAGAATTGTCGAGTTGTAGATGGCTAGGCCCAGTAAAACTCCGACCAAGAAGAACTGCTCCGAGGATTCAAAACAGTACGGGTTGAAATAGCAAAACTGAGAGTCCTCGTCGTAGATAAAGAGTCCTGTAGACACATCAGCATAAGATTGGATCAAGGTCAACGACCGAGTTACCGTGGTGAGGGTCAAAGATCTCCCTGACAAGTAGTAGGAACCATTCCTTGCGAAGGCCGCCTGCGTCGACACCCTCTTCGCCCACAAAATCAATGCGAAGGCCCTTCTTGATCTCTTCTTGACTGGAACCTACAACCTCGCTAACACCTCGGAGACTGTCATCGACCAAACAGTCGCGACGAACCCTCAACACGAGATACTGGCTAATCGCTTTCCGACTCAATATACTATTAAAGAAGGCCTCGCGGGCTTTAACTTCCATTTGCCGGCGTGCATCGTGCTCAAGTATATGGATCTTGGCCCAGATACTGAGGAAGAACGGGTATTGGCAAAAAGAGAACTTCGTGGTTTTAGACTCCCAAGCTTCAAAATCTGCCACAAGGTCCGAATAGTCTAGCAACGTATTATAAAACGCGCTGACTGGAACAATCTGCCCTCGTCGGTATCCTTGGGATTTGGTTGCAGACGCCGCCGCATCTTGACCGAGTATCCCGTCCGGCTTTCGAGTAACGTTCGCATTGTTGGCAGTGAAAAGTAGTGACATCACTCGCGCTGCCGCTCGAAGCTGCCAGTCGTCACTATAGACAACTGGCTGTTCGCTTTTGTCGTTGGCTTGTTTATTGGTGCTTCTTCCATTAATGGCGGCGTGCAATTCAGCTGGCGTATTACCGGCAGCGCTAGAAAAACTTGGAACTAAATCGTCGTCGTGCTGTGCCGATTCGCTGCGCTTCCGCCCATGTTGGCGAGTCAGACGATACGTCACGAAGCTGCCGACGAGATCAACAAGCTTCTCAAACTGCCCTGCCGAAAACCGTGAAAACCAAGAAACGAGATAATGATGACAGTCATTCGGCAAGTTGGCCAACAGACCCATAATCCGCTTCACGATACCAGAGTGGTGGCCAGGGCCTCCGCTCCGATGCCTGGGGGAAGATTTGATATCGGGAGGCACTAGTCTATGGCTGGTATTGTTCGGATTTGAAGGTCTTCTGTTACTATTGGCTGCAGAAGCGGCTGCAGGATGAAACACCAGGTGTTGACTCGACGAGTATATCAAGGGATTTACCAGTAGTATCAAGAGGAATCTGACATCCTCCGGTTTTTTCAACGGCCGCCGGGGTCGCTTTAATAAATTCTCAGTAGCCTTCAACAGCGTTCTATGCAGATGCAAACGCGACTCCACGAAATCCCTTTCAACTAGGCTCATGTCGGCGGCATCCCACTTCTTATTCCTTGCGTAAGCCTCTTCCCCGCGCATGTCCAAAGGCTTCAACCCTGACCATTGTTCGACCCATGACGTTCCTGCCGTCAAGATCAACTGATACCAGTGTGCAAGTTCAGCCCAGTTAATGCGCGGACTCCTGGAGCTGACAGTCCTCGTAGAACTAGTCGTTTTCTCTTTCGGATGATGAGGCGAAGCTTGCTCACTATCATTCATCCACCAAGAAGAATTTTCAGCCAAATCGCCAAGGAGGAGAGTCTTCGCGTCCGGTTCAAATACTGAGTGTGCATGCGTGACACTGTTGTCCGGTTTTTGCTTTGGAGGGCTGTTCTCACTTGCAGGCGGTGGTGCTTGTTGTGTCGTGGAGAAAGAACTGTTGAGGCATTCACACCCCTTGAATGAAGTGATTATGTACTCTTCCAATGCCCTAAATATATACGGGCGACTTGGCCTATCCCTGACTGCATAGTCGCATGGTCGCCCTACTTCCCGTGGCGAGCGGTCTCTTTTTGGCCTGTTCTGTGCGTCCCGGATCCTCATATGAGAACCTCTCCCTTCTGTTTGTAGCGAGAATGGGGTAGGACTAGGTTTCAGGTAATTTGCAGTACCGTTCATCCCATCCAGCTTTCCAGACCTACTGGATGCGGATGCACTACGGCCGCGAGGGTCCATCTGTCGGGGTTCGGTTAGGTAGCCAGATGATTTACCCAGAGATTCCGATAGATCTTCATCTTGCCCACTAGTGTGCTTGTCTATCTGGGTTGCCGCCGGGGAGGCTCGTGGCCCAGGTCCATCCAAGAGTTGTCGAAGATAGCTCGAAACGCATTCATCAATGATAGCCTTCGTTCGTTCGACGGATAATGGAATAGCTAAACAATGCAGACTGAGGTTAGATGACAGGTAAACATTGGAAAACATATAACGCTAGAAAGCGCACCTTTCCTGGGAATCGTTGGTAGTGGTTTATCGTCCTTCCCTGGATGAGCATGCCCGCTCGACTCGGTAGACCCTCTGTACAGTTCCAGATCGTTGACGGTGAGGCATTCTGTACATCGAAAGACCTTGAGGTTCCGAGGCCACCGAACAGTGCAGTTGCATGTCATGCACTTCCCCATTGTCAACTCCTCCCCAGGCGATGAACGCGGTACGCCTTTCCGAGGACTGCTGGAAAGGGGATCGGGTAGGTAGGTGACCTCGTCGTCATCATCGGAATCTAGAAAGTCATGCTTGGATATCGACCTATTTCGTCTTCTACCGGAAAACGGTGACGGGAACGGATGACTGATCGAACGAGAATGACCTCGATGTTGGAAATGGTGTGGCGGCGAGGTTGCCGGGTTTGCGACCATGGTGGGCAGAAGCTGAGCATCTTGAGACAGCATAGACGGGGCGCCCCTCTCTATCGGCAAAGGAGGGAGGGGCGCATTCAAATCGACGACATTTGAAAGTGACGTTGGAGGGTGGGATGGATTACGTGTGGTCCGCGACGGCATATGGGCGCATTTGTATATTTAAGACTCTTATAGTCTAGTTGATTCGATCCCGGCAATGGAAACGAACGAGGTACCGGTGGAATAGAGGATGACAGTATCTTAAGTTGTCACCTGGAGATGTGATTCGAAAAGATGCAGCAGGGGTTCAGCTCAAGTAAAGTATTAAGAAGCAGTAGGTAACCGGGACCGGATCCTGCCGAGAAATAAACCACTGGCAACTAACTTAGGCACCGAGGCACTAGCACTCTAGGCATGGGAAAGGGAAGGTTAAAAAAAATCGTGTTCGTATTTCAATTTCTTGACAACCGGACGTTAAGGAGCAAACAGGAATTGGGGGGGGAGTTTATGTAGCACCGTTCCAGCAGAAAGCAATTGGAAGGGGAGAAAGACGGATTAGGGAGGTGGCATGGACCACAATTGAAGGTGAAACCGTGACTTAGTTGTAAGTCACAATCCGGAGGAGCAGAGCGCCTTAGGCACCCTGCCCACGCCAACTTGGCCCAATGAGTGGTCGGCCCATGAACGCCAGAACAGTTAGTCAGGCGCCAATGTGACGCTGATGCTACTATTTTAGGCTTCTATAAAGTTGAAAGGTCTCCATAATGATAAAACTCCCTCGCCCTAACGGTCAATCCCCGCTGGAGATATCGAATCTCAGGTTAATTGGATGGGTGTCAGCGTGCAATTAAACCTGTCTCTTGTTTGAAACATCGCACTCGAATTTTTCCGCCTTAGGTAATTTTCGGGGATTTCACCTCGAAAAGAACCATCATTCCATCGATCTAGTGTTCAACCTCATCCCATCCATATATTCTATGTCACCAACGCAGCGTCCGAGGTCAGTCTCTGCGTGAGCAGATTACATGGTCTACAAGGTGCTTCATGCGGTTGAACAGAAATCATACTTCGTTAGGGGAATATAAAGATGAACCAGTGAAAAGATTTTTGCTAACATCCGATCCGAAAGATCTGTTGCATTATGCTCGCACCCATTGCAAGGATATAGTCATAGAAGCGAGTTTTGATCGAGATAAACACATCCTCAGAATGAGATTTTTTCCACGACACACAACCCCAGCTATCCAGCCAACTACATTTAACGGTATCTCCAGTAGCTCTGGGTGTTCTGGAGCTTCCAGGTGTGGCGACGGCCAGCCTTGGTGTTGTTGTAACGGTGACCCTTGTTGATACCACGGGACTTCTTGCCAGTGGCGGTGAGACCACGAGCCTCGCGGTGCTATTTGGAAAAACGGCTATATCAGTAATGGTTCCCTTCAAAACATTTAGCCGTAGAAAACCAACCTTGTGGACAGCGTTGCAGATCCAGTTGATGCGGGCATCGCGACGGATGGCCTTGTGCTGGGGGTCAACAAGGATGACCTCAAAGTACTTGTAGGTGGAATCCTGGTTGATCCAGTAGGAGTTCAGGACACGCAAGTTGGCGCAACGGCGGCCAACACGCTCCTCAGCGGTAGCACGGAGAGCACGCTGGTACTTGAGCTGGTTGATACCCTGGTTGGTGGGCTTGCCTACAATCGGAACCTGCTTAGCAATGGTCTTTTTTCACCTTGTTAATGATCGAAAAGTTTTGCATACCGTAGGTGGCACCCTTAGGAGCGGGCCTCTTGCGGCCACCGCGTCTCACACGGATACGATAGACAACATAGCCCTGCTTGGCCTTGTATCCGAGACGACGAGCCTTGTCGGGGCGAGAAGGACGGGAAGCACGGTGGATAGCGTTCAGTTGACGGAGCTATATTGATGCACTCTCAGCAAAGTTCAACGAGTGTATAGCAAGACACACGGAGCCTTGTGTGCCACATCCATCCGCCGGCGAAAGAAAGATCGTATCGAGCCGCCTAGCAACACCCTCTGATCAAGAAAAGGTATCTTATGGCATAGCACACGAGCATCCGGCGGGATGTTAAACAATCGATATTGAGGGGGAAATTCTCACCTCCCAGCAACGGACACGGAGAAGGAAGCGAATCACGTCGGACTGCTTCTTCTTCTGGATTTCTTCCACGTACTTGAGGGCACCCATCTTGCAACTGTCAGCGTCGAAGAAAACGATTGGGGGTCCTCAAAAATTCCAAAACAATTCTTGAAATCATCTGACAATATCAGAAGAACATGGGTATTAGAGACATACCTTGTCGGCTGTGGCAGGTCGTCTGTTGTCGTCGAAGTCGCTGCTGAGATGTTGAAGGAACGAGATCTCTTCAACGAGGTTGTGTGTGGGACGCTAGGAAATTAGGCGAGATCTTCCGCATCCACCAACCAGCGTCCAGGTAAGCCGTTTCCGTATGCCTAAGGCGTCAATGATCTGCCAAGGAATAAATCGCGCCGAAAAAAAAAAATCTTTCAGCGTTATTACTTTTCTACTCCAAGGCACCTGTAGTAACCCTAAGGCCTCAAGGCAGCACATTTGTTTGCTTTGGGATAGTTCTCCTATCACCTTCCTCGAGTGGATGCATATGGCCCAATAGGAAATATTGAAGGTATCTAACCGTCAAATCATGTATTTATTATCCCCTTGTATTTTAAAGACCTATTCTTCATGCTCTTAATGAGGCTGGCAGGAATAAGAAGCATTTCAAATAAACATCGCCTCGACCACTACTACGAATTTAGAACACAAACAGAGGCAGGATAATACAGCAGTTAAAGAGGAATGAAAAGAACATTTGCAGGTGCAAAAATTGGCACCGCGCCAACTTCTGGGTGCAGAATTAAAAACATTTTCAAATAACCGAGCCATCAGGTCGTGAAGCTGGAAGTCTATTAGGTATCAGCACTAGCGACAGATCATTATCGCCGTTGATCCGTGACATGCATTTTCTAATCTCTTTAGGAAGAAGCAAAAGGAAATAAAAGAAACCTCACATTGCACACGAAGGGGAATAAGGTAGGTAAAGAGTGGCAGGGATTAAGGGGAAAGTGATACAAGACGAGCATAGAGAATCAATCGAAGCTTTAGCTAGACGAGACAATTGTGACATGAAAAAGGGAGGGCAATGAAAAAGTATTGGAAGGACAGACGTGACGAATAGCTGGTTTGCAATGTATTTGTTTCGTCTACCGAGCCCCAGAGAAAAGAATCTCGAACCATTTATTTGATGCAGCAGATGAGGCTCCAGTTGCAACCAACCAGCGCCCTGGACATGAATGAAATGTTGTGAAGTCGTCATCCGGACAAACTGCTTCTATAAGACTCACACCTGTTCTCGACGTCATGAAGCATATAGTCTCGCAGATAGGAAGCCTTGGGACCAGACTTAGGAGTTGAGCGACAGTCCCTGAAAGCGACCTGCCCAATCCGCTGGGTTCTGGTGAATACGAGGACCAGCGGTTGTGCCAGGACTTGTTGCATAATCGACATAACTAGACTCCAAGCCACCGTACGCTGTTGGTGGATAGGGAGAAAACGGGTCCCCGGTAGCGAGCGCACCCAAACCTGATTCTGGCTGGCGGGAAGCCTGCCCGAAAGGTTGGTAGGACTCTGTGTAGACGTTACGCAAAGCTCCCATCTGATTGGCAATAGCTTCTCTATCGACTCCGTCGCGAGCGTGGCCGTATGTTCTGTGTTCTGTGTGGTGAGAACGGTCTGATTGAGACTCTGCATTGTAGCCCAGAGGGTTTGGGGCCTGCAACCCAGCAGTTGGGGGCGTCACAAATGAAGCTGGATTGATGGCTGACATCCAAATCCGAGTCTTGTAGATCTTGAATAAATCAGTCACGAGAGAGTTGAAGTTGATGTAGGAATCCGCGAAGTAATAGAAAGTGAGCTTCTTCCAGTCCCTATAGAAAACTATTAGCATCAAGGGACATCAATAGGTATCTTCAATAAGGTGCTTACATTTGAAATTCCGCATCAAGTATTTCCATGTTGAGCCGATGTTCTGCGACTTTCTGTTGACAAACCCGCTTGGCCTTTGCCTCGTTACCTTCCTTGTCGCGCAATGTCAAAATCTCATGGTTTTGTGCCAGTCTCTTGATCAACTTCGGCTTTATATCTGCAGCAGACTCTTGCACCCCATGGGAGCCATGAGGACCCATGCCACCAATGGTGCTGCGGTTGTTCAGCCCCCCCGAGGAACTGATAACGTTGGCAGCTCCGGTCTGACCTTGTCTAGAAAACATCATCAACCATTTGTAATGTTCTTCGGCATACTGTTGTTTTAGTTCACGAGCTCTTTGCATGGAAACGTTGGCGTGTTGGATGGTCCCAAGGTCGGTGCCACGGTCGGCTTCGACGATGACTAAATCACCAGGTTTCACCTGAAGGCCGGTGTCTTCTTGGATGTAGAAAACATCCGCACGATGGCATTTGAACGTCACAATGTAAAGAAGCTGGTTCTGGTGTGGATGCGCGAGGCCAGCTTGATGACGGGCATAGGCATTCGGCATTGTATATGCGTGGTGAAGGGAAGTAGGCACTGCCGAAGGAGCTTCAGCGGCACGAAGAGCTTGGTCTCGAGCAAAGTAGGATTCTGCAAATCGACGAGCTCGTAAATACTCCGTTTCCATCTCATGCTCCTCGGGACGAGGGGCCATATGAACATGATAATACTCACGATTCTGGCCTTGCGCATTTGAAAGGGAAGGTTCAGTGACACCAGCATAGCTATCCTCCCGGTCTCCAATCCCAGGCCTGGAGGTTGCAGCTACCTGCGATTCGCCAGATATGGAACCGTGTCGAATTGGGATATCAGCAAATGAGTGTCGTCGACTCTGAGGGATGTCAGCCATACTGCCAAAGCCGAGGGAAGACTGCCAATGAGCCTTTCTCGCATTGTCCAGAGCTCGATTTTCCAATGCAGCGAGGTTTGGGAATTGTTTCTCTAGATTAGCCGAGTGTTCGGAAAATCTCCTTCTGGCACTGCCGTGGATACTGCTGTAACCAGGGATGTCGCCTACTTCGTCAAGGTCTTCCACCGCCAGGTCTGATTCTTCCGGAACACTGCCGCGGATGCGATGCAAGTTATGAGCGCCTGCGCCAACGACGTATCCACTGGTCGCTGAAGCAGATGACATAGCACGGTCTCGGAAGCTGTTGTCTATCTGCCCGGCGGCCTGACGCAGAAGGGCGTTTTCTCTCGAAAGTTGTTCAATGGTGCGGGCCTGGTTGCTGGTGTAATTACTGAGACTATGGTCCGAGTCATTGGGGCTTCCCTCCTCCCCGTCATCATCCTCGCGAACACGACCGAGGGTAGCAGGGTCGTGGCCCAACTCTCCAAGAAGGCTGGGTCGGGACGAACGATGTTGCAACGCAGAGAACTGGCCACCATTTCGAGAGCGAGCGCCCGAATAAGCCACCCCAGGCTTGTTTCCCACTAGATTCAGAAATTCTGGATCTAACTGGCCCACTGAGTACGACTGCGAACGATAGGTCTTAGGGGTCGGATGAAGTGGAATATTGAAAGGGATCGTCGATTCGCCAGACGTCGTGCGGGTTGTAGGGCTCAGCAACTCATCATTGAAATAATTACTTGCAGTAGAGGGGTTAGACATAGTGGGCGACGGGACGATTTCAGATAGGCGAGGGGGCGGCTCTTTTCGTGACTCGGTGTTCCAAATGCCAGTACCCCATGGGAATGTGCCACTCCCAACATGGTTCCAGTTGATTGAACTACTCATTACCGGGCTCGTGCTAGGCCATCCAGATTGGTCAGTCGCAGGACTGGTTGGGTTCGAAGCGCCTGAGGATAATGGGCCAGTGGTGGTCAGAGAAGCTTTTCGGTGAATATTGGTAGGGACTTCATTGAGCCATGAGGTACGACGAGTAGGTTTTGGAACGGGTGCGACAGTGGATGTTGATGTAGCCTGCGGATGCTCGAAGTCATCATCGGAGGACGCCAACGCCTCTGAATCAGGGGTCGAGCGGCGAACGCCTGGATGTGTCTTCTCCAGCCTGGCTGAAGCGGTAGCACTTGGCGTGGAAGAAGTACTGGGCTTGGTCGCCTGCACGGGCTTATTGGCTTGCGCAGCCATAATGTTACTTAAGGTTGAGATAGCCTCCCTCCCAAGGTGTAGAACAGGACAAGTCTTGTTAGACTTCTAAGTTACGAAAACAGAATAAGATAGATCTAGATGTAAGTATTAGTCAACCGCATGCAATAGGCTGTGGATAGGAACGTTCCCAACAAGACGGTATGATCAGGGCAGCACACCGGGAGGTACACTAGATACTCACCTGGACTTATAGAGTCAAGATCAGCGGGCATATGCCGATAAACAGAATAAGCGTTAAATTTAACCCTCAAATATGGGTAAAACGAATCACCAGTCGGCAGTTAACGGTAGAATTTAGGCGAGCGTGTGTAGTCAACTTTCCAGGATTAGAAACTGAGTAAGGTTAACAGGTGATGTCGAAACACTCTATGAAATTTGAAGACAAGTCTTTCAAAACAACAGGCAAAGACAATATGAGATTTATAAACTCTCTTATCGCATTCAAGGTCAGTTCAGTTTGCATAGATATTGCAACGATAGATGTGCAGTGGAGTGAACAGAACAGAACACAGAACTTCAAGAGATGCATATAGAGAGATAATAATCAGAAGATAGGATGCAACACATGTGGAGAAGCATAGAAGAAGGCAAATAGATAAGTGGTAGAGTCAAAGAGTAAAAGGAGGAAGTGAAAGGGTATACACCGCCAATAACTGCCGGCGGCAATATTGACAGTTGTAGTGAATTGGTATAGAGCATGTCAGATGACACCGATGGGGAACACTCCTTAACGCGATTTAGTGCCTAATTCATTCTCCCGCAAATTACCCAACAGAACTGAGGGCATATCGGTGAATACCTGTATGACAATGATTTGTTTCGGGTCTCTGCCATAGCCGCCTGGTGAATCCGACCCCATTCTATATGGTAGCTAGGGCAGATACCGATTTCTGTTGCGCTCCACTAACCAGAAAGCTTTGTGCATATTGATTGAATGAGAGGTTGATTCTACCACATGACAAAGCTTCCCCATTGGGTCCTGATCAAATCGCGGGGAAAGAAAGAAAAGAAAAAGAAAACATACAGCAGAATGCCCGGGGGGTTTTGTTGATTGCTCAAACACTCATTTCAACAACTTTTGAACGTCACTCATAGGAAATTCTTTGTACATACCGTTTGGAAGTACAATTTCGGATCAAACCAGGAGCCGATATAGGAAGCGTAAAATATTGGTGATAGTGTCAACAGGTTACTAGAAGCAGATGAAGATCGTGATCGCGTCTGTCGTCAACCATGAGCGATTATCCGCATGCCGTCGCATGATGCCTCGACTCACCAGTCTAATGAAAGCGAAACTTTTCTTAATAGTCTATCCAATCCCAAATAACAAAGCAGTCTTTGAATCAGATGGGCATCTCCGTTGCAAACAAAAAAGAGAAGTTAAAAATTGCGCTGAAAGAAGCGACCAGGCTTCTGTCCGAACGGTACGATGCGCAGGTGTCTTGTAAAAGGCCGTAGGCAAAGAGCTCGGCAGGAGAAAGGCCCCTATCCGAGCGAATAGTCGATCTGCTTCTTTCTTTTTTTTTCCTCTTTTTTTTTTCCTGCTTTTTTTGAACGGTATTTTTTCCAACCTTTTATTATATATGAAAAATAGTACCCAGCTCACTTCAAAGTGATTTCGTTCACGGGGAAATCCTGATATACTCGAAGTCGAGTCGCGACGAGGGGGGTTTGTCTAAAAGCGCGGGTCCGTCGATGGTAGTGTGACCATAAGGCGGATGACGTTGGGAATCAGAGTGGCTCCAGTAGGTGACTTATGGGCAGATCCCCTTAAGAGTAGCGCATCTTCGAGGCGGGCGCACGCGAGTTGAAAGATCAGGTCAGATAATTGAACAAATTGTCGCTAGATTATAAAGGGCTTTTTTTTATATCTTCTTTTAATTCCCTTTTTCGCTGGCTGTTGGTATTTTCGAGAAAAGGTTGGGTACGTGACGAAGGAAAGTCCAAAGCGGCGTAGCAGCTTCGTAAAGATGTTTTGGAGAGAGCCGGACTGTGGCTTCTGCAACGTTGCTGGATCGATCTGTCGCCCCAAAATGCGGGAGGTGGGCCAGGGGCACAAGAAGGCGGGAGGCGGTACTCTTATGGTTGAGTGCGGTTGAGGACGAGAGAGGTGACGGGACGATCAAAGTGGTATCTGTCAGAGAGGAAGAAAAGGAAAGGCAGATGAGGCGAGGAAAATGGAAAAAATGGGGGGCAAAGAGAGAAAAGTGAAAAGGGAGGAGAAAGAGGTTGTACAGTCGTAGAAGGATGGATAGATTAAAAAAGAAATGAAAATGAAATGGGAAAAAGGTGCAAGCTAAAACCGTCGCAGCAGCTAATGTACCTAAACCTCAGGCCACTGGAGCGGACACGAAGGAGGAGAAAAAACGAGCCACGGGTCGGGGCACCGAGAGGAAGTGGCGCAAGTGGTCCGTCAAGCTACTACCATAATCGTGGTTAGGTTCAGGGAGTCAGTTCATTCAAGAGGGTTGGTTCATTGGTCTGTGCCTTTGAAAAGCATCCATACATGGATGTATGGGCCAGCCAATGTAGACTTGAAACCGGGAGCGATTTTAATTACTTTTAGGGGGAGGGCGGGGTAATATTATTTGACAGAAGTATCTAGATAGACTATGCATGGGATGGTATGAGAAAAGACGCGCGCAAAGATTGGAAACATTTCATGTGCACCGCATTTGTGGGAGGGAAAATGATATAATACTTACTAGTACTTCCAAGAAGCATTCATCGAATTCGACCATTTACGAGTCTCGGTGGTACTCCAGGTATAGAATTAATATTAATGTAGCAGAGATCATGTAACATGTAATGGAATGGGTGGCGGCGGTGGTAGTACTTGGTGTAGTATGACAGACAGGCAAGGAACTGGTCGGCCGTCGATGGAACGCTCGGAGTGGGTCGAGTGGAGGCCAAGCTGAAGATCCTCCGGGGTTTTCACTGGCGTGAAAAGGGAATCGATGCCCCGAGCCACCTCTCAGCGTCCTTGGATTTCAGAACCAAGCAATGATATATTGTTACTAGGAAGACTAAGAAAAGACCGAAAAGGGAGAGAGAGAAAAAAAAAGAGAATAAGATACTACAATCCAATCAATCCGAATTTTTTGTTATCCATTCAACTACATCCCTTAATTCCCAGCGCATGCGACCGTATATGTACAGGATATTAACAGCAACAAAAGACAAGCAATAAAGTCTTTAAGCAGATACTACCTTGTAGAGAGCGGTACTCGGCATCACTGGGACTTGGTTGATTGACTGAGTTCTAAGAAAATTGTCGGCTGACCATTAGCACTGATGTGTGTGTGATCTTTTCCCCATCTGCCCCACCATTCGTTCCTTAGGCCACAAGGAATCAACCTGAACAGGGGAGCTAGTATCATGTATATGCCAGTGGGAAGCAAAGATATGAAAAAGGTGAGGGAAGGAATTTAAAAATTAAAGTCACCCCCCAACCTTATCTATTTGGCAAAACTTCTTTAGTTTTTATCTTCTTGATGAAAGGAAAAGATAGAGTAGTGGATAGAAATTAAAAAAAGGCAAAAAAAAAAGTTGTTAACCTATCAGGCCACTCTTTTGTATCATAACGTCATTCTACCGTTACGTTACACTCCACCATACCAGAAAATAAAAACGAACACAAATAATAACATTCATAATAATTGCAGAAAGTCTCCAGGGTAAATAGTGTCCAAGCAAACGACTTATTCAGGTCCCAGGTACATAATTAACCCTCCCTAGGTGCATGCTTCCATCGTTAAGTTAGATAGCTTCAGATATTCATCCCCCCCCTCTCTCTAGAAACTCCCTCTTAGCCAACCATGTGCAACACTAAAAAAGAAGCGCATCCGAATTGCGGGGGAAAAGCAATGAATATCCGTCATGGCCTCCTATCCAGTAGAGTTAAGGCCGAAGGATCAATGCCCGTCCAATTACGAGAAGTAAGTCCCCCATGTCATGCAGGATCGTCTGCCGTTCCAAAATGCGGAGAGAGCTTTCCCGCATTGGTCTTCGTAAACTCACGATCCGCTTTTCATTTACCTCTGCTTTACCTTTACTCTTCCTTTCCTTTCCTTTCCAGCCGTCAGATGAGAGTGATGGAGATATTTTTTTCGTTCCTCACCGAAATCCAAGAAGAGTAAGTTCACGTCTCTGGGGCCCCTGTCTACCCCTTCCTCTAGTTCAAGGGGGTGCAGCGTTACAGGCAGCATAGTTCTCCATGAGAAAGAGCTCGGGGCTCCACCCATGGTTGTGAGCTGTTGGACCCTTCTTCCGGCCACTTTAATGATGGGTAATGACCTCAAAAGGGCTACTAACCCACGGATCGCTCTGAGGTGCATTCCAGCCTTCACCTCTTTCACTATTAAATTATTTGAACCGAGACCGGATTAGTGACGTGGGGATGTTGCACGATTACTCTTCTTGACCGTCATCTGATTATATTTCTTTGATCAAGGTTTGGTTTATAAAATTATTTTCTCTTTCCATAACTTTCTCCTCTCTTCTGTTTGATTCAATTCTCCCCGTACCACTTATATTCCCCGAGATTCGCTTCAATCGGTCCAAAAGTCTTTCTAGCAATCTTTAACTGGATGGCGGTCTCTACCGATCACATAGTCAAAGAGTATTCATCCACATGCACACAAATGTATATGCACAATTCAACACGTACATACATAATACCCCCGACTTACAGTACGTCTCAGCCACACCATCGATAAAAAAATAAATATAATATAATAAAGAATAATCAAAACAATAATTCCCCTCCTTCGACAACCGGCCGTATATCAAGGCTGATCCGATCCCCCAATTCCCAACCTACGGGAAGACTTTCTTAATTAGACCTGCATCTAGAACCCGCGCAGCCCATTGCAGACTCTCTATCTCCAAATATTCTACCCACCTCACGCAATGGATGTATATCCTTCAACACCAGGTGCTTCACACTCATTAATGTACTTCAGAAATCCCCGTAGTATCTAGGCCCAGGGATAAACCAACCCCTCTCCTCATCCGTGACAGCGTAGTACCAAGACTAGACTAAATTAGCCCTACGCTTGAGCCCCCCCAAAGAAAGTCCATTGCATCTTTAGGCTTCTTTCTCCAAATTGGGAACTCCACCTTCCGCGCTCCCACCCGACGCTAGTAACTTTGTTTTTAATTTCCCCTTGTGGATTTTGGGCTTGGGAGGATGTTGTTTCGGAGATGTGCTCAGTTGCTTCCGTGATTTTTGATTATTTTTCGTATTTGTGAATTTAGGCCTTCTAGCTTCTCTATGTCTGGGGGCTTTTGTGGCGACTGGGATTGTCGGGAGATTGTGGCGACTTTGGGACCTTTTTAATTTTGTCGGGGGGATGATGGATGGTGACAGTATTTGCGCCGAGGTAAAGGATATGGGCTTGGTCTTTCCGTAAGCTTACAAGTTTTCATGGATGGCTTCAGGGATTTGTTATATGGCAGTTAATATTCAGATATTACTGTTTGTATATCGAGAATAATCTGCAACGCGCATGTTATTCTAGTCATTCAGTATTGTACAAGCCCTCCCCCAATTTACCGAGGGGCATATATTCATACGCAAAGCTCTTCTATCAACTCATTAAACCTTGATATGCAAACCAATGGTATATAAACGAAACAAACACACGGCATGAAACAGTGCTTTTATGGGGCCGAGTCCAATGTTCCCTTGCCTCCCGTAGATGCGGTGGCAGCGGCTCCCTTCTGCTGGCGCAGCTTCTCTTCAAACTTAGCAAACTCGTGCATTGAGATCTCCTCTTCCTGATCCATCACCTGCTCAACTCCCTGCACCTCTTCGATCTGTTCAGATGGAACAACCATTAGTAATTGCTCCTTCAAGGAAAACCAAAAATGGAACTTACGTAGTGCATAAGCATGGACTCGATGCCATTCTTTAGCGTGACAGTGCTAGAATCGCAGGTCCGGCAAGCACCGCGCAACTTCAGCAGCACAATGCCGTTCTCGAAACCCCGGAGCTCGATATCGCCTCCGTCTTCCTGAATTGCCGGTCGGATTCTCGTTTCCAGAAGCTCCTTGATCATGCCAACAACCTCGTCATCCTCCTCATTGTAGCTGAGCGAATCCTCCTCGCCACCTTCCTGCGCGTGCTCCCCGGTCTTGGCGATCGTGTTGACAATCGGCTCGCCAGAAGTTACGGCCTGTGTGATCATGCTAAAGACTTCGGGTTTGATGTGAGCCCAGTTTACATCGCTCGCCTTGGTTACGGTGATGAACTCGGGTCCGAAAAATACCGAGGTGACACCATCAACGTTCAATAGGTTTGCGGCCAAGGGGGAAGGATGAGGAGCAGCGAGAGTAGAGCGTGGGGACAGGTACTCGAGGAACGTGGTCGGAAAATCCTCCGGGAGGATGCGGTGGTTAGGGATGAACTTCAGAGCCTAGAATATCATGAGTTTATGGATAATTGGTGAAGTCTGGAGAGTGGATAACTTACATCGGGGTTTGGTGTGTTCTCGGTTTGAATGAAGATCGATCGCTTGCTGACCGGGGATGGCCCATTAACTCGAGTCGCTACAGACTGCTGATGAGGTCGCAACGTCGGCCGATGGCGAGCCTCCGATGCAGTAATAGCTGGCAACCGAGCCGAACGATGAATAGTTCGGTAAGAGGCAACAACATTGGGGGTGATGTAGCGCGAGGAAGTCTCAACAACGCTCAAATGCTGCGTCGTGACTCTGGAGCCGAGGATCGTTCGCCTGAGCATTGTTCCGGATAGTAAGCTGACAGACATATTGTGAATTTAACAACCTGTATGCTGACGTATCTGGTTTCTCTGTTTGGGAAATGTTTTTGGATAAGTTGATGGAAAAGTACAATACTTTCTCCGACCGCCCGGCCTCTGACGCAATGAAATCCACGTGACTTCGGGAAAAAGGACTTGCTGATAAATCGGCAATGCGCTCGAGCCAATCATGGGGAGGCCGTTTGGCATTTCTGATGGAAGACTTAGCATCATATTTCCGCGGAAAGGCAGGGACCGGAGTACGAGGGCTCAATGCAGTGTTTCTGCTTGTTCGAAGTATCCCACCTATACACCAATTGGCGTATAATTAATGGCAGTGGTACCCTCAATTTTTAATAAGATTGCCTTCATTCGGTTGCATGTCCATTCTTGTTCTATACAGGGTGATTAACATGTACTTCTTCCCTACCCACTATATGGATATTTTGCGTGTAAACTCTAGGGTCGTAACTCATAATAGGTTGTGGTAGTTGCTCGTTTGTAATTGTATTGTCTACAATAGAGCTGAGATGAGAAGTTGGCCATTCTTGCTCGCGCGTTTTCCCTCAAAGGTGGGGGTAGAGCTAGTAGACTTAGAACTGATAACATATAGCAGTCTTTCATGTATGGTAGACGGTATCTTTAGGGCTAATGCATTCCACATAAAGCGTGCGTCCGACGAACCTTGGCACTAGTAAATTGAAGCTGATCTTCGATAGCCTGGCTGAGCAATGCTTTCTTGGTGCGCTGCCGGCTTGTGCTGGTCATACCCGACGTGGTCTGATGCTTTGCCGAATTGTTTGCATAGGTGGTTATCGCTAGACCTAACACAAGCGATTTCATTCAGGCGATGTTGGTTTGAAAGAAGAAGATCTCTGTCTTCGCGAAGCACGATACTTGGACCAAACCATGTCCTTTAGGAAATACCCGATACTGAGACCTAACTGAGGCAGAAGTATACACTCCTTGGCATCACTTGCATTTCTCGGCCAATTCATGCACGCTATAAAACTGTGCGCTCTGACTCAATGGGGCGAGTAGTAATTGGGCGCCCACGGTTTTCAAATTAGGCTTGTACGCAGTATATAACAGAGCGGCAGACTTGGTCAGTACAGTACTCCGCTAGGGTGATGAAATCTGTTGTTGGTTCAGAATTCGGTGTGGCCGCGGAATCTGGGTGTCCTTCGGAGGGAGAGTTGCAGCTAGCCGGAGAGATATGGTCACCTGAAATATCAAGAATCTCAAGCAGCTGGGTTATTAGTGGATAAAGCAAAGCCAATGTACTTCAGTATAGTAGATGAGCCTCTGCATATTTGAGAGCTGGAAATTGAAAGGGCCTGTAGAGCAAATTTGTGAAGAGAGAACTTCTAAAACCTTTTCGAAAAGTTGGGTCAGCGGAGAGTGCCGAGGGCCTTCCGAGTTCATCCTGCATCGTGAAACAGATCCGGTGAAGTTTCTCCTCGAGGGAGAAACAAGAGGATGTCAGCTCTCGACCGATACTTTAATTTGATCGTGACATTCAACGCCTCCCTGGAGAAGTTTATCGACTTGTTCCATCAAAGTGGAACACTCCGCCAACTTATCAATGAGCTCGTCTTTGGGCTCAGGATTATCCGTGTTTTGGGATAAGATTGAGATGTTGTAAAATCTGGACGCTTCCGTTTCCCAATAGCATCACATAACTATTTTGCTAAGCAATAGCAGGACGTAGTGATCCACTCAAGGAGCTGGGATACTGACAAACGAACTTAAGTTACGGGAGAAATAGCGTTGAGGCAACGGATTCCTCATCTTGATCAGAACACTGGTTAATAGCCGCAATACTACTGCCTTGAACATAGGCAATCCACGCTCCGAACCTGGGTGGGGAGCAGTTGATCAACTGAATCGCTGTCAGCCCGTGTGAAAAGAACTAAACATAAAATATGTAGATGGAACACAGGCATATCCGGGGTCCGTACTTCATACAGTTGAAAGATTATTGTTGTATATAAGACATCTTTTCCGACTTTTTCCCCTGAGCTAATCCTGCTATTTAGCACCTGAATGGCATTGCTATAAATCTTGGTGCTGTACAGCAATAGATGTTTGTCTTGGTTTTGTTTTGCAAGGAAGGCCGTGGAGAGAGCAACAACCGCTTTGTCCAAAAGCAAGCTACTTCCAGAGAGATCTGGAAGAGTTTGAATGATATTCTTCCCCATTCTTTCGTGTATATACTGTGACGGATGCGAAAACCAATCTATGAAGGACTGGAGCAATTGCGAACGGACCTCCGCAATTGTGTTCAGCCCGAGGGAGTCTGGGTCACACCTGATCTACTTGATGCGCTTTAGGGCCATCTAGATCTAGTAGTGCTTTTGGTCGCCGGCTGGGCTTCTGTGATCCATCATCCGTCGTATTGGAGGATTTGTGTATAAAATCGCTTGTCCGCTCATAGCCGGTGCAGACAGGGCTATTCTTGACGCACCGAAGACATTCCGGCTTGGCCTCATCGCACTAACCACATATTATAAACCAAAAAGGCCTATTGCTTGCTGGTCTTTTGTATACTATATAGTCTTACCTTTACCTTCCGACGTCGACGTCGGGCATGTGTTGCACCCAGTGGATTTCAAAACGGTACTCCGCTCATGTTCGTGCGCTGAAGTCATCTCACTTTCAAGTTGTCACGCGCTACAAGAGAGATGGAAGCGAGGCGATTGGGTTTGTAACTAATTGATCGTACGTGATTAGACATGCGAGTGTTCCTTCTGGCCAGAATACTACTTAGAGACGGTCCTTTTCTAATTACAAAGTGTACACAGAAGAGAGTCGCTCGGTTTTGACATGGACGGATCACGTGGCGGGCGTGCTGAACGTGTAGTCCTCACTTTAACTCTATTTCTCGTTGCTCCGCAACCTTCCCTGGTTTGGGGTCACGTCTAAATTTTTGTTGTGATCTCAGGGGAAAGATGGGCAGAATGATGCTGTATCAGCTACACGTACGTAGCCTACTGAGGACCGGATGCCATTCTGATAGATCTCAATTCTATGGACGTCTATATCAACTATCTTGACCGCATCTATTCTACTGATAGGCAAAGCCTTCAGGGGCAGGTAGGTAGGTAGGTAGGTACTATTTAACGTCACTCGGCGGATCACGCGGCAACGTGATCCGCGGCCTCCCTAGGGGCAACTAGACGTGCTACCTAAACAGAAATCTCACTAGGAACTAGCTAAATACATGCTTGAAGTAACAAATCTGAACAATATATGCTGAAAAAGAATGGAAGAAGCGCCTGGCACTATCCTGGCCTGGTCATCTGGAGGTGGGAACCTGCTTCGGCTACCTATAGGTAGAAGGGGATGCCGTCCGCCTCTATCCAGGTAGAAGTATAGACGCCTTCAGGGGCAGAAGAGTTGGTGATCCGGCCAAGCCACTAGGTGATCACGTGTCTCGTATAGATTCATAACAATTTTGGATATAGGAAAAAAAAAAAGGTCAACAACATCCTTACCAGTCCTCACATAGATTCTTTGACGAATGAATATCTCAGTAGACATGATTCCTATCAAATAGCGCATGTCCCTTCATGTACATTCTGAGAACGCGCCGTAGCCTCATTTCAAATCATGGTACCCCTTTTTGATCCAGTACTCGATCTTACGTCTAAGAAGCGTGTGGTCCAGAGGAGTGTATCGAATATCAGGTCGGTCGGCTAACGCTTCCACTGTATTAGTAGCCTCGTAAACCGGTGTGTGCTCCTTTGTTTGGAGCCGTGTCAGGTCTCGCAGAATTGGCTCCTCTAGCACGGGCATCAGGGGAACCAGAGGGTTGTCAGGTGCTTCCCGAACTTTCTGAACCCAATCCTGATATGGGATCTGCTTGACCGGATATCCCGCTTTGCTGAGAAGCACACAAGTTTCTTCCAGGTTAACTGACTGGGTAACGTCGGGTGAGACTAGGCTGTACGAGTGCCCGAGGTTGTGATTCTTCGAGGCAATATGCAGTATTGCGGAACATACGTAGTCCACCGTGACATATTCTAACCTCTGGTGTGGTAGTTCTGGCCAGTAGCCCAATTGAATGCAGCCCATGATCAATCGAGAGAAAAAATCGTCGGGATTGCCCACGGCACGCTTACTATCTCCAATAACAAACCCTGGACGATATATTGCTACTGGCAGGCCTCGGTCCCGTACTCGCCTTACCATCTCCTCAGCCACCCATTGGCTCTGTGCATATCCGGTGTCGTAGGGTGTAGAGCCTAAGTGTGGTTTTAACGGTTCATCTTCGCGGACCCGTTTGGTGCCGAAGATCAACCCAGTGACGCTCCATACATCGATACTAGACACATAGTGTAGTGGCTTGCGGCGCCCAGAAGCTGCTAGGCGGATAATGTTCTTAGTGCCGATAATATTTGGTTCAAAATGGCTTCGATAAGGCTCGCACCAGTTCGTTTTAGCCCCGACATGGAATAGAACACTAGCCCAATTCGCGAGCCAGGTAAATTGGTCTTCGCCTAAGCCCAGCGTATCGTCAACCAGATCCCCCTCCAATATTATGATCTTCTGCATCTTTTTTAAGGAAGAATCCCACAGGTCGTACCTTTCCAGTGCCTTTTGGATGCGGTCGCTAGCAGTGAGCTCGCCACGACTTCTAGCCAGGCAGGCTATCTTTTTAACGGCTGGTAGGGACAAGAGATAGTGTAGCAAATAAGCGCCAACGAATCCGGTAACACCTGTAATCAAAACTCGACCCTCTGTGTCGGTTTGCCATTCGGGTAGTAATTGTATATCATCAGCCAGATGGGAGTCCTGCTCCAACTTTGAGATCTGTATAGAACTATCACTGGCATTGCTGGTTTGTCGGAGTAGACTAATTAGTCTTTCCAATGTTGGGTTGGCATGGAGTTCCTCCATAGTCACTGATTTACCAAGGTGTTGCCTGATTTGACCTATGAGCTGGGCGGCTTGCAAGGAAGAGAACCCGCGAGAGAAGAAGTTGTCGCTCATATTTATATCCGGAGCACCGAGGAAGGCCTGCATTGCCGATTTAAGCCAGTTGAGCATATTTGTCGATTTAGAGTCCTTCAGATCGACATGAGCTTTTTCTGACCCATCTTCCTGGGGGTTCTCATGGGCATTGCTGGGATCTAGCGCATTATGATCAACTTTGCCATTGGACGTTAGCGGAAACTTCTTGAGTCGTTTGATTTGATTCGGAACCATGTAAGGAGGTAGCCTTTCTTTTACCCAGCTGATGAGGTCTTCGGGTCGAAAGTCGTCTTCCCATGACTCAGGGATTACATATGCAACAAGAATGTCTGAGTCACCGGTGGGATGGCGCATTACACTTGCTTTGATATATGGGTTCCGCTCCAACGTCCGCTCAATGTCACCTAATTCAACCCGATATCCAGACCGTTTGATCTGTTTATCCGCCCTTCCAATGTAATCCATGCTTTGTAGTGGGATCCTCCACTTTCCTATGTCACCTGTTCGATATACTCGGATAGACGCATCCGAATCCTGTCCCAGCATCTGGGTGCTGCAGTAAATGAATCGCTTATTGGTTTCATTAGGCTGATTAACATATCCTTGTGACAATCCAGGACCAGAAATGCAGATCTCTCCTGCTTGATTTGTGTTGAAGATGGGTCTAAGTTGATCATCCATCAGGCAGAACCGAGTCTGACCAACAGGCTCACCAATGCCAATTCGTTCACGCTGAGTCTCGCCCACACTGACCAGTTGCAAACTGGAAAATGTCGTGGCCTCCACTGGCCCATAAGCATTCCATAGGTGCTGTGGTGCGCCGAATGTGAGTACCTTGCGCATTACGTTGACGTTCGCAGCTTCACCAATTACGAGAACATGGCGCAAACCGCAAAAGGTTGATGGGGAGTGCAGGCAGATAGTATTGAAAAGAGCGGTCGGTACCATGACAACCGTTATCTTCCAGTCACTTAAAAACCTGCCTAGAATAAACGGGTCTGTGACGATGGTATTTGGAATGATGGTAATAGTTGCACCAGAGAGGAGCGTAACCCAAATCTCAAAGAGAGAGACATCGAACCCTGGGCTGACGAATGCACCTACACGATCTGTTGGGTTGAGGGGCGTGACTTTTGTCGAATGTGCAAGGTGAAGAATACTGCTGGCAGAGATCTGAACGGCTTTCGGTTTCCCTGTTGATCCTGAAGTGAAGAGTATATGACTACGATGACTCTCAGGGCATCCGGTTAGCACAGAAGCCGTGCTCATAACAGCCAAAAGTGCATTCTTTTCATTCGCAATCTCCACTGGTATAACTTCAAACTCTGACACCCTATCCGCCAGTACTCTATTGGTGATGACATATTGGCTGCTTATACCATGCAACATGTCCAATAAGCGCACATTGGGTATAGACGGCTCGATAGGCACGCATGTTCCCCCAGCACGAAGGACAGCAACCTGAGCAATGATCTGATTGAGCCCAGACCCAAGGAGTATACCGATCGGCTCTTGAAAGCTGATCGATTTCTGGCGTAGTTGCTGGCTTAATACATCGGCCCGTGCAATCAACTCTGGGTAAGTCAATTCGACCTGCCCGTCTATGACTGCAATTGCATTCGGGGATGCATTTGCCCTCTGAGAAAGAAGCTCTTCCATGGCGCTGTATAGTGGGCGACGTATGAAAGAGAATAGAATAATTTTGGGAATAGAAAGATACCTTGCTTTGCTCTTGAATGACAAGGATCATAGTTGTTGTAGCGATGACTTGACTTATTTCCTGCTAGGGATTATATACTTAGTAGCGCCATGCTGAGCCGAGACTTCAGGAAACCACCTCTACGCAAACAGATAATCAGTTCTTGGTTATAGACAACTCCCTGTCAAGGACTAGCATGTCTGGACTATGACAAGGTACGCCGGAGATGTTACGTGTAGATCTGCAATGAGAGTTTGTTGTTAACCTTGAGAAACCCCAGGACAATCACGGGAGACTAACATAGCAACGCCGTAAGCCTCAATACATTGTATAACATAGATGGGCTGGCTATAAGTGAGTACTCAATTACTCATAAGGCGCCACCATGTAGGATATATGAAGGATTGTTATTCATATGGTTGGACCTTGTTAATGAGAGGCTCATAAAATTGCCGTACGACAAAGTTGAATGTTTGTGCTTCCACGTCATTCACTGCTAGGAAGGCTGAGCTGTCGACATTGTTTAAAGTTCTTCGTCTCCGTGGAGGAAAAAATAACTTGCATCAAGAGCTCATTGGATAGATTAAAGTTGGTGGTGTACTCGTCGCCCATGGACTTCAAGTTGATACTGGAACTGATCACACCTGGAGAATCCCCGAAATGAATAAAATTTTGCCACATATTTCCCTCCATGGATTACAGGAGTCGGCGGGCTTACTTTACGAGGAGGATATGGTTACGTGACTCTACAATATGGCTAGGTCATCGATAACCTCGTCGCTGCGAAAGTGATCGCCGCAAATGGCTGAGAGCTGATAGCATCTGACGAAGAGAACCCTGATCTGTTCAGGGCTATCCGGGGCGCAGGTCGACGCATTGGCATTGTGGTCGAATTCACGTTCAAGGTTCACCCGCAGCCGCATAGTGTATGGACTAGTACCATCTCGTTTGCTACTGACAAATTGCCAGATATCGTGGATTCGCTAGATCTCTCTCTGGCGCATCCCGAGGGGAGGGCAGCCGCGGAGTGTGTGCTTGCCCTATCTCCTGAGATGACGGACGCTGTGGGTAGCCAGGGTAGTATTTTTTCAATGACCCTGAAGAAGGCACGAGACATTTTGCGCGCCTCCTCGAACTGGATGCCATCGCCTATGAGATGAAAATGAGGCATTATCAAGGGACAAATATGATACTAGATCCAGCCCTTCCTGCAGGAGGACATAAAGGTATTGTTGGGCTGCTTTTAGCTCCGCCAATACGGCCAAAGTTTTTTGAACCATGTAATAAACGAGTTCAAGCAGAAAACTGCAATAGAGCCAGACATGTCCAGCACTTGTATCGAGATAGACTATTTCGACTCCTCCAGCATTTGTCACGTTCCAGTGACATAAACTGCGTTTCCCAGTCGGGAGATGATGTTGAACGCAGCTATTCTGCTTCAACGGTCAGACCCATGTAAGGACGCAGAGATAATGAGTGGGCACGAGATATCCAAAAGACGTGCAACGAAGAATTGATGTGTATTGGCCATGGGCCGGGTATGCTTGTGTCTAATTTCTTCAGCTATCCTAAAGGTGGGTCTCACAGCCATGAACAGTCGAGAATACAGACACTGGCGGTGCTCATCATTCATATTTAGGGTGCAAATTGATACCAGCAGACATGTTCGGGGCCCATTCGGAGCACTTGGTCGAAGTTAAGCAAAAATATGACCCACACAATTTCTTCCGAAAATTGAATCCTCTCAAAGTTGAGAAGCATTAGGCCAGAGAATCGATGTCACAATGGCCAATGTTATTCGTTACCTGCACTCGATCTAGGGATCTAGCATACTGCGTGCGGAGTATTTCCCAGGGTATTGTTACGGATTCCAAATTATTTTCCATGACATTGTTATGTTATATGATGTTCATAGGGACAATCTCAGAAATTATATGCCAGTTTGATCCTGAATGAAATAGTACTAGAAATAGGAATATGGACCCTGCAAGCACTAATCCTCCTTAGGTATTGTCTGCTGCTGACTCATCCCATCACCGAGCACTTTTTGTTCTCGGACTATCTTTTCGACCACTTCTAGCCCATCCTAAGTGTTCGAGATCGACAAGCCTGAACACTCAAGGCTCATTTTAATAAGGCCCGCTGTGGTTGGATGCTCAACCATGCTCGAAGGGGTCTGATTTAATGCTGCGCAGCCGCGAAAGCTCGGAGGCTGCCCACAATAACAAAATGCCTAATACATGCGAGGTTTGCGCCTCGGAACCCTCCAAATACCGATGTCCGACATGTGGGCTTATGAGGTAAGTTTTACGATCCATTCAAGATGCAAATAAGAAAACAGAGTAAATATGGAAAGAATCATGTACTGACGCACATTTCTTAGTTGCTCGCTCGTCTGCACACAGTCCCATAAGATATATTGTGCCGCCAAAGCACCGTCGCTAAAGGCATCCAATGAAGTGAATGATGAAATTCAACACCATCCTGAAAACGCCGATGGGCCTCCTGGTGGAACTACGCATGAAACATCGAATGGCGTCGACCCGCGTACTTTAGGGTCTTCCCCGCAACTTAAGGAACTATTCGAGTGCTATCCTGCGCTACGTGACCAGCTGCAAGATATCTATAAGGCTACCCTTGAGGAGGAATGGATTGAGACCCAAATGCAGGGGGGCCGACGACCCTTTGGAAGGGGTAAAGGAGCTCCGCGCAGTCGAGGGCCTTGGACCCGTGAAAAGGGCTTTAACAGAGGCTTGGGAAAGGTCAGAAAACTGAGAGAGATGTGCGAAGAAGGCTCGGAGGTTGGGAAAAATGCCGAAGGCTATATGCGATTCATGGCCTTGGTTAATGGGGAGCGTCTCCCACAGGAAACTCTATGACGGAATATTATTTTAATGGCTTCCTCATTTTCCTTTCCTCGTCGAGTCATAGTCGCGTGCATGGAACGTCGGTTCTTTCACATACACGTGTTTTTTAACCACCTTCGACCTCAGAGGACTGTGCCGAGGCTGGACGTCACGTTTCCGGGTTGGTGGAAGGCAAACGGGAACGACCCTAGGACAGGATTATGAATAGACGTCTCCTCACGTCGGCGGTTCCCTGAGCAGAGGTGAACATATGCGTGACCGATTTGATCAATGTATATTAGGTCTTACTATTACGAAGGAGGAGAAACTCTACACGAGAAAATTAGTTTGGGAGTTTGGGATACGCATCTTAATTAGATCCCTCTATGACAAATTGCAATTCATGTTTCCCAGCTAAATATGTAGATTAATAGTTATGCATATCACCTTAAAGAACCAAGCCATTGAACTGAACAGGCTGACTGTAGCCTGTATTATCATAGCGGATGTAAGTACTCCGTCTTTAAGGCCACTTAGTAGGTAGATATATATCTGTCGACACTCGGGCCATCCTCGGCGGTCAGCAAGTAGACTGTTCCCCATAAAATTGAAATGGACTCCCTATGACTGGCTGTCTAATCGAGCCTAACGCGGTTTTACTTCAGAGATCCGCCTGAGGCTGGACCACACAAAAAGTCGCGCCGAGTCGCTGGTGCTTACTGAAGTTTGGACTAGCTTGACACCGTGGAGCTGAACCAGAATTTGTGATATGTGTAAAGGAAAGACAGTTATGGGGACTTATGCCGGAAATATCCGTGCCGCCCCAAGAGCTTCGGTATGATATTCAATTGAGTGAGCGAGCTACCAATTAGTATGCTATTCTTTCATGCGACCTTCGACAAAGGTACACAGACCCCCTCTTGAAAGTATATGAGTTGATGTGACTCCAGGATCGGGATCGATTATTGGTCTGGATCCAAGCACCCTTCTACTCGTGGGGAAGGTCGTGCAACGCGGCCTTCATTTGACGAGGTGAAACCGTCCCGAACTAACTATGGTCTTAGCGTATCCTTGACCACAAAGTCGATACATCCAAGCGAGCCATTGAACAGTAAGAGCGATGTTATGGTCGAGAAGGATCGCTGCATACATTAAGTTCTTTCCTTATCATACCTACAGTACAGTACAACGAGCACCTACAACCTACCTTTTGTAGTATCCTTATCCGTACATACCTAGGGCAAGCCGGTATACACAACCTTTAGTATAGACCAGCAACATCCTAGGTTGAGAACTATAGGTGTGGCATGGCATGTGTTTGATCAGCAATGTGATTTACCATGTAAAAAATAACACACCTGGGCGGGGATTGAAGAAATCAGAAGTCTGGTCCCCATTCCCCAGTTCTGATTCGGAGAGAGCGTAAAGCTACCGTCTCATTGTTTGTATCACACATGGCCATTAATGTTTCCCGGTGCCCCCCGAAGCTCTTTTGTACTTGAGCCATTGAGCCACTTGAGTTTCTCCTTTTTTTGGGTCTTTCTTCATTAAGTTGGAAGCTGACTGTACCATACTTTCTCTTTCTTCTCTTTAATTCCCTCTCATATCCTACGCAGAAAAAAGGTGATAAATTCAAAGGCCATGGTCTTTTAAAGTGTATCTGAACTTTTTGAAGTTCCCACGCGGTGAAGATCCCGAGCGGGCGCACAACGCCTTGGAAGGCCGTAGTAAGTCAAACTATCTTTCTTCTGTACAAGGGATTTCCCTGGCAAGTCGACATTGATGGATCTTCCTTGTTTCTCCCTCTGGCTCTGATTGATTCGTCCGTAGGGCACTCGTGTATGTGCGTGTTTCTAATTATACTATCTGTCCAGCTCTCTTCCGAGCCACCTCCATCGCTTTCTGGGGCTCTGTCGGGCCAGTGACATCGTTCCGCCTGTTGCGCGCAAACTCGCCTTCGGCCTTCGGCTGATCTTACGACCACTCAAGCTGCTTCCTAGTATAAAAATTATTTGTTCTCAACATCACGAGCACTCTCTTGTGAGATTCTGTTCAACGAATACCTGCAGGTCCAGCACTGTTCTTTGCTAATTTTGGATTTGTTTGTGTCTAGTTTCCCCTCCAATCTTCGGCCTTAAGAAGCAACATAGGTTTACAAAAAAAATTTTTAAAAAAAGGAAGCAAAAAAGGAATTGACGGCGCGTGTCAAAAAAAAATTCAAGGGAACAATTGCCGACCGTAACTGGAATCGCTCTACGACGATCCCCTCGATTGCATCTACTCCGATACCTTTTCAGTTTGGTTGCGAGTGACAATGGATGAGCTGCTGTGCCTGCTTCATTTACTCACGTAGCAGCAGTTGGACCTTGCGCTGTCGGGCATTGTTTGCTTTACCGGATATTCCCTAACGCCGCCTCGCTGGATTCGCGCGAGCATCACTCGATCATGACCTCCCAGACACCACGAAGAGAACGGTCATCTAGTGATAAAGCTCAGGCTATGTTCGTTCCGCAACGACCGGGTCTTCCAGGCAGAACAATCTCCGCTCCAGCTGGTGGCTTGTATAAACTCGATTCTTCTAAACTGGCGACAGATACCGGAAATAAGATTGAGCAGACTCTTTTAGAAGAAGATGAAAACATGACGGCCTCCAGGAAAAACGGGGTTACGTCTACCCGCGTTGGCGATGAGGTACGACCCAAACCATCTGTGCTATTCGGACTGGGGAAGCATATCGTTTCTGACCATGATGCACTGTGCAGACTTCGTCGAAACCAAACTTTCCACTCGTTACTATTGCCGTCGTTGGTCAGGACCAAGTAGGTAAAACGACGTTTATCCAGAGTGCCTTGGATATGAAACAGCCCCTGTCCTCCCGAGCGACTACAAAGAAAATGTCTTTAGACGGGACTGTGTACCTCGTTCGCCTGTTGGAAATGGATACGAAGGAAATATCCATCGCGAATGATGGCCTCTTGGAATGGCCACGGTTTGGGAACGAATCCCCTTCAATAGATGGCGCTCTCGTTGTCCACGATGTGACACGGTCTGTGGGCCTCCCTGAGCTTATGAGGTTGCTAGGTATGTGGTTCTTCCTTTCTATCTCTAAGAGGGTCTGCATGGCGATTTCTTATCTGACACATTTGTTAATTTCCTATATAGATACCTTAGCAGCATATGCGTTCCCTTTTGTACTAGTTGCTAGTAAATGCGACATTCAGGCTCCAGATGGACCGCTCGAGCCCGTGTTGAAGAATTATCAGTTCCACAAGACATCCCCGGAGTCGCCGCGGTCGCAAAAGCTGTGTATATCAATGGTTCTGCGTGATGTGATTAACAGTAAATATGGTAAGTTGGCCCCGACCTGTTGATTGCTACAAGAAGCCTACTACTCCACCCCCCCCTTGTTTCAACCCCCCCTTCAAGAAGACAATGCAAAAACAAAAACCCCTGGGAGTGTACTGTTGTTTTCTGGAACCAAACTACATATTTCTTGGCCAAAACCCCTTGAATGGGCTGGATTGTCACGTTCACGCTAGTTCGTGGCGCGGCCTGAGGCTAGCGTTCGCCTACTCCCTAGTCGGCTGCCGATCTTCAGGGTGCAAGCGTCCCGGACATAAAACCCGCTTTCCGCTCCAAGCTCGTCGGTTGGATCAGACTGGTTACTAACAATCCCCCAGACTCCCTTGATTACTCGTACGCCTTCAAACAACCCTCCACGCAGGACTGGCATCACAGCCGTGCCAACTCTGAAAACCCTACGGCTGCATTGACTGGAGCCGCGGGCGGCCCCATTACTAGTACCTTTGATCCGGGAGTCGATGGGTACGGCGAAGACCGTCAACCCGCCGACCCGACGAACCCTTCCAACCTGGCTCCAAATGCACAACTCTCACGATTTTCCCGGAGCAACTCGCATCCGGTGCGACCAAATACACCTTCTGGGACCCAACTAAATCCACGCAGACAGTCCGCGGTGGAAGAATCCCCGGGAAAGAATGAGAGTCGACAGCAGCGGCTCCACGCCGCCTGGCGGAATAGCGGTGGCTCGGACGCCTTCAACAGCTTCATAGATATGGAGGATGAAATAGATGGGCCGGCTAGCACACCCTCAAGTCCAGAGAGTAAAGAAAAAGCGTCTAGTGACGGATCTTCGAATGATGCCGGCTTTACGTTCGATGAGCTCGTTGATCGCCTTGTCGCGCAACCGATGTCGAAGCAGGATTCTAAATTCGCCTCGATATTCCTCTGTCTTTATCGCAAATTTGCCGCGCCGGCTACCCTACTAAACGCATTGATTAATCGGTTTGAGCGAAACGAGAAGAACTTCACCGATCAACTGACTCGTATTGCTGATCAACTGAGGTTGCTTAATATCATGTCCACGTGGGTATCGGAGTATCCAGGCGACCTCGCATATCCTAAGACCCGCAAGCGGATTACGGATTTTGTTTCAACTTTGGAGAAGAGTCATTTTTATATGTTTGCCGCGAAGGAGGTTGGGTCTTACCTGGAGAATAATGCAGAAGATGATGATGTGGGCTGGCCATATAGGGATGGCGACGTTGATGAATTTGACGGACATGAGACGTTCCTCGACAACTCGGGTCGGAGCTCTCCATCCATGTTCCTTGGAGGATCGACGATTGATGAAGGCGAGGAGGATGAAGAGGAAGAAGATCCTATATATAACATGAGTGCATTGGATCTTAGTGAAGGCGCGTCAGACCCAGCTTCTAAGCTATCAAATTCGGCTACGCTCGAGAAACCTGGCACTGTGTCGAGCCAGTCATTCACATTCTTGAGCATGGAGGCTGCGCAAAAGGAATCCCAGCATTTGGAACTGACCCCTCGACTTTCTTTGTCAAAGGTCCAATGGCGGCAATTCATCGAGAACCCTGATGAGGATTTCGCGCGCGAGTTAACCCGGATTGACTGGATCATGTTCAATTCTTTTCGACCACGAGATCTTGTGCGACATGTCAGCATCTCTGGGCCAGATAAAGATAAAATCCAGAGTCTGAAACATGTCAATCGGATGATAAAGCAATTCAATCATCTAGCGTTCTTCGTTGCTAGTGTCATCCTCTTCCGAGACAAGCCCAAGCACCGAGCAAAAGCACTAGAGAAATTCATGAATATCGCACAGGTGAGTATCTGCATATCCCTCACATCATCTTTCTTCACTGACCGCCAATTAGAAACTTCGTCGACTGAATAACTATAATTCTCTCGGTGCAGTAATCGCCGGAATCAATGGAACGCCGGTGCATCGATTGTCACAGACGCGCGACTTGGTTCCCGTTCAAACACAGAAAGATTTTATGAGGCTGGTTATCCTTATGGGGACACAAAAGAGCCACTTTGCATATCGCCTAGCATGGGACAACACTTTCACAGAAAGGATCCCATTCCTACCACTGCATCGGCGGGACCTGGTATCCGCTGAGGAGGGGAACAGAACATTTGTAGGAGACAATAAATCTCGGATCAATTGGCGGAAATTCGAGGTTATGGGTGAGGTAGTCTTGGGTATTCAGCGCAGCCAGAAGACGCCGTATCCTCATTTGCAGAGGTACGAAGATGCGGCTAGGCTGATACTGGATGTCAAACTATCAGGTGATGATGAGGTAAGTTCCGTCTCCATCCCGCATTTCCATCTGTGCAGTATGCTGATCTACCCAGGATTTGTATGCACGCAGCTCCCAGGTCGAGCCTTCCGCTGGCGGCGACACGGGACGCAAAAAGTTCGGCTGGTTACGGTCGTAAGGGGTGTGATGGAGGATTTCTCTTTATATTTTTTGTTGTCATCCATGCCCATGATGGTAACGATTGCATGACCCAGTCATACACTTGTACTGACGAGATGCCTGATGAATGATGATGATCGTCTGGTCTATGTTGTACATATTGACATGTCTAAATATATTATTATTATTGCCACAACCTAGTTCCACACCCACACATGGATCACCTAGATTAATCAATCCTTCTGTAACATCACGTGATCATATACAGATAGCGGGCGGAGGTAAAAGAACCACCGAAATAACCCACCAGTACTACCAATCGAACCAACCCCTCCAAATCCTCAATACATATAAAACTAGAAGAGAATTATAAAAGAAAAAGAACAAATTCTGAAACCAATATCGAAAAGAACAAAACAAAATGTCCCTCCAAACCCAAGCAAGATCAACCTACCGCGCCATCCTCCGCGAACTCCCACGCCGCACCCTCTCAAACCCAACACCTCTCCACAGCCGGATCCGCGAACTCTACCGCAACCATACCTCGGCAAACGCAGACGAAGAAACGCTCCAGAGCCGCTTACAGGAGGCGGACCAGCTGGCGCAGTACGCGCGCGCGCAGCGCTCGTATGTCGAGCTTGTTGCACGGTACAACCCGGGTATGACGTTGGATGAAGAAGAGAGGATCAGACTTACGGCTAGACGGGTTGGGTTGGATTTGCCTATAGAGGCTAAGGATCGGAAGGATTGAATGGCTTTGGAGGATACTGGGTTTGCATGGGATGTACGGGGGGTGTCATGGTGATAGAAATGGAAAAAGGGTTGTGTGGTAGACTCGGGAGGGTTTATACTTGGAGTTTGGGTGTCTTGTATGTTCGTGGGATGTATATGATTCTATAGTATCTGACTGATTGACTGTATAATCCATGTGAAGTCCGTTCATTCATTGTGCGTCTATCTCCGTGAGATCTTGGGGTTGCACCGTTTATATATAATGTGCCGTTCTGTGTTGCAGAGTGTTCTCTGCGCTGTATAGTGGGCTTTTGTGTGGACGACTTTTGTCGACCATTGGAAACAGCGGTGGGCTTGTCCATCCGTCTGTCTGGAGAAATCCGAGGATCTACGATGGGAAGAATTGGTGGATACTAGGTCGATCACATCAGCCACCCAGTTGGACTCGTTCCATCTGTCGCATCAGCGTGCTACTGCTCTCCTCATCTTCTAAACCCACGCCCACCTCGATCGCAGTCTTGGGCCGATTCCTATTCAATCCTTCGAGCAGTGCGCACGCCTTGCACACCTTTTGGCTCGAAATATATCCGCATCGCTCACACAGGCCCATCTTTTGTGTCTTGATGACCTTCTGCGTCGAGCCCTTATTTCCCTTAGCCTGCTGTTTGCGAGGACGGGGAACACTCGGCGCCGGTAATTTGATCTCTGTTTCTCTCGACTCCGCCGCGTCATCCTCAGCCAATTTCATTTCCATTTCCGCCATCTCGCCGCCACGAGTCCGACCATTCTGACTCCCACATCCACCAGCCGATTCATCCTCCGCGGCCCTAGCACGCGAAGCCCCCTTAACCTCCACAGGAACAAGCTCCGCCATATCCTCACCACTCTTCACAATATCCAAAATCGAACTGGGCCGAATCTTTTCCAAATCCTTGATCAGCGTCCGCGCACTACCCCGAAACGCCTCAGGCGAGTAGATACACTCGGTACTGAAATAGTCCAACTGCTTATGATGCGCATAAAGCACAATCTCCTTCTCATAAGCATACTTCAGAGGCTTACTGCGCTTAATATCCGACGCAGCTGAATCCGTAACGATACTCGTACCCCTCGACAGCCGCGGCAGATCCCCACGCAATAAGTTCATCATAACTGTCTCCGCGACATCATCCGCATTATGCCCCGTAACAACATGCTTGATGCCCAACCGCGCCGCTCCCCGATCGAGCGCCTGACGTCGGAACACCCCGCAGTACGTACAGTTGCCTTTCTTGCCCACCTGTGCCACGACCTGGTCCATGGTCCATCCGTATAACTCGTCGTATCCGACAATCTCCAGCGGCATGTCATACTGCTCTGCGTTGCGCTTGACTGTCTCCAGACTGTCGTCGCGGTAGCCTTTGATTCCTTCGTCGATGGAGAGTAGGCATAGCTGGAGTCCGTAGTTGTAGCGTTCGTTGAGAGTTTTCAGGACGGAGGCGAGGACAGTGCTGTCTTTTCCGCCGCTGGCCCCGATGGCGACTCGTTCGCCCGGGTAGAAGAGGGATGTGCTGGTAATTGTTTCGTGGACTTCGGTTTCGAAGATGTCGATGAAACAGGTTCGGCAGAGCTTTTCGCGGTTTTTCGGGCGTATTATTACCGCCCTGTTGTTTTGGCAGTGGAAGCAGGGGGAGGGGGGCATCTTGAACCGATTTTTGAGAATTTGTTCAAATTGGCTATGGATTTGGAGGGGAAGGAAAATCAGTGATAATCGATAACCATGATAGGCTTGTGAGTTTGTTCCGTTTGCATTGCGGAGGAGGATAAACTCAAAATATTTTTAAGAATTATTCGAAATACGAATACGAGCATTCCGTACAGATGGTCGAATTTAACCATAGTTTGATCCTAATTAGGTATTTGAATAGCAGCTCTAAACCTATAATATACATGGTCATAGTCCAACCGCATCTAGACATTAAGTGCGTTGCAAGAGAATTCAAGAAAATCAAGCAGAATTTACATCTTCCCCTTGAACAAGTTGGCAATCATCTCCCGGCCTGTGATTCTAGAAGTAGCCCACAGGGTAGGGAAATCCAGAGTGCTGGAGAAGGTATCCGCGTATCCAAAGAAGAGCATGGGAGGGATCCAGCCACGAGCATATTCCAGCGCGAAGCAAGAGGCATCCATCTTGTATTGTTTCACCTCGCCACGGCGCAGGTGGTGGACGCTACCCTGAGGATAGACCTCGGGTTCGTAGGATCCAGGGACATAGGCGAGCTGGGTACCCTGGAGGATGTTGAAGTAATCATCCGCGGTGTGTCGGCCAGTGTGGCCTTCGGTGCCAATTGCGGTACCTGAATATCAATGTGGTTAGCCAAGGGGGCGCCGTTGAGAATAAATACAAATAAAGGGGTACGTGTGGAGAGGACAGAGTTCGAGAGCCGCACCAAAAATAATCAAGTACTCTGTGATACCTGATAGAAAGTTAGCCATTTGGAGGATCTTCGGAGGACGGAAAAAGGAGGTGGATTCCGCTTACTAGCATGAATAATATACATGGCACCCATAGCACCGCCGGCGTTGTTGAACACCCATTCCTCTTCCTTGTTTAGGTGGTTTCCGGGGATCTTCTCATCTAGTTCCGAGACAATGTAATTTACAACGGCGCGGGTATCATTTCCGTGGGCTGCAATTGCACGCTGAGAGAGATCATGCAACTGGCTCGGTTCGAAGATGTAGAATTGCTCGAGACGCGAGTCGAAATAGTTGTAAAGGCCGGCCAGAAGGGCCAGCAAGGTGGCCAAGAGGGTGAGAGAGCGCATGATAAAGGAATTGGATCAAACGGGGGTGGCTCAAAAGATTTCGTCCCAAGTCAGAATGAGAGAGAATGTCAAACTGAATGAATTGGGAGAAAGTAAGCAACAACAAACGTTGGTGGCCGCGGAGGGCGGTATGAATTGGGTTTAGTGCCGATTGGGTGTCTTGGCTTTGTGGGGATTCTACTGCGAATAGTTCCATCCGCCTTCCACTCCAGAGTACTCAATTTCTTGCAATATCCTATATCTGACTATATCATTCAGTATTTACATTCACGAATGCCGTCTCTCTCGGGAGATATCTCTGTCATCAGATCTCGCATATTAGGCTATATCTCCTACGTATCTCCTTCGATGGCTACCTTAAGACGGAGTTGCCTCCGTCCGCTTCACATGTAGATCGTCGCCGTGCATACCTCCTCATCACTATTGATGGATATTTTTGAACCTGCCTCTCCGATGTTCATCCGGGTGGTGGCTCACCGGATAATTTCCCTTACGACAGCCGATGGAGTTGACTGTCTCAGGGTGAAGGAACTTTAACTGGAATGGCTCCACGATTCAGCGGGTCTGCCGGACATTCCAAACACCGGCGTTTGGCACTCGACGCTTGACTCAGGACACTATTGAACGCTTGAACCTGCTCACTCGCAGGCTAGAATCTTTCAATCTCAAAATATGCCGAATTAACCCGAGGTTAAACCACGTTCAGGGTATTCCTGTCTGATGGTCATATCCCACCGGATGGGTTAAATTCCGCCAAAAGAGTAGGTATATATACTGTCTTCCAGCGGCAGGTCGTCAGCTAGATTTGTCAATCCACAAACGAAGTGAAAATCCAACGCGCACTCAAATCCATCATTTGATATATTTCCAAGATGAAGTTCCTTACTCCTCTTTTCCTTAGCTCCCTTGCCTCGGCTGCTGCCCTCACTCGCCGAGCGGATATGTGTGGGCAATGGGACACCACCACTACCAGCAAGTTTACCCTGTATAACAACCTTTGGGGCCAGGGCAATGCGGACAAAGGCGGCAGCCAATGCACCGGCCTCGACTCGGACAACGGAAACAGTATTTCCTGGCACACCAGCTGGACTTGGACCGGTGGACAAGGCCAAGTCAAAAGCTTTGCCAATGTTGCCTACAACTTCGGGGCTACCCAGCTGAGCAAGCTGAGCAGCATCCCCAGCACATGGAAGTGGAAGTATGTAGTCATATCACCGGGATATGTTTAGTCGGAAACTAACTTTCCTATAGGAACACTGGTTCTAACGTCGTTGCGGATGTCGCATATGACCTCTTCACCTCATCCAGCGCGAACGGAAGTGAGGAGTATGAGATCATGATCTGGTTGGCAGCCTTGGGCGGTGCTGGCCCTATCTCGTCGACCGGCTCTGCCATTGCTACCCCCACTGTGGCTGGGAAGAAGTGGTCCTTGTACAAGGGACCTAACGGCCAGATGACCGTGTTCAGCTTCGTCGCCTCTTCCACCACCGAGGATTTCTCGGCCGACCTGAACGATTTCCTCAAGTATCTGCAGCAGGAACAGGGCCTGCCCTCCACCCAGTACCTGACCCATGTGCAGGCGGGTACCGAGCCCTTCAGTGGAAGCAATGTCAAATTCACCACCTCCTCGTACTCTGTATCTGTTGCCTAATCGCCTCCGCCAGGCAGATTGGGATCACCGTTGTAAATAGTTTGTGGCGATGCTAGGCGCCGTGTTTCAGGGACCGTCAGGGATAGCGGGATGAATGGAGGGGAAAAGGTTATGTGGGATATACGTACTTCAGGAAGGAGGATGAATCATCCCGTGTCTTGACGAGGGGGGTACACGCTGTCTGTTGCATGGTTCTTTGTGTGAATAATTGTGATCGTTTCGTTCTACCCGCTTTGTTGCAGTGGATCTGGAGTTTTAGCTTGTTGGAGTACATTCCGTACATAGGTTTTATTTTAGAAAGTAAGGATGGAATCATCTAAATATAAATGCCCAGCGTCTAATGAGACAGTCGTATGGGACGATGAATATTTTTTTCTCTATGTATAAATATAGAAAAGTCCACTAAGTTAGTCGGATGGAGTCGAGGATGCAGCCTATGCAGTCCGGGCGCTTAACCGCCTGCAGGAACCCAAGCCCAACCAAACCCTCGAAAGTCTCTCCACCACTGTATGTATACTTGTGACCAACAGTACATCCTACAGGCATCAATCCCATCAATCAATACGCTTCCCCCCCACCCAAGGCAGGATCATCAATAGTGCTTCGCGCCTTCTCCGGCATGGGCATGACGACCCCTTCCAGGTGTCTATTATCCAAAGCCTAACAATGTTATCCTGTCATACATACCATCGCATGATTATCGACAGGATGCGCGCCATAGGATCGTGCGACTCCTGCCACGATGTAGGGAAGAAAAAACGCGACCGCCGAAATAGGCCTTCGTGGCGAGCCATCCACTTGACAAGGAAAAAAGGTCGATAACCCTTGATTGAATCACATCTCGTGTCCGGAGATCTGATTGATGGAGAGCTTATTGCCAATCATCCACCCCCTGGGGTCGCGCGCCAAATGAGATCATGGGGGAAGTGGATGGCCGGTATGCACAGCGCGTCCAACCGCCGTCCTTGCATTGCATTGCCAGCCTTCACCTCTGAACCACTGAACTAACAATCCACTAGCATAGGAGTCGTGCCCTCATTCTAAACCTCTGATAGATACTTATATCCAGTCACTCACTCGCTGGCATTGTTCAAGATGGCATTCACACGCTTCAAGCTATCTCTCCCTTCTCTTTTTCTTATATATCTATCGGTCGGTCTCTCCATCGGTCTCTCCTTATCTTACTCTGTCTATTAATCTACCAATTTGGTTAACACTGAATTAATTTTCTGCTAATTTTTATTTTATTTTTTCTCCGTCCAATATTGTCTTACCGTGTCTCACTATCGCAGCTCCATACTTCGGAAGTTGATCCATCAGGTTGACACGACAACCTTTACATTCCTCTTTACTCCTGCTGGCAGGAATTTGATCGACTCTCCCAAATATACCAATTTCTACATTCCTTAGATTTTGTCTCCAAGGCAAACATCACCACTCTTTTTATCCGTTCCCTTCCCTGTGTTCCTCTTCCCTCTTTCCCTCTGTCACATCTGCACCATGACCTACCACTCATTCTATACCACCTCCGCAATGGATCAAGTCACCAAGCCCGATCAAATGAATCACTTCCAACACCTCAATCGAACTGCCCTCCATGAGTTTGTGCGACTACCGGTCTCTCGTGAGATGGTAGCGCATCTGGCGATGCAAGCTTCGCAGGTCATCCGCTGCGAGCCTCATGTGACCACGGCCAGCGCGCATGGCCAGCCAACACCTCCCAGTACGCCTCCATTGGACGCGGTAGATTCTCAACTGCCACCGTTGCCCTCAATCGAAACATTTATCGCTTCACTGGTCACCCGCTCTCAAGTTCAGGTTCCGACCCTGATGACCTCACTGGTCTACCTGGCCCGCTTGCAGTCCCGTCTTCCGCCTGTCGCAAAGGGCATGCGCTGCACTGTTCATCGCATCTTTCTCGCCTCACTCATTTTGGCAGCTAAGAACCTGAATGACTCGAGTCCGAAGAATAAGCATTGGGCCCGCTACACTGCCGTCAAAGGCTATGACGGCTTTGCCTTTTCCCTCCCTGAGGTGAATCTGATGGAGCGACAGCTGCTATTTCTCCTGGATTGGGACACCCGCGTTACGGAAGACGATCTCTTCTGTCATCTGGAACCTTTTCTGGCCCCAATGCGGTACTGCTATCAGATCCAAGAGCGCGAGGCCGAGATGCGCCAGCCGCGTGAATGGCGCCGTCTTCAGGCCTCTGCAGAACTACTAGCTTGTCGCCTTCGCCGCCAGAAATTGGAAGCGCGCCTCGAGGCACGCCGGTCAGATTCTGTCCATCGCCGCCAGCGGCTGCCTGCGAGCCCGGCATCGTCTGTTTCGCTGTCTTCACTGTCGTCTAGCACATCACCAGCGTCCCTGGCGGACACTGATCGCTACCAGCCCTATCGCCCGCGGCGGCGCCCGTCGACCCGCACTAGTGCCTCGGTCTCTCCTCCATCCGTTCAGGATGTGCCATCACTCACCCGAGTCGAAACGGTCCCTTCGTTGAGCTCGCGGGCATCAAGCATTGCCCCAAGTTCCCGCAATGCCACCCCAGCCAGCCTACGCACATCTAGCTCGATCACTAGTATGGAGGCTGACGTCCGGGTGATTGACGGAGCGCGTAGTCCATCTCTCAGCGGCGGATACGTACCCGTACCTACAATGATGCCGTCTAGTGCCAAGATGGAAGAAATCCAACAGCCTACGAAGAAGATGCGTATGGCTGGACACAGTGGACATAGCGGGTTCGTCGCTCGATTCCTAGCCTCCGCTGCGGGCTCCTATATGGGAGGCCGGACGCGCTCTCACGTTTAATCTCTATTCTTCCAACGTTGAGCTGGTCTCAGCCACCAATTTATACCCCCGTTCTTCCCACCCCATCCTAATACCCGTTTGTTATCTCAGATGATATTCTGCTTCTCGTATGTTCCAAGAAAAGTGCCACCCTGATATCCCCAAATACCCACAATTTTCCATAGGTAAGTCTTCAACTTGTTTATGATTGCATTGCACGGCTGGCGTTGTTTTCTTGTCCTCTTTTTTATTTTATTTTTATTTTTTATATTTTTTATTCATGTTTAAGCCAACTCTCGTTCATAACTTTGATTCCATGGGGGCACTTTTGTTGGTACAGATTGCCTAGATATTACGCACTACAAAGATCTGCTATGCATGTACGTACGATACTATCATTCGCTGAATGGTATACACTATAATAAACCAACTTGAGAATTATAAATAGTCAACTGAGTCCCACTCTTAGCGTAATAAACACGCTTTATAGGTCAGGACCGTCGCAGTCTACATTGTTAAATGTTGCTCGGAGATCCCTGTGGGCTTATCCCGCACATGCTTCACTTGCTCAGCGCGTCGATTCCCGATCGGATACCTAGCAACAAACACGGACCATGTCTCGGATTCCACACACGCCAGCAGCATATGCATGCCCAATTAGTCAAGGAATGCTGCCCGTCTGGTCTAGAATCTGGTAGATTCACCCATTAAACGCCCAGACCTTGAAGAGTGTTATATAATGAGATCCTGATCTGGACGTTCACATGTATGAAATGGCTGACACCGCAGGTATTTCTTTTCTGGTAAAATACGGCTAAATAGGCAAATGGTTGTGTGCAAGGAGAGATCCATATTCTGCGTCTTGGTCTTAGAAGCCGGTGGAGCTGACTCTCGCCGTCTCTCTTTTTTGTAGGCATGCAACAGGGCTAACTCGAGTATGGGGTCAACTGGATGCGAGTGTTTTGACACCGGAAAACATCATTATGGGTTCTTCGCTTTGGAGTGTATACTCTTTTATTTTATTCTTTTCGTTCGCGGCCAGTCGGGGTTAGGGTCTTATGTCGCCGGGGCTTCCCAGTGGTCGCGCTTGATCTTCATTAGGTTAGACTGTTTGTGTGGGAAGCTGACCTCGCCTTCTTTATAGAAGCCTGCTTTTTGGAGATACTCGAGGATCCTTTGCTTCGTTAGTATGGCGACACTATGAGGTTATGGTGATAGAGAAGCGCAGCGTGAGGACTTACTTTGTGTTATCTACCCGTGGTTCCAGCATGACCGTCTCAGTGCGTGGGTCTGAGAGCCAGCAGTAGTGCACCAGTGCACTCAGCCAGATTTGCACCCGATGCGCTCCGCGGAACTCCTGCTCGCCAACTAATAGATGGATACCTCTATCGTAATTGCCAGCGCCCCCGATGAGCTGCCCTAGGGGATCTTCTTTGACCCAGTATATCTCGAAGTACCCGAAGGGTTTCCCGTCCCAGCACCCGATGACTGGGAAGCTGTGTCGGCTTTTCAGATTGTTGCGAAGGAATTCCTCCTGGTGGGAGACTGGGCCGGCCTCCCCCCATGCTGCGTTGACTCTTGGGTCGTTCATCCATTTGTGTAAGTAATCGAGGTCCGAAGGGGTGTTCGAAGTCACTGGGTCACTGGTTGAGGATGAAGGAGCGTGTGTTTTACTTGGTGCTCCTCCTGGATGCTGGGCCTTCCGTGAAGGAAGATACGGTACGCGGAATGAGAGATATTGCTGGACGCTGGGAATGTATCGAATGTAAAACACATCTCCCTGATGAGGCGGCTTGGGTCTGATTGGATGTCGCACTCTATTAGTGAAGGTATACTGAGTGGATGGCGGTGGAAAGTAGGTTGGGAGATGGCTGCTGGAAGTAAATGGCCCTTCGCTGGGTGCGTAGTGTCTAGCATCGTTGACTGAAGGAATGGAATCGGCTATATACATAATCCCTCGCATCGGAGACGACAGCTGACGGTTATGTGTCGAGTTTGGTGCACCCTGCCCAACGCTCAGGGGACTCAGGGAAAAAAGGAATAGTCGGGGATCAATCTGCCAGAAGGAGCGTCGGCTCACAAACATCGATTCCCAAGACTCATTTTCCAAAGGGTCTGACCCTACGGAGGAATCCTCAGTGGCAATAAGCCCCATCCGTTCCAGCTTTTGAAGCACGTTCCGCCCCTTGAAAATCCCCTCTCGCTTGATATTAACTCGCCAGTCGCCCTTGGGTTTGGCCGCAGCTGGCGTGCGCGACGAAGCCTCTGTCTTGAGGCAGAGGTCAGGTTCAGGTTCGTGGAAGTACCACCAGAGAGTAACCCAGAGCATCATGGCGATCTGACGCGAGGCAGAGTTCATCGGCTTGTACTCGCTGTTCGGAGGGCTGACTATGGCTGAGAGGTACAGACAGTCGTCGCCTAAGGTTGGTGCTGTGAATCGAGTGCTGCTTGCCTGATCGTCATCCTTGGCCCCGGACTCGCGAGGCCGGTCAGACGCTCCATCGGGTTTCGCTTTATCCTGCGCATGCCGTCTTGTGTAAAGAACAATTGTCCAGCCCGGAGGGAGGAGTGAATGACCCAAATGCGCATCGTTGATCTTGAAGGTAAAGCCGCCGAACACAGGCGACACTGTGATTAATTGCCCGTTGGGCAGATGGCAGGCGTTGTTCCGCATGGCGAGAGGTGACGTTTCAAGCCAAACCGATAAGTGATGTAAAGGAGGGAAACGAGGTGAGGACCCGACGAGAGCCGTAAGAAAAGAAGGTGTGAAGAAATTAAAATCGACGATCGTGGAGGCGAGTGGGATGATCCTCGCTATTGCCCCTCATCGCGGCCAATCTATCTCCACACTAAGAATAAGAGAAAAAGATCAAACCGTTCAGTCAACCAAACCATGAATTGAGGAATAACGGGCATAGCTTATAAGGACCACCCAGCCAATCTTACTCCCGCAATAGTCTTTTGAAAGAGTTGTTGTTGTTGTTGTTGTTTTTTGTTTGCGAAAGAAGTATTGAATGGATGACGCAACTTATTTTTAAGCTTTCATCTCCAAATCCGGAAGGAATCATTCATCAAGTTGAATTCTATAGCGAAGTTATACACAAAAAAATTTTTTTACAACAAAGAAGGAAACAAAACAAAAAGAAACTGTTAGAATTCCTCCAATATCGTCCCAATATTCCGCTGTCGAGCCAGCTGAACAAGATCTCCGCCGGTGACCAAGTCCGTCAACCCCAACCCCACGCTCTTGAAGATTACATTGCCTCGTTCGGCCCATTCGCGCAGGCTTTTACTGTCGTCAGTCTCCTGCTCCAAATCTTGCGTTGCATGGCGCACCATCAACAGTTCGCCCAGCTCTACAACCTGATTCGGTTTGATCTCGGCTTGGATCAACTCTCCAGCCTCCTTTAAGGCTGCCTCGAGACTGTCCACAACCACAACCCCACTACGCTTGACATGCTTGCTGAAATGCCGATGCGAACCGTGTGTCTTGACCTCATCGCGAATGATCTCCGGGGGCAACTCCGTCATATGTGGTTTGTATGATCCAATGGCGCTGATCAGTCGACCTTTTCGGCGGGCTTCGCGTGATGTGAGTATCTCCGCAGGGAAGAGTGGCTGAAGGGATGGCGTGCAGCAGAAAATCGCATCAGCCTTATTCAAGGCATCTTGCAGGATGCGCGAATACTCGACGAAGTCGCTGCTGACAGCCGAAAACTTCACGTCTCCCCGCCAACTAGAGTTCTCTGTTGAATAGATATCACGAAGAAGTTCCGCTGCCCGGTCAAATGACCTGTTAATAATGAAGACCCGCTTGATTTCCGATCCCCGCAATGTCAGTGCTAGTCGTATGTGCCAGTAAGCCTGCTTGCCTGCCCCGAAGACTACCACTGTACGCACTCGCTTGCGCCTGTTGAAGATCATTGTAGATGTCAGTGCGGTGCGGAATGGAGTGAGCTCATGCGCATTAATCAGTCCAAATGGCATACTTTGCTCGTCAAGCAAGGTCACACTACCCTGTGGTGAGGTGTCTCGGGAACCAGCCGAGGGCCACGCTCCAAGGGTGTTGGATAATCCAGGGTTGACTGGCTGTTTATTCACACATCCTGGTGGTAGTGACTTGCTGCTAGAACTGACCGAGGAGCTTTCGCCTTCCTGTGATGAAACGGACAATTCGCTCATGTCAGACGACAGCGAGCTCATGGAGCTTCTCGACACGTGCCGGCTCCGCGAGGACGTCTTCACATCCTCAGCAATATCTAAGCCGGTTTCTACGGCGCATCCTGCGGTGCCCCCATCCTGTAGCGAGATCATCTTCATGCCGATGGTGCGGCCGGTGCTGGCGGGCATAAACAGCGTTGTGGAGCCATTCTTTCGGGTGATCGCAGTTCTCTGAGGTTGATAGGTCGCGGAGCAGCCTTGTTCCTGATTCCCCGTCGAGTATTCTCGCAATGCCTGAGCGAGGTTCTGTTGCAGCGATATGATCTCCTCACGGGTTAATGATAGCAGTAGCGAGCGGAGCTGGGTCTGCGAAAGAATTGTCAACGGCATGAGGGAGTGAGTGGTATAAAATCTTTGATCTTCATAAAGTACCAAGAGGTTGGTGACACAAGAAGCAAAAAATTATAATTGTAGAAGAAAGTAGAACCACGGTTAATGGAAAGAGGGACGAAAGGTAAAGTTGGGTGACTGATAAAGTATGATAGTATGATGGCTGCGAACGGATATTCAACTTCTACCTGCAATCAAAAACGGAATTAGTCCCGGGGCCTGAGGGGGAGGGGGGGGGGGGGGGGGTTATTCGATTAGG